GCAGGGAGAAGGTATGTTCCCTTCCCTCGGACGCCATGAATGGCGACATCCCGATGGCAGAGTGCTTCGCGTTGTTGTACGCAAACTCCGCCATGGAGAGTAACTCCGCCCAATCGTCCTGGAGGAAGTTGACGTACGACCGCAAGTACTGCTCCAAGGTGGAGTTACTTCGCTCGGTCTGTCCGTCCGTCTCCGGGTGGAACGCCGTGGAGTAACTATTCTCCACGTTCGCCATGCGGCACAGATCTTTCCAGAAGCGCGAGGTGAACAACGTACCTCGATCTGAAATGATCTGCTTCGGGAACCCATGCAAACACACCCATCGGTCAAGGAATAACCGCGCCAAGAATGTGGCGTCGTTATCCTTTCGACAAGCGACGAAGTGCGCTCGCTTGCTGAACCGATCGACGATCACCAGGATCGAATTGGACCCCATAGACTCGGGCAGGTCCGTGATGTGGTCCCAAGTGATCGATTCGTATGGTCCCGCCGGTACCGGCAGCGGCGCTAGTTCGCCGACAGGCTTCATTCGGGGTCGCCGGTTGCGCTGACATATGCTGCAGCTAGCGACGTACTCCCCGATCCACTTCGCCATCCCAGGCCAGTAGAAGTCCCTACTGGTTAGCTCCACGGTCTTGTCCCGCCCCCAATGGCCGGCGGCCTTCCCGTCATGTAGGCGCTTCATCAGCTCTACCTTGATGTTCCCCGCGTTAGGAACATACACCAACCCGTTGTACAGGAGAACCCCAGTGGGGCTCAAGCTGTATCGCTCATTCGCCAAGGTCCCCGCCTTGAGCTGCGCTACGAGCTCTTTCGCCACCGGGTCGTCCTGCGCCGCCGGTATCAGCGCTTTCACCATCCAATCGCCCAGTGCGGGGATGGTGCCATTCAACCGCAAAGGCGGTCGTTCAACCGGACTACACCCTTCAGGGGGTGCGTCTTCGACAGGCCGGAGCAGAGTCTCCGCTCGCTTCGGTTCTGTCTCCTCCATCAACTCTTCCCGACGACTCAACGCGTCGGCCTTCCCGTTCTCCGTTCCCGGCTTGTACTCCAGGGTGTAGGAGATCTGGTTCAACAGCTGCGACCATCGCGCCTGCCGTTGGGACAATACCTTGTCCCTCTTGAAATACTCCAAGTTCTTGTGATCCGTGAGAATCCGAACGGGGTACTTGTTGTCGAGATAATGTCGCCATATCCGACTGCAATAGACGATGGCCAACAGTTCCCTGTCGTGCACATCGTAGTTCCTCTCGGCGGGCGTCAGACTCTTTGACATGAACGCTACCGGGTGGAGCTTCCCATCGTCCCCTACCTGGGACATCACCGCGCCGATCGCTCCAGAGGAAGCGTCGGTCTCGAGCACCACTTGGCGCTCCTCGTTGTAGTGCGCCAATATAGGCGCCTGGGTGAAGGTCAATTCCCGGAACGCGGCGTCAGCGGCTGCCGTCCAGGAGTACTTCACCCCTTTCTTCGTCAGGGCCGTCATTCCCTGAATCTTCTTGGAGTAGTTCTGGATGAACCTCCGATAATAGTTTGCAAATCCTAAAAAGGACTGCAGTCCCCGAATGTTCTTCGGGGGGGCCCAGTCCAAAACGGACTTGACCTTGGAGGGGTTCATACTGACCCCCGTCGGGGCAATATCGTACCCCAAGAATTCGGTAGCCACCGTATCGAACTCACACTTCTCCGCCTTCGCATACAGGCCATTTGCCTGCAGCCTCTTCATAACCTCCTTGACCTGACCGTCATGGGTCTCCTGGTCGGAGGAGTAAATAAGTATGTCGTCGAGGTAAACGACGACGCACACATCCAAAAGGTCCTGGAAAACCTCGTTCATCCACCGCTGAAAGGTAGCGGGGGCGTTGGTCAAGCCGAACGGCATGACCAAACATTCGAACAGACCGAAACGTGTAGTAAACGCGGTCTTCCAAATGTCTTCTTCTTTTACGCGTAGCAGGTTGTACGCGCCTCGGAGGTCCATCTTCGTGTAGACCTTCGCGCCCTTCAACCTGTCTAGCGTCTCTGAGATGAGGGGTAGGGGCGTCCTATCCTTCACCGTAATGTCGTTAAGGCGACGGTAATCGATGCACATACGCATCTCGCCGCCTTTCTTCGGTACGAACAGTACCGGGCTCGAACAGGGCGACTTCGACGGCCTGATGAACCCCTTCTCCAAATTTTCTTTCAACCACTTCTTTAGCTCCTCGCTTTCCCGCTGGGAGTGGTTGTAGAGCTTCTGGTACGTCGGCGACATACCGGGCTTGAGTTCGATCGCATGGTCGATCGATCGCGTCGGGGGCAGTGTATCTGCCTTCGTCTTGGAGAACGCTCCAAGATGTTCATGATACTTCTCCGGTACCATGTCCCTCAGCTTCTCCATATACTCAGGAGGATCCAGATCGTCCTGGAACGAGTCCGTGGGTTTGACGTCCCAATCCCACAGGTCTGGGCGCCTCGCCCGCTCGTCGTCCTCCCGGGTCATCTGCATCTGCGCGACGACCAAATCCTCCGTGATCGACCCCTTCATCTTCTTGAACGGGTCGATCCCTCGTGTCTCCACTTCTACTTCGTCCGGAGCATACACCGTCTCGGGCCTCTTGAGGCATCCCGTGCTGATGCAGACATCCCCGAACGTCACCGCGTTGGAGTCCCATTGGATATGCGGGTTGTGTCTCCGCAGCCAAGGGATACCTAGTACCACCGGGTACCCACTCAAATCGGTGAGGTGGAACTCGGTCAGCTCCAGGTGCACTCCCGTACGTACCAGCGTACGAGCCTTCTGGGTGATCCTTCCTCCCTGGATCTCCCGACCATCGATCACCGTCACTACCCGCGGCGTCTCGAGGTCCGTTACGTCGAATCCATGTAGCGACGCGAATGTCCGATCCATGAACATCCCGGTCGCTCCCGAATCCAACAACATGAGTGCTTGGACCGGCACTCCTTCCGGGTAGAACACTCCTACCAACGTCAGATGGCTATCTGGACCGTTGGGTACTCCGCTTGCACCCAGCTGCAAGGGGATCCGGCTACCTCCTCGTGCTCCCCCATTCGGGGTCCTTTGATGATCCGTTATTCTGTAAGGCCCGGGAGCGGCCCCCGATGGGGGTCCCCCTGGACAGGCTGACGGGACGCAGGAATGAGGCAAGGTATGGGTAGACATCTAGATGTAATAACGGATGCAGAGCTATTACAGAGGTACTAGTTCTACATCCAAACAACAACACCGAAAAGTACTCCCGACGGGAGTCGCATACGGGAGTCGCGTACGGCGTGTCCGACGCGTCACGTGACCGCTATAACATTCATACTGACCCCCGTCGGGGCAATATCGTACCCCAAGAATTCGGTAGCCACCGTATCGAACTCACACTTCTCCGCCTTCGCATACAGGCCATTTGCCTGCAGCCTCTTCATAACCTCCTTGACCTGACCGTCATGGGTCCCCTGGTCGGAGGAGTAAATAAGTATGTCGTCGAGGTAAACGACGACGCACACATCCAAAAGGTCCTGGAAAACCTCGTTCATCCACCGCTGAAAGGTAGCGGGGGCGTTGGTCAAGCCGAACGGCATGACCAAACATTCGAACAGACCGAAACGTGTAGTAAACGCGGTCTTCCAAATGTCTTCTTCTTTTACGCGTAGCAGGTTGTACGCGCCTCGGAGGTCCATCCTCGTGTAGACCTTCGCGCCCTTCAACCTGTCTAGCGTCTCTGAGATGAGGGGTAGGGGCGTCCTATCCTTCACCGTAATGTCGTTAAGGCGACGGTAATCGATGCACATACGCATCTCGCCGCCTTTCTTCGGTACGAACAGTACCGGGCTCGAACAGGGCGACTTCGACGGCCTGATGAACCCCTTCTCCAAATTTTCTTTCAACCACTTCTTTAGCTCCTCGCTTTCCCGCTGGGAGTGGTTGTAGAGCTTCTGGTACGTCGGCGACATACCGGGCTTGAGTTCGATCGCATGGTCGATCGATCGCGTCGGGGGCAGTGTATCTGCCTTCGTCTTGGAGAACGCTCCAAGATGTTCATGATACTTCTCCGGTACCATGTCCCTCAGCTTCTCCATATACTCAGGAGGATCCAGATCGTCCTGGAACGAGTCCGTGGGTTTGACGTCCCAATCCCACAGGTCTGGGCGCCTCGCCCGCTCGTCGTCCTCCCGGGTCATCTGCATCTGCGCGACGACCAAATCCTCCGTGATCGACCCCTTCATCTTCTTGAACGGGTCGATCCCTCGTGTCTCCACTTCTACTTCGTCCGGAGCATACACCGTCTCGGGCCTCTTGAGGCATCCCGTGCTGATGCAGACATCCCCGAACGTCACCGCGTTGGAGTCCCATTGGATATGCGGGTTGTGTCTCCGCAGCCAAGGGATACCTAGTACCACCGGGTACCCACTCAAATCGGTGAGGTGGAACTCGGTCAGTTCCAGGTGCACTCCCGTACGTACCAGCGTACGAGCCTTCTGGGTGATCCTTCCTCCCTGGATCTCCCGACCATCGATCACCGTCACTACCCGCGGCGTCTCGAGGTCCGTTACGTCGAATCCATGTAGCGACGCGAATGTCCGATCCATGAACATCCCGGTCGCTCCCGAATCCAACAACATGAGTGCTTGGACCGGCACTCCTTCCGGGTAGAACACTCCTACCAACGTCAGATGGCTATCTGGACCGTTGGGTACTCCGCTTGCACCCAGCTGCAAGGGGATCCGGCTACCTCCTCGTGCTCCCCCATTCGGGGTCCTTTGATGATCCGTTATTCTGTAAGGCCCGGGAGCGGCCCCCGATGGGGGTCCCCCTGGACAGGCTGACGGGACGCAGGAATGAGGCAAGGTATGGGTAGACATCTAGATGTAATAACGGATGTAGAGCTATTACAGAGGTACTAGTTCTACATCCAAACAACAACACCGAAAAGTACCCCCGACGGGAGTCGCATACGGGAGTCGCGTACGGCGTGTCCGACGCGTCACGTGACCGCTATAACAGCAACCTAGTGAAAATTGCCGACGTTCCAGGGGATGGCATGGAACTGGTAATCAAATGGATCGAGAGAGTTCTGGTATTGACAGATAAGAGTATGAGCGTCCCGGCGGGATCCGTTACCAGCAGAAGGGACTTGCCTGGCGAAACCATTTCGCCATGTTTGGTGGGTTTTCAACTGACTCCGGTTCGAGTCGGCTTTGAATCCAGGGCGAAACTTGAGTACTGTGAATGAAGACCGGAACGAGACCGTTTTCGAGGCGGCTATATGTCGATTGGCGCCAATGGATCAAAGTGAGGTAGGAATCCACTAGTTGATCGTTAAACCAGACGTTGGTTTTCAAGTACTGGTAGATTGGTGGATCACCAAGGATGCGGATGGCGGTGGGGGTGGAGGTATACCAGACGGGCGGCCTGGAGGGGTCCGGCGCCGGACACGCAATGTGGGTCGAGGGGGGAAGGGTCGGATCGCTGCCATCATGGCAGAAATAGCAAAGGTGATTCAACTTTATCATGGTAAGGGTCATGAGCATTCGAAAAGATTAGCAGTGGACAGCGACCAAAGACCGGTACTGACCCATTCCGACAGGCTCGGGACTGCAGCTCCGAATAATGTGCCCTGTGGGACGTAAGCTCGGCCGTGAATCTCTGAAGAATTCAATGCGGGAAGCAATGTTCCAAAAGCGTGAGGTTCATTGGCCGTGGAGGCGATGGCGGCGGGAATGGAGGGAAGTTCCCACTGGATCTCTTGTGCAGGTGGGAAATCCGGGGGGAGCTGCCTCTTGGCCTCCGCAATCTTTCGGAGCAAGGCATTGCGGGCGGCATCACTGTCAGAGGATGGGTAGGGAAGGCGGACTCGATCGTGTTCGGCGGGAATGGGCGGGGACGTCTGAGGGGTCAGACGGGGCGGCAGGTCGTCGTCGGGAACAGGGACATCTTTACCCGGCGAAGTTGTGTTGTCGGCTACTAAGGCATGTGATACAACGTTCAGCGGACAATCGAAGGATGCCTCAGTATTAGACGATGGGGCTTACGTTGATCCGCGGCAAGAGGCTTCATGTCGGGTTGGGGCTTGCCGGCGGCCTGCTGGATCTGCTGCAAAATGTTCGAGTCCGGGAGAGCTGTTTCCCGCAAGGGGTCCGGCCGCGTAGGAGTTGGTCCGGTGCGAGAGCGTTTCTCCTGCCTGGGAGAAGAGAAGAACTTGGTAATGCGGGGCTGCTGCGGGTCCTCACGGGTGGGAGTATTGGGTGTGTTGGGCGGTTCCTGCGAAACAGCTGGGGCGTGCTCGAGGGGGGAAAGCGGGAATTCAGGAGCTGTTACGAGGAGGGGTCCGAGAGGTTGCAGATTAGCCAGCAGCTAGGGTGAAGGTACTTGAGTAGATGCCAAATCAAACATACCAAGTGTAGTATCCATAATTGGAAAGATTGGCGTCGTTCGAATATGCGAAGAGTGATAAATCTAGGGTGGGAAGGGCAGACCAGTCACGATGTCAGTTGTGGGGAGAGGCAGGTCAAGAAACGGAAATGAATGCATATCGACAGCGGTCAGGAGGAGTGACTTGAGTTATATAGGTTTTGACGATCAGAGAGGGACAAAGGCACGACAAGACCAGCCGTCTCTGATGCGAGAGGGCAACACTACAATAGCACAATCGCCAAACTAGCAAGGTTGCTTCAAAACTGAAACTCTACCCGAGGTGTTTTGTTTACAATCTTGATGCGGGAAAATCATACAATAAGGCCAAAGGGATGCCTGAGGCGGGAAGCATTGATTAGACGCGGGAAGACAAAAGATAGAAAAGGTAAACAAATAACGGGAGAGCGACACGTATCTGGAAGACTTTTGCGCGAGTCATCGCGCAAAGGCCTTCAAGGCCAAATCTAGCATAGAATTAAGCCGCGGTGTCGTAGAGTTGTTAGCCTAGGCCAGCGCGTCACAGTGCTAGGGATAGGTGCCCAGCGACCACGAGGGCGACGCGCCAAAGCAGAAGCTCGGAAGAGAGAGAGCAGCATGCACCAGCCAGCAGGTCAACTATGCTATACACCTGACTACCTTCATCTCTTGCTCTTCTCTCCATACATACAACATATCTCAAGGTCATTCGCAGAGGACTGCTTCACGTATAGAAAATTATTAAACCGGAGAAAAAACAGACACGAAACGAGCTCGGTCGGGAGGACGCACGACTTACGAACTATCAGAGGACAAGAGCAACTCTTTGCACCGGAAAACCCGAGAGACGCACCTCGTATCCTCTTCACGTCGTCTCGGCTATACCTGATCTCAGAGAATTATAGCGTTTTAAAGCTGGAATTAATCTACGACCTGGGATCGATCCCGATATAAATTCTTCAAGCTGGATCGTCATCGAGGAGGAGCACACGCTGGCGCGATGGGACCTACATCAAGAGGTAGCTCGGGGTCGTCCCACTATACCATCAAGATCAACGGCAACCACAACCACGTCCACAACCATAACCCAAATACTACCTCTTCCTCCTCTTCAAATCACCCGTTGACGGACTCGGGCACGGGCAAACGACCACGATCGACATCCACCCTGGGGCTCTCATCACCCCGCATGACCCGTCTTCGACTCCGGTTACACGCACTCTCCACTTCAGTTCCCTTTCGATATTTCCGCAACTCCTCCTTCATCCCAAAACGAAAACGCAGCATAACCTACCTCCTCCTCCTTCTCCTCATCTCTTTCCTCATCTTCCTCCCTGGGACGCTCAACAGCCTGTTCAACCACCTCCACCTCCCCACCCACCTGCGCCTTCCTACTTCCCCGCTCGACCCACAAGCTTCAGCAGCGTTCAGCTTGACGAAACCGAGGTTAGACCAGAGTGGGGAGGAGGTACCGGATGAGAGCGAGGGGCAACAAGAGGTGGAGATCCAGAGGTCGTTCGAAGAGCCGGATTTCAGCCTTTTGAGTGGGAAACAGCCGCACGAGGTGGGGTGTGACGTGCCTATCGTCTGGGATCCTAGCGTGTCGAACGTTAGCGACTCCTCATCATCGTCATCGACATCAATATCAACACCAAACTCCAATAATGATAACAACACCGGCGTCCTCGTCTTCCTAGGTGTCTTCTCAGCCGCCCAATCATCCGACAAATCCCCCTCAGAAATGCGTCGCCGGAGGGACTTATACCGTCAAATCTATTTCCCCCAATTCCCCAAGAACCTGGTCACGGCGAAATTTATCCTCGGCCTACCACCCGGTGGAGCGGGGAAGGACAAGTTTAGGAACCCCGCCGCGGCTGTTAGTAGGGCTAGGGTCTTGAGGGGGTTGGAGGAGGAACGGGAAGAGTTTGGGGATATGGTCATCCTGGATGTGAGTCGCTGTTGTCTTCCGCCGCCATCGCCTTCGTCCTGTTCTTTTGCGAACTTTTCGTTGCATAACCGTAAAAAGCAAAAGCTAACAATGTTTCGCCTTACTGGATTTTTCTTGATCATCGACGATCCCTTGATCGGTTGACCTGAAACGACAGATGGAGGACAACATAGATTCGGGGAAAACACACAAATACTTTCAATGGGTAGCTAAAGAGTACGCGGGCGAGGGGCAGGTCAAGGGAAGGCCTAGATTCGTCGTGTGAGTTTGGGGTTTGGGGTATTGAGTCGGGAGGGAGACGAGCTGCTAGCAGAATGACGGGAGAAGATATCGGCGTGCGGTCGAACGGGATTTGAGCTGACTTGGCGTTTTCGTTCTTTTCGGAATGTTTGTGGGAAACAGCAAATCGGATGACGATGTAAGTCTCTGCCGACAGTCCCTTGTGCTTGCGTTGATTGTTACCAGCTTCGGTGAATCGTACTGACCGAACTCAAAATGTCTTCCGATCTGCAGACCCTCCTCGTGATGCCCAACCTCATCTCGGCTTTCCGAAAACTAGACTGCTCAACCAACGTATATTGGGGTACCTCGGCCGGTCGATCACAGTACTTTGGGGATTATTTCCGGGGGTTGGCTTATGCCATGAGTTGGCCGTTGGTGAGCTTTCTGTCTACATCGTTTGGCCAGCATCGTCGCATGCGAAGCTGAAAAGAGACGCCTCGCGACAGATCTCGTGGATCGGGCAGGCGGACATGCCCATGGCACATATCACCAAGATAGAAGATGCCCGGACGGGTCAGTGGTTGCGCCATCTAGATCCTGCCGAGGACCCGATCACGCGGATAGATTATGGGTGGACGATGGGAGATTGGAACCAGTTGGACGTCGGATTGGAGACGGTAGCGTTACGTAAGTCCTCGTGGCGCGGTAGCAAAAGGGTTCGTCCGCTGATCTTGTGGTAAACCGCTCATTCCTGCGACAGACTGGTGTAAATGGGACGACTGGGTGGTGGAGCAACAAGAAAAGATCCAAAAGATCTGGAAAGACGCCGGACGACCGTTCCGATGGGATCAAGGCATCGAATCTAGCGTCTCGGTCGCCAAGGGCAAAGTCACGCCCGAGGAGGCGAGACGGGAACACGATCGGCAGATCCAGGCTGGGTGGGACGTCGAAGGGAACCTCAAGGGGGATGCTGGAGATGGGTAATAACAGAGGTCGAGTTGATAGACGTGTGTAATGAGGAGATTGTCGGTTTGGAACGATTCGGGGCACCTGGGAATGTAACGAATAGAACGCATCGCATTATACGAGGTCGTGCTAGGTCGTCAGGATCGCGACATCTACGATAAGTCCGCGGCAACCTAGAGGCGACGCTTTCGGTTGAACATCGCCGCATAACGAATGCATCTGAGATATGAGTTTGCCGAGCTGCTAAACTGACGATGTAAGAGCAGGGGGATTGATCTGGATGGTAGATACTTGAAAGCAAGTCAACCCGTGGACATTTGATGCAAGCGGTACGCATCGCTATTTCGAGGAAGCTTGTCATCGTGACCCGTTGCGGCCATATAATGACGTGTTGCGTTATCTTCATGAAAGGAGTGTCCGTGTAGCCTCTGCTGCTCTGTCGCTGCCCACCCACGCCGGGTGGCTTGATGGTTCTCGAAACGCGGCGCTGATCACGAGACCCCTGTAACTACGATAGATGGTGACAGGCCAGCGGCTGGACGATCCTTTGTTGACTGTCAGGAAGCATACCCTATTGTCGACTCGCCTATATATGTATGAAGCCGTGACAGAGGAAAAGCGTTATCACGCCGACAGGCCTCTGTCAAACAGCATCGTCACTCAAAACACATCTTCGTCTGTAAGATGGGCAAGCTACAACGCGGAGTTCAAAAGTTCTTCAAGTCTGGGCGGCCTGCAAGTGAGGAACTCAGAGAGGAGTCTTTTGATCAGGCGTCGACATCCGTGAACACGGAACCTCCCAGTCAAACTGTACCGAAAGAGCAAACCAAAGCTGAGTTGTCGGGAACCTTGGCATCCAGGGAAGAATCATTTGCCAATGAGTAAGAATATCTCGCGATCTGTGCTGGCAACGAGGTTCTGACATTTGGACGATGCCCTAGAAATTGGAGAGAGATGGATGCAGCAGAGTTCAATGTTCACGCTAGGTAAGGATAACCGACATGAGCTTCATTCCAAACCAATTACTGATATTGGATTCATCCTCTAGGGGCTGGCCTTCGGACAACCTGCCTTCGACACTGAGGACGGGCCACGCTTCTCGTCCGTTGCCGGAGCCGGAGAGTGCCGCCAGTTCCGCCGCGACTTCCAATACTGCACCGAATGAAAATCAGGGCAAGAAGGCTGCTACTGAAGATCAGGTTCATGTTGGGACCAAGGAAATGGAGAATGTCTTAGTCGGCTTAGTTGGCAGACTGTACAAGATGGCTGAGGGTAATCATCCCTTTGCTGATCGGTTCGAGAAAGCGGTGAGATAGCCTTGTTTGCTCTCCGCGTTGTCTGTCGACATGATTGACCTGGTCTCTTGATATAGCCGCTGAACACAAAGTATCACAAGGTGATACTCTGGTTGAAACAAGGAAGCGTGGAGTTGTTCACCTTCGTGCACCAAGAACGAGACGGGTTTGCTGAAGCTTGGGGAGGACCCTTGAAAGAGGCAGACTGCGTAGTCGATAGCAATTTACTGGACGTGATACCGACCCCACTGGGAGAGGACTTATATTACGTTTGCGAGTACCCAGAGAAGATACCTCACACAGTCTATGGATCTGCTGGAGCCAAGAAGACCATGACACTCGTCTTCTCCATCAGAGAGCCGTCCAGGCTGGTTTTCGCCTTCACTTTGACTTGAAACCCACTTGTAGCAGCGCAAGCCTTCTGTCGCTGAACGCTATCACTGTTAACTGAATACGAATGATTGATATCCGCTTCTTCTCATGACTTTTGCTCCAGGTTTGTGGCCGACTTCATTTCAAGACTTCACTTCAGAACAGAGCGTAAGCAAGACTGATACGAAATGTCTCCTGCCGACCATCTGCATGACCTGCTCAACCAAGCCAAACGATCGAGAGTTAAGTCACATCGGGTATCAAACGGATACTCTGCTATTCACTTTGATTCGTGTAGATCTCGGGCCTAAAAAACGGCGAAGCAGCCTGAAGGTCTTGTTCGACATTTCATACCCCCTTTTGTTTCCGCGTTTCATGTTCCTGTCTAAAGTAACTTAGCGGAATCAGTCACGTGATCCGGCTCAACACGGTAAGACCCGGCTTTTCCCCTTTTTATCACAGCAGTCGGGGGAGGGGGGCATGATAAGGATCGATCGATGAGACGCTTCCTTTCGCTCAAAAAGAAGGATAAGGGGAGGAGAACTTGTCGTGAAATGAAGCGGTGGGATTCCTTTGTCCTGGTTCCGTCAGCTGATCTCTTGGCTTGTTCGTCTGGCCTGTAGGAGGGCATCGTCGTGGGTGTATGTATATATGCGGTTGCCGTTGCAGTGACTGTAGGGCTTTCGACAGATTTATATTTATATGTGTACCAGGTAACATAGAAGGAATCGTGAACCCGAACGCCCCGATCTCATATAGGCCAACAGAAATCTGCTGTTTTCGATTCAGATTCTCTTCCAGTCCAAGTTATGCCTCGATTCTTGATTAGTGCGAGATGGTTCTTGCGACGACGCAGCGGCAAAACCGGGACGCAATCGTCCTCCGATAGGTCAATTGAATCTCTTGAGACGGGCGAGTATCAACAAGCTGAACTTAGCCTGATGCACTCAATCTACGGAGACCCAGCTTCTTCGCTCGCTCCGAAATCGACAATGACTAAGACCACCGATCTGCAGTCCCATATGTCAACGACTGCTTGCCCACAGCCAGGGCAACCCCTAGTGAACCTCAACTCGAGATCTGAAAGTGTGGGAACAGAGTTCGACTTACCTGTTCGATCCCTTTCGACCTCGACTGGACCGGCCCGTTCAACCATATTCGATCATTGCGCCGCAAATCGGTCGTCTGCTATAAACTCAGCTCTGAATCTAGTTGCCGATACTCTTTCCGCCATCTACTCCAAGTGCTTGATTTACCCTAAAGGTGAATACACGTTTCCAAACATCCGTCCTGTAAGAGAGCTCTCGGGGAACCTTCCTGCGCAGATCGTACGTCTGACCAGAGTCTATTCGCGGCTTTGTGCCTCGCGTTTACCAGACATACAGCTACGAGAAGAACGAGTGCTACCGCTTGTATCTGTATCAAGACGAGGATGGTGGCCATGCTCAAAAAGCGATCGCAAGCGGACAACGATTGATCAGCCGAGTCGAATATGTACAAATCGGGCCGTTCGGTGATATCTCATCGACCAAACACCTACCAAGTACGATAACTCGTCAAGAGTATTCGCACTTACTCAACATGCTACAGCAGCCGCTCACTTACTGGAATCCAGCCCCTATGCTGAGACGAGATGAGGCACTCAGAATTGTTATTCTGAAGCTTGCCCGGAATGATGAGCAGAAACGGATAGAGGTCGACTTTCAGCTTTTCCTTAGACCAGGTTTGGCACAGGGTGATCTCGACCGATCTGTGGACCGTCCTGGAGAATCTTATCTGTCTCGAAATTCGGCTCCCGAATCTAGTGCTGCTCTTGCTGCTGCAGACCCTGAACTGAATATTGTTCATAACCGACCTCCATCACTCATGCACGACCAGCACCTTGAACTCGCAGCCATGTTCTGGAAATTGATCGACGACCTCGAATTCGAGCATCAGAAGCGGAATCAGGCCGGTAGTCCACTCTTCTTAGCAGTGAGTTCGCAAGTCTCATCCGACTCTGGAACGTGAGCACATCGCTGATTTCAGTTGTACGACGACAATAGAGTGGGTGCAGAGGAGTGGCAAAAGAGTTCCACCTCTCAATCAAGATTGAGGATGGTCGACTTGAAGCGTGGGAGTCACTCGCGCATCGCTTGGATTCCCTGAAGTTGCCTCGCTTACGCTACCCAGAAATCAAGAACAAAAGACTTCCACGAAACATCAGTTTCGAAGCCGAAAAGATCGACATCTTGACCGCTCCTGTTGACCGTTCCAACCTGAAATGTGATTGGGAAAATTTCACTCTGGAAAGATGTAGCATTAAGAGCCAAAAGAAAGGTTGGCTACAGTTCGAATTTGCTGTAATTACGCTCTACTGAGGTATCGCTGATGTGGAAGTGTTTCAGACTATATGGACTGTAGCGCGAGTCAATCTCAGTATAGACCATGCATCATACGCAGTAAAACCTATTGATGCAATCGGGAAGTGCTGTGAAGAATTGAAGATCGGTAAATAACTGTCGATTCGAGTTTGATTTTGTATCTACCTAGCCATATCTACGATGAGAGCCTATACAAGCGGAATTCGCATGCGCAAGAGTTCGCCCTTAAATATGCTGCCTTATCCAGGAGACTTGCCAGGCATCGACGGACAGATACGTGATGTTTGACCGTTGGGGAATCAGAACAACCGACTCTGCCAGTCCAAAAGAGTGGTCCGCGGGAAGGTGATTAGAACAGTACAACTTTGAGCAGATATACTGCCTATTTGTGCTTTCAGACAGGAACAGCGGATCTGCTCTTTCTGTCCAAGAGTACGAAGCCGCTGCGTTGAGGGTCATCCGCGAGACTCAAAAGTTTCACTTTCCCGACATGGATGTCTCAATACTCTTGGCCAATGTTTGCCAATGGACCGAGAACGTTCGCACCAGCCAGGTGCCCATCATCGACTACCACGACACGCAAGCTTGGGTCAACCACCTCACTTCGGGCTTGGACGATTTCAACCTCCTTCTTGTTTAAATTTGGAACTTTGGCTTACGATGCATCGATGGATCCGTCGACCTGAATTTAGATCTTCGCAGCCTGAAGTTTGGATATTAGAAACTAACGATCAGACCACGTTGAAAGTACGGAGACCTGCTCTCGACTGTTAGTCCAATCCATGCGCAAAGGTATACCGTTGCTCGTCTATCGCTATGAAAGGAGGATCAACGGTGTGGTGAGATATCGTGATCGATGGCATCTGTCAACAATGACATGCTCACGTAGACAAAGCATATTACTGCGGGACGGCCTGGGTAGATGTGACTACAGAGAATTGAGAAGGTGGCGAAATAAGCAGGCAGTGGACGAAGCGAAGGTTTCCTCCTTTGTTATCGTGATGGCGCAATTGTTCCATGCACTCTGCAGGTTGCAGAGAGGATCCCCGTATATAAACCGAGAGTCCTAGTGGCCGTCAGCATGAACGACGTTTCCCCTGTCGGGACTTCTTCTCTTTTTGTATCATTCTCGAAACCATGAGTCTTTTTCACAATAATAAGAAGAAGAAGGCGGACACGCCCGCAGACAATCAATCAGCTTCGTCTGCTTCCGCCCTAGTTTCATCGAGAAGTGGTCACTACGGGTTTCCGGTCTCTTCTTTGCGAAGTGGCTACGAACATACTAATCATGAGTTGACCAATACAACATTTATGACTTCAGCTCCTGAGAGTGGGTCAGGAATGACCTCGAATCTCGACGTTTGAAGACGTGAAAGCCTGATTACATCGTGTGCATATCACAGGCACATACCTCATGCCTGCAGCAGACGGCACAAGGTTTGATCCCACGACTCTATCCACCCTGGGATACAGCATTGAGAGCATCAAGCTCTTTCATGCTGTGTTGGACGTCCTCAGAGAGGTCTGGAAAAAATCTCGTCAAGTCCCTTCTGCAAGTCCTCTGTTTTCCGAAGTGAGTGACAAGACATTCCTGAACTGCTATTACGTACTCACTGAAAGCGGACTCTTGCCATTTTGATGAACAGTTCGAATCTGGTGATAAGCGGTGTTTTCATTTCGGCTTGGCATCCGGCGATATACGTCCTGTCCCGCTCACGGGGAACCCAAAGAGTCTACAAAAGGCACGAATTTACAAAATTCCGGAGAGCTACCCCCTATCCCTCTTCAAGGGAGGTTCGGTCCATCTTGATTTCAGCGGTACCGGGCATCATGCGATGGACGACGGGTACGGTCCGTGTATCCAAATCGTCGGCATTAAACGCGATCCCGCCGAAGACTGCTTAGAGGTGACCTACACCGTTCACTGGGCAGAACGCCAAGGAAGCGACGCTTTCTCGGTTGACATGTCCATACTTCCAACTTGTCCCTCTCAATCCGGGTTCTCAGGGTCGACACGGACAGAGTCGAATGAGCTGATTCGGGATCTCGCCAAAAAGCCGGTGAGGGATGAGGTACTCCAGGAAGTCTTCCGACTGCTACAAGCGTTGCATGAGAGACACCACGGTATACATGGCCAGGAATCCTTCTTCGATGATCGTGCTTTCTCGTATATTCCGGTGTGTCAGCAACTCGTTTATATAGATCATGAACCCATCTCGTGCTAAATCCCATTTTGCCTTACACGTTGGTGCAGCCGGAACCAGAATCCAATTTCATTGTGACGCATCTCCTCCGCCTAGAGATCGACAGACACGGGAACGTCTCTGGTTATCGTGGTCCTCCGGGTAATTATCATACTCCATGGCGCATTCCCAAGATATCTCCGGAAACGATGGAACCGCTAGGGAAGATACGATACGCCGCCGGCACGAGCTACAACTTTGACGGGACTATGACGGGATCGTTTCCCTGTCATAGCGGTTGTCTCCCAGAGCCTCCAGGTAAGGGGAAAAGCAAGGCGTCTACGAAGCTGTTCAGAAAGATGGCAGATAATCTACGAGGCGAATCACAATACCAGCCTTCCGGAATACAGGTGCAAGTTGTCCAAATCGGCGTGCCCTCAAGTGGGATTCAAGGTCTGCTGATAGTGACATTCAAAGTGAGAATTCGAGAGTAGGACGATGCTTTTTCGTCAGAGCTAGGTCATAGCAGAGGGGCAGTCGTTCGAATTTAGCCTCAGAGATATACCAGTAGAGAGGAGATTCAATGCATACCCACCCTAAATTGAGATATCATATCTACGAAAACCCTGAATCATCACAAAAGACCATTCCCGGCCTTTTGACCTGATGTCACTTTATGAATCCTTGTTTCTATACCTAAGAACCACGGGGATGGCATCTAGATATAGTTCCTCGAGGTCAGGAAGTCGAGGACTTTCGAAGTTTGATCCTTGTCAATTCAATATGAAGTTCCTACACGTACACGTTGAGTGATTAAATCCTGAGTGCAATACGACTATCTAGCTATCACAGTCAGCCTGACTGACGCAGACGAGTCACTTTCGGGAAACTCTAAATCACACACAGGTCGTCCTGTTTCATGGTGGATTTGCTTCCGGCGACGCGAGGTTCCGCCGAAATTACCTCGAATCTTCATAGCAAGGTATAGGCACGGGGCATGTTGCAAGAGGATGTTGCGCTTGGATGTCACTGGCAATCCTTTGCTCCGGAGCAATATTCTATCGAAATGAAAACAGCACAGTGTGGTCTCAATGCGACAGCCCTGAAGTCAGATGCGCTCTCAAGTGAGATGTCCCTGTTAGCATACTCCCCAGTTGTCGACCGTGCGAACATCGGTTGTGGTTATTATCTTTCCCCTTTCTGAAAGCATCAATCGTGCTCGAATCCAGGACGATCGAGAAGCATCGGTCTCCGGGGCGATCGGCTCGATTGCGATATCCACGCCATCGATCTTGAAAGAAATACCGGTCACAATTGGTATTCCGCTCACTGCTAAGAGCGCGTGGCATATAAGAGGGCGATTGAACCGTCAGGTATCTTGTCTTTCCGCCTGCACCCTCGTTTCTTTATCTCTTTTCAAGCCCAACGAACGCCTTATTATCACAATATGAACCAGAAAAACGATACGAACGACCGTACTAGTCTCCCCTCTCTCAACCCCTCTGGCAGTACAGGATCAAGCTTGAGAAGGCAAGGGGGCATTCGCAGAAGGCCACCTCGACCTCCCGCTCCCCAAGTACCTGACGAAGATCCCAGCATGCAGACGTTAGTTCCTACGGTGCTCACTTCGGCCAACAGCGTCGTCGGCCAAGACAGTTCTTCAGCCAACACCCAAGCTGCAACCGCATCCAACTTGACAACCGCTGCCACCACGTGTTCAAGCGCCTTGCCTTCCTCAACAGGGTTTACTGGGAGCGAGGGATCACGTACCTCTTTTGAACCATGGGGGCTTAGCGCTCGCGATGAAAAACCTCGGGGAGCGTTTTTGGGCCTGCTTCATCGGTTACTACTGTACTTGAGGCAGGAACTAGCAACTGGCGTCACTTTGGGAATTGTGAGTTCGGATTACGATTCAACATTGTCAGATTTGCGGGCTATAGTTTGATCATGACTCGCCAACTGTCACATGTACCGTTCTCTGGAACAGAATAGCACCGATGAATGTTACTACTTCTATATAAGTTCCCCGGGGAGACGCGGACCTGGTGGCCATCGACCTGGTCAGACCTGGATCTCGACAGACGCAGACAGATATCGCGGTACCAGCGCAGTTCTATGGACAAATGCTGCATCAGCTGGGACAGATCGATCAAGAGTACATGATTACCCACAACCGTCTATTCTGTCACTTGGGGCACGAGGTTTTACCCTTTTTCTACATGAACGGGGCATGGACAGACAACGAACGACGCCAGATTGTGGTCGTTTGCAGGATGGTCGATCGACCACCGATCGGCATTCCCAGGGAACACGAGGCTGAACCGGGGTTCGCTCCACAGACGCGTCTCCAGGGACTCTGGCCAGATATGGCTATGGATGTCCTATACTATGAACATCTCTCAGTCGTCTTCGAGCAGCTGTTATTGCAGAACATCGATTATCAGACGCAGCTTGTATTGGACAAACCTGTGAGTAGAATTTATCATAGCTTAACTTCGTCATCTATATCACCCTTGCCTGTGTGAGTTCGGGATAGACTCCCACGAGAACCTTCGCATGTCATTCTACATCGGCTTGGATCCTCGGGAGGCTAAAATCGAGATTCGCGCTCGAGGACGTGATGAGAGCGGCAATTCCGAGATACCGATGACAGCTCTCGATGTAGTCCACACGAAGGCCCTCTCCGCCACTATTCTCGGAAGGGAGAGCGCGACAAGCTTTGATAAACCTATCAGGGCATCCTCAGTGGTTACCGGTCAGAGGACCGACTTTCAAGTCACGACGGTTTACATAGAGCCGAAGCGGTGGATTCAGCTTGACTTCTGCAGAATTTGACGGGGCGGATGAGAAGATTTGTATTGATCGTTTGAATTGATTGTTTGTATAGATCGGGTGTTCTGAATGGTAGGGAAGAAGGGTCTTGCCCAAACGCATTGCCACATGATATCGTACACATTACGTCCAAGCTACATCAAGTTCTCAGGACCTGGAGATGAGATCGAGTATCGCTGGCCGACGAAACACGCTGGACATCCTGATTGTACACTCGATTGCACGTTCGAAGTCTAGCAGTCTGATCCGTCTAACCAGTCCATACACGTGTTTATTCGATCTGGATGTATGAAGACTACTACGAATGTTCCGCTTGATCAGGACCTCTTGTTATCCCATCCTTTGTCTTCAATGACTGACCTCCGGGCTGCAGTAGCGCATCTCATCTGGCTAAACTGTACTGATTGATATCTCTCAAGGTCGACAGGCTCTCCACATCAGCTCAATTCAACCGGCTCACAGACAAGATCGATCATCTCACCTACAACACCAACGCCCGAATGCTGAATGCAAACAGAACTGTTAAAGATGTCGCTCTGTTGTCGCTGAGGGATAAGGACGGATATCTCCTTGACATTCAGAAGCAAAGTCTATCTGGCGCTGGTCGTAAGTACGTTCTTGAGCACTTGTTCTTGGGCGCTGTCGCTTATGAGAACGTTACAGCTGCAACTCTGTGTATATAGTATATTGAAACAACCAAAGCCTCTTATACAGAGCATTGGGCTGGCCACAAGAGCTCGCCTACAACCGACAGCAAATATACCCGTGTGAACAAAGAGGGGCTTGATGCCCTTTGCGGAACTTCTACCCTCTGACTCCAATTGAGGAGACATTTGACATCGATAGTGCGTTCCCAGATGATTTGCAGAACATCAATCAGTTTCCTGCATTCTGATGATTTGGTATAGATGTCGGTAACATGGTCCGAATATAAAAACGAATTCGGTAGAGTGAAAGAGGAAGTTCGATCGCCCGGTCAATACACGTCTGACGGAGTGCGATACAGTGAGGGTCGCGCGCGAACGGATCGCCGGCCCGTCGGGTGCGATCCTTGGAACAACCGAATCATCTCTTCATGCTCGCTGCCAGACGGCCCGTCGATCACCAAACTTTGAGGATTGAAAGAGTAAAGTATGACCTTATTATAATAAGAAATTTAGAGCAACTACATCAATATTTTGTGACAAAACCACGGGCCTTCCTCACTGCCTCTAGGCGTCTAGGCATGCTATCCACGCATGCGTCAATCCGGTCCTGACCAATCTCTCCCCATAGCCTTTGAAGCACATTGAATAGCTCGTCTTTGTTGGTCGGCTTCCTAGGTAACTGGGCAAGCCGCCGCTTAAGCAGAGACCAGATGTTTTCGATGGGATTGAGATCGGGGGAATAGGGAGGGTGATCCATGTAGACGAAGCCTTGCCGAGCACCTTGAAGTCGGTTGACAGGGGACTTATGGATTCCTACGTTGTCCTCGAGCAGGCGAGCACCTCCATAACCCCTCCATCGGTTATTGACCCGGTTCCAGGCAGCTTTGAGCGGTCCCATAGTGATTTGATTGCGGTAGATGACCGCAGTCACGCCCTTCTTCTTCCCCGTATTATAATACGGTCAATGAATCTCTGCTGTCTGGGTAGTATAGTTGTATAGCTATTGAATTTACAAGATGGCGAGTCAAGGTGAAAAGTCATGAACAAGATGGCTGAAAGTGACGCGTAAGCGTCCCGTTCACGCGCGGTCCCCACTGTAACAGCGAAATCAAACGCCCGAGTCGAGTCCATTTCAAGCTTGTGCGACATGTTCATTCTAAATTCAAACATCGAACAGACCATCTTCCAACATCCGTCGGAAATCTACCCCAGCTTATTCGCTGGTCGTAGCTCGACCTTGCCGCCCCTTACTGTAGCATGCACAAGATAAATGCAACCAAGCGCAAGGGTGGCGTCTCCTGTAAGAGGAGCATTTGCTTCCTGATCCGCGCCAATGGCCGGCAAAACATCTCGACCTGCGTGCATCACACCATGAACCGGTCTGATATTCTGACGATCCCGGGTGACGGCTATACAAAGATGCGAAAGGCAGGCCCGTACAAGTTGGAATACCCTCTCAATCGCAGATCGTTGTCTATTCGCATCGATTTTGGAGCTTGTCGTTGTGAAGATAAGCTTCCGGCCCATCGGACAACTCCGATCACGTCGAGTTGCGTTTCAGGTGATCACGATGCTACGATGAAGAACGACAGATACACATGGGTCCATCGCCTCTTGCGACGAATAAGAGGATTTGTTCTGACCCTCACGTCTGAATGGACTACCCTGGACTTTCTGATTGCCACAGATCCAGTCGTTGACGGAGTACAAAGGAAGGGTACTCTTCGCTTGCGCCTTATCATCCGTCGTATGCCGGCACTCGAAGGCGGAAGCAAAAAGTTGCCGGCTTGTCGTCGTCATCACTTCACATTTCTTATCTTGCGGGGGAGATCGATCGAAATATTCCACTCGAATAAAAAGTTGATATCGACATCATCGACGTCATCAATGACATTCCACAACTCACATCCTTGGGTCTCCACAAGGCTCTTCTAGTCAGCTAGTAAGACTAGAACGGTGGCCATGACTTCGACGTCGATGTCGACCCCGGCTGGGCTGGTGCAAGGTCGCGGAGACGAAGTCGAGGACGTCGCCGATCGGACCTCGACCTCTGGTTCAGGTTCGAGTTTGGGGACCAAGTTGATGGCTAGTACGACGGGTGCGATCATGACGGCGTCCTTAAGTGAGTACAATTCTTCTCATCGAGTATCATATCGAGGCTGTTGGAGAAGTCGTCACTGATAGCCTGTTGCTATCTCGCTTTTCGGTCTCAGTGACCCCGTTCGACGTACTCAAGACGAGAATGCAAACGGCCTCACAAATATCTCTTCCCTCGAGCTCCACCGTTCCTCTGACGCACTCCTCAAACCCAACGGCTACTCGGACCAAGAAATCCCAAGTCAGACTCAATTTCACTTCTCAACTCAGTCTTAGCCAGAACCACAACTACCTTCGAGCAACCCACGCACACGCACAAGATTATCATCCATCGTTCCCGTTCACGAACCCTCACCGCCTTACCCTTCCACTTCACCCAACCCCAGCGCAAGTTCAGGGTCATACGCTTCATCCGTGTAATATCTCTTTATACGCACCGAGGTTGTCTTTGATGACGACCTCTACAAGCTCGGGCATGTCCTTTATTCCCAACCCGAACAACACCACCTTCAACCTCTCGACATCACCAACTGCAACGACTATGAAAACAACAAGAACAACGGCCCTCACCGAACTCTTCACCATAATCCAAACCTCCGGCGCTCGTGGACTATGGAAAGGAACAGGCACGGCCGTGCTCCAATCGATCCCTAGCGCTGGGATATATATGGTCGGGTACGATTACCTCGTCCGGGGTATCACTGAGCGGGTCGAATATACCCGTGCTCGGTCCGGAGGAAACAGCCGTGGATACGGCGCTGGGGAAGGGAACATGAAAATCAATATGAATACAAGCGGGGGAGAAGGTTGGTTGGACAAAGGAGGGATCCCCTTCATAGCCGGTTGTTTGGCGAGGACGGTCAGTGCGACGATTTGCAGTCCGTTGGAGTTGTTCAGGACGAGGTTGCAAGCTAGACCTTCAGGTGAGTTTATTTTTTAGTTCCTACCTATTATTTCGTGATACGGCCTGGAGGAGGTACTGATTTATATTGTTTTTCTTCGGCCTGATCTCTTGTCGCCCATTCCAACCTCAACCTGCCTGTATTATCCAATCAACTCAAATTCCCGACCCGTATACGCGCCTCAGCCGGCCAACCGACCCCAACATACGCCTCTACCCTATCTACGATCCTCCAGACCATAACCCACTCGGGGCCCTCTTCTCTATACCGCGGACTAGGTCTAACTCTCCTCAGGGATGTGCCCTTTTCCGGGTTATATTGGGTCGTCTTCGAAGGGTTTAGACGGAGGATCGTCGAAGGACGGGTTATGACGAAACAGGATCTACCCATCCATACCCTCGAACCCGGAGCTGGAGCTGGACGAGATGGACATGGAGGTGGAGGAAGTGCGCCGGGAGACCGTTCCAAGTTGACCCTCTGGGAGACTTTCACGGCCGGAGCAGGGAGCGGGATGTTAGCAGCGCTCGTCACCCAGCCTTTCGACGTCTTGAAGACGCGTAAACAAGTCTTCCAACCCCCACCTCTCGGCGTCCCCGCTCTGAACACGGCTACAGGTATCGCCTTCAAATCCAAATTCAAATTCAACTTCAACCCGACTATCCCCGCTGTGCCGGAACCCGCCACAATGTCAATGTCGATCCCCCGCCACCTGGTTCATATCGTCCGGACCGAAGGGCTCAAGGCGCTCTTCTCCGGCGTAGGACCTCGGACGCTCAAGATCGCTCCGGCGTGCGGGATGATGTTGGGGTGCTACGAGGGCGTGGGGAGGTTTTTCGGGGAGGGCGAGAAGTGAAAGGAGGATCAAGGGGAAACGTGGTAGACAGGAGGGACGCAAAACTCAAGAGGAATAAGGCTGGAGGATATGGAAGGTATCGAACTGAGAGCTCGATGGGAAGATGGGGAACGCAGAGAAGTAAACGAACCATATAGGAATGACAGGGCAGGAAGGAAGGAGATGGTGACGGTCAATTTACGAATCTTTCCCGGTAGCCTTTTTTACGCTGTTTTTGCCTGACGTCAAGAGATCATCTAATCTACTGTATCAAATCTACATAATGACAACTGTATCACCACCTCCTGTATTATATTGTACCTGATCTTTGAGATGAACCTTATGCTAGCTTTACATTCTGTACGGTTTCGTCATGCGCCATCACGTACGGAAACAGAGGTTGAAGGTGAAGCGTAAAAATGTTCATGGTGATGGTACATACAATGATCTAATATACAAAGATGGATCTCTAAAGCTTGAGGGACAAGAGGAAGCGGCTTGCGATCCGGTCAGGTTCGCGTTTCATACTTGTGGGGCGTCTCAGGTCAGACTTTGCGTCTCGGCAGCTGTAGTACCGGTGATCGTAGTACCAGAAGCTTCGATAGTCACTTCCGTGGCCGTGGGTTCGTCCGAAGTGGCGATCGAGCCGCTAGCGGTGTCAACGACAGCCTCGCGAGTTGCGGTCGCCTGAGCGGCAGTGTCCGTGTCAGTAATGGTCGTGCTGTCGACGACATCAGCGCCACTAGCTTGAGCATCATCGGTAACCTGAGAGGCATCCGCAGGGGGCGCTCCGAAGATGGTGGTCACGGGCTTGACGACGACAGGCCCCGTATCGGTAGCGGTAGCTGCAAGAGTCGTCGTCACGACCAGACCCGCTCCATCGGTTGTGGTGATGACTTCCGCGGTAGGGACTCCAGTCTGCGTTTCAGCGGTGTTCGTAGCCGTAACTTCGGTCACGGGTCCGCTCGAGGCAGCGGGATCGGTTCCGTTCGTGGCGCTATTGCTCAGTGTATTGAGAATGGCCTCACGTTTTTTAGCCCACTTCATATCACCTGTCGGACGAGATAGACAAGATATCAATGCCTTGCTCCAGCTCATGTCTGCTAGTAGGTTGGAAGCGATCTGTTCTACCTTTTGGGTACTTATAGGGGTTAGGCACGATGTTGTGTTGTTTCTCCGTGATGGCCGCAAGTAATTTGGATTGGAAACTAAAATACATCAGGACCGTTGTCAGTCGTCGATTGATTTTAGCATCATTTCGAGGGTCGAAAACCCGACTCACTTGTCTTTGTCCTCGGCTGCGATCTGACCGTTCTCGCCAAAGACTTGCTCGCTAGACGGAATCGCTTCCATGTTTGTGGCATTGACGTTTTCGACGGCTGTGTCCCACCCAAGACCACTGGTAACATCAAAATTTCGATAGGGAAGGGTTTGAGTTTCCAGCCCTCTTCCATAATGCAGTAACATCACTGGTTAATCACCTCAATAATACGATCAGCGCATGGTGCGCAGGGTCGGTAGCCGGGCGGATGGTCTTGTAACCGTACTGTTCGGTGGCGTAATTGTCGTTCTTGATAACCTCTTGCCGATCAGTATTCCCCGAACACCAAGGGCTCATGGCGGAAGGCATGTGCCAAGGGCTGTCCCCGGCGCTAGCAAAGTTGTTCTCCTTTGCGAGATCAAATCTCTGTTTGATGTTGTCATAGTAAAGAGCGACCTGACATCCGGGACCTGGCCCTCTAGTGGGATCCACCGCAATTCGAGTTTTGGCAAAGAACCAAAACCAATCCTCCGTGTTGGCACTTGGGAAAGTGGCAATGGAAAGTGCCTGTTCTCGGATGTAAAACAGGTCCAAGCCCGCCGTTTCATTTTTTATATCCGCAATCTCGCTTTCCTGGTCAAGTCCATCGAAATGATAAGTCTGGGCCTGGTTATTGGAAATGTTCGAAATGTCTGGGGCAGCGGGGGCGGCGGGGGCGTCCTGTCGCTCCCGAAGGATCGCGGCGCTAGCTTGAGTGCTCGAAAGTGCCAACGTGGCCAGCACGGTGAAAGCTTGAGCAAAAGATAGACGGTAGACCATGGTAGAAGCTTGTTGATCTCTGTGTGATGATGAGTATCTATCAGGATTTGATGGTAAGGTCTGGTTGCGTAAATTCCGACCGTTATTTATATTCCGAACTGAGCGATTCTGAAACTGGTTCGTAATCTGCGGCGGCTCCGTGTTGACCTGACGCATCAAAGGAATGTGCGGAGCAAAAGGGGTCAATCCAGGAAGTAGGAGGTGTACAGAAAGGAATCGCATGACACGCTGTCGAGAAGGCACCCGACAGAAGGGGATCTCAGAGGGGACCTAGGGGACTCGTGCTGCGACTCGTTTCAAGATTGCACCGCACTAGTCACTAGTTTCGCACAGCGAATCATTATGAATTTCCCACATCGGGTGTGTCTCGAAACCACCCGCAAGCCCGTCGTGTATGTCGAGGACCGGTCGGTTATACAACGTGTGATAAGAGAGAAGCGCGAGAAAAGTCCGGAAGAAAAGAGGCGAGAATGTGGATTACTTGTGAAACGTCTATGATAGAAAAGTGTTCGCGCGCGCGCGCATGGTCCTAGACGACCTGACCTAACGAAGGCGGTGGGCTGTAATGATGCGATGCGGCGGATGTCTGCCTGGAGATGGGTAACTGTGTATCCTGGGCGGCTTGAAAAGTGTCGTTGGATCGGATGCGGTCAAGCACCGAGTTGCGCTTGTTGTTGTCATACGTCCGAAGGCTGACAGGCGATTGCTGGGCCGACGCGCTCGAGCCTTGTTGAGTCGGAGTCGTAGGGCGACGATCGTTTGTGTTGTCGACGCTGGCAGGAGGAGGCGATTGGGCACGCAGGTTCGCGTATGCCTCCTCTGCCACGGTCGAAGGAGCCGACTCGACAGGGGTCTCGGTCGACGGATACTCTGAAGGCGTAGCATTGCTGTCCGTCAGTGAGCCCGTCTTGATGGGTGAAAGGACGGCGATGGCGGGAAGAGGTCCCTTGTCCTTCGCAGGAGTTCGATCAGCTGCAGGCGACTTGGGTGTCGACGCCTGCTTGGTGACGGTAGGAGAGCCGGTAAAGACCTGTCTCATCGTGTTCCAAAAGCTGCGCTTGGGCTTCAGTGTCTTGGGCGTGGTGACAGAAGCAGTACGAGCCGCCGCAGAGGGTCGAGGCGATGCAGCTGCGGGTTGTTCTCGTAGGACGACCGGGGTCGAGGGAGTCTGCTCTTGAGCTGCAGGCGTCGAGGCTGCCAGATCAGCAGCAGTCACAGTCGATTGTCCGAGCCCGGACGCGCCTCGAGCTTCGGGGGTGAGAGTTCCCATGTCCAGAAGAGGTTCCGGACCGCCAGCCGGAGTCCCTGCGCGGACCGGGGTCGAAGGCACAGTAGACGGAGTCGCCGCGAGCGCCTGGGTTTTGCCCTTGAGCGGTGTAGCCGGCATCGACGACGTCTTGACCTGCTCGACCTTGGACTTGACAGGAATCGTCTTTTTCGCCTTTTTCTCCGCCTTGGCCCGTTCCTTGTCCAACTTTGCCTGCGCCTTTTTCTGCTTTTCCGCTTCAGCTCGCTGTTTGGCCGCCGTTGCTGCCTTTTCCCGAGCTTCCCGGTCGGCTTTCGCCTTGGCCTCCTTGGCCTCTTTCGCAAGTTCCTTTTTGCTCTTGGTCGGAGTGGCCATACCGGACGACTCGGCCGGGGCACCTGTTTGAGTCGCCTCGGCCGAGTCGGCCAATGGGACCGCTTGCGCCGAATCCTCTCGGCTCAGGGTCCGGGACAACGGGCTGGGCGTCTTTTGCAGCTGGTTCGAGCTGGGTGACATAGTCGTAGGCATACCCGCAGGGTACGAGCTAGGCGGGTATCCTCCACCGGTCGACGAAGACGTCGTGCTGGAAGCCGGGTACAGATCGACAATCTGCGGAGGCAAGGAGAGCGATGTTGACGAGGTCGAGTTCGAATGAAAGCCGGTAGGCAAGGAGGGTCGTGACGAGTTGGCCTCGTCGTAGAACTACAGCAGCCAATTATCACATCAGTTTCAACTTTAGATGCATTGCCCGACACCGAGCCTGTACTCACGCCCGACCCGGACCAGTCGCCGCTATACCGCATCGATCCGAAATCGCCTACGCTCCCCCCCAACCCGCTCAATCCGCTGACGGACGGCGGTGCGTTCATGGTCGCAGCAATCGCATACCCTCCATCCCTCCCGAGCCCACCGAGCCTCATCGAATAGTCCCTCTGCATGGTCTGGATGTATTGTTGCCTGTTGGCCGCGGTCATCGTCAGTCCAGGTGGGTAATTGGGTCCAGCGGTCCCGGTCGATGAGTTGCTGCGGGAAGACGACCTGGACATGGTCTTCCGTTGAACGATCGGCGAAGGCGGGGTGGACATGGATTTGTGTTTCGAGTTGGTCACGGGGTTGAGAGAGGCGAGCGAGACGACGGATCGCGATTTCGTCGGTCTCGGCATAGTCACCGGGGATTCAGACGGCATCGACGGCCCTGCAAAATATACGTCAACATCAGCAATCTCAAGAACACGATATCGGTATCGTCGTGACTCACAGATGCTATCGTCCATGGGGATCCCGACCGGTCCAACCTCTCCGCCCGTCTTCTTCCTGACCCCCGCAGCTCCCGACGAAGCAGCCGGAACCGCCCCCCTCGTCCTCCTCTTCGCCGCTCCGACCGGCGAATACCCATCCCCGCGGCCATCGCTCAACATGCTCATCCTCCTGATCGTATCCAACGGTCTCTCCCCGCTCGGCGTAGTCGGGTTGCTCATGTCCGGTACCATCCCCTCGAACCCGCCCACCTGGCTCGCCTTTCTCAGATGTCGAGTGTGTTCGTGTTCCTGAGCCGTCTTGCTCAGCGGGGAAGCCATCTGCGGAGCAGCACCGTACGCGGACGAGCGGCGTGAATGCATCGTAGGCGCGGTCGGGGTGATACTCCCACTTCCACCATTACCACCATTCACGACCGGGTCAAAGGACCTCAACGACGACGTGCTACTCCTCGGACTCCACCCTTCCCCACCCGACTCGCTCGCCGAGCCATTCCCACCCCCGACCCCGGCTCCATTACTCGCACCTTTGGCAAACGCCGCCGTAGGCGGCCTCAAATCCATGTCCATCTCCTCGAGCCCTCCTTCCTGGTCAACTCCCTTTCCTTGCGGTACGGCCGGAAGCCCGCCTGCGGTGGCCATAAGTAGCGTCTCCCTAGCACGCCTCTCTTCCTCTTTGACGAGCTGGCTCTTTCGTCGCTTCCAAGCGGGCGGGGGCACTATCTCTCCTTGTTGCTGATGGTGTTGGTGCGGGGTGGACTCTTCCTCGAGCTCGTCCGTAGGAGCCAATACCAACCCCGGTCGTTCCTCTATTCCTAGCGTATCGCCGGTCGCGTGTTTCGTAACAGAATCGTTCATCCGTTCAGACAAAGTCCTCATCAACCCCACCTCCCCCATCCCCACTCCCTCTTCCCCCTCGGCCTCACCCTTCCCGCTCTTCTTCCTCCTCAGACTGAACCCCCTTCCACTCCCACTCCCACTTGCGCTCTTCTTGCTCGAGGGGCTCCTCGTAGGGCTCCCCGGTTGATTTTGGGACCCAAGGGAAGATCCCGAACGATACCGCTGCAGCGAGGTTTCGTATGGATTATGGTTCGATTGCGGGGAGACGGGGGGAGATGAGGCCTGTTGAGGTTTTCGTTGATGTTGTTGTTGTTTTATTTCACAGTGATTGTGATCGATGTTGAGTTTGACGTCGGGATGACCGATAAGATCAAGATCGAGACCATAATCGACGCAGAGAGGAGAGAAGAAAGAAACAACAACACCGTGAGCTTTCCATTCCCAATCAACGGTCCCATCACATCAAAACCACACCACACCGCCCCCAGACCAGAATCCGCCATAATCATCATCAAAGCGCAAGAATGTAAGAACTGGACTGACCTCCTCGAACGGCTCCAAAGCCTGAACCCCAAAAACGCTCGTCGCCATCGTATCGTATCGTCTCGTCTCGTTATCGATTATCCTATCGCCTGCCCGGCTGATTTTATCGTTATGATATCGTCGCGTACGAGTCCAAAGTCTCCAAGATCTGAGATTGACTGTTAGAGCTATCCTTCTCGTTCTTTCGCTTGGTCTATAGGTCTAGCTGGTCGTCCTAGCTTGTATCGCAATCCGTCCTATTCCGATCTACTTGTTGGAACGAAATGAGGCTTGCAAACGTGCTTGCTTTCCTCTTGTATTACGGTGATGGCTGCGCGATGTTGAAACCGTGACTGCGATAAACCCGAATTCCAAGTACTGTTGCGACGATATCCCCTGATGAGCTAGCTATTAGCCTGTCGTGTCCTACCCCTCTCTTCGTATTTAACGAGATCGTTCTTGCTGTCGATCTGAATGTCGATCGTGCTGACAGAGTCGGGAAAGATAAGACGAGTGGGATAAAGCAAGCACAAGAGCAAGAGAGGTGATGATGATGATGATCCACCGGCGAAAAGATTACCCTTTTCGGTTATCCCCTCGACTCGACCTTTGGTGTGTCGGTGTGGTAGATGTCAACGATGTTGCGACGTCAAGGATCACTATGCGATTGTGGTTTGGCTATGTCAAGAAGTGAAAGGGGAAGGGGATGGCTGTGTGTGTGCAGTGAGGTCGCCAAGCCAGGTCGCTCGTGATCTGATTGATGGAATTGATGGGTCTGATGCCTGATGCTCCTCTGCCGTCTCACGAAACGCGATGATGGCATGAATGGAATTTGATCAGATCCTCCTCCTGCCTCCTGCCTCTTCTGCTGGCCGCCGTATAGGCCGTGCCGCGCCAACCAACCAACCCGCGTGGCATCGCTTTCCATCACTTCGTTCCTGCCCCCCGACCTGCCTGCCTGCTGCTGCTTCGGTCGGCGTTTTTCTTCGATTACGTACCCCTTTGGAAAGGGTTGAGTGATCTTCTACCCGACACCCTCCTTCTATTCGGCGAAACCCTACACAGCAGCCTCGCGCGCGCAAGAGAGAGGGAAAGGGGGAGGATGGCAAGGATTTCCCTTCTTGGCGATCTCGTTCGTCTGTTCGTCTTCGATCGGAGACTTTTTTGGATGTTGGGTACCGTCAGCAATCCGCCACGGGATGTCAATAGTTCGACCTGCTCTACAAACCGCTGCTACAGTAAAGCAAAGTCCCTCAGAGCAAGAAACAGAAAGACAGCAACAACAAATCCCCGATCCCTTACATTACCGGCCCCTAGCGGCTGCCGAATGCTCAACGCGACCGCAACCGAGCCTCTACCGTTCTGTCTTCCTACGCGACCCGGTTCAGAAACGTGTTCAGGATGTCGACCTTGGTTCGGCTCGTCTCGCGTCTTGCACTTCGCGTCTTAGAACCAAGACCTCGCCTTGGGCCTAAATTCTCGTCTAGGCGTTCAGATTCAGATGATGGGTTGGTTGCATGGCTATATGAAAATCCAGATCGGATCTTGTATCCCACCCATCTACTTCACTGCGAACCTCCCCACCCACCCCCCTCCCTTCCAATCGTACTGCGGCGTACCTATCGTCGTAATCGCAGTAACACGGGCTAATCAAGGTTCATCGAACGAACCTCCCCCGCATGCCGAAAAGATCGAGATGCCGAAGATCAATGCGTTCCGAGATTCCAGGAGGGCGCTTCTGCTGTCGTCCTCGCAAGCGTACAGTGTGTACAGTAAGCGATGGCGGTGCGGTAGTAGTGACGTAGTACTGTAGTATCGTGGGTGCAGTTGAGGTCGAAGGTGATCGGAAGTACAGTAGATCGTCCATCAACCAAGTCATGAACAGGTCCGCTACGATCTCCAATGTCCCCCCTCTACCCCGTATCCCATTTCTGGAAAGAAAGGACCTTGGCTCCTTCTGTATATGATTTCGCCCTTCGCGGCTTCAGCTGCCTGGAGAGATGATGTCTCAAACTGCATATCATCCCACAAGGGAAGATGACTGGGAAAGTCGTTCTCGGTCAATCCCGTGAACCGCGAAAGAACCGGATCCGTGATAGGCGCGGCCGAGCCGAGGTTCCGAGTCAATCTCCCTCGTTTTTCGCCACTACTACCTCTCGCAACCATATAAAACTTGCTGGGAGCATGGAGTCCACCTTGAGACAGGGAGTCCCTTCAAGACGCGTCCCGATGACCGCGACCCCATACTAGCCACTCATAGACTCACAGTTGACATGGCGCAGCTGCTACACGTACAAGATGTGCAAGACGTTTCCGTGGTCGGCGTGCACGTCGTTTCGTGTCGCACACCTGGCGTCATTTCGGACTTGCCGAACCCATTCCGACTGGGTCCTCTGGAACAGCTCGGAGATGTCATCATCCCTATCAACTCGGTCTTCGTCTACAGGCGGCCGAACGTCAATGCCAATCTGGTGCGTGACGAGTTCATGCCGATAGGTCGCCTTCAGCACGCGCTGGAAGGTCTGCTCGACCATTATCCTCATCTTACCGGGCGGATTACCGTCAATCCGGATGACGGGCGTTGGTCGATCTGGCAGATGGGATCGGGAGTCCACCTTGTCGAAGCGACCTGTACGGGTCCTCTAGGGTTCGCCTCGTCCGATTCGCAAGACATTCGCAATGATACTCGTCCAGGTCGGATCTTGAACCTGCCTGCGGGGGGCAACGGTTTGTTCCCGCACCTCGAGCTCGATCCGGTCGAGGTGATGAGAGGTCCCATCTTGATCATCCAGCATACAAGGTTCTCTTGCGGTTCCGTCGCCCTCGGCATCCGGATCACGCACAAGGTCTGCGATGCTGAAGGGTACTTCCAGTTGGTCCGGGATCTCTCGGCCATCTACCGCTCGCCAACTTGCTCGAGCGACGTCGTCGAACGGCCGCATATTCTCTCTTACCTACACGATCTGAACAGAGAGACATGCAGTGCGAACGAATTGTCACGCATTTTGGCTTTTCGACCGACGTTGTTCCAATTGAATGATGAGCCAGAGGACCGTGCTTCAGAATCGCTTCTCGAAGCCAAGGATTCAGTTCGACCAGCACCTGGCCATGTCGTTCCGCCCGTGTCGGGGCGGTTTTATCACATATCGAGCGATCAGCAAAGGCTGCTGAAATCGATGGCTACGCTCCCGCAAGGTGATGGCTGGATTTCCACGTTCGAAGCGCTGTCAGCGCTGCTGTATCAGTCAATACACAAAGCGAGGATGTCGCTTCGCCGATATCAGGACCAGGCTACGGAAGTCCTCGCACCTCTCTCAAGACCCGACTTCCTTACATCGGTCAATGTGCGGACTCGACTGGACTTGCCCGATCGGTATTTCCCCAATGCCCCGGTTTGCGTTTCAACCCACCTAGAACCCGACGTCCTGGCCAGGATCCCGCTCTGGCAGGTGGCCCAACGGATCCACGAAATCGTTCGGAGTCAGGCCATCACGTCCGGGACCGAACTCCGAGAGACGATGCGATGGATTCAGCTGCAACCCGACAAGAGCAAAATCAAACAGGAATTCATCTTTGGCAACGGAAGTTTCATGATCAGCCAGTGGCACAAGTTTGACATGTACAGCGCTGCTTTCGATAACGAGCCCGATCTCGTATCGCCGCCTTTCACTGCGATCTCCCTAATCGACGGTCTGACGTATGTCCTTCCGGCCGAGGATAGGTCGCCAACCGCGGACAAGGGCGCTTTCGTATGCAATCTATCCTTGGCTAATCCTCTCTGGGACGTGCTCGAGCAAGACCCGGTATTTTCTAGGTGAGAAGCATGTTGTCGCAGCTGATACGGTGCACCAGGCTGACAGCCATACATTTGCTGGGAATAGTATCTTCGTAAGGTCTATGTCGAGTGCATCACCATAAGATCCTTCTTGCAGTGCCTTTCGTTCTTTTTGGCCTGTCTGTATAGATCATTTTGATCACATCCAGCATGGTGTGATACCCGGCAGGATTCCAGTCCGGATGATCCGACTGCGGAAGCCCACATTTCACAGCGTTCAGCGAGGTTGTCGCACACCACTATGTTCCGTAGTCCTCGCTTGCGGTCAACCCCAGTGACTTTTACTGGCACAAGTGCCTCATCACGGTGAAGCGTAAATGCAAGCGCTGTCTGCTGGCTAATGTTCCTGGAATCCGTCGTCAGCGTTTCAATTCAAAATTATACCTGAAACAAGATCACAACTCACCTCTCTGACCCGTTTAAATTTCCGCACATCCTGCTGCCGAAAGTTCCTTCCTCATCGATCAACCCCGACCCACATCTTGGCCGCATCATACAAACCCAGGTAGATACCCCCAGCGACCATGACCGCGCCCGTCCTCGGTCCTGTTCCCTTGAACAGCGCCGCCAGCCCTTCATTCTTGTACAGATCTACTATACGAGGGTAGAGAGAGGTAGATTGTAGGGATTGGAGTGGGTCCGCATGCGATTTCTGCCGGGGTTGATGCAGAACGTCCATCAGCCTCGATATCGTAAGGATCGGTCCGAGAGAAATGTAACGAAAACTCACCTTGGCTTCAAGCATGATCCTCGTCCGAACAACATCTACCGGCTGAGTGACAAGACTCGCCACCCCACCTCCTATACTTCCCGCCAACGCCGAATGCACGGCCGTCGCTTCTCCGTCCCCCTTTTCGCTTGGGAACCGGTGGGCAAGGACCTTCTTGAAATATTCATACAGGGGAAACTGCGTGATGGTGAACGGGATCTACGGCATATCGACTTAACGTATGAGATTCTTTTCTCCATTTCAGTCGCCAATCATTCAACTCATGACTTACATCCCTCGCCAAAGTCCCCCCGTACCCCCTCCAAAACCCCTTCAACCCCTCGTTACGCCAGACCATCCTCAGACTCTTTCTAAGCGTCGTATCAGCTCCATAAGCGGCGGTCTGGGTGCGTGACTTGATGATCTCTAGGGGAAGGCGGATTACTACGGAGACCTGATAGAGTCAGAGTCAAGGGAGTGTTATCATCCGTATCGAGTCAGCCTGCAAACTCTTTCAGAGAGAACATCAAATCGGCTCACGATCTCCGCTCCCATACTAGAGACCAGATGATTAGCTGCCGGAGCCTGTTCCAGGACGTCTATGTTCCTCGGTAACGTCCTTTTTAGGTATTCGTATGTCGTGAAAAAGGCGGCGGCTGTATTCCGGATCGAGGGTAGGTGAACGTGCCGGCGAGTAGCAGGAGGAGTAAGCGAATGACGAGAAAGAGGAAAAGGAAACGAGAAGGAAGAAGCAACGGCTGGTCAGCTTTAGCGAACCCCAGCTCTAAGTTGACCACGACCTTTAGACTCACCTCCCGGTCCACTCCCCACGACGACGCTCCCAACCCCCTTCCAAACCCCTTTGAACCCTCCATTCTTCCAGAATCCTTCTTTAGCTTGTAACCTGATCTTTATCGTATCTAGTGGGTAGAAGATGAGGTCTGTAGATGTTCCTGCTATTAGGGATGCCTATGGGAAGGGGTCCGGGGTTCGGGGTGCGGACGAGATGAAGTGGTGCACACGAAGTGGGATCAGGGTGTACAGAGACAGAACGGCAAGGTTTCGAAGTTAGCGACCGTCTTTCCAGCACGAATAGACAGTTGAATCGGCAAGTGATCTTACGGAAAGTGCTTGTGAGAACGTCGTTGGATTTCGAGAGTCGGTCTTCTTGGAAGGAGCCATGTCTGCTAGTGCTTGGTGTTCTGTTATCTGTAGCTACAGGTCGTCCTGTAGATGCCTAAGCTATTGACCTTTAGACTATCGGCTCTGGATCCCTTCGCGATGCAGTTGAGGTCCCACAATCTATATGGAGACCCGATTTAAGTATGCAGTTGGTTACATTTTGTGAAAGTCGAAGGTCGAACGATGACGTAACCGATTTTCGCTGCTGTTGACAAAGTAAACAGCGAAGTCTGATGCCGAACGGATGCCGGACCACGCGCGTTTCTGTGTTTCAGATCTCAGATCAATGCTTACGTGCTGCGACACGGTCGTTCATCAGCGAAATCGATACGAGGTTCGATACCTGAGGAAGACTTTGGGGAGGCCGAGCTAGTTGAAGAAGTACGACCAGCACGATCCGACCATCTGCTCGGGCGGTGAATCACCCCACGACCATAAGAGCGACGTGGCAAGACCGAAGACGCTAGACCGATAAAACGCGTACGTGACGCGTCTTCGTCGATCGATTCCCTGATCACTGATCTGATCAGTCCTGTTCGCTCGTCGCTCTTTGCGTGTTGCCCCACGTCAAAAATTTGATGGGATCAGTCTTTTGGCTCGGCCAGATCTCAAATGGCAATCGCGGATGTCGTGTTCATCGGATGCAAACATGGGAGGGGTGATTCAACCCTGGTCGCATCAGCATATATATATACGGCACATCAATCGATCCAGTCCGGGATTGTCAAAAGGTAAGCTGTAATACTACATATACACCGACATCACGTCTACCTGTGTTCCTATACAAGTCATCGTTCTCACGTCTTCAATCGTAGCATCTACATCCTACGAGCCGAATATCAATCATGGACGCACAAAGCAAGGAACAGAAAGGGGAACGATCGATCAAACCTTTGACCGCCGAGGAACTTGAACAACAGAAGCAGAAGGCCGACGTGAGCGTCTCTCTTAACAACCCAGAAGGAATCTAGTATGACCTTGGGTCCTGAATCTTCGTCTGAATGCTTTCAGGAGATAATGAAAGCCACGAGACTTAAATTGGTAGCCAAATACGGGGATTTGAGCGAAGATGATTTATGGGCACACTATTCACGCGAAGTGCTTGTGAAATGCGCACGAACGCAAGGTACGACGGGCGAACATGAAAACGTCATATTCACGTCACTGACAATGGTGTTAGACTTGGAGATGGAAACAGGAAAGATGAAGGTCGCTAGCCCAGATGAAAACCCGTCCAAAGGTAGGGTCCTTTGACACTAGCCTTAGCCACCGACGAGAACTGATGTTCGTCCATCCGCTTCGCTGTCACTATAGGCAGCTCTGTCCCGAAAGTCTTTGGCTTCCGCTTTTCTTCAGCTCACCACAACGCCGACACTTCCGCACCTGCTCCTACCAGCGTTCTTCCTCTCGCCTTCGGTCACTCTCCCTCCAGTACTACCTCCTCTCCTTCTACCACCGAAAACATACTCAATCCAGACATCTCCGACAAGGACCAAGAGAGGGTCATGCAGATGCGCCAATTCGATCACGAGAGATCCATGCAGGCCGACAGGCTCGAGCACGAGAAGGAGTTGATGAGGATGCGCTACGCCCATGAGACCAAACTACGTGAGGGCCAGATGGAGCTTTCAGAGAAGTACAAGCACGAACAAGCTTTGAAGAAGATCGAGTTGGAGCAGCAGCAGGCTATGAGGAGGATCGAATTGGATCACGCGAAGGATGTGAAGAGGGCGGAGGTGACGGACAATTACAAGCACGAGCAGGCTTTGAGGAGGATCGAATTGGAGCATGAGAAGGATATGAGAAAAGTGGAGTTGGAGCACGAACAGGTGATGAAGCGTTTCGTTTGGGAGAACGATCAGGTCAAGATGAAGTTGGGTACGGAGCTTGAGACTAGCCTGAAGCGAGTCCTTTCGGGACAAGAGGGAGGGATGAAAAAGTTAGATCTGGAACACGAACAAGGGTTGAAGAAGTTGGAGTTGAATCATGAGCAAGGGTTGAAGAGGTTGGAGCAAGAGGAGAGGATCAAGGAGAAAGAGTTGGCTCACGAGTGCGAAGTGAAGAAATTGGAGCTGTGGCACGTGGAAAGGGTCACCAAGGATAAAGAGGAACGTAACGATAGGATTGCGGAGGCGAAGCTGGATATCGGCCATGAGTCTGCCGATGATGAGGACGAGAAGCCCGATGAGTCTTCCTAGGTGAGCTGTCTCGTCCTCCCTCTCGCAAGTGCCAGTCGAGCTGAATCGCTTCAATATGATCAGGTTCACATCCCTGGGTCAATCCCGAATCGTCACATATTACAAGCCTTGAATTCTACCTTACGACCCCCACTCATTCGACCGGAAATCAGTTCTCGATCACGTCCATCGACCTTTCACGAATACAACCTCACACATACTCAGTAGACATACTTCCACGTCCTAAAGCTTATGGTTCAGCAATCTGTTGAGACATCTATGATTGTAATAAGTAAGCTTCATCGCAAGCTGTCGATCAAATTATGCTCAATCCCAGAAGTATCCCATTGCCAAACATGCGATATACCGGGGATCGGTCGCACGAGGACTCGAGACTGTGAGGTGGCACTGCGACGTCAGACATTGCAATCGATATTCACCGTCAACCACGACGAAGCATAAGCTCCAACGAACCTATCTTGTGCAAAGCCGATCGAGAAACCACTCCTTTATAGCCAGTGGACCTGTTCTATCCAAGCCAATTGACTGCTGTTCGAGTCCAGCAAACGATGGGTGCGACTGGAGCTGGCACCACCCCTAATATCTCTAGCACTCCTATTTCAGCTCATTGATCTCCTCTTGCATAACGGTTCTGATCGTCCGTGTGTCTCGGTTTCTCCTCCTCACTTTCCTTATCGAATGCGGATGAACAACGTCCGCCAACATGCCGAGATCATGTGACTACGCAAAGTACGATGGTTCTGATAATGATGAGGCTGATCATCCAGTCAATTCAACAGCAGCGATGCGGTCGAACACAGCACATCTTGTGCAGTAGGATCAAATGCTAAAACGCGGACTTCCTCGCGCTTTGCAGCATTGCTCTAGATACGGAGATACGGGACAAGGAAGATTACGAAACGCGTGCTTGGTAAACCCTACAGTATAGTATCAGCACAACAGCCGCTGAACGTCTCGTATCTATTCAAGGTGATGATGCAATTCGAGCAAAATCTGCTCTTAGATATTGGAGTCTACTTCTTTGCGCTCGCTTCGAAGGGAGGGATTGCAATGTCGAATTGGGGAGTTATGGGGCGCGACCTGTCCTGCTGTCATCCCCTACACGGAGGGTTTGGGTGAAAAGCCAGTCTTTCTGGCTAGCCGTTCCCGTGACTACCTATCAGATCCCCCCTTGACCTCGGATACAGCGCGAGTCGCCATCAGAGACCTTATGGAAGAACTTGGCTTCACCGGCGGAAAGGTCATGTTTCATGGATATCGCAAAGGGGAGTTGACTACTATAGTCGGTCGATGTTTTGGGACTGGTGTTCACTATCCGTGAGGCGTAATCGCAAGACGACGCCGCTTCTATTTTCCTCTTTTGGGTCTTCCGTATTGTCGAACTCAATATTGTGCTTCCCGTGAGCCGTTTGACGATCCGCTACAAAGGAGAGAGAGGTTACGACAACCGTACATGGGCCAATATTCTTGGAACGAGGAATGAATGTAGCGCTTATTATATGCGTTTGCTGCTGATCTCGGTGGAGGCAAACGCTAGGATGGCGACGTTCGAAGTTAGTCGCTCCAATAGTTCGCGATGTATTCTGGTGTGAGAGTTGGCAAAAGACCTCGTGATGTGTGGCCCGCCTAAATCCCAAATCATGATAACAGATACAACATCGGTAAACGAAAATACTTGTTACAAGTCTTTCCTTCTCGAACGTATTCAAACTGCTGCCCTTCTGCGAATTCCGCCTACGTTGGCAAGAAGACATCTACTAGGGAGCATATTCAAACCATACCTGTATTCGGACGGATGTCTTGAGTCGTTCGACTGAACACTCGTCCAGGCGCACCGGGCATCCAGCAAATGTCATCTGATGACCGCCTAATTCGGCTTGACGTTTGGTCTGTCCCACGGGTGACACGATTTCAACGAGCCTTTCGATCTGGTCAGCTTCAGGTCGGCCAAAGCCCTCGAGAGTAACGTTACCCCGGTCGAACCTGCTGTATTGAGTGTATTCATCGTACTTGTCGTCGAACCGCCATCGCCAAGGATCATCCAGCCCCATATTATCCTCATCCGGTCGATGAGCTTTGAACACCTGAGACCGCTGCTTCATGTCTGGACTGGAATTTTCCCAAACTGTCTCGAGAATGACTTTGACAAGCTCAGCCAACTTTGCGGTTTCGTCCTCTCCTTGACTCCCCTTGGTCTTCCTTTCGGAGTTGTTTCCTGAGGATACGGTGGGATCAAGTGTGTCGTCTTGTGAGTGTTGAGAGGTGGCATCAGACTTGTGATCTTTGGTCGGAAGGGAAGGTGTTTGCATGTTTCAATCCAACTCTTGGAGTACTTGACTTGTCTTCTTGTAGTTGATAGATAGTGAAGGGAGGAGATGATGCTTCCTGTAAACGATACGGCGAATGCCTTTCCCGATCGATACCCTCATCTGCCTCTGTATATATACACACACCGGCCCAGCTTCTCAAAGGGTTAACGCCATTCATGCCTTGCTTACTCCTTTCATGCCTCACGAGGAAGGGAAGCGACTAGCGGTTTGGCATCAGACATTGAAACTATCGCAATTGGCGGTGACGTAAAATGACGTTATGAGAACGCCACAGTGACGTCTGATGCGGGCGTAAGCGCAATCGACTGCCCGCATCAATCAGATCAATCAGTCCTTTTCGATACTCGAGTTGTTCAGGAACCATCAGATACATCAGAAAAAAGTTCGATCCCCATCAATCCAATCAACTCATCATCACACAAGATTGCGTACGTAATCGGATCAGCTCGCCTGACAACGTTGTCCGTCCATATCGAACGTGAGTGACTTCATCGAATCCCTCGCCTTCGGCATCTTCTCCGAAATCCTCATCTGACAAGGTTTTACTTCGTAGCTACTCTTCATCATACATACCCTTGTCTCCTATACCATCGCCAGTTCCATTCCACCTACGAAACATGTTCAGCTTGATCGATCAAGTGAGTACTGGTCCGGATTCGCAATCGTACTTCGCTGACTAGACCCATCTCGTTCGATGTCATTCTATGCTAGATGCATCAAGAACAAATCCGAATCAACAAGGTCGAGGAGACGTTGAAGCAGTTGAGAGCCGCCAACCAGCGAATCCGAACCAATCATCCCGACGATGAGGTCCACATCGATTCTGCTCCTAAGCGTAGGAGAGTCGAAGGTAAGTCCGATCTGGGCTAACGATCCGTCATCATCGATCTGATCGTATATCACCTGTTTCTGCATCGTAGAAGACGGTGAATGGGTCCTTGCCGACCGAGCCCCTACGCCCATGGCCATCCCCGCACCTCCCGCCCCCGAACACCCCGCCCCCGTTGTCGAGAGCCCCTTGCTTTCTCCTCCCGACAGCCCGTTTTACACTCCGGCCAGTCCCCAGTTCTCGCCCGACACTCCCGACTATCAGTATCGGCCTATCCGCAACTCGACTCCCTTCAACCCTCCCGACATCCCCTCCCACTCTCCCTTTGGCGGGAACGCTACCATCTACCGGTCTTTCAGCCCCGATACCGGTTCTGAGAACGCTAACGACAATCACCGCTACACCCCCATGGAAACTCCATCCGGAAATCCCCACTACTACTATTACCCTCGATCCGCTCCCGGTCCTGGCGCTGGCCCCGACCATTACACTGGACTCGGCTCTCACCTTGCGCCTGGTCCTGGAGCTGGCCGGGAAGACGATCTTCTCCCTCGAATCCATCGCCCCCTCGGTAGTGCTCGTCCCAAAGCTGCTGCCCGAGCCTCTCACGCCGCTCCTCTGACCGGCGCTGGTGCTGGCACTCATATCAATGCCGTTTCCGCCGCTGCTACCGCCCCCGGTATCGAAGCGAGTGGACGAGCCAGCGACCCCATCGATATCCGCTCGCCCGTCGAGATCGATCATCATCTCGCTAGGACCATGCGAGCGGGTCATACCCCTGGTCCCAGGCTTGCCCCGATCAACTTCGGTAACCAAGGTCGAATCCAAGGAGGAAGGCTCTCCCCGTTCGTCTTCGGTGGCAACGGCCCGATCGTCCACCAGCAGCACCAAGAACAACCTAGGCCTGCCCCTTTCATTTTCGGTGGCAACATCCCCGCCAACCGAAACCATGAAGAAGAACAAGGACATGAACAAGCCAGACCCGTCCAGTTCGACTTCGCGGTCAGGGCCCATGATCACGAGCAGGCCAGGGTCCTTCAAGCCGACAGGCTCCAGCACGAGAAGGACATGGTGGCTATTCGCTTCAAGTACGAGAGAAAACTTGTCGCCGATAGGCACTTGCACGAGAGAAGGATGCTCAAGGACAGACATGATCATGAACTCCGAAAGCTGGAGCTCGTCAACCAGGTCTTCCAGAACGAGCACGACTAAGCCGAGACTTGGGTAGGTCTTGCCGTCTTATTGCCGTTCATCTTTGACACGTAAGCCGAGCTAACACGTTCGAATACCGATTCGAATCGACATTATCATTATCATTACAGGCGCACATCGCTCCGGTCAATCGCCAGCATCGGGCTAGAGCACTTCCTCTAACAAGGCATCTGTAGCCTGATCATCCGCTATTATCCCTTCTACCGGTGTCCCTGTACCCGTTCCCGTCCCGGGAGTCTCCGTCTCGGTCACTTTGGCCTTTCTTTTCCGTTTGGCTTTGGGTTTCTCTCCATCTGCCACTACGACTGTCGATGCTGTAAATACAAAAAAAAAGTCTTTCTTGTCAGCGCGCTGCGTCTTTCAGTTGCATAATATTGAATCAAATGTCTTGTCGACTCACCTTCCCCACCTTCTTCGACGTCCGCCTTCTTCTTCCTCACCCGTTTCGGTTTGATCTCTACGCCATCCTCGTCGACAGTAACCGCTGCAGTTTTACGTTTCTTTGCCTTGGCTGGCTTGTCGCCCGCGGCATCTTCAACAACCGCCTGCTTCTTGACAGCGTTGCCAAAGAAGTTGTCGTCGTCCTGATCACCTCCACCGCCGAAGAGCGGGTTGCCGACATCGGTAGCCATACCATGGCCTCGAGAGAAACCGCCAGCGAGAGCGCCAGTGTCCTGGGAATAGCAAAAGACATCAGCACTCTTGAATTTCGTGTTCAGGATCGACGTCCAGACTCACATCCTCATCATCCAGCAACATCGACACGATCTCCTTGCCGCTGTTGACTTCGGCGACGCTCTTGTTTCCTACAACGATATCCTGCACGTCCTTCTTGTTCCTTGCCAGATGCAGCATTCGCTCTTCGACCGTGCCCTTACAGATCAGACGGTAGACCGTAACTTGTCGAGTCTGACCCACTCGATGAGCTCGGTCCATGGCTTGCGAGTCGTTCGAGGGGTTCCAGTCGTGTTCATCTGTATGTCTCACGTCAGTTCTGGAACACAGAGGATGAAATACTCGAGGAGACTCACAGAAGATGACGGTATCGGCGGCTGTCAAATTGATACCGAGACCTCCTGCTCGAGTACTGAGCATGAATACGAAGATATCCGGGCTATCCAGATTTCTAATCAGTACCAATGTCCTCAAGCACAGCCAAACCTCGCCAACTCACTTGGTCTGATAGGCATTGACCATATCTCGCCTCTCGCCCAGCTGAGTAGAACCATCCAACCGCACGTAACGGTGCTGTCGGTATGACAGGAACTCTTCGAACAGGTCCATCATCTTGGTCATCTGGAAGTAGACCAAGACACGATGTCCGCCTTCCTTGAGCTCGCGAAGCAAGAGATCCATCCGAAGGAGTTTGGCCGAATCGACCATCAGACGTTTGGCATTTGGGAAAGCCATCGACGGGAGTGGCAATTGTTGAGTGGGCGATTCGCCGATCAAACCCAACGGTGGCAAGTTGGGTACGCTTTCGCGTGCCTTTTCCAACAGGACCTCGTCATCGGCCAGAGGTCCGGGAAGACCAAACAGGATGAGCCGGTCAGCCTCGCTCAGACGTTGTTGCTCCTGGTTGACGATAAATGATCGACTCGCGCAAGTCATGTGCACAGGGGGAGCGACGGCGTCTTCGACAACGAAGCGGGCCTCCTTGCGTGTCAGGAATGATCGATCGTGAAGGACATCGATAGCAGGTCGAGGGGCTTGCTTAGTATCGATCTTGAAGAATTGATAGTATCCTGGCAACCTTTGTTCCTCTGGATCCTCGAACAGCGAATTGCGGTCGTACTTCCAGCCAGCGGTAGGTAAAGGCGCGTTGACAGGCGACCAGATGTTGAACAGGTTCTTTAGATATCTAGTGTCGAAACCTGCCAAAGACTTCTCGCCCGGTCTGGACAGGATGCCTCCATCTTCCCAAATCAACTTGGGCAAGCTGAACTCGATTGGATTGCGACAGCTGTCGGGGCAATAGAGCTCCTTTTGTCGAATCAGCTCGCCGCTTCCGCTGAATGTGCCGAATGCCAGCGGAGAAACGACGTCCGGCCGTTGAAACAGGTCGGGGTGGTTGCAGACTTTTCGGAACTGCATGACAATGTTGAGCAAGACGTTGGTTTTGGCGGCCGAGTCTGATCCTGCGCTTGCCTGCGCAAGGAACGCCTTGATCGAGGCGTCGGAGCGAAGCATTCGATACATCGCCTTCTGCCGAGAGCTAAGGTCGACCAGGATGTCCTTCTCGATTTTGTCTCCCAATTCGCTCTGTACGTTCTTTTTTATTCGTCGCAACATGAACGGTCGCAACACGTCGTGTAGACGTCGAAGCTGCTGCGTTCCCAAAGTAGAATCGCCCTGGCCGGCGACACCCTCAATTCCCTTGGAGAACCACTCGGTGAAATCCGTCAACGAGGTGAAAAGATCGGGCATGATGAAATGCAGCAAGGCCCAAAGTTCTGTAAGAGGAGAGTCATCAGTCACGGTGTCTCTCGCCTCTGCGCCGCTCAACTCACCTGTCATCGAGTTTTGAATCGGTGTACCCGTCAACAGCAACCGATTCCGGGTCTTGAGCGACAGCAGCGTGGTCCAACGCAAACTCGAACTGTTCTTGACCGCCTGAGCCTCGTCCAGGATCATATACTGCCAGCGGACCTTGTGGAAGTAGGCATGGTCCTGAACCGCCATATCGTAGCTCGTAACGACCAAGTGAAAGGGAGCATCCTCGGTGTAGACGATCGACTTGCGGTTCCAATCGCGTCGCAAGACTTGACGGTCCGAAGGTTTCCCCCAGTATGGGATCGCCTTGAGTTTGGGTACGAATCGGGTCAACTCTTGCTGCCAGTTGTGTACCGTCGACGTGGGAGCCACGACCAGGAAGGGACCCCAGATGTTTTGCGTTTCGGCCAGCCAGGCTAGCAATGAAATCGATTGAATAGTCTATAGCAAAATAGAACCGGGTCAGTTATCTGCGATAACGATTGATAGCGATCTTCCGGATCACCTTTCCGAGACCCATCTCATCTGCCAAGATACCGTTGATACCGTTCTCATAGAGATGCGCCAACCAGGAAAGTCCTTTGACCTGATACTCCTTGAGTTGGGCTTGCAGCATCTTGGGCTGGGTGACGGTGCTTCGGACGCCGGCACCCAACGGATTTTGGAAGTCGAGCGATTCGGACGTGACTGAACCATGACAAACAGCATTTCCATCAGGATCATATGGTCGACAGCAAAGTAGAGCCAGCACGTACGTTGCTCATCGACGTTGCCTTTGGCAGCCATTGCTGCTTGTCTCTCTGCTTGCACCTGCTTATCAAAGGCCGCCGCTTCACGTCGCTTCTTGCCCATGATGGCACGGGCTCGAGCAGCCGCTCGTTGTTTGGCAACTTCGTCCGACACGTCCGGGTCGTGATCTGTAAGCGTGGAAGGGGTAAGCGGGAGCGTCGAAACCCGGCATTGAGCAACATCTCCGCTCACCATCCTCGTTGACCTCGATATCGGCCTCGTCAAAGTCTTCATCGATGTCCATGTCATCTTCCGCGTCCGGACCCATAGTGTTTGGATCCACTGCCGTGTCATTACTGTCCATAGCATCGTCGGCTGTATCAATCCGGTCATTAGGGTGGTATCGAAGCGGTCGTTCACGCGATCGACACTTACTCTTGATCTTCTTGAGCATGAGCTTGCTGTACGTCTCCCCGCTATCTAGCAAGAACTGCAAACGCTTTGCAGCTCGAGCCTTTTCACGAGCGGCCTCGTCTGCCTTGGCCTTTTCGATCGCTTCCCGTTCGGCGCGTTTCCGCTGCTCGATCTCTTCCTTTTCGTTCTTCTTCCAGTACGCAGCGGCCTGTCGGAAAAGGAAGAAAAGATTAGCGGACAGCATATCGCTGTACAAGTCATCATGCTGCTTACATCTCTTGCAGCCTTTCTTGCTCGGGCCTGAACTTCCTTGGGCGTCGAATATGGCCGCTGTACCCATCGCTTCTGCTGTCGCACGGCAATGCCACAGAGCTTGCGCGCGTTCTCGACCTTTGTCGCTAACGAGGTGTCCATGTGCTTGCAAACCTGCAAGAAACAGCGTCAGATCGACTGATTGCCAGGAGTCTACACAGCGAGACCTACTGGAGGAATCTGGTTTGTTACGATATCTTTCCAAATCGAGGCTCTCATCAGCTCCGCCTTGAGATAACGCGCTCGTGCGACACGCTCAGTGATTACGGCGTCCGGCTGATCGAATTGCAGGAATTCAGACATCGGGATGACGACCGGGGCATCTTCCACGGGCTCTGGTTCCGGTTCGGGCTCGGGCGCAGGCTCAAACTCAGCCTCGGCTTCGAGCATAGACTCGCGCCTGAGACTAATATCTTGCTGATGGGCTGGTTCAGGGTTTACGTGTATACCGGCCTCCATCTCCATCAAGGCCAAGGGATCGGCGTCGTCTTCTCCAGAGAAGGGATCGTCGGCGTAGGGTCGTGTTTCGTACTGAGGCGGTGGGACCTAAAGGATAAGAAAGGCAAGACGAGTCAGAGCAGGCCCAAGACTTCAGCGATTAAATCGTACTTACAGAATCGAACATGCCCACGTCTCGCGCTTTCCGCTTGCCCTTGCTGGACTGGACGCCGCCCAACATGTCTTCAAGGTCATTATCGACTTCGGCAGCGAATTGACTGTCGGCCTCGCTCAGCAGATCGACAGCTGGTGAACTCGCTCGGCTAACGGGTTGCGAGAGCGCCTGTTTCTTGGCTCGCTTTGCCTTCTTTTTCGGTGGCGTCTCGGCTGCGGGCATGGAGATCGGTGTACCGTCTTCGCTAACGAGGTCGTCTTGTAAGCCGCCTTCAGCCTCGCTCAACCCGCTGGCGTTCAGCAGTGCCTGTTGACGAATGTCACCGCCGTCGCCATTAACGCCAGCTTCAGATTTGCGCGGTCCCGGCTTCTTGGTCTTGGGTATCCCTTTGGGAGGACCGGGTTTCCGTCGTAGACTGCCGTCCTTGTTGACGAGACCTTTGGTCGGCCAGCTCTCGCGCTCCCATCGCTCCTTGGTCTCGGGGGACATTTCCTTGTTCTGTTCCGGTTTGTTCCTGCGTCGACTCTTTTGGGTACCGTCTGCGAGTTCGTTTTCCATCTCGTACCCGTCCATCTCACCAGGAGCGGACCATTCGGGTTCCACAGGCGCCGACTCGTCATCGCCATACGTCAGTTCTCGGTGTTCAAGGAGCGGAGCGGGCTGTTTTCCTCTGCCTTTGGATTTGCTCTTTTGCCTTTTGACGAGAAAGGGCTTTTCATCTGGCGGAGTTTCCGTGTCGACGGACATGGGCTGAGCGGCCATGACCAGAGGAGGTACCGGCAGGACGCGCGGCTCGGGCAACGGACTGATCGATCTCATCGCCTTGGCTTGAGTTGCATACTCGTTGGGCTGACCCGAGAACGTCCGATAGTCTTCCCTCGGTTCGGAAAGGACCGATCCCAACCTCGGAGGATGGTCTTGTATCGACCCGGTCCGGGATTGTGGTCGAGACAAGGCCATCCCACCGACATAGTGGTTAGAGAGCCCGCCGTACGAGTCTGCCCGGATCATCCTAGGCAACTCGTCTTCGGTTCGACGAAACGGCTCCATAGACCCGTTCCCTATCGTCTCCCTGTGTTCGTGTGCAGGACTTGCGGTACTCCTTGCCCGCTCCCGCTTGTACCCGTGAAACCCCGACTCCCCGTTGTTCGAAACGGACGTTCCCGGGCTGGCCCTCCGCCGAGCCTCCCACTTGACCAGCTCGCTCAGCCTGGCTCGTTTCGCCTTGATCATCTCTTCTCTGTCGAGCATGACCGGTTGAATATTCGGAGCGGAGGCGTTGCCGTTATGTGACACAGTCGACGAGTGGTTCCTGTACTCTCTCTCACGATCATATTCGGCAGGGGTAGAGCTCGGATGGACAGCGTTGCTGCTCGGAGGTAACGGTCGACCTTCCGTTCGACCCGTAGGCATCGGCCCGAACACCGATTCGCTATCTCTCCTCGACCGTTCCCGGTCGTATTCGTGCTCTCGATGGCCTCGGATCGAGCTGGTGGCGATGTTCGCTTGGGGTGAGATCTGTTCGTCGGCATAGTATCGTGTGCCTCGGACAGAAGAATAGCGATCGTCCCGAGGATAGTCGTTGGCTGCACCGTACCCACCCAGAGACTCGGCTGGGCTCGTCAAGAAGGGTCTGACCGGATGAGACGGTTGTCTCTCGAGGCGGTGAGGCGGCACTTGATGGTGATGGCTGTGCAGAGGCGGCGGTGACAGTCCCCTCGTCTCGCCATGCCGTGTGTAGGGGTAAGACAACCTCGGGTCCTCGTCATACTGCGTCCTCCGCTCGGACGACGATTGCCTGCCGGACCCGCTCGGGATCATGCTGGGCGGAGTAGCGTGCGATGCGCGTCGTTCAAAGTCTCTCGCCAGGTTCGAATACGAGTAGCCCTGGATAGAGGGTCTCCTCTCTTCGGCCTCGATCGACCCGTTGCGGTGCGGAGGGTGCCCATGTCCGAGTCTGTGTGGGTAGGAAGATCCTTCTTCTCCCCGTGCGCTGGACCCGCCACCACCACCACTCAGCAGCGAACTCAACGGCAAAGCTCCCGTAGCGCTCCCTCCCGAGACCGATCGAGCGGCCAAACCATGAGGTCTCTGAACCGGTACCGGAGTATGGTGGTAAGACGGCGAGGTGGACGTCGGCGTCCCTGGGCCTGCGGACGTCTTGAAATAGTCGGCGAACGCCAATCCGGCCTCGGCAGAAGGGTTGTTGTGCGCTGACGACGAGGACAGGGTGGAAGGGTAGGCTTGGGGGTCTTGGTTGGCGGTTCGTGGGGAGGTCATTCTGGCGCTGTTGGATGCAGATATCGGATGCTGCCGATACGTAGAGACCAGATCAGCATAGGTTCTATAGCTGCGGGCCTTTGACAAGCAGAAAAAATGGAGTCTCCAGCCTGATCTTGCTATACTCCCCATCACTGCCTCTATCTCCCACTGCCTCTTTCTCCCGCAGCGAGACTGGAATTCGAAAATACTTTCACATCCTTGTCATACCTTCGCCTCCCTGGTCTGATCTCCCTGACTTCCGCCTGTCTGATATCAGTCTTTCGAGAGGTTTTCCAGACCCTGCCCGCCCATCAAGCCCGCTTTGGTCCACTTCATACAACCCCAACTCGTCTTTCCCCTTGTGGTGTTTCTCGCTAGACACCTCACCTCTCTCGATCTGTTTAGCTTCCCATATGCATTCCGACCATCGGCCGTTCTTTCCAAGTCCAGGCTCGATGATTGAGCATCTTTTAGACCTCTTCCTCTTCTTAGATGTGGTGCAGGTCGTCCATCCCGCCAATTGCAGTGCTTCTCTCCTCGCTCGACCTGTGTCGACCTGCCTTGCGGGACCCACAAGCTGACCAGCAACATGCTCTTCTCACATTCTCGCTCATCTTCCTCAGACCTTGTATTCTCTCCGTTTCGGAACCTCACATAGCTCCATGCGCAGGATCGAAAAGACCCCAGAGGAGATGAGAGACAAGTGCAGGACAGCTTGGACTCACGATCTATACCAACTCTATCCCTGTTCCTCTTTCTACAACTCCGTTCGAAATCTCTTCTTCTCTGTCAGACCCGTTTCCGACCTGCCTGAGAGTACGCTCGTTGTTCCCTGTAACTCCTGTGATTCCTGCAACGATCCAGCTTCAAGGAATTCCTTCCTGCCTGCTATCCTGTATCGCACCGTGCTGTATAGGCGGTGTCGAGCGTCCTCCTGGCTATGAGTCTGTTCAGTCTACCTCGGGGTTGACCTTGAGCCTGAACTTCCTAGCGGAAAGGAAGAGAAGGTCCAGGTTGACCTTCACTACCCGACTGAGGAGGACGTCGTAGCGAGCGGGACCGGGTGACGATCGAGGTGGTGACTGAGAGCAGGTGGAGAGGTAGATGAGGCCGAGTCAAGTCTTCGGAAGGTGTCAGGAATAAGGAATGGACTAGGTACGTCGTCGATAACGACGTCGTGGTCGTCAAATCGTCCTATACTAGTGGGCCGGCAAGCACGAACGAGTCGGGTGCTGCACGGAGATGAACGGGTGACTAAGTCGAGGTCAAGTCGAGAGCGATGTGGTATGGTATGAACGATAGATACACATGAGCACATGATTGACTAGGTCGTTACAAAAAACGGGGAAGTACGAAAAGCAAAAAGGAAGAGAGACGAGAGTTGGTGACGAGGTGCGAGGTGACGATGCGATCCGGTCGCGCTCGCCTCTGGCTCCTCGTTGGCTCGATGGAGGTGTGTGCGAAGAAGTAAAAAGGGGGGGAGGGAGGGTGTCTTCTCCGCGATTTCGAGCGATGATGATGTCGGTATTTCGAGCCGACTTCAGCAATCGTCGCCAAACCTGTCAACCTTGACCTCCGATCATCACCGATGTCAAGGGATGCACCGATGATGCCCTTATTCAAGTCGTATACGATCGACTTGGTAGTGAAACCTGGAGGTCGGCGAGTCTCCCCCCTTGCGTCCTGTGTGGCACGGCTGATGTGGTTGGTTGCGTTGCGAAGGGATTCAACGTCCGGGATCGCTACGCCCTCGGGAAAGGGAGAGGCGGATACAAAAAACACACACAGATGGATCGAAATCAACCGAACCCAAGATTCTCTGCGTGGCGTTGGGAGGCGTGCCGGGGACCACGCGGCCGGTGACAACAACTTTGGGTCTCGCTCGGATCTGTTTTCGTTCTCGCAAGAATGAGACAGCGACCCGCGATGGCTGGGCTCTGTATCTCGCTAGTGATCCTAGTGATCTATGAATGATATGTAACACAAGTTTCTATGGCGATATTTAAGATCGAGATGAGGCGGCGGCGTGAGCAGATCTCCCAGCGAGCTCATCGCCGACCCCGACGCCGCTCAAACGAGGGCGACGCGCTTAGAAGCTCGCCCCGCGCTCGAAACAGCTGGACCTCGCACTGCTGTACGACGAACGTAATGGTGATCGGCTTGATGCTATACGAATAGGAGGCAGAGAGGGCAACTTGTGTGGGCTGACAGGGAGGCAACAGTGATGGGCTTGGTAGGTAGATGGCGGGTGGCAGCGAAGCGTGTATGCAAGATACGTGTAGATTTGAAGCTAGATATGGATGATCTCGTTTTAATCGGGTTCTTGGTTACTCAAAAAACCTTACAACTATCCAAGGCGCTTTACCAAAGTGGTTAATGGGATGCACTCGAATCATCATTATTCGCCATGCATTGGCCTCTGGCCGCGTAGGTTCAAATCCTGCAGGCGTCGGATCTTTTTGTCCGAAGTGCGCGAATGTTTTCGACGGCATTGCCGATGCTTTTTTACCGCTTTTTTCGGTTTGAACAGGTAGTCGCTCAAAACGAGATCGGATCTAGACCGTTCCGATATCGGTGTGACGAGCTTGTCGTTGCTGAAACACGGTCGCGCAAGACATATATCTCAAGCCTGCGCGTGGTCGCATAGCGGATTTGTGCAGGTTCAGATCCTGCAGACGTCGATCTTTTCGACTTTGAAGTGCGGGTGCGTCCTTCATCCTCCCGTTGTCGACTTCATCCGGTCTTCCTTTTTGGCATGAGGAGGCAGTCCCTCAAGGACTGTTGGCGTTGTGTCTATTGCGCGATGACAGATTCGTTGCGTCGAACCCGCACGATCGTGTGTGGGGTCTGGTCCTGAGGCTTGCGTCTGGATACATCGATGGAATCGATGCAGGGCGAGTCGATCTCATCACACGTACTGTACTTTAGCGGGTGCCAAGTCGAGATGATGTGCTTCCGCTCTTTCGATGTATGGATTCTCTCCGTGTACTTGGAGCTATCGCCTGCCATTAGGGCTCAGCGTGAGATCAGCTGCGCCTGTCCCTTATATCCTGGGTGAGGCATGTAGCAAGCGCCGGACCGTCATTGCGGCTATCGGAACCGCCGAAATCTCGCGATCGGTTCTGCGACGCGGAGGTTAGAGCTCATGTGTTTGCGGACAGCAGAAGACTGTGTGCAGGTAGGCAGTCGTACGATGTCTCGTGCTCATCGGATGGGTCGTTGAGGATCTGCGAATGAGCAGCTGCGGAAGAAACGACATGTCGATCGCAACTTTTCGTCCCGCACGACTCGTTCACTGAAACGCCGTCGCTACACTGCTTTCTTTTATGGAGAGCGACCTGCGAACGTGTCACCATGCGAGCGCCCTTTCGGTCGCAGGACGATCGTTTCATACAACATCGCGCCTGCAGGATCTGAACCTGCGTGCTTATTCCGAGAAGTCGATCCCGCTCCATGTCCTGAAAATGAAAAGCTGAAGTCAATGGCTTATTCGTTGATGACGACGAGGTGCACGAGATGATGTCCAGCGTTGGCCTTGATACGCCTCTCCTGCCAATCATGCAAATCGAGACGTCATCCAAGCGCACGATCGCAAGCCCCCGATTCGTCGGTCCAAGCCGGGCGGAGGCAAAGACCAGTAGGTCGAGGGGTGAATCATCTCCTGCCCAGTCCAGGTTGCAACTACATAAGCAGATGTCACTGACACGATTCAACCGATGTTGTCCATACAGCCAGGTCAGCGAATTCTCCATCCATCACGTTCGCCATGTCATACGACCACATCCGCAAGTCCAGCAGATCGTTGTCATCAAATCCCACGATCCCGTAGCTGATCCTCAGACTCTTTCCGCGTCATCTTATGCACCCACAACAGTCGACGAGGATTACGACTCGATGACTTTCCCAGTCAGAGAGTGGATCTGTGAGGTACTCGACGGCGCCATCCGTCCTCCTGACGACTTCTGGCGCAAAGCAGTCAAAGTATGGGCGCTCAGTGAGTACTAGAGTACAGGCCGACCGGGATGTCAATGAAGAGCGAGACGGGGGATGACAGACCTTGTCACTCACGTCCATCTCCTCGATTATCAGCCAAAACGGTGGTCCATGCTCGAAAAGACCTACTCGCGGCGGAGAAGAATTACTCCCTCCATATAGAAAAACAGGATCGAGCCATTAGAGACCTAGCCCACAACACGGATGAGCGAGGACTAAAGTTGCTGAGGTTCATGCAACGCAACAGGTCTGCGATCCAGGCGAACGAATGCGATTTGATCGTGCCGCTTTACAGATGGAATGTGGACGATGAGAGCGCGCAAGGCAAGTCCACGGTCAAAGGCATCGAGGGGTGCGAGCTCGACAAAGTCTTATCGTAGGGGAATCTGATCGCTCCCGCTTCACATACGTCCTGTTAGAAACCGATGGAAGAGTGAACGATGACGATCAAATCGAACCGGACGACGAGAGTGAGGCGGATTATCAACCCTTTCGAGTTTCGGACGGCGACGAGCAGAAGGAAAAGGATGTTCCGAAGATCGACGTCGCTGCGGTTGTCGGCGACAAGCAAGAGAACAAGAACAAGGAGGAAGTCACGGACAAGAAGGAAGGCCAACTCAAGGACAAAGAATCGACCCCGGTGATCGACGACGACAAAGAGAAAGACGAAGAGGACGATCTCGTCATCATCGATGCCGCTGACCAATCGCTCAAGGAAGACAAGAAGGCGGCCACCGACCAGGCTGAGCTTTCACTTGAAGGGATAGAAGCGCATACGAAGTTTTATGAACAGTGGACCGCGGCAATCTGCAAACAAATCGACAAGCTCGACAAGAGTGTAGAAGGAGCGCATGTCAAGCCGACGAAACAGCACGCCACCGCTGGGGAGGTAGACAGACCCCCTATCACCAAGGCGAACCCTCAGAACAATACCGAAGTATCCCATTTCAACCAAGTCACCAGCCTGCCTCCCCCCAGGCCTGCCGGTGAGATCAACCTAGAAATGTTCAAATACAGCACCGACGTCTGGTACCGCGCCCACCGTGACATCATCGAGCTTCACAAGGAGCTGCTCGATTGCGACCCCGAACACTACATGAAGCATTGTACTCTTCCCACGTTATCGCTTCCTCCTCCTGTTCCTCTAGATACGGCTGGGCTCAAACCGGGCTTGTTCAGCGATAGCGATGGAGTTTAGTCGAAGCGACTCTTACGTGGGCCGTATGTTGTGCGCCGACAATATTGATATCCTTTCCTCATACAAGACTACATGTAGAACAGCATCCCGACTCTCTGGCCTAGGTGGTTGTATGTACACTAGTTCTTCGCCCATTTATCTGTTTGTACCCGTACGAATGGCATGATGATGACTGATTATCAAGCCCTGAGATGGTTCGCGACGAGTCTCACCTCTCTGCCTCTCTGACGGACGTGCGGCCGAGAATGTACGGGGATAATGGTTCGACCGAGAGTAGTCATGTCGTCGTAGCCAAAAAGGGGGTAGAGAGAATCGTATGACCAATTCACAAGCAACATCAACATCGTATCAGTAGTATCTCGGCATACAAATAACATAGCCAGGCAAGTTCCATCGAATAGAAAACCCAGGCGGAAACACCTTCGAAGTCCCACCCCGGCCAATCGCCAACTTTCGATAACCGGTATCACCTCCACCCACTTTGACAACGAGATATGGCCGTACAACTCCCCGTAGCTAGGGGTATCTCTGTAGACACCACAGGAGCCGAGATCATTGCAGAAGATTCACCAGCTGTGAGTCGTCGTGTCGGGGTTATCCCATAAATCAAGGCCGTTCACGAGCTGATAACGAGTCATGGCATATCTTGTTCTTAGACACGTGATGCAAGAGGAATCTACCTACCGGCTTATCGAGAACTGCTCTCACACGTCGCTATTGATGTGAGTCGCTGGTCGTTTACCATCACGCCGTTGTATCGTAGCTGATGCTGGAATGCATCTGTTATCCGTTTGCTTTGTAGATCGGCGGTTCTCTAGCCAAGGTGAGCTTGTTCTAGATGATAGAGATGTCATCTTAGACCTCTTGCTGATCTACTGCCTTGTTGCTTAACATCGCAGATCGTCTATTACAGCCGCTCCCCCAACCCGCCTGGCCGATCAACCTCTTCCTCAACCTCAAAGACCGCATCATCATCCTCTGCATCCTCTTCACAACATACCTTCACAGAAGTCGATGGAGATAGCACATCGTGGACACCGAAAGTCAACGGAGCCTTGACACCGGATGTGCTTACTGCAAGTCTCAAGCAGAAAGAGGTCGAGCTCGGCGGGTCCGGGTCAGGGTTGGGAGCAGGGTCGAGGGTAGCAGGATCATCGTCGGGATCGCGTTCAAATGCAGACGTCGCAGGGTCCAGGAAGACGACATCCATCCCCCTCAAACGGGGTCACGCACGACATCACTCTCTCCTCCGTCGAGGATCCCTCCCTCCCAACTTCCCCGGTGGGACCCTCAACTTTGTCCGGTTCGAGACCGAACAGATCACCCAGCTCATCGATTTCCTCAACGACCTCATCAAGTCCTCCGCTGCTACCAACCACGTGACCGAGTCCGAGATGCGTAAAGGCGTCCGGGTGATCGCTACCGGTGGAGGCGCGCACAAGTATTACGACATGTTGGTCGAAGGGACCGGGTTGAAGGTGCATAGGGAGGAAGAGATGGAGTGCCTGATCACCGGGTTGGGGTTCATCACGAGTATCCCGGACGAGGTGTTTTGGTACTCGGACGAGCTGGTCTACGAGATCTCTCACCGAGGCAAGGAAGAGGCCGTAGCTAGCTCCAGCTCCAACACGCCAGCCCGGACAGAAGACCCTCCAACGTCCATTCCAGCCGACCCTACCCCAACCGAGCGTAAAAACCTGCCCCGACCTTCCCCTGATCCTCCATCATACCAAGTCACGTTCGATACGTCGGGTAGCCCGCAATTCCCCTGCTTGTTGGTCAACATCGGGAGTGGGGTGTCGATCGTCAAGGTGGACGAGGACGGGAGTTTCGAGCGGGTCAGCGGGACGAGTCTGGGTGGAGGAACGTTGTGGGGATTGTTGAGTCTGATCACCGAGGCGACGACGTTTGACGGTGAGCTCATGCCGTGAACTTCAGCGCCATACCCGTCATGTTGCATGATCACTCAAATGTATCCTCGTTCTGTCACCCTCTAAGAAATGCTGGCTTTATCGGAAAAGGGCGACAACGCCGCGGTAGACATGCTCGTCGGTGACATCTACGGATCGGATTACAACAAGATCGGTCTTAAATCGAGCACGATCGCTTCGTCTTTCGGCAAGGTCTTTAAAAAGGGCGCGGCGGATAGGAAAAAGGCGTTCAGCCAGGAGGATATCAGCAAGAGTTTGTTGTACGCTATCAGCAATAATATCGGGCAGATTGCGTGAGTACACTCCTTAGGTCGCATTAAGGTGATCCGAGCGCGCTGACGAGAACGACGTCGCGCGACATTTTGCAGCTACATGAACGCCGAAAAGTACGGTCTGGACCGGATATACTTTGGAGGGTGTTTCATCCGGGGACACGCTGCTACCATCTCGTGCTTGTCCTACGCGATCCGCTTCTGGAGCAAAGGAACCGTCCGAGCGATGTTCTTGCGGCATGAAGGGTTCCTCGGGTCAATCGGCGCTTGGATACGGAACGTCGAGGCGACCGAGGGGGGAAAGGCAGGGCAGGATGGGCAAGGACAGGGGGAGGAAGAGAAGATGGTACAGGAGTGAAGTAGAGGATCACTAGACGACAGCGGATGTTGGTTGTTTGGATGGCGCGTGTTGATCACGATATCATCATATATGCTTCAAACGGGGCCGTACAAGCGTCGCATCTATGGACCTTGATTGAATCACGACGCGATAGGTACGTGGCAACTGGGCTCCAAGAGCGCTTCCGCTATTGTTGAGCCTGATGCATAGACGGCAGCAATCGCATCCTTTACTCATACGCTCCATAAAGGATTTGCAAATATGCAAGTGAGTGACTAGGCTGAGACGCAACTGTCTGCGGCTTGATCAGTCTCGCGCAATGTTCAGCACAAACAGCTGCATGAATCAACGCCAGGATCAGAAGGGAGTCCATTTCGGTTGATACTGCCTTCTGACCAACCGTTCTCTGCCCTGTGAGCGATCACGCTGATCAAGGCAGGGGAGTAGGGTATCTTCTCCAGGAGAGAACGCATGTCCCACAGCACCGAGCAACGCTGAGTCCCGATATCTAATGTCACTCTTTGTGGAGCATGTCCACTCTCCAGCCAGTTCTTGAACAGTTCAAACTCAACCTTGAACTATGCGTCTCGCTCATCGCAGCCTTTACCTAGCCGGACAAACACGGATTTTAGCATGGACCTGCCGAGAAGCGTTTCCTGCTATCGAACTTTGAGCGGGTATAAGATTTCATCTTTGACGCATCGTCACGAAAAACACACAGACTAGCAATGGTCGATGCAGGTCGAGGGAATGGGAGAAGTACATGGATAAACAACAACCGATCCAGGCGCAGGGGAGGGGAGGAAAGCACTCCGAGCCTATAGTCGATACCCGCCCTGTCGTCCGTCGGCATGATATCCACCCTGAGACTGCCCCTGGTGTTGCGGCTCGTCCGGGTAACCCTGCTGGTACTGCTGCTGCTGCCCGTACTCTTGCTGATGCCCATAATCCTGCTGCTGATAATGCGGCTGCTGTTGCGGGTATTGCTGGTGCTGGTCGTAACCACCTCCCTGAGCCTGACCATGCGCTTGCGGCGGGTACCCCTGTCCCTGTGCCTGCGCTTGCTCGTACTCGTAATCCCTCGCCTGGTGTTCTTCTTGCGAAAACTCGTGCTTGAGGCTCGACTCCGAGTAACCTCCGGCAGGGTGTGCAGGGCGCGAGTAGGGTTGTTCGTACATGTTACTACCGGGGACAGCGTTCGGGTCGGCATCCATGCTCTCTCGAGGGTCCCATGCGTCCGGGTTGGGTCCCCATCTGCGATACGCGGCGTTCAGGATGAGATATATAAAGGGCCGGAAAAAGAGAGACAAGCGGGGCGGCTCACTGGCTGTTCCTCTCGATCATGGCAAATTCTTCCGCGTTGGCCTCGTAGATCGACTTGTACTCCTGGTGATCCACCTTCTGCTCCGAAGCGTACACCTTGATCATGCTATTGTTCCCCCACGGATGCCCGAAAGCGTATTCGTTATTCTCTCTTTTCCTTCAAGAATCCTTCTCGAGACCCGTTACTCACAAGATAAAGTACACCTGCCCGACCAACAAGATCAACCAAGCCCCTCCCATGATCCCTATATCGGCCCATGCGAAAGCCGAACAGATCGTCTTGGCCTCCCCAGAGACGTTGATCGTCCCATCATTCGATTGTCCTTTAAAGTAGGTGAGCTACGATTCAAACCGAGGTCATAGAGGAAAGTTAGCATAACGGGCGAGCTTTTCACCCCCAAGGAAAGACGGTGGTGCTCACAGTGCATCGTGAGACAGCCTCGTTATGCCTCGCTGCGGAGACGGCGACCAAAGCGGCACCACAGGCAAAGATGGACGTAAAGGCGAACGCGTTGACCCATGCGTACGTCCGGAAGGTTCGGACTTGTTCCTACGAGGGTGATCAGAAAAAGAACACATAAACGTTAGCGAGTATATTCGGGACGTAATCCTCATATGCCCCTGCCGCCAGCTTCCGAATGAGAAGCTCTGGCATGGACGGAATTCAATCTGAGAGAGAATGGCAGAGACGACTAACCCGGTAAATCCCAAAGAACCCGACTAGCTGAATGGCGGCTACGACGAAACACAGCGTCGCTAGGATGTACGGCGTATAGCTGGGTACGTAACTTCCGACGACTGCATTTCGTACGTTTAAGTCAGTCCCCAGCGAGATTAGAGGCAGGAGGAGGGGATAGCGGAGCAAGCGGGAAGCAAGGCGAATAGGTGGGGTAAAGATGGGACGTACTGGTCGGAGTAGCCAACGCCAAGACTCCCGCTACACTGCATACGACCTATAACCCACCCACCGAACTACATATCAGCCTACTTCTCATGAACCCCTACCAGCCCTTCGGGAAGATGAGATGACTTCGAAGGTGGACTTACGAACTGTTCAGTCATCAGAGCGTACATGCCCACGTTGACCAGCGGGATGGCTGTGACATCGCATCATTTCATACCAGCACAACGGAAAGCGAGAGTTAAGGCAGAGCGAGAGGCTAAGGATCAGCCTTGAACTCTCGTCTGGATCGCAATGAGGGTAAAAGATAAAGAGCTTACCACAGCAACAATATCTCGGAGCGAAAACCATCTTGCCGAATATTTATCCCAATCCTCTTGTTTCTGTGTGTTGTTTATCCCTTCTTCGTCGATCCGTTAATTCTCTCCCAAGGGCGAGATCCGTGGGTTACGATGATGTTATGTCCAGCGGATAACCGAAATGGTCTTGCTATGACGTCCTCTTCGATGCTTAAGCGTTGATCGTATGGCTCTCCAATGAGCGGGTTGCAAGGTTGCGACTTGATGAACCGCGTGCAGCTAAGCGATCTAAATATCGAGGTCTCCTTTGAACTGATCTCAAAGGTGATGCCCCGTCCAAGTGAATTGACCTAGAACCTAGAGCTACTCTACCCAGAGCTATAGAGGTTATATCTTGGGTAATTGTCGACTTGCAACTTCTGATGTCCAACGGCTGTGTCCCCTCCCAACTTCGACCGATATCGCAGCGAAATGCTGTGTTTTGTTGATCACTCTCCCCCTCGAAACGCGAAATTACGGCATCGACCATCAACCTGCAACCGCCCTCTCTCGTCGTGATATCGAAATCGTCCATGGTCTCACGTAGATATAGAAAAACAAAGTGTATGTATATACCAGAAATACAGAATGAAGCGTAGCATCTCTGCTGTCTCGTGGCCCGAAACGTCAAGAGGAGACAAGGATGATGATGGGGGTGTATCGGGTAAGGTGTAGGCGTGAAAGCGGAGCGGGAAAAGGAGGGGCGTCGAAAAAAGTCGTTGATGAGAGGTTGCCGTGAGGATTCGTGTAGGCGGGATATTTGAGAGTAGGTGTCGTCTATGAGGTCCAGGTCGGGTCGAGGTGCGATAGAGGGGAGAGAACAGAAGGTCATGTTGATAGTAGGGATCTTGCTTAATGCCCTCCACCCGGTCCGCCGGCAATCGAAGTGACCTATACAAAACAATCACAAGATCCAGACTCGGATCAGCTATCCCATCGCAATGGTCGAAATAACAGAGTCGACAGAAGCAAGTAGAAAGAATTGACGACTGACCTCCCCTCCGACGACCGTTCCGTCCAACGTGATCGCCCATTGTTGCGTAGGGTTCGGGGCGGCGGTGATGGTCGCCGTCGTCGCTGGTGGACCGTCCGGTAGGCCTGCAGGGTGGGAGAGCGGGGGGGATGACACGGAAAGAAGATAGAGGGGAGAAGAGGAATCGTAGGGATTTTGAGGGAGGAAGATGATACAGGTGATCAGTAACCATCTCCAGAAAGACGTGACGTGAAATTGAGCGGACTCACTAGCCGTCGTATAATTCGCCGGACTCTCCGCCCCAGCATAGATCGGGAACTTTTTACTCTTATGATAAACCGTCCCCGAAACGGTATCCATAAAGATCAAACTAAACCCATCCCCTACCATCCCCCCCAGTCCTGCGGTGGCATCGAGGTCGATCCCCAATTCTCCGCCGAATTGCCCTTTACGCGACCCAGAAGTGAACTTTTTTAGGGGGACTCGTTGTGCTAAGGGGAGGAAGCCGTTGAGGATGGTCTTGTTGGGGTTGTGGAGTTGGATGTCGAAGGTCGATACGCCTGTGTGATCGATCCGGAGACACGTATGTGAAGGTCAGCTTGCCGATCTCGATCAGAATTCAAGGGGTAGTTGATGAGAGGTGAAGGAGAAGAGAGGGAGCAAGAGGAAGAGGTGTAATACGGGAACACGGCGCGACTCACCGGTCCCATCCCCAGTACCCCAGACGATGTTCATAGGCTGTCCCTGTACCCAAGGCTCAGCCTGCGATGGCGTGTCGATCGGCCAGTAGTTGACGGCTGCATGTCATCAACCCGCGCACAGATCAAAAGTCGATTGTCGTTAGTATACGAAAGAGACAGAGAAGAAGGAAGACAAGGCGGTGCAGAAACCCGATGACTGACCTTGCGTGAGCTGGACGAACGCGGTTGACAGGCAGATGATGGACGCTCCTAGTTTGTTGAACATCGTGAATATGTGTCCGAGGATGATGTGATGGCAATGAGACTAGGTGTAGTGATGTGGCTATGAGTTGATGCACTGGGGTCGATGATGCTGGCTGTGTTGTATTTCTTTGTTTTCGATATCAAGCGACCGAGGGATCAAGGGAAGGTAGAGGGCCAAGAGAATATAACATTATTTGGTTGACACGTCATGGGGAATCGAGTCTCTACTTAATTTGATAAGCCATCATTCGAGAGCAACTCCGCTAGTCATATCTTGCTCGACATTTCGAACATTCTCAATTCAAGCATTATTGATCTGACACTTCCTGGTAAAGCAACCAAACAAACCGACCCCGAAAATGTCCGCCGAAGAACAAAAGACCCAACCTCCTCCCGCCGCTGCCGGTGCCGCCGATGCTGCTCCCAAGGAGCCCAAGGAACCTAAAGAGGTCATCCTCGGAGAAGACGGCAAGCCGTTGAGCAAGGGAGAGTTGAAGAAGCGAGCCAAGGAGGCAGAAAGTGAGTTCGGGTCTCGTTACCGCAATGTGAGGTCATGTAATCCGTGCTAACATCCTGATTCTGGTATATGCGCCTTGTGTCAGAGGCCGCCAAGGCTGCTGAACGAGCTGCAAAGGAGGCCGAAGCTAAGGCCAAGAAGGAAGCCGAGGAAGCTAACGTGAGCAATGCTTCGGTCGTGCGGAATCCGTTCAGGAAGGAACACTCGCTAATGTTCTTGTTGACTTGATGTTGTAGGACCTCGCTGCTGACAACTATGGAAAGCTGCCTCTGCACCAATCCCAAACCCGAACCAGTGAGCTCCTCATCCTCAAGCCCCCAACTTTCAACCCTTTTCATTCCACTCTCGACTAACTCTTTCCTGATCGACGCACGCAGACACCCCCCGTCTAAACTTCACCACCCTCATCCCCAACTCCCCCTCTGCCAACACCTCTACCTCCACCGAGATCCCCTCTGAAACCCAAAAAGTAACCCTCCGAGCTCGTCTTCACAACGTCCGTGCTCAGGGAGCCAAGATGGTCTTCCTGCAACTGCGACAACAGACGCATACCCTGCAGGGAGTTGTTGGTTTGAGCAAGGATGGGGAGGAGGAGGTTGTTAGTAAGCAGATGATCAAGTGGGTCAATGGGGTTTCCGTGAGTTGCTGTTTCGTCTCGGATCAGAGTTTCTGGCTGGTCCGGTTATCGCTCGGACTGTGTGATAGAAGGCTGAGCTGACGGACACGCGTTTTGATATGGGTTCCGTTGTTTTATTTTAGCTCGAATCTATCGTCCTCGTCGAGGGGTACATCAAGCCCGCCGAGGTCAAATCGTGTACCATCCAGACGTACGAGATCCAGATCAAGAAGGTCAGTCCAGCTCTATCTCTTTCTCCTCCCGGTCATTACATTCGCCTTCTGCTAGGCGAAACTGCATTTGGATTATTACTGATATTTTTCGGGGTTCGGATATGGGTTTGTCGTATAGATCTTCACCGTCGTCGAGGCTCCCCAGAGGCTGCCTTTCGGTGTTGAGGAGGCTTCTAGGCCCGAGGCTGATTACGAGAAGGTAAGTTCGAGACTTAGGGTAAAGGGGGAGGCAATGTCGGCTCACAATGGCGGATGTTGGTTTCGTGTCGGGATAGGAGGATGCTCAATTCGCCAGGGTCGGTTTGGACACTAGGTTGGACAACCGAGTCATGGACTTGAGGGTGAGTCTCTAACTTGGCGGATCAAGGATGAATCGACTCAATGCTGACACTCACGACCCTGACCATCAGACACCCACCAACCAAGCCATCTTCCGTCTCCAATCCGCCGTAACCAACCTCTTCCGAACGCACCTCAACTCGCTCGGCTTTATCGAGATCCACTCTCCCAAGCTCCAGGGAGCGGCCACGGAGTCCGGTGCCAGCGTGTTCGAGGTCAACTATTTCAAGGGCAAGGCGTTCTTGGCGCAGAGCCCGCAGTTGGCCAAGCAGATGTGTATCGCCGGGGACATGGAGAGGGTTTACGAGATTGCGCCTGGTAAGCAAGATTTCAGTGCGGTGTAGTGTTAGGAGGGAAGAAGGCTGAAATTGAACCATGTTTGACAGTCTTCCGAGCCGAGGACTCGAACACTCACCGTGAGTCACACATCGGGGCCGACGTCTTGCTTGAAGGTGGATGTGGGGCTGACATTCACGTCGAACCTCTTAGGACACTTGTGCGAGTTCACCGGACTCGATCTGGAGATGGCCATCGAGGAGCACTACCACGAAGTCCTCGACGTTCTCGACTCGCTCTTCCTCGCCATCTTCAAGGGACTCAAGGAGACCTACTCGCACGAGATCGAGGCTGTCAGGAAGCAGTTCCCATGTGACGAGTTTACGTTCTTGGACGAGACCTTGAAGTTGAGGTTTGCTGAGGGTATTCAGATGTTGAGGGAGGCGGGAGCCAAGAATTTGGATGGATCGCAGTTGAGCGACAGCGACGACCTCAGGTGAGTCCTGCTCGTTACGGTCACGTGATTCGTCTAGGGCGACCCGAGCTCATGCGGTCCCTCGACCTCGCTAGCACCGAGAACGAAAAGTGGCTCGGACGATTGGTGAAGGAGAAGTACGGAACCGACTACTACATCCTCGACAAGTTCCCCTTGGCCATCCGACCGTTCTACACCATGCCCGACGCCGAGGACCCGAAGCTGTCCAACTCGTACGACTTCTTCATGCGAGGAGAAGAGATCCTTTCGGGCGCCCAGCGAGTACACGACCCGGAGTACTTGATCCAGAGGATGAAGGAGGTCGGGATCGCACCGGAGAGCATGCAGGGATACATCGATGCGTTCAGGCTGGGAGCACCGCCCCACGCCGGTGGTGGTATCGGTGCGTTTATCTATCGTTTGCATGAACGAGTGGAGCGGGAGGCTAATGAGGATCCATTTCGATTTCTAGGTCTCGAGCGAGTCGTTATGCTCTTCTTGAAGTTGGGTAACATCAGGCGAGCTTCGTTGTTCCCCCGTGACCCCAAGCGATTGAACCCTTAGACGGGAAGGTCCTCGCACGACGTCCAACGACGCAAAAAGAAATAGAAAGGGGATCAGAGGGAATGCATGCGCGAAGAGAGAGGAGGTCTTGATGACCGTATTCTTGTGCATAAGATATAAGAACAGATGAGATACATACAAAGAACGACAGACATGGCTATATGACACGAGATGGTTCAGACGGACATTGATATATCATCAGGCCCGAAGACCAATGGGACAGGGAAGAAAACGGAAGACATAAAATTCGGAACGGGGCCTCGACAGTTGACGAGCGGGGCGGACGATAGATAGTCGCCGGCCATCGCGACGTGGCATGCAAATGTTCGCGTTTACTGGGAAGTAGACGGCTTGTCTCTCGCATGGCTCGGGCGATTGTTAGGCCAGACTAGGTCAAATCGCGGTCGAAGTGGTCTGGTCTTGAGCCTGACCTTGTGGCGCAGGAACAGGCGCAGAAGGATTCGGATCGCCTTGAGCTCGTCCCTGGTGTTCGGTGGCGACAGGAGCATCGACATTCCAGCCGACTCTGCCCGCGTCGAACGATGGAGCAACGGGCAAGGCAGGCAAGTGATAGTGTTTCAAGTAGAGGACCGGGTTGGATTTGAGGAGGTCCCTGTGCAGCTGAAGGATATCTTGCGCTTGACAAAAGTTTGCTTGGTTGTTGACACCGGATTCAACGGTACTCGGGCTAGGTCCAGCTTGCCCGTCCACGGCAATGACCTTGACCCCCTTTTCCCTTCCCACCTTGACCTTTTGCTTGTTTGCCCTCCTCTCCGCCACAAGCTTCTTCGCTGCCAGCTCGATTGCAAGCATCTGCCCTTTCCTATCCAACTGCTTGTCCCCACCCTCCTTGGTATCCTTCGGCTTCGACTTGTTGCTGATTTTTCCTCCTCCCAGAAAGCCCGAGGAGCGGTCGCTCTTGCTCGCGATCCGGGTGGGCCATTCGATTACGGCAGCGTCGTCGTCTTCATCGTCGTCATCCGAAGAAAAAGAGTATTCATCGTACGCCCCCAAGGTGCGAATGACGTGCTGGCGCTGTAGCGTGTCCGACTCGTCAGAGGACGTGCTGCGAACACTTATAGGCTTGGAGAAATCTTCTGTATTGTCATAAAGTCAAGATGATCAGATCAGGTTCGGTGGAGCGTAGGATATCCGTATTCGCTCGAAGCTAGTGTGGACGATGCTCACCTTCTTCGCTCTCGCTGTCACCACTGCTCATGCTCTTCTCATCGCCGCTGGCCTGAAGATCCAAAGCGATCGCTTTCCTTCTATATGCGACAACGCAGTGGCTAGAGAATCGCGAGTCCTCAGATCCACGACGGAGATATTCGAGGATCTTTTCACCGTGAGGATGGTGGCAAGCGATACCATTGAGGAGTTTGTATTGGGCTTGGCTGGCCTTGACGAGAGCGTCTTCAGCTTTGAGGAGTTCTTCAGCTGTCATCGAGCACCAGTCAGATTAGCGCGAGTTGAGGAGAGCGATACAGGTGAAGGGGACTGACTGGCATCAAGGAGACCTTTTCCGGCTTCCCAGTCCTTGGCGGACGCTAACGCTTTGGGATCGACGACTTTGGTAGCAGCGGAATCGTTGGATTTCTCCTTGACCATCTTCCAAAATCCTTCGTATGACATGTTGTTGATGTCTTTGGGTCCAGCTGATATACGGAAAGGCAAGCCGTTCGGAAGATCAGGGCTCAGTGACTACGTTTACGTCGTTACCAGCATCTCATCAGCTTACATTGTTGTTGGCTTGTAGACATCTTGAGCACTAATGTAGCTGGCTTCCCAGAATGTCGTATGTATGCAGAGCATGCGCGTATGCGAAGGGGTCAGTGATCACCCTGAACTGAACGAGGTGCGCGAAGTGAAGTCTGGTTGATATATGATACAAGTATGATGCATGATGGCGGAGTTGTCCGATGTGGTTGCACGTGGTCGAACGTTGTCGAAGGCGATAAGGCGATGGCGCGATGGGTTTGTGGATTGTTGGTTCCTATTTTTAGGATCCGGGTGATCGTGGCGTGGGTTCTGCGACGCGAACTTGCTTTGAACTGAAACCCCAATCGCGCTAGGACCGAGACGCGCCGCCGGCCGGTTTCAAGCGCGGGCGTTGTGAGAGCACCATCATCATCCTAGAACAAGATCGCCTCGGTCCGCTGCGCAACCAGGTCGAGCCATGCCAGAACCTAAGAGTGTGTTTCCGAGAGAACCCCCCGTCAGATGACCTCCTGACGATGCGTTCTTCGGCATTAATCGTTCATCTGCTACAAGGTGCCTCTGCAATGTGCTCGTACGTGAGTCGGGATTTGCTACAGAAACACGCAGACGATACGCCGCTGGACCCGCTCGGGGGGCGCATCTCCTCTTCCTGATAATGCTCCACCATGTTGGCGGCATCCCCCAAATTGGACTGTATGAAAGTGATAGCTTGTTCCCACTCGGCAACTCCCTCGCCGGCCATAGATCCCTTGAAACTGGCAAAAAGTTCCCTTGGTGAGGTCTTCTCCGTCACCACGATAGATGACTCTGATCTGGTACGAGCCAGGTCAATTGAGGACGGCGATCACCTCGTTAGGCCAGGGTCGCCCAGCCCTTGCGATCGCCTCGATGGCTCCGGCATCATTGAAGACAACGCCGGGCTTCTTGTTATTGACAGTGGGACTGGAGATGTACTCGTATCTATGTCGACTGAAAACTTTATTATTTGCGCAAGCTGTCATAAGAGTTGACGAGAGGCCGGCACTTTGATGCCGCGTTAGGAATCAACTATAATTGCGATCTCGGTTGACACGCACTCTCTCACATATTGAAGAGTCGTTAAGCAGCGAGAGCGTGAGGATTGGAGCAAGGCAATGCAGATTTGTTTCAACGAGCCGATAGAGCTGAAGGGCAGTGCGACTAATTGAGCACATGATTTGATGAGTTGGAGATCTGTCCAGACACTATACGGAACATATGATACCCATGTGTAATTGTAGAGGTCCGGATGGCATCGAACTGCCCCAGATTTGACGACCCGGTTAGCAAGCGGCTTGACAACATTGCACTGATTGCGGTTGTTCATCTCCTCCTCTTCCTCATCTTGTTCACCAGATAACAGCTTGACCTGATCGACGACCCGGTTAATCACGAAAGCAGGATCTTTTGTCAAACCTCGTCATCGTGTTCCTGGTCCGCGGCGCCCCTAGGAAAACAAAAACTCAGCGGATACGAATGCATGCAGATGTAGAGATGTGGAGACCGGTGGCCAAGGCGGAAGAACCGGAGTCCCGGCCCGTTGTCGTGAGTGACAGGGCCGCAAGTGAGATGCGAAATTCTAATTAGTCCTGACATTATCAGTTCATCGCGGGCGCTCAGACGTGGACCGGGTGGGGTAGTAGTACTGGCGTGGGGCTGAGAGGTGGTATTGACTCGAGGGTAAGTATTAGTAGTAGTACCGGTTTGACTGGTTCGAGAGGTAGTAGTACTGGCGTGGGGCTGGGAGGTGGAACTGACTCGAGGGTAAGTATTAGTAGTAGTACCGGTTTGACTGGTTCGAGAGGTAGTAGTACTGGCGTGGGGCTGGGAGGTGGAACTGACTCGAGGGTAAGTATTAGTAGTAGTACCGGTTTGACTGGTTCGAGAGGTAGTAGTACTGGCGTGGGGCTGGGAGGTGGAACTGACTCGAGGGTAAGTATTAGTAGTAGTACCGGTTTGACTGGTTCAAGAGGCGGTGGTGGGACTGGCTGAGGCTGTCCGAGGAAGACCCTTGACGCATGGTCACTCAACTCGACGCCTTCTCCCCCTCTCCCCCCCATCCCGCCACAACCGGCACATAAGAAATCGAATTGCATACGTTGTGCCGGTAACAATCAAGAACATCGTGCCAATTTCCCTCGGCGCTCTTCTTCGCTTCCTGCACTATCTTTTGCCTGTCATCTTACGACGCCTTGATCTCCTCGTCGTTCGCCTTCTCTGCCTTGGTCACCGCCTCTGCCGGTGCTGTCACCGTCACCGCTTCCCCTGACGCCGCTGTCGCTGTCGTCCCAGCTGCAGTAGGTGGGGGTGCGCTAGTTGAAGCTTCGCCTGTGGTAGGCTTAGTTACTCTTGCGTCCAGAGCTTGTAAAGCCAGTGCCCTATCGCCCGAATTTATATTATCAGCACCACCATCCCAACTCTCTCATTTAGAGGAATTGCGTCAACGACTCACCTCCTTCGCTCAGCCTCGGCTCTCGTCCCCGCACCTCCAGCACCTCCACTTCCAGAAGTGGGCAACATCGCATAAGCCCCCGTCTGCGGTCCGTCCCAAGGTTGCACGAGCTTGAACTTGACGGCGAGGTTGAAGACGACGTTGCCGATATAGCCCGTGTAGGGTCTATCGTTGTGCCAAGCGAAAGACGAGTTGAAATTCGGGAGAGAGTGAGTCTGGAGTGAATGAGGAGGAGGGGGTGTGGTGTGGGCGTGGCGAGACTCACCGGACAGGAGGAGGGAACCAGTAGATGAACGCAAACGTCTCGCTCCTATCTCCCCTGATGTCGCTCTCGGCATGTACTTGGAAGAACCTCAGGTACCAAAACGCTGCGTGCGACGGGAAATGAAAGGACGTCAGCCTTTTGTCTTCTATCGACCATCCTTGTTTCCTGTTATGTTTGAGGTAAGAGGAAGGACTTACCGACGATAAACCCAAACTGGATCAAGATCCACGGTTGGAACGAATGTACCAGAGTCAAGATATTCGATGCCAAAAGGGCGATCCCGGGCGTGTTCTACGCGTTTCCAAACCGGATCCCAAAATCGACATCAGCACCAGCATCGACACCAATACCGATCCCCAATAAAACCTCGCAGGACACAATCGGAAGCGAGGTGCAAAGCAAGCCAAAATAAGAAAGACACTGACCTTGACCCTGATCTTGAGCCTCCCAAAGATCTGAACCTGATGTTCCGGGATCAACTGGGTGTAGGCGACGAGGTAACCGGTTAAGAGGGCTGTTGAGCCTCGGACGGGTTCTCCCGTTCTATTCCACGGTGGGGCAGAGGTTTGTCGAGGTGGGAGGATAGGGTGGGGTAGGGGTGGCAGTGGGGATGAGAGGGTCGAAGAGATTGGAGGTGAGATGAGATGGAGAAGGATACTCGCCGTCAGCCTTCTACCATAACCACGAACGCCCAAACCCGCAACGCCGGGGACTCACAAAAACACCTCCCTCCCCCCCAACACAAAGAACTCCAACCAACAAAGCCCGAACCCGATGATATTGCTCGCGACGATCACAACCGCTGAGAACCTGAGGAGTTCTTTAGGGCCCCATACTCGTTCTAGGTATCGGGTGAGGAGGGGGATTGAGATTAGGGAGATTATGAACTGCGGGGGTTGGCGGTAGGGGTGGGTGGTGGACGCAGGTGGTAGGGAGGGAGGAGATGGCGAGGAATCAATATTGATCAGAATGATGGCAGAGCAGTAGCGAGAAAGGAGAAGAGCTTGCTCACCTCGATCGGTTTAATCTCCACAAACCCAGCCGTCAAGAACGTCCAGAAATACCAAGGCAACGCCGCCCCCGGCACACACAGCAAGTACGGAACCTCGGCATTCTCATTGATCCCCTCAAAGGTCTTCCCTTCTTGTTCCCTGAACCTAGCGTTGAGGCCTGTTAGGAGGACTTGACCGAGAGAGAGGGTGATAAGGAGTCCGGTGAGGATACGGGTCGCGATAGGAAAGGGTTGGAGGAAGGGGAGGAAGGAGTATTGAGGCATCGCGACGGGGGTACCGGGGAGCGAGCTTCGCAAGGTATCAGATGAGCGAGGTCTGGGCTAGATCGAGGAGTGAAGGAGGATGTAAAGATCCTAGATGGAAGGTGTATTCTTGCAGAGGTCAAACGAGGTAGCATGTAACCAAGTTGTGAATTCTGAACCTTTGGACGTCGTCGCTCTCCCCCTTTCTCTCGCTACCGATGGGGGTTAGTCACGCGTCTCTGGGACCTCTTTATGACACTCCATGTCGACCATTCCACATCGTTCCAACCGTACGATCTGTCAAGTCATCACACGGACCAAATCCTGTGCTGATATTCTAATGATCTGAGTCCTGAACTGGTCGAAAAAAGCGGTCAAAATAAGCCGTTTTGTGACCCGGAATGTAACACCTACTAAAAGGTCAACGTCGAGTCTCAGCCCTGTCTGAGTTGCTCGTTTGGGCAAGAAAACGACCCATATTCCACATGGGCGACCATCTCGACCCATCTTCATTCCCTGCAACCAGACTACTACAACACCGATAGGCTATCTCAACCGAGGGTACAGCATCCACACACTAGCCAGCTCTGGGGAAGAAGATAGAGCTTCGAGCGTGTGCTGCAGAAATCGGGAGTCTCTTTAGGGGAATTCGATCCTCGAAACCCTCGTCCCGCTTTGGGCGTGTTTTTTCCTCGACGAGGAGAGGAAGAGGAGAAGAGAGGGAAAGAAAGAAGCGGCGAACGAGGAAACTACCTTTCGACCCAAGAGGACGGTTCAAACTGTCGACGAAGTGGTGGTCCCGACATCGCCTTTCACATAGATCTTTGAGGTAGTACTTCAACCGAGCTGGAACGAGTTTGATTCGGGATCTGGTCCTGGCTTATTGGCTCTGAAGGTATAAACTCCTAGACCACTTACTCCTCCACATACGGACGGTACGACTAGTATCCACACTCGACTCAAGGATTCAGGGAACAAGGACGAGGCACGATAGTGCTTGAGACCTTGCGATGGCCACAGCTACAGCATCATCCTCCAAGCCCAACTCCGGGGCCGGAGGCCGATCGAATACCGGTACCCCGACTCCGAGGGTAGTCAGTAACCTGGGTCTACCGGGGATGGACCCTCCTACTTCTCGTCCGTCTTCTTCGAGCGGAGCTCAGGGTCAACAAGCACAAGCACAACAACAACAAGGTGCTAATACAGCCGAAGCGATTGGTTCGAATACACCTTTACCTTCAAACTCCACCCTCCCTGATGGTCAAACTCAAACAGAAACGCAGGCGGACGATGCCCAACAACAACAACAAAAAGAACAACAAGCCAAAGAAAAAGAAAAGGAAAAGGAGAAAGAAAAAGATCGAGAGAGAAGAAGACTGTTGGAGCGTCAAAAGGAAAAGTCGGAGCATAAGCCCAAGTTGGTTATTAGTAGTGACGAGTTGAACGTGTTGATCTATTCGGTGAGTCCCTTGGTTTCATAATTGGGGTTGGATTTAAGTTCCGAAGGGGGGCGGTTGTGAAGAGAAGGAGGGGCCGTGGATGGGGGAGACGAACAGTGAGAGAAACGTGGATGTGGAGATGAGAAGAGAGGAGGAAGACGGGAATATGGAATGTTACGCGGTCACGCGAGGGAATGTGATAGCTGATTGTGCTTTTATCCTACTACTTGCTTTGCGTGGATCATTTCGGATGACTGGGGTTACGACCACAACATAATGTCATTCTCGCTATTCATCTTACAACCGTTCATTTCACACTACCAATACCGCTTCACCACGCACTCCGTCGATCGCCAACAGTATCTGTGCGAATCCTCCTTTCCCCACACGGCCTACACCTTTCGCTCGGAATCGAAATTGGACCGATCACCGTTGTTTACGAGTTTCAACCCGGATCATCCGGGGAGGTTCCCCATTGGAGGTCCCGCATCTGGATCTGGTGTTGGAGCGGCTGCAGGGGCAGCGGCGGAAGGCGGACCTAGTGGGAACGCAAATGCGAATGCCAGCGCGCCGACTTCGACAGGCACGACAGGAGGTGGAAAGGGAAAGGGGAAGGCCAAGGAAGATCCCGTTGACGAGGGGGACAAGATGGAAGTCGACGGGGCGGACGAGGCCGATCCTCCAGCAGAGGGAGGGAAGAAGAAACCCGCGTTGAAACGTAAAGGATCTGATAAAACGCCCATGACGGCCGCTTCGACCCCCGGGCCGACTACAAATACAGCATCGGCGGTGGGGGTACCTACGGGGTTGGGACCGGGAGTGAGGTCGAGGGAGGAGAGGTTCAGGGCGGTCCCGAGAGGAGAGTTGATTAGGCATCTTTACAAGGGGTTGATGTGGGACGAGGTGGAGAAGCATGCTCAGTGGGGTTGGGCCGAGGTGAGTTGTGGATCCTCGTTTATATGGTAACGATCGGTCGATGGAACCGGAGATGCTAACTTTGATACTGAGTGAATCCAGCCACCACCTTGTGTCACACCGTTCACACTGCTGACTCGCCACGAATGCACACTGGCGGCACCACGGAACGGTCAAGGACCTACCATTCCACCAAACCTTATCGATCACAAAACCGGCAGGCCCGTCTTTTCCGCCATTCTCTCGCCGGAAGAAAAGGCGCAACTTCGACAACACGACATCTTCCCCCCTGCAGCCGGAGGGAGTCGTGCAGAGCAACTAGAGCGCATGTTGGGACAGAGGGAGTCGGCAGCTGCGCAGGAGCTTCGATTGCGGGCCGAGGAGCATCATCGGGCTAGAGAGGAGCGCAAGCGGAATAAGGAGCGTCGCAAGGAGAAGTTGGAGAGGAGGGAAAAGGCTGCAGCGAAGGCGAGGCGGGAAACTGACGATGATGAGAGGGAAGAGGATGGTATGGATGTGGATATGGAGGACGTTCAGGAAGTTCCCGAGCGGGCCAAGGTCCGGGAAGGGAAACGGCGGCAGTTGGAAGAGGTTGAGAAGGTTCCGGATATCCAGGTTCAAGGTCCGTCGACATCGGTCTCACGGGATAAAGAGCGACGCGAACGAGATAGAGACAAGGATCGACCGCGGGAACGAGACAAGCCAGCAGACACCTTACCACCACCGAAGCAGCAGCAGAATGCATCACCTGCCGTGGCGACACCGACGGTCGTCAACCCGCAGCCCACGTATGGGAAGAAGAAGAAGCGGGTCATGTCGTCGGACGAGACCGATCTACCTCCTCCCAATGGCTCCGTCGCGGTCGCTCGGGCCAAGAAGCGGGAAGAAACCGATCGAGCGAGTCCGGTTGCTACGAATGGGGTCGTCAAGGAGAAGAAGACTATCAAGCGAGAGGAAGATCGAGGAAAGTCGCGGGACGAAGACTTTGAGCCCAAGAGACGCAAAGTCGTCAACGGTGACCACGATAGCGGACGTAAACAGCGCGAGACGTTGGGTATCGGTGCCGGTCCTGGTCGACCGGGCAAGTCTAGCAGGGTCGTGTCAGAATCTACCTTGACCGAAAGTGAGGCCGAGACCAAACGGCCCGCCAAAAAGACTGGTCGAGCGAGGCGCAACTCGAATGCGTCGAACAATACCAAGAGCGAAAAGTCTGGTCAAAGAGATGACCCGAGGAGCGTATCCCAGACTCCGGTCCCGAACGCCCGTGGCGGCATCAAGGTCATTTTCCAGGGCCAACCCAATCCTCTTCAGCCGGTCGAGCTTGGTGGCATGCTCTGCTGGAGGGGTCACACCAAAAGGGTGAGTTCAAGACGTCAAGTCCGTAATGTCAATAGACTGCATAATGACAACGATTCATTTCTGTGCGCTAGATCTATCGAGTCTCGTGGAACCCCCTGAACCTCACCCGGCTTATCTCATGCTCGCAAGACGGACTGTGCAATATCTGGGATTTTGCGGAGCCAGTGAAACCAGACGATCAGCAACTCCGCTCGTTGACTAGGGTGCCGATCGAATTGGCTCACAGAACCCTCCAGACCAAGAATGCAGTGGTCGATCTGGCCTGGAACAACGATGGAAACGCGTTTGTCACCAGTAAGCCCGGCATGTTCATCATGCGTCTAGTCTAGGTTATGCTGACGCGCTCTCAACGCCATACTTAGTCGACAAAGCCAACGTCGCCCGCTCGTTTGTTGGGGACGGTGAGCTTCAAGGTACAGGCTACCGGCACGAGCGAGAAATTACTTGCGTCGCGTGGAATCCCAACGGGAACTACTTTGCGACGACCAATATCGACGGGCAGACCTGCGTCTGGGACATTAGCGTCGTACCCATCAAGCTCAAGAACAGCTGGGAACACCACGCTCCACACAAGGCATACCACGTCGACTGGCTCACCAATGACATCTTTGCTACATGTTCAGAGGATTACACGGTCGTTCTCTGCTCTGTCAACACCGTCGACCGGCTGACAACCTTGACCAAGCACCAAGACCGGGTCTTGGTGTGCAAATTCTCGCCAAAGCACCGACCAGAAGACAAGTTGCCTGCCAGCGGATCGTTTCTGACCGGAACTCGTCGGCTACTGGCGAGCGGTTCCGACGATCATACCGTCCGTATCTGGGATATGCAAGCACTTGAGGATGAGGGTGCGAAAATCTTTTCAGAGCCTCGCGATCCTGCCGTATGTTCACCCGGCCCTTTTAAAACCTCCCGAACTTTACTGATTGTGCGCCGCTCGATGCCTACAGAAACAACCGAGAGAGCTCCTCACGCTAAGCGGTCACGTCGGCGACATTCAGCTGATCGAATGGTGTCCACGCTTGCGGAAGGATGGAAAGCGCCTCCTTGTTACGTGAGTATCGTCTGCGCCGTCTGACATCACAGTGTGCTCACTAGTAATTTCGCCATCTGTCCAGTATGGCCATGGCAGACCCTCAGTCTAGTCCTGAGCACCGTCACGTTATCAAGATGTATGACGTCAACGCTCAAGATGGCAAGCATTGCCTCTACACGATCACCGAACACAAAGACGAGATCCGGGCACTTGATTTTTCCCCGGAAGGCGATTTCTTCATGAGCTGTTCTGACGATGGTCACTTGAACATCTGGCACACCGAGGCAAGTCGACCTTGCCTGAAGGTACTTCAGAATCAGTGCTGACCGTTTTCCTCGTTGTTGGTAATCTAGACCGGACAAAAGAGGAAGCACTTCGAGACCAATGAAATCTCGATTGCTGATGCTAGATGGCGACCCGATGGCCAACAGCTCGCTCTGGCGATGGGCGATGCGTGAGTAGGATGTGCCTTGGGTGCTCAAACACCTCGCTGATGTCCCGGTTGCTTCAGCACGTTGCGGACTGTCTACGTTGGCGACTTGCTGACCCCTTCGTCGACCTGATCGATTGTCGGAATGCCCAAGCCAGCGCCGGCGGATCTCGTCTTCAACATAATTTCGTTTCGCTCATATCCGACGGACCTGTCCACTTCTGATTTTGCTGCATCTCGGTATTCTTGACATCCCAAGTCTCCCGCATTCATGCCGGTGCCACATCATGCCTGGCGGTGATTGTTCAATATCTTTTTCAGCAGGCAACGTCCCAAAGTCAAACCAATGTACCTAAACCATGTCAAAGCTATCCAAGCCAAGTCTTGACGTTCATATACGTCCCTCGATGGCAACCTCGATCTGCATGCCCTGAAGCGGCTGAGAAGACGAAGCGCCAGCAAAAGAGATATTCTCGGTTCATGAAATCCTGATGAGGTTATGCTGATGCAGCGCGGCGACGAAGCCTGAATTTACAATGATTTATGACCTATGGGCTATGTCATGGATGCCTAGGTCGGACGATTTCGTGAGTGACCTGGGGGTAATGGCGCGTGAACCGTCAAATGAACTTACCTTTTCTACTGTGACCTCGCCATCCTTTTCTTCCTCATCAGCGTCCTCCGGGTCATATTCTTCCTTGTCGTCCAGTTCGCTCGCACTTCCTTCATCCGGATACTCGTCATAGTCTTCTTCCCGCATCCCCTTTTCGATATCGGCATACTGATTATCCCGGTCTTCGTCATCGTCGTGATGATAGCGCGCTCGCTTCGTGACAGGAGGTCCCACGTTTGTCAACCCAGTCTCTGGCGAAAATTGAGCCATCTTGCCGTCTTCTTCCGAGTCGGACGGACTCGAGTCGTACTGTTCTTGCGAGGCTGTTTCGTTCTCGTCCATATGCGTTTTCCGAGGCCGTTTACGGTTTGTAGGGCTGGCTATTGGGCTGCAAGTCGCGGTTTCTTACCGAATCAGCAATGTACTGACGTGAAGATCTCGCTACGGCAATTTACCTTAGATTGCTTTGACCACTTTCCGACCCGGCCATCGAGTCGTCATCATCGTCATCGTCGTCGCTCCCCATAAACTCCTCCAATTCGGCGTCGATATCGTCAAAGTCTCCAGCCGACACCGCGGCTGGCAGTGGGCGCTCCGTGACATCAGGCGTAGGCGGTGACGTGTCCACAGCCGTCTCAGCTGTCTCCCGCTCTTTACCCTTGCGGCTAGGAGTCCGTGGCGGTGACCCGCCTGATCGGCCGAACGACTTGATCTGGAAAGCCTCTTCGGGTTGCCGAACGCAAAAGTCGACGCTGAACCGTAGCCATTCCCTCCAGACGACTTTAGTATTCGGTAATCGTAATGCCTGGCCAACCTTTTGCGTGTCCGCCTGAGCAACTACCAGGTGCGTTACGTGCTTGTCGAGCGCTTTTTGACATCGAGCGCCAAACATGCTCGCTAATAGCCAGAATTCATTGCTACCAGGCGAATGAGGGTGGATTTAGCTTGATGCACGCGAGCCGAGAAAAACGACAACTTACTCTTCTGGGCGCTGATTGAGCGGTATGATCCCCGAGAAGCATATCACACAGCCATTCAGCACTTTTCTTCGCATGTGCGGGATGATGTGCTGCGAACATGCCATAGCAAGCTATCAGCTTCACTTCTCTCATGGTGACTGACGAGTTCCACGTACCCGAACGTCATGGGGTATGCTATTCGTCGGCTCTGATGCCGGTCGGAACGTGACCCTTTTATCGCTCTGATCGTAAGCCTGATAAAACCTGCCATGGACCTCGTTCAAGACCTTGAAGCATCCGGATACACCATTACCATCAGCACCAGTACGAACAGATCAGCTAGCGATTCGACTCACCTTGTCGATCCTCCTCAGCTCCCGGTCGTTGTCGACCAACGCCGCACGCTTGTGATGCGGGACCTCATCCGGCTTGCCGTCAAGCATCTTGACATCATCCACCATATCTCCATCAGCCCCCTCGGCCTCCTGCCGGTCGAGCTCTTCTTGCCTTTTGGCCAAAGGCGCCTCGGCTACCTGGATCTCCACCTCCCTGGCCGCTGCCTCGGATTGCAATTTCTTTTTCTCCAATTCAGGGTCGTCTGTCTTCTCGCTCGACTCGACAGTGGCAGCTGGAGTTTGAGATCCGGTAGGCACGTCTGTGGCCCGAGGTTCAACGAACGCCGAATTGATATCCCCAGTATTCGGGTAGAAGGCGTCTATATATGTCAAAAACTCGATCAGTCCTCCATCCTAGAGGATTCACCCGGTCTGTATGCCCGAAAAACTGAACTTACAGGGTATCACCTTGACCAAATTCCTCCCATGCGCCCAGACCTCCCACCGATCATCGATCACGACGACCATGCTCTCGTCCGTAGGGAACAACCTCTTCAAGCTCTTCGTACTCGCGCTCCCGCTCTCGTTCCTGCTGAGGATACGCTCGGAGAAGAACTTGCCGGTAGGGTCGATGCATGTACAGATGGCGTTGGCGTAAGAACGGGTTCCGGCGGTGTATACGTGCAGTTCGTAAAGGGAGGACATTTTGGTTAGGAAGTCTTGTAGATCGGGTCTACATGTACGTCGCAGGAGTATCACCAACCAAACGTCAGCCTTTGACAATCTCGAAGGACAAGCACATACAGGAGGACTGACCTAGGCTTGACATAAAACCAAACCCCCTGTCTACCCTTTCTCACCCACTTTCTCCCCATAGCGTCCGTCCCAACCTCATCCTCATCGTCCATCTTGAACCTCCAAATATCCTTGATCGCGTCTGCATTTGGGTTCTCTTCCCTGTTCTTCTTCCTCTCTTCTTTGACCTCTTCCTTCTCATTCTCTAGGAGAGCTGGATCATGCGGCCCCGCAACGTTTGCACCCTTGTCCTCGTCTTCGCTACCGCTTTTGCGGACGACCCCCCTTCCCTTCTTGTCAACCTCCACCAACCCCCACTTTGGGCCCCAACACTCGTCCATCCATTTCCCCGTTGTCAGGTCACACCCCGTCTGGATGATCGTCTGATCGAGGTCGATGATCAGGATGAGTTTACGGGTGGAGAGGAGATTGTTTCGTTGAGTTAGGGCTATGGAGTGTGCTTTCTGAGGGTTGTTGCGAGGTCGTTTCGGAAGGAGCCGAAGGAGACGAGGCGAGGAGAAAGTAAAGGAAATAGGGGTAAGCTCGAGTCTTTGGAATGCCAAAAAGAGCTTGTTTTGCAGACTTACCTCCAAGCTGACTTTCACACCGCTCTCATTATGCTCAATCTCCACCCCTCCCGCCGAACCGCTCGCACCGGTCGAGCTGCCGTTGGGGTTAGAATTTCGTGCTGAGCTATTATTGGTCGTTGCTGGGGTTGTGTATTCTTGTCTGAAGTCGTCGTCGGAATAGGTTGATGGTTCAGACATACACAAAGATAGGTCAGTGAATGATTCAAAAGGAGAAGACCACAAGTGAAGCAAAGGCTTACGAGGCGAGGTCTGCTCCGCAGATGGCACACATTCCGTGGAATTGTACCGGGTGCGCACAAGGCTGTTGAATGTATATGATCGGTTGACTGCAATCCCCATCTCCCATCAGCTCCGTCACCAATACTAGCTACGACCAGGCGACCGACCTAGCATCCTTGATAACAGCTCCCACTTTAGCCCCACTCGCCCACTCGCTAACTTCCCCATCGATAGGGATCTCCCAGGTTGCATACCCCTTCTCCTGGCCCTTTCTCTTCTTACTATCCGTCGTGTTCACATCCGCTCCATCTCTCAGATCGTCCTTGAGAGTATAAGTATAGGAAAGAGCCTTGGTTCCTTTGGTAACTTGGGAGGAGACAGGTGTGAACAGGGAGGTCAGGGTGATAGGATATGGAAGAGAGGGGGGTAGGTGGATGGCCGTCGGGGGGGATGGTTCGGCGTCGAGGTCCATGTCGCGTAGTTAAGGACCGATCTCGAGAGGCGATAGTCTGCTCCGGTGTGTAAGCTTTCGCAGGAAGATTCGAACGTTTCGAGGGAGTGCCAGGAGCACAGAGAGAGATGGGGATGGATATGATTTCGCTACCACATCAACGAAACTTGTCCATGTCGACCCATATACCCTGCTTGACCTCCCGTCTGTCGTCATCCCCCTGCTCCCCTCGCGCGTTTACGGCATGAGACTGACATCTTCTCATCCAATATCGGCGTTGAGAAGGCGAGCGTTGAGGTCAAGTGAATCATGTAGAAACCGATGCAGACTTCACAGGTAGATATCTTCCTCTTCTTCTGACAGCTGGGATGAGCGATCCCTGTCAAATAAATCCAGCGCCGGCTTGCGATCCGTCCTACGCACGCGTCGATCGACGACGCCGTCGCACGGCTCTCGTGTTCACCATTTGTTCGATGCCTACCGCGCGACTGTTGGCGGCCAGTAGGGTAGGCCGTTCTGAGCCGGATTGTACATTGTGAATCACAAGTCTGATACGGTTTTCTGGACTGATTTCCTGATCCCCTTTTGTATATTTTATCTTCATGCAAACTATACAACGGCGATCAACTCGATAACCAACAAAACTTTCCTCATTATCTAAGTAAACGGCCACATTCCCAGCAAGAGTAGCAAGATGAACATTCCACTACGAACTATATCCAATCTTGCTCCGATTCAAGCTCGAAGTGAAATCAAGGGCATGCGCAGCAGTATCGATACTGTAGAACGCTGACAGCACTTTCTAAATTTCTCAACGCATGAGCAGATCTATTGTACAAAGCTAGTGATGATGCGAGCAGCATTGAGTGGGAGCCAATGAAGCGGGAGGGGTTTCCAGCATAGCCGTTTCTTGATCGATCATCCGAGCCTTTCCTTTGTCGGTGACCGGCTTGATCGCCTCCATCTCGATGCTCTCTACCGGAATTACCGGAGCTTGTCCCGCTGGAGATGCAGTATGAGGACTACCCATGGTTCTGGCTCCCGGCCATCGTCTTCCTCGGGAGCGCCGCAACTTGCGCCCATAATGGGAAGCGCCTATGCATACATAGATGACAGCGCATACAGCAACGATGCCTCCCGCGTAGGACAAGAACGCAATCGTGCCGGGGTTTTTGTAGTCTGGCCCACTAGTTTTCTGCGTAGACCTGTTCAGCAGACCACGGGCTGCGCTTGCATCTTTTCGACCCCCACTGATCGAATGAAGATCCGTCTCGATCACGGTCAGAGGTGAATCCAACGGAAGCTGTAGCTTTTGCTTGATTCGCTCACTTAGATCTCCCTTGCCCAATTCAAGATTGAACCTATGGGTCTCGATCTGTTCATCATCCAAAGTTATCTCCGACAGTGGTGAAATAGGAGCGTTGTCATCAGTGACTGCCTCTGTCAAGGTGTCTTCGATACCAGGATCCCCCGGGGCGCTAGATTGCCAGCTGTCTGGAGTAGAAGTCGCACCTGTCACTATGGTTTCGAGGAGTGTAGATTGGATCGAGACTGTAGGAGCCATAGCTGTTGAAAGGAGGTTGAATTTATTGACAGTCGTTTTCAAGTGTCGTGAGTTGGTAAACCCTCGAGATTGCAAGCTGAATATTTGACCAGACAGATCAAAACGCCTTGGATATATAATCATGAACCAAAGTCTACGGTATGACCCTTATTAGCCACCTCCATTGATACCTCGATCGGCTTGCCATCTCTGAGTCGAGGTTCTTCAATTGCCCGCGCGTCTCACTCGCCGATTCATCTCGAGCGATGACCTTGAAGTCCACACGCGTCAACTCCGCTCAGATGAGACACCAGGCCCTAAGAGACAGGTGAACTCCAAGAACCTTGACGGTGGCAACTGGTCTGAGTCAGGAATTATTCTGCTTGACCGGCGTTCCGATCTCCACCTGTCGTCGGTATCGATCTCAATGAAACCGGCCCATTCCGCCAAAGAAGTCTAGCAAGACCGATCAAACTGGCTGAAATCAGCTGCTGCTGAATACGGTTCCGAGAAGTGATCATACCTGTGTCATTGGGCGGAGTAACATGTACCTCTTCCAGTCTTCAGGTCGGCCAACATCGGTCAGATTCGCTCGAACAATTCAGCAGGTGACGCCTATTCTCGTGATTCCCGGGCGGCGGCAACATATCCCTCTGTCCGAATTCGAGATAATCGTTACTGTCAGGTGGCCGAGATGCAGTAGTGTTTTTGGTTGCAGACCTGACCTGTTCAAGCATTCCTGCCCCAGCTCGAAGTCAGAGGTCCCGATCGCCCTGGGTGTGGCCGCGTCATCTCGCTGTCAAAAGGAGTTGAGGGCGAATGATGGTATCGTTTGATGACGGTATCGTTTAGTGTATTTTGTCGTTTGATTCGAAGATACAACAACCAACAACTTGGCATACGGCCGAGAAGAAATCCAGCATCGGTCTTTCAAAATAGAACAACCGAATAGGTCCCACAGATCCTGAGGCTGTTGAATGATTGCTTCACGACAGCGGTAAGGAAATGATGGCAGATCATAAGCACAACTGCGATCAGCAAGGCTGACGATGGCTGAGACACCTGATCATACTATTGGATATGGTGTAAGGCGGCCGACAGGTGTTGAGTGCTCAAGCGTCGTTGGCATGCTGTCACTGAGGCTCTGGGCCGGTAGTAGCTGGGGCAGCACCCGACAGTAGTGATTTGATAAACGCAGATCAGTAGGATCGTCGGATCCTAAGCCGATAGAAACACCGAGTCCTGCAAATGACAACACAGTAATCCGAGCCAGCTCTATAGCACATATAGCACAGGCAGTCAAAGACCAACTGTCCGCCCTGTATGCTGGTTGAGCTTGTTCGCTCGGCGATTCGCGCAACAAGCGCAACAAGACGTCTCGGCGCGACACAGTCGATTTGCTTCCGCCGGTACCAATCCGATCACCTGAAACGCGGGGTGCGGGTTCGATGCGTGATCGCTGATCGTTATCTTGATGAACCGGGTTGACACGTCATGTCGTACAAGTCTCAATGGGTCAGGACCATAAGTATCACCGTGATCTCAGATCAGCAGTGTTCGTTTTGGGCTAGAATCAACATTAGCATCGCACCAGCATGCCACTTGCGTTTGCGCGCTAGAGATAAGAATTTCGCAAACCATGATCGACGTCGCTTAGGGAGTCTATCCTCCCTCAAAAGTCCCGGTTCTGCGTGAGATACTCGTTCGATGAAAAGGAAAGTTGAGGCAAAAAATCAGTCGGTGGGTGTACATTTCAGTCATCTTTTTTGGATCAGCTAGTCTGGTGTACAAAGCTTTTGTTCCCGTCACTTTCAAGGGCTTGAAGTGGCTAACGTAGATTGCGATCGCTCAAGGCGATTGCAATCGAGTCGAATTACCGAGCAACATGAGCGTGGGGAGGATCAGCGAAGGGATCGCCACCATCAGCCTCCGGTTGTCTGACAGGCGAACCGGGAGGGTGGTTGCTACCGCTGACCGCAGGGCCGGAAGCAGGGTCGTGCACTGCAGGAGGAGCTCTGACTGCGTCGACCAGCTCGTCCACAGCCTCATCGTTTTGCGCCCTGTTCTGCGTGGAACGCGGTTGCAATAATGCTCCAATGTACCTCATGGCGGCTTCGTGTTTCATCTTCAACGCAGCTAGTTCCCTGCCCTTCTTGTCGTTCTGGTAAGCGAAGTAGCAATTGGTCCCGGCCAATGTGACCACGCACATCAACCAAATCAACGTGTTCCCAGAACTCCAAGTCTCGGTAACACAACCATCTTCGCTACGCTTCTGGTCCGGCTCACGACGTACGAAGATCCAGCCTTTCGACTTCAGTCCCTCTTTGTAGAGCTTCAGCTCTGCCGGAGTGAGACCTTCAGCATCCTCAGGAAGGAGCAAGCCATCCGCTACGAGCTTTGTTTGCTCGGAGATCTCGCTTGCGAACACCCCGGCCTCTTCATAGGCATCATATGTAGAAGGTACGGGCGTTGAAGCTGGAGTATACCGGGAACTATCGGCTCCCTGTAACCCAGAATTGCCTTGGGAGGAGATGACCCCCGGCAGGTCATTGGAAGAGCCCGGGGGTACGCTGTTGGGCATGCTCAAAGCAGATGGTACAAGGTGCGGAGGTGCCATTTCGTGATGCGTATCGATACTGAAAGGGTGGTGGATGAATATGCAAGATATCGAAAGAAGCCGTTCGCCGAGGGCGGTTGATTTGGGATGGGCACTATATACTCAGCGGCGAAGTCCTACAGCTGGACTTTGTCTACGGTTATGAAAGGGATACGCCTACCCCTTGCTTCAACGCTACAGATGGCATGGGTCATGTGACATCAGGTCTCCTGCCATCAGATCAGGAGACAAGGCCGAGGGGGACTCGGAGAAGCTGAACAAAGGTAGACCAAGAAGCTATACATCAGGTCAGCTGAGCGGTGAGGACGAAAAGGTCCGATATCAACAAAGATCAAGGGCTATTCGACCCCTCTTCCCTGACATTCGCCATTGTCGTTGCCGAGACGCGCAATGCCCACAGTCACTCGTCAAATACGACGGAGATTGCAGTATCGCCAGCGTATCGGTCATTACAATGTTGCACTCTTGTATTCGTATTAAGGTGACACGTGCTTTTCCTAATTTCTCTGCGCCGTCATGCTGATCATGTGAGTAGGTCTCGCCTCCTCAGTCTCCACTAGACGCAAGGTAGTGTTCAAAGTCAAGTTGCTCTGGCGGAATGAGCTGGAATAGATCCCAGTCCTGGTAAGTCAGGATTTCCACCCCAGATGCGAACACGGAGGGAGTACACCACTATAGTGTAGTCGACAGGAAACCTGAGCGCTACATAAGAGGACGGGATACCTTCGATTCATCTAAATTGGGATAATCATGTATACTTTCCTGTATTACGCGCACGTGTCTAGTTTTCTTGGTACCAGAACTTAGTTTGAACAACCGAGCTTCTCGATGAATATAGAATCAATTTGTATCGCCCTTATGCAATGGTATGTTGAACAGTTAGCTTCCAACGTTGATGTGTCCCTGAACCTGCCCGTCCAAGCTCTACACATGCTCTCTGGCTATCCACCTGTACCTCTGCTTGGCTAAGCGGCTTCTTCGATGTACACCGGTTCGAAAAGACGTCTTTCTATTCAGATGCAAAGTCATGAGAAGAACTAGCAGTGAGGTCAGTTTTTCTGTACTAGTATGATCGATAGGAAAGAAGAAGAGAAGAAAGCCTGAGATATGCACAATACAACTCAGCCTGCCACCGTAATACTCTACCGGCCAATCAGTGCCGAAACTGCTTCATAAATGGTGCAAAGGGTTTGGAGTATTTTTTACCCCTGGTATAAAAGGTAATTTGGTTTACTGGGCATCATAACGTGGAGAATTGCGTTACAGGAACAACTGGGCATCGTATAAACGTTCTATCAGCCAGCGCGGTACTTCCGGATTTGTCTATCATTGACCAGCTTCATTCGTCCTTCCTATCATCAACACCTTCTGCTGGCCTGGCTGGCAAATGTTTCGTGAGGTTTTCGATGATATTGATATACTGGTCAACCATGCGCTTGAGATCCGTAAGCTCCTCCTTGGCTTTCCCGTTTTCCTCCTTCATCTTCTGGTTTTCCCGGTGCGAAGAATCAAGCTCGAGCTGGAAATCGGCGAGTTCTTCTTCCTGAAAGCCCGCGAGTGCTGCGTTTGCATGCCTGACTTGTGCTAGCTCATTGTTCATACCCTCCCAATCGTAAATCATCTCTCCCGCCAGAGCTCTCTTCTTTCGGTAAGAGTATGACATCCATATCGCACTGCCAAAGACGATCAAACTCAAAGTTCCAATCCCAACTCCAAATGCGATCCTTCCTCTGATACTACAGTAGGTGTCGTACTGTTGTTGCTTCGAGCTGTTCAGGTTTACCAGTTCTCTTCTCATTGCTTGTCCCCTAGACTTCTCCATACTATTCTCGATTAGATCTAGGAGCTGGTCTGTGGTATAGTTGCAATCAGCCGGTATATCGAACCTGGCGATAAGCTTGGAGATGATGTCGTTGTTTTGCCCTTCGGGAGCTTCAGCGCTGGCCTGATCTCCCGATGCCAAGGTATCATTGACAGAACTCCGATCCCCTCCATTTGAGTCAACGCTCACAGATGGCGTCGGGGTGCTGACAGCCATAGTAGTGGCAGCCGTAGCGAAGTCGCCTGCAGCTGCAATCGCAGTCAAAGGGGTCTGAGATCCATGGAGCTGAACGTCTGAGACTGGAGTGGGTACCTGGTCGGTCAGAATGCTGGGTAGCAGAGACCCATGCATAGACGGCGGAGGTGGGCTCCCGGTAAAGGTGATAATAATAGAAGACATGAAGGTTGATTAGGTTGAATTTATGGATGTGGCCTGGTGAGCAGATCGGCAGAGATGGACATGTCGCCAATTTTATCCGAATCTATCACAGCCATTCAGACCCGCCTTATATGCTGACCTATCAGTATGATCATGGGCCTACATACTCTCCTTCATCAGACGTGTGGCTCATTACGGAGGCTGACAAATGACTGATAAATTCAGCTTCTCCAGGGATAATTAAACTTCTTCAGGGATAAATTAAGCGTCTTCGATGACAAATGCAGCTTCTTCAGGGATGAATTAAGCTTCTCCAGGGATAAATGAAGCTTGTGAAGGGATAAATGAGGTGTTCTAATTCAGTATGACCTGCTTTCTACGAGCCAGGCTAGCCATATACTGCTTCGGACCGCCAGGTAAAGGCCTTTCTGATGCTCTGTGCCGGCTTTGGAGCCTTTCCAGGCATGAGGACAAAGGAAGCTCAAAACTTGAATACGGTCTGGCAACATGACAGAATCCCTCTGCCATGGAGGAAGAACAACAGGCTCAAGAGAGAGTGATCCATCTTAAATTCAAGATACTACGGAGAAGCTGAATACAGGTAGACAGAAGAATGTATGTTCAGATAAGTTGTAATGATTAAACCAATCGAATGCGACATACAAGGCTTCACAGGTAGTGTGGATGGTATGATCTACTTGTGTGGCGTCAGGAGGATATATACCGTCTTCTCGTGTCTGACTTCGCTAACAATATCGACCCTGATTTGCTGGTCCGGGCGCGAACCAGACTCTAACGTAAAGAAGTGGTGTCCTTGTGATTGACAGCCAGAGTAACAGAGCTTCCTCCTGACGCTAATCTCGAGCTGTTCTTGCATTCCTTGAGGTCTATTTGGAGCCCTCGGTCGGGCGGATGGGACACGCGGGCCACTAACGGAAATAGATTCGTGCTCGAACCTCCCACATTCGATACATCCAGCATCATTCTTCATCAGGTTCGGAACCGTCCTGCATACTTGACATGCCTTCTGAGCGTGAAGAGATCATACTCAGCCTTGACATAATCTTTTTGTCCTCGATCTGGGGTGAGATATCCCACAACTACGGCTTACCTGTCAGATCTGCAAATCACGTGTCATAAAGGGCGGCTTGGCCGCTTTCGGCTCTGAAGGTCATACGATTACACGATGTATCTTCATACATGGCTACCCTTTCATCGTTCGGGACTCTACGATTCGTCTTTCTCCTTCACTCGGAGCGTTTCAGATCGCGTCCTTGTTGCCACACAGGTCCAGCTATACCCGCGCGAGTTTCCGGGTCGGTCCACCTGGCTAATTGACGCGCTCACGTTTTCAAAGGGAGGGCCATGCTGGACTCGTGATCTCCTGATTTCTGTGTAGGACAGCCCAAAACGACAGCACAGCGAAGGAGAGTCGTACGATCACCTCGAAGCTTCCATTACCGCAGTGAAACGAAGAGGGAATTGTCTTGTAGGGGCGACAAGACGGATGACAAAATGTTTCCACGTGACCCCTCGCTTCCCCTTTGCCACCACAAGATCACGCGAGGCAAGGTTTCCTTTGTGCCGATTCGCAATAGCATCGCATCAAGGTTGTCGATCGTTCAAGTAAAAGAACACGAGGCGGCATATTTATAGACGGTTCTCAGTGCGAATACAGTCGCTGAGATTTGTACTGTTGCCACACATTTAATCAGCCTTCATCAGCCTTCATCCATCAACATTCAGCCGCTGCGTGTCAGGCCACCCTCGTGCCCTCCACCTGAAATACGCCTCACCGATCGCGTGCGAAGGGCAGAAACAGGTCACGAGTCGATGTTTGCGCGACCACCCTCGTGAGCGAATTGTGTGATCGTGTTCCTTTCAACAGACAGCTGACACCGTACAGATGCCCCTCACGATTTCGATCTAGAACGCCAGTCGCGCTACATCGCTTGCCTACACCGACAAGTAGGAATCGACGACGACCAAGAGGATGTTTGCTCAGTCGGCCGCATCGAGATGCTGTCGATTCTGTTCCAGAACCACGATCCGTAACAGAATGGTATCTCATGTCCCATACTATATTTCGCACTTCCAAATCCCATATTTTGTGCGCAAGGCGGTTCATTCCACCTCGCATTATCCACGTCCAGCCTGAGATCCTTAGGCCTCGATCCCTTCCTTCTTGTCCTCGGCCTCGGCCTCGCCCATCTTCTTCCTGAACAGGTCCTCGGCGTTCGTCCAAACCTTGGCGCTCTGCCTCTCCGGGAGCTGGAGGAGCGAGGGGATGAGGTCCTTGCTGAACTGTTCCGAAGCTTCTCGGGGCAGCTAGATTGAATCAAAGTATATGTTCAATGAGCTGTCGTACATGGGGACATAAGCATTCGGAGACGGAGTGCTTACGAGGGTGGGCAAGTGGTCGATGGCGATCACGGTCATCCTAGGGTTTCCCTCACCGACCTTGACCTCGACGGTAGGTTCCGGGAACGAGGTGTTGACCGGGGGGTAGATCGGAATAGGGTTGTGCGGGTTGGTAGTGCTGCGAAGCGTATCATCCGTGTCAACTCGGTGTCCCGCTTGTATCCGATTACCCTCAGGCGAATGCTGTACTCACTCGCAAGAAACGTCGACGACAACGCTCAACCTCCTGTCCTTTCCAGCCTCGGCGATGAAATCGGTCGTCAAGAACTTGGGGATCGGGGTGGCCAAGTAGATGCAGTTGACAAAGATGTCGACTGTCGAGTCCGACAAGTAGATGTTACGGTCAGCAAAAAGGAATGTGAGGAAGGGGGACGAGAGGCTCACCATCGAGCATCTCCGGGAAAGGTCCTCCCTTGGCGGTCTCGGCCATGTCCCACTTGACGATGTTCTCGCTAAGTTCCCCAACGCAAAATCAGCGTCGTCCTTTTTGTTCCAAAGAAACGAACATTGCCACTCACTCCTTCAATCCGATCTTCTTGAAACAATCAACCGCCCCACTCCCACACCTTCCCATCGCACCGACCACCAACGCCCTGACATTCCCCACCCCACCCTCTCCCAGACTCTCGATCTGCTTCCTCACATAGGTGATCATGGCCTGTTCATTCTCAAACGGCTCTAGGCCCTTCAAGACCCCCTGTCCACCTTCTTCTTTCTGTTTAGCGAAGGCCAGAGCTCCAGCGGCGGCCCCTGCGAACCCGGCGTGGAAACCGAAGGCGGCTACTCGGCGGCCAGTGGAGGGGTCGGCGAGGAACTCGAGGTCGTACAAGAGACCGTTGCCTCGGCGAAATCGACGAAGGACGTCTCGCCAGCCGGCTTGTTGTTTGTAGACGTGGGCGAAGGAGATGTGGGTGTGTCGGAGGGGTTCACTGAGGGGTCGGGTGGGATTGCCGAGGGGATAGAGGGTTAGTTTGGGATAATCGATGATGTATACTGAGAGAGATGCGACTCACTCGGACTCTTCGAGCTCCTTCAATCCGAAGATAGGGACGTCAAGAGGGGCTTGGTACCACTCGTTGTTAGGTACCATCTTGCATCCAACACTAATCCATCCAATCGAAAAGAAAGTTCAGCCATCGAACCCTCACATCCACATTTCCCACCATGAGGCCACCGACTCACGCCTCAAACTCCTCATCGGCATAACACCTAACATTATCCTTCTCCACAAAGATCTCGAACCCATTATCGATCAACGTCTTGGCCGTGTTCGGCGTCAACGCACATCGCTGTTCGTGAGGTTTCTTTTCGCATCGCAACCACAAGGCCTGGGAGGGCTTGGTGCTGGATGAAGGGCCGGCGGAAGAGGGCAAGGGGGCGGTAGCGGCGGAGGTTGATTCGGCCATGTTTGTAGATTTGTTTTATGCTTTCGTGGTATAGTCTGAAGCAGTAAGTCGATGTCGTTTGCTGTATTTGATCTTTTTCAACTGCAACTCTCCATCCAACTCCTGCCAAGGTTGGAGCAGCAACCTGCTCTCGCTCGTGACGAACCCGATGACTCGCCCGAAATGTCAAGGTAATGTCACGTGGCATGAAGTATTTAGTTGTCAGGCTCAGCCCTACGTAATCGTAATATCGGTCATGTCGGTCACATCACAACCCATACAACCTAGCACTAAAATATATCTCGTATGTCGTATCCCACCCGTACCATGGGTATGGCTCGGATATAGCGGTCTGGCTGCCGCACTAATAATATCGTAAAAATCGTATTCTCATATCCGCCTCGTATCGTTCGTCGTCCTCGGTCTGATCTACGAAGACGCAATCCGAGGATCAGTGATTCAGTCCGGACCGTCCGAACAACCTACAAGAGCAGACGAACCGGAACTTACAGTATCTCCCCTCCTTCGTACCTATCCCGCTCAATACGTCCACATCTCCCCAGCAGGCATCGTCTCAAAGGGCAAGACCCCAAACTCCCACTCGTACTTCCATCCTCCCAATGGTTGCGGTTGCGGCAGAGGTTGCTCCTGCATGCTATAGACCTGCGAGTGCGGTTGCGCATAGACGTACTGGTCCTGAGCAGGAGGGTGATGCTGGACCTGGATCGGCGCGTCTATTTGGCGATGGGGATCTGGAAGTTGGATGTCGGAAGGAGAGATCGTCTCGCTTGACCTCGTCTGCGACATCGGGACCGAAGGAGGGTAGGGCATGGAGACTTGCTCAGGTGCATAACCCATAGTCGGTATCCCCTGTCCGGTCTTGCCCGGGGGATGGAATCCGTTGAGATCGTAAACGGGAGTCGCAGCGTGCATCGGGCCTGCAGTGTGGATCTGAGCGGGAGCGATTGAGGTCGCAGAACCGTAAGATCCCTGGCTCGAAACGTTCTGCCCGAAGACGACTTCGACAGTCGCATCCGAGTTCTCCGACCCTGGTGTCCCCGTAGTATCAGGCAAGTATTCCTCCTGCCCCCGCGCTTGCGTTTGATTTCCTTCGTTCTTCTTGTTCTTCTCTTCAGCTTGCCCTTGAGGAGTGTCCTTAACGTTGCCGTTAAGGTCGACGACAGGTTCAGCCGCGACAACAGGCTCCATCCCCAACAAAGCCTCCATATCCCTCAACGTCCCTTCATCCAGCACAAAGTTCCCCGCCTCGAGCTCTGCAAAGGAGAACGACACCCCGTCCACCGAGAGTGCTGGAACGGTTTGTGATTCTCCAGAGGGGAAATGCTCGTTCAGGAAGGCTTCAGCTGTGGGGAGTGCCTGGGTTTGAGTACGATTCGAGGCGGGAGTAGCGATCTCGGCAGGTGATGCGAGAGTCTGACTGGGTCCGTGCGGGATGTTGGGTTCGAGTCCCGTATAACCGACGATGCTCGTTGCCAGCGTCGCCGTACGCTTCACCTGCATCTCCGGGGTCAGGTAAGGCGAAGGAGTCTGCTCGACCGAAGTTTCCGGGGAAGATAATCGTGTTCCGGCCTGACTGGGTATCGAAGGAGGAGGGGTCTCGATCTTCTCAAACCGGTTCTCATCAGGAATCGCTTGCGTAGCGTAAGAGACCGCCCGGAGGTCCTGCTCGTGCTGGTCGTAGCGGGCGTACGGAGGTTGTTGGTAAGGCAAGTACGACGGCTGGACCGGCATCGGGATGATACTGTTAACCTGGACGAGGAACTGGTTACCCGCTTCGTCCCTCATCATCTGGTAGAGGTTGGGCTGAACTGGTGATGCGCCAGGAGGAACCATTGTCGAGACCGAAGGAAGCGTGTGGTGCTGATGGGCATCCTGGATTTGCGTGTTGGGCATCGGATGGCGATACATCGGCGCTTGGACAGCGGCCAACGGCTGAAACGGCGCGTGAGTGAGCAATTCCTTCCGTTCGCCATGTGACGTCTTCGCTGGCGTAGCGAACGAGACATCCTCCTGACGACCAATCTGACTATCTCTCGGCTGTGCTATCATAGCTCCTCTCGAAGGAAGTGTTTGCGGATGATGCGCGAAGAGCGGCTCGTCGTGTGGTTGTGGGAACTCCCCCACACTAACCGTGGAGGCAGAGGATACGCTGCGTGTCAGACTGGGTATTCTCTCACGCTCAAATGACGTCCCCGTGGCCACCGACGATAAGCCAGCATCTTCCGCCGGCGAAGTCATGTTGGCGTTGTTTTCTGGGATTCCCACGAGTGTCGGATTTGCGGGGGTGAGGTTCGTTGCAGCCGAGGGGAGTTTCCTGGTTGCGGGGAGTCGCCTAAGAGGTCTGATCTCTCTGTTCGGCGGAACGATCGCGTCCGACAAAGACCAGCCAGCGCTGCTGTGTCCGGATGAAACACGCTCGTGGTGCACTGTAGTTTCCTTTGCAGATACGCCGCCGACGAAACCTCCCGATTCCTGCTGTCGTCTATCGCCGCCCGAGCGCGATGTAACGCGAGTGGCGGTATTCGTTCCCGTTGGCGGCAGCGTTGATACATATTCACTCTGCGCATCGTTCGACGTATTCTTGCGGTACTTCTTCGTCGCCCCTCTAGGAATAGCAGCAGCAGGACGTGATGCGACGTGCTTTCCAGGTTTCCGTGAAGCCTGCTTGTCAGGCGTCTTTCCTGCAGTAATCTGCGGGTCAACGGGATGACTTTTGACGCGTTGACGATGATTTTGGAACTATAATGTAGATGTAAGCGCTTACACTAATCCGATATATATGAGATGTACCCACCCATGTCGTAACCTGAGGCGAGAGCGAAACGTACAGAAGTTTGAGTAAGCGATATTTCGATATAAGAGGGGGTGTGAATCGCTGACAGACCTGCTTGTACGTGAACCCTGAAGCGGACGCCAACATCTCCCTTTCCTTATCGTTGGGAGTAGGGTTTACGTCAAAAGCTAGCTGGAGGATTTCGGGGTGAGAAGTAGGACTGCTAGATCCGGGTTGACGATTCTGCAAATTTCAAGGTCGATCAGAAATCGGTCGTCGACTATGGGGGAAACGATGTACGAACCTTTGTTTTCGCCGAGAGAGCGTCAAAAAGCTCTCCTACAGCTCGATCAAACCAGACCTCGATGCTGCGACTGTACTTGTGCTGTACATCCGCATCATCTATACCCGTGAACTCGCTGGAAGATGCCATCTGAGATACGGATTCAGTGTAACTGAGGAGCATCCGTTTCCGAAGCTGCTCGATCCTCGAAATCAAGACTTCCGCCAAAGATGAAGGTACAGAATGGTTCGTTCCTGCTGACAAATTGCGAAGGCATTCCTCTGCGGACGGAAGATGGGGTCTGATGCTACTGTCTATGGCCATTGGCTTTGTTGCTTCCCCGATCTCCAAGCGGAGAACCTTTTCAGTGATCGCCTGTATCTCGGTCCATTCACCGGAGCGCGAGGGCATATATGGCTTGCTGGACCTCTGGGTAAATGAGCTCATGATCCTTGTTGGGTGCTGGAATCTTCTCAGTTTAGTGAAAGCCGAGGAATTTGCAGGAGTTCGCGAAAGTAGACTATCTAGTAGCCTGCGGCCGATGTCCTCTTGTTGTGTTTGTGATGGCTTATCGTGATGTCGTGACCCACAGCTCATGCAAGTATGAATCCATATACGTGTATACCGTTATACGAGTATAATGTATAACAATTATGGAGAATCAAGAGACAGGCTGTAGAGCTAGAGAGGCGAGAGGCAGAGAGGGTAGAGATCGTAGAGATGACCATTCCGCGCGTCTCTCTTGTTCGGTCGAACAAAAGAGAAGCGCGCGTCATCAAATATAAAACATCACGCAGAATTGTCTTTTGTCCTCAAATTGACCGGCCGCGATCCTGATGCAGCATGTAAAATGAACTCTTGCCTCTTGTGATTATCTCGCTCTAGCTGGATAAATGATAAAGATACAGCCTTTGTATCAGCTGCATGTGAATCTCGGATACCAGTTTCAATCCAACTTCAACGCTGATCGTGATCCTCAACGACCCGACGCACACTCGACGAACCCTCTAGAATGTCCCCTTCGATACTCCATCAGAAATTTCTGGCCATGCGTCAATTATCTTCCAAAGCAATATACTCCCATGAAAGCCTGAACGTCTTGGAGAGCCTATGGACCGAAGTCAAGGAATTCCTGAGGAACAATCCTCCCCTGGAGGATGATCGCCAATGGCTTGCCGGGCTAATAAACAACCATGGCGCTCTCGCCAGTACCATGTATAACTTGGAATCGTGTCTTTCGGACCTCCTAACTGACGTAGGTCGAGAATTTAGTCGTGGGACTACGTGTGAGTGCCCCAGACGTAGAACCAGGCGAACGCCCGTAAGCTCATTTCTTGACAATCAGCTGCTGAGTCGGTCAATTTCGATCAAGGGATCCATAAGATCGGTATCGAGACGGGCGATCCTCTCCGCGCCTGGATCTACCACAACATCCTCTTCCCCTTCCCCTCCATGTTCATCCGCAAACAACTCCAAGTCGACACCGACATGTCCATGTCGAACATCAACGGCTGGTTCGGCAACATGCGACGACGATGCGGCTGGAACGCCATGTGTAGCAAGTGGACGAAGGGGAACCGGACGGGGATGAGGGAGTTGATGAGGAGGTGTTTCGTCGGGGAAGAGACGAATGAGGAGTTGATCAAGGAGATCTCGGATGTGATCGATTATGTGATGGGAAGGGCGAAGGGTAAGGTCGGAAGCTGGTTGACCGAGGTGAGTTGTGATCGTGGTCATGGTGATTGAAGGTGATGCTGAGGCTGATATGGGGTTTCGCTCTCGCAGATTGTCGGCGAAGAGATCCACAGTCTCGACCGCTTCACGGGTATCAAGCTCGACTTTCCCCCGGCCAAGAAGTCAGATTGGCTGCCCTCGAAGAGACGAAAGGCAAAGATGGAAGCACAACCGATCCGACGTGTTCAGGACCAGCTCAGCGACAGCGAAGAGGACGATGACGATGACGACGATGACGACTCCCCCATGATGGAAGTCGAATCTCGACATCCCCCATCGGTACTCGCCCCGACCTCGAACCCGCATATCAGCTTCCATCCAGGATCTTTCCCTCAGCAGAACGTCGTCTCCCATCCATACCGATCGTTCTCGGGCTCTTCGGACGGCTCAACGATCTCCAACATCTCTGCCATATCGCATCAGATACATTCCAGGGTACCATCGTACGATTACAGCCAAGTCAGCGGGTCTCAATATACTTCGAGCCCGATTAACGGCCACCAGAACACATTACCCGTCACCTTCGGCGGACCTCCTCAGTCATACGCCTTTCAACCTCAACTACCGGCTCTCGATCAACCGAGACGACTGAAGCGGGGCGTACAGCAGATGGACGGGGACGAGACAGACATGCGGGCATTCAAGTTTGCTCGATTCGGTTGATTCTCACGGACAATTACTTTACATTTGCTTCTCTTTTGTTGTACATTACGATCGCTGTTGTCTGGTCTCGATACCATATTGTCCTATGCTCCCTGATCTGCTGCGGAAATGAAGCGGGATCTTGGAAGCTGTGTCAACACCAAAAGCTCCGAGCTGTGTTGTAGACGAACAAAGAAAAAAACTCTGAAACTGTTTCATTGCCTACCCTGTAAACAAAATCATCCAGAATCACACAACAATCGAGAAGAATGCAGAATCGACACTGTTTTCTCTTTTGTTCGCCTCTTTCGTTTGACGCAGGCGCTAGTTTTTGTGCACCGCGGCTTTTGGGGCTTTTGCGATTACGGTAACAAATTTGCTTCCGCCGTCTTCGCGTCTCACGTCGTCGAGAGCGACGCGGCGATGTTTCGCCCGCAACGATTGAGCATCCACTTGAGCTCAACCTAGCTATACTGTTTTGCCTCAGGTCTGAAGTATAAAGCGTTTATGACAGAGTCTTGCCAGCCGCAGCAGATGTCATTGTGAAAGATCTTGATGGCGGGGCCCTCGCATTACTGAAAATGACTAGTATCAACCCACCTACAGGCAAAGTATTCAACCTCGTCGGGTCGTGAGCCATTCTGTGAGGTCTTTTTTTTTCGTTTTACATTTACAAGCTACTTTAAGCGCTTGCAATTCAAGATTGTATCCGGGCTTATGCACGAGAATGACGTGCACCAAGTTGTGTTTCGACGTCTAACAGTCTTGTCAAAGAACAAATCATTCCCATGGCATGATGACTCGGTACAAGAGGACAACAGGAAGACAAAGGAGGTACACCGAGCAGAATTCGATAGACATTGTGGAAGAGTTCTATTCACCACTACTTCTTACGAGTCTAAACCGTTGGGTTTCCCATCGGCACCCGTGACAGCGCTTGGCGGCCTCTGAGAAGGCTCATAGCTACTACCCGAGAACGATCCTCCAGTACCGACCGTTCCCGAGTTGTACGATCCGTATGGCCTGTCTCGGAAATGAGGTTCCTGAGTAGGTGGTTGGAAACCGTTATAGCTGTGAAAGGTTTCAGGCTGTTGGGTTTCTGCGCTGGGAGCCTAAGAATTGATGGACGACCCAGGCACTCTGCGAGGGTGGTGGAGGTGGATACATCCCCCATGCAGGTGGCCGCAACATCGGAGGATTGGATGGAAGATTGACATAAGCCTGTCCAGGTGGAGGTTGTTGACCATCCCAAGGGCCGAACCGACCGGCCGGTGGGGGATCGCGAACCGATCCGGGAGGCGGAAGATGGCGACGCTGGATGTTGAGCGGCGGCCCTAGAGAAGGGTATCCAAACCCAGGTGGCGGTGGATAGCCGCAGGTCTCAGATGGCAATGACGGACCATACCAAGTGAAAGGCGCCCCAGGTGGTGGTGACCTCCATCTGGGGTCAAGCTCGAGGGAGGGAGGAAAGTCCTATGGGGGGTAATCGATGTGCCGTTTAAATCAGCGTTCTATCCTTGACCAGGGTGAAGACCGTTCGTGACCCACTTTCGGTTCATTGACTCGACTCTGCTGCAGTCGCTCTTGTTCTTTGATCAATAACCTCAGGTAATTGCTTTCTTTATCTGTGAGTGGTTTGGGTCTGTCACTTCCATTTGACTCGATGGGTGGAGGCATGATGATCTCGTTTTGACCCGGTCCACTGAGTGATGTTCTCACGATAATTTCAAGCCCTGAAGTCCTGATGTATAAGTACCAGAGTGCACAGGTGCGCGAGGTGTACTCACGGCTCGAACAAACAGTTCTCTGCAATTGGATAGTTCCTCAGCTACGAGCAAGCGGCTATACAAAGACAAAGGAACCGTCTACGTTCCGTCGACAGACACTTCCTGACCTTGTAAAGGGCAGCTGACAGCATTACAAAGCCAAGCATCGTGATGAGACACTCCCTTTGATCGAATCACGACATGTCACATGATGTGCTTCTATAATGTGACATATAATGTGATTCTACGATGTGAGTCTACTTATGAGCGTTTATGGCGTGACTCCTCGATGTGACCCAGCACTGCAGAAGCCATACGCTTGATACGAACGCCTGTTGTGAGTGTTCCATTCTCGCGAGCACCAAGGCTACTTTGGAACTTTCTCTAGCCGGTAACAATATTGTATCGGATCGATCTGGCCGTTCTGATCACTTGACCACTTGAACACCGCCCGCAGGTTGCTGTTTCCCCCTTCGTCGTGGTTCGCTTCGTGATGATATTCTTCAGGACATGTACCGACAGCTCGAGGTCGGCATCCTGGTTTATGCGCGTTTCAACCATTCCTAATCTCTACGGTTTCCGGTCTTCGCAGGTGCTCTGCCTGCTGTCGAACGAGCGATGTATTAGCGGAACGAGTTGGTCAGTATTCTGAGGAGTAAATTTGTGACCTGGATGACCATACAGGCAATATAGCCAACCTAACAGATGAGCGAGGGTTGAGGGAACTCTACAATCTATAGAGCGGCTTGACGGATTATTGATGGGGGGCTGAAGAGTTCTGTAAACTTGTGACAAGGAATAGGGGAAGTCGTCTGAGATGCGCAGATGATCGCGATACAGTAGTGGATATTCATAAACCACAAGATCTCAAGGCGAATTCAAAAGAAGTTCAGTCCCGTTTGCAGTGTTTCTCGCCACACGAAATCCACAAGTATTATTGCTACTATTACATGCTCAAGCAGACAGATTTTCCTCTGGAATCTGCAAACAAGTACAACAAGATCTGTGAAGGAATGATCAAGGCGCTCCGATCAGTCGAAAGGTCCCAAAGCTTGATCTCTCAAACCGATAAGATTTCCGTTGTCTTCTCTGATAATGCAAAGAGCGTCTTGGGAACTCTCGCGACTCAAAGTTTGCAGCGAGGATGGGGATGTGGTCCAACTCGAGACCCTGGTACGGCTCGACTCGAAGCCTTCATAAAGTGGCCAGGTCCTAGATCTGCTCATAGAGCTCGGATGATCTGTGCTATCGCCCATCGAACGACACCGTTCTTGATCCTTGTTGTTTCTGAACGCGCTTTCCGATATGTCCGGCAGATCTAGGAGCTGAACTTCCCACTTCGCAGTCTCCCTATCTTTCTCCATGGGAAAGCTTCCAAATTGCATGCTCTTTAGTTGAGTCCGGTAATCACGCTCATTCTCGGTCTGGCTTGGAAGGCTCCCAAACTGAACATCTTCCAGTGCGTTTCGGTAGTTCATAACCGATCGTCTAGGAAGGTGGATTTCTGATAATAGCAGAGTTGCTCGAGTAGCAGGCTGCGCCAGGGTGATGGGTCCGGAAGATTGGCGAAGAAGATTGTGTCGAGGCATTGTTGAGGAGTCTGATGGAATATTGGTTCGCTTTCATGGGATACTCTTTCGGCCCGCATGAATATGGTTCTCGTGCAGCAGCCTCCGGCATATGTACTTCTGGTCTTCATCACGTAGACCGAGCTCATTGGTGCCTCTCATGAGCGTGGGGCACGTGAGAGAAGATGAGGGAAGTAAAAGATACATGAAAAGAAGTTCACGTTCTGCAGAGTTCTCAAGGAGTTGCTTCATGCGACAGCGGGGCCAAAGATATCGCAGCAGGGAACGTACACTATGCCTAAATTCGGTTTGATCAGCGGTATAGAACAACCCGGAGTGCACTCTGGTAGAACATGTCATTTGGAACGGGTCAAGCACAGCGCGATTTGCTCGATCAATCAAGAGATACTAATGATCAGATGGTCCTGGTGTGGCCGGAGCCCGAGTCGAACGATTCGTCTTGGTGGGATTGCGAACCTCTCAAGAGACTTCGGACCTTGTCCTCAAGGGTACTTCCGCTGACAGACGCGCCAGTTGCTCCACTGACGCCCTGAGAAGCGATAGAAAGGGCGGCTATCTGAGTGCCAGCTTGGTTGCGAGCCTGCCAGGCCTAGCAAGACAGAGTCCGTTATCATGTCGTCAGTATATAGCGCGAACGGTACTCGTATAACGATCATAAGAATACCAGCAATCTGACACTTACGGCATACGCTTCGCAATCTGCTTCGTATTTTGCCACTCTCGCTTCATCCAAGGCATCTTTCAAGATCTGCTGGACGGGTGGTCGCTGAGTTAGGCCATACAACCGAGGTTGTCCTCGTTCAGGTTCAATGGATACGTCATGTTTCGAGTTGTTCGTAGTTTCAGGCATGGTGAGTAATGTGGAGTTGTGTCTCGGATGAGTGAGCTCGTGTATCAGGAGATGAACAAAGCTACGACGTGAGAGTGACGTTTTGCTAGCTAGATCTTTGGAAAATGAAGGTCTTGTATGGTTTCTATAGATCTATATATATATGATTCTTTGGCAAACACAGTCGCGTTCTCTTGACTATTTACTGATCCGCCATTTCAAATGATTACTTCATTAACATACAAAGGATCCCTGATTTCGCTGCCATCCGCCTGACAGCTAGTATCGCTGTTGTGGCAGCGTACTAATAACCCCCTTTGAAAGGCCGGGCCCTTTGTGGGCCCGACGATGCCATGACCGATCTGGGCCGACTGTATCGCCAAAGAGAGCAAGCAAGCGTTACTCTGTGGCTGTACCCCTCATGAATGAGCTCCCTTTCAGACACATACGCGATATGAGGGGCCTGGTTCAACACCACGTGTGCGGCTTTTCTATAGTCTACAGATTGCTGGCTTTTAAGTATGGCAGGAAGTGCTGGAGCGATACGACCTAATGCCTGCGCGTGTGGGCGAATGCGGCAATTACTCGTACAATACAACGGATACGGTATCTGCGTCGGTTCTTGGGCTGAAAGGTTTCATACTCACGGACTCGCGCTACATCAGCCGCAGTAATCGTACAAACAGGTGTTCGCCGACTTGAGGACGTTATGACAGTTCCAAAGTTCAGAGATTCGCGCGAAGACCCTCAGAAGGCGTCGCCGCCGACGATTTGAGTTAAGTCAAGCGTCTCACATCCAATATCCTGGTGGTCACTACGCATTGCTTGCTAGATTTGCTGGAGGGATGTGGCGAACCAGGCCGGTTGTATTTATACTGGCCATAAACGTCCGAACCAATTGGACCAGGTTGGCGCGAGCGGTTCAACCTGCTCCACCTCATCCCCGTCCAAGGGTTCAGATTTTCGAGCGGGATCAGTATACTGATCCGCAAACGAGTCGAGCACCCGTTTCGCCGCTTCGACCGCAACGACATTCTTGTCCAGCTCGCGCGAGGAATAGGACAGCTTGTCGTTCTTGAGCGACAGCTGTTTTGCTAGACGTCGGCTAGCTAAAAGTCGACTGTGTTCCTTGATACTGTCAGAGTCTGTGCGATTTGAGAAACGCGAGGATCCAGGAGCTGGTTCTGTTAGCAGTCCTTGTGCCGCCTCTTCTAGCGCTTCGATCTTGGCGCGCCGCATCTTGATTTCCTGGACGTAGATCGTGACCGTATTCGAAACCGCATCCTCCAAAGCCTGCAAACATCCAAGCGTCAATGAGCGGTACCGGGCATCTACTAATCTCAGCTTACAGCATATGCATCTGCCTTATCCCGAAGCTCCCGCTCGCGTTGCCGCATGATCCACACTCTTGCACAGAGTTGAACGTCAATTTGCAAGTATCGACTGTGTCGTCTTTAAAGCGTCAATTGCTATTTCTCCACTTCGTGACCTTATCAGACTGACTGGGGAGTGTGTACGATCTGTCCCGGCAGTCTTGGTGTCTCAAAGCTCCATCTGGTCACGGCTTGGTCAACAATGCTCACACAGCTGTAGACGGGCTACTTACCGGCGATGTAATCCTCGTTCGCGAACCTGTTTGACGAGCTCTTCTTCATAAACTGAGTCCTTATGCCCCCCATGTAGCCATTCCGCACCAGCTGCAATGGCTTTTCTGAAATTTCCAGTTGTCACCATCCGTTCAAGAGGCCTACGACGCCCGCCGAGGAACCGATCCGTCTTGCTTTTCGGTATGCTGTTCATGTCGCTCACGATTGACGTGCGGTTGATCGGATCCGGTTTGTAGCTTCGATAGCCTGCCGGATCTGGCCCACCTTCGTCAAACGTGTCTGATTCGATATACGAGGCATTTGTGATAATGCTCGGTCGGGATGTATCCGAAGCCGCTCTGTGCGAACCGTGAGACGAGTGGACATCGGAATGATCTAATTCGCGATGTGCACGGGCAGATTAGGACCGCTTGTTGTCAGGATTTCGAAGATCAGTCATCTTACTGCGCAAATTCGAGTGGTCGTTGAAGTCTGTTTCCTCTTCTTCACTGCACAACGAGCTGTCAGCTACTGACTAGATATAATGTTGACACCATCATGCTCACGGGAGGACGACAACCGGTACGGACGGCTGCCTCGACGGGGTCGGTCTGAAGTTGGCGATTGATGGCGGTGCTGACGCTGATTGTTCATCTCCAGAATCCGCAAAAAGCGTACCCCGTCTGTTTGATAACGTCTGTTAGGCCTCTGATACAGTAAGCGGACCGGTTGTCTACTTGCCGGCTAGCCCAATCCTTCAGAGCGTGACCGGTCTTGCTTGTCATGTTCCGCAAGGTCCCCTTCCTGGTTGTCAAGCTTTTATGACGAAGGTGCCGCCGCCCGTCTCGCCGCTCTGGAGAAACCGCCTCCTCGACAGTATCGAGATCGGCCTCTCCAGCCGTCTCCCGCTGATCCGACTTGTCAAATGCGAAATCGTGATGGGTTTGATGTTCCCGATGATGGACGAGATGGTGGTGTCGTCGCCCTTCTCTTGGGTGTTCCGCAACCTTATCTGTCCAAAGAGCACGCAGTCGACCGTACCCTACTCCAGACTTCCCGGTGATCACCAGCCTGACAAAGCAGTCGAGATTACAGGTGACGACGTCTGGTGCCGAAGTTGATCCATTGCCCGCAGTCGCCTCGATCCCGTCATCAGCTGTATCGTAGGTCTCTTCGTCGGAATCTCGATCTCGCTCTCGTCTCAGACCGATATTTAGATTTGACACGATATTGGATCCGGCTTGCGTGACCTGATTCTTCAGCATGCGGGTGATGCGAGTCTGGTCATGGTGCCTTTCTTTATTATACGCCTCGGTGATGGCCGCGTATATCTCTATGTCGAGATGGTCGGTCAAGGGAGACGCTCGATGCATATATGTTCGCTGCGTCACAACGTTATGGTTAAGATGATGCTGGGAATGCGGGCTGACGGGACTTGCCTGAAAGAATATGATCGCTGCCTGAAAGTCTCTTCGCTTCGTGAAAGGGTCCCTAGGCACCTGTTAAGAAGACTCAAGGTCAGCTCTTGATGTCTAGCTCAGAACGGTGGAGTACCCAAGACACACTCTTTCCAGATCTAAGGCTGCCAACTTGACACGCGCAGAAGTGATGCTGCTCAACAAGCTAGCAACGATGGCAGGCCCGTGCGCAGTGAGAACTTCTTCCTGTTGTGACGGAGAATGATCAGCCACTTACTTAAGCTGCGTGGACATCACACACCTACCATTGATTCTGAAGTGCCTGTTCCTAATGTAGCTGAAAGTTCCTCCTCTATGACGGTCCACAGAATTAGCAACAGCGCACATCGCAGGACTGCAAAACTCACGTTTCAGCCCTTTGATCATCTTCCTCCACTTTCCCAGCCTCTCGATCATCTTGTCTGTACATAGACCTTCCGGTTCCTTCCCCTCTTCGTCATCGTCAGGCTCGGACAAGCCCCAAAGGGCGAGTGCGATCTTGAGGACTCGTACCAGTTCGTCGACCGTGCGCTCAAATTTGCCTGATCCGCCTTCACCGGATTGCTGGAACCGGTAAAGCGAAAAGAACTTGTACTGAGTCGCCTTAGAAGGTAATTCGAGTGAGAGCGACTGTCGGGAGGAAGAACCTAGTCGACGGAGATTTAGGAGAGTTTCGATGAGCGGGAGAGCGGGTCGCAGATCGCCAGAGGGTATAAGAATACTACATGGGAGGATCGGAAGTCAGATAGAGGCGTTTACGAAAGAGAGGTAATGACTCACGGTTGTACATCCTGTCTGAGGTTTGACAAGGAGGTCACTACCATGACGCCCCATTCCGTCTGGCAATCGCCTCATCAGTGAAAAGAGTGACAGTCCACCTCTCCTGAAACACTCACCTCGATACCTCTTCCACCGGCACCCATTCCTATTCCTACACCCATACTGCCCTGACCAACTCCTCCCAGACCGAGTCTACCTCGATCTTCCCATCCCATCCCGCCAGAACCTATAGTTCCTGCACCGAGTGCGGCTCCTTCTCTACCTCGTCGCAGGAGCCGCACTGCCGCTTCTATCTCTCTCGTTGCTTGAACATCGCTCAAGGTCGCTTGCGGTGTGAGAAGATGTAGGGTGATTGTCCCTGCTTGCACTTGCGAAGTGTGGTTCGATCCAGTGACAGTGGGAGAGGTCGAGGCGGAAGTAGTCGATTGCTTCTCAGTGGGCGATGATGTACGGCGAGGGGATGTCTGGGTATTATGCGACGTAGAAGGCGAGTTGGTAGATTTTGCTGCTGCAGCGGCTGCTGTCGGCACGATGATAGTCTTCAAGGGTCTTGTCGAGTCTGTTACCCTACAATGATCATAAAGTATCATCCGAAAGTGTCATTATCGCTTGCATAAAGATCATACGCTCATCGCATACATACCATTTATCTACTACCCAGATGGCATACCCAGTAGCATTCCCAGCATTTCCGTTCGTTCCACCAGATCCGGCTCCAACCTTGACTTCTCCTTCATAGTCGAACTTCCCAAATCTCTCAGCAAATGCCCGGGCTTGCTTGGTATTCTTCTGGAGGTACGCATGAGCTGGTACAAGCAGTCCTCTCCGAGGTCTCGAAAGAGAGTTGGTGGATTGATGGGCGCTTGCAGCCCCAGGGTATAAGTTATGATGATGTATTCCAGGATTTGAGCCAGAGTGACTTGAGCTAGCAGTCTGAGGTTGCCTGGAATTCGGCGGACTTGCTTGTACTGGGGAGTTTGTAAACGAGGGAATATGGAACGAATTTGGCGAATCGTTCAAGGAGTAATGATTTGGATGGTCTCCATTATTGGTACCAGGAGGATGGTTCGAAATTTGAATCGGGGTTGTAGCTGAAGCTACCGGATTCCTGCCCTGGAACTGTAGCTGGTTTTGGAAGTGTACATCGTCCGTCTTGATATTGAGACCCGAGGCAGATTTCTGTGACTGATTTGAAGCTGTCCGAAGGGTTTTCTGGCGAGATGGCGGGGAGAATGACCAATCCAGAGGAGGTGTTGTCATAGGGGGTGGGAGGTAGGCCATCTGAGCACAAGGTCGCTGTTCAGCCCTGTGGTTACCTTCGCCTAACACGGCGTACAGCCGGACCCAGTAGACGTCTGCTCCTTGTGGCTGGAGATGAGCCTCTTCCTACGTTATGTTGACTTCAGTGAGCTATAGGACTTCGCAGATCGTAGCCATCTGCAGCAAATGCAGTGATCGCAGTGAAAGAACCGCTACCGATATCTGAGGTCGAGCTTCATCGGCATTCGTCATTCTCGGCATCGAATCACGTAAAATCTCTCGTAAGCGGATATCACGACCTCAATGGCATAAGCGCATCACCCCATCGAATATCGTCTTATTAAGTGCATGGTATTATGTGTGTGAGGGTACTATGATTCGGATGACAGTCTTCTTTTGGTTTCAGGATGTTCCCTTGCATTCTCAAAACGCAGCGCCGTAACCCGCAGCCTTCCTGGGATCACTCGCAGCCTCCAAGCTCCCGTCCGGCAATCTAGCGACGACGTGCGAAGTCGACCCGCTGATTCCCTGGTAGGTAACGTTGTAACCCAACGATTTCATGTAGGCGACAGTACCATTGTTATAACCGACCAATCCTTTGCTGAGGTCCGGGAGCTCGAAGTAGGTAGTTCCGCTGAGTTGGTCGTGCCATCGTGGGCTGGGAGGGAGGATATTAGGATCAGCAAAGTGTCTAAGCGCGACCCGAAGCTAATCAGTCACAGCTTACTGGTGGGTACAACCGCTGGCGTTGAGATTCTGGTCGATATAATGATATAATTCTTGCAGGGTAGCAGTTATGATCCTCGATCCTCCCGCCGATCCGGTAGCAATCATCAGCTCTCCGGTCTCGAGGTCCTCGGCAATTGAGCTATAGCCTCGCAATCAAAAAGGTCTCAAGTCAGGACAGGCGATTGATTGGTGGTACGGCATGATGCAGCGCACCTGGCAATGGAAGACTGAGGTCGCTTGCCTCCAGCAATGTAGTTGATCGGGCTGGCAGCAAAGCCGAAGGAGTTGACCTGACCGGGAGAGGAGAAGTCGTCCATCTCGTTGTTCAGGACGATTCCGTCGTCCGTCACTTCAAGATTCAGACAAGATCAGTTCTGTGTCGAATTTGGGAAGACAATGCTGGACTTACTGGTACGGCTTCCCCAGTAGGTGTTGACGGTACTAAAAAGTTCCAGACGCTGGTCAGCGATACGACCGCGATCGCGTTCTCGAGATGCACCTATACTCACGTCGTCAGCGAGACAGCCATACCGTCACCGTCAACAACAGCCAAGTGACTGGTTCCAGCCTCTGGGCCGGGAACATAGCCGCTAGGGGTGTAGAAAGATGTTCCGAAAGTTGCGGTATCGTTGATCTTGGCTCGAGCGGCTTCGACAACAGGTTCGGTCAAGTAGAGGCGCTCAAGAGTGGTCACGTTCGGGGTGAAGGCTGGGTCGCCGAAGTTGGATCGCTGACCGTAAGCGAACTTGTTGGCCTCGATGACTGTTTTGGAGTGTCAGTTAACGCTATCGTAGGGCAAGTAGTGAGAAATACTCACGTCGATGGGTAGTGACATTGATTTCGGGATCGCTATCCGAGTAAGAACCGTTGTATCCCTCGAAGATCTTGAGCGCGGACAAGACGACGCTTCCAGAGCTAGGGGCGACGGTCGAGAAGATTCGCTTGTCACTGTAGATTAGAAAGTAGACCAATCAGCGTCCGTCAGATCAGCGTCGAGGTCTGCTGGACTAACCGATAAGTGATGTTGACGGGTTCTCGGATGATAGCCTCGTATCCAGCCAGATCGTCCAGAGTCATTATACCGCCGGTCTTGCTGGTGGTATCGACGATCCCCTGAGCGATCTTTCCGGTGTAAAACACCTCCACACCTTCATTGGCGATCAGTTCGAGGGTGTCCGCCAAGTTCGGCCTGTAACACGTGTCACCCTGCTTGAGTGTAGTTCCGTTCGGAGCGTAGGTGGCAGCAAAGTTAGGATCCGAGATAATGAAACCAGTGGCGTATTGAGCGATAGCGTCGGCGAGGTCGACATTGACTACGAAACCGTTTCGCGCGAGGTGGATGGCAGGTTGGAATAGCTCGGCCCAGGGAAGGCGGCCGTGACGGCTATGCAATTGTTCCCATCCTCGCATTTCTCCGGGAACTCCGACAGCGAGACCTCCGATAGTCGATAAGGTTTGGTTGGCACCCGCAGCAGAGTACATCTACCATGAAGAAGAAGTGTAGAATCTCAGCAGCCAACTCCATGATACCATCTCGAAATGATTCGCTTACGGTGACGTTTCCAGCAGCAGGCATGGTCTCTCTGAAGTCGATCTCCTCGTATCCGTGCGTCCCGTCGTCGTTCAAGTATCGCACCAGCATGAAGCCACCCTAATGAGAAAAGATAGCCATTCAGTTCGAGCTATATCACGAATCATGAAAAGGAAAGAGCTCACTCCTCCGATCCCGGAATGGAAAGCGTTGACCACACCGACGCAGAGAGCGCTGGCGATCATCCCGTCGGCGGCATTTCCACCAGCTTTGAGGATATCAATGGCGATAGCCGAGCAGGTTCCAACTTCCTACAGAACCGCCAAACGTGGAGCTATCAGCAAACAAATGAGACAAGAACATACCGCACCCGAAGCTTACAGATGCAGCAGCGCCTTTGCGTCCGACCGTGTCGTAGTAGCATCCATCGACATTGTCGGCAAAGCAATCCGCGTTCCGCTTGCCGAGCGAATGAGGAGGTGCAGCGGTGACAAGCAAAGCCGTCAAGGTCGAAGCCAGGATAGTAGGGGTCCACAACATGGCAAGGGTATGGTAAAGGTTACGGGTACGGCACAGAAGCACCTATTGTGAACGGGCGAATTGTAGATGCTGGCGGACTCTACCCCTATATGTACTGTTACCGCTGCCATCCCGCTACCCGCCGTCCTCGTTGTCCATACGGTCGTTCCGCCATTTCCAGCCGTAACGAGATCACCTGATGTCCAATTCTTGAGCGGTTAACCCGAAAGATCACATTGATATCGGTCCGCAGAGGACCGATGTCGATAGGCGGGACGAAAATGGTGAGATTTTCCCCTTGCCCGATGACGAACTCGCAACTAGCGCGACCGATGTGGTCGGCGTTGACCGTTGAAGGCTGGCTGTCTTCATCCGTTTTCGAATATCGCTTCGCCCGCCGCTGCATCGACCGCAATGGGTAATCTCAAGATGCAGCATGCGATTGATCAAAGCTCGTAGTGATCTTAGCAAGCCGGGTCACAGCATATCTATCAGGACTGCGGACGATAGGAGTCTGGTTCGATTTGTCGATGGACCCGAAATAGCCATGACTTTGCATCCGAAAGACAGACTCGCGATAGTGGAAGCTTGACGAACGATTGACGGCGTGAGTCATGCTCGATACTGGATGTACTGTCCACTATCTACGCAGATCGCACAAGAACTGTGTACTGGCAGCTGGCAGCCTTTTTTCAACAAGCTGTGTGAGTTGCTTGTCTGTCAGCCATGTCGGCCTGAAACTTTCGATTCGCTATGTTCCACCGTCGACCTTCGAGTTTGGGTGCAACGAGAAGCGAGACGGGAATTTGCAAAGAGTTCCTTATCTTTCAGCAGGCTTGTTACATCCCTCGAGACCTGACCTGCATTCAGGACGCCGTCTGGGATCGATAGTAGACCTTTCCGTCAAACAACTTTCTAGCTGTCCTGTATATAGTCCCGGACCGGGCGATCATCGACCCATCCTCGTCGATATTCAGGTCTGCATCAACAGCGATGGTCCCTGACGGATGCGCTATTCTGATAGCCTGACCTGCAGGTGGCTTCCCTCCAGGGAACACTGAAGAGAATACCGAGCCCGACATATTGGCCGCTGCAGCTACACAGATGGCTGCGGTGATGGGGATCGCTCGATGAGGATCTTCCGAGGAGATTGTCCGCACGATCACGTCGGCGGCCTGAGCTTCGATTGTCTGACCGGAAAGCAAGGTGTGTCGTCGGGTTGGCGAGATGATGCAGACCTTGGGTACGCTCCGAATTTTGCGGGCTTCGTTCTCGTCCGCGAATACGCCCATCCGGATCCCGGCAGCTCGACGAATGGCAGTGAGTATCTCCAGGGTCTTTGGCTTGGACTGCAGTTCGTCCGGCAAGATCGACCCATCGAGCCCCAAAGTCTCTGCCGCGATGAACACTCCGGGATTGGCACAGTCTACCAGAGTGACCGGGATCGAGCCAGCACCTGGTATCTGCAGCTCGTCCACGACATTTCCGGTCGGCAACAGCTTTCCCGTGCGAGATCCTCCAGGATTAATGAAATCTAGCTGAATCTGGGCTGATGTGCCGGGCACACCGTCCATCTCGAAATCACCATCGACGTCAGCTAGTCCGTCGATCGTAGGGAAATGCTGAATTCGTACAGTATCAGCCGGCATCCAGAGCAGGCTGAAAGGCGGTTACTCACCGAGTGTATCATCTTGTTCGTGTTCGTGTTGAAGATCCTGACAGTCGCTCGGCCGTGTTCATCGATCGTGCTTGGCATTCCCTTCTCTAGTGCAAAAGGTCCGATTGCGGACACCATATTTCCACAATTTGAGCCGGTATCCAGGATCCCATCTTTGACGCCGACCTGATGTTAAGCACGATCGTAAGATCAAGCCCCAGGACCTGGTATTATCGTGATGTGAACTTGCCTGGACAAAGGTAAACTCGACATCGGCTTCATGTTGTTCACTTCGCTTGACGATACAAACTTTGCTGAGTGATGATATGCCCCCTCCCATCCCGTCCAACTGCCTTCCATATGGATCGGGAGACCCTATGCAAGAGCTGAAGAGATGCTCACGGTCCCGGTTGGACGTTGGCAGGTCACTGTCTTCGAAGATGACTCCCTTCGAGGTGCCGCCTCGATAAAAGGCAGCACTAGCCGACATGAGTTGCTTATGAGCTCGGATAGTGGTGTGAAATGAGGAGGCCCCTCGCGGGGCAGTTGTAGTTTGCAGCGAAGTCGACATGAGAGTCCTCCACATGGCATGTCGTGGATATGGGCATATCTATGATTCATTTGCATTGGCTTGCACCGACTAGGTTCGACACAAGGCTGACTATAAATATTCGAGGGTAGAGGTAACTGACTGCCTGCTGCCTACTTGCCAGGGTATGATCTGTATCTAGACCTCGAGTCATGCGAGTCAGAAACTCTCAGAAGCACGAACATCGAGGTGGGAAGGTCGACCGCTGATCGCCGAGGATGTTTCACTCACGCGACTTGCCCGTTAAAGCCTAACAAGTCCGATCATCGGTGTTTCAGCTTTCGCTCGCCCGCTGTGTCTTGCCTTGCTTGGGCAAGGATCAACGACTACGAAGGGAGTTCCCCACTGGGTCCCCAACCGTGAACACATCTGCTTAGATTCATCGGCTATCCGCAATCTCGTCGTAAACGCGCTTGGTATACCATAAGACAGAGGCGCAGTCGTCGGGAGATCGTTCCGGGGTTCCGGGTTTCGCGACTGAGCTAACGAGGTGTACATGATCGATCAGAGGTTAGCGTTTTCAAGGTCAATACTAGCACATTAATGCCAACTGAGTCCTTTACCGTATAAACTTTCCTGCAGCTCGTCAAGTCGACTCTGCCAAGGCTGATTGAGAAGAACCATCATTTCAGCGATCTCGCTGTACAAGCTCAGCCTTTCAACGAGTCATCCTTCTTCATGCAGCAGATGAATGGTTTTATTTCCTTCAGAAGTCTGGCCGCCGCTACCCCCGCCCACCGCTCTAAGTCGTGTCGTAAGGTATAAACTGAGTACTTGATCACTAGTATCTCGTTGCGAATGCACTGGTTGCGCATTCCAGTCGAGCGAAACGTTGCTTCCGTTATCTAATAAGCATGTAAATGAGATCTAAGATGTCAAGCTAGAGCTAGATACAACATTTGCATATGGTGTTATGCTCTCATCACTGGCCGCTGTCGAATCACAGCGTGCGTTCAAGCAGACTTTAGATCTGACATGCATGACGACGCAGGCACAGTCGTGTAATCGGGTGGCTCAATGGACGACTTGCTTTGAAGAACGGTTTCCGGCTCTGGGGACGATGATCGCCGAGAACCGTCTCCGCGGTCATTCGGATCAGCGCCTGCGGCCTTCGAAGGATCGGACGGACGGCGAGTCCGTCCGGTGGATTGTGTTTGTGTTGGGTTTGACGCTGTCATCTTCTCTACCCTTGCTGGTTGCTGATCTATGTAGGGAAACCGTTGTTGTGTTTCGACCCAGTGTGTCATGCAACAAGCGCTATTGAAGCAGCGGAAACAGCAGTTTCGCTCTGACATTGTCGAGGTTGATTCAAGTGTTCGAAGTGAAAATGAGGACCTGTTGCTGATCAAGGATACCTCTATTTGCCAATTGTTCTTAGTCGTTGAATATATGAACCTCGGGCTGCCGCCCCTTTCTGCCGACGACGTATACAGCCACGAAAGCACCATATGACGAGATAAGCGTACAAAGGATCACATTGCGTGATCTAACCGCAACAACCGTCCTCGTTCTCCTGCTGCACTAGTTCTACAGTAGTATACCGTAAGCCAGTGAAATGCCGTATCGTAACAAAGGAAGAAGCTTTAATTTACAATACTCTATCACGACGCCATACAGTGGTATACGCATATGCGCAAGTCATGTCGTGACATTTTCAACCCGGTGATCTCGTGAATGCGTAGGCATGTCCGTTCTTGAAGAGGTAGAGCTGATGCCTTTAGAAATACAAATTGAAGGTGAGTGCCGTACAAGATTCACCAGATGTATAGCTTCGCAAGAGGTGTGACTAGCGGGCCGTGAGAATTCATTCTCCATCCAGCCTCCGGGAATCCAAACCGTCGGCTTGAATACAATGGCGGATGATAACATGCATGTGAGTCATATTCTTCCGCAGCTGAAGCATTGCCCTCTTGGATCTATCCATACCTCTCAAGACAGGAGACCCGCTCAAAGGAGGGGAATGGTGTGATAAGCTTCTCCTGTCCGCACCCTCACAGTCGAAGACATATAAAAACCTCCCTCAATCTCCCTCAATCTTTGTCTCTCTCTTAGGTGCTCCTGCGTAAGTCTCAGTACAGTCCTCCAGATCACCTCCACCTATCCTGTTCCTCGATCACTTGACTCAAGATGGCAGACAACAGATATTCTAACAAGCAATATACTGCAGACTTCAGCCACGATCGGGCTTCTTCCGGCTTGGACATGATGTTCCAGTACCTGCAGTCCAACTCGATCACTCCCACAAGCTACTTCACGGTCCGACCGACCGAGGTGACGAAGTCTGAGAATGGCTCCGTCTCCTCCTCACACGAGTCCAATAATGATGACGATGAGCCGGAGAAACCGCCTTCTCAAGGCCCTTTGGGTCGACCCAAGGGAAACGACGATGTCATCCTGGACCGGAAGCAGTTTCTCAGCGCTGGGCTTCAGTCAACCCGAGGACTGAGTAAATGCACTTGGTTGTGCTCGGGAGACTCCACGTTGATCTCCTTTCTGTTCAAGAGGCTTCCTCCCTTGGACAACCCGCTTCAAGCGCATATATCACCGTTTGACCGTCTTGACCAAAATGTGCAAGGTGCTGCGTTCCCCCTCGCTCTCTACGCCGTGCTACAAAGCCTCCCCCTTTTTGACGAGGACGATGTCCATATATTTCAGTTTGCTGGAACCGAGCAAGGTATAGCAGCACTCTGGGTCCGACAGGTATGGTACTTCATCTTCTTAGGAGGGACGCAGTTAGAGGAATTGCGTCGCGAGTGGCCCGTTGTCTCTGGTACCAACATGATGGCCGGAGCTTGAGATGTGAGATAGCCAGGACAAGGCGAGAATCGATTGCCGACAAGTTCGTTTCACCAATGGACGCATAGTGAATATGTAGACTAGTCCATGAAGCGTCGAATTGTATAGGAAAGCATCTTGATAAGATATCGTATCACCGAAAGCTATAATTCTGCGTCACCGGGCACCTGTTTCTGATCTGACGGAATACGCGTCATCATCTTGATAATAACGCCAAGGCGAACTGAGGTGACTCGATTATGGACTTTCGCAGCGAGGGAGAAAGCTGGTCTCAGCGCTGCCTTCAGCCCTACAGGTGAGGAGGGGCAAATTCATGAATAGCTTATCAGCTCCGCCCTCATAGCCAGGCAGATGTCATTTGTTCGTGAGGGGGATATCATAGACAAAGGAAGCTCAGCTTGTCGATCATTGATGGCTGTTGTTCGCCTACATATAAGTGGAGCTGGTGGGACATTGCACAACTTTCGCTGAACCCCCACTATCGCTCGATCTGGCGATTCGCTTCCCGATCAACCTCCTGAAACCAGACGCCTCACGCGAGGAGCCCTTTACAAGCATGTCACTCTCAGGACAACAACCATACACCGGAGCAGCTTCTGTTGTGACCCAGGGAGATTGCGAAAGTGACTCGACGCACAACCCAAAAGATATATTCGTATTTGGTGCTCTCCCATAGATGTACCGTTGAAGCATCTACCCAACTGTCTTCAGTCGTCTGTGGCGAAAAGTTTACAGATGGCCCAAGATCTCCCAACGGATCCAGACTTGCTTCATCGATCGGATTTGACGGGGAAGTTTCACGTGAGCGTCGTCGTGTTGGTGTTGACGCATTAGCCCAAACGTTTCCGACACTGTGTGAGGAGGAAATGGCAAACCGGTCTGAACTTTGCAACTGGAAGTTCCTTCGAACATGCGATCACGACCTGAAGTTCTTCCTCACTACCAAGTTGATGCTTGACACTGAGGAAGGATCTTACACTCACAGGACGTCGAGGTATAAAGGACTAATTTCGACACGACGGAGAAAGTCTTAACCACTTTGCGTGACCCGCGGTTGGAACACGTTGTGAAACTGCACAAATTCTTGAAAGAATGCCATGCAGTCAAGCAAGAAACTCACCTCTTGCATCTGAGCGATACCTGCCGCTTCTCGGCGATGGTCTTTCGGCAGGAAGCGTGGTGCATCACATGGCTTTACACCCATGAGCTCGCAGGCTGGCTGGAAGAGTACGACTCGCGCAAGAGAAGCGTGTAGGACTGTCACCTCATGATACTGTAGGAAACGCCTTGTACCAGTAGTCGCGAAGTATGTAGCGAGGAGTCAGAGATCAGAGATGAATCAGAGGCAACGCTCGACATCGTCCCGTACCACTAGCCGTTTCATGTCGAGCATCATCCAAAGCCTCTTTCCATGCAGCCCCACGTTCGATCACCGCGGAGGCAGTCGCTAAAACGCGGGGAAGATACGATCCCGTTCCAGTAAAGTTGGCACATCCGATGGTCGTCTGGGGCGCTAATGACAGCGCTTGGTTTCGATGACGCTACTTCTTGATCGCTTGCGACAGGTGGTCGAGAAGTTTCTCAGGTGAACGTAAGAAATGGTAGGTGGATGAACTGCTGGTATGGTTGCTCAAGCTGGAAAGACCTAGATCTGCCGTCGACCTTGTCGCTCTTTTGTGTACCTCGCTCGTCCAACAAAGATCTCAAACTCCCGCCGGCCGAAGCGGATCACGCGGGACGATTAATCAAAAAAGAGTTTCCGTGGCTTCCTCCCCTTCTCTCCGCGCCTTCGCGTGTAGTGATGTGATGTGCCGTTTAGCTCTTCCCCGACGCGCTCTGCCCCTGCTGTGCTCCGGCCCTAGGAACCCCCTTGCTCTCGCTGGGCGGATCGCTGAGGCTGCGACGTCGATATCCAAAGAGCAGCCCTTGAGACGATCCGAGATGATCTTCCTCTTTCTTGGTGTTTGTTACGATCAAAGCCACGTCCAGCTCAACGTCCCTTTGACACGCTTCAACACCCACTGCCGAAATAGAAAGAAACAGGTTTTCCCGCCGGCTCTCGCTTAATCGCTCAAACTCGATCAGACAGTATCCACCTTGTCCTCCCATCAGAAAAAGTCGAACGCACGGTCGTTTGACAATCGCTTTTGATCATCAAATCCGGCATCCTTTGGCATCTCGCATCTCGGGCAACACACACTCTCTTGATCTCTTTTCAGGAATACAAGACCACTTTCGGACGTCCTACCTCGACCTCTTCGGTACTTTGTGAGCTGCTAGCGGCCAGCATAGACGAGACGACAGATCGCGTTTCTCTCTCCTCTTGGACGCCAAGCCCAGGTGAGAGCTACTTCCCCCCTGCTTCCCCTTTTCGCCACGCACAGCTCTCTCTCCCCCTCCCTTTCCTCGCCTTGTTTACGTGCTCATCACCTCTTCTCTCTCTCTCTCTCTCCTGTACTCCTGTCTCCCTTTCTTTTCCGAAACACCACCGTGTCATCGCATCGAACAACTTTTCCATCAACAAACCTCCTTATCGCCATCGACACCCCCGAATCCACGCTACACTCTCGCTCGCTCGCTGGCTCGACCTCACACTCGCTGCCTGCATACTGCGGGGATTCCCATCCATTCCTTGGTACTCTCCTTGTCTTCCTCTCTCCCCGCTCCTTGTCTGTCGCTTTCGGCCTCTTTCTTGTGCTTTGGGTTGGCATTTCGCGTAACCCGACCCCACGATCACTACCGAAAACAACGCACAGCTAGCTAGCTACCTTCCACCACCACCTAGTCCCCCCCTCCCCGCATCATTATCCTTTCAACAACCTGCAACTTTCACCAGCATCGTCTGGAACGATATTCAACCTGATGCCTTCCAAATCCAATAACAACTACGCTTTCGGTCCTAGCAACTCCAACGCCGCCATCTCTAGCAACTCGCACAACCCGTTCATCAACAACGCGTCCTCGTCGCAACAGCAGCAGTTACATCAACCTCGACCGACACCTTCGAGAAGCTTGACGGGTGGTGGTGCTACCAGTCCTAGTGGCCATTCACCTCTGCTCGGTAGTTACGAGGACCGTCATCACGACGACCTGTCCCAGAACCGATTGTTGGGACCCAACATGAGCAGACAAGGCAGCGCTGATAGCATGGGTAGCGTGAGTTTTTGTCTGACCTGATCACAAGTCGACAGAGACTTCAAGACTGATCGACCTCGACGATGACGACGACCTACAGCGATACAACCCCAACTCTCCTCACCTCTCTCCCTCAGCCCAGCCTCTCTACCGGTCAGGATCCCCTACTCCCTCATCTTCCGACTTGCACGCACCGGCTGGACCTTATGCGAGCATCAACTCGAAAGGAGGCTACCGGGGTGGAGCGGGTGCCGTCGGTGCGACATCGTTCGGTGAAAAGGGATGGAGCGCGCAGAACAACGCTTCGGGAAGCTTGGCACCTAGCATCAGCGACAAGTTTTCGCTGTCTCCGGACCCGGCGTCGTGGGGTGCCAACGTCGCACTGAACCATCCGGAGCCGGACGACTATCTGCATAACCCTGACCCAAAGCGGGATCGCAAGTACGACCGGGGCGGTACAATCTTTACCGTTCGAGGATTGTACAACATCGGTTGCATTTTGATCCTGGTTCTGGCTCTTTGCACCCTGTTCGGCGGGTACCCGCTGATCTCCTTTTTCACACGGGACCCGCCGAACACGCTCGGTGGATACAACTTGGGTGGAATCAACGGGACCGGTCAAGTCGCTACCCGGTTGGGCAACTTCAACCTGATCGACGAGGATACCCCGGCTGATGCGTACACGTATACAAGCAAGTGGACCGGAGAGACCTGGGACCTCGTATTCAGTGACGAGTTCAACCTGGATGGAAGGACCTTCTGGCCCGGTGATGACCCGTTCTGGGAGGCGGAGAACATCCATTACTGGGGAACCAACAACTTGGAATGGTGAGTCGCACGGGATCGAAGAAGGGAATGTCAATCATCCGACCTGATGCACTAATCTGCTTGCGTGTCCTGCTTGTTAGGTACGATCCCCGATCGATCACCACCGAGGGAGGAAACCTGAAAATCACTCTGACAAACTCGCCTCAGAAAGGGCTCAATTACACTGGAGGATTGATGAGCACCTGGAACAAGTTCTGTTTCCGAGGCGGATACATCGAGAGTGAGCCGATGGCGGGCACCCTCATACAGGCGAGTATTTGACTGACACCTCGACTTCTGCGCCTTTCGTGCTATCCAGCCAGCCTCGTTTTGCCTGGTACAAGCTCTGTTTACGGGTGAGCCCAGAACGATAAACTTGATTCTTATCTCCCGGAGCTGACATGATATCTCTCGCTACCTAGTCTTTGGCCCGCTGTGTGGACTATGGGTAACCTCGGACGAATGGGTTACGGAGGTACACTAGACGGAATGTGGCCTTACTCTTACGACTCGTGCGATACTGGAACCATGCCCAACCAGACCTTGAACGGTCAGTCTATCTGAGCGAATGTTGATTCGGACCAAATTTGAGCATTGACGATGTCTCAATCTTCTACTTGTAGGCGGTCCGAACGTCGCGTTGACCACGGGTCCCGAGCAATCTCCTTTCAACGGAAGCTTGTCGTACCTTACCGGTCAACGTCTCTCCTCGTGTACCTGTCCCGACGACCCTACCCACCCTGGACCCAAGAAGGCCAACGGAGATTTCAAGGGCCGAGCCGCTCCTGAAATCGATCTGATCGAAGCGCAGGTGAGAACTGGTCCTCAGCTTCGAATCTTGTGAACGCAAACGCTGACGCCGCCCGATCTTCAGGTTCTGCAAACCGATCACGGAATCGTCTCGGAAGTATCCCAGTCCTGTAAGTCGTGTCAAGCAATGATCGCGCTGCATGTATCGGCGCTGACCTCTGTTTGTTCAATCTCCAGGTCAATGGGCGCCGTTCAACCCGTATTACTACTTTTCCACGAACGTGTCCGGCACGGACTATCAGATCATGGACGATTCGATGACCAAGATCAACACGTACTTGGGAGGTGTTTACCAGCAGGCCACATCTGGTGTATCCTACACCGACCCCAACTGCTAGTATGTGATGACCTCACCTGCTTGCAAATTCGAGCTGGTTCCCGCGTCTAACCATACATTGTTTTATAGTGAAGGGAACACGGGATGTTTCTCGATCTATGGATTCGAGTATGCCCATGGCGAGTAAGTCAGCCGGAGGGCGTTTCGAACGATCTTCAGGCGATCCTCATCCGTCTTTGCCTTTTCAGCGAGGGATACGTTTGGTGGGTGAACGATGGCAAACCCGCATGGTGGATTGCGGGCTCGGCGATGAAGCCTGTACCAGAGGCGGACGTCGGTCAGAGGCCTGTCCCGTACGAGCCGATGTACTTGATCGTCAACTTGGGTCTTTCTGAGAACTTCGGAGCCATCGAGTTAGTCTTGCGAGAAACAAGCCATCGCCAGAGTATCGCGCTGACTTCCAGCTATTGCTACATCCCAGCTACGAGGGTCTAGAGCAGCTCTGGCCGGTACACATGTTGATCGATTACATCCGGGTATATCAAGACCCCAAGGCCAAAGACCTCGGCTGCGATCCGGAGGATATGCCCACCGCAAGCTACATTGAGATGTACAAAGAGGCTTACACGTATGTTACCCGAGTCCGTTGAAAGTCCGCCTTGGTCCCAAAGCTAATCATCTTCCACTCTACAGCAACGCGAACATCTCCACCTTTGATCAAATCCCAGAGCCACACCCACCGAAGCCGAAGAATCGACTCGATGTGAGTTATGCCGAAAATCGAGTGCTCGAAGCGAACGCCACTGATTTCGATGTCGTTTTCCATTGTAGGGTGGTTGCTGAGTGCGACCTTGAGCCGGGATTTCACCATCTTTCTTTACGATATACCCACGAGTTCACGAATATTCACCCATTTCTTGTCCATCATCTATGTCCTCCGACCCCTCATCGATCTCGGTGAGGATCGGACAACGAGGTTTGTTCGTTTGTATACATCAATCATGGCGGCGTTATTAGATCTTTGCGGTCATTGTAGCACTGTTCCTCTGAACTTGCATAGATTCCAGTCGGCACCCGTTCTATCCATTATAAGCGACTTCTACAAACCCTCGTTACATACAAACAGAATTGATCAAGCTCTTCCAATAACCTCCCGTAGCATCACCTCAGTCTTCTTCCTATGCCTCTTCTTCTTTCTTCCTCATCGTCTTTCCCGGCAGCTATACCCTTAGCTTCGCCTTCGACTTCCTCATCATAATCATCGCCCTGGACGTGGCTCATTCGCTCAATCCCCGTCGACAGGCACCTCATTGGCGGAATTGTTATTCCAATCGCCGAGCTTCTGCCTCATCCATCTCCTGATCGGTGTCAGCGCCGCCCTGATCCCGCCGGGGCTGCTGATGTTGCTGCTGCGGCTCCTCTTCCTCCTCTTCTTCCTCTTCATCATCCTCGACCTGCCGCTCCTCCTCCTCATCGTCTTCATCATCATCTTCTTGAACTGGATCGTCCTCCTCGTCCGTCTCGCTACCATCAGCGGATCCTGTTCTGGCATTGGACTCGCGTGACAGGCGCCGTTGCTCTGCGTTTCTCTCCTCTTGGTACTCTTGGTGCAGCTTGTCGGTTGAGGGTAGGTAATGACGTGCACTGCCCAGCACCAACAATTTGTCGATGCGGCGTCGCTTTACCAAGTCCTTCATCTTATCCCTAATCTGGTTACTGGTTCTTCCCGAGAAGACCGGCTCAGTCTGAAATCGTTTGTACACGTATGCCGTCGGCTGTCCTGAGCAGCCAATGGGCACTTTCTGGACCTCGCGATAGAGGAAAAGACCCTCCGCTATGGTCCAGGTCCTCCGCATTTTGGAGCGGTAAGCGACACCGCCCTCCCCGGTCGTCCGGTTGGCTTGATCCTTGGTGAGATTGCTCATCTTTGTATATCGTTTGTATAATCGTAGAGGTCTGCCATGCCTATCGTGCAGCGGGTTTCGATTCTCATCGTAGAGATAGTCGTCTGCTGGATCCAAACGGAAGACTTTCGTATTACCAGGCGGCTGGGGTGCAAGACGCAGTTCTTCGTCGTCACCCTCAGGGGCTTTGGGATTCCCGCGAGTAGCCCTTGGTGCCAAATCGACATCTGGCTGATGAGCGAGATGGCCAGCACGATAATCGCGCTGGCGGGGCTGAGGGCGGGGGCGCACTGGCTCCCGACGTTCACCTATCGTTATGGATTGATCATTGGGTGGCTCGACACTATTCGTGTCTCCTAAATCATCTCCCAGAGGATCAATCTGAACCGCATCCTCTCGGTTCCCAGAAGCCCTATCCGCAACGACTGCCGCTGGCGTCTTCTTGGTTCTGGCGCGCTCGCCCCGGGTCCCTTCAGGGTGCTGCTGGCTTCGGCTCGGCTCAGCGGCCTGGCTCTCCCAGTCGACGGGGCCCGCGGGAGCCATGATCAATCTAGAAGAAGAAAAGCGATTGAGCATGATAGATCTACGGCGTCTTGAGTATGTCACAGGGAGGGCATACCTTCTTTGATCTTGGTTTTGAACGCTGCTGGTGTATAATGTTATCAGCACACTGCGAGGTAAAGCGAGCCATATTCGACTGACCGTCGTTCCCCTGCCAAGACTTGGCGTATAGGCATTCGGTCCGGGCCCTCTCGCACTGCCCATTGCGATCCTTCAGGCGCTTCGAGCTCTTCAATCTCTTCCTCCTCTTCTTCCTCCGCCAGAGAAACCGGGACTGGGACGACGTCTTCTTGCTGATCTTGTTCCCGCAAGTATTGATCCATATCCGCCTGAGTGAACCGCATATCACCATCGTCATCTTCCGGTTGATCCAGGTTCGTGTCATGAACCGCGTTATCCCGCCTGGTTCTAATGAAAGTAACATAATGGTCAACGTTTCGAACGTTGCTATGAGTAGAAAGGCATCGGGCTTACCTCTCCTCCTCTTCTGGCTCTGGCAACGCGATCACCTTGTCGATAGTCATCTCATCTTCCTCATCTTCTTCAATCTCCTCGTCTTCTTGCACATCCTCGTCATATACCCTGCCGCTAGGAAACCCTTCCAAGACGGATGGCTGTCCTTGTACCTCGTCCAGATCGAGATCAGCGAGAGCGTCGTTTATATAAGCCAGCATTTCTGACTTGAATTCCTCATACGGGAACTGTCCGCTTGCAACTTCCAAGTGTTCCGCTCTACGGAGCTGCATAACCATACGTGTCTGGGTAATCGCTTTCGGATGACGCACTTCTGAGAACCGCGACATACCTGACGTTTTCTCTCTAGGACAAACTCTTTCCAGATATTCACAGCGATTGTTTTTTCGTCCATAACATTATCAAGCTTGGACCAACCCTCCAAGTCAGTGAGGGCTTCCGTAGCAAAAGCATCCTCGACGTTCGGATGGAGGTGACCATCTGTCACAAGCGGCTCCTGTAAGTCTCCGAGTTCAGAAAGTACGCGCTGTCACGGGAGAAGTCAGCCGTCTACGAGGCTCGAGAGCCTGAGGAATTCAAGAGGCATACCTGGGTCGCGAGGTCTACCAACAGTTGGAGAGCGGTTCGATCATTCCATGGTTTCGGTACGCAGCAAGACAAGAAGACACTCGAGGCTTCTTTGAGGGCACGACAAGGCTTTTTGTCTCTGGCGTGCTCGTCGAGGCTCTCGGCAGCATCTTCTGGCGAGTCGATTATCCTCGCAAAAGCCGCAATATCGGTAAGACGAAGCGCTTTGTTGAGAGTTACGGATTGTTCGAAAGGGTCAAAGTCGTCCACTCTTGACAGCGAGTCCCTTTGGAGAAAGTGTGCTAATCTTTCGTTGTAGAAGATGGATCCCCGAGCAGCTGGAAGAAGGTACAAGTGACGTCAGCTGGACCGTTCGATCTTTTCCCGAATCATGCAACTGACCCTCCCAGTTCTTCCATTTGGCATTCATCGCCATGTCAAAAGGTCCTTCACTCTCTCCTCTCCGGTCCAAGACAGCTTGTAAAACGATACCAGAGTCTCGGTACAATCTCTGAGCTCGCTCTTCAATCGTCAAAGGAGCGAATATCAAACGAGTATCCGGCCGGCCCGCATTGTTCCCAGGGGCAGGGACAAGAGATCGTCTGAGCTCCATTCGTTGAGCTGCCGTCACAGCAGTGCCATCCTCCTCGACCTCAGATTCGCCTTGGTCAGAGTCCGGCAGATCCTGCGTCACCTCCTCCATGACCTTGGCCAACCGTGGCGGTCCTGGACCTGGAGGTTTGGCTTGCGATCTGGTGACCCGTCTTGGTCCGCCTTCGTCTGTACCGTTCGAGACCATGGAGCCAGATCTGCTCCTGGTCGCCCTTGTACCCCGACTGGTGTTGGCGGTCTGTTGAGCATTGGCTGCGCGACTGGACGACCCTGCTGTGGGATAAGGTGCTGTCTGGCTCTGGCTGCGGGAACGCGTGGCCGGCGGCATGATTAACCACTAGCCGAGACGAGTCAGCTGAGATCGATCCGAATAGAGACGAGTAGCTAATTTCAAGAACGTTATGAGTCGATGTATCGAATCTGCAGAATGAACGAATGAATGGATGATGATGCGAGGTGGAAATTGCTTCAACGACCGAGAGAGTCCTCGACCTCGGCGCGTCGGCTTCTTCTGTTTTGTTTGTGAAGCAAGCGACGCGACGGGGGATCATAGGCAAGAGGCTGTTTTTCGTTCTACTCTGTCCGTGCGATCGACAATGCTGTACACTGCTTAGTCTGCTACAAGATCATAGGTCTGCAAGTCCGGGTACGGTAGCGTCCATCTTCTTTACTTCTGGGTGGAGACCCTGCTTCTCGGCCTTGTATGCCTGCAAGGCACAAAGGGCAGCTACAAGTCAAAAGGGCATGATGAGTCGGTCGGGCGAGCATCAGGGAGCAATTTCTTCTCGTTGCAGGCTCACCTCCGACTCCACTACCGTCCTTGGCAAGACCAAACGTCACCCGCTGCTCGGCATCCTGTCCGATAGTGTCCCGCAGGGCGGCTCGCACACGCTCCTCGAAGAAGGGCAAGAACTCGGCTACGCTTCCGTCCATACCGACATCAATAGGGTCCGACTTGTCGAGTGCCTTGGTGTGCAAGACAACAGCCGCAACGGCACAGGCAGAGAGAGCGGCGGCCCTCGTCGATACTGCCTGGCATGCCCACTGTACGAGTTCGACATCCTGCTCGCTAATGTTGTTTTCGGGAATGTTCAATTCGCGGAAGATGGCCGATTTGACCTCTTGAGCGCTCTTGGCGGCCTCGATGGCCGAAACAAAGGCAGTGTCGAATCCGTAATGGGTGTTGAGGATGGGGCTAGAGTATCCGCTGAACAATAGCAGGTTGTCGACCAGGTAGAGGAGGATGTTTCGAACGATCTCTCCGAGGTCTGTGTATCCACCAAGCCAAGTGAAAAGAGGTAAGTGAGGAGGTTCGAGTCAAGGTGAGACATGAACATGGCTTACACATTCCCGAGACCATCTTCTCGAATGCTTGCTTTCGGCTAGGGAACAGACCGGAGCGTTAACTGCGAGATCCTCGTCGTGTGCTGCTGTTTGCCAACTTACGGGTTGATAGACTCTCGGTCGAGCTTGTTGTCGAACATCGAGACGGGGAGAACTTTTCGCTAAGATCGAACGATAAGTGTCAGTCATACATCCGTCGTGCGCTCTGACCGAATATCGACTGACCTGGTTGTCAATCGCACCCCATTCGGTGTTGACGACCATGTACTCTCCGGCATCTTTTCCTCCCTTCTTGCTCTCGGTAATAGCGGTTTCTCCCAACTTGGTGATCGTCTCCACCCTGTCAATGTAGGCACCGTTGGTTCCGGTACCAAAGATGGCACCGATAAGAGCGGGACCGGATTGGTAAGATCGGGACAAGAGGGTTCCGACCGTGTCGTTAACGAGAGCGGAACACCTGACGTGGACGTGCTTGCGGTCGAGAGCGTCTTGCAGGAGCTTGACGACGTCGTGGCCGATGGCGTTCTTGCAAGCGAATCCCTTGGTCCAGGTGAGGAGCTTTCCCTTGTTCAAGGCGGTCTGCTCGACGGGGAAACTGGTGGAGTTGAATAATAGGGGGTTTAGTGACAGCTAATAATGAGACAAGGAACTAGGACCGTCGAGACATACCTGAAAGTGAAACCAAGGTGGATCTTCTCATTCTCATCCATCTCGGTACCGATATCAGTCAAGAAAGAGTCGACCGAATCGGCAATGTAGTCTGGTCGAGCGTGAAAGCGAACTAGATCAGCTGTTATGCCGTCGATGCATGCTCGCTGATGCTTACCAAACAAAGCTCGTGCCTCGCCTTGTTTGAGCTCATCGGTAATCTTGTACTTGCGCTGCTGCACGTTAAAGTTGTTCTTGCCTTCGAGAGTGACCTCGCAGACTCGCCTAGTGGGCAATGGGCAAGAGGTGGTCAGCTTGATTAGCTTGGGGGAAGAGACCCCTATCTGAGCTCACAAGTTGGTACCACCAAGGTCGAGAGCCAAGAAGGTGCTGAGAAAGAGAGCAAGTCTCACAGTGAGCATGCTTATCTGGCTCGAAAGAAGAACTCTTCGAGAGCGTACCCGACTTCGCTACCGTTGGGTACGTTCAGACAGTAGCTGGGAATCATGGCAGTGTCCCGTCCAAAGTTCTGGAGACCATCCTCGAATTCGGTCCTGAAACCCTTGACAATCTCGTTGAGACGCTCGGGAGTCAAGTAGAAGAACTTTTCGATGGCCTGGACCTCGGCAGGGAGCTTGCTGTTAGAGGTGGTAACGGGAGCCATGGTGGTGAGGTGGGTGTCGCTGTGAGAGTTTTAGAGAGTGGTAGGTCGAGAGGTTTCCTGTAGACTGGCTCCAAGCTTGACGTGCCGAGCGTTGATTATCAGGAAGAAGCAGAAGGGACCTTTTGGCTATTCAGCTCTCGAAGTGTGTGTGGGTATCCGTTGACGATGAACAGGTCGAAGCAGATGGTCGAGCATTGCGATTCGGTCTGGGATGGGATGGGATGGGATGGGATGGTTGCCAAGTTTCCAGCGACGGCAAGGTCAGGGTGGAAGCAAAAAGGGAGAGAGGGTCGAAGAGAAAGGGGCGGGCAGGCAGCAGGCAGGTGACGAAGCCCCTCGCGTAAAAGGCTTGGGAACCGACGTCACGTGCCGGGGGGACTACAAGTAGCTAGGACCCACGTCGATCATTCGGTTTCAGGATCGCAAGTCGGACGAGCACGTAGACCGATTCAATTATTGTATTTTGTAGTGCAGGGCGAGGCCTAGTGAACCGATCTATACACCTGTACATTTTGTGGAGAGCAGAACATGAGGCGACATTATAGCGAAGTAGACACGAAATTGTCCATTAGGCCGATCTCTGCGGCTTCGAACCTCCGACGCTTTTAACGGTTGAGCTTGGCTCGTGCGGCCTTGCGCATGGAAAAGTCGATGGGGAACCAGGTGATCACGCAGACCAGCATAAGAGCCAGGATGCAAGGTTGCATGACCTTGATAGAAAACCTGTCCGCTAGGGCTCCGGTAGCTACGAAATGTGCACTCACGTCAGTCTTGGATATCGGCGGGTTCCTATGTAAACTTCAACTGACCGAAGGGGAAGATGGCGCCTCCAGCTGCCCCGAAGCTTTTTGCAGGTGGAATGACAGAGACTTGTAGGTCAACCTCGTATACTACCTATTGCTGAGATTGGTTTGACTTACCTTGCGACGAATCCGATAGCTCCGGTAACGATACCGACAGGGAAAATCTTCGCACAGGCGTTCTGCAGATCAATGATGGCGTCAGTGAGAGGGACTCGCTTCATCGACGGGACTAGAAGGCTCACCATCACGATAGGATAGATAGGTCCCTATAGCAGCGTAGGGTCAATACAGAGTCTGCAGAGCTGAAACGATACAGGTGTACGCACCAGTAACACTCCGATAATACTGACAGCGACGGCGTTGCCGATGACGCTGGGTACAAACCATACCACGAAGTGCAAGCCAACGGCGCAAGACAGGCTAGTAAAGGCGAAAGATGATGAGATCAGGGCCGCTATCGCGACAGGTTTGCCCAAACTGGCTTACTAGAAATATCCAGCCAGACCTTCTCCGATCTTTCGGTTCAGTGGTACAAAGATGACTCGTCCGACCGTCAGACCTGTGCGTGTAGGGAAGGTCAGATCAGACTTTCCTCTCGATTTCGAGGTGAGATATCCGCCTTACCTCCCCAGAAACCGGTGGCGACATATCCGGAATCGACACCACCACCTCGGACTTCTCTCAAGTATGATACCTGGAGATGATATATTGAATCAGACCCGTGTCTCGTTTGTCGACAATAAATAATATACTCACAATCCATCCACCTAACGGACAACCAGTTTCGAAGCGGCATCAGTCTCGATCCATGTCGTCATCGCCGCAGCAGAATCGCTCACCGATCGTAACCTCGAGACCGACATAGGCCAACAAATGACAAGCGATAGCCCAAGTAGGCTTGAGTTTCATGATTCTCTTCATCTTGTCTCCACTGCTTTGTTCGGCCATCTCTTCGTATTCTCCACTCGCGTTCTGCACCTGCTCGGGAGGCTCGGGTCCCAAAACCTGATCGGCTGTTCTGAAGCGGTATACCAGCACACACCAGACGTTGTTCACGATCGTGAGAGCCAGCGAGACCAGGAAGTAGAAATAGAACCGTTGAGGATAATGCTCGACGAAGAGAGTCGATACGAAGGGGCTGCAGGTCGCACCAAGACCTGGATAGAGCAGATTCAAGCTGAGCTTCGATCAAGGCAAAAGAAGCATAATCACGATGGCTAACCATAGGCTGCATGGATCAATGCCATCTTGACGTCTGGACGTCGGAAACGGTTGGTCAAGCTGTTTGCTTGGGCGTCCTGGATGCGCAGGTATTCGCGTCAACCTCGCCAAAATCTCCGGTGGGGGGCCGTGAACACTCACCTGCAAGCTGGTTCCGACACCGTTGAAAAACATGGCGACCACGAACAGGGGATAAGGTGGCAGCCAACAATTGAGGGCGAAGGACAGCGTTTGGAATCCTCCTCCGATGAGAACGACCTGTAGATGTTGCGGCAATCAGCGTTACTGGAGGGAGAAGCTGTTTCTACCGGGACGACTGACCCAACCCAATCCGAAGCGATCCGTCAACCAGACGTTACTTAATGCTCCGGTAATGAATCCGGCGCATTGAACAGGGAAGATGATGCTCACTTAACCCCAAAATGCAAATGAAGGTTAACAAACCGAATGCCAGCGCGAAAATATCCCGGTCATTGACTCACTGACAAGGTACCGAATCTCGTAGCGGGCTTGCAGACTAGGCAAGAGCGGACCCGAACTAGCATCATTCCACCCGGCCTCTAATGAGGCGATATAACGAAGATTAGGAGTCAAAATCATCTAACGCTTAAAATCGTATTATTGAGGATACCTACGGAACAAGGATATGCAACAAGCCGAAAAGACGATCAATTCCTGCTTCGACGTAAGCTTCCGGACAATGGAAGCCGAGTCGTTCACGCCCTCTGATGGAGGTCCAGCCGGAGCAGCAGCAGCGCCCTCCTCATCGACGTGCTTCTCGTCGTGATACTTTTCGTCGTCGTGGTCGTAACGTGTCTCGTCATTTTGCGCAGCAACCTTGTTGACCGTAATGACATCGGCCTTTAGTTGGCTGACCGTGTCCATGATGCGAGATCGATCCTACCGGATACTATAACTGATCGCGATGTCGCTGAACGTAGGTGTTTGCACCAGGGCGAGTTGTTGGTCTATCGCTACTGCTTGTCCGTTCTCTGACCTATCCGATTAAAAAACGCTCTTCAACTCTTCAAGTGGTCTTCGCCTCGTTGACATCTTCAAGGCCTTCGGTATATCGGTATTTGCAGGAAATTCTCTTGGAGCGTCGGTAGAACGTCGGGCTTGAGCGGAAGGTGCGCCGCACTACCGGAGCCAACGCCGAGCCCCCAGCATGCGGGTCATCTTTTGTCGTCGGACAGCTTGATCAGCAGTCCAAGTCATGAGCAGGTCACGAGGATGGTCATTTCTTCAGCTGAAGATACGTCAGGTATAGTCTAGACGACGTGACAGACAGAAATATATGGAAAGCGCAAGTTTTCGCTCGATATAGGTCACGATGGCCGATCTGTCCCTTTGGCCGATGCGCGACGCCCTGCGATTCCATCAGTTCTATCGATCGCGCAGACCGGGAGGTCACGGCCCACGGCGTGATGTCGTAAGGTATGCTGGGAAGCTGGGTTGTATGATTCTTGGGCTACCTGGGCTGCCGGCCAGCTACCAGCTGAGGACTGATCACTGATGGATGCCTCGATGCTGCAGTCAGTGGACCCCTGCTCGCTGCTCGTCGCTCGTTGAAAGGTTGTCTGTGCGACCGGATGCAGCCGAAAGAGCGATGGCGCGTGGTCGACGCGAGACTTTGTTGCCGTGGCGTGGTACCTGAGACCGTTTGCCCACGCGCCACCACGCCGCCTTCCCGCCCAATCCGCCCTGTCGATCAGAGGGACGGATTCGTTCACTTTTGCGACCTCTTCACCTCGTTACCGTCCTCGAGTTCCGTAACATTCGAGATCTGGCGAGCTGGACAGCTGGCGAAGCGATACACCGGATGCACCGGGAACATTTGGGATCCACAGGATGCCCAAACCAGATCGTCAGGCAGGACCTTTTCGGCTGGTGTTCATACCTATGGCCTGAAGGCGTCGAGGCGACCTGATACCCGATGTCTGGGTCCTGAACGTCCTGAACATCGACGTCGTAGCTTTCTGCATTGTTCGTCAATTCCAAGTCGGGAGGTCCTATGACGAGTTCGATGGTTACCGAAGGCATATATATGCCGACCAAGTAGATGAATGAAAATCTGCGTCGACACCGCCAGGCAAAGCGTTTACCAAGTCGCTCAGCTCTCTCTTCAAGATGCCGTCCGTCATGCTGCACCTCATCTCCGTCCTATCACACGTGACGATATTACTCTTCGTCATACTGGTCGCCATACTCTCCTTTTGGACAAGTCAACGGGTCCGCAAGGCGTCCTCAAAATCTCCCTTTGACTACTTCGCACCCGTGTCCGAACATTCCAAGGATGAACTATCCCGGAGACACTCGGAAAAGCTATCGACCGGTAGCTTCCCGTTTCCCCCTATCGTCAAGAGGTCCATGAGCCAAGGAAGTGCTCATCTCGTTACGAGCGAAAAGCAACCGAGGTCATCCGGATCGTATGGCTGGCGGACTCCACCCCTTCGACAGGCTAGGTCATATAGCATCTCCCCGTCGTGCGTGTCCGATCGGGACGATGTCAAGTCCGAGTCATCTGGATATACATGGGATGGTCAGAATTCCGAGTTTGGATACTGGCTCAGCGACGGGGAGGATGCGAACAGTCCTACCGGGTCTTTGCTAGACGAGGGCGAGGACGGCATGCTACCGCCTTCGGCAAGAGATGTTTTGCACAGGAGAGCAACATCGGGGAGGAGGATCATCGCCGCCATTGGTCTGCTTCGGGCTGCATTGGGCGTTCCCGCGCTACTTCACTACTCGAGAATTGGGTTTGAATCGGTGAGCAGTCTTGCTCGGAGCATCGTGCAGACGGGACGCTGACTCCTTCCGCGTTGTATCTAAAGGTCCCAGAAGCCCTGCTATCCAACTTTGATCTCTTGGTGTGTGACATCGCACTGTCCACAGGAGTGAGTATTGATCGTCGCATCATCCAAAAGCCCGCAGTGCCAGTCGCTTACAAAGTCTTCGTAATCAGCTGGCTGTCGCGCCGGTGTTACTGTGTCTGCTTAGTCTCAGCCTGGAACTACCATCCTCCTGGGAGCATCACGTCTATCATACCAGCATGATGTAAGCCGTCTTCGTTTATCGCGAGTGATCTCAGGCAACCGACTCAACCAAATCTTCTTCGTTGTCACCAGCCTGGCTGCCCTACCTCTCATTGCTGGACTACAGCTCTCCGAGTCGCCAGAACTGTCACTATTTCGCTTGGCCGCTCCTGTTTTCTCGGTGGTCGCCTTCCTTATAGCTCGAGATCAAGCTTTAGTCACGTACTGGTCGCCTTTGGCAGCGCGTCAAGGGAATCACCCCGGCTGGCTATGACCGCGGCGACGCTCGATTCGAGATCGTCAGCCGAAGAGCAGCATTACATTGTATAATTGATTCGTCATGTCGTGTCAGATAGCCATAATATATCACCCAATCATCCGGTTTAACCTTGCATTTGAACGTCGCCATCTCCATCGTTGGCAACAGGAGCATTTGCGCCGCTCTCTGCGGTGGAAGCGGTAGCACCCTCGCCTTCGACCGCCATGGCAGCGCCTCCAGCGGCACCACCCTCATCGTTGTCATCGCCGGCACCCGTCTCCGCTTCGGCACTGATCCCCTGCCTGGTCCTCATTTCGGCCAAATAAGGTTCGACGGCCTCGTCGTCCAGAGTCCTGAAGTTCGCCTTCTTGCCGGTTGAACTCGGTCCCACGATACCGATCGAGGTGTTCTGTTGCGTGAGCGCCTTGTCTTGCTGCAGGGTGTCACGGAGCGCGTTCAGACCATGCTGAATCAAATCCTCCAAGGAGCCTAGACGTGGATCCCACGATAAAGAAAGATGATATGCTCCTTTGAGTTTGAAGTCGGTGATCATGATAGCTCGCAATTACTCACAGTCCTCAAACTCGGCATAGTGGTCTTCAAGGTAGGTCTTGGCGCTCTGGCTCCTAGCTCCGATCGAGTGTGCGTGATATTCGTAGAAAACACCAGTAGGAGAGAACTCAAAGAGGTGAGGACCGGTCTCCTGCGAAGACGAGCGAGAGCCAGATCAGCCACGAATGCTTGCGAGACCAGCCAAGCTACAATCGCTTACATCTTCTCCCACGACGAGGAATCCGACACCATAAGGCCTCTTTCCATAATACTGGGTGTTCGTCTGAGCTCGATCAGCGATGCTCTGTACAATCCTCCCGACCGGGATTGGACGCGCGTAGAGCATCCTGGATTGCATCGCCTTCTGCCTCATAAAGTTGCTTTCGAGATGAAAAGGAGAAGGGCAACATGAGCGACCGAGATGAAGTCATTACTGATTGTTCGAACGGGTAAGAACGTACCTCAAGACTCGAGCGTCGCTGGTCAACCCGGCGATCGCCACGCCGACATGGTCATCGATCCTGATCATCTTCTTTTGGTACGAGGCAAGCTCCCCGGTAGATCGCTTTGGACGCACGCGAGTCTGTCAGTACCCACTGTAAATGCCGTTTGACAGCGAAAGATCGAACTTGCCTTGAGTGTCAGGAGGATAGCATGAGTTTTGGAGCGGAGTCCCACTGCGGCCGATCCCTGCTTGACAGCTTCTTGCGCATATTCCACCTGCGAGCCAACGTTCCCACATTAGATCCTTTGTCTGTAGGCTGCAATCCGAGCAGACGCATCCGCACCTGATGCAGTCGACCTTGAGGACTCTATGTATACATCGAACAGCAGGTCAGACGGCCGAGTGGATTATCAAAGGGTCAACGGCTGGAAGCTCACGAAGGTAGTGTTGTCCGAATCATAAGAGTTTCGAAACTGGTGCAACGAATATGGTTATTTCAGTTTCGAGCTCAGGGAGAGGGACGCCGATTCGGGCATATTACGCACCATCTTGAATCAATTGTGTAGAGCTTGACGAAGACGTGGATGTACAGGATGTGAGCCTTGGAATGGCAGTGACATGTCAAAAGGATGGTTGCTGAATCGCTGAACGCTGATGAGTGAGATGTCATTGTGAAGGACTCGTCAGCGGGAGGGGGAAGAGTTGGTTACGTAATCAGCCAAGTCGCGGATCCAAAAGAATTCCCGAGCAAGAGCGTGCATGCAATATCCTTGCATCCTTGAGATATTTCGAACATGTTCAGCCAGATCGTTCTGTTTTGAGGACCGACTGCGACTCGAAGCCCCTTGACTTACACTTAATACCTAGACGACAGTTGATTCAAGATGCGACCTTTGACTGAAGAAGAGACCAAGGCCGTGTTCGAGAGTGAGGAACGGTGCGATAACGATTACCAGTTGACCTGAGCTGACGGTTGCCTTCCCGTATCGTTACAGAGCTGGCCAACTACATCGTACGCCAAGACTCAAGGTTACAGATCTAAAGTCTTTGCTGATGATGAACCACGACTCTAGGGAAAAAATTTGGTGCATCTGATCGACCGACCCGATGAGGATGCCTTTTGTTTCCGACTGCATAAAGATCGGTGCGTGTTCCTTCTCGCCTTCAAGCGGCGGCGACTTCGCCCTATGGCTCTTCTTCTCACCAGTCATATTTGGGTTTTTGTAGAGTATACTACCTCCCTGTCAAGACCATGCACCTGGCAGTCTCAATTTCTCGACCGAATCTCATCTCGCTCGGCACGTGTTTCGGGAAATTCAGCAAGACCGGCAAGTTCAAGCTGCAAGTAGGAAGTCTCGATTACCTCGCTCAATATGCCAAGTACAAGGTCAGTTCGGTCTTAAGGAGCTGCCTGTGGATCACACGAGTCTCCTCATGAATTATTGCTGAACTCTGCTTCGACCATCGAGTGCAGGTATGGATTAAGCCTGCGGGTGAACTGCCGTTCCTGTACGGCAACCACGTCGTCAAGGCACACTTGGGAAGAATCACGGAAGACACGCCGGAGCACCAAGGTGTGGTGGTTTTCAGTATGTCTGATACACCTTTGGTAAGTTTCAATACAGATTCGAACCGTTACCACTGACGTTATGCTGACAAGTACCCCATTGTGCAGGGATTCGGAGTGACCGCTCGCTCAACGGTTGACACACGGAAATTAGATCCTACAGGTATCATTGTTTTCCATCAAGCGTGAGTCTGGTTGACCTGGAGCTACCTCTATGGCGGGAAGCTGATCCGTTTTGCCTGATCGTATGTAACTGTGCAGCGATGTTGGGGAGTATTTGCGAGACGAGGTAAGAGCGGGGATTCAAAATAGCTTGTCGTGCCGCTTTTTCACCCTGCTTGTGTTTACCTTTTACAGGACACCATGTTTTGAGTGCAGAAAGAAAGGTTTTTCACTCGATACCGTTTCACCGGAAACTTCCCTTGTACACAGCTCTGCATCAGTATCCGTTTCTTGTACAACTATTTATATCTGGTACCGTGTACAACCGCAGATGTTTGCTTCGTTTGAACTTGGAAGCCCTTGTCAGAGGAAGCGCTCAGAACTTGACGCCCTCAGCCGGATCTGATCATCCCCGGCTGAATGATAAATATTTCAAAATCTGCTTCCGCATAGGAAGTCTCGCTCGCATCGCTCGAGAACTCTTTGGGATCGTCTTTGAACTTTACTCGCATCGCCTCATTTGGCTTGAAGTTGGCTGTCCATCACACTATCACACTCTGATATAGCAGAAAGTACATTCTTGAAGATAGGCCTTTACTGACTCTGTGATCATGTCTTCTGGTGAGTCCCAGATCACGGGGATCAGGTGGAAACACAGGCAACTCACACCTTACGACAGGTCGCCAAACTCTAGCACAACAACTCAAAGAGCTGCACGAGAAAACGGTGCCCTCCGGTAGGTGCCTCGCCTGAAGATGAAGATACAGATCCTTCAATCTGATTCACCGTTGGAATGGCGTGTTTGTTGCATATGCAGCTGAGATCGACCCGGAAAATGCGTACTCCTCCTTGTCCACCTTCCGCCCTAATGGAGAAGACGATTCTATCGGCCGGAGTCATTATGCGGTCTCAGGGTGGGTCGGCTTATCTCACATGGAGAGTCGAAAAGGACTCTAACTTGTCTCATTAACAACAGAACTTCTCGCCTGCGAGACACCGCTGCGACAACATTTGCTGAGCTAGACGAAAAGTACGCTGGGTCATCTAGCAAGCCCAAGCGAGTCAAAATCTTCGACGACGATCCAAGCGATGACGATGAAGACACCGAGCCGATAGCACCTGTCCGAGGAGAATTCGATTATCTTGGTGAATCTAGCGGAGGGGAAGAAAGTTTCGCAGAGGAAGACGACGAAGACGAGGACGACGAGGATGGCTTCGAAGACGCGGCGGTGGACGAGGAGGAAGGGGAGTTGGACGAGGTGGAAGAAGATGACATGGAGTCAGATTCTGCAGCAGAAGCGATGTCATCACGCAGTCCCACCTTGCTTGGCAAATCCGTGGGACCGACCAGCAACGCTGTCCCGGCGAAGGCTCTGGATCCTCTAGCAGCTCTAAAGAGCTCGAAGATGAAGGACGTCGAGAAGGGTCAGGCCATACAGAAGCAGCAGGTAAAAAAGGAGTTCCATCTCGCACTACCTGGATGACTCGCTAACAGACTTTGGCATGTAGAAAACTTTCGACGAACTACTTACCGCTCGTATCACGTTACAAAAAGCATGGGCATCCGGTTCCAAGCTACCACCCCGAAAACGTAAGGTCGATGCGGTACGTGACCGACCTTACTTAGAAAATGATCCGCAGGATCTGATTTGCCCCCTGTCGCTCAAATAGATGGAGACCGAGGATGTGCGGGAGAAGTGCCTGGAATGTCTGAACTCGCTTGGTCAGCTCTCGGATCGTCTGCTCAGTCTGAGACAGGTGCGTAACCCGTCAATTTGATGCGGGTAGTCCAAGTCCGCTGACACCTTACAAGGCATTTGATCTACGTGCAGGTCGTCAGCCTAACAGCGGACAAGCGGCGAAAGACAACCAACGGCAAAGCAGCATCGGAATACGGACAAAGCACATACTGGCAACGTATCGCCAACGAATCTTTCGAATTGCTGGATAGGTGAGCATATCGCTCTTCGTCGAGTCGAGCGATCATCGAGCGGTCACTAACGGCCGAGTACGAATCTTCCGCCTGCTTAGATCGCACGACACATTATCAAACACCCTCGACAAATGGTCGACGAAGATCCAAGCGGCGGCGGCTCAACAGGCGAATCTAGGGAAAGCCAACACGAAGTTTACGAATACAGCCCAGATAGGTGTCCTGGAAGCGATCGAGAGCGGGTTGGGAGGCAGAGTAAGTCTACCCTTGGGCCGTCGTCGACCCTCAGAAGGCTGAAGGATCTCGATATCAATGGTGCAGGAACGAGGCGCTGATATATGGCAAGACGAGGATCCGGCGTACAAGGCCCTGCTGCGGGAAGTTATTGAATCCCGTTCAGGATCCTCTGCGGGCAAGTCTTACCGTTCCGGCATTCCAATGGCATAGCGAGCTGATGGGCGTCACCTTCAATCAAAAGGAGCTGGCATTTCTGCCGTACAGAGTGAAAAGAAGAAGCGTCGGGATGCCGAGCGTGGCGCCAGCAAAGGGCGAAAGCTCAGGTGGGTCTCAACGACCTAGAGCAACCAGCCGATCGGTAACTGACGTCACCCATCCCGTTCCTAGATACACTGTCCACGAAAAGGCGCAGAACTTTGTCGTGCCCATTTCTCTTTCGAATGGCTGGCATCAAGAACAGGTAGACGAGCTGTTCTCGAGTCTGTTGGGTGGAGCTGGGATCGAGGGCGCCGGTGCCGATCGTGAAGACGGCTTGGTGATGGGCGTTGTCTCTGGCACGGGGCTCGACGCGGATTCTCGCGAGAATACTGAGGTCTCGCTGAGCGGTCTGAAAGTGTTCTGATTGTCGGATCGCTAGCGTATAGTCTACAGATGAGATGCGAAGTATGCAGAAAGTCCTTCCGATCCTGCCCCCTCAAGCCGAGACGAGGTCGATCGATCGCGCCTGCACGGTCCCTAGCTCCCTAGCTTATCGCGCGATCTAATCAATCTGATCTCGTCATCCGCCTCTCTCGGCCATCATCTCGCATCTTGATACAACGTACAACTACTGTTCGACTTGCGTTTTATGACTTGAATCTATCCATCCAATCCTCGTTGCACCTAGTTTTACATAACCGCTACAATCTCGTTGCTCATAGAACTGCCCCTCGACACAATACAATCAAAGTAACACATTCAAAGTCCTGCCTTCTCCACAACCTCTATACCACCATGCCAGAGTCTATCCTGAGGCGTTCCGCCGCTCCCGAGCCTGGTCAACTCGAAGCCGGCCAGACCCAACCTTTGTTATCGAACGAGGATGACGCCGGAACCCACTTTGCCGCGGAAGACCATCGAAAGCGCTTTTTTAAGACTCTCGGTGCCGCCGTCGCCATCGCCGTATTCCTTGGGTTGGTCTTTGGATTTGGCGGAAAGGAGTTGGCGAAGAGGAGGTTCAAGTTGCCTGGCGGGCCTGGTTGAGCTGATGGCATGACCTACAACGTCAGTTTATCGATCCTGCGTTTGTCATAAAAGCCGGAGGACGCTGATAGGCTTCTAATACATAGCCATCGAGGGAAAACATGTCTACGCTCAGCGGCTGTCTGTCTCACAGTGTCTGCTTCACCATCGCTTCTGTTTCCTGATCATCAACGACCTCACGCCGTCCCTTTATGACAATTCTGTAGCCCTTCCTTCTCCTTATGTCTGATCTCTGATGGTCAAGTCCCCATGATGTTGTAAACACGAGTCCGCTGTCATATCGTTCGAGCCATCAATGCGTAGCTCGTAGCCGCTAGCGACACCGATCTGGCCCAAGTTCTCGCTCGTCCGGCCCGCGGCAAACACACTACTGCCTGCTGCCTGCACCTAACGAGGGGGAGTTACCTTCCATCGCTGCTGCTGATGTTCACATCTCGTCGTTCATCGATCGTCCTCTAGCCACAACGATTCTCTCCCTGCTAAATCGTACCAAGGTATCAATAGACCGCTCAGTCATCATTTATCAGCTTCAGTATACATAATAGAATCACTGGACATACGAGACTCAGGATCGAACCTTTGGCCCCCTTTTAAATCGATACAACTATGCGAGGCCATCCCCGTCGACTTGGCAATCAACTGTCATAGCGGAACCCCCAGAGGGTCTTGGTAGTGTTCATGCAACGAGGAACGATACTATACGCCTCAAGCGGTCGCTCGTATCGGTACACCTATTGATCCACCTTTAATCATGCGGCACTCTCCACTCGCTGAAAGGGGCGGTGATATCCAGCTGTTCCCAATGGGATCTCAGTCGTCGATATCTGTAGATCTTCCCCAATACCGGTCGTCCCACAAATCTCGCTTCTTGGCGGTCAAGGCTAAGGAGAAGACGGTCTTCTGGAGAGGTATCTGCATAGGAATCGCTTGCACGCTCTTTCTTGTGGGCGGGTTCTACCTGGCCAAACGAATGGAAAATAATAGCGGCACAGCCATGGCACCCACGTATAATCTCGACCGGACGGTCCATCAAGTAAGCTTTCTCGATATACAGCGCAATGTATGTAACCAGGCTAACGGCAGCGTGTTCAGTCACCGAGACCGCAGCATCTACCACTGCAACCACGGCTAGAATCGTCGGCTGCCCAAACTACCGGGAAAGACCCATATCTCGCCTACCGGCCCTCTTTTACCTATTCGCTGCCGGTTCAGGTTCTCATCCAAGGAATCACCCTGACGTTACTCGCCGTCCTCTTGATACACATTCTGTTCACAACGCAGTATCATTTCCCCTTGTCGAAATTCAACTATCTTCTGCAACTCTCCGGGATTCTTCTGGTCCTCGGGAGCATCATAGGCAGCATTGTAGTCGTCATGGCTGCGCAAGAGAGGTCATCCACACACTGGCCATATATGCTGGATTATATCAGCGTCAATACCCCTCCCTCGACGTGGAGTAAACCACAGAAGGGTGCTTGGTTCTTCTTGCAATCGCTATGCAATGGCATGGTACACGTTAGTCTACGTTGCACTGTCCGCCGTCAGCTTCGGTTAATGATCATGCTGATATCGGTCGTCATACAGCTCACACATATCCAATTCTTGACTCTACTCTTTCCGTCGGCAACTGAGGTCAAGCTCATTTTCCTACTGCTAGGTCAGTATTCGGATCGCATGCCATACGTTCGATGAGATCGACCGTTAATAGAGACCCCACACAGGACCCCTGGCCCTTGCTGCCTCTGGCTTGACATTCTCGTCACTGTCCGACAAACGGACCACTATCGATCTGGGAGACGCCATCAGGAACGTCTTTGATGGCACCCTTCTGCTCATATTCAGCGTGTCTCTAGTCATTTGGGGCTTGCTGGTCAATCGCAAAAGGGCCTGGCGGTTCGACGGAGGTACAGCAGCCTTCGGCGCTGGGGCGACCATCCTTGCTATCATCAGTACCGCCATCAATTTCGTCGAAGTCAAGGAAGACACGATAAATTGGTTACAAAATCTCCTCTGGGCTATCGTTCTCTGGCAAAGCTGGCTCGGGTTCTGGTGGTGGGTCGGAAGTGGGATGGGCGTTGGTGAAGTCGAGGTATGTCAAGTGTATCCTGGTTTCCGGGAGAAGCGTTCGAAGCGCTGACGGTATAAACACGCTTGATCAGGACATGGTTCAAAAGGAGCAGAAAAAGAAGCTTCGTATCCAGCGTCGACGCGAGGAACGAAGACGTCTGGAGGCCGCTAATATCAGTGGTGAAGACGGGCCGACTGGTACAACGACCGCGCTCGACCCATTACGGCTCCGTGTCGAAAGGCCTCGTGGACGCAGCAGGGTAGCGGAGCTTCCGGATAACACATCTGGGGCTGAAGACATCGAACTTCGCGAGATTGGAGAAGCACGGTCGCCCGGCAATGGCGGACCCGTAACCACGGGTGGATCCTCATCCTCCTCGGACGCTTCCCCATTACCTCTGGAATCCGTATCGGGTATATTTGCCTACCCGATCAACTTGATTCTTCGCTATGTCCGCAACCTCCGCTCTGGGCATGAGGAGGCCACCAAGAGGAAAGTGCTTCGTAGGGCGAAACTGCGTCAGCAAGTTTTTGAAGGACAAAACGCAGCTGCCAGTGAAGGTTGGGGCTTGGGTAGCTTTGGAATTCGCGAGGCCGAAGACAGCGAGCGCAGACTGAGCGCAGCCAACCGCATCGCTCGAAACAACCAGACCGCTGATACTGATGCGGACGAATTGGAGGAAGACGACGAGGACGTGTTGTCACCGGGAAGCGACCTCGAGGCTGGCAGAGCCCGTCGACCCGTCCAGGATACTGGTGGTGTAACTTCACCAGAGGTGCCGCGTGACGGACAGACGCCAGCGGCCGATGATCGTCAGACTGGAGGGGTGAAGGGATGGCTGAAGAAATGGCGGTTGGTCGATAGATCCACATATTAAAGGTGGAAATGATTTTCTTCAACTTGTAAATAGGACTCTGTGACCCGTTGTATCACGTGACTGCATTCGCTCAAGGGGGAATGACGTAATGCACGTTCGGCCCATGGATCGCCTGATCGTCCCTTGAAACGTTGAGAGGTCGTTTCTAGTTTCTACCCAAGAGACCCTTCTTCCGACCATCTTGTCACTTCTGAACGTAGTAAATCACAGACAGCAGTAGCGGAAAATCCAGCTCTCATACAATAGCCATGCGGAGCATCTCCCTTGTTGAATCCCTCGCGGGGTCGCTCCGGCACGCTAATCACAGCTCATTGCGACCTTCAATCAGCATGTGTGGAAACCCGAGATATCGATCTTTGAGCCGTTATTACGGCGACCACTCTTCCAATCGATTCACTTCGACTCTGAAATTGTTGAACATGGGAGAGGGCGTCAAGACTCTACGGATTGGGACCGATACATCGGCAGCTAAAGAGCTTATCGAGGCAAGTCCAGTTATCGTGTTTGGCGGGCAGTATGCTGATCTCATAAACTCTGTAGGAAAAACTCCCGTACGTTTGCCAAATCGAGGTGGACGGTGACGAAGCTTTGGATGTCATCACTACGTGTATCGACCTCAAAGTCCCCGTGATTCTGGTTGCCGGTAAATTAACTGCTGAAGGAAACAAGAAAGTGAGCTGCAGTCCTTTGCGGCTAGCTTGGTCTGAATCGCTAAGACATATGTATATGCTGGAACATAGGTCGCAAGCGTCTTGACAGCTCAATCCATGTCGAGGCTTGTCGGCCCCGGTTGTCGAACGTTTGTGATCCCGTCCGCCGGTATCAGATCAGCTGTGAATGAGACCGAAGATTACATCCCGGGGCGACTAGGTAAGTGGTAACCCTCACATTAGCTCAGCACCGAATCTTACTCACTTACCGATCCCTTAGGTATTATCGCGGTAGAAGCGGACGCGTCTACAATCATCAGAACGACGGCCAAGGATGGAATGGGACACGCTGCAATATTCGAACTGGCCAGTCGCGAGGGAGGGACATATAGGTACGTCGCGCTCAGACGAAGCACAAACCGCTAGCATATCGCTGAACCGGCGTTATCGTACGGATCTCACTGCATAGCTGGGAACTCTTGCAATGGATGTTGAGCGATTCGAGCAAAGCCGAAGGTGAGATATGATTGTTTGATTGCACAAGAGCGATCAGATTGACTGACGTTGGTCTCTTCGCTAATTTGAACAACGCCGCTAGCGATTTGCATCTTGGCAAAGAACGCCGATACCGAAACTTTAGCGGTCTACAAGCGTTATGTCCAGGCCGCACCAGAAAACGAATACATCAAGAAAGTCTTCGCTATACTCGGTGACGGTGATGAAAAACTCTGGGAAGAGGCAGGCATCCGTGTTGCCAATGACGAGGGTCATCTTGTCGAGCTGATAGGAAAAGAGCTGGAAATCATCGACAGAAAGAAAGCCACGGTCGATAAATCGGAGGTCGAGCTCACGGATATTCCGTCGGCCGGCAAGACCAATTGAGGCCATGTATATATCCCCAGGTGATCGCTTGTCCACACCCAAGTTGTAATTACAGATAAATCCTAAAGTAATTGATGTAGTTGAACCTGCAAAACGCCTTACAACAGAGCATGCTCCAAGAATGTCCCCTTGCACTCTCATAGTCAAGGCTCAATCTCTCCGACTATGCCACTATCTTCCGTCCTTTGGCGAATCGGCGGTGAGATGGTTTCTCACGGCAGATCTGGTCTTCGTATAACACATACCGGGCACATTGAACTAGCGTATCACTTGGGGATTGGAAAATGATGATATACGGTGAAATACAAAGAGGTGTAAGTGTACAAGCAGGAAAGGAGTGCCAGCCTAACGATTTACTGTCACAATTCCGGCTTGCGCTCGCAGACGGAATCGAGGTGATGAAAGCAGAGCTTGTCGGCATCGACAATACAAACCCCTGATAGCCTGATTCTTGAACAGCGTCCGTTCGCATCAGTCTTCGAAAAGACGAGTGACAGAATGGAAATCGACAAAGGGGTTCTCTTCTTTGAGCTCGCTCACGAGCTCTTTCGGTGTTGAGATTCCCGGTGTCTGTGGCCCTGCGATATTCCCAGCTTGGGCGTATATTATGTCCTGACCAGGGCACAGGGTAGGTCAGCTGGACGCTCAATCAGCTAACGGGGGAAAGACTGACTCCATGCGTATCGAAATCGAGACTTTTGCTATCGCGCATCGTGCGGAAGTTGATTGCATCCACGCCGTTGCTTTCAGCGGGAACGATCTGCAGAATTGCTCGAAGGATTAGATTTCGATCCGATCGGTAATCCAATCTGTTACTGACCGGCGGCTTCTCGTTTCGCAGCAAACCCCAATTGATCGGGGCAAACCACTTGTGCAATTTGATCTCGGAGGCTCCAGCGTTACTACCTAGTCTTTTGTGCTCGTCCTTGATCAATAGTTTACGTATGGCCGACTTGCACAGGCTGCCGGCACCCAGACAAATGTCAGCTCGCCGACGAAGCAAGTACACGAAACCCCTTGGTACTTGCCTGGTGACATTCGGTGACGCCGGGAAGGTCACGTCATGTTTAAGCACATTGGCGAATGTTGCCACACGGTTTACGCCTTTGAAGGGAGTGGTGGCAAACTATTTTCATCACATTAGTACGCAGACAGGCACGAGTCCGAGCGGTCTTGACGTACAATCATCTCATAAATGAGAATCCCTAGAGTCCACCAATCCACCGCCGATGTGTGGCCATTGCCTTTGATAACTTCCGGTGCGATATATTCTGCCGAGGGTGATTGACACATCGGCGCAGGTTCAAGCGAGATCAATGGCCAACTCGACACACCTTCTGTCCCGACGAATGAATTCGTACGGAAGTCCGCGATACAAGACCTCGTATCCACCATCAACACCTGCAACCTCCCTAATTAGCTTCGGTCGCCGGCAGAAATAGCCAACATCTAGTACTTACGCCGTTCTGAGCGCTTTGCTTCATACCAGCCGGAGCTCCTCCAGGTTCGGAGCCGGATTTTGAGAGGTCGAAATCAGACAGCATAATATGGCCCGATTGATGCAGTAAAATGTCTTTTTCGAAAGGAAAGGGGAATCGTGCGATAGCGTCGATCAGCTCCGAGACCACGAGACGTTGTCTGGGTGAGACTGACTTTCTGGTTTGAGGTCTCGATATATGTAGCCCATCAAATGCAGGTATTCCAATGCCGCTACGACTTCGGCGGCATAAAAGCGCGCGTGCTCTTCCGACAAGCATTTCCCTGGCCGCGTCTGTAGGGCCCGGAAGAATTCACCCCCCATGCAGTAATCGAGCACGAAATAAAGGTAGTCGTCCGACTGAAACGAGTGAAACATGGTGACAATAAAGGGATGGTTCGATGTGGCGAGGATTTCCTGAAGAACAAGGCGCCAGGTTTAGCTGCATCGATCTGCATTCCGTCTCGCGAAACCTACCTGTTCCGCTAGAGCTCGCTTAATCTTATTTCGCTTGACCATCTCTTTCTTTGAAAGAACTGTTCGGACAACAATCGTCAGTATATAAACAGTGTGAATGTAGACTGGTACCTTGCCCTACCTTTCATGGCGAAAAGTTTCTCTGATTTCTTCTCTCTGACGAGATAGACCTTACCGACGTCTCCCTTTCCGAGCAAACGGACCTTTTGGAACGAGCTAGGCCCGACTTCGACCTGCAGGACGCTTGTCAATTTGCAAGCTGTTCATATCATCGAGATCGAGAAGGCTTACGGTCTTGCTCTTGATAGAATTCGAGCTGTAAGTGCGCCTAAATCCCGGTCCAGGCCCTGCACCCAATCGCGCCATGCCGGGAGAGACAGCCGATCTGCCTGATGTGCCCACGGACTGGGCGCGATGCTCACGAGCTCCAGACTGGGCGATACTATAAGCTCCAGTGGACGTTGATACCAGAGATGACGTCGAAGCACCTGGTGTCAAGTTGGAAGAGCCGCTCAGCAGCCTTGGTATAGGGTGCCTAGCTGGGTAGGTACCACTCGTCCCGCTAGGAGAGGTGGCCATGATCGAGGACGGTGAATCTGAGCCGGATTGTGTGATGGCAATATTCACGTTGGAAAGCCCCAATGCTTGCGAAGATGATTCCTCTCGCACCGTAGGAGAGGCTGGAACCGGCAAGCCCAGCCCGGTCATTTTGGACGGCAAAGGCGGCTCGCCCGCGTTTTTGTTGAACATGGAACCGGCTGAGAATAAGCCCTTCGCGTTTGGTGCCGAAGCGACCCTACGAATGAATCGCTGAGTCGCACTGCTGGACTTTTCAGTGTCGGCGTCCGTTGCGACTGGTATTGTCTGGTTCCGGCTGGCACTGTGATTGGAGGAGACCGAGTAGAACGGTGCGCTGTCCTTTGCGGAGCCCCCAGCCTTTCTTCCCAGCGTGCGGTATTTGTCCTTCTTCTCGCCTTTCGTGCGAGAGTTATTAACTGATTCTGAGTGCCCACCGCTCGATGAGGGTGCAAAAGCAAAGTAGCGACTTTTAGCCGTTTGTGGCAGTGGCGAGCCGAGTGGTACACCTGACGATCCGGAAGATCGCTCAGTCGAGGTAGAATACGGTCCTTCTAATGGGTACTCTCTCGAGGCCGCTGCTTGATTCGGCGTGAGAGGGAGGTGTACGGAGGACGCCGAGCCGTCCCCTGCTGTATCTCCTAGACTGGCAGTGGAGAGAGACAAATTACCGATATGGGTGTCTGTTGAGGATACGTTTCCGTTGTTCCGGCCGGTCCCGTTTACAAACCGTCGTTCCTCGGTCGGGGTAGTAAGTTGCGGAGAACCGCGACTCGATGGGGCCAATAGACCGTTAGTGGATATCGTCGTTTGGGGTCCTCCACTAACTGCCCGTTTGAATATCTTTCTCCACCTCTGATGACCTCCCGATTTTTCCGTTGGCAAGTTGAAGGCAGAGTCCACCTCTGGGTTCACCTGAAGATTCCGAATGGTGCCGGTGTGCTCGGTAGGAATTGCCATGTTGTCAAGAAGCCGGCCTGAGAGATCACACGATCGTTTTGATCATGCTCTAGACTGAAGCGAGAGCTCGGCTATCATTTGATGTCATTTTCAATGCGCATGTCAGTTCCGATTCACTCGTGCAGGTTCTCGCGAATGCAAGGTAAACACGAGTCGCCAGCGTACCTTGATCCTGATCTGGACGTTGGCCCAACCTACGATAAGCTATGGACAATTGTGAACCCAAATTCTGACGAGCCACCGCTGCTGCCGGGCTGTTGAAAGATTCTAATCTCTATCGACTTTCTCGATCTCCAGCTCGACTAGATGATAGCGTCACTTTGCCGGTGATGCTCGTAGTCCACGAGCTCGAGTCGTCTGTGTTGCACGTTTTAGGATTGTCCTAGGTTTCTGTTCTGGTCGCCGTGGAGATACGATGTTAATGGCTCATATACGACTGGGGTTTTGCCGCAAGTGAGGTAAATTGCTCTGTCATCTATTCAATCTCCATCCTCAATCACACCCCCATGTCCCATTTCATCGCATCCCCCTTCCATAGATCCATCATGGAGGGGTCCTGCTGCTGCTGCCCACTCTCTCGCTCCCCGGGTGCGCTGCTGCAGCGGCTCCATGCGGATGCAAAGCGGTTTGCCCGGGACCTCCCACATCTCGTCTCGGAAGCTTTCTGACCACACGGAATGCAATGATCCATTTGACGATGGCCATGGTAACCCAAAAGAACCACATTCGCCGTTTGCGAGAATACAATGAGCCGGTCGATCATGAAAAGGCAAGCTGCCGCCACCAAGAGACCAGAAAAGGAGGCAGGATCGCTGTACGTTATAGGGGGATCATCAAGCGAAATATCAACGCCTTCCAGCAGGTCGGGGTCGAGCGAAACCTCCGCCTCCTGGACTGCCCACCTGTACACGGGGGCCAAACATGGAGAAAGCAGACTCGGGCAAGCCTCCGCCGCTGTTTGATCGTTCTGGCTCGCCGGGCGAGGGGAGTTGCGAAGCGGAGGAAGGGCTGACGAGCGGCGACGCATCTGCCGATCTAGATTGCGAGATTGCCGTAGCGGCTCTGATGGGTTGTCGAAGCGAAGGGGACTTCGAGTTGTCGGTCGACGCCGCTTTCGTAGGCATCCTGAAACCTGAAGCAGCCCCGGATCGAGACGACGAGGGAAAGAGTTCGGCTTTGAGATAAGACTCGGTGATATCATCGACGTCAGACGTTTCCAGCTGTTTCCAGAGGCAAATAAATACAAGGGATCAGTTTTCGGGCTCGGCCTTCGCCCCGGAGCGCCGAATGCATACCTTTTGATCCACCGTCAGTTGAACGATGTCGACTGCGTCCCTGATCAACCCGCGGAGGCTGGAGCTGTAAAGCATACGGTACCGCACCGGACTGGCGGATGGGCAGGTGTAAATGCAAGCAATCTTGCTCGTCTGAGATGACTCGGGTTCCGAGACCACGACCTTGGGCTCGGCATCGTTCGCACTCGGCTCTGACGAAGCTTTGGGGGCCTCGCCAGACGCGTCGAGTGATGTTTGTTCGGTCGGGCCTGAGGTTGCGTTTGGCCACGAGTAAAAGGTATAGCAAGGCTCTTTCGTAGAAAGCTTCTTGACCAGTGCGCTCGGGCCAACCTTGACGGGCTGCTCCGATTCCGAGGTGGCAAGCACCACAGATTCGGTTTTGGGGTCGACATGCTATTGCAAGGGATCAGTATATGAGATACGCCGTCGTAACAAGGACCATCAATCGCATGTACTCACAAGGAAAACACCCAGGCCCTCAGCGTGACCGGCTTTTAGTTTGCGAAGAGCCTCCTCGACTCCTTGGCCCCATTTGAGATTGCCCTTGGCAGGCCCAGTTGGAGCCTGAGCTTCCGATCGACCTCCTGCGGGGTTGAGTTTGCCGCTCCAAACACCAAATCCAGGGGAAGTCGGCCGGTCTTGTGAAGAACCTTCTCCTCCAAAGAGACGAGCGACTCGCGCAGAAGCCTCTTCCGCTTCGGATATCTTGATTTGCGCAAGTGCCTGTTCTGTCTTACTTAGGGGAGCCGGAGCGTTCATGTGGTCCAGGTGGGCCGCGAACGCAGAGGGAGTCAAGTCGTCCTAGCCCACATGAGAATATCCATGGTTAGTCGAGCTGTTCTTGTCGCGATATCATTCTGACTCGACGAACCTGAGAAGTGAAAAACATGTTCTGTTTGAAGCGACCTTCCCCCAGCGACTTTAGCAGACCTCCTTTACTAGAAGCGTGCAGCATTTTGGCTCTAACCTGCAAGTTCGTGAGTAGGAAATCAGACCGCTGACATGGCAGGGCTATATGACGCCCATCCATCGACTAACTGCAGCTTGATCCGGTACAAAGGTGATGAGAACCCAATGCCACCCGCTGGATCCGGCCTTGTCGTCCGTCCGGTAGACATAGGTCGCGCAAGTCTTGGCATCCTTCGGCAAAGTTGAGATGTCCTCCTTGAATGACTTTGTGACCGGAATTGTGTTGTTGAGTACGAAGGCGTCTAACGATTGTTGCGTTGAAGGTTTAGCTAGCAATCGTGCGCTGCATCATCGCATGATACATACCTTTCTCGATATGGAGCACGAGAGCCCTGACGTCGGCGACCTCCGGCTTGCACGCCTTGCTCCATGCTTCGACCACGTCCGGTGAAACACGGATTCCCGAGGCGCTTGACATGCTTGATATTCAAGAGAACAATGATTATCTGGATCAATGGGGCTGCAAGGTGTGTGCTTCTATCTCGCTATGTGCTGTGATCTGGTAATAGTTAGTCCAACCACGCTTTCGACGTGGGCAATCCGGCTGGGTCCCCGATTCATCATCATCATCGTCGCTGGCCCCTCCCCGCCCGCTTGCTTCCGGAATCACACCGCCACACCGCGGATGGTCAATCGTAACGGCGCGTCGAACGCGTCCTTAATGAAATCGGCGCGTGTCAGGAGTGCAGAGCATGCAGAGTGTGGGATCCCCCACCTCTTCTCTCTTCGTCAACAAACGATCAAATGTTTACCAGAATTACCAGCTTACCAGGAGACACCCGAATCTCTAGAAACTAAAAACTTGCTAAACCTTTCAATCTCTTGCCACTGGTTCGCTGCTCGCTGGCATCACACACCCTCGTGCAACCAATCCACATGTCCTCACCATTCCCCTTACCGCCTTCGTCGGTACCCAATGCGACCTCTCCCGCCGACGACGAGGGCAACTCGCTACCTATAGGACGAGGGATCAACCTACCGATCTTGGATCCTCTCGGCTTTACGAGCAATCAGACCGGGAACCTCTCTTCCGGAATCATTCCTGGTGTCAGGATCACTGCACCCCGGGATGACGAGGCGGAAGAAGAAGGCACGGCGAGGCGAGGTGGACGAAGGAGACTTCGAGAAGATCTCGACAATGTGCCGCGAGTCAAGGATACAACAGGCGAAAAGGTCATGGAGCGATTTGCGAGTTTCCTCGAGAGGTCAGTAATTACTCGATGATTCGGAAGTCTCTCACACTGATACATCCGCAACCTGGGACAGTTTCACCGAGACTATCAGTCTTGCCAACCCGACTCCTACACCGGGTTCTGTGCCCGCTTCGAACACCAACCACGAAGAGTCTCGTTATTATGTTGAGCAGATCAAGGCTATGAAGGACTACGAGCTCACCACGCTCTACGTCGATATGCTTCATCTTCTGGAGAGGGAGGAAGTACTCGCAAGAGCCATTCGCAGCCAATACTACCGGTTCGTAAATGGCGGGACCCTGCTTAAGCCTGCTCACAGAGACTGAACGCTCGACAAATTGCCAGGTTCTTGCCATACTTACGAAGAGCCGTCCAAGCCCTGGTCAGACGATATGCACCTACATATCTCTATGTGTCCACATCCGCAAATGCCACCGCGGCCACCCGCAGTGCTGCAGGATCCAGCTCGAACCCCGCCCTCATCACACGTGACTTCAACATCGCTTTCTACAACATGCCCTTGGTCAATTCCATCCGCGACCTCAAAATGGATAAGATCGGCCAACTCATGAGCATTAGTGGGACCGTTACTCGAACCAGTGAAGTGCGACCGGAGCTTGTCGCCGGTACCTTCCGCTGTGAAGAGTGCAAGACTATCATCAGCGACGTAGAGCAGCAGTTCAAGTTCACCGAGGTGAGCGTCATATCTGGACGGGTTTGCCTCGTGTCGTCTACTTGGTTTGCTCATTCACGCCTTTCGACACACAGCCAAACCTGTGCCCGAACGCAACCTGTTCTAATCGGGTCTCTTGGCAATTGCTTATAGAGCAGTCGAAATTCTCCGATTGGCAAAAAGTGCGGATTCAAGAGAACGCCAACGAAATCCCAACAGGATCGATGCCGCGATCACTCGACGTGATACTGAGGTCTGAAATCGTCGAAAAAGCCAAAGCAGGCGACAAGTGTGTCTTTGTGGGGGCTTTCATCGTGGTGCCCGATGTCAGTCAATTGGGTTTGCCTGGAGTCACAGCCGAAATGATGAGGCAAAATCAAGGAGGGCGTTCCGGTCGGGACGTAGGCGGTGTCGCCAACCAGGGAGTAACAGGACTTAAGTCATTGGGAGTTCGAGACTTAATGTATAAGACTGCCTTCCTTGGATGTATGGTCCAACAAGCAGATGCACGCGTAAGTTGGTCAGGCAATCAGATATATAAACGCCTTGGCAGCATTGATGGAACTATCCTGATCATCCTATCAAAAAGGGTGCAAGCGGGCCTAGAGGTGATCTCGAGAACGGAGAAGAAGATCAGGATGGCTTCTTGAACTCGCTCACACAGCAAGAGGTCGACGAATTGAAGAACATGGTCAACGCCGATCACATCTATCAACGTCTCGTATCGAGTATTGCGCCTACCGTTTATGGTTAGTACTGCATTGGCTCGACCCACAGACTCCCCCCTACTTGAAAGAACTAATCCGCGGTCTATATAGGTCATGAAATCGTCAAGAAGGGTATCCTGCTTCAACTCATGGGTGGTGTGCACAAGCAAACTTCCGAGGGTATCAACTTACGAGGAGATATCAACGTTTGCATCGTTGGCGACCCCAGCACAAGCAAATCTCAATTCTTGAAGTGAGCACAATCTGTCGCAAATCGAGTCCGCGCATGTGTATCGATGCGCTCTACTTCCAGATACGTGTGCGGCCTTGTGCCACGCGCGGTCTACACTTCTGGCAAAGCATCGTCTGCGGCAGGTCTGACAGCAGCTGTAGTTAAGGACGAAGAAAGTGGAGAGTTCACCATCGAAGCTGGCGCATTGATGCTTGCCGACAACGGTATCTGTGCCATTGACGAATTCGACAAGATGGATATTGGCGACCAGGTCGCCATTCACGAAGCGATGGAGCAACAGACGATATCAATAGCCAAGGCCGGAATTCAGGCGACTTTGAACGCTCGCACGTCTATCCTTGCAGCAGCCAATCCCGTAGGAGGTCGATACAACCGCAAGATGAGCTTGAGGGCGAACGTGGCGATGAGTGCGCCCATCATGTCCAGGTTCGACCTGTTCTTCGTTGTGCTCGACGAGTGCAACGAAAACGTCGACTTGAATATCGCCCAGCACATTGTCAACGTGCATAGATTCCGTGACGATGCGATCACCCCAGAGTTTAGTACCGAAGCTCTACAGAGGTATATCCGATACGCTCGGACCTTCAAACCGAAGGCAAGTTGATTGTTACCCAAACTGATAACGGTGCAGATGCTCACTGCTAGCTCTATCAAACAGCTTACATCAGCTGCTTCAGCCGTTCTTGTCGACAAATATCGGTCCTTGCGACAGGATGATGGCGGTGGACCGGGCCAAAACTCGTACCGAATCACTGTGCGACAGCTCGAGAGCATGATTCGACTCAGCGAAGCTATTGCTCGGGCGAATTGCCAGAACGACGTGAGTCGATAACTCCCTATCACTCGTCTTTCGCGCTTACCTAAATACCAATGGTCTGCCCTACATTATGTTCATAGATCACGCCAAGTATGGTTCGTGAAGCATACGCCTTGCTACGACAGTCTATTATTCACGTCGAGCAAGACGACATTGACTTTGAGGACGATACGGATGACGTCCTGCCCGCGCCTGAAGAAGGGCCCGAGGGAGTCGTCACCGAGGCCGACGTCGACATGGCAGATATCGCCGCTGCCGAAGCGGCAGAAGCCACATACAACGCCTCAAGTCTGTTGAATGGAGCCTCTAGCTCGGCACCAGCGGGTTCCGAGGGCGGGGTCAGCAACTCCGGCCCTACCCGCAGTGAAGTACCCCATGACAGTTTGCCACCGACTCGCAGGAAACTCCGAATCACTTGTAAGTAGTGTCTGCAGGTATGATCTTGAGAAGAAGAAGGCTGAATAGCCTTTTATAGACAACAAGTACATGGACATCATGAATTTATGGTAAGTCAGAATCCTGCTCGCCTTTTCGTCAACGCTTCGGCGCTGACATCTGCCTCGGCACGCAGTGTTCTTCACTTGAGCGACGTGGAACGAACCACCAGCCAAGGCGTAGATCGAGAAGAATTGGTGGAATGGTACCTCGAGCAGAAAGAGCACGAGTTGACAAGCGTCGCCGACCTGGATGACGAGCGGGAAATCATCGGCAAAGCTCTGACCAGGCTCGTCAAGGACAAATACCTTATGGAATTGCGCGGAGCTGTTGGAGACAGCATCGGCGACGAGACAATGGATGCTTCATCCACAGACCACGCTCAAGTTCACTATGTCGTCCGTAAGTACAGGGACTTTGCCCGGTTCCCCTCGCGAATCCCCAAGTCTGACACGTGATACTTATGCGCAGATCCCGAGATCGATCCATCGAATCTCTCCTCTTCTAACACTTTTTGACCGGGTTCAGCCTGGAGCAGACCTGCCAGCCTTCCACTCGAGAAGGATTACCCTCTCCCGATCGTGTAGTCCGCGTCCCCTCTTCGATAATTTCGTTGTACTCTGCGTCTCAGAGGTCAGGACGATAACCTGTAATTCCTGCAATCGGTCAGATCCATTCTGCCTCGGTCGTGTGCGAGTTCGGTGCGGATGCTTTTCTTCATGATCCTTGGAGCGTGACGCGATGACACCCTCCCCTAGTCTCGCTGGAGGCGATCGAAGTGTTGGTCTCATTCCCGACGATGATGAATCACGATCAATAATATGCCACCTCGAAAGGTTGAATCACAGTAAACCGATCCCCAATTCGTACAGTGCTCTGAATCGACATACCCTATACCCCAGTTACATCCATTGATCACCATGTCTGTACAAACCGCCACCACAACGCCTCAAACCACTACTCAGCCTCAAGGGGACGACAAGGTTGGTCGCAAGGTATGTGTACATACAAAGACTTGATCGACTTCTCTCTTCCTTGACTACCTGCTCTTACCCGTGACGGTATTTGATCTCTCATCTCTGTGCGATTTCTTAGGTCTTCATTGGTAACTTGGCTTATACCGCGACCGAAGAACAAGTGAGAGAATTTGTTAGCGGTGCCGGCGGGAAACTGTAGGTCACCAAGACACTTTGCGCCGCATCGGTGTTCGCGACTGATTTTCTCTTCATAGCGAGTCGTTGGAGCTTGCCACCCGAAGCAATGGCCGTGCCGCTGGTTATGCTTTCGCAGTATGGAGCTCTGCTACCGAAGCAGAAGAAGCCGTGCAGAAACTGGACAAGAAGCGTAAGAGTTCAGAGCGGAGCATCGTCTTGCCTGGAATCTGACATAGCCATGAGGATGTACAGTGCTTCAGGAAAGAGAGATTTCCGTCGCAATTGCCAAGGCCCGCTCCGATAAGCCTCGAGGTCGCAAGGTCGATGAATCCAAGCAGGTACAGAAGGACGAGGAAGGTGTCGTGATCGAGGCGTCTGGAAGCGGTGAGGCCGCCGATGGTAACAAGAAGAAGAGGAACCAAAGGAAAAAGGTCGGTCATCTCGCACGTATGCACCGACCATCTGACTGATACGCGTTCTGTTTCAGCGTTCCGCTCGACGTCTTCCTGCCGATGACAACGATGATGTCGAGCAAGTTGACGGACAAGTTCAAGCAGAAGAAGACGCTCCGAAGAAGAGCAAAGCCAAAAGGAACCGAAAGCCCAAATCTAAGGCCAACAAGGCAGAAGGCGAGGCACCCACCGATGGTCCTGCAGAGTCTGCAAGGATCGATGACGAAAACAATGCTCAGCAGCAGACGCAGAACCAGCAAACCGTGAACGTTGGCAACAAACGAACCCGACAACCTCGAGTTACCACTACGGGACAGCCCTCCGATACCGTGAGTATCTTGTCTCAAAGACCGGCGAGCCCCTTTGTCTTACTGAAGTACACGCCGTCACTCAGTTGGTCTTCGTGGCCAATCTCCCTTTCTCGGTCGGTGATGAGCAATTGGCAGAGGTCTTCAAGAGCCTCAGTATCGGCATCAAGTCGGCCAAGGTTATCACCAAACCCGGATTCCGCAAGAAGGGCGGCGATGAGGCCGCTACGGCTCCGGCTCCTCGGTCGAAGGGTTTCGGATTCGTGGAAACCAACAACCAGGATCAACAGAAACTCGCACTGGAGAAGCTTCAGGGATACAAGATTGACGACCGGGAGATTGTCGTCAAGGTTGCCAACGAAAGGCAGGCAGTTGAAGAAAACGTCGAGGCCAAGGCCGAGGGAGACAGCAACTAGGCAAGAGCGATTCTGGTCAGTCACTTTATCAGAAGTTGGACATCTCCCGATGTACGCGGATTAACGCAACGCTCCCTTTGCAGATACTCTCGAGCTAGTCCTCTGAGCAGACATGCATTTCGAGTCGGACGGTGTTTGACTCGAACACACTGTCGATCTCTCTAGTTAGAAAAACGAAAGACCAAGCTTGTACACATCTGACACCCTGACGAGCAGTTTCAGCCCTTATGATGCGCGTCGCCCAGAGGCTTACGGAATCAAAACTCGCCACAATCCCCGGGGCCGTGTCGATACTTGGCTTGTTGATGTTGTTGACGCCGGTTCGGTACAGGTACACTACTACTACAATTGTCTCGTGATCAAGAGCAGTCTGGTCTGATCTGCTTACACCTTGGCCGACCAATCAATCGTACTACGTCACAATGCACCGCCTGAATTTCGTAACCTACTTGGCATTAGCGAGCCTGGCTTTGTATGCGCGGTCTGCTCAAGGTAAGATACAGGCGTCTGTCTCAAAATCCTGATAGTGACCGATGATAACATTGCCACCAATCATTGCAGCCGTCATTTCCATTTTGACTCCTGCCTCCAACACTATCTGGTACAAGAATAATACAGTCGTGACTACGTGGTCGGCTGGTCCGGATGACCCAACATCCTTTCGGATTATCGTTCAGCAACCTGATGGAAACAATGCGACATTGGCTGATACGGGTGGGTGGTTCAGATTGATTGACACAGCCTTTCGCGCTCGAAACTGACGGCAATTGTACGTATTAGTGCCCACTTCCCTCCAGGCTTTGACCTTGCTGCTACCGCAACTTGCGAACGGAGGAGGATATCAGATCCGCTACGTCAATACGACAGATATCAACGAGATATTCGCTGAGAGCCAACCCTTTGAGATTGCGCAAGGGGCCGGTGGGTCGGCTCGAGATCCAGAGACCGCCAATCGACCAGTTCGCTGATAAGCCAAGCCCTTTAATAGCGTCTGTCTCGACAGCTTCGGCTACCGTTTCATCTACCGTCGCCATTCCTGGACCCTACACCGTGAATACTGCGACTGCTTGCCATTTGACGTTCCAGCTGATCTGTTCCGAGTTCATAGCCTTTCCCCACAAGTGCCACCCCGGCAGCGACTGACGGAACTCCGTCGACTCGAGACAACGGAGGAGGGGACGCTCTTCTTCCGCTGTCCGGAGGCATGACCTTGAGAGGCTTTGTGGGACTCGCAGTCGTAATGGCCTGGATCTAGTCTCTTTAGTATGCTGTATCTGAAGAATCGAACGTACGAGTGGCTGCCTATGTAGACTTCGCCTTGTTGATAACTCATGTCCCTAATTCTGATATACTATCTGTTATGCTGGTACCTTAATTGGTCAAGAGCTGAGCAGAGTTATAAACAGCCTGGTTGCTCCAAGGCCCATGATTTGTTGATGTTGTTTGTTAGCATATGGTATACTATATATACCATTGATCAAGCACATGACCAAATTTCCCTTTGCTTGTGGGTATGGCCGTAATAATACAAGCTGACAGATTGGCCTTTTTGAGTGGGGAGGGGGTTCAGCGTAAAAAAGGCCACTTCAACCAATTCTTCTCACTACACTTGTTCTTCCTTTCCTACTAGCAGCAGTAGCTGTAGCACACATAATTACACTTCATCAACACAAGGCATCGAACCCTCTTGGGTTTTCAGCAGATGCGGATAAAATCCCAATGCACCCTTACTGCCTATTCAAAGATCTAGTTGCAAATTTTCTATGCATCCCAGTTCTTGCACTGTTTGTATACTGCATGCCAAGTCTTCTAGGACACAGCAATGACTATATTCTTGCTAAGCCAATGCAAACACCTCGATCAGTCAGTAGCAGTTGTCTTACTATTGCAAAAGTAACCAACAGCGCACAATTTACTACCAAAACGTATTGCTTTGACAACAGCAATTGTCAACTTCTTTGTATCGATTGTTCCATGGAAGTAGCACAAGTCAATATCAATCCGTGCATGAGCTCAACAATCTGAGCTTCTGTCACCTGCACATCGGTGTAGATGGTGATTTGCTGTATTTTGTTGTTCTAAAAGCTTTATTACTGCCAATGACTCTTCCATGTAACTGGGATTTGATGGTTTGCCTGTCTGCAAGGCATTAGTACACTGACTATTCAACAGTCTAGTAAACAGGTGGAAGCCTAATGCCAAGGCACTTTCTTTGGGTGTGAGACCATGCAGGTTCAACTCCTGTCCATCTGAAATTAGAAACTTGATTGCCCACCTTTCATATTTCTCCACATTGCACAACAGGAGATCAACTCGCTGTTGATGATAAGAAGTAGGTTCCGTTCTCCTCCTTTGTCCACAGCACTAGTCAGTGTCACAAACAACATCATGATATGCATTTCTAGTTGCGCCAGAACAGATCATCCGTTCAAAATCCACTTGGGTGTCATTACAGGCTTGAAGAGGTAAGCACATCCCATGCTACAGTCCAGAGCACCTGACTGGTTGACTAACTCCTTAAATCGATGCTCAAAACAGATGCATGCATAATGCAGGAGTACTTGTTATTATATCAACCTAAAATGATGAGGTAGATGTTGTGTTTCGATAGTGTGATGATCGTCACCATCTCTAATGTGAATGACTATATATCTGGTTGCTTGCATCAAAGCTAAGTAGTACATGAGAGGAGAAAGAAAATGAACCTCTCCATGAACTTCATGGGATCATCTCCCTCTGTGATACCAAGTCCATGCAATTCCTCCTGCATATCTGCTGGGTACCCCTTGGCTTTGAGTTAATGGATCTGGACAAGCTTGTCCCACATGTCCTTTGCACAGGTGTATTGCTTGATTTCCATATTGTTCCATGAGATAGACTTATCCTGCGCACTTCTATGACCCTTTGATTCTTGTCCATCCAGGATTGATATTCGCTGACAAGTTGGAGGTATTATGGTATAGGCTGACCTTTACTGAAGTTGGAGTGGTCACCTCAGTGCTGGTAGATTTGACTCCCTCTAAAGCCAGTACTTTTGGCTTCTCCTTCTTGTTCAAAGTGATGACTTCCAGTGCACCCATTGCCAAGATAGCATCCTTGGTAGCACTCTTCCACTCATAGTAGTTGTCAATCTCTGTGAGTGTAGGACTTTTATATTTGGATATGCTGATGGTGGTTTCTGTCATCTTGACCATGACTTTCCTCTGATGTTGATGTTCCAAGTGACTCCTTCTGATTGGGGACCCTGTCGACCCAATATTCTTTCCCTTATCTTCAGGTCCTGTGTCATGCTGACAGTTTCTTGCTTGGGACCTCTGTCAATCTAAGTCTTGTTTCCTCCTGTCCTTGGGACCTGATGAGACCAAGGCCTCTTGCTCAGAAGTTCCCTGAGACTTCTGTTGATGCCTGGGTTCCCTGTCATCCTAAGTATGACACTGCTTAGGCTTTATGTTACCCCAAGGCTTCCTGTGCTTAGGTCCTCTGGTACCGTAAGGCTTTCCTCAATTGGGACCTATGCTGACCCAAGGCTTTGTCTTATTCCTAGATCAACCCTTGATCTGTCTCCCCATCAGATATTCTTTCCGACTCCTGTATAGTTCTGATCTCTTGATCATAGTACTAGGTGTTTGAGTTGATGTGTAGTTCAAGGAGCAGTTGCTGAGCCCAAAACCTATTGAAATATCAGCCTAAGCTGGTGAGTATATGGCTCAGAAGGGGTTAATCAATGCTATCCTTGCGTAAATGACTATAAATCTGGTTGCTTTTAGAAAAGTGAGTAGCACATGAGAGGGGAAGGAGAGATCAGACCCAAATGACCTGCTATATATACTACTCAGGGAAGGGCCAAACAGTGGCAAAGTCAAACGATATAGATGGTCTGTAGCTGAACAAGATTGAAGGTTTGGTGGCGCCACAAGTTTGGATGTTTGTGTTGTGAAGTAACAACTAGATCCACCAAGGTTGGTTACTTGATGTACCTAGGCAATAGTAATGGTGTGTTACTAGTGCTGATATTGTCTTGTTGTGAAGATGGATTGATGTTGCTTGCATAAAAGTAAAGTAGTACATGAGAGGGGAAAGGAGTATTACACCCAAATGGCCTGCTATATATGTGTTATAGCGGTCACGTGACGCGTCGGACACGCCGTACGCGACTCCCGTATGCGACTCCCGCCGGGGGTACTTTTCGGTGTTGTCATTTGGATGTAGAACTAGTACCTCTGTAATAGCTCTACATCCGTTATTACATTTAGATGTCTACCCGTACCTTGCCTCATTCCTGCGTCCCGTCAGCCTGTCCAGGGGGGCCCCCATCGGGGGTCGCTCCCGGGCCTTACAATATGCTATTCTGATGAGCATGTCCCCTAGTGAACTTGTGACTAGAGCAGTTGCACAATCTCAACTCTGAGCGCATATTGCGTCTTCAGTCACAAATGGCATCACCAATATGTGACACTAGTTGCATATAAGTGTCTCTCACCGCATAAGAGTGTCTCCAGTCACAACATGTGATCCTGGTCACATGTTGACCCTTTGTGCTTGTGATTGCACCTTTGAGCATCACCTATGATGTCAGAGCATGCCAATCTTCATAACTTTAGACCTGCCTGACTTCATGTTTGCATGTCTGACCCAGTATCTTGGCGTCTCACCTCCTCCCAACCGCAAGACGGGCAAGTTAGATGGGGACTTGTCTCCTCTGAGGGACCTTTGGGATTTGACTTTGTTACTGGTGGAATCTCAAGAGCCCTGAGAGTTCAAGTACGTGCTAGAAGAATTCTTGATGGCGCAAGATTGGGATGCCGGCAAGGAGTTTGAGTTACAAGGTGAGTCTCCAAGCTTGACGATCGACATGCCATTTTGCTGATGGAGAGGTGCCTCTGCTTTGCTAGACATGTGGTTACTACCAGAATTCCTTTGGCATTCCAACCCGGCTGACAAAGCCCTGGCTCCTGTCAAGATCCCTACCAGGGCGATGTTGGGACAGCTGGAAAAGCGAGGGGTTGGTTACAACTGTCTGGAGCTGGCCAATACCGGTATGAAGGATAAGCCGTTGTAAGCAACCAATGACTGCGAGCCGTTCCCAACAACTGGGTAAGCTAACGCTGCAACTTTTCAGATACATTAAAACTGATCAATTGGCTTTCCAGGAAGGGTTCAAAGCTCACAAGGCTGGTGCCTACCGCCAACACAAGGGCGTAGCCAAGTTGCTTGATGATCGGTACAAAGGCAAGGACGACCCGCTCCTGCCTTGCAGACAGGGGGACAAGTTTGGCTTGTTCCAGTTGACAACTACGGCTTGCAGCATCATGGGACCCTGCAAGGACAGTGAAGGAACCTTGACCGTACTCAATGTTCATTGCGGTCACAAGATCTGGACACTTTACAATAGCTACAATGACCTGATGAAATTCGCCAAACATCTCGTCCTTGTGGCAGGGAGTCAACTGTGAGTGACGGCGGAGCATGCATCTCAGCGATTTGGATTTGACTGGGCATCACGTGGTCTGACAGTCTGATCCCCATAGGACCATGCCACCTGGTGTCAAATACAGCTTCGTCTTCCCCAATGTGTCTCTCTGTTCAGATCGACACTTTTTACATTGCAACTAATTACCTCGAAGAGATGTTCAAGGCGGCCAATCAACAATCTCAAGAGGGTGGCAAGAATGAGTACATCCCTGCAGTGGGATTGTATCTGTGTCTAATGGCGACGGGCTTATGGCGAGGTTGGGTCTAGGTCAGAGAATTATTTTGACTGACATCGTTCAATCGGTCTCTGGAGTGCTATGCCTTTCACACATCACATAGGGGACAAACTAATTCACCTCATCACCCAGCTCGGACAGATCCTCAAGCACCACTCGGACATGTTTCCGGAAATTCGCCCCAGCAACAAGAAGAGGGGGGGGACTACCCGGCGTACCAGGCAGTGCAATCTCCAATGAAGACTCTCTGCCCATTTGCGTAGAAGAAGCTGGGAGCGTTGAAGACGGAGATTTGGAGACGAAAGATGATGCCTAAGAGGGCTGGGTTCCTTAATTGCTTGATTGATGATTGCCTGCCTACATTCATGGACCCATAACACTCAGCCATGGCTTGGGAATGACCCTGATAACGATATCTGCCATGTTAAATATACATCACATATGAGCCAACCACCTCGATTCTATCACTAGGACTGGAAATACACACTGCCAATCTTTCTATCACACCAAAGCCGCTATTCCGTATCATAGGTCTGGTGTTATGGCGGAAGTCGCTAATCGGGATAGGTCCTAGGTCGTAAGGCGTAGGGTGCTTATAGGTGGATCGCAGGTAGTCGGGAGAATGTCGCAAGTTCGCTTAGATGAAGCGGGTTCGGATAAGGGATACGAATCCAGAGATATATGGATAAGGAAGTGATCACTCGGTGTGAGGTACCGGATTCGGTCTAAGGTAAAACGATGAAGCGTAGATACTTAGCGACGTCCTTGGGTTGTAACCTCTCCGCAACACGTCTTGAAGATGTTGTAACAAGTCAGATAGGCGTGTATTGAATGTGATATCGGAACTTGACCTATTACTATTACAGAGCGTCCTCTATCGAATTCGGTCAAGTTCCTCTAGCTATTTATATGAAGACGAGTAAGGAGACAAGGCTGGCGAACACTGAAAAGACCCAAGAGAAAAGAATGGCGAGAGATGGCGAAACTGGAAGAACGAGATGGCGAACAGACGAATCCTGTCGAGAGCAACCGGATTCGGTAGAGGAGGCGAGTTTGAGTTCTCATTTGTCCCTAGGTACGTCGAGTAAGGTTGTTGAGGTCCTGAGTAAAGTTGTCGTGTACCTCGAGGTCCTCGTACCTGTGTGTGATATGTACCGGGGATGTATTGTTGTTTCGGTGAATGGTAAGGGCGACCGAATCTGCTCCGAGGGAATCGGATTCGCCTCGTCGAGCCGGACTTAGGTGTATGCTGATGTCTGTAGATCGAGCCCGCATGTTGGTAGTCGGCTTACGTGGTGATCCCGTAACATCTGGCTTTTTATTGTATCATCTGTTTCTGTAAGGCCTGGGAGTGACTCCCGGCAGAGGCTTCCCTGGACAGGCTGGCTGTTACGGACCGACCCAAACCCGGTCCTCCACACACGCGCATGACGTGTCAACTCGTTGTGTCGTCACAATGAATATCCCCATTGCGACTTCTCGTCGAGGATTCACAACGTAAATCCTCGTTGTAATGCCACATTGTGGATACTCGTTGAGTATCCCCACTGAGGATACACACCTGGGCACTTGCCCTCTCCCTTTCCTGCCTTGCAGTGAGGCAACTCAACGCAACAGGACACAACTCGAAACCCTCTTCGTGGTGGCAAACCCTGCCACGTTCCTTTTACAAAATAGTATATATAGCTGGCCAATCCAGCCTGATTGTACATTCCCTTTCATGTTCTCTCTCTTCTTTCCCAAGAAGAATTATCATATGTTACATCCCTAACATACTCGCCACTAGCCACCTCTCACTACTCAACACTGGAGCTCTCGTCAAGCCCTTCACGGTTCAGCAAGCAGATTGCGCACCAAGCACTTCCCGTTGAGTATCTCTGCCTTAGCACAATTTCCACTGACGCTTTCCACCTAGGCTAGCCTTTCGCTATCACTAGGCCCGACCGTAACAGCATAATTCTTCTTCCAAGTTTGTGCTTAGGCAACGCTCTCTTGGATTTCGCCTACCCCACTTTCAACACAACACACCTTTTACCTTTTTCGCCATGTCTACCACCGGAGGCAGTCGCGCTCCTACCCAAGGGGACAGGATTACCCAACTGGAGGAGACTATTGCACGCATGGAGGAACAACTGCGTAGGACCGCATCGCTTTCCCCTGCTCCTGCTGCTCCTGCAGTCCGCCCCTCGGAACCCAAGATTGCCGCACCGGAATACTTCCATGGACACCGCACCAAGTTGACTACCTTCCTCACTCAAGTCAGCATGGTGATCGAACTTCAACCCAACCGGTACCCTACAGAGAGGTCCAAGGTACTCTATACCGCCTCTTTCCTTAGGGACACCGCTTTCCTTTGGTTCCAACCCAACCTGGAGAAGGACCCGGAACCAGAGATGATGACTAGCTACAAGAAGTTCTGCAGGGCTCTCCGCGACACCTTTGGAGACCCTGATGAAGAGGCAACTGCCGAAAGGAACATCTTTTCCCTCCGACAAAAGGGATCGGCATCCTCTTACATCTCAGAGTTCCAACGCAACTCTACTCTCACTCAATGGGACGACCACGCCTTGGCCGCCCAGTTCTACCGAGGACTCAAAGAAGGAATCAAGGATGAGATTGCTAGGGTTGGACGACCTCACACTCTCAAGGAAATGATGGACACCGCTCTTAGGATTGACAACAGACTTTACGAGCGTTCTCTGGAACGCGGGTCTGGGACTCAATTCACCAGTACCACCACCACTTCAACTCGCTCTTTCGGAGGCAACAAGTCGTACTCCAACAACAGCAACTTTACCCCTCGCTCATCTCCTTCTACCGGTACTACTACCTCTACCACCTACACTCGCCAATTATTCCCGTCCAGGAATGACCGAGCCACTTCATCCTTGCCCATCAACAGCAAAGGCAAACTCACCTCCGAGGAATATCAAAGGAGGAAGGATCAAGACCTTTGCCTCTACTGTGGCTCCAAGGATCACACCGTTGCCAAGTGCCCACTTGCAAAGCCCAACTCTTCGGCTGGGAACAGTGCCATCCTTACCCGTGACAACCAGTCAAAAGGTCAGGCACTCCGTACCCAGAACGCCACCGCCTAGCGCGGAGTTGCCAAAACGCTAGGCAGGACTTGCAAGATTCTCAGGACTCTCTGGACTCAACGGATTCTACTTCTACTTCATCTTCTACTTCGGATTCTACCTCAGACGCAAGGAATCACATCAGTCTTCCCGTCACTCTACCCAACTCTACCAAGCCCAGCATGGAATATGCTGCTCTACTGGACTCTGGCGCTTCAAAGTGCTTCATGGATTATCGCTTCGCTAAATCCCTTCAACTCCCGCTTACCAAGAAGCGACACCCTTCAAAACTCCACATGATTGATGGCTCCATATCCTCTTATGGCAGCATCAAGTACACCGTCACCACCTCCATCAAGGTACCCAACTTCAAACTGGCAACTACAACCTTCGAAGTCACCCATCTAGGGGTCTTCCCGATTATACTCGGATACCCATGGCTTTACAAACACAAGCCTTTCGTCAACTGGGAAGCTGGAGAAGTTAACCCTCCACTTGAAAAAGCCAGTACTCTTACTTCGACATCTGAGCATGCGACATCTGCGGATGTCACCTTTGGGAACACTACCAATGTGTCTGCAGCTGCGGCTGATCCCATTCCGGTGATGGATCAAGACATCATACCTGCCAGGTATCACGCCTACCTGGATGTCTTTGATAAGGCTAATGCGGATACTCTACCACCGCATAGACCATTCGACCATCACATACCTCTCGAAGAAGGCAAACAACCTCCCTGGGGACCAGTCTACTCCTTATCCGAGAAAGAACTAGGGTCACTACGGGAATACTTGGATGAAAACCTAGCCAAAGGTTTCATCAGACCTTCTGAATCTCCGGCGGGAGCACCCATCCTCTTTGTCAAGAAAAAGGATGGATCCCTCCGTCTCTGTGTGGACTACCGAGGTATCAACAAGATAACCATCAAGAATCGGTATCCACTTCCGCTCATCTCAGAGCATCTGGATCGCTTGCGACAGGCCAAATACTTCACCAAGATCGACCTCAGAGGAGCCTACAACCTCCTACGGATCGCTGAAGGTGAAGAATGGAAGACGGCATTCAGGACGCGCTACGGCCTCTTCGAATACCTCGTCATGCCATTTGGTCTCACCAACGCGCCAGCATCTTTCCAACACCTGATGAACCACAACTTCAGGACGATGCTGGATCACTACGTCATCTGTTACCTGGATGACATTCTCATCTACTCGGACACACTGGAGGAACACTATCAGCACGTTACCTCTGTCCTTGAGACACTTCGCAAAGCAGGACTCTTCGCCAAAGCCGAGAAATGTGAGTTCCATCAGCACAGTGTGGAATTCCTTGGCTTCATTGTCGGAAGAGATGGGATTACTATGGACATCAAGAAAGTGCAGAGCATCTTGGATTGGCCTACTCCAACCAACCTGTTTGAAGTCAGATCCTTCCTTGGATTCTGCAACTTCTACAGGCGCTTCATTGCATCTTATTCCTCCATCGCCCATCCTCTCACTCAGCTCACCAGGAAGGATACTCCATTCCTCTGGACCGACAAACACTCTCAGGCCTTCGACAAACTCAAGAACGCCTTCACCTCAGCTACTCTCTTAGCTCACTTCAATCCGGAAAAGCCTCTAGTCCTAGAGACAGACGCTTCGGACTTCGCCCTTGCTGGAATCCTATCTCAGGAGTCGGAAGAGGGAATTCTAAAACCCATCGCATTCTTCTCAAGAAAGATGGTTCCCGCTGAACTCAACTACGAGATCCACGACAAGGAGATGCTTGCCATCATCTCATGCTTCAAGGAATGGCGTCAATACCTTGAAGGGACCTTTACGGAAGTCCTTACAGACCACAAGAGTCTAGAGTACTTCACCACCACCAAACAACTGAACAGACGACAAGGTCGCTGGTCTCAGTTCCTCCAGGACTTCCACTTCATCATCAAGTATCGACCTGGTTCACAAGGGACCAAGCCGGATGCTCTCACCAGAAGACCGGATCTTCATCCAATGACCAAAGGATCATCCCTCTCACCGGAAGCCAACCCTGACAATCATCAGGCTCTGCTCAAGCCCGGACAATTTCTATTCGCCACCGGATCTTCTGAACTCCTCCCTCAGTCCCAGCAAGACATCATCACCACCTTACAAGAGGAGACTTTCGCTCAGGACGTCATCACTTCACTGGACAAACACCCAGGATATACCTTACAAGATCAACTACTACTCTACAAAGGACGTACCTACCTTCCTGACAAGAAAGACTTACGGCTACGCATCACTCGAGAGCACCATGACTCCCTTCAGCACGGACACCCTGGTCAGCGTAAAACCTTGCAACTGGTTCAGCGCAACTACTGGTGGCCCAAGATGAAGGAGTTCATCCACTCTTATGTGGACTCTTGCGATGCTTGCCAACGGAACAAGTCAAAACGTCACAAGCCATATGGAGAACTCAGGTCACTTCCTATTCCGCCATACCCTTGGTCCAACATCTCGATGGACCTTATCGAGGATCTACCTCGCTCCAACGGCTACAACTCTATCTTGGTCATTGTTGATCGACTCACCAAGATGAGCCTTTTCATACCGACATCTACCAGCATCGATGCACCCGAGCTGGCTCAACTCTACCTCCAACATGTCTTCAGCAAACACGGGTTACCTGAACGGATCATCAGTGATCGCGGTTCGGAATTCACCTCACGCTTCTGGCGTGCTATTGGTTCTCTGCTGGACATCAAGTTGGACTTCTCCACCGCTTACCATCCTGAAACAGATGGTCAGACGGAACGCACCAATCAAACTCTGGAGCAATACCTCCGGATGTACGCCAACTACCAACAAGACGATTGGTACAGACTTCTGCCTTTAGCAGAGTTTGCCTACAACAACGCCAACAGTGAAACCACTGGCGTCTCACCCTTCTTTGCCAACAAAGGCTATCACCCTCGCTGCAACTTCACCAAACCCATAGGACCCAACGTCTCAGAAGGCGCAGAGCGCTTCACTGCAGACCTATCGGAACTACACAACCAACTTAAACTCTGGATCAAAAGATCTCAAGAGCACTCCGAAAAGCAATGGAGCCGTAAACACCTCCCCTCACCAGTGTACGGACCTGGCGATAAGGTCTGGCTTGATGCAGAAGACATCAAGACCACTCGACCAAGCAAGAAGCTCAGCAACCGCTTCCTTGGCCCATACAAAATCACCAAGAAAATATCCTCGCACGCCTATCGTCTGGAACTCCCTTCCCAATCGAAAATACATGACGTATTCCACGTCAGCAAACTGGAACCCTTCAAGGAAAACACCATCACAAATCGTGAACAACCTCCGCCTGAACCCGAGATCATTGAAGGCGAAGAGGAATTTGAGGTCGAGGAAATCCTTGACTCAAAGATCAACAAACGATACAAGGAACCTCTACGTTACCTTGTCAAATGGACAGGATATGGACCAGACGCAAACTCTTGGGCGCCACCTTCATGGCTCACCAATGCACAAGGACGGATCACGGAATACCATGAAAAATATCCCCTCAAACCTGGCCCATAAACCGTCTACTTGACCCGAAATATTATCAAAATAACTCGGCAAAAAGAAAACCTACCGACCGGATTGAATCCTGGATCTCACAAACTCAGCAAAAATAAATCACAAAAACCACAGTTCCAGCTACGCCATATCGTGCTGAATATTTGCGTACTTGATCACCTCAATATATACGTAAACGTCGGATGATGATTTTTTGACAGGCGAAACCTGTCCAAAAATCATCATCCGGTGGGGCATTACGTACATCACGGCATTGCGGCACACATCACGGCATGTCGGCACAGGCGGACACCTCGACTTCGCCGACATCAAATCTCGATCAATCATTGGGTTAGAGACGCAAGCTTAGGCTCGTTTCGAAGCTACAAATCAGGTCGTAATTTTTACGCTATCTTATCACCACCTCTCGACAAACTTATCAACAACACATCCGACCTATTGTGCTGTCGTGAAGACATTCGCGTGCATGCGTGCACATCACCTCTGCGCAAAGGAGCAGACCTGCCGTCGACACCAACAAGGCCCTCAGCAAACAACAAGCGATGGCTCGGCCCTTCAGCTCACCTTGTTCTGCGCAATGCAGCAGTGACATTTGAACTCATAGAGGACAACCAGACACCTCTTATCACCTCTTTTCTTGTTCGCGCACGACGAACAGGGGTACTCGGCGGGGACGCCATGTTCGGCGACATCCCGTGACTTCTCAACACGCTTGGCCTTTGCCCTTTGCGTCTACACATACACCACCACAAAATATCAGCACTCCCGCCAATGGATCAATCCACCACCACATACCTTTACCCATCGCTGCACTGCCTTTTTCGCTGCAGCCTCTCGCTCCCTGGCCGCCAACGCCGCAGCGATGGCCGCGTCCTGCCTGACCTGAATCTCCTGAGCGTCGGCTTGAATGGCCGCAAGCAGGAACTGGTTCTGCTGTTCCTCGGCCAACGGATCAACTGGTCCGATGTCATACGGGGGAGTCTGGGCCTGTCGGACGGCGTCCATGGTGACGGCGTTGTTGACAGCCTCGAGGACGAAGTCAAAGTCGAAATCTTGGTGCTGAGCGGACATGTCAAGATCAGCGAAGAGATCAAAGGCTCGCTTGGCTACCACTACCTACCACTCTTCCGGAACACCAAACCACCAATCTCCTCCCCTTTATATATCTATCCGCTATGTGGGTCACCTGGTCACTTGACCTCGCGGAAGGATCAACTTATTTCCCACGGATCCCACGCTCATCTCGGCACCTGATAAGCTCACCTTCCGGCAACACGGGAGGACAAGAAAAAATCCCACGGACCACACAGTTATCACGGGACACCCTACTCGGTACAACCAAGGCACAAATTGAGGTACCTGACTTACGCTCAAGGGACTTCGCGGCTTATCGGGGGGATGCTGTTACGGACCGACCCAAACCCGGTCCTCCACACACGCGCATGACGTGTCAACTCGTTGTGTCGTCACAATGAATATCCCCATTGCGACTTCTCGTCGAGGATTCACAACGTAAATCCTCGTTGTAATGCCACATTGTGGATACTCGTTGAGTATCCCCACTGAGGATACACACCTGGGCACTTGCCCTCTCCCTTTCCTGCCTTGCAGTGAGGCAACTCAACGCAACAGGACACAACTCGAAACCCTCTTCGTGGTGGCAAACCCTGCCACGTTCCTTTTACAAAATAGTATATATAGCTGGCCAATCCAGCCTGATTGTACATTCCCTTTCATGTTCTCTCTCTTCTTTCCCAAGAAGAATTATCATATGTTACATCCCTAACATACTCGCCACTAGCCACCTCTCACTACTCAACACTGGAGCTCTCGTCAAGCCCTTCACGGTTCAGCAAGCAGATTGCGCACCAAGCACTTCCCGTTGAGTATCTCTGCCTTAGCACAATTTCCACTGACGCTTTCCACCTAGGCTAGCCTTTCGCTATCACTAGGCCCGACCGTAACACTGAGGGGACGCAGGAATGAGGCAAGGTATGGGTAGACATCTGAAAGTGATAACAGATGTAGAACTATTACAGAGGTACTAGGTCTACATCAAAACAACAATACAAACAAGTACCCCCAGCGGGAGTCGTATTTGGGGGTTGCATATGTCGCATCCGGCGTGTCACGTGACATCTATAACAGTTTCTTTGCGCCACTCGCTTCCAACCCTGCTGATGGCGTTGCCCAAGCTACTGTTCCACTCGAAGTCATTGTCACAATTCACCACATCTTGGTGGGAAAACATGATGAGGTTGGTCCTTTTGCCATTGCCAAATGACATGATAGCCTGCCAAACAATAGACAAATGGGAAATTACGATATCTCTGCAAATTTCACCAATGTCAGCGGAGCAAGCATCATCATGTTTGACACCCTGCCCTCACATGGGTCCATACGCTAGCTTGTAGAGGTGTTTGTGAGTCCCCACCAAGAGGTCTGCCTCGTCTACCTCTCCCAGCAGAGACGTGGTGACGACTCCATCGTCATCATCACCCTTGTCAAGATGGGTCCCACTTGCAGACGGCGAACAACAGCAAGTACCATCTGAATGAACCGCAATTGTCCGGCCAGAATGCCAAAGCCGGCATGCTTGTTGCACGGCTGATCGACCAGGCGTCTTCAGTCCTGGCAACATTTTGGGAACGTAAGGCAAGTAATGTTGGAACATAGCTGTCGCATAAACTCCCAGGTTAGCACGGAGGGATCTTTTCGCTAGCCAATTAGCGGACCAACCTGATAAAAGTCTTGCAGATCTCTTTGATACTGGCTGTAGGCTCGGAACCCATAGTTGCCTTTGTGTGAATTGCTTGAAATGGCAACACCCCAAGGATTCTGTTGATTTGGGATCCAATGACCAAGGTCCAGGACGGCAACGTCATGAGCACCGTGCTTGGCAATCTGTCTGTCGATGTTGAGATGGCGGTGATGATTCTTGGGAGGACAGGCCAGTTTGTTGGATATCTTGTGTTACGGCGGAGGTCGCTAAAGGGCGAGAGTCCAAGTCATACGGCATAGGGTGCTTAAGGCAAATCGCAGGTAGTCAGGAGAATGTTGCAAGTTTGCTTAGATGAAGCGAGTTTGGGTAAGGGCTACAAATCCAGGGATATATGGATAAGGAAGGGTGATCACTCGGTATGAGGTACCGGGTTTGTTCTAAGGTAAAACGATGAAGTGTGTCTACTTAGCAACATCCTTGAGTTTGTAACCTCTCCGCAACACATCTTGAAGGTGGTGTGACAAGTCAGATAGGCGTGTATTGAATGTGATATCGGAACTTGACCTATTACTATTACAGAGCGTCCTCCATTGAATTCAGTCAAGTTCCTCTAGCTATTTATACGGAGACAAGAATGGCAAACACTGAAAAGATCCACGAAAAAAGAACAGCGAGAGAGAGATGGCAAAACTGGAAGAGCGAGATGGCGAGCAGATGAATCCTGTTGAGAGGAACCGGATTCAGTTGAGGAGACGAGTTTGAGTTCCCATTTATACCTAGGGTTGTCGAGTAAGGTTGTCAAGGTACCTCAAGGTCCTGGTACCTGTCTGTGATGTGTGTTGGGAGTGTATTGTCTGTTTTAGTGAATGGTAGGGGCAACCAAACCTGCTTCAAGGGAATTGGGTTTGTCTCGTCAAGCCGGACTTGGGTGTATGCTAATGTCCGTGGAACAAGCCTGTGTGTGGGTAGTCAACTTGCGTGATGATATCATAACACCTTGGTACTGGTGATGTTGTCTGTCCCTGATTTTGTATTGGTACCAACCACTATCATATCATTGGTACTGCGTTCCATTTGTCCGGACACGTCCGCATCCAATGCCTTGGAGATCTTGTACAAGAGTACCAGTCCTTCCAGAATTCTCATGACGTCGGCTCCCAGTGATTGTAGTCAAGCCTTTGAGCTTGGCTTTGAGCTGATCGTGAAGCTTGTCCATCTGCTTGTAGAACGTGTTCTTTTCATCTTGAGACACCTTGTCGTCTGGCACTTTTGGTCGTTGGCTCTCTGAACAGAGCAAGGCCTTGCGGACCTCTGCAGCGATCAGGCTCAGGGCAATGACATTAGCGTCCTCCATCGCACAATAAAGTCTGCTTGCCACCTCAAAAAGACCGGTCAGGGTGTCTTGATGGAGAGATTTGACGTCTCAAGCCGCCAATCCGGATAGCTCTTTGACAAACAAGTCGTGCACTGCTCTTGATTTGAGCCGACAGTCAGTCAGGATAGCTTCGGCCTGTTGAAAAAAGGTCGGAAGATTGCTGGATGTCACCGTATGATGATCAAAAGAAGTATGCTTGAGTTGCCTGTACAACAGATTTGATGGACCAACGTAATAAGTCGACATGAACGAGGCAAAAGCTCACCTCACAAGCCCCGCGCCTTGTTGTCATAATTTAATCAATCCTCGTTGCTGCTATTCATTTGACAACTGGAGTCCTTGCGGTCACCTGGCATACCTCATCTTGTTTGCTGTTGCTGGACATTGCCATGCCTGACGGCTAAATGTCAGCCTGTGAAGCTGTGTGTTTGATGGTCGTAGCCCGCCTGCGCCACTTCCACTACTCTGAGCTTGAGCCGAGTGCTTGTTCATAGGCGCTGTGTACAGAGGCTTCCATCAGCACTGGTACCATGTTGCGGCCCCTACTGGGCTAGATGATCTGATAATACTGACAAATGAGTGCGTCTTTGCTCTTGACACGAGAGTCTCTTTGGCTGCTGGCATGATTCCTTGCATCTTGGGGGTCTGTCAGAGGCCACGCAACTTGTCAGCATACACGATCAGATAGGCCATATTTTGTACGACTCACAGGTGTGAGCCTTTTGTGCATGGCCCTTTTGGCTTTCACTTTGGTGCCTTGCCAACGGGGACCTTGATGGCATTTTGCTGATAAGAGGCGTGTTCCAGGGAGAGAGAGAGTCGACTACAAGCACGTAGTGTTCAAGCGGATGAGATACAAGTCACATCATTGCCAATGTAAAGACGCACTTGCCTCGAGATGTGAGAGTATGGTACTGTCAGTCAGTGTCTGATCTCTGAAGGTCGTGACTCGATCAATCGTGGTTGTGGTACCAAAGATTGAGGGATGTTATATATCGGATCGGGTTGTTATATGCATCAGGCAGAGCACAGCCTTATACACCCAGATCAAACAAGGCCTGCTGACATTTTTTTTGCTGTTGATTGCAGTTGGCCTACCTTTGACGCGCAAGAAATAGCCAAGCGCCATGGCGCTGCTGTGTATGTCTTAAATCCTAGTTCTGATGTTTCAGTCTAGCCCTGAATCCCCGTGAGCGAAAAGGCTTTCATTGGCTATCAAAGGTCGTGCACAAGTGAGGCAAACTTTGTCTATGGCTTTTGTTGTGTCACTCTCTCCAATCGACCTAGCACTTGTCATTGAATGACTTTGATAGTAGCAATGATAGAAACAATAATACTTCTGCAAAGCCAATCAGTTTGCCGGGCAATATCATGGAAATTCGTTCCAGCCAGCCAGTGGAAGGAATGCCACCGCTGGTGGTATAATTTCGTTCCACATCAGCCTGTGCCAATGGTCTCCGCTGGACTTTGTGCCATCCCTTCTTTTGATGCCTCAATGCTGGTGGACTTGACATATGTCATGGGGTTATTTGCCAATATCGGGCTTCTCAATAGTGGACTACCAACGTTTCTTTGTTTTCTTGACCTTTGTCATTTGCCTTTTTGATGAACAATGAATGAGATGGTTTGCAGATCGCCAAGGCAAATGAGCTTTCTGTAAGAGTTCAAACAGCTGATCAGAGCTTAGACTGACAGCATGCAAGGCCAGTCCACAAGGCCAATCATAGCCGAATTGGCGACCGTCGGCTTGGCAAAACTCTTATTGTCAATTGATCCACCATATCCACCTGAAAGGACCCCTCCCCCCCCCCCCAAGATGGACAACAATTCAATCCAATTCGCGATCTGAAGCCCAATCTGAGACAATTGCCAGGTTTTCAATTACAAATTCTTAGTATGCAAGCAAAGCAAGCAATTTGAATAACAAGGAGTGCCAAATAGTCCACCAACAGCGACATGGCAACAGATTGCACATTGTCCATATTTATTGTGCGTCATTGTATTGGGTCTGTGAATCTGTGTACTGTCAATTGGGTGGGTCACTGGTGCACAGAACCCAATGTCAACATTTTGATCTCAATAGCCTATTCTCGCTCTCGTATTCTCTCATCAACAGGTGTCCAACCAGGTCGAGATGTACAGGCCTTGGCAGAGAACGACAGCGCATATATTTGGGGACCGGACTAGGATCACAAGGGTGAATGGCATGTATATACTACATGACGGCTAAGATCCAATCCGACTGATCTGACATGCCTATTTGCTGCTCAAGAGATGTCTGGAAAAATGCTCAAACAACCCCCCCAAGCTTTGGAACAAAACAAGACATGCCAATGCCCTGTCTACAAGGCAAATCGTGTAAGAAGCTCGACATTGATCAAAATCTGATTGTGGACTCCTTCGGGCAAATGTTTCTAGTTGTTCCCTCAGCCAATGAAGGGAAACCGTTGGGGACAAGATGACAGCGATCTGATGCGCTATGGACAATCCAACTCCCCACACAAGAAAAAACATGATCTGCAGCATGCAGATCCTTTGGGAACAAGGCGACAAAGGTTCCTTTGACCAAATTGATCCAACTGGGAAGTTCTCAGGCTTCTCAGCACTTTGTATGGTTCATCCTTCTTGGCCCGGAGATCAAGCGCATACATAGCTGGCCATCTGAAATCGCTTTCACTTGTTTCCCACCAACTTGTCTGGGCTACATGTTCATCATTTCATCTTGAGAACAAAATGGCTACCAACAACACCGTCCCAGTCAAGGTGAATCGGAAACACAAATTTAGATTGAATGACCTCTTGCTGATCTTTCAATACCTGACTTTGCAATGGTTATGCGCTGTACAAAGTACCAAGTACGGAATGGGAAACTACTTAGAAAGTACAAGTTGTTTGCTTGATCCTTTACAACCGAGAAAAAGGACAATCACTCTTCGCTTACCAAAAGGACTTTTGACAGATACATGTGATGTTATTGCCCAAGCTGGATGCCAAAGTGCTTGATGGTGGAAGTGTAAGCGGATTGAGCTTGTGTGAGCTAAAGATATTGGTGAAAATGTCGGGATGTCAAAAGGTGGAGTCACTAGTAGTTCACTAGAGATACTTTGAGTACGAATCCAAGTTTTAGACTCATTTATCGCCACTGGTAACACTAGAGGACAACAGGTGTTGAAGAAAAGATGATTGGACTCTAAAGTATGTTGATATCTGCTGATGTAGGGGTGGTAGGTGGTAAACTGACAATCAGTCATGTGACTTATGTAAAGAATATTCCTAAGAGATATCCTACAATCTCCCTTGAGATGTCCCCTATACAAACTCATCAGGGTAGTATCATTTGATGGCTGATGTACCAATCATAGCTAAACGGAAGAGTCTTGATAAGGCTATCTACATTTCCAGTCATTCAATCTGACATCCTACTATATCTCCACTCTTCCATGTGTATCTGGATCTCTCCAGATACATCTCCATCTTTTGATAATGTCTCCATCTTTCCAAATGTACATGATGTATGTCTGTATATCTTTTCATGGATCTCGATATATCTCAATTCCTCTAGATGTGATAATCGGTCGCATTGCAAAATGGTGTTGTGTTGCCGGCCACCTGTAGTTTCTCCGGGACTTGCATAGAGTGGTAGGTAGATAAACGAGTGTGATAGCAGATGAACTACACAATACAAGAGTGATGGTAGTAGGTAAACTGTTATAGCATCCGCGGTACGCGTACCGAAAGACCACGTCAGGTAGTTTTACGGCTGCCAAGTTGAGCTGATTCATGCTGTGTTAGAATTGAGTCTCTCTCCTTGAGTGGGAGCTTGGCTACTAGAAGCGGTTGACATATTAATGTAAGCAGATTTGTGCGTTCGTTGAAACGGAACAAATAGAATACAAGAGCACATTCTAACAAAAATCTATTCTGTTGTGTAGAAATTTGATAGTGACCAGAGTTATTGTTGTGCAGGTCATCACATTAGCGAAATCTGTGCTAAGACGTATATGATTCAGCTGTAAGTCTCGGTTGACTAAACTTGTGAAGTGCATGACAACAGCATATTGCTAAGGGTTGGTGGGTAGAGTAGTGTAATATTGACAGGTGGCTAATATGTCAAGACTGCAATATGGACAGGACAATCTTTCTTAGGTAAGAAGAGGAAAAGTACATACGGGGAATATATAATGACAGAGAAATGGGTTTATGTTGGCGTGTTCATATGCCATACATATGGATGCATATCTGAGTGATAGTGCGGATCACAATATGAATAAGTATCATCATGTGGGTAAGCCAAAAAGAAAGTTGGGAGGGGCATGCTTGTATTTCCTTGCAACAGTGCTCAAAGATGCACATAGGAATGGCGTTGGTATGGACTGAACATGTGTGGTGAATGCGTAGTGGATACATTCACATTGACATGTTCAAGACATTAGGCCCAAAAACATAGCAAACACCTTGATGCATCCAGGGCGTTGCCTTTCAAACACCAATGAAGTTCAAGACATTTGGGGCCATTGACCAAAGGTCGACTTGTCTAGCGGTAGTGTTGCTTGATATCACAACACAGATGTGATTGCTTTGATTAACTCTGTCAGCCTAGACAACTGTTGGCAATGGTGGTTGAGCGTCATCATACATCACAGGCACTTGAAACATTTATCCTTAGATGTTTGCTCTTTGGTTTGGAGATGTTGGCCAATTATGTGCCAAGACTACATGGGAAAGAGGAAAAAAATGGTCAAGCTATGAATTTGCAGTGGTCTAGCGGTATCTGTGCACATAACATACACATGTTCAAGCATGGCTGCACTTTCAAGTCCAGGCACCTTCCAGGTGGGTTTGGTCGGTGGCAGGGGTGTGTCACGGGAGGGCTAGCCGCATAAGCGAAAGGGGAAGTCCGGCGCGAAAGGGTACTCTACTGTAAAGAACTGCTCATAAGGGTGGCTAACCGTCAGGATAGTGACCTTTACTCTTGTACGATGATCAAGTCTCGAAGAGATGTAATATCGAGACGCTTGAGTCCCGAATTCAAGCGTCTCATAACAACTATACTACCTTACAGAAAGCTAAATACTCGCACCAAAGCATACGGAAACGGACTCTAAACCTCTCCCCTTACGCTTCTACTCGTTCGCCTCTCGACTCGTCTACGTTCTTCTCTCTCGTTCGCTTCAAAGTCCTGTCCCTTGCTTTGCGTACAGATCCGTATGTTCCTGTACCGTAAAGTCCGATCTCCAAAGCGAACGCATACGTAAGGGTTGTCGGGCTTCTCGATGATCTTGGCTGAAATGAGGAACGCGTCGGGCCCAATATCGATCGTCCTGTTACGGTTGGGCCTGGTGGTAGCGAAAGGCTGGCCTAGGTGGAGAGCGTCAGTGGTAATTGTGCTAAGGCAGAGATACTCAACGGGAAATGCTTGGTGCGCAATCTGCTTGCTGACTGTGAAGGGCTTGACGAGAGCTCCAGTGTTGAGTAGTGAGAGGTTGCTAGTGGCGAGTATGTTAAGGATGTAACATATGATAATTCTTCTTGGGAAAGAAGAGAGAGAACATGAAAGGGAATGTACAATCAGGCTAGAATGGCCTGCTATATATACTATTTTGGAAAGGGGGCAAACACTAGGTAAAGGTGGCAAACGTTCACGTTGATGTTGATGTTGCCGTTGATGTTGTTGTTGCCGTGGACGTTGGTGTTAACGTTTGTGTTGGCGTTGGTGTTGATGGTTGCCTTGACGTTTGCGTTTGTGTCTGCATCTGCGTCTGCATCTGCGTCTGCATCTGCGTCTGCGTTGTTGCGCAAGGTTGGGTCGGTCCGTAACACGTCCTGTGACAGGGTGCTTCTGAACAAGCTGACGAGCCAGCAATGAAGCAAGAGTCGTGTAGACACCTACGCTGTAATAACACATGTAGAACTACACATAGCAACTATAACATTATAGGTACTTAGCAAGCACTTTGGAACTCCTGGAAATTTCGCCGCCATTAAATAGCGTCCAAACGGTTCGTTTTTCTCGCGTTTTCGCCAAATTTAATTCGCCGTTTGCCCTCACAGAAATCAGGCGTAAAGTGCGGATTTAGATGCCGTTTACCCCATCGTAAACACCACCTTCGTTTTGACGAGCATAAACATCGAGGAAACAGCAGCGTTCAGATCACCTATAAACGCTAGCATATTCGGGTCCGATCATCCCAAATCAATGCCGTTATCATCACGTGATTCACATAATATTACATTTGTACCCGCACCGCTCAATCGCTCATCGCCGTTGCCAAAACAAAGTCGACTTACCAAACATCCTTTCGACTGTTGACTTGCCATGTTATTCACCTGTGAACCTTTAATGATACCGTCAGCACATTGAATCAAGATAGTGTGGACAGCGAGGACCGGGATCCATATAGCACCCACCTTATCGCCAGGCAGAGCGTGATCGGGAAGGTTCGGGGAGCCAGGAGACACCTTAGTTAGTCCTTGCTGTCTATTATACGGATCCTCCTCTCCTCTAAGACGAGCACCTTTTACAGCAAAGTCAGTATCGGATCCACAGCCTCAGGAGTGTTCATAGGACGTACCAGAAGAGACAGGGAGTCGTGTAGCCGTTCGTGAAACGCTAAAGGACCCCAAGGATATCGACGCTGGCGGTCAGTTCCCATACCCTCCGCCCTCGATTTGACCGGCCTGCTTACCTCTCGTCCGTCCGAAATACCCTGCTACAGATCGAGCAAACGTAGTCGTCAATATGTCTGGCTTTGAATATGAACCTCAGAGCTCACCTACCCCCTCCAGTCGGCACGGTATCTCCCCCCACGTCTCCCTTCCACGCAACATGAATGCAGGCCGAGCCGGTTCATCGCATCGCCCGTTCATCGCTCCCATGGCAGGTTTAGGCCAGACACGATCGTCTCAGAGGCCATCTCGGGATTCTGAAGAGACTTCCGATCAGACACCCAGAGCCGTTCGACCACTCCCCACACAGCGGACCCAAGCAGCAAGTCAATCAGGATCGTCGTTATCAGCTACCTCTCAACTACCGCCGTCATCTCAGTCTTCCTCACTCACCACAACCTCATCTGCACGTTTCAATGTTCGCCGCAACACCAAACCTGGTGCTCCCGCTCAACACCCTACATCTCAGCCATCCGCTCCTGTCCAAGATCGACACACGTTCCAACTCCTCCAGTCCATCCAAACGACCCTCGACGAGTATAAGAGTACCGTCGCAGTCCTCGAGCGGACCGTGTCGGAGCTGGTCGCCGCCAACAACGAGATGCAGCAGGAGCTTTCGAACAGGGACAGTGGCGATAAAGACGAGGCGATCGCTCGATTGGAGCAAGTTGTGCGTGAACAGGGCGAGGCGTTAGCGGATCTGGAAGAGGAGGTTTATAGTAGTGAAGGAGGAATAACGGGTCGGGCTACGAGCGACGAGAAGAAGGCTGTTACGAAGTTTCTCAAATCAGCAATCGAACAGCTTTACGGATGCCACCCGCCGGTTGCCTACCCTGACGATGCGAGTGATGCAGGTTGGCCTCAGCTAACGACAGCTGATGGTGTGCCGACGGGACCTGCGATGAGATGGAACTTTGCTGTACCGCTGCGAGAGGAGCCAAACGTCAGCGAAACGCGAAGGCTCTATACCTTTATACAGGAGAAAGGCTCGAGTGTAGCCTTGCCCAACGACCTTCCTCGAGAGAGCATCCCGGCATACGCCACCCATACCAACATCTACGCAAAGGCCGTCTCAGAGATATTCAAGCAGTATCGAGCGACGCAAGCGAATCAGCACCTGAAGGAATGGAGCAAGACGGGCCGGGTACTCGCCATGACGCAGATCGAGGAGATGCAGGCGAAAGGAGACATGTTGACGCATGGGGAGAGGGATGCGTTGGAGCAGATGCAGAGTCATTATCAGGTGATGGAGATGGCGATGGAGAAGACGGAGAGCGAGGTGAAGAATAACGCAAGATCGCGCATGAACACAGTAAGTTACGTTTGATCCATCTCATGCTTCATTCTATTTGTGCTTACGAGGCTCTCCAGCTTCAAGGCCACATGAAGAAACGGCGGGCAAAGACGGCATTCAACGGCCCCGAATACGCAGTCTTTGACTCCCTTTACGGAATGCCGGTCCTCTCCATGATTCGGCAGAACGACGGGTCGTATCATGCCTATCTCCCCGACCTCTCGCAGATCTACTCCGAAGACTACATCACCTGCTTCAACACCATTTGGTCAGCGGGTAACAGCACGAGTGCCCGATCCAATGCCTCTGTCGTGATCAACGAACCTCCGGAGGGATACGAAGCCGCCACGCCAACTCCCTACTTCGCCTCGACCTTTCCTAAAATCCACCTATCGCCCCAGAAATGGATGTTCAGCGCCAGCTATATCGCCTCCCATCGCGATTACCTTTCAACCAAGATCGTCGATGTGGATATTCCTACTCATCCGACCGAAATTATGGAGACCGACTGGTATTTGAACCATCCCTTGACGCTCAAGCAGAAGCCGGCTGAGGCGAATGACGATGGAGGCAAGAAGGCAACCAGCGGCGGAAGCAAGAAGGCAGCGAACAGCGGAGGAGGCACGAAGAGGAAGAAGGGTGCATCAGTTTCGATCGCGCCGTCTGCAGCAGGACCGAGGGAACATACGCCTTTGCAAGATATTGCCAACATTCAAAGTCTCAGTAGTGGCGGTTCAGTAACGCGCGACAAACGCAGGAGGTTGAGCAGCACCACATCCAACTTAGACCCGGCTTTCCGGGAGGACGTCAACCCAAACCCCTCGTCGGACGACCTGTTCCTTGGGAACCATACCCCGTCCAGTCGTGATCTGCATAAGAGGCTCGGATCAGTCACCACCACGCCAACTCCACGGGTCCCGATGACACCTACTTCTCAGACCAATATCCCATCGCCTTTCGTTATCCCCAACTCCTCTCGCGTCAACGAAGCCCATCCCGGATCCTCCCGAACAATCGCACCTGATCATCAGCCAAGGATGAGCGACATCTTTCAGCAACGCCCTCGAGATTATCATCAGCATACCAAGCACGGCTCTGAACAAACACTCAACTGGACTCACAATCAACATCCCAATGATATGGATCACGAGAACCTCGACCCTCCTCGCACCGGTCGGCAGGGTGAGGAACCTCCTCGATATGACGCGCCTGCAACCTCTTTGACTCTGAACGACCTTGTTAACGAGAACATCTACGACAACAACGAGCCTCACGATGATGACGAGGATGACGACTTGTGCTAATGCAACTGCTGCCAAGGAGTGTTGGACGGTCTGCTTCGTCCTCTGTGTACGACGACTTATGATTTCTTACTCCAGGAGGTCCTGGTTATAATGCTTCGTTTACTGTATCACGCTTATTAGGGCGCTGTTCCCGCCTGCATGTCACTATTGCTATGAATCCATGGCGATAAAGTCGTAAATTGGCTACCGTCTACCAGGGGGTTATGGTGCGTAATCATGGGGTACTGCCGCCTCATATGTCGTCGTCCTGCGGATCCTCTACGGGAGGTCCTACTTCGTCGTTCAACCAATATTCCGGTTCTTGTCCCTCCTGATAGATTCAGCACGGTTCTGTCAGTGTATTCTGGCGGCCGGGATCGTCTCGGGGACTGACGACCTACCCTGTCGCACGCGACTGATAGAAGATAGTCCTCCGAGTCATCGTCCTCCGGGTTGAGATTCATGCGGTACACTATGGTAGACGCGCGTAGGTGGTCCAGCCGTATGAACATCTTCCCCAAATTCTTGTCGAGGTATGTCCGTATCCCCAAGTCGGACCGTCTGTACACAGCGAGATGAGCAGGTTGTCCCGACGAATCGGGATCGGCCTCGGGGGGGACACTGACCGTAGATGCCAGGGGAATACCGAGTCTTCTGCAGGCTGGAAGAAGTCGACCAAAGCAAGTGTCTCTTTCACTGGGTGAGGCATGTGAGGGACCGAGAGTTCAATCGACAAGATGAGATGTATCCGACATAGATCACATCGCTTGGTGGCTGGGTCGGGATTGGCCAGTGCATACTGGTTATTCTGCGATCGGGAATACAACATCGAACAAAATCTGTGGAGATGACCGTCAGTCTTGGACGACGCACGGTTGTGAAAGTTAGGACTCACTTGAAGCCTGTGTAGACCGCGTGGGTAAAGATCTTGTAGGGTGCCCCCGATCTGGGCAGTCCCGGACGTCGATCGTTCACAAACGCTGCGTCAACAAAGTCGTAGTCTGGATGCTGCTCCTCCAGGTAGTCAAGTAGTTCTTGATAAATGTTCCAAGCCACCAGATCGACGTTCGTTTTGGGACGGTATGGAGCCGGTAATCTCATGGTCCAGTTGGCGGCATTCCCACGAGCTTCGTCGAGCATGAGGGTCCCCAGGGTCAGGCTGCGATCCTCAAGTAGTGCGAGCAGTGCCTCGATTTCTGCCTCCTCTGCTTCGGGATCGGGATTATTGACGACGGCCGCGAGTCGAACTTCTCGTAGCCAGTGGCGCATCAAGGTGGTAGCCAGATCTGAGAGTAATTTGCCATTATGCTTGACGTTCGACAGCTTTCCGTTGTTGCGTTCGAAGGCCCATGTCCCGTATCCAGGGAGGGGACCGTAAAGGCGAACGAAGTGTGCGTAATGCATCGCGATGTGCCAGTTAATCGTCATCGAACCCCCTAACCTGACCATCCTACTGGCCGCGTTGGATAAGTCCTACCAGGATATCCATAGCGCAGATGTAAGTGTAAGCGTCATCACGGCATATCAATGCTGCGAGAAAACTTACGTCAACAGCAGCCTCCGCTTCACTCAGACTCAATGTGTGGGCGTGCAGTATCCGTAGGCCCGAACACAAAGACACCGCCGCTTCGTACCAGCCCAAACGGTTTGCTATAAACGGTCTGGGTTCTTCCGCAGCGGGCATTCCTGAGGCGCTTGCACTTCGTCGTCGACCCCGTCGTGTCCCACTCGATCCTGTCTCGCTTCGTACCGAGTTTGCTCTCTGACGTCTACCCGGTCCCTGAGATCGCGATCGTGATCGGCTTCGAGATCTCGTCGATGGTGCATCAGATGAATAGGCATCCTCGACCTCATCTTCCGGGGCGATATTCACGTCGGGAATGCAACCACTGTCTTCGTCCCGAAACGCCGCATAGAGGGCTAAGGGTAACAGCTGAGCTACGCGTTTCCACTGATCGGCTTTCAGGTTAGATCCGACAAGACCTCGCTGCGTCTTCTGCCTGCGGAGGCCGATCATCTGCTTGGTAATACGCTTGGGAAGTCTGCCGAGATGACCTGGATATAACGCGTTTTCGAAGACTTCACAGAAGGCCTCGAGGCGGGTCGTTTCCCCGACATCGCCATCGAAGAGACCCCCGTTCAACAGCATTGTAACAAAGCTGCGCACTAAGCCCAAGAAGGAATTATGCATGGGGTCGACTGGGTTCGAATCGGCGTGTTCGAAGCCTATGAGCTTGCACATCACGGAATAACGTACGCCATACGTTTCTTCTATCTTGTACTGCTTCTCCGGGTCGCCGAGCTCGTAGGCGAAACTCGCTTGGAGCCTGACACTCGGCGACGCCTTTTGGGGCAAATCCTTCCATTTGTAGGCTCGTGTGGTGAGAAGGTCCTCCTTCCGAATGCCGCAATACTGACACGGGTGTCGATTGTGACCGATACCCATCACGCCTGTGAGTTTTCGAGTTGCCGGGATATCAGAGGTGTTCAGCAACAGCCGGGCTTGGACGAAGATATCCGTTTGCTCGCGGTCGACTAGGATTGTAGTACTGAATCCCTTCTCGCAGAGCTGGAAATCTCGGACGATCGGCTCTAGCATCTAGTAACACAACCGTCAGGCAAAGCTCGTCAGAGGTAATCTTTAAACGCCAATGTGGTGACGCGACTGACCTTGTTCATACACAATCCAGGCGGCTCCTTAGGCCCCGGGATTACGGCGAGCAGGGCGGTATATTTCTTCTTGAACATGATCTCTCGGGGGAGGTTGGCTATACACGCGTAGACCGCACCGACAGAGCAGCCAGTAGCCTTCTTGACCGCGAACCTGAGTTGTTTGAGCATCATCACGTTAATAAAAGCAGAAGCGTTTACTGCAATTCAGGGTACTTACCAGTCGATATTCAAAATGATCTTTAGGTCATAGCGGCCAGTATGACGCCGCGGAGGAGCCCGTGCATCGATGGGGACCTCGTCAACCCGATTGCTGCCAGGACGCACGACCCGTTTGGTCGAGCCCGCCTGAGAACGCCAGCACGACCCGTCGGCCAAGCCTTCGAGTAAATCGCCTTTGGCATAATAGTGTTCGGTTTTGTCAAGAACAGGACGGCTCGTGGGATCCTGCCAATCGTACTGATTGTCTTGCTTCCACTCTTCTAATCGGCTGTTTACCTCCGGGTCTTGGAGTAACAGAGCTAATGCGAGAGACAACGGTGTGTATGGGGCGACCTTGATTGGCGATCGAATCTGCTGACTCTGCGTATAGATCGGGGTCCCACATTCCGTACAATCCGGACTGGTCAGAGTCTTGAGATTGATGTACGGGGTAAGGTTCCAGCAGCTGTCCTGGGGACAAACGATATAACGGACTAAGTAGTCGTCCGGGAGTACGCCAAGTCGGGAAAGTGCCGTCCTGACGTTATAGGTCTTGTCTTCGACCGGGGCACCGGAAGCCAATTCGATATTCGCTGTCATCTGTTGTAGCATCATGTTGGCCACGGTATTCGATTGTCCAGTGGCTTTGGCAAACGCGATAGCAGTGTACATGTGGCGGATCGGCGGATCGAGCGAATGGTGCTTGGTGAGAGTGTCGATAGCGATGTGGACTGTGTTGGGATGATCCGGGTGCGTACCGAAGTAGTAGTGCTGCTCGGCGGGTTCACCTTCCTGGAAGAGCTGCGTATCCAGGGCCTCGTTGTCCCATACGATATCGGCTTCAACGTCTGGGTCGAGAAAGTTTGGCTCGGGAGTCCCGTGGAGCAAATGTTATAGCCATCCGCGGTACGACTATCACGTACATCCGAACGGGTGTTCCGCCAGCTGCTCCGGCGGAGCAGGTACTTATATGATACTATAGGTAATACCTAACTACTACGATCACTATTGTAATATGTAATTCATCTGTTATCACACTCATTTATCTACCTACTACCCTACGCAAGTCCCGGAGAACACACAGGTTGCTGGCAACCTAACAGAATAACAGATCATCTCCTTTTCCCCGACTTGCAACTATGGAAACCGAAGCCACCGAACGGGCAGAGGTTCCGGACAGGGTAGTGTACGACGTAGCTGGTAACCCTATCACGGTAGCCGGCTACAAGGAACCGGTGCGGGGCACGGGTGGTGCTCAAGATCGAGACAGTGCCGGCGGATTCCTATGGGTCCGTAATACCGGCGAAGGAGACGAGGTGTTCTCCTCCTTCTTGAGTGCCGACCGACCAGCTGTCAGCACCATCTCCCTCTCGAATGACGTCGGGAGGATGAACTCAACCTTGGAAAGGTTGATGGCAAAGGTGGATGGATTGGTTAACGTCAACGCAGTCCCCCCGCCTTCTCCTCCGGCGTTTTCTCGCCCCTCTGTCCCCGTACAGCCTTACACCAAGGCTATCCGAGTGAGCGATCCCGAGCCTTTCGACGGGTCGAAGAAGGAGGAGGTACAAGCATTCTTGGATGCTTGTAACCTACGCTTCATGGCGGAACCCCTCGCATATCACGATGACAAGTTGAAGATCGTGTTTGCGGGGAGTTACTTGCGGGACGCTGCGAGGGAATGGGCTCGCCCCTGGCTTTTCGGAACTGCCTGGACCACATGGGCGCAGTTCGAAGCCGGGTTGCTAGCTCGTTTCGGAGTTGCGGTAAGGAGAGCCGCAACGGAGAGAGAGTTCGCGGACTTTCGACAAGGGAACCTGTCGATCTCCGACTACATTACCAAATTCAACGCGTTGGCCAACCTCATCCCGGAATTGACCGACTTCTGCAAGAGGTTCCTCTTCCGAGCGCACTTGAACCAAGCGTGGAGGGATGCCATCGTCCCTATCCCCAATCAGGAGACGTGCTCCCTCTACGAGTTCCAAACGGAATGCGCAAAGTATGAGGAGAAGGTTGGGCACACCCAAACACAACATCGCAACACCACGTCGCGAAACAACAATTACACCCCTCGATACACTGCCCCTGCGGTAGTGCCAGTCGCCGCCCCCGTACAAGCCCCCGTGGCACCTTCTTCGGGAGCCGTTCCCATGGAGGTAGATGCAGCCAAGTACAGGGACGTCACTCGTTATAACTGTTTCCAGAAGGGACACGTTATTCGGGAGTGCACCAACCCTGCGTTGGTACCCAAACCGCAGTGGTACGTGGACCGGATGAAGAAGCAACGAGATCTTCGTGTTGCGGCTGCCTACTCCGCCCACACTGCTCCGACAGACGAGCAGTTCGACAAGGACAGTGCCGCCAACGAGGGAGCAGGGTATCGAGTTTGGTCTACGTAAGGGTTTTTGTGCGCGACGATCATGTATTTACCAAGGGCAGGTCCCTTGATGTTTTATTTTTTATTCACCATTCACTGCTACTACCGAGCAAAACCTTGCACCCACACGTACAACACGACTACAAGCAATAACGTTTTGCAAATACTCCAAGATATTGTCAGCGAGAGAGAGAAACGACAATAGGTAAAGACAACTCCGGCGGAACAAGAAAAGAGGAATTCCGCAAGGCATAAAAATTTGATATCCCGAGTACTACGTACTCGGCTATGAGGATCGACGTTACAAAAAGAAAAAAGCCACTAGCCATTACTCCTCATCCGAACCCGAACCCGATCCCGAAGAAGAAGAACCCGAGGACGAAGTCATCTCGGTGTCTTCGTCGTCCGAACGGTCGTCCTCGAGCTCGAGGTCCTCCATGTCCTCCCCCTCGATGACGGTCGGCGCGGGCGATCCGGGAGTAACGACGTCGGAGCCGGCGATTTGGACGTCGACGTTGACGTCGGTAGCGACCGATCCGGCGGGAACGGCGTTCGGGGCGTGCTGGGCGGCCAGCCGGGCGGTGAGCTGGTGCTCCACATGGTAGACGGCGGGAGCGGGGACGTGAGGGAAAAGCTGCAATATGAAGAAGACAAGGACACGAACGAAATATTAGCTCCCTCGGAGAAGAGTACGGAGAAGGTTATCGGAAGAGGAAAAAGAGAAGAAGAAGGAAAGTACTCGCCATCCTATCCGACAATCGCTCCAACTCTTGGGCAACCATGCCCACACTCCTTCGCGAGACCGCAGGGTCCTGGATGTACCGCAGTCCGGCGCGGACCCGGTGTCGAACTCCGAGGTCGTGTCGGAAAGCCGTGACGACGTTGGGGTTCATGGGGGTGCAGGACCGAGCTGCGATAGTCCTGCAAAGGTAGCAGGAGGTGGCGCGGGAGGTCTCTCCCGGAGTGGCGAGGACGTGCCTGCACAACCAAGTTTGGCTGACACGGATGCAGTCGACCCATTCGCCGTCGACTCGGGCGCGGTGGTCCCCGGTAGTCGCCAATTCGAAGCAGGGCTGGCAGGCGAACTTCCAACCCCCCTGGTACTGAGCCTGGAGGAGAGAGATACGGACGTGTCAAAAAGGAACTCCGGCGGAGCTACGAAGCGGAATGACTCACGACCAACGCGTTGACCGCAGTAACTTGGTTACGCCTAAAGGCGTTGTCCAGCTCCTCCTGGTCCACGTCGACGATCTTGGGCTTGACCTTTTCGGCCTGAAGAAGGGTCGACTCTATCACAAACGTACGGAGATATCGAGACATAGGATCGACTCCGACATAACGAAAAACAACACAACTCACTAGTCGCGACGGGCATCTTCTTGAGGTATCGCCACCCCTTGAGCTGTTGCTGCTCAAAGGGCTCGGCCTTCTTCGAGGGAGAACCTTGGGCGGACATGTTGAGCGATAGAGAGAGTAAGAGTGTACGGAGAAGGTAAAAGTTACGGACGAGTGAAGAAACGAGTTCGAATTGGAGTTAGCAAACACGCAAGGGGGGAATCGAAGCACCACTCTCTACTCAGCTGCTATATACCCCCTCATTCGAGTAGTCACCACGAACAGGAGAACAATAGAGAACATGGTCGACAGGCCTCCCGACAATAGGAGGATGGGTGTTACTTAGCAACATCGACAAACTTGGTTATCGACGAAGAAGATATTCAAAGGACCCCTTGATGACGTCTTTGTTTACTCTTTCGGAACAAAAGAATACGCGTCGCCCCGGAGACCCTCGACGCGTGAGAAACATACACTCGGTTAGAGAACAATCGCAACAATACTTGGAACAACGCTACGTCATGGAGAGTTACCTCGAAGCGGTACACAATGGCGAGTTAGGGAACATGAACAAGGGCTAGCCAGGCGATTACTCGAAGGAACAGGGCGGATCGACCGTACGGAAGCATTAGGGCTGGCGAGCTACGCTGAAACACTACTCGGAACAAGCGAAAGAAGGATGCCTACGCCATCGTTTTAAGATGAAACGGATTGACGGTACGGGCACACAAAGGTGCTGGCGAGCGACGCTCGAAACGTAGCGAACAAAAGAACACTAGTCGACGCCAGGTGGTTACCTATCGGAACGAGGTGAACCATACGTACGGTGAAACACGACACAAGACGATCTGGAATCTCGTCCTAACGGGGGGATCCTGTTATAGCCATCCGCGGTACGACTATCACGTACATCCGAACGGGTGTTCCGCCAGCTGCTCCGGCGGAGCAGGTACTTATATGATACTATAGGTAATACCTAACTACTACGATCACTATTGTAATATGTAATTCATCTGTTATCACACTCATTTATCTACCTACTACCCTACGCAAGTCCCGGAGAACACACAGGTTGCTGGCAACCTAACAGCAAAGATCGACCCCGCTCACTGCGAGCATATTCCGATTGAGCGGTGTGGAACTGGTCGTTGATCATGGAGAGATCGTCTCTCAGCGTTACGTCAGGCCCCGAATTGTCGGAGAAGGCATGGTCCCACGGATCACCCATCTCGTAGTCATCTAGATCGATGGTCTCGGGAGGAGCTGGAGAGAGTTCTGGAGGTGGTAGTGGGGCTGGGAAAGCGTCTCTTGTCGACGAGCTTCCTGGTAATCTTGCCGACGAGGATGACGCATGAATACCCGGCTGGGGGTGAAGTAGACGAGGGTCACCAGGTGGTGGCGGAGGAGGTAGCTCTACGGGCGGGTTCTGGTTGTGGCGGGCCCAATTGGTGTACGAGATTGATCGGAATCCTCCAGGGGTTTGTTTGCATGCTGTGCAACGACAGATCCTCTGATTGAGACGGATGGCCAGCACCTTCTAGTCAGCCGTCTTCCTGATCACTCGATCCATCAACGTACCTGTGGTTGAGCAGGAGACATGATGCGAGACCCCCTCTCGACTTAGATCGATACCGCTAGCTCGCATTTACACGCCGTCGCTAACTGACGCCAGGGGTCCAGCCATGGACGATGATATAGTGCTAACTCGTGACCGGACAGGGTATGCTATCTGATGAACCCATCGTCAATGGTCATCAATACGGGTACATAGGCATATAGGCATGCGTACAATATGATACAATCAGCTCGGTCAACCTTGACCCACCTCACCTCGATGTCATCAATAACCCTCATCAGACGCGTCACGTAAACGCGACTTAAATGAAACGCAGAACGGACATGGAAATCATGCTCTGTCCGCAGCGTCGTTTACTCCACGTTTTGACACCGTTCGCGATCATTTGGGCGATAGGCAATTTCGCTAGAAAAAATCACGAGTAAACGACATATTTACTGGCTGTTTACTCGCGGTAATATCTCCCGGCGTCCCAAAGTGTAGCAAGAGAAGACCGGAGGGCAGATAAATGAGGAAAGCATGCGGGCAAGAGTGAGGACACCAAGGCATCAATGTGACTCATCCACAATCAACAACTTAGGCAATTCTGATGGTCCTTTGTGTGACAGGCACAGGCTGCAGGTCTGTAAGATACGTAAGAGATCAAGAGATGTAGTCTTCTCAACAGAGCCAAAGGTTGTTGCGAGTGTACGCGGGGATGCTTTGCTGCCGGGTGAGGGCGTACTTGGCAGATGACCTCGTTTCACGCGCTGTACTTAGCGCCGACACAGCTTAGCTTTACGATATACACGTTTCGAGCAGTGACATAGTTCGGCTCGAATAGCTGTGCATCTGCGCGGTTGAGCGTAATGTTACATCTACGGTATCTGCCAACACAGCAAATGATTTGTGGCGCCGGAAAGAAGAGACCCGCCACGAGGGCGGTGTTGTCATAGGTGCCAGCTGAATAACGCATGACGCATGCCCGCTCCACTACGGTATCTTTCGGGCTGTGCAAGCGGCACGCAACGTTAGCGTACAACATGCTGAATGGCTGGCCGTTGGTGGATAGAACACTATATAGGTCTGAGGCGAATAGACGAAGGGTTGAAATGATGAGCAGATTTGTACGCACATTCCTTGCATCTTTTCCGACCACATATTGTCGGCAGCCTGAATTCGAAACAAGCACCAACATGCACTCTTCCGCCTATCTCATCAAGACCTTGAGTGCTATCGCGCTTCTCTCCGCCGTGACTGCAGTTCCTCTCCATAGTCGAGACGAAGACGATGATAGAGTTGAGGCTCCCTCGGCCGAGGATCAGCCCTTGATCCAACTACAGGTAGGGTCCGCGCTCACACGAAACGCAAACTCAAGAAAAAGACTGACGAAAGCGTTCCGTCTTCACATAAACTCTACTGTCTCATACAGATCCATCCCAACAATAGGACTGATCTAGTAAGATTCTGTCTGACTTCGCCTTGACAACGATTGCTGATGAATTTCACTCATACAGTGCCTTGGTCAAATCTCGCCCGGTCCCGTTGAGAACTCGACCCTAAGCATTACCGATTGCGACTATATCTCGCCCAACAACGAAACGGCTTTTTACTCTTTCTGGACCGCGTCCCAGAGCGACAAAGCCGACGACAATCCAGCTTACGGCTTTGAGTTAAGGCTCAACGGTACAAACCTATGTATTGACACCCGTAAGCCTCCCCGAAATTGAGGTGGTTGTCGGGAACTGATCCGTAACCAATTTTTAAACAGAATACGGTATTTCCAACTCGACCGCTAGGCTGGGTCGTTGCAGAGACGATGCTCCCTCTCAGCAATTGCTGTACAGCGGTAAGTTTGACATCCAGCCTGGCCACGATAATGATGTGCCTGACATGATCCCCTGCATCTTACCTGTCCAGACAACCGCCAAATCAACGTCCCGCAGACCTTTACGTGCTTGGGTGTCGGTCAATACAACTTCCCGGAGTTTCAAGATTGTATTCCCGAGCAGGTTGAACAGACCTGGACTTTTGAAGCCTTTCCCGGCTTGAAACAGAAGCCAATGAGGACTGTGACCAACGCCACCAATGACGCCAGCGAGGAAGACTGAGATTGGCGAGCGTAGCGCATTTTCCGGTTTCGAGACTATTTATTGTATCACAGCATGAACTATACAGACAAGCGATCGATCTCAAGACGAACGCCACGGCGTCTCCCCGCCATTTCTCCAGCTCCATTGTGGAGTGTAGTCAAGATCTCTCCTTGCCTTGGCACAACTGAGAAGAGTTTCGTAGCCACTGAAGTTACCCTGGGGATCGCTTGCCTTGACCGCGGAAGAGTCGAGTGGGACATTCGGGAATTGCTCCTGAGCGAGTCGATCGCTTGGCGTATCGAAGCAAGTATCGGCATTGGCGATAATATAGACCTGGTGTCCGGTTATCTGAGCTTCTAAGCCTTTGCGCACGGCCTGAGCGCCGTCGCGAGCATCTATGTACCCAAACGCGTTCCAGCGACGACCAGCATGGTCCTGCTGAAACTGCTTCGTGTTCCAAAGCTTGTATTCTGAAAATATCCGCAGGCAACCATGAGCCGCGTCCATACGATGAGGCCTTCAGGGATGTAGAGCACTCACGCTCGACGTCGATCACATTGGAGAATCGATAACTGAGAATCTTCATGTCAGGTACCCATCGAACGTATTGGTCGGCGATCGTTTCCCCAACTAGCTTGGAGAGCGAGTAGGCCGACTGCAAAGATCCCGAATGAGAGCGTCAAGCGCACGAACACATTGTCAGTGAGCGACGGTTCGGTATGGTCCAAGCGAGCCAATCCCCGGACATACCTCGGGTCTCGGTGGCTGTGACTCCTCAGTGACAGGCAAGGTCACTGGAAGCAAAGGGTCCTGCAAAGCAAGATCGTACATTGAGTATAAGCCTTGTAGCGCACATCAGCGGTTGATCTTATCTACCATCGGCAGGCCCAAAACCGTCTCGGAACTGGCCGAGATTATGTTCTTGATCTTGAGCTTTCTAGCAGCCTCAAAGATGTTGTAGGTCGACATGACGTTGTTCTGGAAGGCTACTTGATCCGGAACCCGACCAGGAGCAGGTACAGCTGCGAGGTGGACGATAGCTAGTTCCTTTGTGTCAAAAGTATACCTGCCGAGGTGTATGGATCATGTGTCAGCCTTGGGAGCACATCCTGCGTAGGTTGGTCTACTCGCCGGTCGTCAATCCCCATCAAGGCCTCCAAGACTTGACCAAAGTCGGTCAATTGCGTTTGAATGAAGACTTTTGCCCTGTACTCCGGTCCCAGATGAGCAGGGGGAGGAGCACTATCCAGATTCTGTAGCTCTCATGAATCAGCATCCCGAATTATTCTCGGTGTAGGCGAAGTCCACTGACGACGACGCAATAGCCGTGTTCGTTGAGCTCCTTGACGACAGCTGAGGTGGGTTATTTGACGGCGGGATAGGTAAGTTGGATTCCGAGGACTCCCGGTTGAATGCTATTTCAAAACCCCAACTCACATTTGCCCAACTTTCCCGAGCCACCGGTCACGACGACAGGCTTGGAGACGGGTCGGTTGCGCTCGTCGTTGTGCTCGAGTGATCGGGTTGTGAGGATTCCACCTCCATACTGGAACGAAGGCATCTTGTTGATAGGTAAGATAGGGAGGATATGAGTGACGAGAGCAGCTGACGGTGTTCCTTCAGGTATCAGTGTGGGAGATTATCCATCGTAGTGTACGATGACACTTTTGCGCGGAGTGAAAATGACAACGACGATGATCGTGCTTTGTAGCTTGGAAGCGATCGATCGCAACGCTCGACGAAATGAAATGACCCATGACCCTGCTCGTCTCCTCGTCTCCCTCCCGGCCCGGTCATCCATCGCACTCTTGCGGTTCAAGATTAGTCCGGCCGAGGGCCGAGGGGGTCCTCTCTCGGACATGACCGTTACCCGGAACGAAATGCATGTACGTAATGCGATGTCAGTTTCGGAAGCAAAACGGGCTTACGTCAGCGATCCCGTAGGTGATCGATTGATCTCCCTTGCACCTCGACATGAGCGAAGTGGTGGTCTATGGATCTATGGTTCAAGTATGCGTCGATAGACACGTCCTAATATCGAAGACTACATCATCCGAATAGCATCAAGCATGCCAATCGCTCTCGAGGAAGAGAATGACGGTTCAGGATCAGAGGCCGGGAATGTCATCCACGAGCGTGGTCTTGGATGCCTGCCCGTTGCACACCTGGATGACAGCTTTACGGGCGAGCCAACGAATGGAGCTGAGTACTTGGCGATGATACAGTCAGTCTCGCGAGAGATGTCGACCGATTGCCATGACACACTGCCTGATGGCTATCCTAAATGTGCCAGAAAGGAGGCAGCTTCCCTACCCTTTACGACAAAGATGGATCTACCAGGACCCATCGCGGAGACGAATACGCAACATGACGACCGAGAAGTTGAACAAGGATCAACCTTGACAAGGCATCCAGCATTACCAAAGGAATCGTGGTATGTTGCGTTCGATGGCCATTTCAGGTCGTATCGCAAGGTGAGCATCCGAATTCGAGTCGCTTCACTCCATACCGCTTTCTGAACTTGCTGTCTTACAACTTATAGTTCATCCGCACGTCCCGGCCGACATTACAAGCCCGATACAAGGAGACTATTGCTCAATCTTCCGCGAGCAAGAGGCCCCTCCCGAACAGTCGATCCGAGACGCAATGGGCTACTTTCATCAATGGAGCGAGGCGGAAGAAGATGCACAAGGTCGGACTATCTCACCGAATCCTGGAACACCGTCCAGACTTGCTGATGATTCGTATCATCGGGATAGACCTCCGTACAAAGTGATGGCGACGGATCAAAGACCTGCCCTACCGAAGACGGCGCACCGGATGAGGAGGAAATCGCCAACAACGCCCCCACCAGCACGGGAATTTTCGAGGATACTTGTTCATCGCTGATCGAGTCAGCTTCAGCGGATGATGTGGAATCCGACTCGCCGTTTGTCTGGGAACCACAACAACCAAAGCATCTCCCGCAAGAGCCGTATCTACCTATGCTCGCGACGCTGAGTCAGGTGCGTTCCTCTCACAAGCGACGGGTATCAGCGGGTCTTTCATGATCACTAACCAGAGGGCCACGATACAGGACCACATTTACGTCGCGCTGAGGTCTCTCAACGATCAGATCTTCGCTAGGATTCGTGCACTTGATGGGCCCAATCTGCTGATGGAAACTCAACCTGGCTCATCCAACGACGTCAGCCCGAGAGCCATGGCCCTACCGCTACCCGCTCATCAAGCGCGATGGATCTTTTCTTTGCTTCTCTTCCTCGATGATTACCTCCCACCAAGCGATCTCGCCGACCTGCGTGGTATCGCCAAAACGTGCCTGCGGATCGTCAGGTGGCAGGTTACATCGCATACCTATGTGAGCGCCGATGCTCAAAAGGATCAAAGTGAGCAAGAAGACATGCGCACATCATGCTGGATCATCCATCGCGCGATTAGCACCGGATGGGCTCAGAACGACTTGCCGCGCGATGCAGAGGCGATATTTGCTCGAATACAGAAGAATCAGCTCCAGTGATAATGCTATTATTATTGTATGACGCCTATAATACAAGTGTATAGTTCAGACCTCACCCTCTGATGGATCATGGTCGATTGGCTTCGACGGATTCAAGTGTTTCTCATCCAGGTTCCTTTCCCGGATAGGCAAGCTGGAGGCAAGACACAGAACTGCAGCGATGCAACCAGCTACGAAAGTCCAGCTGATGCTGTTGGCCAGCGCCTGTTCGACTTCCGCCTGCAGGCGCGGCGGCAGAGTGTAGATGGCGGATTTGGCATGCAAAATGGAGTTTATAATCTGTAGATCGAGCGATTCAACACCAGATGCAGGGTCGATGTCCTCTCGCTCTAGTCTAGAAACTGACCTTTCCTCTTTCTTGAGGGTGCAGTGGAGCGAAGATTGCAGAGAGCCTGTTGACAAAGACGGCTGTACAAGAGGCAAGGTATCAGTGGGATTATAACGTCCGTATCACCAATATGTCACGCACCTTGCTGCAGCGAACTGGACAATGCTATTCCGACCGTGGTGCCGAGGCTGCGGAATGTGTATAACAGAGAAGTCGCCTGTGGCATTACGGCTGGATCGACTGCCGCGATCATCGCGACTGTATAGGCGGCACAGATCAGCACATCCCGCAGCATTGGTTGTGGCTTCTTGCCAACTGACCTAAACCTGCGCAAAGGAAGATACTGTTGTGACAAGGGAACGCTTTTCATCAGTCATTTTCCTAACTTGGCGTTCCGGTCGAGCGCGATCCTACCTGTAGCCCAATCCCGCAGGGAAGACGGCAGCCCAGTAGGCCCATTCTGGGGTGTCCCTTGTCCATTTTGAGGCGGAATAAATAGATAGGATTGGCATCGCCAGTCCAAGAGCCGATAAGCGAGTGTACTTTCCCGTCTTTTTTATGATGTGGCCCGCTAATATTGATCCGATTGCTAATCCGATGCTGTTTGGCAGTAAATGCGCCCCAGCAGTCGCAGATGTCGAATCCAGAACAGACGTAAAGTAGACAGGGCTTTGTAGACGCGCGCGGATTCATCAGCCTGGCTCGGTATGACGAGCGCATCTGCATATCCACTTACATATGGAATAACTATCATTGCAAAGTGACCGCTTCAGGTCAGCTAGCGCGTTCTGAGAGGGAACGTGACTACTTCTTACGAATGTCTGAGCAGCAACGCTCAATGTAAAATTGCTTGCAAAGATGCAGGGCAAGGTTTGGCCTGTAAACAGGCTTAGCGGTACGATCGGCCTCTTGGCAAACCAACCTTCAAATGCGATGAAAAGGCACAGAAGGATACCAAAAGAAAGGAGCAAACCCCAGACTCGATGATCCGACCAAGGGTATAGGAAAGCCGTGTGATTGGAAAAGGCGAGTAGGAGCGAGGATATGGATCCTAGCAGCATGAGGGTCCCAGCGGAGTCAAAGTCGCGGAGAGCCTTCCATAATCCGGACTGTGACCTCGACGGAGTTGAGACCGGCAAGTAAACGCAGATGACGCTGATAGATAGCAGGAGGAATGGTAGCTGTATTGCAGATCATGAGCCGCAGTCCGACCCTGTGCGTCAGGTCCTTGATGCTGGATCTCACCTGCACGTAGAATGCCCACGGCCAAGAAAAACGGTCTGCGATCCAGCCTGATACAGGTCCTCCCACGCTGGCGCCTAGTCCGAACACTATTATCAAAGGGAGTGTATCGTAAGATGTGAGGGCCATTCGTGATGAACCCCGGGAACGTCGCCTACCCACCGATCATCATTAACCCTGGGATTATAGAAGATTCAGCATTGCTCGTGCTCTTTTTTGCGTCACTGGACTAGGAGACTGACCCTGGTAAAAGCCCCGCTCCCGCAGACTAACCAAATCTGTAGTGATCACCGCAGAGACGGTCAAAAGGCCGGCGCCTCCTGCTCGATACAAGGCGTGTCAGGTACGTGTCAGGCTTAAATGTACGTGAAAGCTCTAGCCTACCTGCCCCAGCGAGTGCACGAGCACTTATCAACAAGCCCATTGTCGGGCTGAGACCGCATGCCAGGGTTCCAAGGCCTGATTGAGACGATCACTTTCAGCCAAGTCGCTTTAGTAGTCTTTCAACGCTAACCTACCGTAAAGTACTGCTGCAGTAACCATTGCCCCCCTCCTTCCTATAGTGTCGAGTAGGACACCATACACAGGCGTAAAGGCGGTAGAGAACAATGGAAAGATGGACCCTAGGTAGGATGCCAGTTCTGAATGTGCAAAGCTTTACCAAGATCCAACACGTCAACCGTGTCATACAAGAAGTATCGATGTGAACCGCGAGCTTACCTGGCCGATATCCGAGGAGCCAAAGTGGGAACGGCTGACGATTGAACAGCGAACGTGAAGTTGCTGGCCCATAAGCCTATAAGCACTATTGCTAGAGTTCTCCTGTCGATTTTCCGGCTTTCCTCATCATTTCGTTCATCCTCTCGACTCGGGTCGGCTGCACCGTCTGCGATCGCACCGACAGCTGCCTCTGCTGCATAGCCTGCAAAGACCGCATCGTCTGCACGGTATGACCTCGAAGAAGCTTGTCTGAGTAAGGGTGTACGTTCGCCGTCCCCGGTCATGCTTCAACTAGAGGAGATTATGAGCTATGCCAGATACCTATCACTGCCGGTGTACGAAAGTGGTCGACGAGTAGACAAGAATCTTTCGACGATTTTTCTTTTTGCATTCGAGCGTTGGTTTGGTTCTGTTAATAATTGGTAAGCTCGGTGAGCTCGGTTCGGACGAGACCGACAGACAACACCTGGAAGGGGAAGGCAGGAGGAGTGCTGACGTAATTCATCGATCGATCAGTCAAACCACACGATCTCCCAAGACGTCCACTACTAGCTTGTTGCTGTGGCAGATGGGACACGAGTTCGGCAACAGGATATGGCTGCGGAGAAGGGTATACGTAATTAACATGATATACACAGCGATCTATAGTCGCCTTGACATAATGTCTGTATCGTCAAAGTCTGCTCGGTTTCCGCTTCTTCGACGTCTGTTTCATCTGCATCTTGCTCCTCTTCATCTGCGTCCTGAACCGGCTCTCTGGGTCGTGCCAGTGTTTTCAAGGTGACACCGGTATCGTCAATCACGAGGACGCGGCCGAACTGTACTTGCAATTCCGGCCGCCATGTTTCTTCATTCAATAGGAGAGTCTGAGCGGGACGTAATTTCCGAGCAAACAGTTCAGCTCCATGTCGACTTTCAGCCGGCCCCCACGTTGACGTACTTTCCATGTCACAAGATCATCCTTCTGCATCTTTGCGGCAATCTCGGTAGTGATCGGCGCAAAATCGTCAAAGTTGTCGGCCGTCTCGTCCCAAACAGATCGCAGCGAAAGATCTCTTGGCGCTACGAGAGTGACCGTACCCTCTTTCGTCTCCGGTCTAGAGACGCCTGACTGCTGCGCCTCCTTTCTAAGCTCCTTCATAGCTTCTTGCCTACTCGGCACCTGAAACCATCTACGTGTGACGATCACGTTCGAAGGGAGATGGCTCATACGGCTCGGTGGCAACGGTGGCAATCGCATCGAAGTGCTGCCAATTGCGGACGCTCGGTTGTGATCGGCAGACTGGACCGTCGGAGATTGCTGAGCGGGAGACGACAAGGCGCGGAAAACCGCTTGCTTCTCTGGAGTATCGATCTCACTTTGTTGTTGAGCCATTCGATTCTCTAGGGGATCCGAATACACAGTCCTCGTGCCGACAGCTCCCTCCATGCTTTGTAGAAACCCTTTCTTTTTGTTCTTATTTGCCATCGCTTTGGGGACTGGCACGCTCGACGCGGCGCTGGATATCTGTTCTCTCAGCGCCAGATGGGTAGCTTCGGTATTGGCCGTCGAAGGCTGATTGCCATCGAGAGCAGCAGGAGTACCTTTCTGCGCCTTACGACTCGCACGCCGTCTGAGATTGCGCTCTCGCGTAGATTTCTTGCCATTGCCTGGCGGCGTTCCCGTTTGATTCAAAATACTACGCTCGAAAGGCTCGTTAGTCCATGGCGGCCGTCTGACACGACAGTCGTACCTACACGTGATGGCTCAACCCCGCCCCAACGGGAGCTTGCTCTGCATTCGATGATGTGCCAATCGGCTTTCTTGCCTGACTTGAGCACTCAACAGTGGTTGCTTTCTTATGCGCAATCGCCACCCCAGGCGTCGAAAACGACCTTGTCGAAAGACCAATTTGAGACGGCGTAGCGGTCGTAACGGTAGTTGTTGCGCCTGACCTCTGGCCCGGCTGACTGGGCTCTGAGTCCATGCTAGACTCAGCGGATGAGCTCGAGGTACCGGCCGATCCGGATGAAGTCGAACTCGAAGATGAGCTCGAGCTCGACGACGGAGATGAACTCGAGCGGTCATTCGAGGTTGAGGTAGAAGCGAAGTGTGCCGCTGGTTTGTTGATACGGCCAGGAATGATCGTCGCTTCGCCTTTTCGTCCAATCAAAAGGGGTGTCCCAGTGGTCGATTGCGGTATTCTTCCGTCTTTAGAGCTGCCTACTTTGGCAGAAATTTTCTCAGACTTGAGCTTCTTGTTCGGTTTAGTGGCTGTGAATACGGACTCTCGTTAAAAATAGTGGAAGCGAGCGGCCTCTTGTCCTTGAACTCACCCGTATCCGATAGCCTTCTTTTCTTGCCTATCGAGGTGGATGGAGGATTCAACTTGATACTGAAGCAAAGTCAGAAAGGAGCTTGATGCAGGCTCATTGTGAAACCAGGGATCCCGGGCTTGCTCACCTCAAGACGTCTGTCTCTGAATTTAGGATGGTGATCGAACTGCCATCCAAGAGGTCAAACCCGTCGATCTGGAGTACGATATCGCTACGCTTGTAGCCGCCTTCGACCATAATAGCAAGATCATGGACTAAGCTATACTTTAGCTGGTAGACCGTCTCGATAGTGTCCTTGATCGGGTACCATGCTTTGAGAGACGGAAGGGGTGCCTCGGTGGAGATCTTGATCCTGCGCATGATCGAAATCGCTGAGCCTGGCAGAGATCAGCAAATCTAGCTGTAAGTTTGTGGCTGCCGTGTCCGTTGTGAAGGATCGTAAGGATTACTGTCCAAGATCAGATTATGCAAAGAGAGAAGAATCGCCGCGGTCGAGACCTCGAGTACTCTCGTAGCCCAAGTTGATTAGAGGGGGGCGACGCGCATCTATTCCCATGCATACTTGTTCATCATTATCGGTCGGCGAATCCTTGACTAGTAGTAGTAGGAATTAGTAGTACTTCCAACGGAAATCGCCAAGTTGGTACGTTTGTAAACAGTTCGGAATCGTATCATCTAAAGTCATCAGCAAGGTCAAATCCAAGGCTGTCTTCCACACTACCTCCCCGCATTCGCATACCCAAGAGAGCGGTTCATCACCCCACCCCACCCCAACCGTCTTGCCACACAAGATGGGCGCCAAATCTCAGATCATCCGGGACGCACGACTTCGTTTCTCAGTCGAAGCAAACGAAGTCAAGCGGAGAGCTTTGCTCTATATCGCGAGGAATGCGACGTTGGAGAGCCAAGTGAGGCATCGGGCACAGCTGCAATTGCACAACATGGACGGCAACACCCGGCCAGGGAGGGTTTCCAACCGATGTATGGAAACGGGCAGAGGGAGAGGTGAGCCCAGATTTCCTCTTCGTGGCACCATCGTATCGTGCCAGACCGATAGCTGAGCGCTCAACCTACTCGCTTTCAGGAATCATGAGCCAATTCGGTCTCTGTCGAGTGAGTCGAGACAGTGGGCGACGCTGCTTTGCGAACACCGCGACAAAGACCTCGATTATTTCGCAAAGTGCTGAACATATCTCTTTGCTCCTCTTAACACAGTATCAATTCCGTCTGAAAGCGTTGAACGGAGAGCTCAGTGGTGTCTCGAAGTCGAGTTGGTGAACAGGCAGGCCATTCCTTCTTTGTATAACCACCCTTTCCATGCGGGAGACGATGCGTGATGTAATAGTTGGACCGCCATTTTCCACTCATCGGCAATTCACGAGCAGGCGACATGTCGGTACAGAGACTGCGAGTCGACAAAACAGCCGTAGCGGTTTCCGACCCCAGGGCTGTAATCTACCGTTCACCATGGCATGCATCCCTTGGAAACAAATTCAGATTTATGCGTTATGACGCGCCTTTTGTACACACGAGCGAGCTTTGAATTCGCATTCACGCAAGTTACTACTACGTTACTACTTGTACTTGTATCCTTGGTGGAATGGTCGATGATTGATGTCAAGCCTCTCGCCTTCGACGATCCCCCACATCTATCAACTTGTGGAGGATCCGATCTGAAGACAAATCTGGATCACCTTGACCCCTCTGCTCTCCTTGCTTAACCGCCTACTGCTACGAATACCCCTCCAGTCCCCTAGACCTCACCGCATGAATCAGGTATCAGGATATCACCTACCCCTTCCTATTAGCAATATTTCGACGCTATCCAACTCGATCATCTCGTTTACAGAGATCCATTCAAGAAGCGTTTAGGTAACTCATGATCTCCTTGGGGATACAAAGACGAGACGCCTTGCACTGTATGCTGCTCGAAAAGGCACAGTCTGTGAACACTGGCTTTGAAGCGGTGCGGCCATCCGAGGCCTCGATTATGGGCGGAAATGGCATAGGTCTGTCTATACAAGATCCAGGATACTCGAGCGGAGAAGCGACCGTAACCCCAGAGTCGATTCTGTCCAAGCCAAGGATCCGCCTAGCTTCTGTGTCCAGAAGCAACCTGAGACGGAGAGGTGGAGCTGAGCCAGCAAACCGTAATGGTCTGGACCGTGCGAGCGGGCTGTCGGAAGCTCAACGTTTCTCACCTACCGAGCTGGGCGTCGCGACGGCGAGTGAGGCACCAAATACGGGGGGTTCGAGCCATGTCAGGAGTCTCGCTGCTGCGCGGGAAGAGAAACCGCATCAATCGATGCAAACGCCTCTGGCCTGGAATGCGCTCTACGACAATGACGGCGAGGTCCTGTCTCAGTCTGCTTTACGACTGCGAAACCGCTCCACAGATCCTGAGCAAAAAGCCTCTCCTACGCCGACACAAATCAAGCACGGTCTGGTTCGATCGTTGTCGTTCGAAAGTAGATCCGGGAAACCGTACGCCCTCGAATCGCTGCAGTATCAGCGAACGGGTGCCTTCCTTGGCCTGGAGCGTAGTGATGTCTTGCAATCCGGCCATGTGGGCGCAGAGGCTCCCCCTTCCCGGCAGTCATACTCGTCGACAGCAGAGAATACGCCCAGAAAAGCCTCGGACACGCGACGTCAGATGCGTATTCCCGCCCGCCGATTGAGTGAGGGCTCATCTTGCGGTTCTGGCTATGCGCTCAGACCGAAATTGAATCGCAACTTTTCGAGCACCAATTCGGTGAACAGTCACTGGAGCCGTCTGTCTGCGAACGACACAGACGGATTGTCATCGAACACGGAGTTTGACGATAGATCGATCACAGACATCCGTCTGCTCGCCCGCTTGGGTTACAACACGAAACCGAGCGGGAAATCGATGTACTCCACGGAGGACCCTGCCTCACCCCTCTCGGAGGATGGCTTTCGCCTTTCCGGGGCCAGATCTACTCTGGCATTCGGTCCAAAGCGAGATGCCGCCGCAAAGAAACCAATCATCTTGCCGATCTTGCTGCTTGGGCTTCGACTACTGGCCGTGGTGCCTGCGACCGTTGGCAGCCTGGCTATACTCTGGTCAATCCTGCAAGGCGAAACAAAGGGTGCTCAAGCTGTAGCCAATGCGCTGATGGCGCTGCCGTGGGTAAGCACTTACACAACCTGTTCAGCACGCCTCTATCAAGACTGACAAACTCGTTCTGTAGGCTGTTCTGACAGGAATATTTTGTTTCGAGTTGACGTCAGGGCTCAGTCAGCGATGGTTGCTTCACTATGCACTCGCACCCACGTGTCTTCGTTTACTCTCGCTGCAATCGCTATGCTGGCCTTGCACGTTCTTGACGTTGCGATACATCGGCAGCATTGACATTCTCCTGGGGTGGATTGTGGTTGCCACTACAACGGCGTGTTCCAGATCGGTTCAGATCTGGGTGACAAGTAATGTACCTGATCGAGTACAGCCGCGATCCAACGAAGCAGAGAAGACCGTCACGGTAGCGACTACAACCCCCAGAGACGTTAAGGAGTCGGCTAGAGAGCGCTTTTGGGATTGGCAAGAGATAGGGCAGGTCGTATGGGTACGGGTCGCCGTCTTGTATGCTGTCACTACTTGGTTTCTGTTAGGAGCCAGACTATATTTCTAGATGCAGCTAGATACACCTCAATCAAGGTTACGGCGTGTTTCGGCCTCCATATGATGCGACTTCGAGCCTTGATTCCGCTTAGAACTACCTCGCTACACGAGAGCTCGTCTCGACCACCATGCATCCCCCTGTGTATGTCACGCGCTAGCGGGAATGATGGTAGGACTTTCACATCTTTGCTGGGACAAACGGTAGCGTCGATGATAATGCAGAGCCACGGTACAGGTCGAGCGAGGCTGTCCCCTACAAAGTCAATTGACCGTGGATAGCGAATGAAACAAGCTTCTTGAAGTCTCCGAAGCCCTTGGGAGTCTCGGAACGGAGGGGTCCTCCGATCTGGGATGATAGGTTGGACCGCGAATCTGTTCGCGTGACCATCGACGCTACTGCAGCGCTTTTATTCTCAGGATCCATGTCGAGGGTAGTGAGAAACGAGGTGTCCTGCAAATCAGGGTTCGAAGATGTAACTGAAAGAAAGATGTCGAGGAGCTGTTGTTGATTGGATCTCAAGGTACCTTTGAGATCCAGGACCTATTGTATTATTGGTAATGACAGGTCAGAATTGACTTCGGAAGCCTGTAGCTGAACGCGGACAAACCTTTTGGAAGTTGCTAAAGCTTTTGTCCCCTATCAAAAGACAATAGTTCTGTACGAAGCCATCAGGAGGATCCTGCAAAGAGAAATGTCCGTTTTAGATGGATGGAACACGGCGATTTTGTCATTCGTGCTGACCTCTGGTACGAGAACAACTTTCAGCATCGTTTCGAGTTGACTTGTTTGTTTTTGCACGAGACGAGTATAACTAAAACAAAAGGGTCAGTAATCCAACCTTGACCCGAACTCGCATACACTCACGTGTTCGCCGTCGAAGATGTATATGGCTCCGGGATTTCCAACAGGCAGGCTTTGATAGCCTGAACATCCAGGAGGACTTGTTCAGCCCCGACCTTGCGGAGAGGTCTACTTCGAACGACGGCGGCTGTGTATCGCGTCATGATCATGCTATTGAACTGTACTGTTGAGCATTCAGGTGACATGCGCCGCACAGCGAAAGATGACATACCCGACGGCTTTATCCGCAAAGCTTTTTACGAATCTTTTCTGGTTGACACGTTCGCGGACCACCTCGGCCACAGACTTGATAGATCCTACCAAATCCGACACATATGGCGACCTTCCACTGACGTTCTCGACATTCGACCAGGATGTCCTCAAGACAGTAGACAGAGCCGGTTCACAAGCCGATTCTAATTCGCCTAGAATCGTGATAAGGCAAGCAGAGATCACGCTGTATAATCTCGTCAGACAGACGCCGTTGAATGAAATTTGACCCTAAGATCTCACCCAAGGAACAAGTCCCTCTCCGCTTGAAAAGAGACATCATCCCGGAATTGCAAATCGATGGTATCTTTTAGCTTTTCCTCGAGCTGCATGGCCGTGTAAGTGACGTCTCCTAGTCTCGATGCTTCGCAGAGCGGCAACTCACTTGAGTACTAGTGACAAGACAATAGTCTGCAGTGTTGAGTGCCAGGCAGGCGTTCTTAACTTCTTGAAGATTGGGACGTCCATCCATAGAAGGTCGCGTTTCCACCCTGCTTCTTGGAATGATCAGCCATTTCAAGAATCCGACATCATGATTCACACTCACTTCTTCATACTAGCTATGAGAACATCGTCCGAATAGATTCGCAGCCATTTCGCTAAAACTCCGGCAAGGTCTTTCATGCCTCGGCCAGTAGAGTATCTTCGACACTGCTCCAATATCTGAGCGTAGAAGTAGAACAATTCGGTCGACGACGGCAGAACTGAGACTGGTGTCTCGCTCTCAACCGAAGCTCCTTCTAGTGAAGGTCGTGACCTATTGCCTCGATATGCCGAGAGCATGTCACTGAGCGCTTTGTCTTGAGCGTCTACAAACACCTTCATCGATTCTCCAAATATGCTGGAGACGGTGGCGGAAGCCTGACCGAACGGTAAGTCGGAAACCACCTTGTCGAACTTTTCACGAGGCGTGAGCAGCATGGCCTTATTCGCAATACACCCTACTTACGGGTTTATGGAATCGCTGAGACATCTGGGCTTCCCACTCTAGTGTGACTTGCCACGCCTCTAGCAAGGTCGCAACTGAAGGGGTGCGGTCCCCCTCTATACTCGTTTTCAGGTCCGTCCTGTAGACAAGTACACCACTCAGCGGATTATTCTACTCGAATCGGAACACAACTTACCTTGTGCTATCCGCGAACTTCGCGACCAAGATGCGATCTACCTCCCATCTAGGGGGGAACAGTGGTGCATGTTCCTCATCATGGGTTTTCAAGACGCGACGGAACCACGCAAAACGCCTAGCCGTGTTGTCAAGGTGGCCGGCCTGTATAAAAGGCAAGTGAGTTCAGCTTGTGAAGCGGAATGTGTAGATGATCATGAGATATACCTCGCTGGATGGTGCAAAGATTCTCCGATACTCCCGCAATTCGGTATTGACGTATCGTTCTATCGCATGAGCTCTAGCGTAAACGCAAAGGGGTCGGTAAGAGACGCGAGCTGGTTTCCGAAAACGCTCACTTGAAATCCGAGCCTAGAGCATCGGCCACCAGGTACGCTTCTCCGACTTTGTCGCGGTCAGTCGGCTTATTGGGATCCTGCAGCAAGCTGTGCGGCGAGTCAGCTTCAAAGACGCTAGACGGGTACACATGAAAGCTAGTAGCCCTCACAAAGCGTCTAGCTCATGGCTGACTGCATCCTTGACTCGCGTGCGTACATCCGAGATCTCCTTGAAGACAGATGCCACTGGCGGATTGGTGGTCAACGCTTGCAAAGAGGTTGACAAGCCATCGATCGCCTATCGGATCGTCCGGTTAGAGGCCGCAGCTGAAAGCAAGATTGCGATATTGTGCTCGCTTACCGCTATGGAATTGGCCATCGGAGCATAATCTCGCTTGACAAGTAGTTCCTTCAATTCCTTGTGCGCCTGTTCTATTGTCTAGGATAGATTAGGTGGTACCATTGTCGGTTCCAGCTATTTGATACTCACGAAGCATCCCCCATCGTCTCAGAGCGGTGATAGCTGTTGTCATGTTGCGTTTGGCGAGGTCCAATCGTTGTATGTCCTTGGTTATGGTCGTCACGATGGCCTCGGCTTCCGCAGCTTTCTCACGGATATCGTTTACTTGGCCGATAAGGTCCTATAAATGAGCGGTTATGCTTAGCTACAGGGTTTCCTAGGTGCGGGGTCATCCCGTATCGACGAACCGATATCAAGCGTTGCGTTTCCTGCATCCTTCCAGGATCTTGCTTTTCGACCAGCTCTGCTCTCAATGATGTAATCCTAGACTTGAGAGCCATGATCTTGGAATGCTGTGAACGACGTAACTGGTGGAGATTATCCAAGGAGACCTCTGCAAAGATGCTATCAGTCATTTGTCCACAAGCCACATCTTTAGACATCGATGGTTGGAGCTTACGATCCGGCAGCATTCGCTGCAACTCTGACATCGCATCGTTGGCTTGATACTCTATTGTCTCTGTTCCCCCTCCAGCCTGTTCAGCGAGGATTGCATGTACCTGCTTCCATTTGTCGACATTGGGTGTTGCTATGGACATTGTATTGAAAAGAAGTGTTCGACTATTCGCCTTGGAGCCAACCCGCCGCTCCAGTGTAGCGTCAACTTTGATCGCTGCTTGTCAACCGACGTACAAGGTAGGCTGATCTACCGCAAGAGCAAGGGTGGACAGTTCTGATCAGCACGCAGCATGTCAAAATAATCTCGGTGCATCCCGCCATCATATAGCCATCATTCATCATAGCCAACCTCAATCTCCGGTCTCGACCGAGCGCAGGTTCCGAAGGATGCGCGTCGCCCTTCGTTCGGCAGGACCGGCGGGGAGGGGATGGACGAACCATTCAACTTGCAACATGCAATCGCTTGGGATTTGGTATCCAGATGAGGAGATCGTCTGGCAGATCTGAGATCTGTAGAAGTCTTGTCCCAGTCTGTTAAACAGGATAGTCGGAACTACTAAGCTGTGGCTCTCAGTTTATGCGACATGCGCAAGGTTTTCCGCATTCCCGCTGTTTGGCAGACTTCGACGCAAAATGACTGGGCATCCAAGTTTGGTGTTTTCATACGGGGAGATCGAAAACGAAATCTTCCGATGATCCATTGACCGGATTGTTCACTCAGGCTCGGCGAGGAGCCGTATCTACGATGGGTCTCCTGCGCTTCCCCTTCCAATTTCAGGTTTGCGCTGTAGCCTATCAAAGTGTCATCAAACCTGTCCACCCTCTGAGATGCGGTTACGAGCCTCTGTCCGGGTTCGAGATTCAACATAGGCTGACATGATATATACGACTGATCGACGATTCGTCCCTTATCGTTACTGCATGTTCATGGTGATGCGCATGTGCGTATCTCATCCCGCAGGCCAGTGTGAAGCTCGTTTCTTGGAATGCTATGAAGCCTGTGAAGCTGAAAGGGTTTGAACCGGAATGACGTTCACGGTGATAACCTGGCATTTCGAGCTCAGTGAATGCGAATCTCGACTGGATCGTTCAGGTATTGAGCATGTCGAGCGAAAGCTGCACTTCGAATGACACACACCTTGTGACAAGGATGATGTTGACAGACGATCTACTACTTCGCTATCGACAGACCTTGGACCCTTCGCCCTTCGGACGATCAACGCGCCGGTTGCGTCGTCCGTCGACGGCACGACGATTCTGCCGAGGGCTCAGTAGGATCAGTCGAGGCCTCTTATTCAGGACCGCGACTCCCCTATGTGATCTGTGACAGCATACGCTTTGGGAGACTCGTAACCTCCTATACTAAAGCCACTATAGCATACTTCCGATATGGCCAAGCTTCTCGCAAACAAGATTGTGGTCATCACGGGCAGCAGTCAGGGTATAGGCCGAGCCACCGCGATCGGTAAGTTGTCCTTCCGCAGAATCTCAGGCGGTGATCTGCGAGTTAACATGAAGGATCTGGACGTCGTATCAGCTGCTGCCAATCATGGGGCTGACTTGGTCCTGCACCACTTGGGTAAAGAAACCGAACGCGATATCATGAAAGTACGGGAAGCGGTCGAAGCAGCCGGTCGTCGTGCCATCACGGTTGCCGGCGATATCTCCCAAGTGCGGACCTCTGCCTCGGTGAGTTGTGGGGGATTGTCAAGATAGACGAAAAGACTTGCATCTGATGGGCGATTCTTACTTCATAGATCGTTGAGGAGGCTGTAAAGGCATACGGAAGGGTAAATGTATTGGTTTCAAACGCAGGCATCTGTCCTTTCCACACCTTCCTGGACATGCCGGACGACCTCTTCCTCAAGACACAACAAGTCAACTTCCACGGGTCCTTCTTTATCACGAGAGCTATCGCCAATCAGATGGCCAAGCAAGAGGGAGAACACCGAGGTGGAGCGATCGTCGCCATCTCCAGTATCTCGGCCTTTTTCGGAGGGATACAACAAACGCATTACACCCCTACGAAAGCGGCGATTAAGAGCTTGATGGAGTCGACATCGCTGGCACTCGCACCGCATGGTATCAGGTGCAATTCCATCCTTCCAGGTGAATACGTTGCAGGCGGGCATCTGTTTCTTTCGTGGAGCGGCGCAAGCTGATTCTTTGTCGCCATCTGTTTCGTCTAGGAACCATCGAGACTCCCATCAACGAGGACGATCTTCAAGGCCCGAAACGCAAGATGATGGAAGAGAGGATCCCTCTCGGAAGATTTGGTCGACCAGAAGACATTGCCGAACCAGTCTGCTTCATGGCCTCTGATATGGCCAAATATAGTAGGCCGAACTGGGCTCCTCGATCGATTGCTGTCCATCAGCTGATGCGTCCCATTTCATCTACACAGTCACCGGTGCTTCCTTGCTCGTTGATGGTGGTGCGGCTGTCAGCTTGCAATGATATTCTGTCTGACATTGCTTAATTCAATGGTAGCCTCACAACCAGCAATGTAGCATGCATGATGGCGCTTTGAACGTGGTTATGTCATTAGATGCGTGAGGCTCGTTGATTTTTCCTCGCAAGAATATATACAACCGGTTGAAAGGGGTATTAATATGTACGGTCAAGGTATATTTCCTCCTGAGATGCGCTGTAAAGATCGTATATGGGTTTCGAGACGTGTATCCATATTTGGGAGTGACGTATAGACTTATTTGTGTCGGATAAGCGTCAAGAACTAGAGTCGAAGGTTGTTAGTGAATGCTTTGCTTTGATCGACATAACTCGCCACGATACCAGCGAACTCACTTCTTCACGAGTCTTGTGTTGGGTTCTGAAGCAACCTAGCATGACGCTCGTTACTGTTGACGCGCCCGGCTTCTGAACGCCACGACTAGCCATGCAGAGGTGTTCCGCTTCCATAACGACTGCAACACCTCTGGGTCGGATGGCTTCGTTGATGGCAAGCGCCACCTGGCGAGTGAGACGTTCTTGGACTTGAAGTCTCCGCGCAAAGGTTTCCGCGATCCGTGCCAGCTTGGACAGACCGATAACGTACTTGTTGGGGACATAGGCGATGTGAATCGTGCCGAAGAACGGGACCATGTCTGATGACGGGTGGTGAATTTGTATCAGCATATTGCAAAGCGACCGACTCGAACAACGATACTGACGGTGTTCACACATGGAAAACAACTTGATGTCTCTAACCAGGACCATCTCGTCGTGATCCTCCTTGAAGATGGCATCATTACAAATCTCTAAGATTCGGCAGTAATGACAACGTCAGTGACCCGACTCTTGGTCTTTTCAAGCTAACATCTCAGCTCGAGGTACATACCTGACAGCCTCTCCTCGTAACCTTTTGTCATCCAGAGTAACGCCTTGGCATATCTCTCTGGCGTCTTTTCCAATCCTTCTCGGTCTGGGTCTTCCCCGATACATTCTAGGACCGTTCTGACAGCGCCGCTGAGTCGCAGCAAGTTGGCAGCCTGCTGATCCGGAGTCGCATGCAATCTTTGATGGGTCAACTTTGCCGGCCATCCCAGACCTTCCGAGTCGGCGATCTCTGAAGCCGTCATTGGGTTCTGACCCGGCTGGCCGAACCCGTAACCACGGTCCTCAACGTCATCGAATCCTGATGTGCCCTTTCCGAGCAGGTCTCCGGCGTTGTCTTCCATCTCGTCGAGATAGTCGACCTCTTGCTCGTGCATGCTGCCGAGAGTTCGTTTCGGCTGTCGACCGGATGACCCCGCCGATGATGACGAAGCTACAGGATCACTTTGTGAAGTGTGCGGAAATCCGATACCCTGCCATGCGGACTGGGTGGTAGAAGAGGAATTGACAGTTGGAGTCATGCGCGGGATCTGATGAGCCGGAGCCATCCCGGTCGTCGGGGTGGAAGCTCCCGATCGCGGCCTGAATCCGTATCCTTCTAGACCCTGGCGAGGTTTAAGCTCGTATGGCTGTAGATCATCCTTCGCGGAAGGCATGCCAATATAGCTAGGCGGGACGTCGACGAAAGATGCGGTGGACGTGGTGTTCGCAGTGGGCAAGGAGGGGGAGATCATGCTGGACCCGGGCCGGAAAGGCGCTGCGTCGCGGGACAGCTTGAAATCGGAGCTGTGAGCAGACCCCGAGGATCGACGCGAAGACGACATCTGAGAATTGTGTCTTTCGCCCTTGGCCGCACGATCTAGGCTGGCTTGAAGTTCGCCCTTCTTTCGGCTCTGATCCCGTGGGTCCAGGTCGATCTTGTCGAGAGCCGATGCAATCCCACCGACCAAACTATGCTCTCGCTGTGCACCAGGTGACACCATCGCAGCTCTCGGGCTACTCGAGAGGTGGGAGCTAGACACGGGTGGGCTTCGAGAATTGACACTGACGCCGCCGCGCTCCCATACTCCAGAGGACGCACTCAAGGCGTCCAGACGCTCGGCTCGAGCCAAAGGGATCGGGATGTTCCGAGGTGGAGGAGACGAGTGAGAGGAAGGGGAGGTCATGGCATAGAGTCCCGTGCCAGTCGTATCAAGAGACTAGTGTTGCCTGGCTGGCTATATCGAGTGGTGCGCCGTCAGTTTTACAGAGCGTTTCGACTTTGGATCTCGTTGAGAACAAGGTTGCTGCAACTTCTCCCTCGATCCTCATCATCATCCTCGACGGGCGGATGCAAATTGAACCATCGGGTCAAAAGGCTGTTTGCTGCCGGCGGTGCTGCCGAGAGAGCATGATGCATGATGACGTGATTTCGGATGCAAAACAATCGACCCCTCTCGAACTTCTTCTCACGGTGATCGCGCGTCCTCGGATTTGCGCTTTTTACTTTTCGACGGTTCACCAAATCGAAGCGCAACCCCCTCCGCGCGGTCGTTTGGCCCTTTCCCACCTCGCTCTCCTCAGGCCCCCTCGCCATCCTTCAACTCCGATATGGTGATCTGAGCAGAACCACCACCCCGCACATCAGGACTTTTGCTCTTCACCGCGGTCAACACAAGATTATCGACATCTTCCACGGACGACAAAATGGTGAGCGAGGCAAACCTTTGACATAGTGGTGCTCGCTGGCGGAAAGACTGGCCCGGACGTGACGATGGAACGGCATTGGCAAAGGCAGGGACAGGCAAAGGCAGGATCAGGCAAAGGCGGTGGACGGTTGTGTTGGATCCAGGAAGGAAACAAGCGTCGACTTCGCTTGCTATGCACGAGTCATCCTTTTCGTCATGACGTTAGGAAGGAATACGAAGAGAACCAGACAAGCAGTCGTTGGGAGAGTCGTGGTGCATCACTAGATCCTGCGAGCTCGCCAGTCTTGGTACGACTCGATGAAGCAGTACGGATGTCCTCGCAACATTCGAGTACGGGACTTCCGCATCGATATGCACCGCTACGCAACGCCCTCGACGGCAGGACAACAACCCCAAATGTCCCGCTGCTTCGCCTCCGCCAAACACTGCCGCTCCTGCCTATACCGTGCCTTCCGTCACTCTGGCCAAGTCTTTCTCCTAGCGACACCCGTCCGACCCGCGCGAGAACAATGGAATTCTGATACGTTAATTGCATGTCACAGACCAAGCGAACTAAGAAGGTCGGTATCACCGGAAAGTACGGAACCCGTTATGGTGCTTCGTTGAGGAAGACGTGAGTGGACATACCATATCAAAAAGGCAAACGACCTCCAGGCTAATCGGTACCACGAAAACCTGCTAAACCACCCGATAGCGTCAAGAAGATGGAAATCACTCAGCACTCCAAGTACCCTTGCCCCGCCTGTGGAAAGACTGCCGTCAAGAGGACCAACGTCGGAATCTGGGAGTGCAAGATCAGGGGATGCCAGAAGAAGTACGCTGGTGGAGCTTACGTTTTGGGAACTCCTTCGGCTGCCACCGTCAGGTCGTGAGTAGCTCCCTCGTTATCGTGTTGAGGTCGCGCAATGCTGACCATCATCCTATGTTCTTCACTTCCAGGACCATCCGTCGTCTTCGTGAGGTCGTCGAGGCTTAGAAATCCCTCGGATCACACAATCAGCCAGCGTCGTTTTTTCTTTTCTCCAGACGCGATTGTAGCTTTTATGCAGTGCGCAATATGGTGATAGCATTCGCGTCGGGTACTTGTCTGTGGTTGCCCATCTGGTTCTGCTCGTCTGCGGATCTATGCGTCTAACGGTTCTGGATCTGGCACTGCGAAACATGCGTAGCAGAGTAACACCACAACCTAGGTTGCGAAACCTAACTCATCGCACTTAATCCGTCTTGTAGTGCATTGAAGGGTCTAGCTAAGGCTGCTCGCCTGCCTGAAATGTCTTGGTTGATGCTTGGATTTGGTCCTAGTCAGCACGTCCATATGACAATCGACTGTTTGTTCTACGTTCGTCTACGAGAGCGCCATTGCCAAGCTCCGGACGTCATGAAGAGACACGCGAGAAGCAGATGTTGACGCTGTACGCGATCTTGTGCTCGTGCAAGCACAGCGCTGTCCACCATACTCGAGAAAGGTTCCATTCCCGTGGTGCGATTATCAAGCCAATTACTGTGCAACGTAGATTACGCGTTCGCGCACATCATCAAACTAAGGGCAACACCTAGCAATGAGTGCCACAATATACGGTATCGTCTTGGTGAGGATTCCTCCCTCACTAATTTACGTGAGAGAGTGTCCCATGTCGATCAGGCCGGTCCACCACCATCTACCATCCCTCGACTCTATTCGGTCTTCCAGTGGCGGGGATCATAGACTAAACTCTGTCAAACCGTTGTTACAGGTCAAAGCGCGCCTAGGGCTTGTTTTTGCTGGACCAGTCTGTTATGCACTGAGGGACTCAGCCGTAGTCATCCGACATGTCCGGAACAGGAAGTGTGGACGTTTCAGTCTTGCCACTGCCTGCAAGACGGAGCCCATGCAACGAGAGAATCTCCCGTAAGCCGGTCAATACGCCACCTTGCACCGGGCCCATCATGAATGACAGCAGACAAATCAGTGTCCATCGAGTCACTATAAAAGACACTCACGTACGCACGGGCTGCGGAGGAGAACTTGGTGATCAGATGTGCGATACTACCGTGTATCAGCTAGGATCCGCAGAACGAACGCAATCACATAGCCATTTAGCCAATCTTGATTTCATGGACAGGTTCAGGTGATCGCCTTGTTCATTCACAAACATCGATCATGTCGCGTCATTGTATTCTTGACGTGCGGTCCTCTCCCAGACATGATATCCGCATCGCCGGTCCAGAAATGTCGCTGTCGCTGTTGTTGTGTAACGCACCTGGATGGGAGATCGATAGCGATAGGATGAGAAAGGTACGAAAGGCAAAGCTTACGTCTCATGTAAACCTTTATTCTCATGTTCTTGCCAACTCATACTCATATCAGGCTTGGAAGACCCATGCAATCCGGTTCTACGGTTTCATGTGATGACGATTCCAAGCGGGCGGGAGGCTTCATTTTGAATATGCTTCCGATCCAGGTTACGGAGGCTACTCGTTATATCTCACGTGACTAGCTACCGCTTCTGATCCGGCCCCGATGGAGCTTGACCACTAAAGATCGGCGGGCGGGTTCAAGCAGCAGCCAGCTCACGATTTGCCCTCGTCACAAAGTTGCAAGTTGCAAGTTGCAAACCCGGATTGTGATATCGCTCAGCATCACCTTGGCGAGCCACCATGAACAGAGGTAAACCTCTACTTGTCGCGGCTCTGAATCACTCCAGGCGGGACGCGATACAGCGACGATTCATCTGGCACAACCCCGCCAGCTGGTTCACAAGTGCTCAATCCGACAGTGCTACCGATTCACCGCTTGCGATTCGTCCGAACACGACCGGTCCAACTGCTCCGCCATTTGAAGACAGTCACCTATCCCGATCAACACCTATCGCTGCCGCTACCCCTCCTACCCCTACCCCAACTATAACGCCCACTTTCAACTCGATCAATGCATCTGAAATCTCCCACTTTTCCCGGTTATCATCACAGTGGTGGGACGAAAAGGGCGAATTCGGACTCTTACACAAGATGAACCCGGTGCGGATGGAGTTTGTCAGGAAGAAAGTGATCAGCGCTCGAGAGGACGATGATGGTTGGAGTTTTGCTACGCGCAAGGAGGCTAGAAAGGATTTCGGTCAATCATGGTTAGAGGGCATGGACGTTCTAGACGTCGGGTGCGGTGGGGGGCTCCTGTCCGAGGTATGTTCTCTTCAGCGTGAATAGTACGCATCGATCAGACTTATGAAAATCTTACGCATCATGTCCATCGTGAAGAGCCTGGCAAGAGTCGGGGGCAATACTTTGGGTATAGACGCCTCTGCCTCGAACATCGCCATCGCCAGTCTCCACGCCTCCAGAGATCCCTTCTTGCCATTTATCGCCGATGAAGGTGGCCTCGAGGTAGCCAATCCACCGGCGAGTGCAGCCTCGAGGCGCGGCACGCTGCGATATCGACACACATCGGCCGAGCAGCTGCACGCCGAGGGCCGCAAGTTTGATCTCGTCTGTTCCATGGAGGTCTTGGAGCATGTCGATCAGCCCGGGGAATTCTTGAAAGTTTTAGGTGACATGGTCAAGGCGAGTCGACGCTTGGTTTCGCTTATCTGAACTACCCGCTAATCGGCCCATCGCGCTGGTGTGAACAGCCTGGGGGTCATCTCGCTCTTTCTACCATCAATCGGACACCCCTCTCGCAGCTCTTGACCATCACCATGGCAGAGCATGTACTTCGACTCGTCACTCCCGGTACACATACGTACGACAAGTTTATCAAGCCCTCGGAATTACTGGCCTTCGTACGAGATCACATGGGAGGAGAAAGCGTCTGGGAAAGCGACGGCGATGGGCTCATTGACGGAGGACGAGATGGTGGTGGCGTGGGTGTTGGAGAGGTCCGAGGGATCGTTTATGATCCCATCGCCGGAAATTGGAAGCTTTGGAAGGACGGTGCACCCGGTGGGACGTTGTGCAACTACATGTTCCACATGAGAAAGAGGGCAGATGCCGTGTAGGACATGTAGGACGATTTAATGGCTCCTTAACGACCTTGACGAATGATACGAACGAATACCACACCTCACAGTCAAGCCGGATACTACTGTACCTTCTGTGTATGCTCAAGGTGGTCTCAGTCGCCGTCGATCGATTTCTGCATCCGAGCTCTCGCGATCCCCAAGAGACCGAGAGCTAACTTGCATGTTGGGCAGCTAACGAGCGGTGTGTCTTCATCATCCAACATGTCAATTGGGCTCGCACTCTTGCTGGGTCCTAAAGTTAGTGTTGCCAGCAAGTTTACCGTAACGACCTTTGAGAAGCAGATCATGTTCACCTGGCGGTGACCCGAATAGCTTTCCTCGACCTCAGCGATCTTTCCGGAATCATGGCCATCCCTCAAGCGACAACTCGAGAGTATGGCTTTCTCAGTCAGATCAATACAGCTCAGGTCAAAGAATCTCCGCCATCCACGATCTTTGAAGTAAGTGTAGCTCGATTCTTTCTCGGTCGTCTCCTCGTGAGCATAATATTGATTCATGGATGCTATCAACATTTCACAATCAGAAACTCGATATTATCGGGAAGGGAGCATACGGGGCGGTCTACAAGGGCAAACACATAGCTACTGGGCATGTCGTGGCGCTCAAAATTATCAATCTGGATACTGCCGATGACGACGTCGATGATATACAAAAGGAAGTCTCGCTCTTGAAGCGATTGATGATCCAAGGAGGAATCGATGCGAGCAAAGAGCAGGGCTCGGGAGCCGCGACGCCGGGAAGCGGTAGCGGTGCCGATTGGAATCATTACGGTGTGCCAAATGTCATCAAATATTATGGATGCTGGACCGAAGGACCCAAGGTGTGGATCGTTATGGAGCTGGCAGAGGGAGGAAGCGTTCGGACCCTGGTAAATCCGTTCGGCGATTACGGCCTTGGTATTGATGCTGATCCCCAAGATAGGCACGAGCGTCACCTCTCACGGAGATGCAAATCTGTCTGATTTCCAGAGAAGTTTTGAACGCATTAGCCTTTCTGCATAAAAACGGGGTGATTCACCGGGATATCAAAGGTAGGTCGTCTTATGGCTATACAAGGTGTTGTTCGACATTGCTAACCTATCGTTCGTCGCTCGGACACAGCCGCCAATATCCTTGTAACCTCGGCTCCCAATCGAGTTCTGCTATGCGATTTCGGAGTATCGGCCTTGTTGCCTTCGCAGTCTGCGAAGCGCACGACATTTGTCGGGACGCCATACTGGATGGCACCAGAAGTCATCAGCAAAGGCAGATCCTATGACTTCAAGGCCGATATATGGTCATTCGGAATCACTATGCTCGAAATGGCTCTGGGAGAGCCTCCAATGATGGGCCAGACGGCGGCTATGGCGTTGAGCTTGATCCCCAAGTCGAGCGCGCCCCGACTACAAGGAGAGTGGAGTCAGGAGATGAAGGAGTTTGTAGCTTCCGCTTTGCAAGAGAACCCGGACGAGGTAAGTGCCATTTTCAGTTCACATCGGAAGCCTTTCTCGGTTGACGAGTTGGACATTCATCGCTGTAGCGCTTGCCAGCAGAAAAGCTACTCGATCTGCATTGGGTCAAGCAGACTTCCAGGTCGTCGCTATCAGAATTGAATGATTTGTTAGTCAATCTAGAAGAATGGAAGCACAAGGGGAATCAAAGAATCAGTCTTGCACCAGGTGTCGGTGCTCCCTTAGGAGACGACATGTAAGCGTTGTGACGCGTGATCGAAGAGTCGCTCAAGACCGCTGACATCGTCAACATTCCAGGGACGAGTGGGAAAGAGGCGATGACGAGTGGCAATTTAACGCGAGTCAAAAGCAACAGATCCTTGCTGTTTTCCTGGCTGGTCATTGAACTTGATCTTCTCTTACAGACCGTGACCTCGAGACTGGAGCTGGAGATTGAGAGAGGCGCTGGGCCGATCGAGATTCACTCTGGTACGCCAATGCGATTGGACATGATACGAAGTCGCGCGCCGGTTCTGATATTCAGGCTATTACAGCTCTATCGGATGGACCAAGTACGATCAACTCGTCTAATCCGTCGACAATGAGCGCTCCCAGGTCCCTTCTGAGGCTATTTGAGACGGAGGAGGATGATGGAGCTATGTATGGGTTACCGACCCCACAGGCTTCCAACAAAGCCTTCAGCTTCCCGATTCGGGCCGGTTCCGCTCCTCCCGGTACAACGGCGGCTTTCAACGAAGCCAATAACACCGCAAACGTGAATACTATTCGCTTGCCAAGCATGGAAGATGACGATGACGACGAGGTGTCTCTCAACTTCAATACGGATTTCGCGATGGGGATGGATACGATGAGACCTGGCCAATCTTCTCCTCCGAGGACAGCTACCACCTTCAAGGCGAATGAAAACAGACAGCCTTCAATGTCCATAAAGATACCCGATGTCAACGACGACGACGACAATCATAGTGGATTTTCGTGGAGCTTTCCCAGCACGCCCTCTGGCCACGGATTCGGTACCGCCGCCCAAGGTTCGAGCGGATATGGATCAAACAACGGTCAGCAATCTGTGGACGACGATGACGACCTCGGAACCGTTAGACATGCCCATGGCTTCAATCAACACCGCAAAGAGTCGTCCCCTGTGCCGTTTTACACTTCCAATACAGCATTCGCCTTTCCGAAAAGCCAAACATCCTCACCTATGGGGCGCACGCTGCCACTGGCGAGTCCTTCTGGCGCAGATTTGCCTCCCATGTCCAGTCCCTCGGCTTCACCACCCCGGATTGCCGATAGGACGGCCTCAGCGCTTCAGCTATCGGCCTCTTCTCAAGCGGAGCGCGATCCACCCTCGCGTCCAGGAATGTTACGGCTGGCGTCAGTCGCTGTGATGGAGCGAAGAGGCACGGATGACCAGTCAATATCGTCACATCGCAGCAGGCTATCTTCGGGAAGCGATTCTACCAAGTTTCGGCTTGGATCCTTCTTGTCGAGACCAGGCAGCACGAATAGGGCCGATGCGGATCGAAGTCATCCCACAGTAGTCGATGCTTCGCCCCCAAGATCTCCAGGCATGGATCATGGAGAGGGATTGAGGGTGAGTCATGCAGGTCGCAAAGAGTCCACCGCGGCTGGTAGCAGCGTGCTGACCTGAAACTATCGATCAGCCTCCCCCCGCTATCATCGATACAGGTGATATCACATATGGAGGTCCAGGAGGAAGCATGCCCAACATGCGACAATTTGCATCGGTACCTTCACCACTAGCAGCGCAACCGGTTTTGGCAACATCCGCCGGCGGCGCGTCCCGCCCTATCGTCCTCGATCCCACATCGACGATGAAGCTTGTACCTAACGAATCCTCAAGCACAGACCATGCCTTCGTTCTCCCTGCCGCGGTCATGGATTCCCCGGACATTCAGCAACCGCCGATGGGACCCTCTCCCAGACCAATTGATATAACCCGACTAGCGCATTGCGACAGTCTTTTTGACGAGCTACAACAAACCGCTTCGGACCTCGGTGCTTGGCTGAACATCATTCAAGATGGCCTCGATGATGTGTTGAGCGCGGATAAAATCACTGACAACGAGCTTCAAGAACCTGGCGCAAACTCTTACGTATTGATGGAGTCGCCTCGAGCAGTCCCTTAGATGTTTGAGACTAGACACGATATAACGATAACGACAACATGACGAAACTTGTACAATAGCAAAACGGAGCACGACGCGCACGATCTATAACTCGACGTCTTGGTAAACTTGCCGGTCCGAATAGAGGTAACTGGGTCTGAGCGTTGCGATCCGTTGTCCGAGAGGATTGACGAGATCCTGAGCCGAGTAGTACGGCTGTTGATGCAGCATGGCCGAACACGAGTCTGATGTTGCATGTGGGACTTTGACAGCGTACGGGAGATGGTGCGGAATGTTGGCCGAAGCTATGTCATTGAGGCGGTCAGCGGGTATACGCTGGTGAATCCTGAAAGTCTCACTTACTTTCCGGGTCCCACTGCTCAAACACTGAGGGGCTCGGTAGAGGTTTCGGCCCAGGCGATGGAACCTGCAATGGCCTGATCTCCGGGGCAATAATGTAGTGAAGCGGCATAGCTGTATTGTTCCATTGACGTAGATTGACCTCCTGATCAGCAGAAGTGCGATTGACTTGGGTTCGTCCGAAGCTTGCAGATGCATCGCTTGAAGAGCTATCCAGCATTTGCTGTCGCTCTCTGGTCGTCCCGGTGTCCCACATCGCCTTCCTCCACGGATTCATCTTGGGAGTGGTTGGCGTTGAGGCATTGGCGATCCGGGAGCGAGCCATGGCTTGCACGATCTGCTGCGGACTCGGGACGAAAGATCCCTCGCTGGAAGACCCCATCGGCGTTTGCGTACCGGATACAGCGCCTATCGCTGAGACTTGACCCCGCTCATCCGTTTGATCTGGTAAATTTGCCCATTGAGCGCTTTCGGATAGAAAGCACGGTCTCGTAGCTCCGTCGTCGGTCTGAGGATGCATTGCTTGCGCATTCCCTCGCATCTCACGTTTGCCAGACCAGAAAGATTCATGCTGGAAAGCTGGACTGGTGCGCGGCAGTTCCAAGTCGAGAGCAGGCAGGAAAGCCGATGGGCGCCCCGATTGGAATGGCTGTCGCCTTCGCCATTGAGTCTCAACCGGCCTTTGCGACGGGGACCGCTCGTTGGTTTGTCGGCGATTGCGAAACAGGCGCGGAGGTGCTCGTCGCTTGACGGCCATGAGCTCTTCCATTGTCGAGTCCCTATGCAGAGTTGGATGAGCCCAGACGGATGCGTTTGTCAACATGTTGCCTCGCGCGTCTTCGAAGTGGCGACCGGGATAGACTCTGGCAAACCCATAAATCTGTGTTCGACCGGAGGTCAGCGGCAAACCAGCCTAGAAATGGCGTGGGCAAACTTACATTCAGCTGTCGACAGAACGAGGTAAATTTGCAATGCTTGTAGTGGACTGGGAGCACACTGGTTTCCAAAAGTTTTGGCTGTTCAGAGAAAATTGAGTTGTGGCGTTTGTACTAGTCATTTCCTCTGCAGTGCATAGCGCGCTCACATCTGCTACGACGAGCTGATTCCCATCGGAAGACCAGTACATGGCTTGCTTGGCGTTGTGATCATCGTGTAAGGCAGCGTAACTGCGGAAACGGGATTCGCCACCTATCAGCGAAATGTCTACTGCAACCTTCAGTGGCATCAGGTCACTTACAGTTTAGCCAGAAAGTTTGCAGGTCGCTGGGTGTTGGTTTCATGTGAAGGGGAATCAGAAGAGAGGCGAGGGGTGAAAGGGGAATGCGACATGTTGCGATCAAAGGGATCTTCCCAATAGGGGTCTGTGGGGTGACAAGTAGTTGGTGCGCTCGAACCACGTCAAGCACCGGTTGCGAATAAGAGGGGGTTGCGAAAGCTGGTGGGTACGCTTATACTCTCGCGGGTGATGCACAAGGATTGATCTTGAAGATTGTCGGGTTTGTTGGAGAGCAATGTCCATATTCAGCAGACGACAATGTATCGTTGCAAAGAGTGGAAGGCGGGATGTTGGGCTGACGACGAGATCATGTGAGGGGAAAGGTCTGGGTTTGTGTGATAGAAACCCAATCGGAGGCGCTCGCGGTGGCAGAAGAAAGGTTACCTAGACGCTTATATCTTCTCCCTCCGAGAGACATGTAGCTGATCACGCCCGATTGAGGAACAAAGGAAGATCATCTCCCCAAGCGAATCGGCGATCTGCACGCCATGCGTCCACGTTACCATAGGGAGGTTCGGACGGAACTCGGCCGACAAGCCTAACCCCTTCTCAGTCTGTCGTGCGGATCTGCAGGAGCCTCCTTCTCATCGTGACAGCAGGAGATCAGCGGAAGTCGATTCTGACATCACAGACCACCGTCTAAGCCGAGGTAAGGCAGTTTTTGATTGGTCGAACGTTCCTTCCTTTGTCAAGACGAAATGGTTCTCGATGGTGTCGTGATATTGTGCTATGTCATGTCATGATTGCGAGGGGTCCTCTTACTCGAGCGATACAGTGGCACCGAGGGCCTCCAAGGTCTTTTTCAGCTTCTCAGCCTCCTCCTTTGGTAGGTTGTCCTTGAGAGTCTTGGGTACGGACTCCACAAACTTCTTTGCCTGTTTGCGGGATGGTAGATTGCATTATCGGCAAGGCGATTCCCGCGGCGAAGTAGGGATATCAGGGGACAGTATTGATGTTGACAACGGTCAGCGGAGGAGCAAATGAGCCGAGATAACGATTCGACTAACCTCCACCAGGTTCATATTGGGCATGATCGCTTTAACTTCCTTGATAATCTTGGCCTTGGCGGCAGGGTCAATCTTCTCCAGCTTGACGGTGAAGATGGTCTTCTCCTTGGGCTTTTCCTGTAGTTGATACAAGCGGACCCGGTGAGCAATCGGAACCCGTAAACATACCGGATCGACTTGACAGACTGACCTCAGCTGGTGCCTCGGCAGCAGCGGGAGCAGCAGCACCTCCTACAGGTGCAGAAGCGGCGGGCATGGCCACCTCGGTAATGTTTAACCGTGTCTGAGACAGCAAATGGAAAGGTTCAGCTCGACCGTTCGTGCTCGCCTTCGATAACAGCTCATATCGACCCACCTTCAAAGCGCTGACCAGTTCCGATACCTCCAGAAGCGTCAGTCCCGAAATCTGATCCACAATCGGAGCGATTTTTGGCGACAAGGGTGTCGACGATTCGGCTTCAGCACATCGCGCGAAGGAGGTCGAGAATGCTGCAACAGGTCGACAGGCTTGCAGACGAGCGGGTCTGTGGAGAGTACGAGAGGCTCAGTATTCAGTAAAATATTGATCAGGATACAGTGTATTATGGACTGACCGGACCGCTCGAAGCGTCCTTAGCGTGCTAGTGGCCATTCGCTGCAAGATGACAAGATTCCGTAGGGGTAAGAGCTCCGGGTCGACCCGGCATCGTCCAAGAGATCTCTCCGCTCACGGAAGACATGATTCAGTTGACGGCGAGTGTCTAATCAAGGTGCTAGATCTTTTCGAGAGCTGAGCGCATGTCCAATGTCCTACGACATCAAACCGCACATGTTGCACTCGATCGAATCGACTTCTCGCTCTGAACCTCGCTTGACCCGGGCAAAGTCGTCGTCGCAAGCGCAAAATTCGCGCTTCTACGCGACCATTTCTCGTCATCGAACGATTTCATGATACAATTTCATCTCATCTATATGGGTTCGTGATAGTGTTCTAGCGTTCATAGCTATTGTCGTCGAGTCGTGTATCGTGTATAGGTGCACTGCCCATGCCCCCTCGCCTGCATTACCAAAGGTTCGACTTGTCGTCTAGGGATACCTCTTCGGTCTCTACCCGACCTTCGGCTTCTTGCTCCTCTTTCAGCCTCTCCGCCTCCTTCTCCTCGTCCTCCTTGATCTTTTTCAGCCTCTCCTGTTCCTGTATCTGAGGATCGGCGTCTCTCCATCGTCCAAAGAAGCCATGATAGCCTAAATCATAACACGTAATTGGTCGTCAGGAGTGTACACAGAGGATGTTTCAGGATGGATTGACTCACTCGCCGCCCATTTGCGTTGAGCTTCGCCGGTAAACGGCGAAACGCTGCTATAAGAGCCAGCAGGAAGCTGTTTGACACGTGCAGTTAGTGGTCGAACCAGACTTGTCTGTCAGCTCAGTCGATGCGAACGCACAATCCTGTTACATACGTAACAAAGTATCGTCAACAGCTGTCTCACTAGCGTTCAACTCATCGCAGCGCTACTCACAATACATCTCCAATACGGATAGGATCTTTGACGTGAAGCAATTCTCTGGGCTGGAAGCCGTATCTCGTCAAAAGGTATCGCATGACGCTATCGGTAAAGATTCCAGGTCCGGTCCATTCGAGAGCGCTCTCGGGCAAAAAGACCTCGCCCTTCGCAGCCGCTTCCTTTTCCGCTTCAGCCATCTCTATCGATTTCTGCAAGGATCGACCGATAGCATCCAGGAAGACGGGATGTCCTGGTCGGGCCTGTCAGAAACAATAAGGGTCAGAGACGCCCGGATCGATCCTCGAGATCTGCAACTTGCCATGATGGTCCACTGCACAATCTGATCTGCTCGGCTCAACCCGACCTCCCGCCAATTTGTCCACCCAAACTCGATAGCGTCGCTCTCCACGCTAACGACCAAGCTTGGTGGTCCCAGTTCGGCGCCGTCGTCTACGATCGGAGACATGCCAGGCCCGATATCAACACCGTCGAGATGCGCGGTCGCACTTGCCTCTTTGACTCCGTCCGCTCGTCTCCATAGATTGTTATCTACAGGCGGAGCAGGACTACCGGGTTCTGCTGTCGCCGTATCCAGCAGCTGGGCTGCGTCAATGTCCGATTCTTCGATCAGATCGCCATATTCGTCTTCGTCTTGCGGGTCCTGAGTCATGACATCCTCTTCCGCCGGTATATGATGAGCCGAGTTGGACAGCGACAATATCCGAGATAGGTGGGAGAGCAAGGGATCGGTTGCGTTCGTGTAGGGGTATCCCCACTGATCGGGATCGATTATGGGCTGACGAGAAGCAAGGGTCAGCTGCGGAACTGGTCGCGTAACTAACATTGTGAGAATCGCCTTACTGCTGTATCACTGTCCGAGTATATCCCACCTTCAACCAGGAGAATGAAGTATCTGAGATTAAAGCATTCGTCAATACCTGCTGCGTATATGTCAACTGATGTCCGGCGACTTACCTCAGGATATCCGTCTTCAATACCATCCTTGGCAACTCGGACCATACTCGCTCCGCTACCGTACCTCCAAACATATCGCTCATCCACTTTTCCATATCCGCATCCTCAAATACCCTAATCTCCCAGTCGGGCAAGAGTTCTTTCCATCGCGCGAATTGCCAAGGGACGAGGTCTCGGTGAGCATCCGTCGTGGTGATCGTCCTGGGTCGAGGTGCCAGCGGAGCGATAGGAGGGGATAATGAGAGACGGGACTTGACGAGCGGGAGGAAGGATGGTGTGCGGATGTAAGGGATGGCCAGGTACTTTTCGTACGTCTCCATGAGCTCCGCCTTGTATTCTTCCAAGTCGATCGGGCCATATAGCTTGATGCCTAAGAAGTCCTCGTCGGCCTTGGCGTCAAACCCTTGCTGTTTCTGTTTGATATGTGAGCGCATGTACGCCTTGATCCCCTCAGCTGGTACGCTGTCCTGCAACAACCCTTGCTCGTGCGTCTTGCGTAGAGCTTCATCTTGATCGTGGTAGCCCCCGGTTGACGCGTGATTGTCCACACCCTGAGGTAGACAGAACGGAATGTTCGAGGACGACTCGTAGGTGGGGAGTACCCGCGTAGGAGGGATATATCCCACCGCTGTCTGACCTGGCGAGCTATTTCGCAAGAATGATATGACAGTCAAGATAGGTATGATGACGACCAGCGCCAGGAGTGACCTCGGTCGAGCGAGTTGGTGCAGCAGGTTGGTCATTGCAGGCGATGTTTTGAGGGGAACTTGAAGCGAGTTGCGTTCAGCGTTGGACTCCGAGTCCGAGTCTCGACAACCGATGACTCTTGGTGTCAAAAGAGCCTAGCACAATTGAGCTAAGTGCAAGGAGGTTGTTGACCTTCGAGCTGGATGTTGCTCGAGGAGATAACGGTGTTGGGTTATGGAGTTCCGTCTATTTTTGTTTTGACTCCGGAATCGACCTCGAGGTTTTGTTTATAATTCCTGCTCGAGACGCAAGTCGATCGGTCGACGTTTGAGAATTAGGCTAACTAGGATAGGGTATCCGATGCCTGCTGAACCGGTCTGCTGATGCGTTTGATGACTTTGTGTGATTATGAAGGCAACAGGCTGAAGGAAGCAGGACGGAGGTTGAACGAGGACTGCTGCGAATGAAAAGAGGGTAGTGGGTGGTCCATCTGCAGCCTCGGGCATCGCTCTCGCTCGCTTTTAGCTCGGGAGACGACGCGCTCCTCACGTCATCCAGGGGCCAGGGGGGAGTGTTTCACGAGTTTCACTCTGCACAGCCTGCAGCCTGGCCTCCCTTTAGACTCGGCTATGGCGGTATGCCGCAGCGCGATCGATCAACCAAGGGTTGAGACGCTGCCTACACGTGCTCGTCTCGGATCCTATCTTTGGATCTGGTCGTTTCATGTATCATCGTATCGTGGCTTCTTGTACAACCGGGGCATGCCCCTTCTTTTTCTGCTACAGAATCGCGGGAATTCTCGCTCGCAGCAGAGCAATCCTCGTAGCACCTAAACTTCAGTCTAGCCGGTCCTACAATATTGGAGCAAACCACCTTAGCCTTTCTCTTTCTATACCGGGTTGAAGCTAAGCCTACCACTCACTTTGCCTTCTTCTTGGCGGGACCATCGTCTTCCTCGTCCTCATCCTCGTCCTCCTCTTCATCATCATCGTCCTCGTCCTCGTCGTCACCCTCTTCCTCGTCGTCATCGTCGCCAGGAGCGAAATCGTCGTCCTCCTCCGAATTGTATTCAGGATCCTCCTGTACCTCTTCAGCAGAAATTGCTCGCTATGATCGAGGTGTATCGCGGGTTGAGCAGGGCAATCTATTGGACGCCCTCGAATCACGCCTGTGACCCACCTCCTTCCTTTTCCGTTTGCCAGCGACAATACCTCCCTCCTCGCCCGATTCTTGATCCGCCTTGGCGGCCTCTTCCCTCCGCTCATCCTCCTGAACCTCTTCCTTGCTCGCCTTTCCCTTTCCCTTGCCCTTGCTCGGGGCAGCTTCCTTCTCCTCGTCATCGTCCTCCTTCTCAGCCTTCTTCCCGCTCGAACCCGACTTGCCGTCCTTTTTCAGACTATCGTGTCCCCAGTTCTTCAGACTCTTGTAGCTTTTGGTCTCTTGCAACTCTTCGGCGCTCTTCTCATCCTTCATGTGAGCTTCTTGCGCCAAGTGACGGGCGCAGTAGGAGACGACCTTGTGCATGTGGGCGATCTGGTCTTCAGTGTACTTGGACGAGTCCTACGAGGTAAAGAAGAAGCGGTCGCTGGGTTTAGCAAACAGGTCTCAGACTTTGTCAATGTGTAATTCCCACCTTGTCAGGGTTAGCCTTGAGAATCTCGACAATCTTCCTTCCGCTGTCGTGCCCAATGGTCTCCCCGCTGCCGTCCTCCTTGTTCCATCCGGACGAGGTGGAAGGGTCCGACTTGAGCCATTCTTCCAGCTCCTATTAGCATTTCACGTTCAGAGTTAAAAGGTGATCAAAGATGAGTGAACAGCGTGGGAGAAACATAATGAAGAAAGGTCTCACATCGGCGGTCATGTTGACATACTCTATAAAATGCACATCGTAGTCAGCCGAATTTGAATGGCGCAACTCTCCATCGGTGTGAACAACATGACATACCATTGAACTGCTCGATAACTTCGCTGTCAGATTTCGTCATCTTGGAAAAGTGGTTCTGTGTAGATTATCGAACGTCCTGTGTTCGGAAGCACGGTCGAGGGTAAAGGTAGAGAGACGACAAGTAGCTATATGAGCTTAGATTTGCTGATTTTTCGTCGGCAAGATTGCCAGACTGTCAAACGCACTTTCAAGGTTTAGACTGTTGCGTGGTCTTGCTTGATTGACGGCTCGGGATAGTTGCGTCACAACTGCATCGCTTGATGTCATTCTCGATATGCTCGAGGTGCTCGATCGGGAAGGCAAGGGGGGAATGACCTTACGTCACCTCAGGGCTCCGGGAGAGGGCAGGGGCGACGTGCATACAGAGGGGGAGAGTGGGAGAAGGGGGGCGACGTTTAAATAAGCGAAAGGGTCAGGACGACCAGGTTTGGTTTGGCGAAAGATATCAAGTTCACATCACGATGACTGTCGAGATCATATTCTACACTCCCACACACACATATTCCTCACAACAATGAGCTCGATCAACATGTTCGCACGGCGTCAAATCTCCACATCATCTCGCGTAGCATCCTCTTCCCGTCCACTCCTGCCCTCGGGTCGACTATCGGCAGATCAACTCCGTCAACTCGTCGATCTCCATCACTCGGCAGCGACGTTCATCACCCCTTCATCCCTCTCGCATATCGTCGAATCAGTCTTTGATCAGACTTACACCCGAACGGCCTCGGACGAATCGCTACGAGATGCCGCAGCTCGTCAGCTCGAACGAGGAGGTATCCCCGGTCAAAAGGCCGACACCCTCGTCGAACTCTCCGTCAGCCGGACGGGCCAGAGCTTGAAGGGTATCCGAAACATTTACGACGAACGGCTGCTAGGTTACGCTTCCCCATCCGTACCCAGCCGAGCCCCTACCGCCGTTACTCTGTACCGACGAACGAACGGCTCGAACTCGCTCTCCTGGTCTGATGAAAAGGTCGGCGAGACCATCAACCCGGCCGGCGTGCATCAGTCGGGCAAGAACGCCAGTGGACCGTTGGGGTACGAAGGGAGCGCATATGCGGACAACTTGGTCGCCCTCAGGGAGAGCAGGAGAGACGACGCTCTGTTCGGGACCGTAGGCAAGAGCCGACCGGGTCTCGAGGCCGTGTTGGACCATATGCGATCGGGTGATGCCGGAAGTCCGATAGAGGCCGTCGAGGGGTCGAAGCAGGAGTAGAAGAGGGATTTGATGGAGCAGATTAGATGCACAGCTGGACGGAGGAGTGGGCCGCAGGGGCTGGATTACGGAGGTCCCAGTCGAATAGCTGAACGGGGAACAAGCGGAACTTGTGACCCTCGGAAACATCTCGGCCGTCCTTGGCCCTGTCGATCTCGGCAACTACGGTCTCGGAATCCCTTATTTGAAACGATCGCCTACCTATCACCACCACCACCATATAGTCATCACGGCTCAGCACGACGGGAAGCTGGACGGGCACGGGGACGACAAGATCATCGCCTGTACAGACGAGACGGACAGACGTTGTAACGACCCTCTTTTAACGATCGATCATTTCGGCTACGGGGTTTCTGCGCGCGCGAAGTGCGCAAGTAGACATTCAAACCGTTTCCCATCCGACTCCCGCTATCTTGTCCAGTTCTCAGGACTATCGTTCAGGAGATCAGAACATCAAGGTGAGTCCTAAAAGCTATCTAAGCTGTCCCAAGGTGTCTTAAGTCGCTTCCTTCAAGGATCTATTCTTGCCTAGAGAGCATGGATATTCAGCGATGCAGATGAGGCCACTACGACAAGAGTCTCGATTGACGACCTCGAGCTTCGGCCCGAGCGTCTCTCGCAGATCCCGTGTGCGCATGATACTCCTCACTTGGCCTCATTCTGCCGTCTTCCATGTCTTTCGCGTGCAGGCTGGTCTGCGAACAGTCTCATTCTCAGATACGATGGTGCATAGGTGAAAGAAATCTGGAAAAGACCGGTTGAGAAAGCGTGCGATCGATAGTATGACAAGCGCGTTACTAGCGGTTTGAACACGATCACGAAGCCCATCCTTGTTTCTGATAGGTAAACAAACGTATTCCCTCAACGGTCCTTAACGTATTGGCATACAAAGCTTATCATCGTAACTTTGTAAACCTGTCTGTCAATCCTCGAAGTAATTGCCCCACCGAAGTTGCCGAGCTCTATGTTCGATTGACAGGAACATGCACTGTCAGGAAAAGCTTGTGAAAATGAGCTCAAGTAGGAAGGTGGTCCACCTTGTTTGCAAGTTTAGCGAAAGTAACTCTTGCCGGGAGTCTGTACAGCCCGATCAAGAGCCTGTTAGAGCCGCGCCAGTGTTTAATACGATCTCTTTGGACTACCGGATATTTCACCGGGCCTCACCATGCGCCGAGTTGGAAGAAGTGCGCCACGATGAGTGAGCCTAGGTTGAATAGTAGGTTGCCTCGCTGTGACACAGTTCCGACGTTGACAACCTGCAGATATTAGGAGCCGTTATGGTAGCCCTTCCATCTATGGAATTGTTCATCAAAGCTCGCATATCGGACCGCAGGACTCGCCGAATCTCACCCCGTCAGACTGAGTTGAACCGAGAAGCCCAGCATCGTCTCGTTCTCTACCACTCGTTGAATCCAGACGTGCTTGATCTTCAGCGGGGAGTGGTAAGCGGGGGTTCGGAAAAGCGTAGCAGGACGGGCCCCAGAATAGAAAGCAGTGTTCAGGATTGTACAAAACTGGGTCACCATTCGCCATGTAAGTAATACATCGCTGAATCGGTGGGGCGAGGGACTAACCTGGATCGCCGTTGATAATCCTTTGGTTATATCAGCGCCGCTGTCATGACCATATGAATCTCGATAGGCGAGAAGGAGGTAGTAGAAATCTCGTTGCAAGTAGTGAACACACCAGCTGACTCGATCGTTTGTTGGTTAATTGGTTAAGAGCTCACGTGGGAACCCAACCGTATACCTGAAACATTAATCATGGATTCTCTGACCAAATATAGTCTCTTAATCAGTCTTACTTATCAACGTTTGTTGTCCATCATCTGATCGTTTGTGCCCGAGCAATGTTGAGATTGCATTCTGGGAGGCTCACAAGTTGTCTGCGGGCAGTGAACACCAGAGGTTTGTATATCAGCATCCTCAACCTGAGAAACCCGTAAAGTTGATAATTCCGCCCTGATGAGATTCCAATTTCGAATCCCCGTATGACTACAATTCCTCGCAGATGCGCATACGACACTGGGCAGATGTACGGTGCGTAATCCTCGCTAGATGTCGTTATATTGCTTTCTGCTCGAGTTAAAATTGAAGACGGTATCATCGCTGTAATCGGGCTCTACGTCACGGCGGGTTACATATGGCTGATTGGTAAAGACGGAAATTGCAATAGCTCGTCCTTCAATCCCTGTCTGAGCATATCGGCCAAGCAATTCGTGGAACGGGTGCTAAGCAACATGAGGTACAAGCGGCTGATAATCAATAAGCATGCACACCTCTTAGGTAGAAATCGAAATCAAGTATTGCACCATCGAGATAATCAATACCACCATTTGTAGCGTAGGCGACGATTGAAGCTAGACTCGATGACGATTCGAATAGGACCTTCAGCTGTCCCGACCACCATATCTGACATCGTTGGAAACGGAATCGACCATGTCCAACAAGCGTTCTGTGGCCGCTTCTGCAGACAAGGTCACAATCACGACATACCGGAGTCTATACTGAAAGGGCGTTAGCATCTGACAGGTCTCAGACATATCGTAGTCGTTAATGAAGGGTCAGTCAAACCGTCCACCAGCACTCGCACTCTGAAACGCGAACTCTGTCCCGTCCCCTCCCCTGTAGTCGACGCGTCATTTTCGATTTCAAGTGATCACTGGACGCGACGCGACGCGTTTTGCGTGGAGCCCACCTAGCCCGACCCCCCTACAAGTGCTTTCTCATCATCATCATCATCTTTCAATCGCCATCGTCTGCAACCATATGCTTCATACACGGTCGTAACAATACCTTGATCTTGCATTCGGACACTCCCATCTTGAATATTCCATCCTCGTGACGACGTCGAATGGTCGCCTTTCCCTCGGCCGCACTTTTCAGTTCACCTCCACCCACCCATCAAAGAGGCGATCACGACTATCCCTTGTCCAGCAGCCCAGTCTCGGTCAATCTCCTCACCCCTCCTCCATTCTCACCAGAGAATCATATACAAACCTCTCCTTCCTCTTGGCGAGACTCTCACCCGACTTCCGCGATCGCTGGACTTCCCATCTTCGATCTGAGCCTCTCGCCTGAACCGACCATGACTCCAAACTCTACTCCCCCTAGCAAACGGAAGCATCATCAGTCGACCTTGGGATCCGCCTTTCCTGCCCTCTCGTCGAACAATGTTGCTACCCCCACTTTGCAAACGGAAAAAGTTGCCTCGGACGAAAAACGTAGGCGGATCTCGACGGGGTGGGATGAGCTATGTCGAGCGACCGTCAGGGCTAGGCAGGCCGAGGAGCGAAGACGAGCCAGTGAAACAGGAAACTCGCCCCTCGGAAGGGCGAGAGGATTCAGAGGTGATACAGAAGCTGGCTCTCCGAAAGCCAGTCATACCGTCAATGTTCGGGCTGAAGGATCCAGCCTGAGGACCGCCTTTTCTCCTTTCAAGCTGGAATTGCCCGCGGTTGGTAATAAGACTGTAGCAGATACGGCAGAAGCTGAGGCGGAAGACATCGATATGGAAGCGGGAGCGGAAAAGGAAGATGAGCAGGAAGTGTCAACAATAAGCGTAGACGAGGCCGATATCGAGGAGGAAGACGAATCTAGCTATGCCCCGAGCAGGAGAAGACGGCCGATCCTCGGGTCCGGCTTTGGTGACACCCGGATAGGTCATCGAACAATGACGAGCAATCTTAGAGCGGGGAAGAGATATCAGCGAGAGCATTGTGAGTGCTTTAGCGCATATGCAACGAGCGTTCTCGATCTAATCGAATTTCCATCCCGCGAAACAGTCGTCACTCTACCTCTCAGTCACGCTTCTCCTGCGGGATCGCCTTCTTACCTTGAACTTTTCAACTCCCATTCCTTGCTGGACATCTACCGAGCAGAACCCAATCCATACCAAATGGTTCCCTCCACCCGAGAATGGTCGCCAGCCTATACCTGTGCCTTCTCTCATTCGGCCAAGGATGCGTGGACCGCTTCTGAGCACAGCTTTGCGGCGATTGCAACCGAGTGCGGGGGAGTCAGGATCTTTGACACGAACAAGAGCGACGCGAGCATTCCTGAGGGATGGGAAGCCGGACAGAGGATCGGATCTGCGTCCACGTTCAGCACGAACACTGCTTCGGCAAGCGAAAAGAAAAAGCAGACGGGACCTAAGCCGGGGTTGTTTGCACCGCATGCGAATGCGATCTACGACATCAAGTGGTCGGTGGACGATACCATGCTCACAACGGCATGTGCGGACCAATCGACGGGAATCTGGGATACGAGCAGGACGAGCGCGACTTATCAGCAGTCGGCGCAGAATAATGGGTTGATTACCAAATTGCGCGGACACACGGCTAGCGTCAAGACTAGCATATGGTACGACAGGAGTAAGTTCTCTAAGCTTTCCCGGTCAAAGTATTTCAAATGAAATGGGCGCTGACAAGCCCGAAACCTCTATCACAGACACGATCGCGACGGCAGGACGGGACGGCGACATCCATATTTACGATCTTCGTACTACGGGAAGAGAGATCCCGGGGAACGATGATTCCGGCACGGTTTCTGCCGAGTGGAAGAAGCGTGCACGAAATGAGGGGGACCCTAACGATTCCATTTGGCCAGTGTTATCAATCAAAAACGCTCATGGGATAGGTCCGATCAAGAAGGAGCGATGTGTCAGTCTCGCCCGATGTCTACGGTCGCGCAGGGCAACGCTGATTATCGCAATCGAAACAGTCCAACGCGAGGAGTGTGACTTGTCTGGTGCCGCTGGAAGCAAACTCTCACCACATGGCTTCGGGAGGATCTGCTGATGGGTAAGCCTAGTACGCAATGATTGATACGCAGGACGAGCTTTAATGGACCGTAACAACTTCAGCATCATCAAACTTTGGGATCTACGCGTCACACATCGTTCGAGGAAATTCATCTCCGAACCTGCGCAACTGAGCCCTGATCGTACTCTGGAGAACAATGCGAAGCGCAGCCGGGGAATCATCCATATGGTCGCTGCCCCAAAGAACGGCATGATCTACGCGCTCAGCAGCGATTCACGGTGAGTATCTGCAAGGGGAGTAACCCAAATGATTTCGCACTAATCCGACGTTCTTTGATAGCATCACGGCCTATTCTCAACACGACCTTACCGTTCCTCTACCGATCACCTACGCTCACCCCAACCTTACGGCTGCGGGATTCTACCTCCGTCTTGCTCTATCACCATGCGAAAAGTACATCGGTTGCGGAAGCCGGTCGGGATCATTCTACGCCTGGTCGGCGGGACAGAATACGCGAAATCACTTGATGGAAGGCTCTGTGCAGGAAAGCGTCGTTCAAGGGTTGGAAGTCGGAAAGCAATGGCATCGCAGGGAATTGAGCGCGGTGGATTGGGGACACGACCAGGTCAGTACGAACTCGCTCTTGCTGCAAGCGATCGTTGACGTTGATGAACGCAATTATATATACCAGATCATGACCTGCTCCGACGACTGCTCGACCCGAATCTGGCGACCTTCTCGTGCAGCGTATGATGCGATCGTCAAAGATCCTCAGGATGCTAGCTATGATTGGGCCGGCGTCAACATCTGATTGTGGGGGACCGGGATATTGCCATTTACTCAGGCGTCGACTTGTCGATATCATCTTGCTTGTAATCCTGATATAATGGTCGAGTGATATATACCCACCTAGTGCGCAGTAGCATGGAGGTTTCGTTTGATACCGCCGGCGGTCTCTGACACGGCATGTCATTAGCTACCGCACTAGTCCGAACAATATTCCGCAGGATCGGCGACTACGGAAGGACGGCGTTTCTGCGTGTACGTTCGAGAATGCTGATGGCCTGTCGGTAATCGGTGCAATGATATATGAATCTATGAATTCACAGGCATCACACAGCTAGGATGAGATCATAGTTGAATCGTCAACTGCCAAGTGAAACACAAGGGGGTTGTCTGTCGAGGGTGGATCTCGACGTCATAACGAGCCTGAGCGGAAGTAAAATCGGAACCCAAACAAAAAAAAGGTTCCTGCGAGCTATGACGACGCGCTAGAAGATAGTGGGATCCGGTTCATTTGCTCTTGGTGGGTGTCACCCGCTCCTTGCCCCCTGTGCCGTGTGCCTCTCTCGTTTGCTGTGCCACGCCCCTCGGTCTTGCTCGTCGGATCCTTTTGTGTGACGCCTCGGATGCGTGCAAGATCGTCATGAAAAGAAGGGGAAGGGGAACCGGGGGAGAGCGCGAGTCACACACCCCCACCTTCGATCACAATCACAAGTTCTCGTGATTCCCTTCCCCCCTTCCCCCAAGCTATATAAGGAGCAGGCGGCAGATGGTCGACTCTTATCATACCCTTCGCCTCAGCACTTGCGAAGAAGTTTTTCGACATCTCCTCCTCGTCACGAAACGTCGAGAGAGTATCGATCTACAACTGCAAGCGGATCTCGAATTTGACCCAGAGGCTCGTAGACGCCTCAAATAGCGCAACTTTAGATCTTAGATCGCACTCGAGCCTTTGAAAGGAATTTTTCGGTTTCTACCACCGATCGAAGCTGCAAGATGTCTGTCGCCAATGAGGACACCAAGTCCGCCACCAAGGCGCAGTTTGTGAGTCGAGGCGAGCTTTCCTTGCTGTATCAAGCTGATCACTCGAATCTTTTATAACCCAGATCTCCGCCTTGGTCGTCGGTGCCGCTGTCGCGGGAGCCCTCGGCCTCGTCCTGCTTGTGCTCTCCAAAAAGTACAAGAGGGTATACGAGAGTCGAATGATGCTTGCCACGGATGGGTTAGTCGAATTTTGCCTAGAGAGGCTGGCTGGCGTGTCAGAGCCGAAAAGCTGAAAATTTCATCCTCCTTTGTTGTTCCACATCACAGCAAACGACCTCCCCCTCTTCCCACCGGTTTTGCATTAGTGAAAGCGATTATACAAACACCAGATGATTTAATCATAGAGCAAAACGGTCTGGATGCCTACCTCTTCGTCCGATTCATCAAGGTGTTCGGAATTTGGATGCTGGTTCCTTACTTCCTCTTGACCTGGATCATCTTGATGCCCGTAACGTGAGCAACAGCGCCGTTCATGAACCGGGATTTACCTGACCGTTGTCTTCATCTGTTGTTCCCAAACCCAGTGCTAGCAAGCCGAACGCCGGAAACGTCGACTTGAACATCTTCTCGATCGGAAACGTTCCCGATTCACGACCCAACAAGCGTATCGCTCACTTGCTCGTCGGACTAATCTTGATCGGTGAATAGTGAATGCAGGCTGTGCTACAGGTCCGGGAGGCTGAATCTTTCTCGATCATTATCAATTTTCATAGCCTGGACATGCTTCCTCATCTACCGCGAATTCGGTCACCTCATCAAGGTCCGACAGGCATGGCTTTCTTCTCACACCCATCAGAGGCTCGCTAGAACCAGGACTGTCCAGCTGGTCAACGTTCCCGAAGACCTCATGGCTGGATCGGCTCTCGTCAATTTGGCCAGCTCCTTCACCGGCGCATCGGAGAGGAACCCTCCCAAGGTCTGGTTGGCCAGGAACACCGACGAGCTTCAAGACGTCTTTGACGACCGTAACGACGAGTGCAACAGGCTCGAGGCTGGGGAAGCCAAATTGCTTTCCAAAATCACGAAGAACGTCAAGAAGAACAAGACCCCCGAGAAGCCCACCAAGAGCTCTGGAGGTAGCCCCATGGACACTGAGCGTGCCGATGCCGAGTCCGTCATCGATCGATATCTCACTCCAAAGGAAAAGGGCAAGATCACCTGGAAGCAGGGATTGTTGGGCTTGATTGGTCGAAAGATGGACAGGCAGCAGAGCCCTGCGTTTATCAGGGAAAAGAACGGCGAGCTCGAAAGGCTCAGAAGCAAGCTCGATTCAATGGAACTCGGAAACGTTGCCTGGCTCAGGTCAGTTTCGTTTTAGCTGCAGTCGAGACACAGTCAGTCCATACTGAGATGGACTTGGCACCCTTGCAGGTTCCACACCCAGAACGAGGCTCATGTATTTGCCAGAAACGTCAACAAGGAGAAGAGCAGGAAGAATATTCAGACCGGAATTGAAGTCGTCCCCGAGGATATCATCTGGAACAACACGTCAATGAACCCCCACGCGCGACAGATTGGTAAAATCATCAGCTGGTCTATCACTATCGGGCTCATCATCATCTGGGGAGCTCTGTCGGCTTTCGTCGGAGCTGTTTCAAATGTGGATACTTTGTGTACCCAGGCAAGCTGGCTCGCATGGCTCTGCACTATTCCTGGAGTCGTACTCGGTATGTGCTTGCAAAACTCTAGCTACAGACGACTTCCGTGGCTAATGCGGCTCATTGCAACAACAGGAATCATCAAGGGTGTCTTGCCTGCCATCCTTTACGCCATTCTCTTCGCCATGGTTCCCATCTTCCTCAGGTTCTGCTTGAAGAAGCAGGGTATCGTGCGAAACAGGTGAATTCTAGCTCCCACCATCGTTACCGCCTAATAACTGGGACTGACTTTACTTCGTTGACAGCGACCTGGAATTGAACCTTTTCAGCCGCTACTTCGCCTTCGAATTGATCAACGGTTTCCTCGTCGTCACCGTTGCGTCTGGACTGATGTCTGCTATCCCCCGAATCGTTGACAACCCGGGCATGGTCACCAGTAAGTCCGCGCTGCTATAGTCTTATCGTCGCTTCAATCTCGGCCCTGACCAACGTCTTGGCTGTTCAGCTCTCCTTGCTACGGAATTGCCCGGCGCCAGTATCTTCTTCTTGACTTTGTGAGTACTTTTCCAAGGTAGCAATGGTGGACCATAAAATTGATCGATTACGCGGAAATCAGGCTTTTGACCCGCAACCTTTCCGGAGCTGGAAAGACGTACAGTCGAGTCGTTGCATTCGTCATGCAGCTCTTGAAGCCTATCTTGGGAGGAAAGACTCCCCGTAAATTCTGGCTTTCCGAGCATAAGATGGTATGTCATAGGACTTGCCTATCTGCGCTGAGCATATTTACTGATACCTGGGGGAAAAACAGGACTCGATGAAGTTCGGCGTCGTCTGGCCCCCTATCGCTTTGATCGTGGTCATCGTCATCGTCTACTCGATCATCCAGCCCGTCATCACCGGTGTCGGTTTGCTCGTCATGGCTTTGCTGTGGTTTGCTTACAAATACGTCCTCGGCTGGTGCGCTGACCAGCCTGACGAGGTCAGTCCTGCCCGTGGACTTGTGTGGCTGAGCGGGTCAGCTAACCTCTTTTGATATCGGCAGCTCGAAACCGGCGGACTTTACTACCCCCGGGCCCTCAACACCATCTTCACCGGGCTTTACCTCGAGGAGATCTGCCTCGCTGGATTGTTCTTCTTGAGCACTGGCCCTGATGGTAGCTCTCGATCTAAGGCTGGTCTTGCTGGAGGTGTCCTTTTCGTAAGTCTTTCTCGATCCAAACAGCACTAGGGCTTCAAGTGACCTGATTTGCTCCCTCTGAACATCTAGGTTGTTGCCGGAATCTGCACCATCGCCTTCCACATCTTCTGCAAGCGTCGGTTCCCTATGGAGTCGATCCTTTACACTTCATCTTCCTTGATCGGCGGCACGGCCTCGACGACCAAGCTCGCATTGGCTCCCACAGCCGAGGAGCGAGAGGACGGCGATGCTGGCCCCGAGTATGGCCAGACCACTGGCTGGCATGAAAACGCCTTCGACCACCCCGCTACGTGGAAGCCCCAGCCTATCATCTGGTTGGCCAAGGATCAGTTTGGTGTTTCAGATGCCGAGGTCGCCAGGATCAACGGTGAAGAGGTCGAAGCTAGCAACGTCTACGCCGAATTGGACACGGACGCTAAGCTCCATGTTGAGCGTAGCGCTCCTGATGAGGAACATCAGCACCTGATTTGATCGGAGGTTGCTGGAGGTCTTTTTTACGATTCAACTTTTCGCTCGTCCTGCTCAGACACGCATGCAGGTTTACTTCTTCTCAATCAAATCGCGCTTATAATACCTTGTGGCTACAAGCAGTCCCCGCCGATGATGATCGTTTTAACATTTTAATACTTGTTGCCTACCTGATCGTGCCGTACTTGCCGCTCAAGACGTACCTTCTCAGCACTGAGGTCTGAAAACATCAGGGCTGAGAAGGAGAGATCCAGGACTTCCAGGAACGGTTGGATGAAAAGATCCGGAGCCGGCAAACAGCCTCCACGAAGTCCTAGATACACAGCTGCAGGATACATTGTTGAGCCATGAACGTCCCAAGGGCAGATTCCGCCGCATGCCCGATAGCTTTAATGGCTTTTGTATTGTCACTGTGTGGTTCAGCTGGGTACAGATTGAGGTGACATAGGTCATGAGTGGATTTACCATCATATCAATTAGCTCGATTCAGACTTACCAGTTCGCGACGAAGTAAACCTAAGAACCCATCAACCGACTGCCGATGACTTGGGTGCGTCGCGCGTCGAGTCTCGGGTCTGTTGCGTTTGTGTGCGTGGTAACCGAGAGAGCAAACATCTTCATCCCGGCTCCCGAAGTGATCGACAAACACACGTACGAAGCACGATCTCATCCCATGGTAAATCCTATATCGATCGATCGTCGACGTATAAATCACAGACATCCATAGGAGCGTGGACACTCTGAGCATAGCCTACATCCGTTTTAGCATCCCGTCGATCGCGTGGCTCTGGTGATCACGATCAGGTCCTCAATTCTACCGGCTTTGGAATCTCGGCATAACATCCTCCCATGTCTTCGTCCTTTCGATCTTCCCTGGGACCTCCCGCCAAACGTCTCAGATCTGGGTCGAGCTCGTCAGTCAAGTATGATACAAACAGGGATGATTACTCGGAAGAAGAGGAGACCGAATCGAACGGTCAATCCCTTGAACCGCAAGCCAAGGCGGGTCGAGTCAAGAGGGAACACTCACCTAGGTACGTATTAGAGCCATGTTACAGCGTCGTCCTGATACTAACGATATTGCTTCACAACTCGCATCCTTGGATTTCGAATCTAGACCTCTGGCCGTAACGTGTACTCATTGTAGATCTCGCAAAATCAGTAAGTATGCTTGCAGTGTATCGGACGCAACGGGAGTGCTGATTGAATATCTATAGAGTGCGATAATGCCAAACCTGCGTGTACCAATTGTATCAAGTAGGTCATATACAGCATGATATGACGAGATAATTCTGCTGATAGCGCGCGTCCATCACCAGAGCTGGACACGACTGTGTATACCTTGCGAAGCAAAAGCCGGGATTGAAGGCTGGGACAGGAGAAACGATGCTGAGGCGCATAGGTCAGTCCCGGCCCCGGCCACTCCTTACCCGGAGTGCTGACCTCAACAGAAACCCATTTCGTTACTTCAGAATCGCTGGAATCCGAATTCGAACGATACAGACAAATGAATGAACGTCGCGTCAACGACCTTGAGAGCTGGCGACGCATCGTTGGCTCAAATATTCAAGGTTCCGGAAGCATGCCGCCCAGTCTCATGCAGCAATCGAGTAGCATGCAAATCGGCGGCATGGTTTACAACGGTACACAATCTGGCATGAGCGATATGGGACCGCCCAGTATGCATGCAAATCCGAGGACGAATCAGGCATCTGGCGTACAGTTGGGGACAGACCCGATGTTTGGATATCAGCCGAGGAACGATGGGTCTCACGACATCATGCGTGACAGGCAAATGTCAACTGCAATCAGCCCCCTGGCACACCTCGACCCCTCGATTGGCAACGTCTCTTCTGGTGGACCACCCGTGAGTGCGCGATCGGCCGATTCCGCCGATTCGTAGCTGATGGTCGTTATCTCCTAGTCGCAACCACAATACAACAGTATACAGGACAGCAAGGAGTATGCGGACCTTGCCGGGTATGATGCACCCATTTGGCGACCAGACATGGTGTTGCCGAGAGACGACATCGTGCAGGACCTGATCGCCATCTACTTCGATAAAATCGCGCCTTCAACTTTCATCATAATCCCTCGTCACGACGAAGTTTGGGAGCCGCCGTGGAACATCGTCGTATACGGTATCGTCGCCGTTTCACTACGCTTTTCCCAGGACAACCGAGTACTAGAGTATCGGGATCAGATCCATACGGCAGCCAGGCGATACGTTTACTTGGAGGCTATGGAGCAGCTCACCTTCGACGCGCTGCAAGCGTTGGCGCTGTTATCCATTGATGTCATCGGTAGCGGGAAGGGCGTCGAAGGGTGGGGCTGCATTTCCCTGTTAACCCGGTCAGCGGTGACGGCCGATCTGCTACGCGAATCGGGCATGGACAATGTCGAGGCGAACAACGGGCAATACACGAGCGGGTCTGGTACCCCTCGATTCCCAAGCGCTCTCAGCAAGACATCGATATTACAGAATCCTTCCAGCTGGAGAGAAGACGAAGCACGGCGGAGACTTTTCTGGTTGATCTTTGCGCTGGACCGATATACGTGTACCACAACTGCGATTGAAACAGCAATACCCGCCCAAGATATACGGAGACGACTCCCATGCGCCGACGATCTGTGGAAGGGGGATGACTATTATACGGCGGACACCTTTATATCGCCGCTCAACCTGTATGGGAGAAACTCGGCTTCCCTGGCGACATTGCATCCGGCGGCATTCTTCGCAGAGGCGCTCGACCTCATGGGTAGAGCTCACGCATTACAATCACGCTCGGTCGATGTACACGATCCGCGGGCGATGGAGATGCGGCGGGACGCCTCAGCAGCCATTGTTGGCGCCGCAACGCGATGGTACATGGACATACAACCTGCAATTGGGAGATATGACGACAAAGGTCCTATTTCTGCTCTGAACCTCTTGACCGTGAGTTCGCAATGTGCGGCAAGATGATTGATCGGCCGACTGATCTTGCTCATGACAAAATATAGCACGGCATATATCATGCGTAAGACTATCTTTAACTTTTCTCTCTTCGAATTCTACTGATCGATACACCGCTACGACCACAGAACAATTCTGAAATTGCAGTCATTCCACGCCTATCCAGCTCTAGCAACAAACGGAAGCATAGTCGAGCCGTATGCTACCGCGTGTCTCACATCGGCAAGAGCCATCACGACTCTCAGTTGTCGTGCGACTGGGTCCTTCGATACGACTGCCCCCAGCGTCTCCCCCATCTTCATTTGGTGCTGCTGGATAGCTGCGAGAGTGTTTTTCGGTAGGTCCGCCTATGACATATGTTTGGCTGGCGTGATCTGACTCGCTTCGAGTGTAGTCAATTCCTGCCTGGGAGCACAAATCAACATCGAACCAGAGTTCAAGGTCATTCTGGGTTCGATGAAGGCTATGGCGGTGCATTGGCAGCTGGCAGGTAAGCGATTCTGTGCAGAATCTTTGCTCTGCAGTAATTGAACAGAATAACCTTCGTCTAGACGACTATGTTCATCTCTTGCTGCGAGCTGAGCGGAAATGGCACTCACTCGCCGTCGACATGCACAATTCGCCGGCGTCCGGTTCGTTATCGGAAGCGGTTTCAGTCCTGCTGGACCTGAAGAAGACGGGCGCGCAAGCCCTACGGATAGGAAAATACGACGTCACTCCACCAGAACCCGCACGTCTAGCCGATCAGGGACCCTTTGGCGGAGCAACTCCGAATTGGCCCAGGACGGCTGGTCAAGCCATGCCTTCGTACGGCGAAGTACAAAATTGGTTTGATACCTTGGATCTTTTCGCCAGCCCAGGAGGATTCGGGCCGGTCTGAAGTGGGTTCAATCGCAATCGTTGAATAGGATGCGGCCGCTTGGTTGTGCAGATGGTTATATTGATTCCACGCAGGTAAAGGGAATGCTATGTGTACTTAGCAGCAATGATGTGAGCGGAGGATAGATGTTCGGGTGTACAAGGCCATACGCGCTCGAATGCACTTGAACTGAGCGAACCACCAAGGTGCTTCTCGTCAAATTTCACTTTGTTTCGCCGCTTTCACCATGACTATTGGCTACAAGCCTAGTGGTCATTGATATCCCAAAGTGTTTAAAGACAGCGCGGCCTCGATTGGAATACGGATCAAAAAAAGAGACTATATAGTCTTGTTATAAGAAGGATCGAGTAGTTACAACGCTTACTGTAGTATCGCACTCAGAGTACCATCGGCTGATGCGATTAGGTTCGCTACTGCTACATATCATGCAACAGACCCGTCAACGAAATTACCATCAAGGGATTTCATTCTCCCGCGCTTCCGTTTACGATCGGCTCATCTTTCGCGCGGCCGTCCGAGAGACCACGCGAGCTGGTACTCTCGAGCTACGATATCGTAGTCAGGCTCAACACTGCTGTGTACCCTTATTCGCATGAATGAACTTATTACGCACCGCGCCAAGGAGCTTTCGAAGAGGCGGTTTGGACATCGGTGACTAAGATCTGGCACGGGTCATCCTCATCATTGTTCAGAAGGCCGTACGTCTCTGATCTCAGCAGACATGAGACAAGCCTGCGAAGTGGAGTTTCATCGGTCGAACCCCTATTACAGCCTTCCTCTATGTTTACCGAGCACCTTCTCACCTAGGTCTTTTCACTGTTCTCCTCTTCGCTCTCTTCGAAGTCGATGTGGTGCATATCGGTTCAAAAAACGCTCGACGAAATGGCGACATGCAGTCACCTCCCCGGAAGGCTTCGCCTTGTACGTGAAACTTCACATACCGCCCGGACACCAGGAGACGAATGAGGCGACGTCATGCGCACAAGCCAGGTTGATGCAGCTAAAAAGAAGTCAACAAAGCAGCTGAATGATATAGATATATATGATCGCAAAAGCAGACGTCAACAATAAGAAAGAAACTGGCTTCGCGAGGCCCACCCTCGCTGCTCATCGCGATCGCGTCCCATCGGTCATCTCCCCGGAAACCCTGTCAGGAGCGACGAAATCCTCTCTTCCCGTTTAGATGTACTGACTCATCCATCTATGATCCACGTCGCCAAAATGATGAGCCTACGTGTGCCAACTCGAGAAATAGGACACGCCTGACGTACCGGATACCTTCCCCGTATCCTTGCCTCATGACGACACTGCACATGAACAACTCGATAGGTCGGATTCCCTCGAGAGGTACCTTGCCCTGAGCATATCCCCCGACCATACTCTTCATTAGCCTACCGAAACGGACAGGGACGAGAGGGGTGATGAATGATACGTACCTTTCCGGTAGTCTGGTAAAGACCCAACTCGTGCCTCAGCTCCTCCTCGCTAACCGCACCTGGTGCATCGATCTTGTTGCCAAGAACGAGGAAAGGTACCTGGTTCAACGATTCGATTGACACTGTTTCATCACGAAAGCCAGAGCGACGGCGTCAGATGCCGTGTTGAGCAAGAGCAGAAGGCGACCTGGCTGGACTGACGAAGCGCATCCAACTCGGCCTTGCTTTCGGCGAAACGCTCGGTATCAGCCGAATCGACGAGGAAGACGATCCCATCGACCTCGGGGAAGTAATCTCGCCAGAGACGACGAGCTGAGCAGCCATGAATCGAAAAACATGCCCCAATCAGCGAGGTGTTTCCTAGAAATCCGATAGAGCATATGAGGGCTGACCTTGCTGATGTCCACCCAAATCGTAGGTCGTAAACTTGACATTCCCGATGGCCAACTCTTCCGAAGCTACCCAGCATCAAAACCCATATATCAACAACCCCGTCCCTTTCCGTATCCCTCGCTAGCGGTAGACTCACTAGGATGAAGAGTGGGTTGGAGGGTTGCTAATCGGTCGTTCTTCAGCATGTGTAGGAGGGTCTATTTTGAGGAAGAGCAGGAGAGGAGTTAGCGGGTTGCAGTTGAAGCGACAGGCAAATCAGAGGCGGTAGCTTACGGTCTTTCCGGCATTGTCGAGACCAAGGAAGAGGAGCTTGGCGCCTATTCAATCGGGAGATCACTAAGATTAGTGCCTTTGAACACAAATCCGAAATGACTGCTGCTGTTCTCACTCTTGTTTGCGAGACCTGTAATACATGATCAGACGTAATAACGTTCGCAGCGATTCAAACGTCAGCCGACCGTTCTGCTTCTCGGATTTTGCTTCTTGAGCTCTTGATACAAGAGGCCAAGCTCGTAGAGCGTTAACAGTCGATACTCACCCAACGAGGCCAATACGTCCCAGAGCCAGTTCTGAAAGTTGATATGAGTACAAAACACGTATTACATTCCGTCAGCTCGTCATCCATGAACGCCCTCGATATCGCTCCGATGTTGTTTCTGGCGCAACCGACTCACGATGATGAACATTTCGTTTTCGTTAGAGGTTCGTGAAACAGAGATACACCGATCAGGCAGGAGTGACAGAGAAGCGTGTCGTCGATGTGATGTTCGCCATCGTCCTTGACATCATACATCATCATCGACCACGTCTCGCCCAGGTGATGGTTGCTCCCCCCTTTGATGGGAGGGGAGAGTTGCACCGCGGATACGACTTGCTCGCGCTTGCCCCCCGCTAAACCTAGCCTTTTGATCTTTGAGGACCTTCAGTAGTAGGGGCTGATTTCTTTCGAGTTGGCGATGGTATTCTTGACGATCTCATATCTCCATACCCTCTTGGCTACTCTGCATATACACCTGGATCGACTGCCTAGAAAGCGTCGCACGAAAAAAGGACTAGTCATCAAAAAGCTCTTGGAGAAAGCCACCGGAAAGCATCAATCTAAACTTGCATTTGAAGCAATTGAAAAAGGAGACGAACAGCTACCATTATGTCTGCCCCTCAACCCGTGAGCAGTGTTATCTTTTCGCTTGGAACAGGCAGTAAGATTCTGAAATCCCCGTGGATATTGATGATATGATGTAGGATATGGCCGAGCAAAACATCCAGGTGAGCATAGAGTTCTCGCTTCGGCTCGTTTTATTTTAAGTCTGCCTCTGACCCGCCTCACCTCGCCTCCTCTCCCTTGTCAACAGCTGTGGAAGACCCGAAAGCTCATCAAGCAGCTGGACTCGGCTCGTGGTGCTGGAACGAGTATGATCAGTTTGATTATCCCTCCCAAGGCGAGTACCTTCCAAGCTCGAGTTGGTTAACCGTTGTGCTAAATCTAAACCTCCCCTTTCTCCGAAATGATCTTTTCTGCGGCATCGAAACGTGAAAACAAATCACTTGTCGACCACAGTCCCAAATCTCTCAATTCGCCAACATGTTGACGCAGGAATACGGAACTGCCTCGAACATCAAGTCCCGAGTGAACCGTCTCTCCGTCCTCGCCGCCATCACCTCGACGCAACAGCGTCTCAAGCTCTACAACCGAGTGCCGCCTAACGGGTTGGTACTCTTCGTAGGAACAATCTTGACGGACGAGGGAAAAGAGAAGAAGGTGTCGTTCGATTTCGAGCCTCATAAGCCTATCAACACGTGAGTCGCCGCAGGTCTGGCAGGAAGGATCAGAGCGGCATCGGTGTCGGGATACTGATGAGAGACGGTATTGCGGCGATGCAGCTCGTTGTATTTGTGTGACAACAAGTTCCACACCGAGGCCCTGGCCGAGCTCTTGGAGAGTGACTCCAAGTTCGGTTTCATCGTCATGGATGGTAACGGTACTGTGAGTTTACAAGCCGACCTACCTCCAGCATTAGCATTCCACTGACCAACGACATTTTTCGCCCCAACCTCGCAGCTCTTTGGTACCCTCGCTGGAAACACCCGTGAAGTAATTCACAAATTCACCGTCGACCTCCCCAAGAAGCACGGTCGAGGAGGACAGTCTGCGCTGCGTTTCTCCCGTCTGCGTGACGAAAAGCGACACAACTATGTCCGTAAAGTCGCCGAGTTGGCCGTCCAGCATTTCATCACCGCCGACAAGGTCAACGTGACCGGGTTGGTCTTGGCCGGTAGTGCCGATTTCAAGAGCGATCTGGCGGGTAGTGATCTGTTGGACGGACGGTTGGGAGCCAAGGTCATCAAGATTGTCGACGTCTCGTACGGTTCCGAGAACGGTTTCAACCAGGGTGAGTCGCAAGAGTCCGAGTTGACAAGCAATGTTCGGAAAGTGCTGATCCTCAATTTGTTTCCCCTCATTGCACCAGCCATCGAGCTCTCGGCCGAGTCCCTGGCAAACGTCAAGTTTGTGCAGGAGAAGAAGCTCATCCAAAAGTACTTCGACGAGATCGCCCAGGACACTGGCAAATACTGTTACGGTATCGACGACACCCTCAAGGCTCTCGAGCTCGGTGCCGTAGAGACCCTGATCGTTTTCGAAGGTCTGGACACGCTGAGATACGTCCTCCGAAGTGCTGCTGGGGAGGAACACGTTATCCACTCGACCCCGGCCAACAAGGAAAGGGACATGGAAAAGTTCATGGACAAGGCGACCGGGCTCGAGATGGAACAGGTTCAAGAGCCCGAGAGCTTGTTGGAGTGGTTCACGGAAAACTACAAGACGTGGGGTTGTGCGCTCGAGTTTGTGACGGACAAGAGTCAGGAGGGGAACCAGTACGTCAAGGGATTCTCGGGTATAGGCGGTATCCTTCGGTAAGTGCCAGGTCGGGTTCGGTTTGCAGGTTACTGGGACATTGTTCTGACGTACACAGTTCTGGCCTGCAGATACAAGGTCGACTTTAGCGAGATGACCTCGATAGACGATGACGAGGACGAGTTCTACGGTTCTGATGATGACAGTGGTGAGTCTCGCATATCATGGGCTTCGGTGCCTAATGACCTCGCTGACCCCTAACCTTTGCCAAATCCATCAGACATGTAAACGGCTGCTCTTTTCTTCTCGTCATCGAGCCTTTTCGTCGATGAACGGACGAATCAAGCTTTACACCTCCGAGCCACGGTATTCCGACCTTTCGCAACATTCCCACTTTGCATCGACCATCTTCTTCCTTGATCCTTGATCGACCAAGACCTCGAATCAGGCGTTTTCCCCTCCCCCCTTCCCCTCCTGCCTTCATCTTGTGGTTATCGAAAAGCGACAATCGTCTTTGCATCAATATAGAGAAGGGTTGTAGACCGTTGTATCATTCATAGTTTATAGGTCTGTGTCCGATGGCATATTTCTTTTCAATACAACACAGCTCGAACGTGTGGTGTTCTGCTTGATCAAGGCTGAACCATTTGCCCGCTGGCCACTGCATCCGAAACAGTAGAAGGAGGAAGTCTGTTAGCTGGTACAAGATCGAGGTCCCTCGTCCTAGACGCCAACTCACTCAGGACCGCCTGGCCTCTCAACAAGACCCTTCCTCTTGCTTCGTCCCATACGACGCTGATCTCGCCTCGTCGGGGACCACCTTGGGTTGCGAACAGCTCGGCGTCGCCTTTGCCGAATTTTTGCGAGTACAGTGGGGCCAGGGCGCAGTGTAGGGAGCCTTTTAGGATGATGAGAAGCAGTCAGTCGAGGAGGTCCATCTGTCTCGATCGAACCGGACACTTACCGGTCACCGGGTCTTCAGCTACTCCACAAAGAGGTCCAAGGAATCGCGAGTGGAATTCTGGCGCCTCAGTTCTGTCCGTCTGGGCGAGTACAGTAGTAAAGCTCACGCCTCGAGCAGGGATGGCAGCCTGCCAATGCAGCGATAAAAAGCATCATGTCAGTCCGAGTGTACCACAAATCAGATCCACCAGCGACTAACGAGGGGGCTCGATTCGATCGCCCAGTCTCCAAGATGATCTCCCTCCTCGACGTCAACCTCGACAATCACGTCGAACTTGCTCCTCAAGATCTGCTTGACCGCCTTGACCTTGTCCCCCATAGCAGCCTTCAAAGGGGCCATATACGCTTCATCCTCCAGAGCGCCCTTGACAACCTCGGGCACGGTAGCCGGGAAATCCAACTCGAAAGCCGGGGATCCGTCCGATCTAGGGATCTTCTTAGTGACCAGTTCTCCGGACTGGGTCTGAAACCGGTATTTCTCCACCGAGCTGTACTTGTGGTGCGAGGAGAGGACGGCGGTGGCTGCGACGGTTGCGTGTCCGCAGAGGGCGACCTCGGTACCAGGGGTGAACCAGCGCAGGCCGAATACGTCAGATTCTTCCGTAGGTGTGATGAATGCCGTTTCCGACAAGTTCATTTCTCTGAATAGTTGGGAATACGTCAAGCATCGTCAGTAAGAGCTTGCGGTCAGCGCATTGTTGGAATTGTGACTCACTTGGCAATGTTGAGCATTTGAGCATCGCTGAGCTCTTTTGGCGCTTCATCTCCGTCTTGAATGACAACAGCTGTGATAGAGCATCTTCTTCAGTACAGAACAACGATAAAAGATCCTGGCTGTACCGATACTGACCAGCCGGGTTTCCGCTAAACGGCTTCGAGGTGAAAGCATCCACAATCTGATACTTGAAGAAAGACGGCATTTTGGCTCCGATTCTTCTTTTCCGGTAGATCAGACTGGGATGGGTAGAGGTGCTACTGGTACGATCTCCTCAGATCTTATATCCTGTGCCGACATTCCGTTTGTTAGCAATTTGTGACTCGAGTGTCCGAGGCAGCGAGAGCAAGTCGTGCAAGTCACACCTCCCCCCGACTGATCGAATCGGTTCGGACGATCCGACATCGTCAACATACACTTGCCGCTGAGCCGCGTCAAAATGAATATGCGTTATTCGTCGCCGCCATTCACGCAAACCGCTCGGGGCATACGTCGCCGTTCGATAAGGTCGTTGATCATTCTCCAAACTCCTGATACGACAATGAACATTTCATCGTCCCGAAGGTCGAGACGGAATTTACAAATACAAGGGCCACGAACAGCAGTACAGTGTGCGCAATTCGATTCGGCTAATATACAATGGATTGCAGTCAACATTTCTGTGATATCGGTTTCGCCACAGGCGGAGGTTGACTGATTCCTACGGGCTCGCTTCGAGGCGGGTTCCCGTTTCACTTGGCTGGTTGGTTATCGAGCGATACAGACGACGACCTCGATGTCCCAGTTGAACGTGGGCTAGTCGAGATCGTGTCGAGGTTGCGTTAGGATAGTGTTCCTATCCGCTTTGAGTTGGTGGTGATACAGTGGAGGAAGATTGTGATTGACAAGTACGATCCGGGGGGTTGGAGGGTATCCGTGATCGCAGTGCGGGGACAATTGGGGCAGGCGTCGTCGATGCGGGCGCAGCGAAGCGATCACTTGCCCATCGACCAGCTGCTGGACGAGAGCTTTCCGGACGAGGCACCCATCGGGGCATTTCGAGCTCCCATACCGTTGGTATTGATGGGTCTCAGAGCAGCAGTAGGGGGTCGCTTGGCCGGCGAGGGGGGCACGAACGAGATTCCAGGTGCGTTAGGGCTAAGACAGCGGCGGAGATGGATGATGAGCAATAGTGACAAGGCGAAACTTGAGGCGCAAGAGCAGAGTACTCACTTGGTTCGGCACAAGCCCTGGAGACGACGGATAGAGAAGGTCTTGGTAGGAGCGTTCAACATTATGGTAGAGTTGAGGTGATTTGGTGGTGTTCGTTAAGAGTAGGTCGTAATAAAGTCGAATAGAGATACAGTAATGAAGTTGGTTGAGCCGAAGCAGTGGTTTTGGAAAGAAAACATATCACAAGATCGCGATTCTTGATCGAATTGGAGGTCAAGGGCGTCCCTCTTATATACTCGTCACAATAGGCCCTATCCGGGATAAGAGACCGGCGGGAGATACCAAGACGTCGGGGGTCATCATCGGTCCCCCACAAAATGAAACCCTTGCGCCATCGTGAATCGCGTGCAACTCGGTTGGCAGCCGATCACGGAGGCGTTCATGGTGGCGTACACGTCACCCCCCTTTCGCTTCCTATGGCCGGCGGCACGCTGCCCCCGCGTCTCGTGTGGATGTTTTGGGTGTGCGAGCGAGCGATACCGGCGCTCGGGCTCGCGGAAGCTGGGGCCTGCGGGGATTCACAAGGCGGGTCGAAATCGTAGGTCGTCCGACGAGCATCGACGATCAAGATCGGAGCCGGATCGAGCCTGCAAGATATGTCACTTGATCAACAAAATTCAAAAGAAGGGAACAAAATAACCATCATGCAGGGTCTCGGTGCATGGGGTCAAGCAGCAAGCAGCGCGGTAAATGAGATACCTGTGACATCGAAACAGCAGGTGGAGGTTGGTGCGCGAACAGTCTACCCTCCGTTCGCGTGCCTGAGAATAGAAGGAAGCCGATGGAACCGGGAATAATCGGTTGCGGCGGACCGAGACATGATGATGTGATGGCGTTTCGCTTGTTCTACTCGGTGCGTCATTCCCGCTTCGCCACTATCGCGAAATGCTGGGGCACCTTTGCATACAGCTTCACAGATCACAGATCATACGTCGAGCAGCTCGAGCAGCAGCAGCGAATACAAAGAATGTCCTCCCTTTGCAACGTACGATGCGAGTCGCTTCAAAGTCATCTTGACCGAGCTATGAGCCGTTGCCGGCGGCCAAGAACCCCCTGGTTCTGTTTTGTACCATGTGCGATGCGGAGAAAGCCGACAGCCAAGAGTCCGAACCTTTGCATGCGACATCGAGGGTGCTCGTCACTCGTTCGGCTCCGGACCGGGCCGGGTCGAGAGGGACCTTTTGTAATTGTGTTTCATCGGATCGTCGGTCCAGGGTCGAAGATAAGGAATGGGAGCGAAACTTCCTCTTCAAGCGAACGATGGTGATTCCGCTTGGACCCACCCCTAAGCGAGGGTGTTTCACACAGTGGCAATGATCATCGCCTTGTTGTAATCTCGAGGGTACGAGCGGCTGGTCGCGTTTGACGAACAACATTCCCAAAGGACCGTTCGGTTGATAGAGCTTCTCGGTCGCAATCCTGGCCCATTAAGCTCTGGCTTCCATGTTGCCTCAGCCAGGTGGATACTTGTATAACACCAAAGGCTCAAAGGACGTCTCGAAATGCGAAGAGCTGGAACGGTTCACGCCAAGGCTCTCTATGAGAGTGATCTTCGAAGTGTTAATTTCGGTTCCCAGGCGTGGGTGATATCGGGAAGCGAACGATCGAGAAAGGAAATTTTGTATATAGCAGAAGAAGAAAGGATTCCGCTTTCACTAAGCTGGCCATCGCTGCCATGCATCGAATGCTCTAACCCGTTGGAAAAGCAACTCGAAAAGAGCACAGTCGACCTAGCGAGTTGTCAGCTTGTCAGCCTTCATTCGATATGCCCAACAAGGTCGCCCCATCAGGCCGTCGACGCATCGTCATCCTCTCGATCACTGCCTTCGTATTCACTATCCTGATCGCAAGCCTTGCCGGCCATGGACGACTTGTTCACAGTCATTCGCCATTCCCAAAGCCTTTCTATCAAAATCTCTACCCATTGGGGTGGGCGAAGACAGTCGACGAGGCCAGGACGGACCGAATTGCCATCGTCATGATTGATACCAGGTCACCGTCGATGCCACAGGATTCGAAGGAAGAAATGTCATTCTGGACCATCTCGATCTTGTAAGCGATCTCATGTCGTAGCGCTTCGCCGTGAATTGGGGTCAATTCTCATACTTCGGTGTGTGTACAGACATAACTATCTCTACGCCAAAACCCTTGGTGTACCCTTCATTTTGTACAATCTGGACCCTCTCGTAAGCCTTTCATGCTGCATCCAGCCTAGGCTAGGTAGTTGACAACAGCCTTGCAGATGGAAGAAGACGGCGTGACAACTCAGCTGGACGATACTGAAGGCGAGGTGCGATTACCAGCTTATTGCGAGCATCCGCAATACGGGTTCCGCATGGTGGCTTTCTGCAAACTGCTCGTCGTCTGGAATGTTTGGCGGCAGAATCCGCAGATCGAGAATCTGGTTGTCATAGGTGGGACTGAAGACTCGATAACACCTTGTTCGTGATCCGCTGACTCCAGGCCGCTTACCAGACTCGGACGCCGTCTTCAAATCCCCTCATAATCACGTCCAATCTCATCTAGACTACCTGTCGCGACGCTGTCCGGTCGGATTTCTCAGGGATCTTCCTTATGACGAAGAAGGTCCATGCGCAGGCTATTGGTTTGCGAGCCGGGGAGTCGCCGCTTTACCTCATTCAGGAGATAGCTTAGGCAACGAGACTGGGGTCGAGTTCTTGGAAGATTGGTGGAATATGAATTGGGCCGAGACGGACTACAGATATGATCGGGAGCAAGGCTTGTTGAAGAAGATGGTGCGGGATCGTCAGGGTGAGTTTCGGTGCGCACGTCAGGCTGTACTGGTCTTCGAAGAGCTGAATGGGTCGCTCTTACAGGCTCTGATCAAGTCAACGCAGTTGGTGAGCAGGGTCATGGCCGACAAGGTCCAGAATCCCAATCGCTGACACCGATATATATGTGTCATATATCACATAAACTATCGAACTCGAATAGTACTGAGCGACGAATGGCAATTCGAAGACCGCTCCCCCAGCCAGATGGTCGTTCACGTCAACCACCTCCAAGAAGGCCAGCAATCCCACCTGCTGGCAAAGTACTTTTCTTGGCCCGACTACAATCTGACCGATCGGCGCGGACTGCAGGACTTGTTGGACGAGATCGAAGTCGGGAAGGTCGACCTGGGACCGGTAGCGGAAGCCGTAGAAGAGGCGTCGCAGAGGCGAAAGGCGTCCTCATGGTGAAGTGAAGTGAGAACAGTAGTAATGGCATGGACCGCCAGAGTGGAAGTTGGCGACTATCACCGCGCGAGAAGGGAAAATACGATGTTGCGTTGGCTTCATAGCAGATTTACGTATTTGGGCTATACAGTTTTGGGCTATATCATTTGTATTGTTTTGTTTCGTGAATTGTTGTGCATCCAATACACTTAAGGACAACGTTCATTTTGTGTAGTCGGTTCCTGCGGGTGCGATTCCCTCGCAATCGCTAGCATTGTAACTCGGGCAGACTGCCTGATCACATGTTCCACGGCGGGTCAGCATACTCCAGAGATACCGACTCTAGCGCGAGCACGACTCACAGTGTAGACGTATTGCTTCCCGGTCCAGATAGCCTCGCTCAAAGGCGCATCCACGACGAAAGGCTCGCTAGTCCCATATCTCTCCTCGAAAGGTACAAACAACCTCATCAAGTCCGCCACCATCCTTCCGAACAGATGTTGTCCGCCCACATTCAAGTGTGTTCGGTCGGCAGGGAGTCGATTGAGGAGTTGAGAAGGGGCTTGACCGATGCTTTCCAGGTAATGGATAGAGGCCTCAAGGAGCGGGAGGAGCGGGTCGTTGTTCGCCGTAGCGACACCTCGAGCAGCTAAATGTGATTTGTCAAGGTGATCAGCGTATGCGCATCACGTTGTGCGGATCGATCCGGTGCCAATTGAAGGCTTACCATCGCCCCAAGCAGCCAACTGATCCGCGATCGTGCCATTCTCGTTGAACGACCTCCGACTAAGCGGCGTCAACAAGATCGGGTTTGCGCCCAGACCTTGAATATCTTCCACGAATCGCGTCAGATTCTGCGCCGTCGATTCGGGAGGTCCGACTTTCTGGTCGTCTACGAAATCGAAGCGCTCAGTTATCGTATGGATCTTAGGAGACCATTCGTCCCAGACTCACTGTGTCCGAACTGAAGAGTCACGAAGACCGCTTTGCCCATCCCGACCTGTTCCTTGACCCTACCTAGAGCATCCCCGTAGACTCCTCTGTCTACGATCGTCCCAGTTGTCGCTCCGTTCGACCCAAAGTTGGAACAAGATACTCCCGGTCGGAGCGAGGCGCAGAAGCCGTCACCCCATCCGCCCGAGTTGGGAGTGACGGTGTTGTTCGCGGTGGTACTGTCCCCAATGAGGACAAAGGCGGGTTCGAGTGCGGTTTGTTTCTTGACCGGTTTGGCTGAAACCGTTATGGAATTGCCGAGCAGTGCAGAGGCGAGGATGGAGAATGTGAGTTTCATCGTTGAGAGTCAGATCTTGACAAGGTCGCGCGAGCTTTGGGACATACAACAACACCACGATTGGGACGCATACTGTTATGAGCACCACGTCGACTATAAGTAGTCTCCCAGCCAGGGTTCCGGTGCCACATTCGACCGGATCGCCGGGCGAGATGTCGCAAGCTCGCAGGTTGAATTGGATCGTCGAATCGACATGAACCTCCGGCAATCGATTAGCGCCGGGGTCGTACAAGGATACCGGCCCGGGCAGATGAGATTTCGATCAGAGATCACCTGATCTGGATGTTATGAGGACCTGTTGATCTGCCTGATGCCTCTCATACCTTGAAGCGGGCGAGTGGGTTGCGTCGACATGTAGCAGGTTGCTGGGCGCCCAGCATCAACATGCAACTTGAAGCTTGGAGAGCACTTGGCTACGTCTATGGCAAAGAATGGCTTGAGACTCTGAAACGCCTCGAGCCCGGAGACTCGCGGCCCAGGTGTCTTGAAGTAATTTCAAATTATCGCCGAATGCGCTTGAGCTGATCGTGCGCTTCGACTTGACACCCCGCTTGATGCGCGCGACGTCGACCTTTGGTAAGGTGCACTCAGAGGATTCTGCTTCCGCACGATGCTCGCGCTCTCGTTGCAGCTTCTCACTCTCGCTCTCAGCGGCAGCCAGGGAGGAGCGAGGGGAGGCCGTGGCCGGGTGGTGGGTTGCTGCTAGCGATACCGACGAGATCAACCAGGATATCGACGATTCAACCCTGATCTTCCTGCCCGCCCACGTAGTCGTGTTCTTCCCCTCTTCACCCATCCTCAAAAGACCGGCAACATCGACCTTTCAAGATGTCCAGTACGTATAGATTTATCTGCTACGAAGAGGAACTTTTGGCGGGAGAGAGACTATGAACCGGGATGGAACAAGGACGAGGAAGGATTGAGATAAGGGTCTGGAACGGGCGGGTTAAGTTGAAACGGGCACCTCGTCGTTATCTTGGACGAGAAGGATACGAGGGGATAACGGTCGAGGACGGGATAAGGGATCGTATGGCATGGAGGAGGACCAGAAGAGCAACACGGCAACGATTAGCAAGTAGTGTCAGGTTACAAGGGGAGAGTCGATACAGCCAACGGAACCCTTGCAAGACCTGTGCTTCTTTCAAGCCGGAGGATTAGTTGAGACGACAACATCGCTCAACCAGATGCTTGGAAACAACCATAACAATCGAGATAGCATAGGACTGAAATCGACAATCGATCAAATTTCACCTTCAGCAAATCTATACTTCGGACCAGTTACTGACCGTTCACTTGAACGTCGTGACGACCACCAATAATCTCTGCCTCTATGCCATGCGATCGCCCAACCCATATCTTCTCGTTGCCCGTTGCAACAACCTCGTCTGGCCAGCCCAAATCCGATCTTTCTCATCATCATTTCATCTCCGGTCCATCCCTCTCTCGCCATCCCTCCGGAATACCTTCGCAGTCCACCAACAGAAAGACTGACCCATCCTGCTTTCTTTCGAAACAGCCATCGCTCACGACCGACGCAAGAGCCGAAAGGCCCACTTCTCCGCTCCTTCCTCGGTCAAGAGGAAGATCATGAGCTCCGGGTTGAACAAGGAGTTGAGGGAAAAGCACTCTGTGAGTGTCGATCGTGTGCGATTCTAGGAAGGTCTGGTCAGGGTCGGTCAGAGAGGAGTAGTGTTGGGACGGAGTGATGTGGGGGATCGACCCGGATCTTGACCTGAATCGAATCGTCCTGGCTAGCGAGAGGACTACAACTGACTTGTTCCTTCGCGACGTCTCTACTGCAGGTCCGATCCATGCCCATCCGAAAGGACGACGAGGTCTTGATCGTCCGAGGCAAGAACAAGGGCAAGGAGGGCAAGGTCGTCCAGGTGAGCTAACACCCTGGGAAGATCGAATCAAACCGTAGCCGGCGCTAAGAATTGCCTTCATTGATTTCTCTCAGGTCTACCGAAAGAAGTGGGTCATCCACGTTGAGCGAGTCACCACCGACAAGTCCAACGGTGCCACCGTCCAGATCGGTATCCACCCTTCCAACGTCGTCATCACCAACTTGAAGCTCGACGCCGACAGGAAGGCCATCTTGGAGAGGAAGGCCGCTGGCAAGAAGGCCAACGCCGGAGGAGACGTCGAGATGAGCTCGTAAATGTCGTATACCTTTATTGTCACCACGCATGATGAGAGGGATATCGGATTTACATGACGACGCCGTGGATTTGAGATGAGACTTGTCTCAGGGAGACGTCCCGTAGGTCGGAGGGACAGGATGTGCATGTCTCTCACATGCTGGTCAGATGGGAACGGTGATCGGCCCTGATGTTCTGGCTAGGCCTACGAGCGTCGACTGGCTCGTTCCTTCTTCTGTATAACGATAGGTCGAAGCATCTTTGCAAAACAAGACGATCTATACGTTACTCCCAACATCGATGTCGTGGCCGTCAAGTTCAACTACGTGTCCCAAGGTCTGCTATTGTGATGGACCGACATGAGCCATCTTGTGGGAAAGTCCGCACAATACCGCCGGTTGTCATCGCCTCGTCGAGAAGCAGCACAGCTCCCCGACAACGCTCCGCAAGATATTACATCGAGGCCTGAATAGTCTTCGAACGATACAATCACTCTAACCGCCTCTTCGCATCGTCCACCTGGCCCGCCTCTTCCGTGCACTTTTCGCACCCACAAACAAACTTCCAAGCCTTTTCCAACATCTCCCGTCTCTTCTCGACTCCCACCTCTTCTTCCTCTCCACCGAGGTAGGTGATACACAACTCTTCGCCCTCTTTCACTTCCCTGCTCGTCGAGAACGTCCATTTCCGACCTTTGCGGGATTTGGTAATGTTGGGTCGACAGGAATGGTTCCAGTACGAAGCGGAGGGCCAGGTACCGTACCCGAACATTTCCGAGGCGTCGTCGTCCAGCGATCGGATGCCAAACGAGTTGTGGGCGTCCCTGTTAAGGGCCGTGTTGAGGATCTCTCTTGTACAATGCGGCAAGAGCGAGAGAGGGAGGAGAGCGAGGAGGTGTAGGTAGGAAGCCGTGTGTGCATTGAGCTGGTCGAGGGTGTTGTAAGGTTGAGGAGAGGCGTAGAGCTCTTCAACGCTGGACCAGGTGGAAGGGTGATTCTTCGAGGCGAGAATACCGGAGATGGCGTGATTGATGGTCATGCTATCGAGTTTCGTCTCGAGTGCGAGTACGATGGCCTTGCGTTGAGGTTTGGATGGGCGTGGAAGTGTTCTTGCGTCGACGATGAGCTCGGCTTGAGTTTCCGCCTTGATCCAAGCTTGTTCTACTTCTTCGAGAGACGGTTCTCGAGGTACGTCGACAGTGGTAGAGGAACCGCTGGCGACCGGTTCCTCTTTGTCTGCAGGATCCTTGTTGACCGACTTGGCCTGCTTTCTCGCCAGCTCCTCTACTACCGCATATGCTTCCACCCCTTCCTGCCCATGCTCCCGCATCCACTCTTCCTTGCATTCCTCAGAGCACCAAACCAGAGCCGCCCTGTTCTCCCTGACAGGCAATATGTCTCCCTGTTCATAGGCGAAACACCAGTTGCAGACTTCCCTCCGGTATTCCCGGAAGACGATCCCGTACGCCAGGTCGGGGCAGGTGAGGAGGTGAGCGCCGGTAGGAATGAGTTGGGTAGCAAAGACACCTCGACCAGAGGTGGCAGTCTCACGGACAGTGAAGAGGGACGAGGACGGCCATGGCATCGCTAAGGGTGGATATCTGAACGGCCCGGCGGTAGAATAGGGGTCAGTTGATGGCTGTGCTTTGCTTCTCAGGACAGGTGGATGAGCTCGGTGGTAGGACAGCATATTATTCATTTATTGACTTTGTCGACTAGACTTTCAATCAAGCAAGTGGGGCGGGGGAAACAAATGACGCGGACATGTGAAACAGTTTCACTCCACGCGATCGGCAAAGACCCCCATCAAAACAATGTCCGCGTGATGGCGATTCATCCATGCCATCATCACACTGATCATGCTGATCAACAGACGCTGTCTGGCAATTTTGGCGGTCTCTACCACGGCAAGCAGGCGCACATGCAAGGCGCGTTGACGATGATGATGACAGTCGCGTATACCTCAAAGCGAAACGCTGGAACCCGCGAGCGATGCTCAGGTGCCAGCCGAGCAAGATCTGAAGCAGAAAGGAAAGGCACGAGGGTATAGTCATTGATAGCCACCCGACTGGACAATTCTATAGTATATCCCACGGACTTCAGCAGGGCAGTACATGATAATCCTCCCCGATGGCTGTGCGTGCAAAGCTTGTCGTCGTTCACAACCCCTGACCGGCCGTCATTGCCATCTGGACGTCCGCCATATCAAAGTCAAAATTGAAGTCGAAAGGGTAGCCGAAATATGTATCGGCCGCAAAGTCTCGCAAGAGATCAGGCCCAGCTGCATCCGTCGGCCAGTTTCCTGCCTGCAGGAGATTGCCGATCTGTTGCTGCAAAGTCTCTTGATGACCTTGTTGTGCGTGTTGCTGCGAAACCTCTTCGCCTTCCGGTTCGTCTAGATGTCGCACGGACGACACGACTCTGATGATCTCGACAAGCCTGGCTGCCGCTGGACAAGCCGCCCTCATCAGATGAGAGACTTGTCCCAGCTGTTGCATGGACGCGAAGATGGGATGTATGGGTACCCAGGATGCTTTGATCCCACCGACCCGTGCCACCACCATGACGCATGGTAACGTCAACAGGATGTACCTGGCGGGCAGTCTGGCAAAGTCCGTCTGATCTTGTAAAATCCGGTCAATCGCTTTCGGGACTTGGCTTAGGAAAAAGCTGCCAGTTCGTGCCATCCATTGCCCTCCTTGAACCAAGAGTGGCGAAGGTAGCCTCATGTGCAATTCGAGGTTTGACTTCAGCAGTACCATGCATTCCAGTAGATGTGAGGCGAGCACCAACGCCGAGCTCGACGGCACTGGAGTATGCTCTCTATCAGTCAATCTGCTGATGGACCCATTGTCGTCCTCCACTCACTCTTGGCGGCAGACACGTCCCGCCTCCACCTCTCCAGACCTTCGACCGCGGCCTCCAGCCCAAGAAAGAGCCTTTCGTGGGTAAAAGGGTCGTATACTCGGCAGGTCCTCGATTTTCGGAGCTCTAGGGCTATCGGTCCGACCAGGTCGAACATCTGCGCCTCGAAGGTCAAGTGCACCAACATTCGATCACCCATGAAAACGGCCGTCATGGGCGAGATGAATGAGAGCAACGAGTCGTGCTCGGAACGTTTGGGAAGGATGGTCGGGCTCGCGTAGATTGTGCTCCACAAGTGTCGGTGATACACCGCAAACCACTAAAGTGCAAACCATCCGCTACCATCAGCTGATTCCAACAAGGACACAAGTCTAGCTCTTGCGCTTAACCTATGAGGTTCGACTCACTAGACAGACCCTCGAGATCATAGGTCGATTCCACTCCTCGCCCAGATAATCGACCGGCTCCTGCTGAGATCTCTCCACGCTCTCTTCGAGCCCTATTGCTATTGCCATCCTGTGCGCAGCAGCACCTGCTCCGAACGGATCTTCCACTCGTAAAAACCTCTCGTTCTCCCGGGTTGCCGTCTGAGACAAGACGACCAGGGCCAAGATGGCGTCTTCGTCCGGTTCTACCATACTGGTCATCCCGACGTTATATTCCACTAGACGTTCGAGCTCCTTTACGCCGCTCGAGTCGAGGTCGGTCGTTCCCGGTGGAGAGGCTCGCCAAGTGAAGTAGAGCAAGGCACATCGGAGCAGAGGATGCGTAGGCAGTGGAGATGAAGGATCGAGGAAGGTCTCGAACGGATAGATTGTGATGAAGATCGGTTTGAATCTATGTGGTGATGATAAGCTTACTCGTCAGCCAGTCTTCTAATCGCTGCTCAAGTCAAGGGAAAACTCACATCCCCCAAATCCGTTCGAACTCTCTATGCTCGATGATCCCCTTTTCCACCACATCCAGATATCCATGCGTCTGACCGCTCACGAGACATCCAAGTATACTAGTCCACCCGCCCTTGACGTGTCCGTTCCTCGCTTCGAATGATTCCAGGTCGAGCCTAACCGCCTCTTCCCCACGTTCGACCTCGAGATGAGGATCGCTCAAAGCCGGAATAGACTGAGGAGAAGGGATTGTTGCCGGAGGGGAGGTTTTCGAAGACGAGACGAGAGAAGACAGCATGGATTCCATGCGGGACATGCGGTTTGTGATCTCGACGAGTGGGTCATCAGCGGAGGATGGGCCAGTTGAGACTGATGATCGATGTTGGAAGCCTGGCAAGGGTGGTGCGATATGGCTAGGAGGTACAAGAGTTGATGAAGGCCCAGCGTGTTTGTTCGAATCATACGAATTGTATGCGTCCGGATGCCTGGTGAAGCCATTGTTCCATCCTAGGTCCTGTGCATATGTCCCGGCGTGTACTCGACTGGTCCCCGCTACCAATCCTGGTACAGCTCCTCCCGATGGCCCCGCCGCATGTCCTTGAGCGACCCCACTGATCTTCTCCAAAACCTCTCTTTCTTCACTCTCGCTCACCGTCAACTCGCAGGCTACCTTGAGCTGTCTGCAGCGATGACAGCCTGCCCGCGTGACAAAGTCACACCGACTCTTCCTTTTTTGACATGGCAGGCAAGCCGTCGTAGTCCGGCTCTTCTTGTTCCTAGAGGATGGTGCTGGTGAAGACGGCGACCTAGTGCGACTCTGGCTGGCACTAGAAGACTGTTTCGACTCGACGCCGGTAGTGCTCATCTTGCTGATGTCTTGATGCGTCTGATCGATGATCCTTGTTGGTTCTATCCAGTCCGCGATGGAGTATCGCTATGCTTGACCGACCCGGTTGCGGCTACTTTGATGGATCGCCGGCTAGATAGCTAAATGGTGCTACGAATATCTGTCAGAAGATCGTTGAAGATCATAAGCCATCCTCCAACCAGGAGCATCCTTGATCGCTGTGCGCAGCAGCAGCATGCAGCTTGCAGTTTGCTCCCCGTCGGAAGCGAAAACGACCTCGGTCATCGTTCGACCGACATCTCCTCTGGACTCCTTGGGCACGATGTCCTGAATCATCCCTCCAACTCTCATGAATGTAACCTCTAGGATTACGATCCAGACCAGATATGTAGAAGCCATCGGCATGTCGGATCACGCCTAGACCCCTTACCATCCCGGTCGGCGAGATCACGGCTTGGCCATCGCGCGATTCTCTAGAGTTTGAGCTGGACGGCAACTCCTGCATGAATATTTCAGAATGCCATCTCGTAAAGTCAAGATAGCTTCAAAAAATGGAAGTGCTTCCTTGGAGGTTCTGTTCCAGTGGTGTCACAAAGTCCTCGTTAAGGCGCAAGCCAAGTAATCAATGAAGATCGATAAGCGCTCAGTCCCGCCTGGTACAGATATACGTACCCAGGTACCGAGTGTCCCTACGCTGAATACCACACGGCTATCTCCTCATACAAGGACGAGACTGTAGGATATTGTTAAAAGTCACCGTTCCCACCTATCGCGACGTGTTTGGGAGCATGGCTCTCGACTATGAGAGATGCCTCGTCCGGTGCTCATAATAATAGTCCCTTATAACGTATAGCCTGAATAGGTTGTACAGATCTGCGTGTCGTATCACGTCTTAACCGATCATGTCCCTCTTCCTTCCTCTAAGCCGCACTGCGTTTGCCACACACGAGCGATCCATCATCGATTAGCAAGAAGTACAAGGAAAGGACAGAGAGTGCTTTGTACTGACCTTCGTCTAATCGACCACCCACGAGCGCCCATTTCTTCTCTCCCAATCCTTTCGCATAAGCGTCGAGTACCTGCACCAGAATCAAATCGAGTCCAGTCAGGCGAATAAGCCTCCCACCATCAAACCGAATCGGCCGATTCCGCACTTGCAGCCCGAACGCAGACTCACCCCCTGATACCACCTCTCGCTCGTCGGGTGCGTACTAGCAAACGCCCTCTCCAGCACATACAGATCCACGGCCAAGTTTTCCGGTACGTTCGAATGCGAGCTCAAGCCGAAGTCGATGAGGACGATCTCGTACCCCTCGGATTTGGTCGGGGCGGGCCGGAGCATCATGTTGGATGTCGTCAGGTCGCCGTGAATGATCTGGGCTAGGTGGAGAGTGGAAAGGGTCTTGCCGATTGAGGTCATGAGTTGCTCTAAGCGTGGATCAAGATGAGAGAGCGCAATTCAGCTGATGGAGTCGTAAAGAAAGATGCTAAGAAGGCAGATACGTACCGATAGTTATTCCCAAACTTTCCAACGCCCCCTCAGCCTCCTTCCTCCTCCTCGCCTTCTCCTCATCTACCTCGCCCTCATCTTCCAACTCCGGATCCGCTTCTTCCCCCTCGGCACCCCCACCCAAGACCTCTCTCACACTCCATCCGTCTATCCATTCCATCCCCACCATCCCCGCTTCCACATCCACCATCCTCAACAGGGGGACGGTAATCCCGGCTTTCAGACATCGGAGGAGCGAACGGGATTCTGATTGAATGCGTTGGCGGGTGAGGAGGGAGTCTAAGTGCGGATGACGGTAGGTCTTGGGGAAACGGTGTTTTAGGAGAAGAGGGGTCGGCGATGATGTCGAGGTGGAGGAGGATGCTTGAGGGATTTCTTCAGCGAGTTTCTTGAGCTTGGATGGCCAGCGGATAGAAGGTTTGGGGAAGTAGACGGGGAGCTTATATACTCGCTGCACACCATAAGGAAGGATATTATGAGCTTGGGCATTTTCGAAAGCGCTTGAATAATGACTCACGGCCTCGGCTCCTTGCTTGATGAGTTCCGCCCGCTCGATAAGCTGTAATGTGGGGGAAGTTTGAGACATTTTGTTGATGTTCTGACGAGAGTTCCGCACTATGTAGAAGAGCTAGAAGCTGAAGAGGCATTCGGATCGTCTGGGAGAACAGAAGCAATACATGCAATACATGATCTATCATCATCGAAGTCGCTATCGAGGTCGCTCGCTCGAGAAGTCACGTGACAGGTTGAATACTTCCGAAGGGGGCTTTTCCAGTTACATCCGGCAGCCATCGGAGCGCTGCTAATCAGGTTCGAAACGATGAGATCTGCAAGTCCATACCTCTGTAAGGTGAGTAACGGTGTTGACTTGATTCTGACATGATCATATCGCTCATCTGGCATGGGGAAGACATGCAGCGCGGACATCGGTAGCCACGATCGAGTTGTTTCCCATGTCCGCCCCATACTGAGCGCGTGTTCACCCGGGACTGATGATCGGATGCAAAATTGAAAAAAGGGGCATGCTGCTGCATCGTTCCAATTCCACCGATCGTAGCAAACAGATCATCAAGAGGTTGATTGAACAACTGCAACGCCCAAGCCAGATTGACCTTCTCTTTATATCTCTGTTCATTCATCCAGGATACCCTTTAATATGTTGTCTCACGCCCGTATCGCCCCCTTGGCTAGGAACGCCCTCCGAAGCGCCGAGTCTGCTCGGGGTACGTGCCACCATCTTGCGTATCATCAGATGGACCTACGACTAACTTGATCTGCACCTCATCTCCGATCCTCAGCTTTCGCCCCCGTTCAGCAGATCGCTCGATCCGCCGTCAAGCCCGCTCAGATCTCGAGCCGATCATTCTCCTCGGCAAGGAAGACCAACCGGGTCTTGGCCACCGCTGCCAACTTGGGTAGCAAGTCGTTCGTCCGTGGGTACGCTGCCGAAGCCGGTGGCAAGTTTGCCAGGACCAAGCCTCATTTCAAGTGAGTCTTCGGGTTGATCACAACAGTAGATAAAGTTCTTCGAGCTGAATGCTGGTCCTGTTGCGTAGCATCGGTACCATCGGAGTATGTCGCCACCTTGTGGTCCACATTCTCAAACTTTACACCGAATGCTGAACACCTTTCGCCCACCTTACCTTTTGTGATGAACAGCATGTCGACCACGGAAAGACCACCTTGACCGCCGCTATCGTCAGTTTCAGCTTTCCCTTTATGTCCCACTTTCCAAGACACTGACGATCGCTGTTGCCTACGTTTGCTGCTTCGAACAGACCAAGGTTCTCGCCGAATCTCAGGGTGGAAAGTTCATGGACTACTCTCAGATCGGTACGTCCTTGTCTTCCTTGCCACCGAATCATGAAGCTCGACGCTGATGAGACGCGCACACACTGACCACGGCGTACAGACAAGGCTCCCGAGGAGAAGGCTCGAGGTATCACCATCTCTACCGCCGTAAGTCCACGTTCCCCTGCCTGCCATACAAGCCTGTGCATAAGAGACTGATAAGAGACAATCCACTCGGGGATTATAGCACTTGGAGTACCAGACCGCCGCCAGGCATTACGCTCATATCGACTGCCCCGGTCACTCGGATTGTGAGTGGAAATCAAGGGCTTCTGCGTGGTATGTGAGGGAGACGATGCTGATTCGCCAATTTCTGATCAATCTGATTCTCAGACATCAAGGTCAGTCTGCGAGCGCAAAGAGCTCGTTCTTGTATAGAATCGCTAATACCCGATGATTTTGGACCGCTTCCAGAACATGATTACCGGTGCCGCCCAATTGGACGGAGCCATCATCGTCGTCTCTGCCACGGACGGTCAGATGCCCCAAACCAAGGAGCACTTGCTCCTCGCTAAGCAAGTCGGAATCAACAAGCTCTTGGTCTTCATCAACAAGGTCGACCAGGTCGATGACCCCGAGATGTTGGAGCTCGTCGAGATGGAGATGAGGGACTTGTTGGGAGAGTACGGGTTCGACGGAGAGAACACGCCGGTCATTATGGGTACTGCTTTGGCTGCGCTCGAGGGCAAGGACCCGGAGAGGGGTTCGAAGAAGGTCTTGGAGTTGATGGAGGCTGCCGACACTTGGCTCGATCTCCCCAAGCGTGAGTGGCAGATTTGACATCCTAGACTGACACTTTTTCACTGTCCTGACCTGGATTTTCTTTGCTTACAATCCGCAGGTGACCTCGACAAGCCGTTCTTGATGTACGTCGAGGACGTCTTTTCGATCTCTGGAAGAGGAACCGTCGCTACCGGCAAGGTTGAGCGAGGTACCATTACCAAGGGATCCGAAGTCGAGATTCTGGGTATGGGCAGTTCGTTGAAGACCACCTTGACCGGAATCGAAATGTTCCACAAGGAGCTCGATCGGGGTGAGGCTGGTGACAACATGGGTGCGCTCTTGCGTGGTGTCAAGAGGGAGCAGGTCAAGAGGGGTCAGGTTATCGTCGTGCCCGGATCCATAAAGTCGGCCAAGAAGTTCAAGGCTCAGATCTACGTGAGTCACTGTTCGTCAGTTGAATCGCTGCGTTATCCTGACTGACCGAGACCATTGTTCCCACTCGATGCAGGTCTTGACCAAGGAGGAAGGTGGACGATACACCCCCTTCATGTCCAACTACCGACCTCAGTTGTTCTTGCGAACCACCGATGTCACCGTCGCCTTGACCTTCCCCGAGGGAACCGAGGGCGCCGACGAGAAGCTTGTAAGTTCGGTCTGGCAGAGGGAATATCGGAAAGGCCGCTGAATTCACCTTTCTCCTCCACGCGTTCAGGTCATGCCCGGTGACAATGTCGAGATGGTCGGAGACCTCGTCCACGACATCGCCCTCGAGCCCGGTTCGCGATTCACCCTCCGAGAGGGAGGCAAGACCATCGGAACCGGTATCGTTTCGGAGGTCTACTAAGCGCAAGGCCAATTATACCTCAACCACACAAACAAACCAAAACAACATGTGCTGCTCTGAAAGGGCACGTGTAATTCATATAAGCATGTAGTGTCGCATGCTGACGCTGGCTGTTGACGACTAGCTACCAAACGGATGGAATGTATTGTAGGCGATTATACGCTCGACACGACCCTTTCATGACAAATCCCCACTCATTGCGGACTAAATTGGAATATCGGACGGCTCAGTCAATTATAGATTCGGCCATAAAGTCAAAGCGTCCGTGGAGAGGTTGAGACAGTTCTTCAGGCAGTCCAATCTCCTGACGTTCAGGGCAAGGTGAGTATCGATTATCTCGCTCTTGCACCCTGCCACGCGAACGTCGCCCTAGGTCACCCCATCGATGAGCAAGGCGTGTCGTCATACCAAGGGTGATAAAGGAGGCTCATGCAAGTAGACAGCGTTCTGCGAGATTGCTCTACCCTTGCGTCCTTGCCCGTCACGTGTCCTTTTAACCGGAGATTGACGTCGGTAGAGGTCACAAGCGGCCCAAATCACACATAAGCGTTCTATACGATATTGCTTACGATAGACGACATTGCATGCGTCTCGATAGAGTTGCTCATATCAAAATGTTTGAGAAAGAAAAACATCCTCAGTCTTCTTCGGCAGCTACAGTTCTCAATCATATATGTAAATACCTGAACACGACGAACGGGTGGCAGCAGACGTTGGACAATGTTACAACCGGGTACGCAGCGGAGGCGATGAGCGATGCAGCGCGCACCACCTTACTGGACTTGAAAGGCATGCTCTGGTGGATCCAGCACGTACACAAGGAGGGAGCACCCGATATGACAGTCCATCCGCTTGAATTTGATGCGAAAAGTCCGACCGAGCTGGAAACCATCACAGTCCTGGCTGCAGAGGGGCTGTCTGTCCTGCGCAAGATCCCCGTGATGTGGCGGGGACGTGGCCAACGACGGGAAGCGAAGTCATTCATCAGATCGCTGCAACAATATCTCGCACCCCCATCGTCTGACGCAACGGACTCTGGCGAATTGGCCGCATCGAATAGCGGCAGTCGAAGCACGAATAGTGACAGCGGGCGAACTTGCGATATTTATATAATTGCTAAAACACTTTCCTGCCTTTGGTGCGGGAGCAGCTTGTCTTGGGCTACCTCGTGAAGCAGGATGCGAACAACAAATCAGGTACTGTTGTTATAGGAAAAAGACACGATCAACGTTAACCCACAAGATCGAGTTAGGGGACCGTCCTGGCTTTGCGCTCTTTTTGTCTTATCCATCGAGGAAATCAAGCATCTATGATCTCTTTATCGCAAGCCAAACCCCTGAAGGGCACATGGACCACTGTTGTCGGCTTTGAGATGACATTATTGTTCAGATCGAGTACCTTTGCAATGTCTCGTTACTCTGTCTGTAAAGCAGTCTGCACACCTTCATTTAGCTAAAACTAAGATTTGAGAGCACGACCATCTCTGATCCCCGACCAGCAGACATGCTTAGGGTGTACGCAGGATCAACCTAGAGGTATCAGGGCAGCACTCCACTTGAGCGTCTCCAGTGCGACGGAGCTGAACACGGTAGCGTTCATCCAAGCCGGAATCTGCTGGGAAATGACGCTACAAATACGCTGAACGTCTCGCAGCTGAAACGCGCGTAATGTTGCGTAATCTGCGCCCCCTGAAATGACGTTTGATTGCGTCATTCTCTGATGCCGCACCACTCAGCTGTCACTCCCTTGTTGCAGAGCTGAGTTAGCCATTGCCACTAGAATATTCAGTGAGCGTAAGCGAGCTTATATATCTTATATTGCTTTGAGGACTCAGAGGCTGTTGTGCATCAGCTCAGAATCTTCAGCATGATCTATCCAACCGCGAAGGAAGAGTTTTTGTCATGCAATACAACCGGAAGCGTCTGACCGCTTGGAGTCCCTTTCTACTATTCAAGCTGAAGAACCTCCTTAGTCGATCCCCGGGATGGGAGAATCTATTAAAGTACCAACTCTACATCACAAAGTCGGACGAGGCAGACACTGAGCTCGGCCCACTCGAGGTCGAACTGAAAGATGCGCTCGAAAGTCTCAAGGTCGAATTGTTTAAAGTGTCGGTCCCCAGCGGCGTTGCGCCGGAATGGAGCAGGATCAAATCAGATATCGATCATGTCGTACTACTAGTCCTGGAGAAACAATCCTCGGAGGAAGCTTCACCCGTCCCGGACGGTCGCCCTGAGTCCAAAGAGTTGCTCGCGTTTCTCAGCGACTTGAATGCGGCAATCGGAGATAAGCCGAGGCGCAACGAAGGGGAGGACTCGGATGATGCCTCTATTAAGACTTACAAGCGGACGGCCAACTCTGAAAGATCGGATATACTTTCACTCGCATACTCTACTTTATATTCTCTACTATCGTGCTGTCCTGGATCTGGCTCTGAAGACGATGACTGATCCGGTATCTAGGGCGAGGCTGTCAAAACTAGACACTACTCTGTAGCGATTATACCTGCCCCACATCACGTAGAAAGCGTATCATAGCTGTTATCGTGCATCAGCAGATGAAATGTTGTGGTTAAATCCTGTGGAGAGATTGATGAACATGATTTCCCAGGGGAAACATGCTATTAAATGGTCTCTTGAGTCGTGGCGCGAAGTGTATGCTCGAACGAATCTGCAAAGACGTGACGAATGCTCGCCTAGCAATATCTCAACCTATGTACTGTAGCGTGCTACATGGCGCGATCGTGTTCGAGAAAATCGTCTCAAATCGTGCAAGGGTATCCATAAGGGGTACCCTTTCTTGTTCCAGCATGTAGATCAGACCGATCGACATTTCCATAGTGAGATCGACGAATTGAGTACGAAAGAACTGTGCAATGATGTCAAACCGAAAATTTACTGATGATGGGAGGGAGGGGTAGAATACTTTTATTATTATCCAATGATCGGGGCATACGACATGCGATGTTATTCGCGGCAGCGGTTGTCATCGGAAAGGGCTGACATCCGTCCGTAGTGACACTCTTGCTTGACCGCCCTTCACAGTGTAAGCCGGTCAGGTGATTAGAAACGGTTAAGCCAGCCGAACGAATTGATGATCGATTTCCTCGCCTAACAATTAGTCTTCCTTTCTGCCCATGCTTGTACAGTAAGCAGACCAGGCGCGATAGTTGGTTCGGCATGACGTACAAAGCTCCTCATCGGCAGAGAAGTAAGCCCCTGATTGACAAAGGAATCCCCTTACATTCTTGTTTAGGTCCAATGATCATCCTCACACTCTTCAATAAAGTCGAAACTCAACCTCGTATCTTGCTCATTGCATCTCACTGATTCGAAACCCACCCCAAATCGTCGGTCTCGATCGTTCATCTCACTCAAAGCAACATGAAACACAAATCAACCTGGTGGACGAGCCACATCAGCCAGGAATCGAGGAAGGAACTCCACAATCTCTTCAAGGATAACCAAGTCACTTGGGGTCCAAGCGAAAACGAAAAGAGTGACTTGGATTTTCACGATCTGATCCATTACATGCCGGAGAATAGTGAGGTTACTCAACTGGAAACATTCCTGATGGATGTCGAGGAGCAGGTCAATGGCTGGTAGCTCGAGCCTGGACAACAAGGCTACGATGATCGGCCCCGATATCAGGGAGATGTTCTGATACCCCATATCCAGGTTTGGGACGACGCCGTGCAGGAATGCTTGTCGCAGCATGCGAAGCCGTTGGGTGAGGACTGTTGGAAAGCGTTTTGGAAGAAAACGACACAATGGAGGAACCTTATTTACGGACTCGGGGAACCGGACCCGACTGATGAACAGGCCGCTGAGGCGTTTCGCCGCCCGCTTTTGCTCTGGATGGAAACATTCGAGCCGAGGTCTACACGCTCAGTATTAGCCTTGACTCGTGGGGCTAGTATCAGCTCCATTTTATCATCACAAACAGATTCTGATCCCTCTACACAGTTCAGCACATGACACTTCCAATATGCCGTACAGAGGGTTTTGTACATTATTACTGAACGAACGTTGCCAAACATCAGCCTTGATCTGTTCAATCAGTGATCATTATTCGGTAATGCATAGCGCGAGTAAACTTGACTCTCAAACCGTTAAATATCATAGGGGTACATCGATCGGCGAAAGCCTATTCATACTATATACTATGTATGCTACTCAGTATCGCTCCAAGGCTGCATATGGAATTGAGATTCACGCGTCATCGGTATACAACAATCTCGTGCGTTTCTGCGACGGGTATAGAGCGCCCTTTGTAGCAACGCGTTTTCGTGGAGAATAACGCTTCCTCGACGCGAAGCATGGAGAATAATAAGCCATTGGAGGTAAAAACTGGGGAAAACTAAGTAGCTTTTGATACTGAGAACATCAAAAACAAAAATAATCTACCCTTGTACGGTCCCTACCCTGTCAGGCCTGTAAGCCTATGTAGCCTATGTACCCTGTACTATCGACTTTGAAGTCTATCTTGATAGCCTATCTGCATCTTATCGTCACTACGTTCCTCTACCGTCTTAGCATAGCAAAAATGAACCCCCTCGCCAACCTCGATGAAGCTACTCAGAAGCGATTGTTTGAACATATGGCAGGTTTCTTTCTCTCTCAACCGGCGACATCTGCACCTCCCCCAAACCCACCTCCTGCTCCTGCTCCTCCTCCATCGGCAACCATCGTCTCTATCCCACCACCCTATATTGCTCCGCCTGCTGCTGTATCTTCGTATTCGAGCCAACATGCATCCACGTCGTCCAGCAGCCAACCCTATTTGCAATCACCCGTGCAAGGTCCCCGTGACATTAGGGCAATGTTAGATGCTCAGCATGGGGTACCATATGGTCGGGAGAGTGTACCGAATCATTCTGGCGTTGGATCCATTCATCATCATGCAGGTGGGAGGATTCAAGTCAGGGGACATCCGTTGCAAAGACAGCAGAAGAAACCGAACAAGATCGGTAGGCCTGTTAGCATTGTCTCAACCGGCAAGGTAAGTTTAACCCCCGCAAGGCTCCCCCTGACCCCAGCTCCCCTACATAACACTGACGACAGCGATTCAGGTTGCTTACATCCCGTGTGGGTCTCTCATAAGGAACCAACTTGCTATCACCGCCCCGGGCAAGACACGATGGGCACCTTTGATCGAATTCCTGGAGATACAAGGCTATATGCGGACGTTTCAACTTGAAGACAACATGTCGACACAAGATATAGCGGCACATATCGAGAAGACGTTCCAACGTAGCCCAAGACTCCCCATCCCATTCCCAGCTGTATGGTCGTGGGCGAAACTCTCCGGCAGTTCACACATCTTCCATCCTCATTACGTCTGGAACCCATGGCAAACGAACCTCTCCAAGTTGAAGACGGAGTTTAAGGGTAGCAATATCGCCTTCGTATTTCCCCAAACATGGCCACTGGAGATCCACGACAACCAGCACTTCCGAGCCGATCTAGCCCTGGCGATACACCGTGACCCTCTCACCTGGGAACACATCTCCGATACCTCCAAGAAAGGCAAAGGAAAACAGCGGGCTGCATCGGTAGTGGAGTTGGAGGATGTAGCCGAGGATGTCGTTCAGGAAAGTGATGGTATGCAGGAATGCAAGCACTGTAACCTGGTGCTCCCTGCTGAGCGAATGGTTCCCCACTGGAACACTTGCCCGGGTTACCGGGATGAACATATGGTTGAAGAGGAAGAGACTCAAACGGCAGATGAAGCAGACGGTGAAGAAGAGGACCGGATGGACGGGATTGTTAACCAGCTGGAAGACAACTTTATCAACTGGAGTGGCACGGAGGATGAGCAGGTTGTTACGGTTCCCGAGATCGCTGGTGTAGTTGATCCTATCCTGCGTGAGTGTATTGCGTACAACTTTGAAGACTTCAATAGCTCAAGTCCACACACAGATACTGGCAGTACCCTCGTCAATCCCCCTCCGTCGCCGGTACCCCATCAGGTCACCCCCAGCAAATCCTCTATCCCCTCGTCGTCAGCAGATCTCAAACCCATCATGCCCGAGGACAAATTCATGGCGCTATGTCAGACCCAGCTGGAAGCATGGGGTGCTAGTCATTTCAGACGCATCATCGATGATGTATTCCAGACGAGACGGCGGTTAAGAAGATCCTCGTCGATGGTCGGAGATACATCGAACGACACGGTTGGTCCCCACGATTCTGCCAGTCAGGTCACTGCCCGCTCTAGCCCTCCCAGAAACAACCCAGACGCCATCAAGATCCCTGTCCCTCGAATTGTGTTCAGGGTGAAACGACCGGCCGAGCTCTCTGATCCCCTTGAGACTACCTTAACAGCACAAGAATCACCGGAGGCTGAGGGAGGGGTTGTACCTGCTGCGTCTGAGGAGAACAACGAACCTGGAAAACTTGACATCGGAGACGGACGACCTGTAAAGCGAGCTCGTAAGGCTAAGCCAGTATTCACAGGTCCGCCACGACGTACGACTAGAGTTGTTCAGGCTCCCAAACGTGTACCTTAGTCTAGCTTCATGACAACTCGTAAAATGATATGGTATTAAAAAGAAGATAACAAAATCGAATACAAACACCACATCTAACCAGCACCGGGACCGGGAGGACGCCCAAAGTTCCCCGCTCCAAAACCGTACGGGTTGTAGCCGTAAGGCCCAGGGGGGAACCCCCACCCTGCCCAGGGGTTGGGAGCGTTGGCAGCGGTGTTGCTGCTGGTCGAGTCGGGCGAGACCGGGGGCTCGGCGGGGGCGGTGGAGGCGGCGGCGGCTCGGGCCAGGTCGAGGTTGGTCGGCTTCTTCTCCTTGACCGACTTCGCATTTCCCGAGCTGAAAGGCTTCTGAGTGAAGCAGCACTCGCCATCTCTCCACCTCCAGATACACCTCACGCAATGTCCCGGCTGGTCGGGGACCACCACGCAGACGTTGTACCGCACGTCCATCTGCTTCCCGAGAGGGGTCGTCTGCTTCCCGGGCTTGGTCTTGCCAGTGCAGCAGTTGCACATGGCATCACCCATCAACTGGATGGAATCCTCCCTTATGAGGAGGGCCTCGGCATCCTGTTGTAGGCGTATACACAAACACAAAACGTAAGTAACCTGTCAAGGTGATATGGTTGAGGTAAATCCTATTCGACTTACCACCGCTCGCTGCCAGGTATCAGCCGTCATCCACGCCGGCTGGGTCTCCGGGAGTTCGAACACGTCCCCCCTCTTCACTCCCCGCATCGACCGACGCTTGGCGGGAGAGGTGAAACCCGTCCCGGTCACCTCAACCTCGTCCTCCTCCTCCTCCTCGACCGGCGCACGGGATCTCTTCTTCCCCTTGCCCGTACCACTTCCACTCGCCTCACCACTCCCACTTGCTCCTGCCGAAGCCTGCAAAGCTTTCATCATCGGGATGAAGCTTGCCATTTGAGCGGAGAGAGCCGCTATCTGCTCTATCTGGCCCTGAGCAGGGGTGGTGTCGACGGCAGGGGTCGGCTGAGGGGTGGGGGGGGTGGGGCGGGGGGGGACGGGTCGGCGAGGGTTCGCTGTAGGACATCATATCCGATCATCAGTATGTGCCAACCCCGAAGAACTCTGACAAGCTACTCACCTGCGTCGAACCTTTTGAGAGCCTCCCTGATCATCCCCCGGCTCTCAGGGTTTGCGATGAGGCTGTCAATCCTCTCCCGCTATCAAGAATATCGAACGTACGAGTGAGTATCCGAGAGTGAATAGGATAGCGAGGCTACATACCAGGATCGCCAACCTCTCATCCTCCTTCCTCTGGGCTTCTTCGGCCTCCTTCCGTAGCCTCTCCGCTTCCTTCGCCTGGTCCTGGGCGAAGACATCTGTTGTTATGATATATCAGTAAGTCATGATCGGGATATAATCATCTTGTCCGATGCAAAGACTTACTTCCCAGCCGCTGAAAGTACAGCAGCTTAGTTTCTTGTGGCTGCGTCAGCAACCAGGTTTCCAACGCTAGAAAGGAGAAAAACAGTTAGGACAATTTGATACTCAAAGGTACACAACTGCTTACGCATTCCCTCCGGGGGCATAGGAAGGCCCACCGGTTCCGGGGTGATACTCCGGGATGCTGGTTTCTTGCCGTTCGTCATGAGTGATGGGATATGATCGAAGTTGATAAAGGTAAGTAAATGAAGCTGAACGTGATTGCAAGTAAAGATGAAGGATTCGACGTTCTTGATCAACAACAACTATATACGGTAGCTGGCCTGCTGGCCTACGCTGCTAGCCTTCCTAGCCTACCAGGCCTACCAGGCCAGAGAGCGTCATCGAAGAACAAAGAACAAACAACAAACGACAACCTTCCTTTGGGTTCCTTGTTTGATCGGCCAATCAGCGCAGGCGAAGAATATGCTAGAACTATCGATATAGCAGTATACTACAACACATTCAGGGTGTACTAGGCAGAGCGAAGCCTGGGTTTGATCGAACAGAATCATACACCCACTGTCGAACAGCAAGGTAGCGTAAGGTGTCAAACAACCCATCTTCACCCTCATCAAGTTCGTGCGATGTTTGTATGGGAAACGCTTCCGCCAAGGCCTTTCGGAACCCCTCGTCCTGTAGTAGAGGGGGTAACATCTCGTGATATCGCTCAACTTGCACATAAGGGTCTGTATCTTGCGCCGGTCGGTTCTGGTCCTCCCGTTGTTGTTCCGAAGGCCAAGTTGTCACTTTCGTAGTGTGCCGACCTGGCTCTACGTCTTCTTCATCACCCGACAAACATTCGTCGATCACACCTTCGTCGTCAATGACTGCGTCGTTGGGGAAAAGGTCAAGGTCCATCCCCCTCGCTTGAGCTTTGAGATTCCCGTCCAGCCACTTCTTGTAGGGACTCCACCCTCGTTCACCCTTGGTTGTGCTGCCGTGGCTGTTGTGGGCAACGATATGGGTGGAGATTGTCCGGTTGATAAGAGGAAGGAAGCAATAGTGCAGGCAGAAGATATCGACTGGCTCGTCAACATCAAGATCGTGTTGTTCTTCCAGTTGTGCAAAGGTCCGGGCATACTTCTGGGTAAAGCGTTCGCCTATAGTCTTCCAGTGCCGCTCGATGGGGGTGTTACTCGTAGACTTTCCACGGATGAAGGGAGCCTTCACAGTATCTGTTACCTAGGGATCAGTATCATACGTTGCAAGGCTTGTATGTATACCACTTACGACGAATAGCGACCATTTGTTCCCAGATCCCGTTGTTCTCCTTTCCGTAATCCACCCTGACCCGTTGAGGCCATCCCCATCTCTCCGCTGCTTCAAGGAACGACCTCTCCACCGTCTCCGCCCTGTTGTTGTCGCTGGCAGCCATGAACACACAGACTCGGCTGTAGCCATCGATTCCACCGTGTATCACAAATTTCCAGCGAATGAGTTTATGTTGGCCGTCGATATGCCATAGCGAGTTGGGGAAGGGAACCTTGTAAACCCTTCGCTGACGAACTACCGCCCGACGCAGCCGGTGAGCACCGGGATCAAGCTCTTGGAGGAGTATCCGAACCTGCTTCCTGGTAACTGTTACACCCTGTCCTTGAAGCCAACCGAGAACGGTACGATAGCCCACCATGACCTGATCGTTCTGGCGGAGGTAGTAGCGGACCAGCTGCAACGGGCAACAACAACAGCAACACCCTTCAACCTTTGTATTCGGGTCGGTACGAACGATGTATATTGATCACTCACTTCTATCAAATCCTCTTCTGTGTAGCGATGCTTCTGTTGACGTTTCGGTTGTGAACCCAGGGCTGCCCGTCTTCGTCGAACGGTCCATCGCGAGCATCCTAGATGTTTCCCGATTTCAACATCGGTAGAACCGTTCTTGTCTAGGTGTTGTAGTAGGACGGTATTGACATCAAGCGACCAGCCTCGAGCGGAAGGGACGATCCGCCTTGCTTGGTGAGGAGTGTGGCCATGCAGCAGTGACTGGTGACATGCCGCTAACTGATCTCGGTATGATCTGGTACCCTGGAGGTGGTTGTTGTACTCCTGCATCGGCAACTTGCCCTTGACCTCCTGCGTAAGAAAGTATATAAGATCATCTAGACTGTGGAGGAGCAGCGGTATGTTGCTGGGGTCTCGTTGGTCGGCAGATTGATCAAGGAAAGCAGCGACGGGGGTGTGCAGGTCAGCAACGTAGCTTGCTATCGCTGCTTGAAGGAGTGTAAGGGCACGATCTTCTTCCATTGTGATTGCGAATAGTGTTATTGGATGTAGTGAATGATGCAATAGGCTTCTGAAGGGAGTACAGTGTACAAGTTGTCGACTTCTAGGGAACTTAGGGGTAACAGGGATAAAGGCTACAGACCGTACAAGGGTAGATTATCTTTATTTTTGATGTTCTCAGTATCAAAAGCTACTTAGTTTTCCCCAGTTTTTACCTCCAATGGCTCTTTATTCTCCGTGCTTCGGTCGAAGTTGTTATTGTGTCGCGCGCGCGAGCGATTTTGATTATTCTTCAGAAATCGACCGTTGCTACAAACGGCCCGGTATAGACGGGATTTGTCATCGCTGAAGATATGTCTCGTACCTTGAAATATGTCCGGTAGCAAGAAACGCCTGGGCTCTGTAGATTTGATCCATGTATTCTGTATCCCACCATGCAAAGATCACGAACTGCAGGATCAGTCGCTGCGAAAGACCGCTAATATATATGGCCGCAAGTGACTTTCGGCTACCCAGACCCTAGAATTTGGTGACGTACCGTATACCTCACGGTTTCGGACGTTCATTTGGCGGGGGCGTCTAGCACCCTCGTGGCTGTTCTGACCAGACACAGCCCATAAGGGACATGCTCTAATTCGACGTCCTCACATTGGCCATGCGACACCAAGGGAGGCTATGTACCACTTTAGACTTCTCTGCGATAGATTCACCTCTTCGGGCTGCCATCGCTACGCTATGTTATGGTGTCACGGAAGCACGATAGCACATGCTTTGTCCACCGTCATCAGGCCTGTCTCTTGTCTACCTGTCCCGGGTGAGATCCACCCGGCTGAACGGGGAAGCATACAAAGGAAGCACGCTTGACATGATTCTTAACCAACCTTGGCGTATCGATGGCTGCGAAGCCCTCCGGGAAAGAGAAGGAAGGTCGACGCGGTTGATTCGAATACAAAGATAGCCTTACTGCGATCCTTCCCTTCGAATCCCTGCACCTCCCCCTCCCGTATAGCAACAGCCACATATCTTACGATTAGACTCATCTACCATACAACATAACATGTCTTCCCCTTCGACAATGGCGAACATTCCTGAGGCTATTCAGCGTAGGCTAGACAAGATTGAGCCGAAGTGCATCGCATACCGCAAAACCTTTGCGGAGCATGTCGAACGGTATGGAGATTGGAACAGCTATGTGGAGGCTCTAGATGGTCACGATAAGAAATTGGCAAGCGCAATCAAGAAGGTAGCCGGGTCTCTCTCGGAAGACTACCGCGGGACTCCCACTGGGCTAGACTCATTCATCCGTGACATGGAGCTCAATACCTTGTATCACGTTGGTAGGGACTTGGATCGCCGAGCCGGAAAGGACAGCGACAAAGCCTTCCAGATGAGTAGAGCAATAGCTGAATACCATCTCAACGAGTCGTTAGAAGCGGAGAAGCAAGCTACCTCGACGCACCTAAATAGGGAAGCGCTGAACGAGCCGGGTGCACTACTGCCTGATAAAGGCGACGCTATATCCGTCGACTCCCAGCGGGCCGGTTTCGAAGGTGCCGGTGCGCCAGGTCCACTCACTGAGGGATTCAGTCTCAGGTCTCCCCCCTCAGCTTCGACTGGAATCTCAGGCGTTCTCACTTGGATTCCCAGCATTTTTACGGGAAGCAAATAGCTGATGTGCCCAGGACTGTATGGAGACGGTTGATCATCACATGTCTCTCGCGATTGTATTTATATCTAGTTGTATTCCGCTGCGATGGCCATTGAAGATATTCGAACGCTTGAGGTAGCTGATGAATGCTGCTTGTGAATACACTGTCCACAGCGATAGTTCCAAAAGCTTGAGCGACCTCCTCGGGCAGGTGAACACTTCTACACGATCCGTCATGCGTGATTTACTGAACTTCAGTTCTTTACCGTCGACCAGTGGCAGCCCCAGGTACTTTCATCGGCATAACTGACTTTGTTGTGGTCTGACTGGATGCCCCAATGTCATTATCGGATCGTTTCATGCATCACTTCGTTCCGGTATACCCCGAATCTAAAATCTCTAGATTGCTCATTGATCGAGATCTTCCCGGTATCGGGGACTTGATATTGTACCGACCATGTAGCAAATAATAGAACAATAGCGAGCTGGCTTACTTTCAATATACTGTATCAGTCACGAATCCCTTGTCTAGACCATGAGCGCGGTTCTCGGTGCCGCGCCATCTGCTCAACGACCAAAGGAAGATATAAAGGTCCTTTGAAGGACGGTCCGTTCCGCCCTACCACTCGCAGCGAGATTGGCCCCAAAGGAGGCTTCCTTTCCCGAACGAAAGATGGGGCTTTGGTTTGGTAAACTACGAGCGTAGTCGTATAAGGCAAGCGAACCCTCGCTAGTGTCTTCTTAGCAGTGCTTGATGCCAACAGCTTCTCAGACCTATCACTCCATCTGCCCCATCTCGCCTCCAAAATCTCGCATCATGTCCAATTCAGCCTACCATTTGACCGCGGCCAAGCCAGACTTGCATGACAAGGTCGTCGCCCTTGGAGAACAGAACCTTTCCAACTTTATCTTCGGCTACCTCCCGGACACCCGCGATGCTAACGGCATGCGGGTCAAATACAAAGTCTGGATCGCACTAAAGGCGTTCAGCAGGACCATTCTCGACATTACCAGTCTCGGACTGCCGGGGTGCATGTTCATTCGAGGGGAATGGGATGGCGCACTTGTGGCGTGGCACGTTTGGGTCAGACAGCGATATGAAACGGCCGAGGCTGAACTGCTTGGGCAGAGGATGGAAGCGGTCACGAAGACCCTCTTCGAAGTCATCGATCTGAATGGTAACCAAGAACAGGTCACAGTATCGGAGGCGAGATTCGAGAATGAGCGACGATGCTACACGGACGAACACTGGTCGCGGCCATGAGAGCGAGATGAAACACAAGCCCCGGTGGTTGGCGTGATTGTAATTACGCATTTGCAATCTGTTATGCACCGCGGATGATCATTCCCCGCGTTCGTTGTGTGTCTCTTTTGTCGCGTTTGCCCGGAAATCTGGAAAGTTCCACCGAGCGAGCGAGAGCAAATTCAGAGACAGAGAGCGGCGAGATTGCTAACCCACAATAATGTCAAACGATATCGTTAATCCTCTTCCTCTTCCCATCGCTTCGTCATCTCTTTGCCTTCCTCATCACCTTCACTTATAGAGTTGTATCCTATTACTACCGTCTATCCCACCGCTGCAAACCACGAACCGGTCTCAACCGCACGGAACACATTCTTCTCGATCGAATCAGGCCGAATCAAAAGGGACATTTACAGAAGTAGAATCTAGAACAAAATGGTCAAGGAAACGTAAGTATTCACGAGCTGCTAAAGACCATATATGGATAAGGTACTGATCATCGATTCGCTTGTTACAGTGGACTTTAGTATGTCTCGCAGCGAATCACGCCGAATTGAAGAAGACTACTTGCTCATACCGCATACCTATCCTTCCACCTCCTTTCTTCCCTCTTTGCTCGACCTATCATCAAATCCTTGTTGTGCTGGTGATCAAAACACAGCGACACTCTCGGGCTTAAACCCACCGCTTCAGCTGCGGAGATCAAGAAGGCTTTTCGACTCGGGTGAGCTCATTACTGTCCTACCCTTTGATCCCACTTCTTGGACATCTAACGAACCCAACTATATCAACCTCGAATAGAGCCTTGAAGGAGCACCCGGACAAGGGAGGTGACAAGGAAAAGTACCAGGCTTTGCAACATGCTTACGAGGTTTTGGCGGACGATGACAAGCGACAGCTGTAAGTCTTGCCTATCCACCTTGACTCACAATCCCTGTGCTCCATCTGACATCGGTCTAAATTCACATGTTTCAGGTACGACCAGTACGGTGCTGCCGGTCTGGAAGGTGGTGCCGGTGGAATGGGAGGGATGGACCAGTCGGATCTGTTCTCCCAATTCTTCGGGGGTGGCGGTGGATTCTTCGGTGGTGGTGGACCTGGTGGTCGTGAGTTGGGCGTTTACACAAGGTCTCAGCAGAGTCTTTGGCTGGATTTGTCGTGCTGATGGTATGGCTCGGTTGCTCACAACGCTCGGCAGGACGACCACAAGGACCTCGACGGGGCAAAGACTTGGTTCACAGGATCGGGGTCAGCCTCGAAGATCTCTACAAGGGAAAGATTCAAAAGCTCGCCCTTTCCAAATCGACCATCTGCAAGACCTGCGACGGACTCGGTGGAAAGAAGGGTGCCGTCAAGGAGTGTGGCGGGTGTAAGGGACAGGGTGTCAAGGTCCACCTGCGTCAACTCGGACCGATGGTCCAGCAGATTCAACAACCCTGTGGCGAATGTGACGGAACCGGAGAGATTGTGGACCCCAAGAACAAGTGTAGGACGTGTAACGCCAAGAAGACGACGCAGGAGCGCAAGATCCTCGAGGTCCACATCGACAAGGGTATGAAGAGTGGACACCAGATCAAGTTCCCCGGCGAGAGCGATCAGGCACCGGGAGTCGAGCCTGGTGATGTCGTCTTTGTCGTCGAGGAGAAGGAACACCCGCGGTTCAAGAGGAACGGGGACGACTTGATCGTCGAGGCCGAGATCGACCTGTTGACGGCTTTGGCTGGAGGAGAGTTCCATATCGAGCATCTGGACGACAGGATCTTGAGGGTCCAGATCAACCCGGGCGAGAGCGTCAAGCCTGGTGAGTACGGCCTGCAGGTGTCGCATGGATCTCCGCAAGACGATGCATCGGGGTGCTAACCATGCTCGAACCTGTTTTCAAACCATAGGCGACATCAAGGTCATCCCTCAACAGGGTATGCCCTCCCACCGTCATCACGACCACGGCAACCTCTACGTCAAGCTCTCTATCAAGTTCCCGGAATCGCTCACCCCGGAACAGATGAGCGGGCTCGAAAAGTCGCTGCCGCCCAGAAGGAAGCTGAACAAGATCCCTAGCAAGGTCTTCCAGGAGGAGGTCCACTTGGAGGAGCCTTCGGAGCGGGAGAAGCAGGGTGCCGCGAACGCCGAGGGCATGGATGACGAGGATGAGGATGAGCGGGGTGGACCGGGCGTTCAGTGTGCTCAACGTAAGTAACGCTTGCGACGTGGCTGTACAAGACGGTTTAAGACGACCTGGCTAATTGATTTGCTGCGCATCTGCCTTTGTTTTCACAGAATAAACGCCTCTTCTCTGATCATTGTTATACGAGCCCACCTTTTTACGAATCTCCCATGTTCCAATATATTTTGCATAGACGTTTCCAGCTTTCACTAGTGGCCGAGCAAAGTCTGCATCCACAAAGTAAACAGATGTCCGTTTTTTAAACAGCGTGAAAGTCATTTAAAAAAACGACCATCCCAATTCCGTGAACGTGACAGACGACTAAAAGCCACAGAAACATTAGTACTGGGCTGTCTGATCGAAATGAACCCGAGTGCACTAGCGAGCTAGAGCAGCTTCTCCATCAGCGTTCATTAGACGTTCTTTGTGCGGCTATCGATCATTGGCCTATCCGTCAGGGAGATTACACTTCTAGATCACATGCGATGCCATCCAATATCTGCAGGGGCCAACCTGAACCTAGCAATCTCATAGGATTGTTTAAACTTGCACAACTTGTAGCTGGCTGTCATCGTGGCATGCGATATGAGAAGATGTAGTTGTTTCTCCGGAACTTCGGATACCCCGCACTGAAATGGGAGTCACGAGGTCGCGCACCGGTTTGCCAAGGGGAATATACTCCCGACACCCTCGATCCCGGTTAGGTCGCCGTCAGGATCAGGACGGTGGCCCAGCTTATGTCGACCTTGATACCGACTGTCTGTTCGTACACATGAGGGGTGAGGTCTCAGCTACGGTCCGGATGAGTATCCCACGTCACTAGGTAGATCGAGCAACATGGACGGTCAGGCCAAACAGGAAAAGCCGACGAGTACGGCGACTTCCACGTCAGGGTCGAACAACGCTGGGGAGAACAGCACCGGAAAGGATGGAAGGGGGAACAAGCACGCTGGATCAGAGAACAAGAAGGGTTCAGATGGAGGAAAGATCAAGAGGGTGAGTTCACTTGCATTTGTGGTTATCAGTGGGTGTGTGAACGGTGATCCTGCTGGGTATAGTCGGGTCCCGGTCACCCGCCGACGTTGCGCCGAGGTTCGATCTACGGGTTTCATAGATGCAAATTCTGACACTTGTTCGACTTTATTCTTCGACGTTGCCACCATTCAGATAGCTGCCTGTGACGTCTGCCGGTTACGCAAGTGAGTTCCATGGTGGTCGCTAGATCAGGTCGGCTTCTGACATCTTCGGACTTCTATTCTTCAGGGTCAAATGCGTCAAGGAGGAAGGAGAGACGCGATGTCAAGGATGTATCGATCTCAACAGGGAGTGTACGCAGACTTATTCGCACAAAAGACCTGGACCCCCCAATCCGCGAGTCTAGTCTGCCTTCCTCGGACTTGTGCTTATGAGCTGCTGCTGACGAGGTTTGTGGTCTGCTCGTCGACAAACTGAACAGATATGCAAGACCTTCGTACAATAACAACGACGGGCGGTATAACCCATATCCGATGCCTGCTGGAAACCACCCCCATGCTCGACCTCCGTACCCGGATCGCTCTCCACACGGTCCAGGGGGCAGCAACAACAGTAACCTCCCGTATTTGCCATACGACCCGAACTATACAGACGCCCTGAACGGGAACATCCCTCTTCCCCCGCTGGGTGGCGGATACCAGTTCGACGTCCATCAACAACAGAATCAACAGAATCAACCCAATATAACAGGTCATACGTTCAATCAGACGTCTGATCCGAATATCCCTTTCGCTCCACACCAACCGCATCATTCCCCGACTGCATCGATATCTCCCTTCTCTTCAACGCACCAGAACCAGAACATCCAGTTGAACCCCAACCTGTCAAATGCGAACAACCGCCCGCCGAGCCATCACGCGCCTCCCTCCATGGGAAGTGGCAACAACCAGAACCAAAATCAGAACCCGACGCCAGGTCAAGCTGGGTCAAACTACTTGACCGGCTACAGCGCCGAAGACAACTGGTTCATGCCTTGGATCTGTTCAACTCCCGGAGCAGATGGCCAGCCTCCGATGGATACCAACATGAACGTTCCTGTAGCATCGGGAAGCGGGGGTGGCGGCAGCGGTTATCCATTAACGGGACCCGGAACAGGGTCGACGCATTCGAGTTCAGTCGTCCTTCCCGATATACCCGGACGGGGGTGGGGCGAGATGGGTCAGACCTTGGAGGACGAGATCCTCGATCCTCGATTGGGGGGATCGAGGCGTACGGGGACATATCAGACATCACGCATGAGGAGCCGTCCAAATTCCCCACCCAACCTGGGAGGCGGTGCCGGGAGCGGTTTCGAGCATTCCACTGGTGTCGGAGGGGGCTACGCTCAGATGGTCAAACGAGGATCTGCAACGACGAGTCTCGGGGGGACCGTGGGCGAGACTCCGATTTACCAAGCAGCACAGGTGGAGGATATCACGCGATGGTCAACGGCGTTAACATTTTTGAACCTCTACCACGAACACCTATACCCCTTACTCCCGATCATACATTGGCCGACATACTCTCAAGATTTGGTCTCACGTCGGGATCGGCATGACGAAACTTTCCGGATATTCTTGATGAGCCTGAGTCAGTAATGTCGTCTACATGATACAACGTTGTGAAACTGAATTTGAGTCTCTCACAGTCGCCTATGCGATCCTACAACTACCGCGGTCGGTCATGCCGGACTTCCTGACACAAGAGGAGCTCGTCAAACTGCATCGAAGATTACATCATACATCACGGGCGATGCAAAAGCGTGAATACGAACCGTTAGATCTATTGCATATCAGTACTCTCTAGTGAGCACGACTGTCATCTGGCGAGCGAAAATCGAAGCGCTAATATTTTCCTTCGGATTTCAGTCTTGATCACATCTACCTTGGATCGACGGGCAAGGACAACTACGCAAACGTCGTATTGGCCGAAGCGATGCGACTAGCAATCACCCTCGGGTTGCATGACGAGAACGTTGCAGTACAACAAAACTTAGATGCCATCGAGAAGGAGACGAGAAGACGAGTCTTCTGGGTGTTGTGTAAGTCTCGTCGGATCGTTCGACTAGATCCATTATCGAGCTTATTGTTAAATCCCGCTTGCAGACGGATCTGATCGTACGATCGCCGCCTTAATATCATGTCCGATGCTCCTGCACGACGAGGATATCTTCGTATCCGACATCCTGCAGGTCGACGACAACCTCATCACGACGGCAGGGGCTTTTCAGCAACCTCCGGGAAAGACTCCTTTGCTTTGCGGCTTCATTCACGTCACCCGGATATTCCGCCTGTTGTCACAAGTCCTCCGCTTGGTCCGATCACGTGCACACGGACAGCCTACACCAGAGGGGCATGTCGATACGAGCCCAGATCCTCGGGAATTGATCAAGTCGTTGCAGAACTTGCTGGACGACCTTCCACCGCCGCTGAGGCTGAATGCGGAGACCGTGGACCCGAGGGATGTGGCCAACAACTATGCGTTCGACACTTGCAAAGCCAACATCCTTGTCACGCAGGTCCTGGTCAGATTCGCTATCTACCAGTATGCCACCTTGCGTGCCCAAGGACGACCCGATCAGTGTCTTGACGAGTGAGTTGAATTCCTTTGAGGATCGGCAGCTCGGCGTTCGGGTGGATCTCTGTTCGACCTTCTTTCGGGTGGATCTTTCACGATCGTGTCGTGCTGACGCTATCGATTTCCAATCTCTCAGGTTGACCGAAGACGTGCTCAAACGGCTGCATCAGATGTCAAGCGAATCGCTGGCTGCGAACGGGGAATCAATCCGACACAAAGTCCTGTTCATCGCCTCGAGCCTCTTGAACAAGTATCCTGCTCAGGACAGTGCTGGACACGAACATGTCGCGGATTTCTTGCAAGGTCAGTTTGTTCAGCATATGGCATGATCCAGATATCGTGCTGAATGGGCTTTCCCATCTTCAGTCTACAACAAGATTCTCACAAACCAGACCAAGAGTCAACTTGACGAAACAGAGCCAGAATGAGAGACGAAATGACGGCGTAAACTATCCAAGAATCCCGTGTAAAGTCCTAGATATCGAGGATATCGGGACTAACTCCGGAAGCAACTAAATTGCACAGGCAATTTAGTTGTGAACGGCTTGAACCGCGATCATCACCCCATTATTATCGGCAATCGGCTGAACGGTCATCGATAAACTGAACCACGATCTAGACCTCTAGCCTCTAGAAACGAATGAAATCTTAGTCTGTATCAAAGGAGGGTCGGCTATGGGTACCTCTTACAAGATCGTCGCTTCGGGTCGGCGATCCTCGGTTGTATCACCTCGTACATTTTCAAGCACGGATAGGAGAGGATTGAATATGCTCGATACCCATGCCAGCGTAAAGGTGCATTCATTTGGCTACTCAAACACACTCGAACCTATTCGACGACCGAGTGAGACATCCGTCGTTGTCTGGTGTCAGGTACAAGCGGAAAGAAGAGATCGTCATATCGTCGATCTCGCAACAAAGGTCGATTTCGGACAATAAAACCTCGTCGGAAATAGTGAAAGCGACCATGTTTCGACTCGAACAACCTCTCTTCTCGAGCCTTCAACTTGAGATAGGGACAAGCTCGCTTCACAACGATACTCAAAAGGGAACAAGACGTAATACCACTTCAGCTCTTCGTGCTAGCACAGCAAGATGAAGGATATATGGACCGGGGATGAAGGACCTCCCCCCCCTCTCGACGTCACTCGCCAGGACGATGAGCTTCTCAGTCCGCCCTGTACAGCCTATACTGCAAGCTCGTCATTCATTAGAAGACATTCTGAACACAGCCTGCCAATACGCCAGGTCACGCCGTTGTCACGAGATCAAGGTACGTACTCCTTTGTCCATCCTGGCACGTCGTCGTCCAAGCCTCTCAGTCTTATCTTTGCCCTCCTCTTCCTGACAGGTATATAGAGTTCGAGTCCCACCGTCCCACCTTCCGGGAACATGACGAGATTGTGGCCTGCAAAGAATAGGGGAAGGACCAGCAAGAAGACCACCAGTAAGATCGAGGAGATGAGCTACGTTCCTACGATTGAATCCTTACAGACCGGGACCGGAACAGAGACGAATCGGAAGGTTAGCACAAGCCGAGCGGCTTTTCTGCCGAACCTCTACGAGGTCCTTGCCAACCCGGAATACCACGACGTGAGTCGTGTCACCCTCGTTCTCTAACCATCCATGTTCTAAGTTACGTGGCTGACCGGTCTTGAGCTGGCTATCGTTCAATCTCGTAGATCATCCATTGGGATGAGACCGGCGAGATCGTGGTCGTACAGGACGCCCTAAGGCTGTCCACAGAGCTATGTCCTGTTGTCTGGCAACAGAAGGACGTCTATAGCTGGTCTCGACAGATGAACGTAAGTATCTCAGGCTATCGTCAACTGCTCCCTCTCTCTTCGCAACTTCTCTGTGGCCTCCGCACTCTCCCGGCTCGTCGCATGTCCGCCTCTCTCCTCGCATCAATCCGTTCTCGTCATCGCGAAACTCGACCGCTAACGTGAACCAACCTGTGCTTCGTCGTCGTCGTAGATCTGGAGGTGGAAACGGATCGAAAGCTACGAGAAGGGAGAACGGGGTTCCCTTGGGACTAAATCATCGAGGTGGAAGCACGACACCCTAGATCGATGGTCAAGGCCCGAGGACCTCGCTCAGGTCTCCCGGAAGGTCCCTCCCAGGGCTGGTACCGGTTCCATCAAGAAACGGCCAACGAAGTCCGCCCGTCACGTTGAAGGCGATACAAGTCAGCCTTCTTGTTCACCAGTCTTTCCGGACTACCTCGAACTTGACACCGAAGGTTCTTTCGTGCCGTCTTCACCAATCTCACCAGCCTACTCTGTCGTCTCGCCCGTTGTCTGCGTCGAATCCATTCCCGGCACTCCGCAATTTACTCCCTCGACGACCGCTGCAACCACACCGACGGCAACACCAACGGCTTCGCGAGCCTGCACCCCCTTTCTCTCTCCCGCTGCGACACCTTCTCCGGCGCAGGTGTTCAGATCAACACCTCTCCCACAAGTTTCCGGTTTGCAAGGGCAGTACTTCTTCCGAGGGTCCCCCGTCATGACGTCCACGCAACCACCTCACCTGTCCTGGAGTTCTATACAACAACCTCACTCCTGGACATCATCAAGAGGTACTTCTTCGTATTCACCATATCCGCAGACGCCACGGATGTCCATGGCAACTCCACGTAGTACGGTCGGACCTTCCCATTTGCGACAGTCCTATGTGCAGCAACACCAGCAGCAGGACATATTCGGTTCCTATGGGCAGCATTACCGACAACACGATCAGCCGCAAGAACGTCATCAGCCGGTGGTACTCGATGTCGACCTTCGTCAACTTGGTCTGGCCGATGGAGTCACCCAAGCCCAAGTCGAAGGGCTCGCGGCAACTGCAGCGGAGGTCAAGGTAGAGGACAGACCGTTTGACGGATTCGAGATGATATGGGGCGAAGGGAATCTATTCTAGGGTTATTCTTTCGGATGGTAGTTTTGGATGCTTACGATCAACTAGTTGTATTTAGGGTTAAGGATCCTCTTCACTGTATCACCGCCGGCTGCCACCACTGTACCTGTACTCTCAATTATGCGAACCGACCGATCAAATGACATGTACGATTTGAGCAATCGCGATTACTACAACGGACAAAGCGAGGACATAACATCGTAAAGAGATCGTAAAAAAGGGACATATATGAGCGTGATCGATACTCAGAAGCCGACGTCGTTCCAGTTGCTTCCCACTCCCTTCAACACTCCGGGCATCTTGACGCTCGAAGATACGTCGGGCAGGCCGCTCATCATTCCGGCCGAGGGATCGTCACGCTTGATCACCTGTCGCGAGAGATCTGATGTCAGTCACCTCGACCTGGAAACGGGTACCGATCGAAGCTTACCTTGCTCAACCACTCGTCATTCAGCCCCATCTCCCTGTCCCTGTGCGTGACGACCGCCTCAACGGCCTTGCTCTGTCTGATCTTTGCGTTCAGGTCCTCCAACGTCGATCTAGATCGGTAATTTTCCGGGTTCTCGAGGAAGGTAACGAAAGGACGAGGAGCAATGAGCGGATCGGCGGTGATCTCAGCGAAGAGTTTGCCTCTCGAGACCTGTCGTAGCGGAAAAGAACCCTTGTCAGTATCGCAGTCTCATTTCCGACCTCGATCGAGGGCAACTAACCAGGACTGTCAGGAATTGCGCGACCTCTTCCACCCGGATCTTGCCCAAGCCGTCTTTGGCATAGATCCTTGCAGCCAAGTCCTCAAGGAACATCTTCGAGTACACCTTGGTCAGGTCGACAATCTGCCATTCGATGAACGCCAGTTGGACATCGTTCAATAGGTTGGCATTATGGTCCTACAAACGATTGAAAGCGAATTATTGACGATCAGATTTGGGTGGGCGTAAAAGCGCGAGACGTCGCTCGGGACGCACCTTCTCGAAATCGTTCACGTTGGCTGTCCACACCACGCCGGGATTTCGCTCTTCGAACCCTGCGGCGAGCTTATCGTAGTTCTTGCCTTGCTCCCTGATCGCCTTGGTCATCGCCGAGGAAATATATTTGGGGTAGCTGAAGGCCTGCGGACGATGGAGGAAGGAGGAATTGATCGTCAGCACCGTTCCGTCAGCTGTACGAGATAACAGAGGATGAGATGAAACGTACCTTGCCCTCGACGATCAGATTGACAAGGACGAGCTTTGTATGCGCTTCCATCTGTAACGGCGAAATGTTCTCCGCAGGCGCTGTGACAGCCTGCATTTGTCCAGATGACATAGAGAATAAGTCAGACCGCAATTTCGATACGACTGAGACAACTCCAAGCCTACCAGCTCCAACAATTCCCTAGCCTGCTCCCACCTCTTCCCACGAATCTCGATCAACCCTCCGAAAAGATGGTATTCGATGAAATTGATCGGTCGAATCTTGAACTGCAGGTGAACATATAAGAGTATTAAAGGTCGCATCAAATCGTCAGTTGCAGTTCCAGCTTGCTGTCTTGTTGATACGACGCGAAGAGGTGGTCCGAAACCGGAAATTGTGCTAAAGAGACTTACGAAAGTGACATCATCGATAAGCACGTCCAAAACTGGTCGGGCTTCTTGTTCCCTCCTCTGGCTGTAACACAACTAAGCAGTCCCACCCAGACCATGACAAGCGGTGTCAGTCACAGTTCATCTCCCCCGGCAACTGCACACTCAACCAAGACGGACGCGGACCTACCTCGATGAATCCGGAATGCACGCTGGACAAGCTCGTAGGCGATCGAGGCCCGACGACGTTGATGGCGTGTCGGGCGATATTGAACGTCCGGTCGGGCTGAATATTCAAGACGACGTCGAGTGGGGAGTCGAATCGCGAGTTGTGGTCGGAGACGCCAATCGTGGCGGTCGAGGTTGAGGATGACAGTATGCCAGGAAGATGCGTCGAAGTATAGTCAAGTGCGGCGAGCAGCAGATAAATAAGACCGGGCAGAAGCAGCAAACACAGTCAGAACCTCTCTTGCCCCCATTGCCCAGATTCCATGCTCATCCATGATCGAATCGTCTACTCACACATCGATGGATATGTCCCAACTCTCCCAGATACCTCACGATCAACCCAACTACCGAGTCCGCACAAACACAACGTCTCCGTCAGCTTCAATATCATAAGGACAGGGAGTACTTTCCCATCTAGCGGTCGATTTGTCGCTCGACATCCCGGCTTGACCGAAAAGAAGGTAAAAAGAAATCCAAAGGACACGCAGCACTCACGAGCCTCGTCACACAACCCCAGATCCCGATTAGGCGCCGTCCCGCAGATCCGTTCTAGGACGTCAAACAGCTGCGCAGGATGTGTTTGAGGATGGAGTGGGCGGGTTTGGAGGTGACGAGCGCTGTTGTAACATTCCGTACGAAGATCGAAGGCGAGAAGGTTAGCGATAGGTTCATCTCGACTTCATATCGACAGAGCTAGAGCTCGACTTTGCGAGCATGAGAAACCGGAAGAGGACAAGCGGGACTCACAGAATCCACAACAACAACCCCCATCGACCCCCCAACTCCCCATCCATCCTTCCGATTTCCCGCTGGACGATCTGGAGTTCGAGATCCGAACAATGAAAGTCCCTCGGTGCTGCTTGAGCGGGTTGTGGTTGTTGATTCTGGGTCGATTGAGGGTTCTGGTTTTGATTCTGGTAAGGTTGAGGATTCTGAGGGTAGTGTTGGTTTTGGCCGGGATAGGCGTTTTGCGGGGAATTGAACGAGCCGGGGTTCTGGTTGCCAGAATTGCTAGTATTCGTATTCGATGCATTCCCCTGAGATGGTCCTTGCCCTTGTTGTTGTTGACCTTGTCCCTGATTCGAAGACCCGCCAGCCTGACCCTGATTCTCCTGCGCATACACATCCAACGGCAAGATCCGATCCAGTAGACCCTTCGTCCATCTCGAAAACTTGTCCGGGTGATTGGTCTCGGTATAAGGCGGTCCGGAGAGGAAATGCACCAGGTCGGAGAGCGTTTGCGGTTTTTGGTTGGATGCGAGGGCGGGAAGAGGAGGATGGAGAGCGGGATGAGTCGTGCTCATGGTAGGCAGGTTTTTGGGTGATGGTTCTGTCGATGATCGACAAAGACTTGGCGATTACATGTAACGACATTCTCTCAAGGCTCGAGGATGTCGATCGAGATGTCTACTACAGCTTCGTCATCTCTCGCTCAACCTCTCCCACCCAACAATTTCATATTTGCCACGTCATTTGCCATCGAAGTCTATTATCAGAAAAGTCATTTGCTTCCGTGCTTCGAAGAACCCGCTTCCGGCAATCTCCCGATTTGCATCCGACGCTCGCTGGGTAACTGATCGACCACCAGCTCATCGTCTCTCGACCTCTTTCAGATTCAATACGACCTGTGCAAATCTTCGAACCTCACCTCTTGTCGTCGATATCATCAACATCGACAAGCTCGTCATCATGGCCAATCCTATACTCCAAACGCTCGGCCGTTTCGGGATGGCGCTCCAGCCCCAAACCCCGTCGCTCGACTATACAGGCCTCGAGTACAGGTGGAAGAACTTTGTCTTTCGACCCGCCGAGTTCCAGAAAGAGGCCGTCTTTGCGGGCATGTTGGGGTTGTTGATGCTCGTCTACTTCTTGGGCAAGAAGTGGAACGAGCAGAAGGCTAGGGCTTGGTGAGTTTCGAGTTCTGGGCTTTTCCTCAGAGACGTTGCTTTTGCTCTCGGTCGCGCGATTCGGACCGTATCCTACCGTACCATCTCTCGCTAACCATCTTTTCCTCTGCGTGCAGGTGGTCAACTTTCGACCCTCTCTACTCTTCTCAGTTCCGAGCGATGTCGCCTCTCCCCAATCAACCCCTGGTGACCAACTCGCCCTCGACCCACCTCCACTACCTGACCGGCCGACGCAACCTCCTCTCCCTCCACACGGTTCTCAACCTTCTCCCTCGTCACAACGCCGTACAGTACATTCAGGACCTCGTCTGGGGAGTCGTTGATCCGGTCAACGAACTGGGAGACGAGTTGGTCCTCGACTACACGCTCGGGGAGAACGGCAAGGGTCAGCTCGGAGAGGGTGTGGGCGTTTGGGGAGTCGTGAGGAAGAGTGGAGTTTTGACCAAGATCAGGAAAGAGAGGTGGGACGTCGTAAGTACCTCGTTTCCGAGTCTTGTTTTCATGTCATCTGTCTTTACTGACAATCTTCCGTGTTCGCCCTCGTCCTCGCACCCCGGTAGACCTTCTGCAAGACGGTCGAGAACCCCCAGATTCCCCCTACCCACATGCTCTTGACCGAATCCGCCGATTCGACCGACTACCTCCTCAACGCGCCCAATGTTGGTTTGTTGGACGTCTTGAAGAACGAGAGGACTGGGGGTTTGTTGAAGAGCTTGATCGTCAGTCGACTCCTTGACTTCGGTGTTACCGTTAGATCTCCAACCATGCTGACTTCCCACCGCCCCATATTTCATGATACCTGTTTGTAGATCACCGACCAACCCACCACCCGCCCGACCCGCGGCCCCCTTCCCGAATCCGCCCGATCGAGACACTTGATCATCACCCTCAGGTTGCCCCCGAGCGGACGGTACGAGGACACGATGCCCTGGGTTCAGGTCGGGTTGAACTTGTGTGACTTGTTGGGCAAGGTGGCTATGAAGCCCGAGGTATGTCGGGGTCGATTTCATTAAGTCCGCGCTGAATGAACAAGACCGCTGACCTCCCTCCGACTGTCTTGTCATCGGCTCTTCGCTAGACCACCCGCAAGCTTCGAAAGACGCGTCAGGAAGTCTCTGACGAACTCGCCCGGTCGTACGCCGCTGAGCAAAAGGAAGAGAATGGCGACCCCGAGGAGGAGAAGAAGGCGGCCAAGAGGAAGGAGGAGGCCAAGAGGCGGGCTGCGATGAGCGATGTGGAGAGGAAGAAGGTTAGTCTTTTGGTTCTGCGGACGATTGACGATTAGCTGGCAGCTGGTCGAGGGATCTGAAAGGCGGTCGAGAGTTGCGAGCTGATATCCGGGGTTTTTTTTTTTGGCGTGTCAGCTCGAACTCAAGGAGCAGAAGAAGCAACAACGGAAAGCCCAGATCAAGCAGCTCAAGGGAGGAAAGTAGATTGCATACGGCGTGTAGTTGCATTTGCAGTAGAGTCAAAGACGAAGAGCGACAGTGCATCGGACAGGGAGGTAGGGGGGTTCGAAGTAGGTACAGACGGAAAAAGGATGAACTAAAACAGAACAAGAAGGAGCATTTGCGAGAGTTTGGGGTTTGGAGGAATCATATGGCATTTCAATTCGCATGGGATATCGAACGTTGATGATCGTGTCTCGAAGCACGCTGTCTGCGGAAGGGCTGTGGAAAGTCTCTTACTTTGACATGCCACCATGTTTGAAGGTGACGGCCACAGCCAAGGATTTGGTCAGGTGAGATCAAGATGGTTGCGGTCGAAATCAAACGCTCGGATGTAGACCAAAGGCTAAGTCGAGGACATCAATGACAAGGTCTCCGATGTGTGCGATATAGAAGCTCGATGTTCTTTATGCATCTAATCGTTCATAGTAAGGCAGCTACACACGACGATACACAAAAGACAGGAAGGTACAGGTTTGAATGTCAATCCGTTGGTTTCTCCGAAATCCTCAGTGTTCCATAGGAACCCCCAGCCGTGATGGCCGGTTTAGGCAAGGATATGAAATAACGGAAGCCCAGTTTAGACTCATCAACGTCCCTTCCCCGACACCCCAGCCCCTCTTCCCTTCCCCACCACAATCCCCCCATGTTTGCCCCGACCACGAGAAGCAGCGAAAGACCGAACCCAAGCCCATTCTCCATCAACCTTGCGGGAGAAGAACGAGCAAGCGTCACAGCCCCAGCCGACGACCCGGTGCCGAGAAGAGGAAAGAGCGAAAGAAGAGAGGAGAAGCCGAAGAGCCGAGTACGCGAGACGAAGTAGACGAGGGGGTCTGATCGAGGGAGAGGCCGTATGAAAGCTCGTAACCCGTCGACAGGAATTATACGTCAATCGATTTTCTTGAAGTCCGTGATGGATCCAGGAGAGGGACGCTTCCAATCTGTCGAAAGTGCGAAGCGGTCATCAGAGACGCCCACTTCGCTCGGGCCCATGAGAAGAAGAAAGAGGGGATAGGTGCGGGAGGTAGGGGTTGTATGAGTTTAGGGATTCGAGCTCTATATACTCGCTCGAGGTTGCGAGGCTGAGCCCGGCAAAAGTTTACGCGTCGCCAGAAATCACCCTTGATCACGTGAAAGCAGTGGAGTGGCAAAGATCGCATTGACATCGAGACGATTCTAGTAACAGCAGAACAGATTCTGCGCTCTCGAATATCGTTATCGGCACCGAATGGACTATCAGACAGACCCGGGAGGCCTCGTTATGGTCGGAAGATGAGCATAACCATCTAGGATACAGAATCGCTTACTTAGAGACATTTTCATGGCCTTACATGCTGCACGATGCTGTATGCCGGTATTGGGCAAACACATACACCCCCTGACATGACGATATCTTGATGGTGGCGGAGACTCGATTGACGAGTGAAGTAGATACAAAGTGGCGATTATTTGGCATGAGGCGGACGGTCCCCTGCAGGTGACCGACCTCACCGTCTGTACACGTGGGGATCGTGCTGATGATACGAAGTACCGTTCTGATCGTAAAATATCGTAAAGTCCAAAGAATCCATATAGCATTTTGTGGAAGAGTATCCATCACAATGTCGAAAGAGTAAATATCGTAATGCTGGAAGAGAATATGTCGTGCTGTCGAGAGAGTGCTGAATTGTCTTAGTTATGGTTGTCATCTGTATTTGCAGCGGCGCCAGGATGATAGGTGAACCCGGCTGAATTCGTAGTCGTTGGGTCATAGTGGTAAAGTAGTTGTAGCGTGGATTCCGTAAGATATCCCAGTGAAGCCTGGGTAGTAGGGGAGTGGCAGAGTCGTGTGCAGAATATCCGTATGCTAGGGTAAGGTGTAAAATGTATTTATCCAGATTCATGCTGCGCGGTCTTTTGGGCAGCACGAGGCACGTCTGCCAAAGCGCGATCGCACGAAGTGTTCTTATGATCTGCTTTGCGGGTCCGGGATCACACGCCTGGGCCAGACGAAGGTGGTCACCCGCTGTTCGAATGAAGCACTTTTGCGATCTGCTCCGGTGTCATCGGCACGAATGATCTGGCCGGCGAGCGAGTTTCGCGTTTGGCTGTTTCAAACTTTTGCAGACTGGTGCTTAGCTCACACCACCATTCGAGCATTGATTGCGTATAGTCCTCGAGCCCTTCCTCGGGCGACGGCCCCGCAATGACTCGGCAGTCCGGTGGAAGGAGCAGTTGGATCAGTCGAGCTACCGGAAGAGCTGGTTGTTTGTTGAAGACGAGAGCTCTCAGATGTTCAAAGGTCGACGCGATAGTGAAACACCTCATTTGAGGTATAAAAGGTAAATCCGCAACGATCCTGCTTTCCAACATCGCCAGGTCGATTTTCCTTAAATAGAACGCGCAAGTCAGAGTGACTTTCTGGAAGCGACTGAGGCAACGCAAGTAGACCGCGAGGTCACCCAGAGTATCGATAGAGATCGTCTCGATATGCTTTCCCTTCGCGAATATACGATCCAAGGTCTCTTCGTTGGAGAGCATCGCCGCCGATCCTTCGAGACGGCATGCCAGTAGGCGGAGTTCTGGACAGACATCGAGGAGAGCATCTAGTTCTCTCAAGGAGAATGCGTCGTGCGTGGCAGGAGGTGTCAGGATTGTCAAGGAGCGGAGCTGTCCGAGCGGCTCAGTAAGGGCAATTTCCTTTGATACGCCTTGGGTTTCGACTATGAGGGCCTTGAGCGAAAACTGGAGCGACGGGATGCTGTCACGACTCGCAAGTCTGATCGAGTCTAGCGAACGCCAGCAGATCGTTCCAGCTTCAGAAGCATGATGCCATTTCCAACTTGAATTTGTCGTGAGAGGATAGGGACGCTGAACGAGGATTAGATTGCCGTTGAACTCAAAAGACTCGACAACGGTGTTGAGCTCCTCTGAATCCCAGGTCTTGATCATTCTCAAGTTGGGAAATTGATTGAGACACCGATCCAAAAACTGAGGCTCGGTAACGGATCCGTACCCGCTGAAGGCTTGACGGAGGACTTCGACATCCTCGCGTAGAATTTTGACACTTCGGCAGATGGCCACGAAGCGATCCTGGAGAGAATGAGCTCAGATGCAAATAAGCAGTTCGGAAGGTAACCTCGAGCTCACCAGATTGGCTCCTGATTCGAGGTGACCCAGTAGCTCACCAAACCAGCTTTCTTCATAACGGATTCTCGCGATTATCCAGAACCGACTTTTGCACAGCAGCATTCCGTTGATCATGTCTCCCAGACCCTTCATGTCATCCAGATCCTTCACATAGCCATGTTGATCGACATGACGGTATATTATCTCCAAATCCTTCATATAACCTTGTTGATAGACATGGCGGTAGATCACTTCCACCAGGAGATCGTTTGCCCATACAGCTTTGCTCGCAGCGGACGGCTCGAATCGCCAGATCGATTCGTAGGATGTTGTACTATCGGATGACGGCGGCGCGCTCAAGCGGTCGCTCGAGCCATGATGAGAGAGCAGAGAAGCATCCATGGCTCGTCCGACTGATGTTGACTGGTATACTGATACCGATCCAGATTATCTGGTAAATCAGCGATGGTCCCGATGATCGTGTACCGCAGGTCGATGCTGCATGCTTCACGCCGATTGCCCTTGGTGGAGGCTTCCCCGCCTGAAAATCACGTGACCTGACATATCGATAGCTGACTCCTCGTTATCCATCTGCACCTGTACATCATTGAGTATCGCTCCTACAGACGTGATCAGTGCGATCCGATCAAGCTGATTTGTACGTCAAAGTGAAGGATGCTCTTGATCCTCGAGTGTGACCCGGGTTGGCCCTTATTCAAGTCATTCCATATACATACAAGCCATGTAGCTGTTTTCACTGTCGAGCTCAGGAAATCACAGTTCTTCTCCATTGACTCGGCAGCTTTCGCGAGGGGAGATGCCAGGGCGAGCAGTACTGTAGGTCGTCACTCGGACGTCCTGTTCGGACTGTGCATGCTCTATAATCATTTCGTCATCCGGGAATCCTGTACAAGTACACTTCCTAGACCATACTGGCAACCTCGAAAAGCGCAAGAAGTTGGCAAGGTTCCGTTTAATCCTCTCCCTCGACGATCCAGTACGAAGGTGCGTCCAACTGCTTGTCTCCCTGCATGACATCACACAAACGCCAGGCAAAGTCAGATTCACAAGATTGACCCGAATTGACAGCAGAAAAGATGCGATGTAAGAATTTGCAGCTCACGTTCAAGAATCCGAGCCCGACGATGAAGAGGTACTCCAAAGTCTTTCCTCCGCATTTGGAGATGAGCTCTCCGGCGGCGGCGGCAGATCCACCGGTTGCGATCAGGTCGCTGTGAGGTGGCGAGGAAAGCAAAGTAAAGGGAAACATAATCAGCTTCAATACGAGTCATGGGAAGATCACGAGGCTTCAAGCATCTAAAAAGGGTGTATGAAAGGGGTACGGCTCAGAGTGCAGACTCACTCGACAACAACAACGGTCTGACCCGGCTTGATGGCATCGGCTTGGATCTCGAACTCATCCTAAGGTACCATATAGAGCAATCCGTCAGCTCTTCTTCGTGACGCTATATAGAGAGGGGACTCCGCGGCTTTACTCACAACACCATACTCCTTCTCGTAGCTGGCCACATGGCACTGTCCCGGCAGCTTGCCCCTCTTCCTGACGGGCACAAAGGCGGCACCCAATCTGGCGGCGATCAGAGGTCCGAGGAGAAATCCACGAGCGTCGAGACCGACGATGACGTCGACCTTGTTTCCGTTCTGGGGCAAGGTCTTGGTGAAGAGGTGGTTCATAAAATGGGTCATGAGGGCTTCGGTCGCGATGGGGTCCCGGAGGATGGGCTACGGAACGCGAACAATCGATTGAGCACATTCAACTTGAACAGCGAGTGAAAGACAGCGTTTGAAACTTACGAAGATGTCCAGGAAGGTGATTCCCTGAGCGATAACAGTAACACAGTCCCACCACAATCAGCCGAGCGTTTTACCAATTCTCCCCAAGCTCGCCGGCTCACCTCCTTGGGGAACCCAGGGTAGACACCCAGCTTGCTCTTGATGTAATCAACGTCAGACATTGTAATTGGTAGCGATCACGGATGTGCGTTCTCAAGCTGTTGCTCGGTTGATATGGTTGACTTTGGCCTTTCGAAGATACGAATTGTCAATCCTTGACGTCGACGACGTCCCTCGAAATTATGAATTCGCGGAAGCAAAAGTGGCGAAGAATACTTCCGAAAAGTACTTCCGTTAGGTGAGCGAGAACGTCGATGAACCATTCACTCGTAGCGTACTCTCTTCGAGACCATACGTGTACATGCATACCCAAGCCATCAACTCGCTGGACCACAAATACATTATTACATGACATACTACAGAGACACGCCATCTCAGCATCTAAAAGTCCGTCCTGTTCGTCCACTCGCCAAGACCCCCCTGAGTTTCACCCTGAGGTACGCTCGAGGCGCCGGTATCCATCGACCCCCCGATCGTGCTCCCAAACACGTCCCCTTCCCCTCCGAACGCCTCGTCCATATCAAACCCGTCTTCTCCTTCTTCCTCCGTTGCGCTACCTTCGACCTCCATCCCGAGAGGAGGAGAAGTACCGCGAGCGGAGAAGTCGGCGGTGGACACGTGAGGGCTGAAGAACCCTGAAGTGAATGGGGCCGCCATCGGACCAGCATCCGCCGGGTTGAGCGAAGATGGAGCTCCGAAAGCGAAACTTCTCGCCGGAAGGGATTTCGTAGGTCGCAATCCTCTCGACTTGGCAGACCTCATGAACGCCGGAGTTCCGAAATCAGACTCGTTGGCAACAGCGTGTGAGTGAGAATGAGACTGGGGCTGAGAAGGCTCGTCGGTGTCCGTACCGCTGGCCATCCCATCGTCCGATTGGTTCCCATCCACGCCTGACCCAAACATGTTCTCCCCGCTGGCCGACCTAGCGTGTCTCCCACCCGCTCGCTTCGTACCCCGACTGAACCCAAACTCGTCGACCTTGCCTGCCCGGGCCTCGTCACTGTCCTCGTGCATCCCACTTGCGTCAACATCCTCTTGACCGGGTACAAAGACCTCGGCCATCCCCCTCAACTCTCCCCTGACCTTGGGTTTCAATCGTCGGACCAGATTTTCCAACTTCTCCTGCTCCGACGTCCAATGTGCTTTGGCTGAGGCCAGGGTCTGGTTGGACGTCTGGAACCCGTAGTTTTGAGACCGGGAGAAAGTAGGGTTGGGGGAAGATTGGTATCGAGGGAAATCCCTCTCCCTATTCAGATGAGCGGGAAAGTACCCGTTCCCCGCTCCAGCTTCGACGGTCGGCGCAGTGATAGAGTCCGAGGAACTCGCGCTCGAACCTCCTAGAGCGTTGGCGTGGGTTGGTTTGAGGAAATCAGGCTCCTGGAAATCGAGGTCCTGCGTAGGGTTGCCAGAGATGGAGATGGGGATAGGCTGAGCGTTGAATTGGAGTTGTGATTGAGAAAAGGTTGGGGCGGTCTGGTAGCCGGTGGTCACGTCTGTTCGGAGTGAAGGAAGGATCGGTCAAGGTCAGTTTCTGATTGCATGGAACGCGTTCTACAAATGTGCAGTTCGATTCTCTCTTCTTCGCTAGCCCGCCTGTTGTACGACCGCCCTCACATCACGCCAAAACACTCTCAAAAGCACTCTCGCACTCACTCTGCCTGACCCTGGCCCCAACCCCAAACACCTTCCACGTCGTATCATCCTCGATCCCGTACCTCTCCCCGGCCTGTTCAGACGACGTCCTGGTAAACACGCGTGATTCCGACGAGGTGGCTGGTCGGAAGCGGTTTCGTTTGGGCGAGGGTTGTTGGGTGGTCATAACGGATGGATGAGCTGAATCGGTAGCGACCAGCGAGCTGGCAAGAAGTATCAATGTTGTCGCTTGACCTGTACCCTATGGTTGTAACCCTGATAATAATAATGGGTCGTGGTTGAATTGTGTTTGTTTACCTTGGCTTCGAGATTAGGATTGGGACCCCACGCTAAGCTTATAGGCTTCGGCGCGCGACCAAGCTTGTGACGCGTGAGAAAGCAAACTCGCTCTCCTTAGAAAACACCCCCCGGGACACTTGCGCTGGACCGTAGCGATCAAGTTCATCATCGACGGTACAACCGTCCCACATCGACTCCTCGTCCAAACGCCACTCCCTTCTGTACATACCCCTACCCTTTCACTCCTCTCCAAAACTCAAACTAGACACATAGCATAATGTCGGCTAGGAGCGCTGCTGCCAAGGTGGTAAGTAGACGTTTCGGGACGGACATCTCTTTCGATTCGGTTTCGCACGGGAACGTCGGAAGAGACGTCGTACGGTCGGGTCAGGATTAGGACGGCAATAGCAGGTATAGCAGGACAAGAGAAGAAATCGAGACCAGGGCCTTCATCGAATTAGGTCAGGCGGTCGGTATACAACTCGGAACCGAGACGTAGTCGAGACAATCGGAGTCCGGCGGGCAGGGCGTAGTCGACAGGACAATTCTAGCGAAACAGTCAAACAAAATTGTCGACCTTGTGCTGATTGCCTGGTTTCGTTCGTGATATCGTGATTACCATCGCAGGACTGGACCAAGATCGCCAGCGGTCTCGGTTTGGGCAAGGGTGAGTTGAGAGCACAATCCTTCATCTTCGGCTCTGCGTGCTCCAGCTTACATTTACCCTCGAACCCGCTCACGACTCCCGCTCACAGAGACCGTCTCGGAGATCAACGCTTTCCGAGCCCGTCACGCCGCCGCCGCGACCAAGAACGCCACCCTCAAATCCTCCACCCCTACCCTCGACTTTGCCCGATACAAGTCGGTCCTCAAGAACCAGTCCGCCCTCTCCGAGGCCGAAAAGGTCCTCTCCTCCTTCAAGCCCGTCACTTACGACCTGGGCAAGATCACCGGTGTCGTCGACGCCTTCGAGGCCCGAGCCGTCGACTCGGCCAAGAAGACCGTAGAGAAGATTCAGAGCGAGCAGGAGGGGCTCGAGGCTACGTTGTCCAACATCAAGGATGCCAGGCCGTTCGAGGATTTGACCGTCAAGGAGGTCACCGAGGCTCAGCCGCAGATCGCAAAGGCCGTCGAGACCATGGTCAAGAAGGGGAAGTGGAGCGTTCCCGGATACAGGGTTAGTAACGGGTTGACTCGATTGGGGGTTACTTGATTTGGATGATGGTGGGCTGATTTCTTGTTTCGCGTTGGTCCTCGTTCTCGACGAAAACAGGAGAAGTTCGGCGACTTCAGCTTGATGTAAGCGGGCGAGCGGCATCAAGGATAGAGAAAGGAAAAGGACGAGGGACGAGAGAAGATCGTTCAGCTAGAGAAGGACGGTCGTCAATCGGATCTTTGATGGAAATGAGAGGGAGGAAGAGAGTAGATGCGGTGAAGGCAGATAGATCGTCGTGGAACGGAACGCGATGCATGTAAAGCAGAAGAAGAGAAAAAACCTATGGACAATGCGGATCATACGGAAAACGAAAACGGAAACACGACCAAGGTTTGCAACACGTATCGTGATGTGTCGTTTCGCATTACAGACATATGTTAGAGCCTACGTGCATACCCCTACTTTTTCCCTCGGTTGGGCTTCTCGTTCAACCTCCCAAACAAGTTGCCAACGACTCCACTCGCACCGGCTTGCGCCTTGTAGCTTCCCAAAAGGTCTTTCATCATCTCGACCTCTTGCTTGTCTCCCTCACCGAGCGACTGCATGGCACGTCTCGTCTCGTCGTCCATCAGGTCCATGTCCACGTCGTCGTCCTCGTCCTCGTCTTCGGCGTCACCTCCAGCGCTCTTCAATGCCGCGCGCAGCTCCCGATCCATGGCGATCAGATCGTCTTCGTCCATCTCGTCCAGGTCGGCCTCGGTCGGAAGCGAATCCAATGCGCTCAGTCTGGAAGGGGACGGTTTCTTCGCTGCAGATGCTTTCGAGGAAGTGGGTCGAGTCGACGTAGACTTGCCGGGACCTGCCCGTTCTCGCCGTTTCGAGGCGAGTTCGGCTTCCATGGCGTCCATGACTCGCTCGAACGAATCTAGGTTTGGGTTCCTCTGTCCAGGTGGAATCGGGGTCGTGTTGGCGGTTGCAGGCTCGGTGGCGTGTTTAGCTTCTGGGACAACAGGCATCTTGGGTTTGGGTTGGGAGGACGATGCCGTGGTCTCTTCCGGCACATAAGCTGCAAGGTGGCGTTGCCATCAGCTCCAGTAGGCAAAGATACTCATCCTTTCGTACTCACCTCCTCTAGCCTTCCTGTCACCCATCATTCCCCGCCACATCTCGTCGTTGATACCCAAAGCTTCCCTAGCGAACCGTAGGAAATCATCCTGCTCAGCCTCCATGTCAGGCTCGCCCAACTCAGGGTCCGCCCGCTGTTCGTCTTCCTGATACTCGTCGTCCGAGAGGTCGAGCTTGTCACCAACATCAAACGCCTTGAGGTTCTCACGGGGCATAGGCTGACCCGTTCGCAACGCTTCTTGTAATACGTAAGTGCTTGGGTCAATCGTCCGCTTCTTAGACGCCTTGCCCTTGGGCGCCTTGTATGACGGTCGCTTGGCCCACCCGGCGACAACGTCGTCTGCTGGGTCCCAGTCGCTCATGTCATCGTCGGACTCTGGTACATGACCGTCATAGTTTTCGGGTTCCAGGATGGGTGGACGAACGGAGGGCATCTCCTCCGTCTTGTCCTGGCTAGTCTCGGCGGGTTTTGTCCCGGCGGCAAATGATACCTTGCGTTTAGGCTTGCCGTTCGAATCGGTTTCTTTCTGTTCGTCGGGCCCATCTCGCTTCTGTGTCTTGCTACCCCATTCCTCGGGCGCCAAACCGGGCACGAGTTCGTTGAGACGCCTTTCCCGCTCGTCTCCGGTCATACCATCGTCCTGCTCGGCGTCCGATTCATCATCCGAATCTCCCAGCATATCGTCGTCAGACAGTTCACTGTGGTCGTGGCTGTTATGAGCTGTCTGTTCTGATCGGGCCAGACACCACACCGACTCACTCATCAAAGGTCGCCCCCGTCATGCCACCTTTGGCTTCGACAAACTGATTCACCTTTTTAGCCAGGTCGCTCAAAACGTTGGCCTGCTCGTTGGCCTCAACCTCTTCGCCATCCTGACGTCCTTCAGACGTTTCTGCAACCGGAGGCCGAGCTTCCTGTCCCGCTTCGGCTTGGCTCAACATGCCATCCAGCTCATCCGGCGATACCTCTAGCCAAGCCTCGGAATCGTCTGGAATCTCTGAAGAGGTAGCGAGGTCTTCGAGCTTCATGGTCGCCGTTACTGCCAAGGCGTTATCGACAGACTGAGCGAAAGATGTCCGTTCCTCGAGTCTATTTGGACACGTATAACGAAATGATCAGCTTTTCACCCCTCATACAGGTCGGCTGGCGAGGACTGACTGTTCCGCCTGCAACCCTCTCCAAGCATCCGCAGCCTTCTTCTCCTTGGCCTGATATCCCGCACTCCCTTTCATCTCTCCCTCGAACCAGCCTGCCTTGTCCAGGTTGTCGATGTACGTAACGTAGGCTTTATCCTTGCGCAAGTCTTCCTGTGAATCCGCCTGATCACCGCTACGCCGACTCCGTTTGTTGTCTTCCCGGAACATGATCTCGAAGCCCATAATCAACTTGACTCCTAAATCTCGATATTTGCGTTCCCGCTCCGCCTGCTCCCTCTCCTCTGGCTCGAGATCCCCTCCAACCTGGATCCTCCATTCAGCTCCGAAAACTCGAGGAGGGTGATATACCTGCCCCTTCAGTTGAGCATAAGCCGTCCTTGTCAATACCAAAGGGGCTAGAACTACCGATGTCGCAGGAGTAGGCGGGAACTTGGTAGCTCTTGATGCCAATCGGAGTTGCGCAGCATCCCTCGTGTAGAACCCTTCGACGGCCCGTTGACCCAGAGCCGGATCGACCTTGAGAGCCTTGGCGATATTCACAGGTAGATACGCTTTCGCCCGGTGGTGGTGCGTCCGTAAAGTCCCCGGATAACCCGAGATTCTCTCCCAGACATCTCCCTCGATGTCCGGCGAGTAGAACTGACCACGCCCATCGGCTGCTACGGTTAGAGCTCGTCTGAGGAGCCTGGTGGCGTCTTGTCCGTTCAACCACGCGTGATCATCATCGTCGGCTCCCTCTTCTGCTTGGCCAGAAATGTCACTCTGATCAAACTCGAATGATTTGGGTCGGGTCGACGTGGGAGAACGGTGATCAGGGGGAATCAGGTGGAGGTGCCCGCTTGCCAACCATAGCTGAAGTAGGTGCGACCAGAATGTGCAGGGAATGTCAGCCAGAGTCACGCAGATTGAAGGGGATGAGACCAACGTGAATGGTCGAGACTCACCCTATTTTGTGCGTTTGTTGGAGTCACCCATTTAGGTAGGTGGTTCGCCGCCTCGATCAACAAAAAGTCGCCATCGGTATCTCGAACCCTGCATGCGAACCACCGGGACGTTCCTAGCTTAGCTTTCAAGTCTCCGAAGCAATGCAACATGTAAATCAGGGAGAGATCGTACTCACGAAATGAGCAGCTCTGGCCATGTCTTCGAGATATCCCTGAGTAGCCAGACGACGAGCCATTCATCATCGACCGAATCCCCTATGCGCATCCGACCTTCCAACCTCCTGCCTGGGCCGATCGCTGAGGAATTTGAATCCCGACCCGTCACTTCAGCCCCATTGTCGCAACTTTCGTCTTCGTCTTGCTCGTCCCCGTCCTCTTCCTGGAAACGTACTCGTACTTTCGAAACCTGTTCACCCCGCTCAAACCTCCTATCCTGGAGATCTGTTTCCCGGACGACCTTGAGCTCCCAGCTATCCTTGTGCCATAGCCATGTTCCATCCTTGAAGGGAGAATATGGAGCCAAAGTGGTTTGTATTCGGGAGGTAATCAAAGCTGCATAGCTTTCCGGCGTCGTGGTTGATCCGGGAGGAAGGTGGATAGAGTAATGGAGGGCGTCTTCCGAGATTGTCGAAGAGGGAAATACTTGCGGATCGGTCGCGGCTCCGGACATGATTCTGGTATGATACCTTATCAAAAGGTAGTTCTATACGCTATGTCTCTCGATCAAGAGGCGGTGACTTCGAACGAATAGCCTAGCGATGTTCGTTTCCTCAGAAGATGATCTTGTGGCAAGCTAGCTAGCTGCAGATGACAAAGTTTGTCCGGATACAGTGTTCTTCTGTTTCTTCCTTCTGCAGAGAATGCCAAAGACTCTATTCCGAGCTCCTAGCCGACGCTAGCTATCGATGCAGGTGTTATTACTGTGTAACTGAACTGACAACTCGGTTTGATGGTCAGAGTAGGTCTAGGGTAGGAGAACTTATCGAACTTGGTTCATCCCGATCGCTGCTCGCGTAATAAAGGCTACATTAATCGGGTTTAATTTGGCAAACAATCCGCGAGTAATGGCTCAGTGGTCTAAACACCCTGTGCTCCGAAAGTAACTCTCCCAATTTCTGGCTATCAGAGTCATCTAAGTGACAAGTGATCCCAGGGAGGATGAGGGGAAAGGGTGTTGGCACATAGTCCATCCTTTTTGCACTTTTTGGAGGCTTCTCATATCAAGTAATTTGAGTTTTTTGTTTCTGGTCCCAGCCAAACGATCGTTGCGAATTCGACTTGATCTCTACAAACACGCAGAGTCCTCGGTTCGATTCCGGCTCTAGCATTCCACTTTTGCTCGATTGTCAGGCAAGATGAACAGTTTCGTCACTATGCCGAAGACCGAGGCGCGGAAAAAGTTGATCGGAAAGAGCATCCCAACACCTACAACATATAGTCTTACAGGTACTTCATTTCGCCAAATCTATAGCATATAGCTTGAGTAACAGCAGGACGAATACATCGTAACACTCTGAACGTCCGAAACAGCGAGTTCGACATACGCAGCATACCCTACCTATGCCTCCTTCTTGCGAATCGAAATACATCTCTGTAGGGGCCAACCGGTTCTGTTCGGTCTCTTCTGCGGACCCTCGGACGGGAATTGTCGCTTTCGGTGCTGGACAGGTCGTAGCGCTATGGGATCCTAGAGTCAGTATCGCATTGGGGACACGGCAGCGGTCTCGATGGGATCTTCGAGCTCATACTTCGTTTCACTCGTCCATCGTGGTAGGATCCTAGCGGACGACTAACGAGAAAGACCCTACCCGGGCATTCCGCTCAAGTCACCACTGTCAAACATCTCCCTCTGCCCTCTGGAAGTGGGAGAGAAGAACATCGCTCCTCCAGCTGCCCGCTGATATCCGGCGACGAACAGGGAAACATTATCCTCTGGACGAGCAAAGGGGATTCGAGCGGGTACGAGAGCCAGTTCAATTACCATAAACGATGGGAAAAGAAGGCCCATGAAGGCTCCGTCTGCTCTCTCGGGGTGTTCACCTCGGAACAGGACTCGTCAATATCGACATCTAAAACGACGGGTCTGATCTTATCAGGGGGTAATGATGGGAAGGTCAAGATCTTCAGCTGGATAATGCAAGGAGAGGAAGTCACGATGGAAGAAGTCCAGGAACTCGGATTGAACGGAAGGATGCCCTTGGATATCGTCTTGACGACTCTGCCTGATTCGAACGGTCAGTTTGGTTGTCCAAGTTGTGGAACGGGTCAACAAGTATGCTAAAAGATACTCAATTGGAAGTACAGACTTGGTGTTGGCCATCGCGCTGACGGAGAAGAAGATCCACCTCTACTCTTCACCTGGCATCACGCCGACTAGCGTATCAACTTCATCGTCAACACCAACCTCGGTAAAGTTTTCGAAAGCTTTGACACTGGAAGGCCATGAAGACTGGATCAGGTGTCTCGATTTCGCCCGATATCCCCGCTCGGACGCTCAAGACGGCGAAAACGACGTCATGCTAGCTTCGGGCTCTCAAGACGGGTACATTCGTCTCTGGCGACTATCGCCCGTGCCGAACGCGGAGAAGGGGAAAAGTGACAATGCCGGTGCCGGGAATGGGACAACCGATCTGGACGATGAGATGTTTGACGAGTTCGAGCGGACGGTCACGGGTGATCAGGGCGGGAGTCGGCAGTTGAGTACGAAGGCGCATGTTATGGCGGTCCAGGGACCTGGTGGAGAAGGGTTAGTCTTTAAAAGACGACAATTGGTTCATCGAGCTTCCGACGGGATTCTGAAGGCTAAATAAAGCACGTGATGGCTTCGTTACAGGTTGGCACATTTTGGGATCTCGCTCGAAGCCCTTTTGATCGGTCATGAAGGCAAACTCACCAACGTTCATTTCAGTCCATCCCAAATTTACGAATCGCCTCGCCTACTATCGACCGCAGCAGACAATTCGATGATCATCTGGGCCCCGGAAGCACAAGGTCAAGGCGTCAACACTATCTGGCTTCCGAAACAACGGTTCGGTGAATTGGGCGCCGGAAGGAGTCTGGGAATGTTTGGTGCGCTTTGGAGTACGAGCGATAGTGCCGCGAGGAGGGATGTCAGCGTGGTCACCAACAGCTGGAGTGGCGGGTTGCAGAGGTGGAGGCAATCCAGCGATGATCCCGACGAGGAACAATGGGTATCCGAGATCGCGCCTACCGGGCACGCTCTTGCGGTCGAGGATCTCGCATGGGACCCTTCGTCATCGTACCTCCTTTCCGTCAGTACGGATCAGACATCCAGGGTACACGCACAATGCCGATCCAAGACCGAGGGTTCGACGGTTTGGGGAGAGCTGGGACGTCCGCAAGTGCACGGGTACGATCTTACCTGTGTAGCGTTTCTGGATCGCCTAAGGTTCGCAAGCGGTGCGGATGAAAAGGTCGTCCGAGTGTTCGATGCGCCGAAAGGGTTTGCAGCTAGTTTATACGGGTTGGGCGTCACTCAGGAGGATTTGACAGAGGTGAGTCGTGCGGTGCTGCAGGCATATAAGAGGTCTTGACTCACGAGCCTTCTCATACAGTCAGCGCGAGCTGTTGGAGCTAGTGTCCCGCCTCTTGGTCTGTCCAACCGAGCGCTCGACCAGCGTGGGTGATCGTGTTTAGGGGTATTCAATAGCGTTCGCATTTAACTCCTTCCGCGAACTCATCCTCATACAAACAGCTGTTCAGGAAGACGCACCGCAAGCAGAAGAGAAGGGTTTCAACCATGAGCATGTGTCGATCTCGACCGAAATGTCGGTGCTTCCCACCGAGGCTGTGCTAGCGAGCTCAACGTTGTGGCCGGAAGTCGAAAAGCTGTACGGTCATGGGTACGAAGTGAGTACATCTCCCAGCCTTGCTATGTACGCCCTGTTTCATAGCTGAAGAGCCGATCTCAACAAAGTTGATGGCAGTTGCTGCATCGCCTCGGGGTGACCTCCTCGCCACTTCCTGTAAAGCTACATCTGCCGAACACGCCGTCATTCGGGTTTACGACACCATGACATGGAAACAAGTGGGAGCTCCACTTCCAGGGCACAACCTGACGATCGCACGGATACGATTCAGTAACTCTGGTAACTTTGTATTGAGCTGCTCGCGAGATCGGACATGGCGACTTTTCAAACGGAATCAAGAAGGCGAAGGTGAGCGATTCACTGCTGATACTAGCAAAGCTTCTCGTCTGATCAACGTTGTTCTCAGGCTTTGTGCCGGCTGCTGCGGATCGATCGCATTCTAGAATCGTGTGGGATTGTGCATGGGCACCGGATGACTCGTACTTCGTCACAGTGTCTCGTGACAAGCAGATCAAGATCTGGACAGCGCTATCTGGCAAGGATGGAGAGTGGAAAGAGTCCCTGAACCACAAGATGCCTGCGAGCGTAACAGCAGTAGATGTAATCCGGGATCGAACGCGAGACCGGTAAGTGACGAGAACGTCTGAAGCGGCTTGACGCAATTTCTCACCAAAATGCACACGATCGTCACATTCGCAGGGACCTTTTGGCCATCGGCACCGAATCTGGCCAGATATCAATCTTCTCTGTGAATCAGTCCGGCAAGGCACTCGAACAGATCACTGAGTTGGGAGAGCAGTGAGTGCTATCGTGCCGATCGATTCCCGACCGCGTCTAATTCTTTACGTCTCTGCAGCGAACGGCATGTACAGCAAGTATCCAGACTTTCTTGGCGACAGGGAACCCGATCGAATTCGCACTTCGAATTGGCCAGTACAAGCGAGGATAGAAGCGTGCGGGTGACATCCATTATCGTATGAGTTCGCCAGTCGAATATTTGGCTGGCGATTACAGGGATGTCCATAGCATAACGATATCATTTTATGGACCCATCGGGCTTATGCGCTTTACTTGATACTCTCACTGAGCCCGTCGAACCTCTCTTTGTTGGACCCTTTTATCGCCTCTGTCCAACCTCGCCTTTAGCTTCGCCTGTCGCTTCGAAGTCGCCTCTTGAGCCTGAGCCGCTTCGGGCGCTCCTGCCCCATTTTGAGTCTGACCGGACGGGACAGCTGGGCCACCGCGCATCGATCGCAGCATAGGGGCGAAAGTGTTGTAAAGCTTATAGGCTCCGATGCCGGGCGCCTGAAAGATCGAGCGGGATGAGCCTCTCGGCTATGCATCGAGAATCAAGGCAGCTCACCGCTAGCCAGAGATACCAGAACTTGCTGCTCAATAACGTCGCTAGGATTTGACAGGCCCAGGTGATATAGATGCTGTGGACAGAGGACGCAAAAGAAGTACGGCAAGGTTGGTATCTTGAGGGTGCTACTTCGACAACTTAGCTCAGCTACTCACGTGTCCCAAGCCCATTCAATGATTCCTTGACCATCCAGGTCTTCTCCGCTTCTCGTCACATTCCCTCCTACGTCTCTCTGCGGGGTGCCGATATTGTTGAAATGCCGATAGATTGCCAGAGTGACGATCAAAGCCGAACCGTTGAGAAACTTCAGGCCGAATCCTCTGGGTAGTAATGTATGACCCAGAAAGACTTTGTATGCCAGCCTAACGACAAGCGTTATTGCCTGGCCACACGAAACACGGGGTATGGGAGTTTCAGCTTACGGCTTCCAACACGCATCGCATCACATTTCGTCAACCCACGTTGACCAAGATGAGACCTAACCGCAGATTGCGCAGATATGCCTCATTGTTGGACGCCGTCTTTTTGGTCGCCGCTTTCGCCTGGGAACTCGGGCAATGTCAGTGAGGACGCCTGTCCATCCAGGAAAAACGGCTGACATACCATATTAAGATCGTTCGAATCTCGCTGTTACGCACATGCGCTGGGCTAAGACGTATGTTCGAACTGCAAGGTGGTGGTTTACGTGGTTTACTGTCCATGTATGATCGCCCTCGTGCCTTCATGGCCCTCGTGAAGGATCAGGTCCTCATCGACCATCGATCGTGTTCATCAAATGGAGTCGTGCAGTCAGGATTGGCGCGATGGTATGTGTGTGCAAACTGCTACCCAATAAAACATGTCTGTACGTTATATGTACACATTATCAGTCTTCATACCAATGATTCTACATGATTACAAGAGGGATGATGAGGAGGCGCTACTGAGTGACAGCCACACGAAGAGTTGACATTCCAAGGACCATAGCCGCATCCGAACGGTGCAGCGGCGATACCGGTTCCGAACCGATGGTGGGAGCTGCTAAGGCCCGTGCGATGATCCTCAAACAATCTTTGAAGCATTGGCGCTCTTCATCCGTAAGTTCTGCAGGAAGGTTCGTCTTCCCGGCTAAATCCGATCTACAGGAACGGATCGTTTGAGCCAGACGTTGGATGCAGCATCGCCATGCGTTGCTCGTGTTGTCGATGATTCTTACGGTCTGGTGAGGACAACGTTTAGCCTCATATCTAAATATTTTGCACGACTATACGTACGTCGTGTAAGTCACTCTTCCAATTTTTCTGTTTGATCGCTTGGTCACTGAATCGGTTGATGGAATTCTTCTTTCTTTCGTCCGGTCTGGCTTGTGTTTCCTTAGCGACTTGTGCAATCTGGTAGGGTTACGAACTCGGTCATGCCCCATGTCTCTATCTGCTCATCACATCCGGCCTAGCGTACCTGGTAAACGTGAGCATAGATTGCCGATTCCAGATCGTCAATGTACCGATGGGGACCGATGGCCAACAGCTCCCGTTCTTGCTCGACGAGAGCGCGCTCACAAGACTCGATCATCAAGTCAAGCCCTTCCTCAGGCTCCTGGAGTCTGTACCTGGCCAATCTCTTCGCTTCAAGTCGGTGGTCCTGCTGCGCCTCCAATACGCGCGTCATTTGACAGCAGAGGAACATAAGATTGGCGGATCTCGCATCATCCAGTCGCAATTGCACGTGCAGATCATCTGGCTCCGATCCGTCGAATCGCGTATATATTCGCCTTTCATCCAGATATCGAGCGTTACCATAATCGATCAAGTAGCCGATCACGCGCTGGCCGTCCTCGCTCTGCAGTAAGCTGTACAGGACGTTGCCGGTATTGATATCTCTATAGTGGATGTTCGAGCAAGCCGCGACGTAGAGGGACTGAAACGTATGATTGAGGATTTCCAAGCGGTCTTTCAGCGAGAGTGCACTGCGATCGTTGATCCTGCGTCCATGCGGATTGATTGTGCACATGGCAGATAGTACCAAGTGCTGCTCAGTCTCTGTAGTAGACGATTGTTGGAGTCCGTCTTGACTGGCGATAACGAAGGGAGCATTCTGCGTGAGGATTTGGCATCCTTCAAGCATGCCTACGGCACGCGGCCTGCATGTCAAGATCTCTGGATCGATAATGTTCAGTGCCTCTTGAAGATGTGGATACTTGCTAGCGAGTTGCGGATCTTTCATGGCCATGTTGAGGTGGTGTAGGATGTTTTGCTCGTATTCGACGAGAAAACGTGGAAGCCAAGTGAACTTGATCGTCATCGACTCAACCGGCTGGGTCGTACCTGGTCTACGAACGTGACCGCCTATCGCGACTGTCCGACGACCCCATAGATCGACTCGACGCTCTAGGACCTTCCAAGGGGGTTGGCTGGGCGAGGGTCTCACCCATTCGTAGAGGACCGGCTTGCTACCGACACCAGGTGGATTGACGGAGAATGTCCGCGTTGGCGGCTCGTATGTTTGCAGGACATTCTGGAGGGGACCGGCCAGGAAGGCAACGATAGCCACGATATCCTCCGCATGATCAGGATTGCTTAGGTCGCACAACCGGGTCGTCGAGAAGGACATGCTGTCCGACACGTACAATCTCAGGTAACGGCCGCAAAGGGTGTAGCCACAGGTGCGACCTGTCACAGGATTTCCATATGCAATAAAACTCTGCCAACGAGATGGAGTATACATCAACCTTGACCGTAACCTGCGATTGTGTACCTGTGATGTCCTACCATGTATTGCATTATACGCAGGCCAGCCCTGTCGGATTCCCTATTGCTATCGGTCTGCATGTCGTGAGTCGAGTTGTTCTTGTGTAATCCAACCGTACGAAGTTCTCCACAGTGAGGGGCGACGCTGGCTTGACGAGCGGATGTATTGTTCTTCAAGCCGTAGACATTGGGATACACATGGTACCATTCCTCTTGATCTCGGGGCCCCTGGAAACGTACCGTTTCGGTGTGACCCTCGCAGTGTTGTATCGTGGGATTTGGTTTTAGACCCGCCCGGCATCCGATTTCGAACGTCGGCTTGATCTTCCTGTGTCCCGAGAGCCGGGCCACGATGTCGTTCAGCGATCTTTGGAAGTGAGGTGTGTTCTGGTTCTCCGTCGCTGGTGTTTCCAAGCCCTTGAGATATCTGCCGAAACATCCAGCCATGCCTGGTTTGCCTTTGACGAACCTCACAGCTTCAACTATATGAGGATCGGTGTTGTCGACGCATCTAAACTCGAGGAACCTTGAGTCGTATCGGAGATCCATAGTTTGCCTCAGTCGGCTCGCGATGTCATTGGTGCCAGTTGATCCGATTTGGAGATCGTTGAGCGACTCGCCGTCATGCCAAAGGGGGTTGGCAGCCTCGGTTACAGCATGTGAGATTCGTGGTCGTGAGACCGGTGGGTCATCGGTCGCTGATGGGACAGTCCCTGACAGGCTCTTATACCTCCTTGCAAGCAATGGGTGAGTCCTCCTGAAGATGCCATTCCTGCCTACCGCGGCGGTATCCCGCTCGTAATCGGCAGCGGTGACATCGACGTGTCGGAATGTAACGGCCGGTAAAGAACAAGCTGAGACATCTCGTTCGGTCATCCTTGTACGGAGGGCAGGGCATCGAACGACCACGATTTGTTTAGCTGCATTCGCCTGATGATGCCTTGATACCTCTCAGCTCTCTACCGTAGTGGTAGTCCCCGAGGTGGAAATACGCGCCCCTTACGTAATCGAACACGATGACAATCACAACAACAACAACGAATTTGCATCCGACAATCGGCATCAGGTTGGTCGACTTTCCACTCGGGCCACTGACTACAGCTATCCAACACACTACACTACACTTTGATGTGTGGGTGCACGGTGATGGGGACAGCATATCATCAGAACAGTGTTCAAAACATCGGTAAACAACAACTTCATAATCCGCCATGAACGCTTCATCCGACAATCGACCGGACGGACTCCCGCCAACAATCTCTCGCTTACCACGGCTCGCCCACCGCAAACCCGCTCTAGGATCCTCCTCGTCAAACTTGCGGACCACCTCGTCTCTCTCGGACCTGCGTGGTACTCCTCTGAAATCTTCGACTAGCTGTGGAATCAAGTATGTCGCCTCGCCTGCGGGTTCGGAGAAGAGCTCTGGGGCGTCGATCACTCGTACACCTGTCGTCACAGCCGGACGAGGAAACCCATCCATACACGCCAGACCGACCCCGAATACAAGGCCGAGTCCGAGTATCAGAGCTGGGACACCCGGGAGCTCAGGGAGACTGAACGTTTCTTCGCCTTCGAGTCTCCGCAAGGCCGCATCCAGTGCGACCCTGGCCAAAGTCACATTACCGGCTCAGGGATCCCCCATCCAGCGAAGCAACACGCCAACCACGCCAACCCGAGCGCAACCGAAGACATATTCGTCCCCTCAACAATCGATTCAACAAGCAGGTCAGGGAACCCCGGAGCGTTCTAATGCAAACGGGGTAGCGCCGTCCACCCCTAGATCGACGCTTCGAGCTCAGATCGCTGCCAAACGAAGAGAGATGCAGAGGAGTACCGATTCGTCATCCATGGACCAGTCACTGAGATCCGTGACATCGAGAGGCTCCATGATGGACCAACAGGGTCTGGAAGAGATGTTCAACGAGATAGACCTTGCTGGAAGAGCCTCTGCTAGACGCCCTCCTCCTCCTTCGGCTAGCCAGTTTACGGGAAGTCGATCCCGATCGTCAGACGACCCGGAGGACCTGTTCGGCAGGTCTTTGGCGGAGACTCTGGTCAAGGCATCGAGGTCTGGAAAGCTCAACGTCGCCAATATGGGTCTCGAACGATTCCCAAGGGAGCTGTGGACTGGCGTCTTAGGTCTTTCCGAAGACGAAGTCGGTCCAGAACCTCCCACCGACGCAGCACAAGGAGCTCGTCCAGCTACAACTACCGCTGAGGACGTCTTCTCCGGCAAGTCGGGCTTCGGAGCGGACGATCTCCCCCCACACGTACGTTCCCAGCAGAGTCGATCGGAGACCAAGAAGCTTCTGGATCAGGTTCCCTTTTACGAGCGGGAAGATCTTACCGCGATCAAGGCGTCGGGGAATATGCTCAAGGTGGTCGAACCGTACATCGGCATGTTTGGGGCGTTGAAGACTCTGGATGTAAGTGATTTGAGTAGTTAATTTATGATGCTGTGGGCTGAGGTTTCAATTTTTTCGTAGCTCCGATCGAATATGCTCAGCGAACTACCACGAAACATCATCGACTTGAGGGAACTGGAGGTTCTCGATATCTCGTACGTGTTTTCTTCAAGCCTGGAAGCAGAGAGTGACTGCGGCTAGAGCGATTCGATCTGTTAGACACAACGCTTTCCATTCTCTACCCAAATCGATCATCCTCCTACCTTCCCTTGTGACGCTCGATATATCCCACAACTCGCTAGCCGAAGTCTGTTTCCTATCGGGCGAACGTCCGGACCAAGCCGTCCTCGACTACCGCAAGGACAACGCCTTTCTCACCTCGTTCCCCGGTACACCCACACGATCAAAGTTCATTGCAGAGGATACGGACGTTATCCTCCCGAGCCTCAAACGGATGATGCTCCAAGGAAACAAGTTGACGAATTCGAGCTTGCCACCGGTTTGGCCGGAGAACCTGGAATCACTGGATCTCAGCGGGAACGCCTTGACAGGCCAATGGGATGTTACCAGCTTGGCAGCGTGTCGGCAGCTGAAGAAAGTGATCGTAGCCCGGAACGGTCTGACTTCTCTGATACGGGATGATGATCAGGAAGGCTGGCGTAGTCTGGAATCCTTTGATCTAACCGACAATGAAGTGCGGGATGAGGAGGATGTAGCTCAGGTCTTTGGGTCGCGAAGCGGGTTCAATCTAGTGAGCTTGTTCACGGACTTGACTGCACTTATGGCCTCCGACTGAGACATCGCCCGCAACTAGATCTTGACCGGCTGTCCTTTGCCACAAGCGCCAACGAGTATGGTTCACTCGATGAAGCCGTCGCGAGCGGCAGTCGAATCGTCCTCTGAGGATGACTCTGTGAGCGCAAAATCGTGCTCAAGTAGCGATCAACGGGGTACTGGTCCCTTGAAACATCTGTACGATCCCGTGCACCGAGAGATCATCGTAGACAGATCTAGCGGGAAAGACTGCTTGGGACCGGATCGGGAGTTTGATCTTCAACTTGTTCTCGACGCCGTACCCGAGGATATGACTATACGCAAGCTCGTGCTGGACGGGGTTCTGCCGCTCAAATCGCTTAGGATACCGTCAGGCGAGAGTCAGCTCAAGGCTATCAAGGAGTTGATCATCGTCAACAGCTCTCTGGAGTCGACGGATGACCTTTTCTCGTCTTTGGCCGAAGTCATGCCGTACTTGGAAGAACTAGACTTGAGCGGTTCTCTCCTGACCCACTTGAAAGGCGTCGATCGCCTCGTCGGAAACGGGCTGAAGAAGCTCGACATTAGGGGTGCGAGAATCGCCGATATCGATGCCATCGTAGGGATCGCCAAGCATGTCCGAGCGGGAACCTGGACAGGCAAAATGTTACTCGAAGAGCTGGACCTGCGGGACAATGCTATACCCAGGTGAGAATCAGGTGATTGTTGATTGATCTAGGCTTTCGCTCAAGGTCAATGATTTTACCCTTTCCAGACTCGCTAATGAACTCGGTTGGCTACCACTGCGCACGATCATGGTCGAGAACAACGAGTTCCGAAATCCTAGCAGAAGGCATTGGGAAAAAGGCACTCCTGCCTTGATGCAGTGGTTGAGAGACGGATTATGATGGTATCAAACAAAGGCTTTACAATGATCCTTTTTTTTTCATCTTTTTCGGTGACTGTATCATACGTATTTGATGTCTAATGTCTCGCCGCCATCAAGATCGAGCTCGAGGATCTTTCCTGCTCCGTCAAACAGGTCCCCATCGAAATCGATCTTCAGCTTCTTCCCCGGTACCCTGTTCTTCCCTCTGCCTGTCGCAGGTAGCTCGACGGGGATCGACATCTTGCTAGCGTAATATTTGATGACCGCGTCATAGGTCGTGGTCGAGCTCACATTGCCCGTCAACTCGCCTTCCTGACCCCGAATCTGAACGGAGATGCTCGAGGGGGTCGTCGGCGGCTCTGATCCTGCCGTATCGGCATGGCGGGGAGCGAGCATAAAGGCGGTTGGTTTAGGGGCTGAGTCAAGGATCTCGATGTCGGAAGAATAGTCCGCTGCCCTTTGGACTGGCTGAGTAACTCGAGTTTCCGGCTCTGAATCCGAATCGATCTCGATAGGCTCCGTACTTGGTATCGTTGCTTTGGTAACGGCTGGCACTTTGATTGCCAGAGATCCCGGACGTGATATTGGTGCATGTGCTGTGGTCTGAGCGGAAGACGCCGTTGGTTCAGGGGTCGATGATTTTTCGTTGTTCGCTACTCGATTCTGGAACCGAATGCGTTCTGCTTCTTTACGGGCGGTCTCGACCTGCTCATAGTGGCTTCTCTCGTATGCGACTGCAAATCAAACCAAAAATCGAGAGAATTCGTCATAGTCTCGGTCAGCCCATCTTGAACCATTTGACCCAAGTTGCAAGCGAGGCCGACTCACAGAGCGTAATTGTCGAATCCGGAAACTTGAGTGAATTAGGAGTAGCGTAGCATGACCATATCCGGGTCCCATTGTCGAATTCCATGATGATGTTACTCGATGGATTTGAGATTCCTAGAGCTTGGCCCAAGGTCTCGTAGATCAAGGTCAACGGTTCGTCCTATATGAAAATAAAGTCAGCTTGAAAGCAACTTTCAAACTGTGTATCGGGTAGGGTAAACTGACTCGTGGCGCATCAAAAGCTTTCTTGGTCTCCCACTTCCCTCTTTCGACTACTCCCATATCCACCGCCTTCCCAGGATCAATCTTAGGTTCGACCATCACTTGGCACTTCGACCCCGTACCGAGCGAGGATTCCCCGCCGAATCGGACATCGGAACCGCTCAGAGCTTTCGCTGTGAGGTGTCTAGCCTGGATCTTGGCGATAAGATCAGGATCCGGGGCTGGGAGGGAAACGTCTGCTTCGTCGTCGTCCGAGTCCGAGTCAGGCATATGAACGGGTGCTGGTGCACCTGTATGGGGATTGGTAGCAGAAAGGGGGCTCGTCAAGGGTTCCCCAGGTGGATCACTCGGTGTGCTCTTCCGGTTTGCTGATGTTGAGCTGTTTACAAGCGAAATCACAGTCGATTCGGGTCTAGTAGAATGCAAGCTGAAAGTGGAAGTGTTTCGGACTCACCCTTTGGAACCTTTATCTACCCCTCTGTCCTCGTCCTCCACCTCGTCTTCGTCAGACGCTTCCTCGCTCTCTCCGACGGCCTTGTCCGAGGCCAAATTGACACCGCTCCTGACCCAGTCCGCCTCGCCCTTCTTCTTGCTCCGTTTCCTCTTCCTGCCACTTGACTCTTCTTGTTCAGAACCGGAACCTTGAGCGGGAACAGAGGGAGGGGGAGAGGGGTCCTTGATGGTTTGACTGGCGAGTTTGCGCATGAGGCGACGACGGTAGGCGAAGAGGTCATCGTCATCGTCATCGACCGCGTTCACCGGTGCTTTGGCAGGAACAGCACTATTCTGAGTCGTTACGTTGACATCAGACAGGCCCGTTGCAGACTCTGTAGAGACAGATGCCGGAGCTCGAGCCCGAGGTCGTGGTTTAGGTCTCTGTCGAGCAGCTTCAGCCATGTTGCGGGATGAGAAGACGCTTGTGCAAGAGCGGCGGAGGTGATGTCGATGAAAGTTAACACCAAAACTTTCTGGCAGCAGTGATGACTAGGATGTAGCTTGATGATAGCAGTAGTAGGTGGCTAGTGCGTTATCGAGATACGAAACCGATACACATCCAGTTCGACCTCGACCTGAAAGGGACCGGAGGCTCGAAGAAGCCCAAATGTGTCGGATTTGCTTCCGCAGGTATCGGCTTTCGCCTAAAGCTGCACCAACCGCCTACTGTAACAACATGCGATACCGGCGCTTGATATCGATTGACTTCACTGAACTGCCTTCACACGGCACAATACCCGGGGACATATCTCGCATACATGTGTCAGAGGCTGTATCGGTTAGAGCTCCCCCGTGATTACGGAATCTAATAGCGCTGAGGATGTGTCGTTTGTGTTGTCAGTTGATGTGTTCATCAGACTGCAAAGGGCGAAACTGCAGACGGCGAGACTGCAAAGGGCGCCAAATCTGCTGGTGGATCTACTCTAATCAAAGCTCATCATCTACAAGATCCATTCGAAAAAAAGGCGCCTCGAACCTTGTGCCAGCTCCGCCGCATTGTATCGCATTTTGCTTCGTGGCGACTGAACTGGTCATATTGCCTCGGTCAAACCAATAACTGGAAGGTTCATGATCATGCGCGCTCACAATCAAGATGAGATTTGAGATGGATCTTGTTGATAGGGAAACCTCCGCTCGATATCGGCCCTGACAACCACAACAAAATTCCAACTGCAGCGCTTGGTTGATCTAGACCCAATCGCAGCAAACTTGCAGCAGCGCCGGAATGATTATGGTATCCATGCGTTGCTTTTCGTTCATCAGTATTCGTGGGTATCGAATTGATACCCTCGATGATTCCGGGTGGGCGAGTATCTTATCTGATCTCTGTTGCATTCTGCTCTTGTAAAAAGGTAGGTCTCTTTGTACGCCTTCGATGCGTCTCTAGCCGAAGTAGCCGGAAAGCCCATTCCAGGCAAGCGCATTCGATGGGGGAGGACGTTTTGCAACGGCCGAGAGGTTACAATGAAGCCTATCCTGATTCTGGCCAATGCATAAGTCGTCGTGTATATCGATATCGCGCAGAATCAAGCCAGTCTCCATGAAACCCTGGCTAAGTAGCTTGACATGACATGTTGCTTCTTCCAGACTGTGGAACACAGGCTTTCAAAGGGGGTTTTCAGAGCCGGTACCAGGGCGACGGGGCTGGATACGTGGACGTCGACGCGAGGAGGGAGAAGATGACGCCAATATTGGGTCCACAGACCCCAAGTTTTCGATCTGGGTTGAAGTGCTTATCACATATATGTCAGCCTAAGTGGGAAAATGTGCATGTGGCAGTTTCGCGATGCAGTCGGCAAGATAGGCGTAGATCTTAGCATGAGCGTTTGGTTGAGGCGTCAGAGAGAACGCTGACAATACCTAGCAATAAGCGGGTTGAAATGTATGCCTAATTTTTGAAAGAGGTTCGGTAGAGCAGGTACAACTTGAATGGGCTCACGGACATGACGAACCACTGCTCTCGATGTGCATTTATTCTATCCATGGGCTTAGCTAAGAGCTATCATTTCATCACAATGATCTTTCTCTTGCAGTCGACAGACACGCTCGCATCATTGAACTCCCACACCGATGGACGTCAAGCTTTTAAAACATGAAACTATCAGCTGACCTTGCTCGGTGGATCGCTCGGTCGAGCCACCTCGCTTGCGAAATAGAGTTTACCCTACGTTTCATCGCGACGCGCGTCAGGGAAGGATCGGACCGGGGATCCGAGACATGATGCGGGGTTCGAGGTGGATCGGTTTTGCGTTGTCGCTCTTGGCACTCACGAGATCTTGAACCGATGATGGGACTATACTCGAAAAGTCAGGCCTCCAGGCGGATTGGCTTCTTACTTCTAGTTGTGTAGCGCGATGCGAGGCCTCTGTACTCTGAGGTCGCAACAGAGACGCAAGACGAATTACATGACGCGCGTCGACGAAAGAAAACCCACCTGGAACGCCAAACCTTGTCTGCCTCTTCGATCGATCGCGCCTCTCGATCTCGGACATACGGAAAGTTCTTTATGGCCGTGGATTTCATCAAGAAAGAACGCACTCGGCCGAGATTCCCAGAGGCATGTCCGGCTCAAAGGATGTTTCTCCTCATTGTCCCCGATGTACGTTTCATATGGTCTCTTCTAGCTTCTGTTGCACACGCGTGACGCATTCATCGACGAACTCATCACCTCGGGCAGGCGTCCGGCGATCAGCTACGTGATCGAAAGGAGGGTGATTCGATCATCATGAGACCTGAAAATCGACTTGGATCTACCAAGGCATTCACGTAGGGAGGCGATGTCCTTTTACGCAGGTGACGACCCATATAATCTCGCGGTCGCACTCCACGACAGCTTCGGCGAGGTAAAGAGTCTGAACTGGATCTTCTCGCATGATCTGAACGATGGAATGCGAGAATCAGGAGGTTCTGATGTTCAACATGCACAGCAAATTTGACTCGTTTGGTGTTTCGAGATGGTATCGACAACAGAGCGACAGAAATATAAGGCTGGAGGATCGGAGACATCAGTTATATCAGTTAAAGGTTGAAAGGACGAAACGTCCACTTTTTCCTTGTCGTCATCGAATATCAACAGATCCGGCGAGATCATACCTTTAATCCACGTTTCAAGGCCCGTGCGTAGAAGCAATATCACCTGACCGATAGCCACCGAGACCCTCTGGTATCAAACATCGAACCTGCTCCCGTCGCGCTTGTGACCTTACCCTTCAGTCCATCAGAGATAACGGAAAGATCCACCCGAGGTCGCTTAGACGACACGATCAGAAACATCAAAAAGGCACAGCAATCCGATTATTATCCTCGATCTCTCGATCTAGACAGCCAAATATCACCCGAGTGAGCTTTTTTGCATAGCACAGCATTTGATGGCTCCACAAGTCACAAGGAGCGCTGACGGCTTCACTCGGCGCTGACCAGCTAGGCGACACACTCCGAGAAATCATATATATACCTCGTCGATCGTCGAAACTCTCCTGATCCACCTTCCTCATTCTCCGAAATGAAGGCACAACAAACACGTTGATCGTCGAGCATCTCCATCCCTTTCCCATCTTCAAGCTGCAATACGAAGCCGAGCTTCCAGAACTCGACTCGACCCGTACCGCCCACATCCTTTGCCTCCCGAAGAAGTTTCTTCCTGGACATCGATCAACATGCCATACCAGAACAACGGTTCCTACCTCAACCCGTACGACTGTCACAGCCCATATCAACCCGGACAGAGTCTACCCCAGTACGACGAGAAGAAAATGATGGACATCAATTGTCTGCAGAGATTCAGTGGTATCTACGTGAGTTCTCTCAGAGCTGGATGCGGCGACGCGATCAGGACTATAGTACAGCCTGCTGATGGCGCGTGAACTTGACGGAGCAGTGCAACAACCTTCCCATCGGATCGTGCTCAAACACACAGCTACCTAATAGGTTACATTGTCAATACGTGAGTTCCACCTCTCATAGTCCTTTTGTCTCTTCTCTCATTGATCCCGACCTCTTCCAATCACATGCTGTAGCACTCATGCATGGCGGTCAGTCCTTAGTTTCCTAAATGTTCAAGCCTTCCCGTACCGTACTGAGATCCCATGGCTTGGAACTCTATAGATCTTGACCGACGGAACACCTTGCCCTAATCCGAGCGCCCCGGGAACATCTTATTGTGCTACAGGCTGTGAGTCGATCGTTATGATTTTCTTTGGAGAAGATCTAATCTGACTGCCCTCGTACGGTTCGACGACCGCAGATCACGAAGAGAACGGCCGACTTCCCATCCTGCACTCTCCCCGGTCCAGCTTCTCTTGCTCCCAGAGCACTTCGACATCCTCTTCCGACGGTCACTCCTCCAGTATGACCCGCTCGTACGAGACCCTCTGGTCCAACGGATCTCATACCGGAAGCGATCATGCCGGATCGACCGAAGGCTATCCTTCAACACCTCAACACCACGCCTACCACACGGAGTCCGAGCAACAACAGCCCCAACACTTCCAAAGCCATACGGCGCAACTGTTCCCTCGGTTCGGCATCCAGTGGAACACCCATTACTCTCATTCCCAACCCGCCTCGCAATACTACTCTTCGCATGAGCAACAGGGTGCGGCGTACTACGCGACGACCGAGGGAACCGATTCCGAGTGGGGCACCATCGATAAACGATCCATGTAGGCGTAATAAACCCCGCTCTGCTCTGGAAGGCAACATGGCCAGGATGATGTCTCGACGATATCGCTCCGCGCCATCTCCCTGACGATCCACACTACACCATCATCGCAACATACATCAATCTAGACTTGAATACCACCATCGTACACGCGCATGCGCTGGACGGACCCTTCCAACGATAGACTCTGTATCTTTAGCCTCGCATACGACATCCCGCTCCAGTTCCCAGCAAACGGAGCGGGAATCTCTAGCATTGTTTCTCTCTCGGACCGCTCACGGTTCCACCTCATTGACTCGAAATCAAATGCCGCTTATTTCCTTCCTTACGCCGTCTTCTAGCAGTCTCGACTCACCCTTGTGTCTATAGCATCATTCCGTAACTTGTATTCTGTCATTTCGGTCTGCCTAAACTGTACAACCTTAATACCGATTCGCTTTTTCAAGTTTCGATGTCATTTTCGATGGAAACGTGATGAAAGCTGGCAAGAGACAGACGACGCTGCTACGAAGCGTCGATGGCATGGCCTTTTCTTACAGTTATTCTTCAACCGTCAGAGTTATACAGTCTTATAACGCATCGATACAAACCCACTATGCTAGCCGATTCCAGAGGTTCCTTGTCCTTCCCCACGCCGATTATCAAGCTTGCAAGACGAATTCGGCATGATTCGCCTTCCAATCCTTAGCCCCTCGGTATTGCCATGTGAAATTCTTGAACTCGAACTGATTCATCGCATGCGCTTCCATCTGCTTGACGACCTCGTCCCCCGTTCCACGGCTCGCCGATCCGAGCCCGGCCAACCTGCTCTGTTGTTGCGTCATCGTGGCTCGTTTGTATCGGATCCTGAAAATTTCCTCTAGAGTAGCGGGTACGTCGGCGGGAGAGACATCCTGGAGGAGGGCACCTATGGCCTCGGCGTCTTCGATAGCTTGAGAGGCACCTTGACCTTGATGAGGTAGCACTGTTGACGCAAATCAAGGATCCCGCATGAGTAATCGACAGCCGGTGGATATAACCTCGGTACAAAAACTCACTGGCGTGAGCTGCGTCGCCGAGCAAGATGGCTCTCCCCTTGGTCCACTTGTGCAGAGGTTCTTGGTCTCTCAACTGCCACAGCCCGACCTCGTCCGCCGTGCTGCATCAACAGTCGGTCAGCGACGTCGAATTGGAAATATACGTAAGAGGTCGAGACTTACCCCAGCAGTTTCTGGTAGACGGGTGCGAACGAGCTGTACGACTTGACTAGCGATGCCACGTCACCCTTGGCTGTCCATTTCTCTTCTGAAATTTCGTTCAACTCCGAGTCGGCTGCATCATACGTTCGAATACTTAGCATGTCTTCCCAACCAAATAACCAAGGGAGACTATTTCGAGTTCAACTCACGCAAGATGCACACGAAGTTCAGTATCGTCTGGTTCCTACAGGGATAACAGATGATCCTCCTGCCATTCCCATAGATGATCGTCAAGTTCGGGTCGGTAATCTTGAGCGCCGCCAATTCAGGGTCGGAGTTGATCTTGGAGGCGGGAATGAGCATTCGATAAGCTGAATGACCGGATGGGACCGAGTTGAGAGAGTCGCCGACGATGGAAGATCGGACGGCCGATTTGATACCGTCAGACGCTGTATCCAGGTATACCATAGTGGCCCATCATCAAGTTCAGCTTGGGCTCCAGATGTCACTGAAGAACCATTCGGCTGCAAACCCTCAAAGACTCACCGATGATGACATCGGCAGTGTATACTTCGCCGGTGCTGGTAGTGACGGTTCCAGCCTCCGGATCCTGCAGATTCGCAATTAGGCTGGTCAGCGAGGCCCTCCTCCGCCTCTCTGAAGGCAGAGGGCATATGGGCCAGAGAACACTTACGCATCCGACCACTCTGGTATTGAGCACCAGCTCGCAAGGCCTCCCTGGTCCATCGTCTCTCGTTGCGAGCTCCTTCAACTCTTCCAGGACATCCACCCGATGGTTCAAGAGCTATAAGAAAGGAAACCGAACCCTCAAGTCAGTAAACGTTTCCATTGCATATCTGCTCTACCGGCACATATCGCATCAAGCTGCGGACTCACCCATTGATTCTCACCGTCGTCGGTGCCGCTGGGTACGGCGATCAAGGGCGTCCCATCAGGCTGAAAAGTCTTGAACATCTTGACGTTGGGCGCGCCATACTTGAGAAGGTCTCCCCCGAGTGCCTTGATGATCCGCGTAGCATTCGGAGCGAGATGAACAGCGGCTGACAGGCGTGATATCGACTTGTTGAGCTCTACGTGGTATGTGGGAATCTAGCACCGAGTGGATCGTTCACTCTCACCTCCAATCTCTCGAACGACCTTTACCGATTCTAGGATGGTCACCTTGGCGTGAGCCCTGAGAGCCGCGCCACAGGCCATTCCACAGATTCCACCCCCGACGATGATGACGTGTAATTGTTCCCGTTCCTCTTGCGTCATTTGGTGAGAGCGAGAAATCAATTGTTGATGCTGGTGGAAGGTGGGATGATCGAGTCTATCCCCGCAAATACAAGCTGTGAGCGCAAGGTCTTCGAGCATTCAGCTCTTGTATGTCGAGCCAGATCGTCATAACCGGTCATGAAGATTTGGCATCTGATTCGGATCTCCCGCGCCCGACCTCCGTCTTATTTCGAGCTCATGGCCCCGGGGTGTCCGTAAACCGAGGACTGGTCGATCGGGAGCTTTCGGTGATCGCCGCAGTCTCTCGGGGGCTGGTGGGTGGTGATGGCGCTTGTGACCGGAGTTTCAGGGATACGATTTCAGAGCTCATCGAGAACTCCCCAAGCGGCGCCATTCGCCAGTCGTTTCGGCGCTGAGGGGGATCATGATAAATAAAGTATAAGAGCGAGGATCATCGCTAGGCTCACCTTACATAGGGCTGACCATCCCCCATCGACCAGGCAGATCGTCGGAACCTATCAATCTACACCTCGTCATGCCTTCCCCAGGAGATATCGCCTATCGACCCATAAATCCCCCAACTGTCGGCCGTAACGGCTGGCAAGGGTTCAATCCGCATACCTCTTACCTCAAGAAAGGTGACAAGCCATTCGGGCACCGTCAAGTCGATTGCGACATCACCATCGAGCATGACGTCGAGATCGTCGCTAGGGACGGGGTCAAGCTTTATGTGGACGTCTACCGACCGACAAACGTGAAGGCGCAAGTCCCTGCGATCCTGTCCTATTCGCCATTTGGTAAGAAGTACAGCGGGATGCTAATGTGAGTACCATGTCGGGCTCTGCGGGTGTGAATTGAGTTGCACGTATAGCTAATCTTATCCGGTGGGAACATTGCATAGGCTTCCTATGACGCCATATATGTGTGGTGTGACAGGGGAAGATATCTCTGGCTTGGAAAAGTTTGAAGGCAAGTGGCTATTTTTCATCGAGGTTCATCTTGATAACCAATACTTAGACATCTTTTCCTCCATTACCAGGTGTCGATCCCGCCAAGTGGTGCGCCTGGGACTATGCAGTGATCAGCGTCGACGCGCGGGGAGCCGGCGCATCTGAGGGGAACGTGGCCATCATGGGCACCCAGGAGGGAGAAGACGGGTACGACGTCATCGAAGCCGTGGCGAAGATGAAATGGTGTGACGGGAACGTGGCCTTGGCAGGTAACAGCCATTTGGCCATCGTCCAGTGGTTCATCGCTGCGCAGAATCCACCTTCCTTGAAGGCTATCGCGCCTTGGGAAGGGTGTAGCGATCTTTACGTGAGTACCGAGGTTGCTCGACGAGACCGTTTCGGCCAGAATATAGCTGATACGCCGGATGGACCTGCTCGAGATAGCGCGAACAATTCGTCCGTGGCGGGATCTTCAATATGAGCAATTTCGAGCTCATCATGAAGGTCATCATCCAGGGAGGTGGCGGCGTGGAAGACTTTCGCGAGATGTACGCCCGGCTGGATCGGGGTATCATCGACCCTTGGTGGGCGGACAAGCGCGCCCAGATGGATAAGATCAAGGTCCCCACCTACATCACGGGCTCGGAATTCAGCTCGATCCATACGATGGGATCGTTGAGGGGTTACATGGACATCCCGACCGAGGACAAGTGGTTGAGATGGGCCGGATTTCAGGAGTGGTTCGACCTCTGGGCGATCGAGGAGACGAATCTCGAGCTGAAAGACTTTTTCGACTTTTTCCTCAAGGTTAATTTGACGATCTTTTCGCGCCTCGCGCTTTTTGCTATCATGGCCATATGCTGATTGCCGTGATATTGTACATTCACAGGGCGTCCAGAACGGGTGGAGGGAAAAAACTCCCAAAGTCCGAATGTCGCTCCTGCGCTACGGCAAGAACGAGCCCATCCAGAAGATCAAGGTCCCTGACTTTCCAATCCCCGATACCGATTATCGCAAGTACTATCTGGCGGATAACGGCAAGTTCTCCCTCGAGAGATCTCCCCGGGAAACTTCCTCCGTTTCCTACAACGCTGAAGATGGTAGCATGGTCACTTTCACCCACACCTTTGACCAGAGGACGCAACTGGTCGGCCTTCCCAAGGCTGTGATCCACGTCTCTTGCGACGAGTTAGACGACATGTGCCTGTTCTTGCAAATCAGGAAATTGGATGTCGAAGGAAACCCCTTGATCCACCTGACCGTCCCCTTCTCCCGTGCCCCGATTGATGATCCCAAAGACGCCCCCAGCAGCGGACTGATCACATACAACGGCCCTATCGGGTGTCTCCGCGCCTCGCACCGTCACATCGACCCGTCTAGATCGATTCACCCCAACTACCCGTTTCACCCTCACGATCGAGTCGAGCTCGTGCCCCGAGGGCAAGTCGTCGAATTGGAGATCGGGATATGGTTCATGGGCTTGCAGTACGAAAAGGGTGAATCGATTCGCCTGGACATTTCTGGATCGAATCCACTCTGGCCGGAACTCTCGACCTCGAACGCCGAGCCGATGAACAAGGGCAAACATACGGTGCACTTTGGCGGTAGTCATGCGAGCCACTTGATCCTCCCGCATGTGTCCCTGGATGTCGTATCCCAGTAGACTAAAATTCGATAAAGAACTGCCGCAGCCGGGTATATCGGTTGGGGTCATTTGTATTGAGGCAAGCAAGAAAGCAAGAGATCAGATCGCTCAATTGTGTGTGTTGCTCGCGACGAGACTGGTCCACTGCGCCGGTGGGCAGTAACGTCACGTGATGACGCCGTTACGTCATAGGTGATAGAGCCTCGGACGACATATCCCGGATCCTCCGATGAGATTGCTTCCGCACTGCCACTGGGCTGCAAGCTGGTCGGTCTCGTCGCTGCCCCTGCGCTGCTAAAGCACTCCTGGTCATTGGCCTAGCAAGAGGACAACTGTTCACTTCGTACCCTGGCTATGTGTAGAGGCAATATCCATCCCGTACGATGGCATAACTTACGTCACAAACTGGAATCCAGAGATCATGGACGACGAAGAGGTAGCTTACGATCAGGAAGAGGGAAGCAGGGAGGGCGGAGAGTCGATCTCGCTATCGGTAAGCTCCGTGCTCGCTTCCATTCGAAAGGCCAAGTCATGATTTCCAGGTGACCTCCTAATATCATCTGCACGAACAGGCATATCCCAAATTTGCCTATATAGCTTCGAACCAAGACAGAGGAGATCGAAAATACCGGACCGTGCAAGCTTGTACCGGTATGCTCCTAGATGTCTTGACAACCATGGCGGATCCGTTGACCAGGAGCCTGCCTTTTCTTGCAGAATGTCGAAGACGGAAATCAAAAGCGAGTCTGAGCCCTCAATCTGATCATCAAACCGTCAGAATGGCTGATTTGCATCGTGTTCCGTATGTACGTCGATCCTGCTTTTGAAACCGTAGTGTAAGTCATTCCGCTGCTGGTTTCGCGTACCATACAAGCTGACAGCTCTGTTCCGCCCCTGAAAGGCGATCGTACATTCCCATGTGGACAATGCGTAGCTCGAAAAGAAGGAGCAATATGCAGGGAATATCAGAAAGACCGAGCCGCTGGCTACATGTGAGTGGAGCTTCTAGACAACAAATTCTGGGCTGTCCTTACGCTCGATGTGCCTCTCCGCTTTAGCGGTTATGCCCATCTGTCCGACTTTGACTTGCTGGTACGGCGTTCAGCAGAGATGGAAGACTTGTTGGTCCAGCACGATCGCGAGCTCAAGGACTTGCGGCGCATGGTCCTGCAACGCCATGATTTCTCCCAGCCATCGTACTCTGGCGATCAAGTTCCATCACAACAAGGGCGCGAAGATCATGCGGATCATGGCCATCCGTCTAGCTGGATACCATTCGACGAAATCGATGCGGTCGACCACCCTGCAACCAACACCGAACGAGTGGCTCGGCTAGCTTGGGACCCAGAAGCAAGAAGTCCGAACAAAAGACGTCGCATGGAATCGCTAGCACCTGTAGAAGATACTGGTTTCTCCAGATTCGTTGTGCATCGGCCTGAGCGGACAGAACCGTCTGGGGACCTTTCCAGGCCTTTCATACACCACTCTCGTCCTCCCAGTGGTGCTCCTTCGCTAGCTGATCACAACGCTGCTCTAGTCCTAGAAGTGAGCAGCTTGTGAATCCATCTAGGTTTCGACTGCTGACTCGCATTTTTTCAACCATCAGGACATGGCTCTAGACCGAGCTGGTAATTTGGAAAGAGAGACGATGCCTATGATCCAGGATGGCCGTGAAGAGGGCCAGCAAATGGACGCCGGGACCATACGTGAAAGCGGGCCCACTGTCACAGTCGCTCAAGCCGACAAGTTGCCGGATCCTGCTAGCAGACGTTTCATCGTCGATCATTTCGTCAGTCTCTTCTCAGGTCAAAAAGACCTTGGTTATACTGTTTCTGAGTACAATATCCGCCTGTTCCCCCGTTCCTATAGATGAAAAAGTATGTCCGATCGCTATTAGGACGCCCGATACGCCAGCACTGACTCTTGGCCTGTCTGCAGCATCGAATGGCTGTGAGGCTCAGTCTCTGGCAGGGTCTCTAGATCAGCTGAGCTAATCATAAAATCATCACAATTCTCTCAAATGCGAGCTCTTAGTCATCGGTGCCTCCATCGACCCAGCTTCATGCAGCGATTCGGCGCAATGAATCATGTCGACTTTACCGGACCTCTGAGCGTGCCTTCAGCACTTTTCCTCGCTCTGCTCGCGGCGATTCTGTGCTCCTCTTTACACGGGATGGACTCGGAATCACTGCACGCCCTTGGATACAGCGAAGCCACCAGGAGGGCCTTGGCCAAGGCAATGGCAGAGCTGTCGGAAAACGCTCTTCACGCCGCAGACTGGTTGCAAAATCATCGAATAGAATCGCTACAAGCCTTTTTGTGAGTATCATCGAGCAAGATGTATCGTACCCAATCCCGCAACTTACCAGTCTGTTTCGAAAGGATACTCGGACCGTATCTCAACTCTGTCAGTCGCTCGGAGGCGCATTGGGCGATGCTTGGGTCGGCAGTTCAGGTGGGTGCGACAACGGTTGAAGAGGAAGGAGGAACTGGCAGAGCAGGTCATTGCCATCTGCGCTGAATCCGGTATCATCTCTTGCGCTACAGTTGGCTCATAGTCTTAGTCTATCAAGACTGGGTGCCGAGTTGCCGCTAGATGCCTCTTCTGCCGAGATACAGCGACAATTCGGACGACGATGGCTATTTGCGAGTGAACGAGAGACTGGCCGGAGGGTATGGTACGCCATCGTAAGTCAATCCGTGCTAGGTGACCGTATGAGCAAGGTGAACATCTCGAATTGTGTACAGATGGAGCTGTCTTTCACCAGCGCATCGGACCATCATTTCGCTTGCATAACTCCCTTGGACCAGCAGCTATGTGTGCGGCCCGCCAATGTGGACGACGAGGATCTTGTTGGTCATGGTCCCATCCGTTCGCAGCCGGACGATGTGCATACCGTAAGCTTGAGTAATTCTCCTGGAGGTATCCGTTTCTATTACATTGACGCAGAGTCCGCTCGCAGAGCATGTCTTTTATCCTGAATCGCATCTCGCTCATGTACCCGAGTCAGGAACTGGTTTCTCGCACACTTACGATGAAGGGCCTGCGGTACAGTGCTATCGAAGCGCAAGTTACTTCTCTTTCCACTCGATCATAGCTTGTGTACTCACGATGGACGACGTACAGGGCGCATCACGGATTGCTGGCGGCGTCCAGCGCGTTTTCGCCATTTTACAAACCTGGGGCGCGACAGCAAGATTGGGCCATCGACGCGGAGACTCTCACAAGACTGTTAGTGAGAGGAACATCGTGCTTCGAAATCGAGGTAGCTAACGCAAATCCTTCAAGTCAGAAATGCAGAGCGTTATGTACTCCAGTATGAGGTCAGACTCCGTTTACTTCGTACGCATCGGATATATTTGCCAGGGTCATTGATGACGAGGTAGGTTCACCTTTCATACGACCTCTTACTACATTACTCACGGTCATTGTCGATTTCGTAGTAATTACTCGCTCTCCAGAAAAGTCTGTGAAGAACATGCAGTGCTTGCTCTGGCTAACATAGACGTCCTACCTGGGACAATTCCGCGGACGTACTGGTACGTATTGCCGACTCGCTAGCAAGCAGGAAATCTCGGGACTAACGGAAAGCGGACGACTTCCAGGCCTCTCTCGCAATGCGTGCTCACAGCGACGATCGCGTTGTTCTGTATATATTTTCAGACCGCTGATCACGAAGTCGCCGAGAACGCGAGTCTGATGCGAAGCGGAATCGAATGGCTGAAGTGAGATGCTCTCGCTTACTTCGCGCAACGATACCATGCCTAATGTGTATCGACCTTCCAGAGAAAATACGATATCTGCGGCTCTTCAGCGTTCGGCTCGGACACTACAGTCGATATTGGGTGAGAGTCTCGGCGCCTTCCTGAACTTGCAGTATACCCATTGTTGAACGCGATATCCACCTTCGCTAATCAGACGAAGAAGCTGCTATACGGCAGGGAAGGCTAATTTTGCCTGATAACGTGCGAGGTACCAAGAGGAGCGCGGGAGGGTCGGAAATCAAGGGAGAGTCAAAGATGCACAGACTGCTCCGAAAGATCATGGTGAGAACGCCTTGAGTTGACTGTACCCCTCGGTGTCTCTTGTGCACAAGCTCACGAACTTCAATCACAGGCTCCGACACACGTCCAATCGAGATATTCGGACGAATCTCTTGGAGCACCACCCAGTACAGGCGGATTGCAGCCTCCGGCAACGCAGACAGCTCTGGTCTTGGATGAATCTCTGTTGAGAGGCTTCGAAACAAATGATCTTTGGGATCCCATGGTCAACTTTGGTGACTTTTTCTCGAATAATACATATGATTGGCAGGACACGAATCCGATACAGGCGGACGTCATCAATCCTGACATTCTCGAGTTCTTGGGGATCGAGCTTCCAGCTCAGAACGAGTATACAGATTTTCTTCTTCCATAGGTATGTGAACATCGCTACAAATTGGCAAGCCTTCTCCGTTTTTTTTACAAATCATGTAAACTCTTCCTTTGTACCATGTAGCCGTTATCTGAGTCTTCGCTATCTTTCGGCACAACAGCTATCTACAGTTTGCCTTCCGTCGATTGATCTGCATGTTTTGCTTCAAGCGGAGCGTCTGCTCGGGAAGAGTGGGCTCGGTCAGCATCCCTTGCAGACAAAGGTAAGGTATCCGATGTGAACGCACCGACAATCCAATTCATGCGGTCCTTGGGGTTTCTGAAGCAGGCAGCGGCCGCAGCTGCGATGACGGCTGCACATTGTCATAGAAATCAGCTCACATCCAAAACTAGAGACAATAAGAGCAAAAGAAGCTTACTGGCAGGAAGGAAGGCGAACCAAGTGATCCTGAAAGCATATGCTTGAGCCGATGCCATACCGCCCATGGCCGCGCCCAGGATTCGTGGTGTGATTCCGGGGATCGAGGATGTCGACCCATGTGAAAGCAAAGCACCGATCAAGGATCCCAGATTGCTTGGGTTGAAACCCAGAGGAATCACAGCAGATGCTGAACGATCGATCGGTCCGGTTCGTGAGTCCGAGATCATCGTTGTAGCAAAATGGCTGCTCGAGTGACTTACCGATATAGCCCGGAATCTTATCATCCGAGATGTTATTGTAGATCACTTCTGCGATGGCATATCCAACGGTACCACCCAGAGTTCGAGCTGAAATGGTCAAGGCTGAAGCAACGCCGATGAAGAGCGGAGGGGTAGAGAGCTGCACCATCGTCATCACCAAGACCAGCGGAGCGACGAATCCAACGCCAGCCAAAGCGTTGCTGCACCAAGAAATCTGTTCAGTCGATCGTCGAATAGCAGCGAAGAGGAGATTCGAACTTACAAGACTAGGCCCAGCTTCACATTGGTGCCACTCATAGCAAAGCCGATGACGGATACGCTGAAAAAGATGAACCCAGCGCAAATAGGCCATTTGATATCGGATCTCCTAGTCACATCTTCGTCGAAGGATCCACTGCATCAGCCTTAAGCAGCGGTCTCCTCACCAGCGGCCGTACTCACAGAGGGACATCAAGGGTGAAATGGCCGTGCAAACCATGAAGAAGGGAAGAAGATGGGCGCCAGCCTTTACACCGCCGGCCGGTACCCAGATCGTAAACACTTGAGAGGGCTGAGTGCAACATCGCGGCGATAAGTACATCATTCGATCCCTGCCACTATCAAGGCACAGATACATACGTAGATATTGTTGATGAGGTAGAAGAGCGAACCCTCGACGGCGATGACGAAGATGGCAATCGGAAAATTGCGGCCATCTTGAAAGAGCGAGTGATGCAGGAACCCGGTTTCGGTACCCTTCCATTCTGTGAAAGGGGAGAAACATTCATCAGTCAAGAGGGCTGAGGAGGAATGCGTATGGTTCGACTTGCCATAGATAAGACAGATGATAAAGCTAGCACTTCCAGCCGCAACGCAGCCGTATGCATGGGGGTCCTTCCACCCATAATTTCCTGCTCGGGCGATACCAAAAGAGGTTGTCAGTCCTGGTTTCAGCTCGACGGTCAATTGACTCACGGTCAGACGCCCAAGCGAAACCCATAAGCATAGGCACCAAGCCTCCCATCAAGAACAAGTAGCCGATCTACGCATGAGCGGGGCACATGAGCATCTGTCATGCTATATGACAGGGGAAATTATGCAAATGCGCTTACCCAGTCTAATCGCCTGAAGCGCTCCTTGATGGGAACGTACTCTACAGTCCGAGGAGGTGGCTATGAATTGCGAAGTTCGCAATCAGTATGAGTACGGCCATCGACCAGAAAAAAATGACGTACTCGGTAGATGAGTGCGAAACCGATAAACACGATTGCACTGAGAACGAGTTGTGTCCTAAAGATCCATCTCCAACCGTTAACGGGATCATTGCCTGTGGCAGCTGCCATTCCCAGTAAAGCCGGAATCGAGGAGAGTCCAGCCAAACTGGGCAGAGATTGAGCATTGAGTGTCGTGAATCGCGTTGTTCATTCGGTGAAACTCACCAGTTGACGGCGGTCTGCGCGTGGGATCGGTATTTGCTAGGCAGAACCTCAGAAGCGGTAGCAAACATTATACCGGAAATTCCTGCCGCGCAGCCTGACAAAGTCTGGGCGAAGATCAAGACGTTTATCTAGGAAACAAAAGATCCGTCATTTCAGTGGAAGGGATCTACAGCAAGCTGGAATGGCGCCGGATGGCAGGAGGCTGTCTCACGGATTGGGCTGTCATGGCGACGATGGAAGAGATGCAGAAGAGTCCCCAAGCTCCGAGAACACTGAATATGTCGGCGAGTCTGTTAGCCATATACGATCCACCTCGGCTCAACGTTGATGCAACTCACATCCACTTTCGTCCATACAGGTCGGAGAAAATGGAAATGATCGGCCCTGTGACGATCGATGGAATGCCTTGCTGTGACCATGTCGCTTTTTTAAGCCGCCAAACATGAAGACTTTTCGATGACTGCTAGACTTACCGCCTGAACGATCCAAATCCGTTTGTCCATGCCGTTCAAAGCGCCGGCAATAGGATAGGCATTTGCAGCCGGAGCGATACTAGCAGAGAGAAGTATAACACGGCATCAGATCTAGACCATGGAGCAGGCGATGTCGGACTCACCCGAAAAAGGTGTTCTGAAACTGAGCCATAGCGCAAAGAAACAAGATCGCCCAAGCTGTCCAACGGATATCAGGTCTTTGTTCGGGATCCTGACCCATAGTGCCGGCAACTGTGACGGGTCGATGGGCCCCATCCTCGGCGTAAGACTTGTTGTTGCCTTCGTAAGCTGCAGGTTGAACGATGTCCTCGATATGGGTCGAAGCGAGTTTCTTGTCGGGATCACCCTCATAAATGGAGGAAGGCATGCCGTTCAGAACGTATTCGGTAGCGACGGAGCTGGAGAGAAGAAGGATTGAGAGTTGAGGATCTTAGCGTTCTGGTCGAGCTAGATTGAAGGACGACCCAACATACCTGTCCCTCCCACGACCGAGTGTATGGATCTTATATCTTATTTCCCTCATTCAAACAAAGCTATCGCTCTTCGAATATCTGAGTTCCCGCTAGACGGCATGTGTAATTACTGTTGCTTCCAGGACTGAGGCAAGACCAAGGTGCCCCGCAGGAACGTATCGAGGACGACCTATTCGGAAGCCGATATCGCCGTGAATCCGCTCGATACTGCCATGACTTCTATCGTCCAGAAATTGGTAGGTGCGCGCTGTGCGACCGTACAGTACTGTCTAAGTGGTTGCATGATGGTTCCTTGTTGAGTAGGCAGGCAGAAAAGGGTTCTGCCCGTTCCGGAGGACACGGTCTATAATCGCCGCACTTGAGCTCGCAAGCCGAATCCCTCGGACGAAGTTGCGTTTCTGACGAGTCCTTCCGTGTCTTGCGGAGAGATGAGTCATGTGATGTGCCTAGGTTTATCGTTTTCTTTCCCCGTCAAGACTGCGATGTGTATAAGAATGGATGTTTGATCTTTAGACGAATGCAGATGGACGAACCGAGTGAGCGAGTGATCGATCATCATCACTTTCGGCGCGCAGTTGCTTACGTAATTCCTCGTCCACCGCCTGAACACCCAAACACCTTACCCTCCCTCTCTCTCTTCTCGCAAGCGCAATCATGGCCGTCATCACTCGACCGCCCGTTTCCGTCGTTCGGGACATCAAGGCTGAACATGCCCTCGACTTTGATGCCACCTACGATGACTGGCGAGGCGATCTCATTCGAGATGGCTACGCCGTCATCAAGGGCATCCCCGAACAACGCGCCGAGCAGTATGTCGAACAAGTTCACGACTTTCTCGAATCTGTGTAAGTCACGAGGTTCTGATAAGCGGTCGTACTTCTCGCTAATCCCGGTAGGGCTGCGAGAACAGCAACCTCGGGTACGACCGTAACGACCCATCTACAATCAAAGAAGAGAGACTCCCCGTCATCACGGAAAAGGGCAGTAAGTAAAGCTTCGCCGCGTTCTCTGATCAAGGCGCACCTGATCACAATCGACTCGGCTTCAACAGTGATTCAGCATTATGGAGTATGCCACGAGGATTTTGTCTGGCAGATCCGACAAGAACCTGGGGTCTACGGAGCCTTTGAAAAGGTCTACGGGACTGAGGATCTGATCGTCAGCTTTGACGCTATCAACGTGTCTTTCCCCAAGTTCGTGTCCGCTCTCGTATAGATCCTTCTGACCTAGAGATTATTGACCACCAACCATCTTCGCACAGCCGTAAGGATCTGAAGCCCAACACCCCCTGGACCCATCAAGATCAGGATCCAGACCGTCCAGGCTTTCGCTGTTTGCAGGGTTTGGTAAATCTGCTGCCCAATGGCCCTAACGACGGTGGCCTCATCGTAGCCAAAGGCGGGCATCTCCTGAGCGAGGAGTTCCATAGAGAGTTCGCGGAGGAGACTAGGATCTGGCAGTGGACGAATGAATGGTACGGGTTTACCGAAGCGGGGGTTGATTGGCTTAAGAGCAAAGGCCTCGAATGGGTCAAGGTTGAGGCGGGGCCGGGCGATCTCATTGTCTGGGATTCGAGGACACCTCATTATAACTGTTCGCCGACCGGGGATCGAGCCAGAATGGCCGTCTATACGTGTTATATGCCCGTCGCCAGTGCTACGCAGCAGGAGCTACAGTGCAAGAAGCAGGCTTTCGAGAGTGAGTACCCGAGATCTAGACGCGCTTTCACCCTCACCCCGCTCTCGACCTATCTCAACCCTGAGAAGCATCCCGACCGCTGACCATTTCCATCTTATTTGACCTGCGACTTCTAGATGTCAAGGGAACCACGCACTGGCCCCAGGCGCTGCAGCTCTTCGTCCTCCCTTGCCTAAGGGACGGTCAGCCCGACCCTCACAACCGGCCCCGACCCTCAAAGGAACCTAGTTTCAGCGAACGTGGTTGGAAATTGACCGGTATCCCTTACATCACGTCGACTGCCTAGACGCATTGGAGGCCGAGTTGACAGCGATCGCTTGTCATGATAGGAAGGATGTGTCGAACATGAGGCGATGATCTTGTGAACTTAGCCATGTACATGTATGTCGTTGCGACCGCAAGCTTTTTCAAGTTCGAAAGTCCTTTGCGAAACAAGCCATCGGCCTAAACCCATCGTGGAGTAATGATATACGGTAGCCAACTACTATCAACGACCGCTTACAGCATATTTCCGCTGTCCAGAGGATTCTACACGTACGTCGTCACGTGAAGGCTCGCATGGAGAACGTGCATTGTTGCATCTTCCATAGCTTGGGTGACCGATAGAGAGCGCCTGCGATTTACTGTCGTTCTGCTGAAGATCCATTTCGTTTCGCTCTTCTTGAATAACCCCTCGACGAAGTCCAGGAAGTGTCGCTTGCTTATGGGCAAGCTTCCGGCCGTTTTTTGATTTGTCGGGCGCGAGGAACTTGGTATTCTATGCTGATAGATCGAGATACCTCAGAGTACAGTGTACATTAGCAATATAGTTAACGGTTGAGAGTTAGACTTACCCCTGAATCGATCTGGTTGACGAGCAGAGTGGCTCGCCCGGCGCGTCGGATTAGCGCGCCTCGAAGTTCGAAACCTTAAACGGCGATCTGCGAGCGTTCTTTGGCGGATCCGGCGAGTCCAAAGGAGGTCCTTTGTGATCGACAACCCTTTTCGCAGCAACAACGACCGGGGCCGTGCGCGTGACTGCGAATAGATTTAGTGCCGTGGGTTTTAGCCAGATCGGTATCCTTTCACAGCGACAGCGACGAGAGCCGCGCGTTGCTGTTAGCCGGTCGCCTGAAACACTGCCCGAGATGAGCCATGGACGACATTTGTGCGATATACGTGTTGGTAAAGGAGGTTCACGGCCGAAGTAGACAGCGAGGTTGGCGCTCGATCGTCGCCCGTCGATGATTCAAGCATGAATCCGTCGGCCCCACTTTTATTTGTGTACTTACAACGAAGTCCGAAAGTGAAAAACCGATGCAAAGAACATTCTTTTTCGGCCCAGTCTTGTCGCGACGTTATGCGGGAAAGGACCCTAGGCTGGATTTGATCCCATCGATCATATCATCACGTCACGCTCTTCCACCTCCGTGACCTCATCCCCCCCCCCTCGACAACAAGGAGGGCTGTGGGTTGCATGCGTTGTGGTTTCGGGGACACCTCGCTTATGCGACGCGATATCACCGATCGGAAGCGACCACTCTGGACAACACCGTAATGTATGTGAGACAGACGTTGATCGGGGATGCGGTAGTAATTATGCCCGGCCCGAGCTATCCAACAGGAAGCGATCTATGCGAAAACCCTCATGCTACGCGTACGCAGCTGAGTCTCACTCTATAAGCTGTCGATGTCAGTCACCAGTGAGCTTAAAGATCGTCACAGCCCTCACTGTCGACCCTGATCATATCCTCCTTTCGATCATAAACTGCACTCCTTCGGTCGCCTCCCGTAGCCTTACAGCAATTATGGCTCAGCCAGTCCAATTCCCTCCGCCCTCATGGAAGTTTTACCCCATTGTATACGTAACAAATGGTCAGGAGTTCCTGGGAACGGATCTGGAGAAACTAGGCACTACGGAGTGGATGACGGACGATTTTATTGAGCGGGGCATCAGGGCTGTCGCACACATGCCGAACGACGAAGAAGGAATTGCTCTCACTGTCAGTGCAGCGTGGGATTGGCCGGGGTCAAAGGTGAAAAGCACAATCACGCAGCGGTAAGTTAATAACCTCCTCCCTCTCTTGCAAACATAACCGTCACTTACCCCAATCGTTGTTCAGGTTGACTGCGACCGATCATGCTGCAATGGCCTTGATCGTTCGAGGGTCAGGTTGGCACTTCACCCTGGATGTGCGATTCTTTGGAAAGATCACCCGCAATTACCTGGTGGACTCTCTTCTCCCGCCCGTCACATCTTCTCGACCAGTGGTGGATGATATAAGAGCCAAGGATGGCGAGACGAAGGACAAACGGGCGAAAGCAGAAACGCTCGAACAGGGCCAGATCAGGTCGTGTCGGGAAGATATTCCTGCTGGTGAGTTTTGTTTCGGCTTGGTCCACGGTCGCTAGTTCTGCACCATCATGAAATTGATCACCGGTTCTGGTGTGTTATTCTCCATCTTCGTCTTGTCTCTTCACCGAATCCTTTCCCTCCCAACAGACCAACAGATTGTCAATACGGGATTGCAGGTGGACAGGTACAACTGCTCTTTGCACGTGATAAGAGCGGCAGTAATTGCGATAGACCGGTTCAGGTGAGTATGTCTTGGCATGCCGCATGTGAACGGGTTCGACCGACGCTGATGGCTATCATAGGAGCTATCGCATGGGGATCACCACTGCCGATGAGCTAGCCCTAGATATGATGACTGAATGGCAATCGCTAAAAGGTATCCGCTATACTGAGAGGAAGTTCTGGGCCAAGCTGATCAGCGAAGGTTAGTTGGCTCTCATCTGCGATGGTGGTGCGAATACGGATTAATGGCGGATTACAGACGTGTTGATGTCGACTTTCCCTACTTCTTCTTGACGTGTTTGTTGCGACCCTTGAACGACCCTCCCGAGACAGGCGACATCCGTGTAAGAATCCCACATCAAGCGAACTCGATTAGCTTGAGCGACCACCTTCACAATACTGGGGAACGAACGAGAAGGGTCGAGACACCGGAGGTCGAGATTTCGCAAACGGCAAGATCGAAAGAAACGAGCGGTAAAAAAGTCAAATTCGACCTTCCGAAATGATATGTAAGCCTCGGTATCGCCCATCTTTGCGTGCGAAAGATATGTACGAACTGATTATGTGATACTGGCCAGACTGGCTATCATGCGATACAAAGTAGGCTCGCCAGGTGTGGTCGCGAACAATATGAGTTACACACCAAAACCTGCCAAGCAGGTCTACGCAAACCCTTGCTACACATTCAGGAAGGCGGTGAACTTCCAAAGTGCAACAACTACGCTAGGATCAGATCGACAATGATATGCTAGTCTCTGCTCGACTCGACTATTGTCAATCTGTATCACGGATCCGGAAGTTTACACATTTGCACTCTTTCCCGCACTTCTGCTAGTAGTACAAATATCTGGTTCTTCCGCCTTGTCGGCCTTCCTCGTGCGGCACTCTTGATTTCACCATACGACTGATCATATCATTTTCCGTTTCCTTGTATTACCCAGAACCCTTTACCCTCATTACCTCAAATTCCCTTGCGAACCTTGTTACTGATCAAGATTCTGCATTCTCACTTTGTGGCCCTTTCAGCCTTCCACTTGCGGTACCTGGGCATGTAGAAGTACAGAGGCAAGGCCAAAAGTAGCCATCCACCAGCGCAGCCGGCCAAGATTCCATTGGCATAAGCGTTTCTTCCTGTGTTGGCGAGATCGGTAATGGCGGTGGCGAGTCCGAAAGACAAGATGTTCTTGCCTCCTACGACCATGACCAAGGCAGCTCCAGCATGGTGAGTCATGCTCTCGACGCAGCTATGCCGACCATCCTTGATCAGCCTGCTGTAGTTAAAACATAAAATGGGGATGTGACTCACTATGTCGTCGTGGTGATCAATATGCAGATGAAGAGATAAGTGGACATGTTCTGGCTGATGACAATGGCGATCCAGTGAACGTTGGGCGCGGCATCAGCGCAGAAACCATACATCAAAACGCCAAGGGAGAGGCCGAGTATGGTAGGAACAATGATAGCCGGGAGCTAAGATATCGCGCTGCGGTCAGCAGTTGGTGGCGGTATCTAGTCGGTATTGAGACTCACTCGGTGTTCTGGGAGATGGACGCCCCCGTTTCGCTTCGCAAACCACAAGTTGATCTTGTCACCGCCCCATCCGCTGGTCAAGAAGGAGAGTACACAGATGGGAAGGGTACCGAGGTAGATAAGGCCGGTATTTTGGTGTGCCCAACTTGAAAATTCACGTTCAAAGATTGAAAGTAGTAGTATCAGCGTCTTGCCGGAGAAACGTCCTATTTCAGCGCGAACGTACTGGTACTTCTCTTGCAATATCGTCCCGAATGTCAATGATTGCCCGATGGTGGTGCCAAGTACGATAGAAGATGCGCCGAGCGACCAGATAATAGCGGGATCCAGAAGGGCCAAAACCATGTGTTTGTATACGTTCAGAATGACCTTGAAGTCGCTCCACGTGGCCGGGACCCGGTAGAGGAGCGATTCGACGTAACCCATGTTCTCTTTCGGCCCCACAGTCTGATCCGCGTTGGTGTCCAGGGCTACGTGGGCAGCTTCCTCTTCGGTGAGCATTACGAGATTACCGAAAGCATCCACCTTGGCCGCCTTGCCGTCGATGGCAAAGGCGGGTCGTTCGAACTTGGTCTCCGGGGCAGCAAAGATTACCAAGAGGACCCCGATGACGGCGAGAATGGTAAAAATCTGGAGTGTAGCCTAGAGTCAGCTCTTGAACTTCCGTACAACCATAGAAATCGTGATCAGCTTACCCAGTAATACCAAGCCCATTGCAAATATTCAGCGATGTAGGAGCTCGCCGTGTTCAGACAGGCTGTGAACAAACTTTGAGCCTGTAAAGCTCAACACTCCTGGTAAGCGTCGATTGTATCTTCCCAACCGGATCGATGAACGCTTACCACCCAGTAGGCACCAAAGTACTTCGAGCGTTGGTGAACGAATGTCATGTCGGTGATGATCAAAGGTAACAGACTCTCGGTAGCACCGGCACTGAAACCTTGCAACAGCCTCGCTCCTAGATGACTCTCATAGGAGGTGCCTGATTTGGCTGCCCATACAGAAGACCCCACGAGCATGAAGGAGGCGAATATGAATACGGGTCGTCTGCAATCGGAATCGTGTAGACAGTCAGCAAGGAACGAAGCAAATTGATAGCGAACGAGGACGAGCAGACTTACCGGCCCACAACCAGGGCGAGAGGAAGAAACACAAAGTTTCCCAGCCCGGTGAATAGAGACGGCCAGGTAAGGAGCCTGACGACATGGTCAGCCGTGACACCCTCTACGGCCAGCATAACAGGTTCAGCCTCGAGCTATGTCAATGAGGTTCCGAGGCTCGACCTGCTCACGAGGAATGTAGAGGCCGAAGAAGATAGGAGCCAGGGCTCCAAAGCCGCCGACAACGCTCAAGGCGATGATAGAGAACCAGATAACAGTGACCAACAAGCCGACTTTGCGCGCTTTGCCAAAACTCAAAGGGTCGTGCTTGGAGCCGCTAAATGGCAGGTGCAAGACGAACGGATCAGCTCAACGAGGAAGTCTAAAGTTCTGAAACCACAGCTGGGACATACCTTGGGGTAGGAACGAGTCGGACCTCGCCATCATTCCCGATCAATTGGATGTTCCCTTCAATTTGAGGTTGAGATCCTTGCTTGCCGCCGTTCTCGGCGAACTCGACGTGATCTTGCTCGAAATGCTTCTCGTCTGCTTCGTACTTTGACATGATGGGGATCGCGAGATTTGTTGCTGCATAGTACCCTGAGGCTGTAAGGTTTCTTGATCATCACCAGGAGAATGACCGTGCTATTATACTGTATCGCTCAAGGATCAAGGAGGAGCTCATTCGTAGTAAAACCAAAGCTTGTGCATATTGATCGGAAGGGTCACCGTCGGGACCCACGGGGTCCGCGGAAAGAGAGCCCCGGAACCTTTTCGATCAACGGAGACGGTGACAAACCTAGAGTAGAAAATAAGTATGGACAAACGAGCGATACGGTTGTGGACGCGTGGACGTGCAGGCAGGCACCAATCTTGAAACGCTGCATTCGTCTGTGGCCTACAGTAGCTGGACAGCCTGGACGTCCGCACCCTTGCGCCCGTACCTCTGACTTGTCCAGGATAGGCTGTTATAGTATGACAACCGAACTCGTACGTTGATACAATAAAAGACTGGCAGATGACCATTGCACAGGGCGCAGATCGGTTGATTGCCGATGTGGTCGAAGCTCGCTACTGGCTACTGGGGTATGACGCGGGAGAAACGATAATGTACTACTTGCAGACGACATAGTATTCCGTAATAGTTACAGGTTGCAGGTTGAAACTAGGCACAAGCGCACAAGTACAATAAACAGTAATGGAACTATCGTTCGAACGCCCCTTCGCATCTCGTCAACCTCTCGTTTTGCTCGACATGAGCATCCTCCTGATCCTGCTATAAATCTCGGCATGACTCCAACCCGAGATTGCTACTGACGAGTCCGCAGAGACGGGACTGAGCGGTGGGCTGACCAGAATAGTTTCTTCGAAAGACTTTGTCACAGATCGAGAGGGTTCCAAGTAGAACAGGTCGCCATGCCTACAAGAACACGCGCCGGTAATACTATCAGTCCCGGCGAAACCTCCATCTGAATAAAATGAACGAAAGGCACTCACCGAACGCCCTGTTCTGCCAAAGTCTTCCCATTCTCTACCGAGCTCAATAGATCGATCTTGTTGGTATCTCCATGTCGACGAAGAGTCAAAGCCGTACCCTTGGTCGGATATCGAATGTGATGCGATCGAAGCTGTGTGAAGAGAGGGAAGCTGTCCGTCAGGCTTGCGCCTCGAACGCGTCGGAAAGACGGCGTGAAAGCCTTACCACCTGGTTCCACCTAGAGTCCTCTTCTACTTCGTTACGGGTCAATCCTTGCGGTGAGCGTATACGAACAATCATCTCGAAGCCTCAGGAGCAGTCGAATCAGGATGAAGTCTCAAAATTGAAGCGGGGCAGGGTGATCTAGCCCATCGCCCTGCCTTATAGCTTCATGCGAGGCAGGTCGCCGAGGTGCCTCCGCTACTTGCCCCCCCGGATCCGAACTTCCCGAAGCAGGCTGAGCAGCACCACACCACGTCTCTTGTCCAATCCTGGACATGTCATCTCGCATCTCGCCATCGCATGTGTTCAAACCAACTTCCGATCGCTGTCATCGTACCCATCTCTTCTTTCGCCACGTCATCAGACCCTGTCAGTCGCTCAGTGTAGTAGTATCCCAGGATGGAAGGCCGCGATAATCTGGACCCAGCAAGCGGTCCACCAACATTGCTCGGGGTGAGTTGTGGGCAGGTTTTCAGACACGGTTCGACTTCACAGCTCAATGTTTCCGCTTGTGCATCAAACCGAATCCCACCAGGATTTCCCTTCGTTCAGCTATGCGGACCAGTTGGAGAACAAGCAGGAGAGAAGGAATCGGACGGTACAGAGCTGCACAGGTGCGTCTCGGCTGGTCCGAAGGGGATGATAGACGGACCAAAGGCTGAATCATTTGATGTATGTCTTGGGACTGGTGCATAGAATGCAGACGGAGAAAGACCAAATGTGACCGGTGAGTCTCGCTCGTCATCCTCTGCATGTCATTTGGGCTCACGAGCGAATGTCTTGACGCTTCTACGTTCAGCGTCTTCCCGTGTGGTCCGTGCAAGACAAGAGGAGTCAATGCTAGGGATGCTTGTGTCGAGTATCAGAAACCTTTACCCGAAGGTCTAACGTCAGTCATCAAGTTTCATATCCCTTGTCATGACTCTACGCTGAAGCAAGTTGCTCTTTTCGATATCAAGAGGATACACTCACCTTCGGGATTTCGACACTCTCGTCTCCAGGGTGTATGAGCTGGAATGTCTCGTCAGTGCCATGTTTAGGGGGGAACATCTGACGCTTCCCGAGCATACGGGCACGGGACAACAGAACGCCATCGCATCTGGTTCGAGATCGGTCCGATTCGCTCCTGGGCCTTCTAACGAACCAATTGGCGAAGGCTCGAAACCCCAAGCAACAAGACAGGATTCCTTTTTCGACGAACCCATGGATAACATTGATTTCCAGGTCGACGGTATGGAAGAGACCTGGGATAATGCCGGCCAGAACCACAACCTGCCAAACGAGACGGATCAGTCGCGACTGGTGGTGGGTAGACACCCTCGTTCCTCTTCTGCCCGACAGGATACCAACAACAGTACGGACCCGGCCATGAACCTGTCAGGTCCTTCGATGTCTGTGATCCCACCAAATCCGCCGGTTGGCATTTCACCGCCTTTCAGGACACATTGGCAACAGGCCGGCAGCTTGCAGGGTCGAAGCTTTGCAGGCCCTTCCATACAGAACAGTGAACCCGTGAGCAAGGCTCCAAGTTTGACCGAACACGACGCTGCTCTGCTGTTGGAGGACATGGTTTATGATCGCAAGGTGATGCGCGATGGTAATACCGGTTTGCCAGGTACGTCTATGGGTCGATACCTTATATGGATGACTGGTTGCTAAGAACCACCATGTCGATTGACAGGCATGACGAGCGAATCCCGATCAACGCCTTTGGAGCTACCACAAGATTTAACGCCTAAATCGGTTGACGGACATGCGGTTGGGCAGGAGCTAATCCATATTCCCGGCCTTGATCGTCTGCCGCCGCTCGCTCTGGCGCAGTACCTTTTGAGCCATTTCGTAGGCCAGATTTTGACTCCCGATTTAGCTTCGAAACACGCTACTGACTTTGTAGGGTCTGTGATTTCAGTTGTCCGAGTCAGTCTTGTCATTTCTTGAGCAGAGTATATTTCACTTATCGAGCTTTGGTCAATTCCACCCTAACTTTTCTCAGTATTGAATGGCTGTAAGTTTGGATCAAGTCGGGAGCATCAGGTGGCCGCTTACTCTAGACTTGGGCTGCGGTCCGGATGACAGGTTTCGATGCCTCCATATACCAAGCTTCACTCAAAGGGTGCAAGATTTTCATCGCCAATTTACGACTTCCGGAGGCGTCTCATCGGATCAAGCAGCCTTTCTCCCGCTCTACACGGCCTGTCTGTGTGCTTCGCTTCACCTGATGACAGACGAGGTTTTACGCAACACGGGTTACAACCAGAAGGAGCGTGATGCCGCTCTTTCGGATTGGAATGAACTGCTAGAGGTGACCCTGGTGAAGATCGATTGGGCGGGCTCCCCTAGGCTGGAATCGCTCCAGGCTTTCATGTGAGGCGCAGCATATAGTTCGAACGTCGACTGGTGTTCAAGCATACTAATCGGGAGACCGTGCCCCCTCTATCAGAATCATCGGTCCTTACTGGTCTTCCATCAACCGGTCCGAGTCCCATCTTGCTCAACTCGGAACAGCCATCAAGGTCGCGATGAACATGGGATTATCTCGGCTGGGACCAGAGCTAGCGATGGAGTCCACCTCGGCCCAAATTGCACAGCATTTTGGGCGACGATGGACCAATGCGAGCGATCGCGAAGTCGGCCGTCGAGTCTGGTGGGCCCTGGTACGTCTAGCAGCATCATTTCAAGAGCCGATTAGGACTAATCAGAGGTCAGAAATTCAGGTTGAGCTGGATTGGATCGCTAGTCTTGAACATCGTTTTGATCATGTCGCTTCCATCGATCATGCCACCTGCGCTCAACCTGCCAATATTTCGGACGAGGCTCTGATCGGTCATGGTCCAATCATATCGGAGCCCATGTCCACGCGTACCGTGAGCGCTCAAGATATTAGCAACCGGGAGCCGACGTGATCTAATCTGAATTATTGCTGGGTTCGCGATAGGATATGAGCTTTTTCTTGAATAGGCTATCTTTCCTATACCCCGTTCGCAACTTTGTGCAGGCCGTCCTCAGTGCTGGCAAATTAAGTTACGATTTGATCATCAGGCGAGTGCGGTGATTCAAGAGTCTTCTGCGCAATCGAGTAGCTGAGATGTGTAGCTCGCACGAACAGCACTCAGGAGGGATTCATGAGCGTGATCTCGCAGCTTTCTCCTTTCTATCGTCTGAATGCCGATTTTGAAATGGATCCAACGCAATGGGCAACAGACGCTGCAACATTACAGCGATTGAGCGCAGAGAAACAGCTCATCAACACACACGGCCACTATCAAATCCTCAGACTACATCGATTCTATCTCAACATGGCTTACCGCTCTCAGTGAGTGAGCTCCCGAAAGACCAGACGCGACGTGACTGTCTAACATCCTGAGTGTACAGTAAGTATGCATTCTCCAAGGATGTCACATTGAAATCGGCCAGCTTCATACTCGGCACGAATCTAGCCCAATCCCCTGCGAACAGTCTTCTCCGCTATTGGTATGCCCTTCCCTACTGTGTCCGAAGCATAAATACACCGTTGACGGGCGCTATACAGGCCTCTTGCTCATAGCATCTTGTCGGCAACTATCGTGATTCTCATGAATCTTTGTCACGCAGGACCGTTTGAAATCGATGACTTAGCATTCTTGGTCCGGCGCGGGATTGGATCTCTTCGGTAAGCAACATTGTGAACTGCATCACAAAGCAAGCCAAGCTAAATTTCAGTTTCGTACTGCAGCCGGTTACAGGGCTCCGCTGCAACCTCCCGTTCGGCGGACGTACTGCAAAAGCTATATGGTGCGCTCACGAAACCTGATTTTTGTTTGCAAAGTTTGGCATCCTCATGTGGACTCAATTCCCATTAGACGCGGAAATGAGAAGCAAGAGAGATGAGCAGACTTCCCCTCAGGACTATGCGCCTGGAAAAAGGAAGCGACCATTCGAGGATCCCGGCAAATTCGGTGGACTGTTGAAGAGAGTTCTAGTGAGGCGCATCTCAAAGATTTCACCGGTGACCCGCCAACGGCAAACTGACTCAGAGCTTTGCAGACGAATCCTCACACCCCACAGCATCCGATAGAAGCAGGTCGTACGGATTACAGCTTCGACAATAGCCTCAAGTCGGATTTTAACCCTATCGGATTCAATTTCAATAACCTCGCAGACGGGTTCTCGCAGACTGTCGACTCGTCCCAATCAGGCATCATCAATGCAGGGCAGGATGCAGGAGCTGCAATCGACACGTTTGACTGGTCGACAATACTGATGGGCGACTCAGGCGGTCAAGATGATCAGCAATTTTTGGAGCTCTTGAGATGGACGATACCAGAATTTGGTGATGAGAGCGCAGGCGTGCCTTCGAATTAATAACTGAAGATGATTAGAGATGTGAAGGCGTAGACTATATGCCTCGATGCTGCAACTCGATAGTACTATAGCATAATCAACCATATTACAAATTCGATGGCAGAGGCTTTCCGTCGATCATTACAGGATCCGAGGCGATCAGGACGAACATCATTCTCGCCCACTTGTCGGTCTTGTTGTTCCATTGATGGATCCTGAGCGCCATTCGTAATCAGAACAGGGCCTTTTTGGGCGAAAACCAGACGGAACCAACTCACGTTCCCCTCTGAACCACGACATCAGATTGCGTCATCTGTCTTGTTTCGCCGTTGTCCAGAACCAGCTCCAGATCTCCGAAGATGACCACACCTGATGTCATGGTCAAGAGGTTGTATGAGTGATCTAGTGAGGTCGAATCGCGAAGGCCAGGAATACTTGCCATAATCGAGACTGTGTGTCCTGTGCATTGGGCTGAACGTGTTCGGGGGGAAATCGACGTAGCGGCAGACGATTCCGTTCTCTCGCGCTAGGGAACCTCCAGCCTTTGTTACCGCTCGATCTCCGGTGTCCGAAACGGTCACCGGCAGACCTTCGGTCGTCCAAGGGACATGGAAGACGGCGCACTCTTCCTCTGACTTGTAAAATTGTGTATGGGGGATATCTCCTTCGATCTTGAAAATTGCATTTCCTTGCTCGTCGTGCGAGGTGACAAACCGACGAGGATGAGGTGGAGCTTGTGAAAGGATTCCGGTGGCAGCGTCGGGCATGATTCGTGAAGCGTAATAGATGAACCGATGGTGTGAGAGACCAGGCAGCAGATCGGGAACAGACGTCTTGAGCCTTTGATGGCTCGTATCCTTATTATAATGGAAAGACTCGCTCTGAAGCGGCCGCCTCGGCGTTCGCGGATAGATTTGTCGGGGGATCGGCTTTGCGATAAGATCCGTCGCGTCCGGATTTTCCGCCAGTATCGCTCTGTCGAGTATATGTCACGAGCCCTTTTCACGATTGGGACGATCATCAAGCATCCTATCGAAAGACGACATGTTCTGCGCCTGCTGATAATCCGAGAAGTTCTAGGACAAAGCAGCATCTTGTTCCCGTCGTCGTTCTGAACCATGCCTGCCCGACACGATTTTAAGGCTTTGAACCGAGCTGCGGTGGATGCAGAGGGAGCCTTTATCGATGGCCGTCTCAAGAATATCGCCTTCAAGCACAAGCAATTGCGAGCTCTGTTTCGTAAGTAGACTGACGGATCTTGTCCCCTCTCCTATGCTCGATCGAGGCAAAAGGAACTGAATCCGACTACGCATGTGAAATCTAAAGGCATTTTGCAGGACAATGGCGAGACCATCCTGGCTGCCACTCGAAACCCCGGACGATGTGCGCTCGAGCTCGAACACTGTCTACAAGTCATTTCTGAGACGATCGAGGAGCTGCCCTCTGATCTCGTCAAGGCCGCCAAGGCGTTACGGGCTCTTGTCGATCCGAAGGCAAAACAAGGACGAAAGGATTGCGGCGCGGGGACGGTCTTGATCGTGGCCAATGAGACTCGTGAGCCATACTCTTCTTCCGCTATGAAAGGGGTTCGAACAATTTGGCTAACGTGTGATGCGCTTCGCGTGTAGATCCGATCGCCAGCTGGGTTGTACCCCTCGTCACTGCGTTTTACGACGGCAACGCCGCGATCGTCTCTGTAAGTGGACGACCAACGAATGTCGATGCTCTGGGCCAGGCTATGGCATGAAACACAGGTGCTGAATCGGATCACGATTCGTTGTCATCTGTCACCATGCTCAGTTCCCGTCACAATCTGCCGTCCATTCCACCTTGGTCCGACCTCTCCGCTCAAGCATGGATCAATCCAGCTTTCACTTCGTGATGGAAGACCCGTCCGCGCTCAACACTTGGCTCAAGTCCGGTCCGACCGGTCTCGCTGGACTTGTCTGCTTCGGGGATCTTCCTGGCACCGACAAAGATGACCTCGTCCTTCCCATTCGCAAGTTCACCGTCCATATTCCAGCTAGGGGGCATAACCCGGTGATTATCGACCAGTCCGTTGTTCCTTCAGCATTGCTGCAAGGGATGGCGATGACTCGAAGCGATGGGACGACATCGAAATCTTGCCCCGACGAAGTGCGCAACGCGATCCAGGATATAGCCAGTTCGATCGCACAAGCGTATCACATCGCACGTGGAGCCGACGACATGAAAGACAAGTCTGGTAGTGCCAGCTCTGGAGTTCCCGGTTACTTGCTCGTCCACGAGAACGTCTCGGCCTTGATGATCCCCGCGCTGAAGAGCACCCTCCCACCAAACTTTCAGCCACACGTCCAGGCCCTCGACGCGGCGGAAGACATCCTAGCCTCGTCGCAACTCGACTACCTACCGGTCTTCTCCGTCAGGTCATTGGATCACGCGATGGATACGGTGACCAATCGTCTACCTTCGAGTCCGTTGGCGTACGTGTTTGCGGAAAAGAGGTTTGGAGAGTATGCGGCGGGCAATCTCGAGAGAAAGTCGGTGGCTATCAACGATATCCCTCGAAGACTAGCTAGTACGTCGCCGAACCGCTGGTTGCCCGGAGATCGTCTCCCCGCTGACCACTTGTTGCCGTATTGGATTTATTCTGATCTCGTCCCGATCAGTCGCCGGTGCCTATGCTTCTCGAAAAGACTTTACCGTCAACCGAGAGCGCGTCTTTTGGGAGTCCGACAAGCCTTCTCGGGATTATGGCAATCCTGATAAGAGTTACAAAGGCTTGAAGGTAGCCAAGCTGCACCAAGCTGGAGGATTTAGGATCGATTTCTTCGGTGGAAGTGAGTTTGAAACGCCTTTCAGAATGGCCTTTGAGAGCGTGAGGACTGATCGGGGTTTGACATGATACCATGATAGGCTTCTTATTCGCTGCTAGTATTTTCCTGACTTGCTTCTTGGGGACGAGTGGATGGCTGATCTATCGAGGTGGGCTGTTGGCTCTTGCGAGATGGCGAGGTGGTAGGCTGTAGCCTGTATAACTTGTATAGCAGCTTTGTAGAAGTGGACCCAAGTATCGATCATCACGTGATATAAACTCGTCATAACGTCATCTTACGTAACTGCGATCGTCTGATAGCTGATGTCGAATGCTGTCGAAGATACGGAAGATCTCGTATCGTTATGCACTACCATGTCTATCATACATCATACACTGCATACAATCTTGCATCATGTATCATACAAGCACGTCTACACACTACAATCCGGCAACAAGAGCCTCCTCGTCCTCCCTGCTACCACTGTCCCCCGACCTTGTACTTGAACACGTCATCCGTGATCCTGCCAACCGTGTTCCGCCAAGCCTTGTTCGCCAACTACATCCCCACAACGCACAACATGAAAATTCATATCAGCTCGAAGCTCTCGACCGCTCACATTCAGATCGTCCTGAAGCCATGCTCACCCCCGTGATCCTGACGCCGGTGAACATGAACAGCAAGAACGTATACTCGATATTGTTCTGTCCCATCGGCCTGGACGCATAATCCACGTTCCGATCCAGCGGTCGGTAATCTGGCACGCCCCTCATCTCGACTGGCCAGTCGACCGGGCTTTCGCTCTCATCATGAGGAAGAGGCAGAGGGATCGCTGGGGACTGCTCGAGGGGGACAGAGGAGATCCTCGCATCACGGGCGACAGAGGTGGAAGGGTGAGACTGCTCGGAGGCCCCTACGAGGTCTAGGACGGCGGGGACGGCGGGGGGGATGCCACCCTCGGCGACGGTCGTGTAGCTTCGTTGTTGCGACATCGTTGTTTGGATGTGCAGATAGGATATCGCTATTTGGTTGTTTGAACGACTCTATGCTGGTATGTCCCTTTCAGCCGGTTCCCTCGTCACGATCGTATTCAAGATACGAAATCACATCGCCCTCCATGTTCACAGCTCAGTACGCGGAGTTCTCGGACGGGCGACGATCGAATTTCCGTCAACGCGGCGCCGGCCTATCCGAACGCCCCATCGTTTGCCCGCTTCATGGTACACTGGCTCGAATCATGCTCTGGTGCATGGCTTCTGCATAGTTATACGACAGTAAGAATGGACGAATCTACCTACCATCTGAAGCGGCACGAAAGCTGGCCGAACGCTGGCAACACACGATCTTCACACAACTAGTGAAATCAAGCCGAGACAATATGGTCAACGAGAGTGAGCATCCGGTGCCAGGGACTCTGATCTCTTATCGCCTCGAATTCGCAAGCTGATCACCTAATATGCATGACCGTCATTTTCACCACCAGCCTCCCCGACCTACCCGGTCTTCTTCTTCAGCCATGGTTCGACGGCGATGCTGCAATCTCGTACAGCACCGGCGGCCTATTGGGAGGAAGTCGGACGACAAGCGCTCGCTCAGGGGGTAGAGCGTATTGTCATCATGGGCGCACATTGGGAGACTCTGGGAGAGACTGTGAGGGTCTCTGGAAATCCCGATCCTGTCAAACAGCCGGTGGCTTGGTGAGCCTCGATCGGTTCTTAGCCCTTCTTTCAACTCGGCGCAATGAGCCCCACTTTTGCTGACCTCGAGCTTGCTATCCTCTTGCTTGGTGGTGCTCGTCCAGGGTCGATCCCAAGCTGTACACCGAATTTGACCTCAACCCGGATATGGAGCTCGCCGCCGAGGTTACCGAGATGCTCAAGGATTCCGGTTTCGACGCGGCTATGGATCCCAAGTTTGAACAGATCCACGATACCTTGTGAGTGCGACTGCGGGTTCAAGCAAGCCTGGGGTGGTCGCGGAGCTCATGCCTGCCGAAATCTTATATGCCGCGCATAGTATGGTCCTGAAATGGATGTTTCCGGGTGGGAAATCGCTACCCCACGTCGTAGTCAGCCATAACGCTCGATTTGATCCTGTAAGTCAAGCGAATCTTATAATCGTATGCACCCGCCTAGATGCTGAGCTAGTTCGGATTTGACAGCATTTCCACTTGAAGATCGGCGCGGCGCTCCGCCCCCTTCGTCAGCGCAAGACCCTCTTGATCGGTTCGGGTAAGCTAAAAAAACAGCGGAAATGTGACAGGCATTCACGTCGAGCTAAAGCCTGCCACTAATGATCAACAGGCGGAGCAGTTCATAACCTCTACCGCAACAATTGGCAACAAGTGATCATGCACCGCGATCACCTCGCTCAAGAACGGCCCCCTGAGCAGTGGGCAATCGATTTCGGGGAAGCTTTTTCGGATGTCGTTACCAACAACACGGGTCCTGCTTTGCGACGCGGTCTAGCGCGGCTGATGCAACACCCTCAATATCGGGATGCGGTGAGTACAGGCGAGCGAACGAACATCAATTACAGATCTGACGGGGCTTGCTTCGCCTCAAATCTTCCATTCCATTGAACAGCAAGGCACCGACGATCATTTCATGGCCGCGCTATTCGCCGCGGGTGCTGCGGGTGATGTTGAAGACGAAGGTCACAAGAACTATGCCGGCGCCGAATGTTGGGAATTACTCAATATGCGTAACGTGAGTGGCCTGGCATGTGCAGTCTTGATCGAGTCTGAACGGTGCTTACCGGAATGCCATCTCGACTACAGTCGCAGTTCCAGTTTGGCGACTGGCCTCACGCTCCACATGTTACGCCGATCCATACAGGAGGACAGGTGGTTCACTCGATCTAGAGGGACGTGCGAAGGAGATGTTGTATCGTTTGTGTATGTCATTGTATTCCGAAACATCGATCATGTCTGTGGACCACTCATTTCGCGAGTCCCAGCCAAGGGAGTACCGAGACCTTTCACGGAGTTCGTTTCGGACATGATCGCTTAAAGTTGCGCTCCATGACTGAATTCCGGTAACTCTAATGTTTGAAGGGGTGAGTGAGGTGGGATATGCACTCAAGAAGTCACCGGTCGCTTCATTACCATTCCGACGGACTGCCTTGAGATACCTGGGGTGATCCTTTCTTCATGAAAAGCTTTACTTCGAAAGCTACTATGATGGATCTTTGACCGCGACATCACATAAATACTGCTGCGAGCAATTGGAGCTCCTGCCTGTGGAAAACCATGTGACTCGGTCGGGCAAGCCAAGTAGATTAATACTGGAAGCCGCAGGCGATGAGCGTCGATTGGTTCACAATGATCCCAAGAGAATTCTGCGATGACGCTTTGCGATCCATTGTACAGGTACACGGGGCTGAAACCTACAAAGTCGCTGGCTTAATGGCACCAGAACACATTCCAAAGCCTACGTTGGCCACCTCGCCATCATCGCCCGTGCGCTTAACTCGAGCGTACATGTCCACCACGTCCCCATCCTCGATCCATACCCTCGTATTGCCACCACCGGTGCTCAAAGGTTTGCTTCCCCGTTCAGTGATTTCCAACATACACGCTAAGCTCTCGGGGTCAGGCCCGGATATGGTCCCTGATCCGAGCATGTCTCCAGCGTTCATGGGACAGCCCGAGACGGTGTGGTGGGCGAGAAGTTGGCCAAAGCTGTTCAAAGGGATCCTTCAGCCTTGCACATTGCCTTGAGGTGTGCGAATCGAAATACGTACGAATACGAGAGATGTTTGAGGTTGGAACGCATGATCGTGGTCGAGTCGTCCTCATTTGCGGCTGCGAGTGAACGGTTGGTATCAGCATCATCGTTAAAAATCTTGCCCTCATGCAATGATCCCTAACGTACGTTTGATCTTCATCAACAGCGGCAAATCGAAAGTCGGCGTCGAGTCCTTCTCTACCAGATAATCGGCAAGCGGGATGGGTTCTTCCTATGATCGCCCACGGGTCAAAAGTAATCGGATGAGATATGCTTGAATGATACAAGTAGAGAACGGGGTAACGCACTCTCGCCGGCATGGCGGTCTTGAAAGGTTCCAGCGCGTCCAGAGTCACCACCCAAGGGGAGACTGAAGTAGCGAAATTCTTCCCGTTGAACGGACCAAGAGGGAACATCTCGTAGCCTTGATGATCCCTGATATTTCGTTCAGTCGAGCGAAAGTGGTTCAAGCAGTCGAATCAACACAAGGAAGCGCGGCGCTACTCATCATCTCACACAGGACTCACCTAGCGCTCCAATCGTTCATGATGACCAACCCAAAGATGTTCTCCGTCACATCCCCCGTCCCCAGACTACTCCCCATCTCATTACCTTTTCCCCCGACGATAGCAGCCATCTCGAACTCCATGTCCAACGCCCGTGTCGGTCCAAAGCTCGGTGCGGTACTCTCCGATCCGGGAGCAGGACCTCGAAGACCTTTGGGCCGGGTGATAGGGGTACCGGACACGACGATGGAGGAGGCTCGGCCGTGGTACCCAACTGGGAGGTGTGTCCAGGCGGGGGGGACTGGAGGGCCTTTGACAGCCATCAGTCGACCCGCGTTGGTGGTGTGGTAGATACTTGCACCTGGAATGTGGTCGGTTCAGAGTTCAGACTAGATTGTCAGTCTCGATCTTGGAAGGAAGATACACGGTACGATACTGGTGGTGGATCGTCCGCAGGCGCGACTGAGACTAGGTGGAATCGCGCTCGACCTACAGAAATCGGTATAATCCCCAACCTTCACAGACATGTGCATGACGACCTCCCCTTGTTCGAACAACACTGTCTTCAATACCTCCTCATCGCCCTCGAGTGAAACCTCGGAATGAGATTTCGAGGTGAAGAGGTGCTGGATGTGGTGCCGGACGGCGCGGCGGGAAGAGAGTGGTTGACTGGCGAAGAGGTTCAGGGTGGACTATTTATTCCGTAGAGCCCGATAAAATCGAGTATCCCGATGATCATACAGATCGAGTTTGAGAGTGTATCAGTGTATGTGTTGAGGTGCGGCGTGGACGGGATCAACTCACCGCCTCAAACCATCCCTTCTCGTACCCCTCGACCTGATCGAATTTGCCGGCCCTTCCCAGCTCGGTGAGGCTGATCACCTTGTTTCCGATGATCGTCCCACAATGCCTCGCGGTATCTTTATCAGACTCGGTTGAAGAGGATGGGGAGAAGACGCCGAATGGGATGTTGTACAGGGAAAAGTCCGAGTCGGCAGGGACGGGAATGAAGGAGGATAGCATGTTGTTATGGTTGCTTGGCGTGAAGAGGGGTGCGGGTCGGGTGTGATGTTACTGGAGCTCAGAAACCGTTCTCGACGTGCATGACCGTGCATGTTGCATATGACATCCTCGCTGAGGATTCTTGTAGCTTGTAGCCCTTGTAGCTTGTAGGCCCGCAAAGCTCACCGCGTCCCGCCGGGTTGATGCGCTCGGGGTTCGTCTAAAGCGGTGGCTTTTGCCCGGAAATCGCGGGTCCACCGTCCGATTTCGGTCCGTGACAGAAGCGGGGTTGTGTATCAGTCTCGCTGAGCTGTTATCGTGTCGAGTTCAGGTGTAGACCTATAAGAGAGGTAAGATTTAGTGGGATGCGCTCAAGACACAAGTGCTTGAATCGCGAATCATAGCGCTACTGCATCTAACCGAAATAGAACGTGTTTCAGGTTCATCACTCGATCCATCCAGATCAATCAATTCGCGGCAACAATCATGACGTCACCTCAGCAACCTCCTCCTCCACCTCCTCTCCTGCCTCTCCCTCGACCGAACGCTCTTCGCGAAGTGATCGATCTTGCCAACATGACGTTTGAGAAAAACGTCGATATCCCGCTCAAGGACGGTCAAGGTCTCTGTCGTGGCAACGTCTATCGACCCAAGGGAGATGGGAAATGGCCAGTCCTCTTGACGTGTGAGTCGTCGCCAGCTCGTTTGCTATCAAATGCGCGTCGCCTTTTGGGTTGAATCCCTTAGACTACTATCGTTTCTGATATCAACTCTTCCATGCAGACGGTCCCTACGGCAAAGACGTACCCTACGCTTCCTTTCACGGTGCATCGTTCTCAGAGATTCCTGATGAACAGAAATCCTCCCTCTCTGCCTGGGAGACCCCTCACCCGGACTACTGGGTCGCCCAGGGGTACGTCGTCGTCAGGGTGGACGAGCGAGGGATCGGATCCAGCGTAGGGTTCTTGGATACGATGAGCGATCAGACGTCGAGCGATTTCGCCGAGGTGATCGAGTGGGCTGCGGATCAGAGTTGGAGTAGTGGGAAGGTCGGGTTGTTGGGGATCTCGTGAGTGTCGAACCGTCATATTGTCGAGTCATGTTGTGCCATTCGAGGATTGATGAAAGCGACCTCGACGAGAGATTATGAGCTGACTCTGCATACTTGCTGCCTCTCATGTTCTCTTCAGCTACTATGGCGGTTCTCAATGGAGAGTGGCTGCTCGAAAGCCTCGTGGCCTCGCTTGCATCATCCCCTGGGAAGGTCAGTCTCATCTCAAAACTCTCTCCCGCTTGCCTGGCTACCCTCCCTTCACCTTCCTAAGCTGATCACAATTTACAACGTACGCCTTCTGTACCTTGCGGAAATTCAGGCATGACCGATTACTACAGGGATCGAGTCAGACACGGTGGAATCCTCGCCAACAACTTTGTCAAATTTTGGTGGGAGAATCAGGTCGGGCCTATGCAGTATGGGACAGAGGAGAAGAGGCCTAGACGGTTCGGTCAGTCGTTCTTGCTGATAATGTTAGAAACATGGAATTCACTTTGGCTGATCTTCCGAACCCCCTTCTGCTCCGTTATCATTTGCGACGCTGTAGGACCTGGAGTTATGGGTCCACCCGTCGGTCCCGAATGCCTGGAGGGCTCCGTTCCCCTCTCCACCCGTCTCGCACTCCGTAGAGACCAAACTATCGACAACAAGGAGAACCGATACCTCGACGATCCTTACCACGCTTCTCGGGTGTACGACTTGGGGGCGATCGAGGTCCCTCTGCTGAGCGTGGCGAACTTGGGAGGCATCTTGTTGCATCTGAGGGGGAATGTTGTTGGGTACATGGAGGCTGGAACGAAGAACAAGTGGTTGTATTTCATCTCGGGGAGGTGAGTGAGCGGTCGTATTGAGATGAGCCGGGCAAGCAATATCCGATACGGACATTCCCACGCTGATGCTCTTTGGATCGTTCTCGCAGGCACGACCTGCCTTTCTACCTACCGCACTTTGTCAAGCTCCAAAAGTCCTGTGAGTCTGCGCTTCACCCCTGTTCGACCGTCTCACTAGCTCAAGTCGATGCCTCACCGCGACCCTAGTCCTCGACGCCTGGCTCAAGGGTGAAGACGATGCCGGCTGGCTCAAAGGCCCCAACGTCGACGTCCCTGCCGTTAGCGTACTCGTCCGTAAAGGCAACCCGGGGTTCAACACGACTGAAGCCGAGGCGACGTTCAAGTTTAGGTCGGAGAAAGAATGGCCGATCGCTAGGACCCGATACGTCAAGCACTACTTGCAAGGCGACAAGAAGATGAAGACTTCAGCTCCGACTGAAGGCGGGAAAGACTTTGAACTGCAAGCGCTTGGAAAGGGAGCGCCTGTCAATTTTGAAGTCAAATTTGAAGAGGAGACCGAGATCAACGGGCATCCTACGGCCAACCTCGTCTACTCGGTTCCCAAGAGAGCCGACGGATCGGCTCCGAAGGATATCGACGTCTTTTTGACGTTGAGACACTTGGACACCAATGGGAGGGAGATTTACTATACAGGAACCGCTGGGGATCCCGTACCTCTCTGCAAAGGTCAGTACCATCTTGAGCGAAATGAATTGACCTCGCGCTCGCACGGAGTATCTAAACTTCGTCGTGTTCAATCCCTACAGGCTGGCTCCGAGCGTCCATGCGCAAGATCGACGAATCCTCACCTCGACACAAACACTACCTCCCTCACAGGAACTACGAGTCGAAAGACGTCTTGCCCGTCGAGCCGGATACCAAGTACGATCTCTTGGTAGAACTCTGGCCTACGCAGGTGGTCGTTGAGAAGGGGAGCAAGATCGTGCTCGAGGTGAATACCGGGGACAGTCAGGGATGTGGGATCTTTTTGCACAACGAGCCGACCGATAGGTGAGTCACTTCACACTTTCGAGAGGAAGGGAACTTGATTCTAATTGCTTCTGAGATTTTCAGGAGCGAGACCGACTTTGACGGCACGAACATCTTGCATGTCGGGCCTGGACATGATAGCTGGTTGTGTCTACCCATCGTGTAAGACGTCGACATATATGCATAGGACCATGATGGCTACAGGGAAGCGTATCACAATACATAGACTGCGAACGGGGAGGTTGTACGTGAAGGCATCGAAATGATCCAAATGACATCGATATGACATTCGGAGCGGATGGATATATTATACCGTCACTGGCCCGCTGCGAACTGATAGCTGTTTTAATATCGGCTCATCCACCTGCTCAAAGCGCGGCGAATTTACCCATCGCGTCGAGTAGCGCGGCTAGTGGTTAGGTGGCCTGGGACATCCGCATGGAGGATCATAGTAATGGCTTGGAACAAACGTAACCACTGCGAAAGGTGCAATCATGTAAGATTAGGCGTCCGACAACCTCTCACACGACCACCCGCGATACTCACGAATGATGACCGAGGTGATCAAGCAGAAGAAGAACGCGGTGTAGGCTATCCAGAGGGCGTGCATATTACCGCACTTGTTCCTCCAGTCTTCTTGCTTCCATTGCGAACTCAGATGTCGAAAGCGAGATTCCCATTTATCGGACGTGGCTTTAACGGTGTTGGCGTGGTTGTTATAGTCCCGCCTCACATGAGCATTCTCATTCGAAAGTATCTGAATGAAAGTGTTCATTTTGGCTTGCAGTATCTGAGTGGAAGTGTTCATTCTGTCTTGCGTCTCTTTGGCCTCGTCGCGGATGTCTGACTCGGTCCGTATCTCCATTTCCTTGAACATTTTATGGAATTCCTTTCGGATTGTAGCGGTGGACGCATTTATCTGAGCTTCCAGGTCGTTCCAGAGAGCCTCCTGGGAGCGAAAGTGATCAGTCTTCGTCAGTAATGTAAAATAACAGCATCATACACTTACGCTGCCACCTCGGCGAGAGTAGCTCATGGTTGGTTGTCGATGTATGTTGTGCTGTCCAGTGTCCAAAGAAAATCGCCCCGTGGTCCAGAGGCAGGCGGTCGGCGGTATATATGTATATATATATATATAAACTTGCTCGATGGTATTAAAGTGTGTTCAAGTACTGTTCTGCCTTCCGAGAGGGAAGTGCTAGCCGGTAGCCTGCCCGATAGACGACAGGGCTGAGACATGCGACAACGATTAACGACGGAGCGACGACTCGCTTAGCTAGATCACAAAACGAGATCATCAATTCCTTGATTCATTGCTCATTGATCGGCTTTGTTGTGATACCCTACCGGTGCTTTCAACAATCGGGGTTAGCTCCGTACATTTTATGTCAATCAATACTACCATTATTGCCATCACAACAACAAGCTAAGGCATTAATGGACTTTGCGCCGTCGGAAAACAAGCTCGCCTTATTGGACTCTTTCGTAGCCGTAAGGAAGGCAATGACGGCTGGCGATTCTGGCGAGTGTACATGTACACATGTTCGATCTTATGCTGTCGTCGCTTCGTTGTCTTCCTGCGACCATCCTTTCAATTAATCAATCGATCAATTGATCGCTTAATTTTAGCGCAGTCGTCGCTCGTTTCAGATACTCCGCGGGATCAAAACAGCGCAAGCGAAGAATCAGCTCGAACCCTCCTTTCGCCCGCCCAAAGGATGACCCTCGTTCTGGCTCCTTTGGTTGTGATTGATTCGGATGTAGCATTCCCGTTCGATGATTGACCGTGGCACCGACAACGATGGACCAACAAGCCATCAGACTGATCAGCTCTTTGTCGAATACCTTGGCTGAGAGAGAGCTTCGAGCTTCAAGCTATGGCTCAATGTACCAGTATTCAGTAATTTTCAACCTTCCAGCTGACGATCGCCCCGATAGGCTTCCCCTGATCAGAAGATTGATGTCGCTTTTAGCAAGTAGAACTTATGGTATTGCATAAGAGAGCGTATATCAATTGCGAGTACATGATACAGAGATGGACATTGGTCTGCGCGATATCAAATCGGCACGTTTTCTACTCTCGTCAAAGTCATTTGGAAAGCCTTGTTGCAGATCGTCTTTGACGCTTCTAGGTCGAATCCTATGAAGAATGGCTGCAGTCAACGATCCGATCCGCTGATGCGACCGATATTGATAATGCGTACCCTTTCGCCGTGCTACCCAAGCTAGTCGAACAGTCCACCGCCAAGACGGCCTGGCTTCACCTCCTTGCCATTCTTCTTACTGCTACGTTTTCCTCTACGAAACAAGAATAGAAGTAAGATGGGACGGTTAGCACCATCCAATGTTTGACAGCCGGTCCTGATGATTTAGCTTACGGGAGAGCGTGAGATCTCTTCAATCTCCTCAAACCTTGACGGTACTTGTCCTTCAATTTACGGATTTTGTCTCTACGAGTCGCTCGCTCCCTTCGAAGTTGCGCCTTGAGCGATATGTCCAACCTTGGTATGTCCCTCTTCCTACGCTTCTCCATTCTCCTATGACCGCGTTCCCGGATCCTCCGCTCAAGTTGGAGGAATGTTGACAGGGAAGCTTTTGACGCTTCGAACGATTTCCTGTCGGAGATGACGGATCTTGCCAGAGTTCCAAAATTGGCCTCGGTAAGTTCTTTGAGATGGCAAAGCCAGTCTTCCAGATAGTGTTCTTGTGCGTCGAAATTTACCTCCAGCCAGGCCTGAGAACGGGAGCAGTCAGGCCTTGTGAGCAAACGGAAAGCCCAATCTTTTGAGATATAGAGGCAAATACAGGCGAAGCATTTATATCCTTGCTCATCAGTGAAGAAATCTGAGCAATCTGAGCCGGGCATGTTGAATCCTCTGGGCCGTCTATTGACAGTATCCGTGTTGTAGCTTATCGAGGATATGAAATGTACGAGTCGGTAGTGATATAGTCAGTGGTAGATACGGATAAGCCTCAACCGGGCAAGTGCAGGTGTCTCTTCGATGATCGATAGATATATACTTACCCAAGCTCTAAACATGGCGAATTAGAAAACTTTTCGCGATATTCGGTCTGGTCCGCAACCCTATGCCCGAGCGAAACCTAATTTCGCTAGTTGTTGATCAGACTCCTTCCGCCTCTCGGGCATACATCACTGTCGATCTCCGGTTGTCGTTTCAGGTGATCGTCGCTTGCCAAGCGCGTCAACCCACGCGGAGCCTTTCTCAACGATCTCGCGTATCGAACGACGATCACGACGCACAGACCTTGTCGTCATCAAAAGCAATGATCGCGTTCATCGTTCCATGTGCCTGTCTCACTCGGCTCCGCCAGGAAGAGATAGGGGGTTCGCACAGGTTCACGCCGCAATGTTGAAGGACAGACTTCAAAAGGCTGGTCGCTGTGAAATCGGCAAGCTGGGGCACGGCTGAATCACCACTCCTCTGGCTCAATTATGATCGACTGAACATCTTGATTGCGTCTAGTATCATCGATACCTGTTTCAGCCACGTCGTTCACGTTTGCTATCAACCGTCCCAGTCTCATGGGTTGAGGAGTTGAGTCTTTGTCAAGTTTACATACATGGTTACATCGAGTGACATGGTACTAGCTTTCGTTTCAGAACTAGATGGACAAGCAGGCGGGGTACGTAAAGCTCAGGCCGAAGCCCTGATGTAGGGGATCCCGGTGAGCTTGAACTCTCGCTCATTCAGCTTCGGTCGCTCTTTGGGACCGTCTCGGTTGGCAGGACAGACGGTTCCATCGGGTCTGGTAGCGGTCCACTTGACGCTCTGAAGACATTGCGGCCAGTGGCTCGAACCGACACCAGCTTCAAAGGCCTCCTTCTTCTTTCGCAAGTCCTCCTCGGTCGCAGTGGAAGCGGGCGCAAAGCAAGTGTAGACGGCCATGCGGACGTTGTTGCCCTTGGGAGCGACATTGTAGTGGGGAACTCGAGAGTCCCAGAGGATCAAGTCACCAGGCTCGGCATCGACTTTCTCAAACTCGTATCCGCGTTCCTTGAGCCAAGCGAGACCGGTGTCCTTGTAGCCGTACCACTCGTTCGTCCATTGCCAAATGCGCTCTTCATCTCTGAAGGTGTTGTGATATTCCTCAGAGATCTTGTGGCCTCCGCGCATGACGACCAGACCACCATCGTCCGGCCCGTTCGGGTTCAGGTTGACTAGACCTTGCAGGCAACGGAATCCAGGCCTTTCTGGGTCTTGGTCCTGTGACATTGACCAACGAGGTACACAATGTCAGCTGCCGCGCTTCTGTTCGTGTATACCGGTCGATAGCTACCTGGTGAGCCCACCTCTTGTTGGCAGGAGCATCTTTGCGGTTGGGCCATTGAACGTTGACGATGTCGAACGATACGATCAGATCATCGGTACCATAGACCCTATGGAGTAAAGAGAACGGTCAGACCTCTTGAGAAGCAAAAAGCAAGTGCGTTCGCGATAGCTCGACGGGCCAGGCTTACTTCTCGAAGGCGCCAACGACACCGGGCTCGCAACGGACTCGCCAAACCCAGTCCTCGTGGCTAACACCGTAGTGCATGATCACTGCAGGAGTGATACGCTCATCAGACAAATGCCAATCAGTGTCTACACTTCTCGATACTCACTGCCTTTCTCGTTGATGACGGGCAAGTTCTCCGTCTTCCAGGTAGTCGGATCGTCTTTCTTGTAGCCGAAGCCGCTATGAATTTCGTGGCGAGTCAACATGACTGTCCTCCAATCTGAAACAGCCGCGATCAATGACCAACTCACAAGTCTTCCATGTAAGTGTGGAACGCATTCGCATGCTGAGCGGCTTTTTCGGGTGACATGGCCTTGACCACGGCGAAACCGTCCCTCACAAGATCCTACCGGTTGCTGCAGGTCAGCGATGGAGCTTCTATACTGGAACCGGTCTCTTGAGACTCACATCTCGAAAGTCGCCGTAAGTCGTCTTGCCCGAGAAATCAAGGGCGTCCGACGCCTCGACGCCACGGACTCGCATAGTTTCAGGTCGGCCCATTTTTCGTTGTGCGGTTCCGCTTAAATTGGTGGTGGCTTTGGGTTGATATCTTTGGACAGGAAGAGCGAGTGCTACTTGAGATTGTGACTTGATTGTGAAGTTTGCATCCTATCCCATGCTGCGATCAGATGACATCTATATATCAATGTACCGATATATCGAGACGATGTTTGGTACAGTGGATCGCTGGCGCGGACCCGCGGACGGAGTCAACCCATGAGAACGGCAAAGCTCGGAATGTGATCGATGCGCGACCGTTGCCATCTTTCCGCAATTCTCGCTGATCGTGCCGACGTTTCCGTGCGGGGTTCGGTGGCCGGTTTTGGAGATCACGTGGCAAGCTCAGGGTAGCTGAGGGGTTGTGCGTGCATCTCCCGCCTTCTCACGCGTTTCACCGGTCAAAGTCTCAACGGACAGCAAACTAAGATGATGTCCGCCTAACGCGCGTGACTTTCAGAAGCGCTCAGGTGCGCTTATCTTGCACCTGCTTGTACGATCTCGTCTGTGATCACTGGCCACTGGATCACTGGCAGAATTGCGATTGATCGACAAGCTTTCTCGACAAGACCACGTCATGCGATACACACCCAAGTGTCGGGCCGCCGAATCATTCCTGCATCTATCAGCTAGAGACGGAGTCGTTTCCGTTGCGATACTGCGACTATGCCCATACTATGTGGGGCCGTGCTATTTTTGGTCTGACCGAGGTCACAGCTCCGGGAGCCGCCCGTGGGGAGGGACACATCATGCGGGGTTCGGCCAGCTACGATTTCCGTCTCAATCATCGTCCGTGATCTTGCCCTGGGATGCATGAAGCCCGACTTGCACTGACACATCATCTCCTGACTCAGTGGAGCATATAAGCTCATCAGGAAAGCATGTATCGACTTGATTTGGAGGGCGATCTGCCTCGTATCGTCAAGCAATTACTCGAGCCCTCCCGAAACCCAACCATTTGATCACACCTCCCAGAATGGAACGTAATGAAGCCGCACTGGCGATTGAAGCGATGGACGTCGAGAAGAAGCAGACTTACGATCACGTCGAGGATATAGACGCGCTAGAGTCGGAAGCGCAAGCTCGAGACAGCGCCAATGGTACGGTTGGATTGACCAATGCGGATGGCGAAGTTTTGCTCGTCCCTCATCCGAGCGCGGATCCCTCTGGTATGTCACAATCTCGACGAGCTTCGACCAGGCGCTGATCAAGATCATCATCTTCGATAGATCCTCTCAATATGCCGCTATGGCGCAAATGGGTCTTCGTGATTATTCTCTCGACTTGTGAGTTTGCCACCCATCGACACAATTTACATTGCGCACTGAAACACTTTTATGTCTAGTCTCCTGCGTCGGAAACACTTGCGTTTCCGCAGCTGGATCTCTGATCTCGTTCTTCCTGATGGACTACGTCAATGCTGGGAAGGGCTATCAAGATATCACCAACCTTATCACGGTACCTACCCTTTCAATGGTAAGTTCTTCACGCGTCTGACCGATTTGAGTAATAAGGATAATCAACATGGCATCTGGCGGCACAGGGTCTCGGCAACCTTGTCTTCATGCCGATCGCGCTTGCCATCGGACGTCGACCAGTATTCCTCTTCTCTTGCGCGCTTCTCTTCGTCGGCAGCGTTGTGGCTTCTCAGGTTACAAACTATGAGTACCACTTGGCTGTCCGCATCGTCATCGGATTCGCCGCGGGACAATCCGAGGCGCTGGTTCCTCTCATGTTGAAGGAAACCTTCTTTCTGCACGAGAGGGCCAACATTCTCTCTTTCCAAGCGGCGTTCCAGACGACCGTCGGCTGTATCTTGACCATATTTGCTTCCAACATCGCTGCGGCTATAGGATGGAAGAACTGGTACAGCGTGAGTACATGATCGATTCTCAATCTGGACGGGGTCTGATTCGCATTTCATTTCCGTCTCTTCAGCTGTACGCCGGACTCTCTGGATTCCTCTTCGTCGTTTCCTTCTTTTTCGTCCCGGAGACCGCCTTCGAAAGGCCTTTGAGCGCCTATGCCTCGATGACTGCCACAGTACCGGATGCCGTTACCGATAGCAGTACCGTAGCCGCCCGTCAAGCCGGAGGCTATACCCAGGCGACTCGCCCTGCTCTAGACGCTGAAAAGTATGGTCCGAGGACCCTCAGGAAGACGATGAGGCTGTGGGCTGGCAAGTCGGATTGGACAGAGGCGTGGCTGGTCTTGAAACACACTGCGCAAATGGTAAGCCGCCTGATTTCGGGAGCCATGATCTCACTGATCTCATCCACGACTGCGTGTTGCAACAGCTTCTGTTCCCGAACATGCTCGTCATTGTCCTCATGAACGCCTGGTACTTAGGTGTCAATATCGGGATGGGAACCACTTACGCGACTCTGCTGGAAGCGCCCCCTTACAATTGGGCTCCTAAGTGGGCTGGTATGGCTCAATTGGGCCAGATCGTCGTGGCTTTCGTTGCTCTTCCCGCCTTGGGTATTCTTTCGGACAAGTTGATCACGTACATGGCCAGGAGGAATGGAGGAGTCCACGAACGTGAGCAGATCTAGCCCGGAACGGGAAAACGAACCGAGATTATTGACAGTGACTCCACTTTCTCAGCCGAGACTCGACTCATACCTCTCGTCTTCCCCGTCTGCTTGGGGGTTCTGTCGACCGTCCTGTTCGGAGCTGCCTATGCCGATCCCTACAAGTTCCACTGGTTCGTTGTCATTTTCGCTTATTGCGGTTCATACTTTGCCTTTAGTAAGTGGATGTTTTTAGAGCAACTTCGGCAGGCAAGTCTCTTACCGGCGCGGGTTGTTCTGTTTTTCAGTCGCTGCGTCTGTAGCTGGACAAACGTACATGCTCGATTGTTACCCGACCCGGAGCGGTGCGGTTCTGACGCCTCTCGAGGCGTGATCTCTTTCGGTCTTACCTACTCGTGGGTCGAACTGGTACCAATGTCACAAGGGGCGAACCGCTAACGCGACATGGACCTTATGTAGACTCGTCCCGACCACAACTGCTATGGGGTACCTCAAGGCGTACGGGATGTACGCCGGAGTCATGTCGATCTTCGCCTTGATGGCGGTAGCACTTTACTTCAAGGGCAAAACTCTCCGAAGGTGGACTCTCAAATACGTCAAGGAAGATGGTGACCCTTCGAAACCTCACTATGGCTAAGCTGCTATCCTTACGGTACAGGGGTGAGAAGTGAAAGACGGGGGGGTTGAAAGCCTGTACAAACTGAAAGGTTGTAGTTCGACGACTCAAATTTGTAGTTCCAAGACCCCATGCACATCGAGAACGATTGGAAGTATTGCCCGAGGGATTGTTTTTGCGAGACGATCACATTGAAAGGTGGGACTACAGACTGATAACCGATACAAAGCTGACTGGATTGTCGAGGCAATAGAAGATCTTTGAATTGTAAGGGCCACAGAATCTCAAATTACCAACTCAACTCGCGCATATGACAGCAGAAGGTATTCATCGAGGCTAACTACGTAAACCGTACAAACAAGACCTTTCGCATTCCCTACAATTCTTTTTCTTTGTTATTTCACGAATTTCAACAAACCATCACCGCCATATTCACCAAAAGAAACACCGCCGGAACGTCATGCCTCAAAATGCCTCTCAGTAATCCTTCATCCTACCACCATCACCGTCGCCATCGACAACAAATCGCAAGGTGAAGAGACGGATCTTCTTTCCGTAGAAGAAGAGACCCAAGCAAATCAACATCAAAGCTGCGCCGACACCTCCGAAAGTGCCCCAAGCTGGCAGGGGGCCGCCTAGATTCTGGATCGTCTTCGAGAAAGAACCCATGAAGGCGAAAGCCAGTGCACCTCGGAATGTGTTGACGATGATGAGAGTAGCGCCAGCTCGGGTGGGGTAGGAGTCCAAGAGAACGTTCTGAGTCGAGATTGAGACGGCAGAGAAGCTGAAGTTGAGGGCTCCGAAGATGTATACCTGGGCGAACCAATGGACTCTTGTGGGATAGGCTTGTTGGTATCCATGCAGGATCATCGCTGTGAATCCGAGGGTAGCGGGGAAAAAGATTGGAAGAACCCTAACTTCGGGCTCGTGGACACCGTGCCGTTTCTTTGCAAAGTATTTGATGACGAAGTCGGAGAACCAACCGACGAAGGGCACCGTCAATAGGATGTCCAGGACCGCTCCTATCGAAAGAAAAGAAAACGGTTTAGCCTCGCATCCGAGAAGATTCATCCATCCGTCAATGCCGCGGAAACTCACCTCCTTGGATGAACCCGACGTTGTCTCGAGACCAATTGTTAGGCGCACCGATCAGAACACGAGGATACTGAATGACCAAGCGGGATTCTCAACATCATTTCCTCGGCAATCGGTCTTCGCATGGACTTACGGTAGCCGAATGCACGATTGTCATGGTAAGGAACCAGAAGTTGAGTCCGCAAAAGAGCAGGACGTTTGGGAATAGGAGGAGCTGCAAAGCATCCTTGTAGGTCGTCAAAGCAATCCTCCAGTTGGGTTTGCGTTGGAAAGGGCGGAGGTCGGTCAACCAGGTTCGAGGCGTGAAATTGACGTTGTCAACATCCGGGCGCGTCAACTGGGTGATCTGGATCAACCTGGGCCGAGTATCGGCGGGGCTGGCGAACTCGACACGAGTGTCCTCGATATGCTTGTCATGCGCATACTCCTTCTCATCTTCTGCTGCCTCATGCACCGGCGCGGGTATCGCTTTCCCATAACCGAGACCGTTGAAAGCCTCGAGCGGGCGGTCATATTTGGTTTCGGGCATCAAGAAGATACCAGCCAAAAAGGCAGCACCCGCGATACCAGTGTCCTGCGAAGTCACCGTAAATCAACACAGGCAAAAACCCAGGAGAATATCTACACTGAAGCTCACGATATAGTATAGATTTCTCCAGCCTACCTGTCCGACGACGTTGGGAACGAACATACCCCACACGAGGCCGAAGATGGAGTTGATGGTACCAGACCAGGAGAGGAAGGTCGCTCGTTGATGGAGAAAGACCGATTCCTTGACCATGAGAGGGACCAGAGATTGACCAACTCCGACCGAGCACCCCATCATGAGACGGTATGCCAGGTGCTGGTCGTATGAAGTGCAGTTGGCGGCCAAGATGCAGGCGAGAAGGAATATCACGTTGGCGCCCAGGTAAACGGGACGTCGGCCGATAGCCAAAGCGAGGGGTACCAGAGCCAAGTTGGACAGGCCCTGGGTCAAGGTAGGCATGACCGATAAGTTAAGCATATCCTGGTCGTTCTTGCCCTCTTGAACGGTATATTCATCCTCGAGAAACGGTATAATGGTAGCAAAGGCTGAGACGGCGCTCTGGCCAAAACTAGCGACTGTGCAAGCAAGACACTTCTTAGCGGATCCTGGCGGACGAGAGTCTATAACACAGACATACAGATTTGTAGCATGACGATGATAGCAATCCTCCTCCAGGTTGGCAAGTTGAGTGGATCTACATCGAAGCACCCGAGGTCAACGCTGATACAAGTTATAGCGCGCGAGTATACGAGTCAAGCGCTCACCTTGAGGATCCGCGGTGGGAGCCGGCACCAGGACTACATTATCCTTGCCTTTGCCACCATATCGGTGCAACAGGTTGACTGTTCCACTGGCAGCCTGAGCTTGTTCAGCGTCGAGACCTTCGAGGTGCGCACGTTTGGCAGCACGCTCAGCGCGCGCGAGTGTGCCGGGATGATGATCAATCGCATCGGTGTTGGCCGCGTCTTGATGCGGGAGCCTTGGATAGGCTGGCTCGATGGGATCGTTGTATTGCATTGGAGGGTTTCCTGCGTTATTTGTGACGATGGCTCTGGCTCCAGCAATATGCTGACGGATTCCCCTCAATCGAGAATCCATCCAAATCCGAGTATATATGCTGTATTCACGACCACCATACACATCCACGTAGCGACACCTTCAACGCATCACAGACGTGGAGTCGACTCTGGGAGGTCTGAAACGACTGGCGCCAAGACAAAACGTGCGAGGATGTATCCGGAGACTCCGCTGCGTTTCAAGCTCGGCATCTGTGGGGCAGGAGAGTGAGCGGGGAAGCCGACGACATTGAGCAACGAATCAGTAGAGAGGGCAATCTCGGGACAAGTCGATTGGATGGGATCAGGTGGGCGGGGTGATCTGTTGGCCAGCGAGCCAGCGAACAACCAGCTTGCCGTTCGTCCGGATTCCCCGGCCGCGCTGAATGTCCCTTTCCGCTTGACAATCGGCCGCCGCTCTTGTATTGGCTCGAACGGCAACGGAAACGGAAACGGGGCCGTGATGTGCATCGCCGACAGCCGCTCCTTGACGTGTCGCCCGATTCACCCAGATGACAACTGCAACTGATGGATTGAACAAGTCGTTCCGGAACATATATCAGCAGAGATGTTGAAAGTGCCAACCAACAGCAAGCAGCGCCTCCCCTGATACTCATACCACACAAAAACTCATCACCTCACACCATCCATTCTATCGATCAACATGTCTACCACCGCCAACGAGGCTTCCTCATCTGAACCGCCATGCATCGTCAGGGGAACTCCTGTCCTACACTGCCTCGATGAAAACACCAAGTACGGCGACTTTAGGGATGACTTGGCTCGCGACGGATACGTTGTCGTTAAAGGCGTTCTCCCAAAGGAGAAGTGCGACGCCTATATCGACGACATCCACGACTGGCTCGAGTCCTTTGGGCTCGGCTATAACCGACACGATCCCTCCACGGTGAGGGAAGAATGTCTCCCCATCATCCATCAGAAGGGGCTCATTCAAGCTTACGGAGCCCCGCACGAGGTACGTTGATCGCCGAACATTCTATACGAGAGATTGATCGCTTATGACGAAACCTTCCTTTACCCCCTTCCTTTGGTTCCTCAGTCCTTCACGTGGGGCGTCCGAAGCGAGCCTGCCGTGATCGATACCTTTGCCAAGTTGTTCGGGACCGACGACCTCTTGGTCTCCTTTGACGCTGTGAACGTCTCATTGGCTAACCGGAAGGATCAAGGCAAAGTCGGAGTCTGGGCACACCAGGACCAAGATCCAGAGCGTGGGGGCCTGAGGTGTGTGCAGGTGAGAGTTCGCGCCCGAGAGTAGTGTTCCCTCCCAAAAATGGTCTCATGATACTCACTGTCGACGGTCGGATCGCGCCTTACAGGGATTTGTCAACTTGGCACACAGCGGTGACGATGATGGTGGTCTAGTCGTCCTCAAGGAGGGACACAAGATCAGTGAAGAATACCACAACGCCTTCCGAGAGGAGGACAGGGGTTTCAGGTGGACCAATGAGGTGAGTAGCAGGCCGCGGCTCGCCAGTCTGGATGTGGATCATGCTGACGAGTTTCCGAACAAACAGATTTACCAGTTCAAAGATACTGGTCTAAACTGGCTCAAGGAGCGAGGTTACGAGTGGCTCAAGGTTAATTGCGAACCTGGTGATCTCGTGCTCTGTAAGTCGAGCCAAAACAGTTGCGCCTGTGCGAGACATAGCCTTATACTTTCTGTACACTACTCTTAGGGGACTCCCGAACTCCCCACTACAACAAGGCCCCCGCCGGAGAGAACTCGCGATTCGTCGTCTACACCTGCTATGCGCCCGTATGGACGGCAACTCAAGACGAACTCATTTTAAAGAAACAGTTGTTCGAGAACACCAAAGGCCACAGTCACTGGCCCCAGGCTCTTCAACCTTTCATCGAAGAGTTTGTCACTCCGATGCGCAACGGCCAGCCCGACCCTCTCAATAAGTGGAAGCCTCGAAAGCCGCCCGTTCTGAGTGAGCGTGGATATAAATTGACCGGTATTCCGTATATCAAGGCCAGCGCCTGAGAGACAGGGCCCTATTCTATGTACCCACCGTCATGTATAGTGGTCGATGTATGAGCATTGTATTACATGATCAGATATTTCAACGACTTGCCCAACTTTTACCCAGTTTCGACCGTGTCCGATATGATGCGACTCGCGAGATCCTGATTCTCAGTGGAGCAAAATTGGCAGAGCGTTGTTTTCTCTTACGAAACGAAACGTACTGGTGTTAGGGTTTATCAGGGAATCATTGCGACCGGGACTTCGAAAGCGCCCCTCGTCATATGCGGGTACCGTCATGGGAACAACTGTAATCGTTGACGATACAGCAAGTCAGAACCAGTTTCGCCTCAGAGCATCCCTCAAAACGAAGATGCAGACTTCGATATATCGAGCATTTGACATGTCATCCACACTTTTACGATATTACTACGATTTAGAGAGGTACAAAGGGAATGATTACTCGTGAGGGGTGTTCGCCTCCAAAGTGCAAGATGTGCGTTCCGTAATTGTTGATGTTCTCAACAGCCTTGCCATCAAAGTTTTTAAGTTCGGGGTAGTTGGGGTTGTTCCCGCTAATGTGGATTTGAAGAGACTCTCCGGCTTCAAAGTCGACGCCCATGTGCCAGATTCCGATTTCGAGCTCAACGATGTCGCCCTTGGGGATCTTTTCCTCCTTGGTATGGGGGTGGAAGGGGAACTGAGGGTGAATCGACTTTTCACGGTCGATCGCTCGATGCGACGCCTTCAACACGCCCAGCGAACCGGGGTGCATAAGAGTAGCAGCGTGATCCTTTGCCGGAATGTCCTTGTAGTTCTTGATCCATCGTCGTTCGATGGGCACCTGAACGTGCTTGATGAAGTCGCCGTTTGCATCAAGCTTCTGCAAGCTGATGAAGATGCTAAGGTCGTCATAATCCGGACACGACATGAAGAGGTGGGCTTTGGGCAGCCCCATGATTCGCGACCTCTCCTTGAAAGTGTGCTTGAAGGTCACGCCACTGTCGGATTCGCGGGTATCGTACGTGACCTGAGCGCTCTGTTTGACGGGACTGTCGAGTTGCACCTTTCCATCTTCGGCGAGATGCGCCTCGATGTATTTCGTAGAAGGCAGAGGCCAGTCCTCAACCTCGATATCTTCAATGGGATCCTTGTCGCCGAATTGCAAAGCTGTCATGCGGACTCGTGGGGTGGTCTCGGCCCAGTCGTTGTCCTTCTCTTTCAAAAACCTGTCGAAGAACCCTTGCAGGTCGTGCTGGGTCTCGGGCATGGCCCAAAGGTCGAACCACTCTTGGTAACCAGACCACCGAAGCCATTTGTGAGCGGTGTCGATCTCTAACCAAGCTCGAAGTGTACCCATGGTATGCAAGGACGACACGTCCGAGCCGCTGAGATACGTGGGAATATTGATCTTCTTCATGTCGACCCTTTTCTGTTCCCAGTACGGACCCATCAAAGGGTATTTCTTAGCTGATCGATCATCGAAAGAGTGAATTCAGTACGGGATCGGATGCTGAGGGCGATAATCAATCGAGGCTTACACATGATCTCAAAGTCTTCTACCCCGCCACTTCCTTGGATGATGAGTTTGGCAATCAAATTGAAGTTGGAAATATTGTACCTAATCAAACCACACGGAACGGGAAAGTCAGTCTCAGATAACGGATGGCGCTGATTCACCCAAACGTACACTCCGCCTCGGTTGAACTGCTCTCGGTACATGTCACCAAGACCTTCCCACGGAGCGATAGCCTTGAGCGAGGGGGGTTGAGTAGCCGCGATAAAGTATTGACTGATCGCCAGGGCAGAGTTACCGGCCATTCCGATATTCCCATTGCAGTAAGGCAGCTTGGCCAACAGCTCGACGACATCATGTCCATCTTCGGCATCCTGAGCGCCAAGCAGTTCGACATTGCCTATTACCCGCGATACAGAGGTTAGCGATGTGACTACGGGCAAGATTGGATCGGAGGGAATCAAGGCTTACCATCAGAGTGACCAGCTCCCCTGCAGTCGACGCTGGCGATAGCGTATCCCTGAGGACACCAGTAAGCAGGGTCTACAGTTTACGAGATCAGCATAAGATATCATCGATTCGGACAGTCGCCGCCTGGACTCACCTAGACCTTCAAACTTTTCCAACCCGGAGATGTCGCTGGGAACGACGCCGCATTTCCAAGTACAAACCGGCAACATGGAGAGCCCGTTGTACTTTTTGCCATAAGCACTCCAAGAGATGATGATTGGGACCTTTTCGTTGGATCCTTCGGGACGATAGATGTCGGCATACAGTTTTGCTCCGTCTCTGACGACGAGCTCAACGTCATGATCGACTCTGATGTCCGAGGTAAGAGGTCTGGCAGGAAGGTCGTCCCATCCTCGGCCGATATGACCTGCTTTGTAGACGGTCGACTCGCCAGGCTTGAACCCCTCTGTTCAAGAAGCTCAAGTCAGTTGAGTGCATTTGCATCAAGGCAGGCTAAATGATTGGCTTACGATAGTTGTTGTTGCCGATCGTAGGCTTGCTGATGGGCCTAAAGGTAATCTCGCAGGGAGCAGGCATGACGCGATGGCTTTGATAGGTGAACGAAGATCGTGACCGTGGTGTTAAAGATGTGTGTCTGTAGCTTGTAGCTGTGATAGAAGATCAGTCTAGTCGTTGCCATTGTCGAGTGTCATAAACCATGTCCATTGCGTCTCTTGTAGTTGAATGATGCCAGCGCTATTCGACACAGCAGTGGAGACCATGCCGATCGCCGAACAGCTATCCGGAGAGATGGCAAGTCTCCTGTGCCGTCCTGAATCCGAGTTTTCCGGTGGCTTGGTCTAGGTGGCTGGGGTTGTTAGGATGGAACGAAGAGGGAGTCATGTGATCTTTACTAATGCGGAGTGCTAACGTCATTCGCAGGCCGAAGAGGCAAAGGATGCTGTCTGGGTTCGAGAATGATTGCTCCATCTATGATGATCATGCATGATCGCATGAGAGTCGCTTGAAATCGCTTGATCTGCGCAGATCCTCAAAGTGAGAGAGAGAGGGCGACGCGTAAGCCACAGATACCATCATCGTCTGAGCTATTTAAAAGTCCAGCAACTCGATTCTGATATTCTGGAGATACATATATTTATTATTATCCATGAATGCAGAATGACAATCCACATCGTGATCTTGTTCCGAAATGGAAGCGCTCTTTCCCCTAAATATGACTAAATGTGACTCGACATGACGGCCGACCTCGTCGCGATCACAACCCATTGCATACGGCAGGATTCTACGCAGATGCTGAAGTCGACTCGACTGTACTTACCGCCTTCTTCTTCCCGACATTCCCCATCTTCCGCAACATGATCCCGACAACGAGCCCGCCCAACACACAGAACCCCACGACCATGTAGAAAGCCCCTTGATAACCTTTCAAAAGCGCTGGCTTGGGGATCGCGCTCGATGCCGTCTTGCTCGCGATTATGTCCACGCCCAGCTTGGCAGATTCCTTCTCGGCGACCCGATCTGACACGATGGTTGTAAGGGCGAGGACGAGCACGCCTGCGATCTGATTCACAGCCGAGAAGATGCTACCGCCTTGGCCCTGTTCGTCTGGTTTGCTCGTGCTCGATATGAATAGCATGCTGACCAAATAGGGCTCAGCGATCTCTTCACAATCAAGACGAATGCTGACCGGGCTTACCATGTGAGGAACATGAAGTCAGCTCCCCAGACAAGTACACAGCAGGCAGGGAATTGCATGGCCCAATCTGCAATCACACGACCAGAAGTCAATAGCGAATTCATTCCCGCGGCGCAGACGATTTCGCGCTCACAGATCAACCCGGCAGGACACGTTGCGAACAGTAGAGCAGCAATGCCTGTAGCCGCAGCCGCAATGAGGAGAAGGACCTGTCCGGACTGCAGTAGATTTGATCAATCGAATGACCTGAAGAAGCAATCTGCAGGATCATCACGTACCACATAGGCGACGCAGAACGATCCGACGATATTGGCGAAAACTCCGACAACGCAAAGCGGCAAGAATCGCAATGTCGCTTGTATCACCGGTCTTTCTTCATAACTCCTCCAGTAGAGGCTCATCCAGACGACGGCGCTATCAGTGAAAGATCGGAGAGTATCAGTCTCCCGAAGTCACAGCACGAATGCACCGGACACTCACGCTCCAAACGATCCTCCTAAACAGACTACCGCTGCCATCAAACTAGGAAACATGGGTCTCCTCCAGATCGACAGTTTCATGAGCGGCGGCTTCGTACCCTTCTTCTCGATGTAGTATTCCCACATAAGGAATAAGCCTAGTAAGACGAACCCGCTTGCCAGCGTGGCGGGGATATAAGGCGTCTTCCAGCCCTCGGGAGCGGTACCTCCTTCTCCCAGAGGGAACAAGACGCAAAATATCCCTCCGCCCGAGAGGACGACGCCGATCCAATCCAGATCTCGCAAAGCCCGCGGATACTTTGTTCGGGGAATACAGCTACCCGGTGCCACAAAGAGGTTCGCAAGGGAGAGCGTAAAGGACATCCCGGCGCAGATGTAGAAGAAAGTTCGCCATCCTGCTGAGGTGTATTGAGTGGTCACACCAGCCAAGACTAGCCCGACGGCTGTCCCAACAGGCGCTCCTGCACCCAATCCTGCAAAGGCCCGTGACTTGATAGGTCCCTCGGCAAAGGTCGTTCCAATCAAACCTATAGCAGCCGGTGTCACACTATATCGCAGCGTCAGTCATTCATCGCTTTGTCCTTCAAGCGAGGTGATTATGGACTCACCCCGAATAAGCCACCCCGGCGAGCGCGCGAAAGATGAACAGTTGTATTTTGTTCTGAGCCAATCCCATCCCCAGGAACATGGCTCCGCCGATAGCTGAACCGATACTGAAAACCGGTTTGTGGCCATACATGTCACAGATCTTGCCCGATAGCAAAAGACAGCATGCAGTCGCCAACGACCCTGACGACGCGACCCATTGCAATTGGCCAGACGGAATCCTAAAATGTGATAAGGACAGCATCAAGGCTCCGTCTGAACGTTATATAAGGTCTGGACCAGCTCCATTTGATTACTTACCTCAGATCTGCACCGATGTCGGCTATGGTAATGGATCCCCCGATGCCAGAAGCCACTTGCATCAAGGAGGATGTCATGACTAGGGCCACCAATGCGATCGAGCGCATGGTGGAGATTTCTGGGTACTTATGCGGGGCCAGGCTATCGACATCCAATACGGCAACAGCGTCTAGCTCTGAGGTCACCGTTGCAAAAGTACCTTTGTCTTCATCGTGTGACAATTCTTCTTTAAAGAGGTCCTGTTTGGCATCCATATTCGCGATTAGCTATGGCCTAGCTATTACAACCTGTTGCGGAGAGGGATTTGAGAATAGCATAGAAAATTGCCCGCTGTGGCGTGACCGATGTTATACCATGCCACCATATTCAATGCTTCATACTGTTCATTGTTCGACCCCATATTCAACGGAGATATGGGATTGGATTCGCCGTCCCCTCGGAATTGAAATCCGGTTCCATGCGGCCGCCGCGGAATCAGATTGCAGTTCAGACCAGTCCCACGTGACCATCGGCGGATCCGCTGAGACCGAAGAGCGTCGCCCAGATCTCGTCGATATTGGCGACCGCTTGGTCAATCGCGAGGTCAGGTTGATTCTGAGACTGAGTGTACTGATTTCCTTCGTCGTATTGCGGGTCAGAGGTTTGTGTTTGTGGGCCCGGATTTGCCACCCTTGATCGGACCATCTCGTTGACCGCTTCGTAGAGGTCAACGAATTGTGGAGGAAGCCCATGCTCAAGAAAGCTCTTGGCGACGTATGAACTGGCTTGCGACAGAAGCTGTGATACGATAGATGAGTATATTTGAGAAGGCCATCACAGCGTGATTCTTCGACTCACTTCGAGATCCGCTCTCGCTTGCCAGGTTGCTGAGTGTCGACATGTATGCAAACTCAAAGCGAATATAGCGGTCCCGACCGAGTGCAAAGTCCAATAGTGCAAGTTTTTAGGCGATGTACGCGTGCAAGCATCGAGAGTCGTCAGAACGGAGCGAGCCGAGTGCGTGCAGATGCTTTCGCTGGACTCCAGAAAGTGGAGAAATGGCTGCCCTTGCAACCGCGGGTGAGACAGATTTTGTAGGACAAGTCGGGGATGGTCCACCAAAGAAAGGCGATGCAGCGTGATCAAGCTGAAACTCGATCGGCGCATAAATGGTGACATACGACGCAGATGATAGAAATTGAAGTTACTCACATCTGATGATACTGCATGTGCAACATGGCGGCGAATGGAAAGAACGGCCCGTGTGCCGGACGTTCTCCCCCAGGGCGAATCTCGATCGGCAGCGTTTTCTTCCACGCTTCCAGACGCATATGACTCTGTCCGATATTCTCCAACACCTCGACTTCGTAATCTGATCCCACAGGTGCATTCGTCGGAAACAGAGTCTGGGCGATATGAGCGATCTCCTGACACAACTCGGCCAGCGCCTTGAGGATGTTGATAGGCTGACGGACCGATCCCAAAACGAATCCATGGTCTTCGAAGGACGCGAGAGAAGTCGTATAATCGCTCTTTCGTAGCAAGACGGGTCTTCCAGATTCGATCGAACCTATGGCATCGAGCGAGATTGTCGTGAACCAGATACGCGCGTCCAGACTGGCTTCCGGGCCGTTGCTCAGCCGATGCAGACCGAGACTTTGCGAGATCCTGACTAAGAAGCAACATTCAAATCAGGTAAAAGTCTGATTTTAGAGGATATATCCTGGTGACTGACTTGCTGAGCCAATCATCTGCCACGCAAGTCCGTCCTTCGATCGCTGTGCCGCACATCAAGTATCGATCAGCGAGTTGCAAAGTTGTTGACGATTCACTTGGAAGGACTCACCGTCCGCATGGCGATTGCCAACAGGAGCAGTGCCTGTACAGAGGATCGAAAAGGCCGACCCAATATCACCGACAATGTTTTCCAAGCCAATTCGAAGTAGGTCCTGGCGACGGCCGAAGATTGATGAGTACTCGGTGTCATGCTCGCCCCCAAGCTAATGACAAGGTATAGAACCGGGGTGACAAAATCCTGCCCTGCGGACTGCGGACCTTTAGGCCGGTGCAATATTGTTCTCAACCACGTCTCTTCAATTATAGGATAGAGGATGTGAAAAGTCTTGAAGTATGTCGAGATATAAGTCTCCAGTGCAGGTTCTGGCGGTAGTGGATGATGACATGTTTCCACCTGTCCGGGTAGCATCATCTCTTCAGCCGATGACATGCCATGTTTGAGATGACGTGACGGGTTGGTTCCCCCGCTCTCTTCGTCGAGCCATTTCACGAAGACCTGGTCAAACGAGAATAACGAGAGCGTGAGTGCCTCAAAATCCGCCCTGTTCAAACCTGCAATTGATCGGACTGACCTGCGACGAAGATGCTCCTAGGAACTTCTTCCGGTGTTCTTCGGAATGGATTAGATAATCATCCCGACCCCTCGCCTTATTGACGGTGCCGCTTTCATTCCTTTGATGCTGCGATCGCGCATCGATCGTGTTCGAGCCGAGTCCCACGTCAAACAGGCCATCCAGACCCAGTTGACCCTCAGGCATCTCTCCGTCGTTACCGGTTCTCTCCATCAATCCGTTGGAACGCGAATATTCCACATGGTCGTCTTGATAATACGATGGAGTGGGATGACGAAAATAGGACATGTTGTCCGACGATTCACGGATGGCAGGTAACTGAAGCGAACCTCCCATCGAGGTAGAAGCGAATCCGACGCTGCGATCCTGGTACGAGTTTGATTCTGGAAGAGGAGCTGAGGAGACCGAGCCAAAACGAGTGAAGAACGGGTCCAGATCATAACTGGACCGCGTGTCCGTAATGGCTCTCAGTGTCGATGTCGATGGATCTAGAACGGAAGACTGGGCTGTAGTCGTGGCCGCTAAAGGGCGGTCGGGTGGCCTTGCGTCAACAGCCGGAGGAAGAGTCTCTCGACCTATAGCTCCCAACCCGTTTTCCCTGTTATTCAGGATCGCGTCAGATGGAGACGGTACCAAGTTGGATCGTGCCTCCACCGTGGTAGTCTCCCTTTTCTGCCTGAGTGCCAAAATAAAGTCCAATGGTGCATAGGTCCCATCCCCGACTGGGTATAATTTGGGTGCCGGTGATCGACTTCCATGGCCGCGAGAGGACGAGCTCGATCTTGAGCGTGTCCTACGAGACCGGTTGGCCGGTTTAGTACTGATGAATTGGGAGGCACAGTCCGGATCAGAGCTCTGGATCCAATGCGAGATGATCTATTTAGTGAGCTTACCGGTCGCACTCAGCCTCCGCTCGTTCGCAAGGCTATTACGCAGGATCGGTCTCAGTCAGGTTGCAGCAATACGAGGAAGACGGATTCCGCTTACTACACATTTGGGCTCTTTTGTATCGCAACGTATCTAAAGAAGCAGATACAAGAACAGCCAGCGTCAGCATTGGCGGTTCGATTGATCGGTCGACCGATCCTCCGGGACACAGCCTACTTTACGTATCCGGCATCTGCACCGACGAAGCGGAGTATGTATATTAGCATCGCATCGTCATCGTCATCGCCAAGCTGATGGACACATCCGAAGCCTCACCTCTCACAACTCGCAGCAAGTCTCGTTCGTCTCTTCTTAGCAGGCGGCTCTTCGGTACTAATTTCGGGTTCGGGACTCATGGCCGGAAAGAAGTTACGGAGTCGATCGACTTGTGACCCGGGGTGTCCTTTGCTCCGAAGTCCGTGCAGGATCTACTTGAACTGTCCGAGGATGAATGCGGTACCTGATGGCTGATGGTGAACGATCTAACACGAAATCGCAGACGGACGAGTTCGAGTGCATGGGTCGAGAACGTATAGTCGAATGTGATGCCGTTGAGACATATCGGGATGATACGTTGACCCTCCCGGGGCGGGGGCAGGCGACAGAGTACGTAGCTTACGTAATTGTCATCGGAACCAAATCTGTCGCATGTTGATCCTCTTCGAGGAATTTTGTCCTTGCATCTTAGATTCCCAGCTTCTCGCCAACCAGAGGCGAGAACGAAACCGAAGTACCATCTGCACTGTCCTCTCGGGCCGAGTGAGCTGATCATAGCTGAACACAAGCAGGAAATCTCTCGAAACGAACGCGGGCCTGGCCGGACCATGTTCAAGCCAGAAGACCCCTTCTCCGTTCCGAAAGATCTCTTGGATACCTGTCATATGTTCTTCTCATCACCCCATACTGGAGACATATCGATAGGGCACTTTGAGAATAGCGAGGGTCATGGCGAAGAACAGATTTCTGAGCCAGGAGGTCGTATGAAGAGGATGTTGAGCGGCTGGGAGTATCGCGATCTGCAGGTTGACCCTGTGAGTCCTTTCTAACTAAATTTCACACTTCTTGAGATACTCGACATGAGAAGTACCACAATTTTCCTTTCAAATGCCACGCTGATTTCCAGATGATCTATATACCTTGCAATGTCGCGCAGTAGCGGTTCAAAGGACCTTCCACCATACCCGGTTACTTTACCCGCCGGACTAAGATCATCAGGTCATCGTCGACTCGCCGCACCGGAGTCAACCTTTCGTCGTGTGGAGCTGAAACGCGACCATCAGGCGATGGCGGTACTCTGAACCGGGAGGTCGCTGAACTTGACGCGATAGAGTCAGCAAGCGCTGAGGGAGAACAAACCGGCTTGGAGCAAGAAGAAGACGACGAGGCGGAAGCTTCGCCTGTAGATTTCGTACTGCCTGCAACTCGGGAAACACAGGAAGGCATCAAGCGTCATACGAAGAGCCGATCTGATAGGCAGACTGCGATAATTTGGCTGGAGTGGTTCGTCGTCTATCACCCAACGTACCGGATACCGAGTCTGTGTTTCAACGCAAGTCGCGAAGGTGAGTCGTATCTGCGTGCATTCACGAGCCTTGTCGGACGATTCCGTTTGTGTAGATCAAGACTGATAATGCTCGCTATCGTCATCCCGCTGGACCAGACGGCACGGTCTTGGACCTACAGGAGATTCTAGATTACGGGATTTTACGCCCTCCCACTTCGACCTCGGTCACCTCGCCTGACAAATTGAATCTCATGGACGACCATCTACCTCTATCTTCCGACTCGCCATTTCCTCTTGTCGTGCGAGATTCACATCCTTCCTCGTCGGTTCAAGACTTGGGAGTTTGGGCCGTACATCCTTGTCATGTCAGACCTCACATCACCGAGCTGCTGCTTGCCGACGAGAGCCATCGCCGCAACGGAGAGGAAGCCGCCCACGAGCAGCAGCTAGCGGAAGACGACAAGAAGATGAGAAAGAGGTGGATGGAGATCTGGTTCATGCTACACTCGCGCCTCCTAGGCGACTTGTAAGATTTGTTTACGTCCTCCCACGAGGGCGCGATCGAAAATATCTCCCGATCGAGCGAAATTCCAGATCGCGCGAAACAGCCGGGACCGAGCTAGTTCGAGCGGTCGTCCTTGATTGAAGGTCGCTAGTTGGCCGGGGACAGCCTGCACAGCCAAAGTGCTTGACCTGGACTAGATACTACTTATTGCGATGTAAAAGTGTGACTTGTATTCAAGACGAGTCCTTGATGATCTGAAACGGAGCTTTCGACCTCTTGAATTGCCCTGACCTCGCTCCACGTTGACCACGTCGCTCTCGCCTCGTCGCTACCTGCCAAGGGACGCCCACGCTCTCCTCGCTACTCGACCCACGTAACCGAACCTTCCTTGCCCTTCATCGTTTCTCCGTCTCCTTCAGGTGAAAGCCAAGAAGAAACGGATATCATCCATCAGCGATCAGCAGCAGCTCAGCAGCCCACCCTCGGACCCCCGAATCGATACGCCCAAACACGAAAAGCGCTCCCTTTCTTTTCGGTCCGCTTCAATATGCCGAACGACTATCAACAACAACCTGATCATCATCATCGCCATCATCAACATCAACAGTCTCGGGACGAGATCGATACTCGAGTCATCAACAACATATTCCCCTCAAACAGCCACAGCTACCAATCAGACACTCGTCGGACCGCTTCGCCCAACTTGCAGCAAGATCCTCATCTCCTCTCAGCAGTGAGAGATTCGGTCCATATCACGACTCCCGGTTCCACCGAGTCATCGTCCCATCAGTATCAGAATCAGTATCAACGAGCTGGGGCCGAGATGAGACGGAGCAACTCTCCGTTCGACGACAAGTACGCCACGGGAAATAGTGTTGGCACCACAGTGGTGGACCAGCCGGCAGGACAGCCTCACAATCAACTGGGTGGGATCATACATGCCAGTGGGGAGAGCAGCGGGGTGGTGGGAAAGGAGAGGGTCAGGTTTGATCGATCAGCGTGAGTCTTCAGGTTTCGAAGTTACAACTTTCTTGGCGTCGGTTTCGTGGCCGCAGCCTATCGTGCTGCCATCAAAGGTGGAGCGGAATTTGCTCGTCTACTCCATGCTCCACCGTACGTAAACTCGTCGCTCGTCGGAGTCTCGAAAAAGGAAAAGGGGGGATGGCCCGACGTGAGATGAAAGGAACCCCTTTGTTTCGAGATACCTGCCTACCTGGCTTCCGTTATCGACTCGCCTTATCATCAATCAATTCAATCACTCTACTCTTCTCTTCCTCTTTTTCGGCTTACAACTTACGCAGAGAAGTTTCTTCCCGCTGACATGGCTCTCCTTGCACCCAATGATAGCCCAACTGGTCCTACTCGGACGAGCTCTGCCACCTCGACCATGAACAGCACCTCCAACCCTCTCCTCCGTCGTGCCCCAGCTTCAGCAGACGCTATTCCGCACAGCACCTCTACCTCTACCATCCGCCTCGTCGCTCCCGTGGAGAAGCGTCCCTCGAAGCACGCCGATCTTATCGATAAATGGGACGGCTCAGGCTTCGGCAAGTCGATGTTGCACCACTCTGGACCTTACGATGCGGCAGCTCCTTCGAGGAACGATGCGAAAGAGCGTGGCGCGGAGAGGGCTCCGATGGGGGTGTTTGATCCGAAAAAGGGGAGCAAGGTCACTGAGCTAGACGTCAGGGCCTGGAATCTAAAGGCTGCTAGCGCTGCTGAGCCAGGGATGGGATCGGCCTTGCCCTCTGCTCAACCTTCTTCAGGAGGACTAAGTCAGACGCAGAGTCGGCCTCAGCATGGAAGGTTCAGGAGTGGCAGTATTACCCGGGTGATGGACTCGAAGGCCTCTCCAGGGTTGGAGCAAGAGGTCGTCATCCCCTCTTTACCCAACAGCGGAGCTCTGCCCATGACCGCTCGCCCATCACGTCCCGGTCGAAAATCATCCATCAACTCTCCAGGCATATACGGCTCGTTGCAAGAGGAATACTCGAACAACTTGCCTAGCAGCGGGGGATACTTTGACAATTCGGGAAGCCCCAATAGAGCGGTTGGATCGCCAGGAAGGCGAATCTCGATGGGCCCCGGTGCGGATCTCGAGGAAGAGGAAAAGAGGGTGAGGCAGAGGGAGAGGGAACAGAAGAGACGGGCTTTGCAGGCTGCTTGGGGGATCGATGAGCGTGAGTCCGACTCGCAAGGTGGCTTGAGGGTTTGTTGCGTGGTCACTGTAGAGCTGATTCAATGCTGATTATTGACGTGCAGCTGAACCGTACGAAGATTTCGGGGGTTTCGCTCAGAATGATGTGGACTCCATTAGTCGTAAGTTGATCAGTCACGGAGATTCTTCCTGGTCCTTTTAGGAAGCTAACATTTTGCTCCTTCTGTGCTATGTCCTGCGCATCAGTAAATGACAACGCCGAGCCGATCGTGCCGGTCAACGAGGGGCCGCGCTCGCCAGGAAAATCAGGCGGGCTTTCCCTTGGAGGGCTCATGCGCACAACTTCGCGAAACGCCAACGGGAATACTAGGTACACACCGAGTCCCGCCGGCGAAAAGTCGGAATACTTTGCTGGGACCGGCAGGCCTCCTATGGATGGAGATCGGGTCTTGGGCTCTGGGACGGGCTTCGACAGTAATGGAAATGGCAAAGGAGTCAAGAGGACGCGGAGCTTGATGCAGAGGTTCCGAGCGATGGTAAGTCGACAGTCTCGTTTCGTTGCTGACCGCAGCGAACATATGCTGACCAGCGTTTCTCTCTCGATGTCATCAGCGAGACAACCCGAACGTGCCCGTCAATTCGGATGCAGCTATGCCTTTGCCTCGAGCGGGATCGCCTGCAAGTGCAGGGAAAGCTGGTCGTCATTCGCCATGGAACGAGGATACGCTCGGGATCATGGGGGACAGTTCGACGCCGACCAACGGGCAACAACCAAGCGAAGCCGTCACGAACCCACCTACATTGCAACTCGGCCGCGAGAAGGACGAGGGAGGTGTGCAACGCCAACGGTCGTTCTTGGGACGAAGAAAGCCCAGCCGGAGCAATGTCGCCGCCGTACCTGCGAGTCCTGTCGAGCCGCAAGAAGAGATCCTGATCACGCACGAACCTGAGCCTCGCAAGGCTTCTCCAAGCTATGGCGGGATGGGGGGCCGGGACAAGGCGCTGCCTCCACCTCCGGCGCCTGTCATGCCCGTCTTCGAGGATCAGTTTGCGGATATGACGCTCAAGCCGCCTACGGAGGGAGCAGGTGTGCAGAGAAAGACGAGCCTGATGAAGAAGCTCAAAGCGAGGATAGGGTAATCGGAGGATTTATCCAGATTGGAGCACTGTTTGGACGTTTTCTTTTCATATTTCGCGATATTTAACGACATCAAATGGGAATGAAAGGCACATGTTTGGTCAAAGCCTTATGAAAGGCTTCCTCTAATTAATATTGATGATTGTCTGATGGGACCTCTACTGATTCATACCGGTCAGACCCTTTCACGATCGTGATGTACGGCTCGTCTGTCTAATCCTGGCTGCTGCCGGCAGAGACGGGCTGAGCCGAGCACTTTGTAAACAAAGAGGAGGGATCGTCATGTAAATCTCGCAGTCGCAGTTCATACCGATCCGGAGTGATCCTTCTATCGTATCTTGCCAGACTCGATCGACCAGCACCTCGTCATGATCCACTCAATCAATCCCTATTGACGAAATGATGGAACTGCGAAAAGCTGCGTAAGAAAGATACGGATCAACCCTCCGCAGTCACAAAGCACCAGACTATCCTTGTTCTCTCAAATCTCTCGTAGGTGAAACCAGCTTTGCTTTCGCTCAGAACCCCTTGGCATATCTCGTCCGCTGACCTTGATTAGTCTGTTGTTTATATAAAGTGAAGATCCTCAGTGATTCAGGGTTGACGCTCTCCCTTCCTGCCCGCCCTATGCCTGTCCATACGAGTCTATAACATGGACGGCTCAAGCATCGCGACGTCATCGGCGGCGTCCGTTTCTACGTCGAAACCGGCTAGCCAGAGTCAGATCCCAAGCATTCTTCTCCATGGAGTACCTATGATCAAGCTCTCCAACAAAAAGGTCAAGCAGAGGACGGTATGGCTGAGTGCGGAGGGGCCTAGTATTCGATGGGACAGCAGGAAGCTTGGTGTCGGTGAGTCTCTCGGTAAGACGGTGTATGCTCATGACTAGTTATGCTCATAGCCGTATACTGTTCTGCATCAAAAGTGAGAATCGATCAAATTAGAGAGGTTCGCTACGGACTTTCTGCTTCGCCATCTCAACCCGTTCCGGGTCTGACCGAATCAGCTCGCACACGCTGGATCACGATCGTCTACACTCAACCTCCGGCGTCTTGGAAGACGTTGAACATCGTCGCTCTCAAGGACGACGATTTCAATCTCTGGCTCGAGACGATATCGAATCTCCTCGGTGCTATCAGAGGGATCTCGATGTCGATGGGTACCGGGAATGCGACAGGAGGTGTCATCGGCATCACCGGTGATAAACCGGCTGTCGCTGGCATGAACTTGCACCAGAGAGACAGTTGCTGGATCGAGGCTGACCAGGATCAAGACGAGAAGATCTCATATGAAGAGGTCTGTAGGGCTTGCAAACGAATGGGCATTGTCATGAACGATATCGATAGCATCATAGCGAGCTATTGTGAAGTAAGTCATGCTAGATCTTGACTAACGTATTGCACATGCTAACGCTGGGGTCTGTAGACAATAGATGCCGAGAACAAAGGATATCTCACCATCACCGACTTTACCTTATTACTCAAGATGCTCAAGCGACAGCCAGAGATTCAGGAAATCTACGAATCGTTGACTCAGGAAGGTCCGCTTGACGGCAAGCGATTCGGACAGTTTCTGCGTGAAGTGCAGAAGAGCAAACTACCCGAGAATGAAGTCAACAGGATCTACATTGATCTTGTTCGCGGAGCTGAAGCGATGGATTTCGAATCGACGTCGACGTCGGTACCAACGGATGCTTCGACGGCCGACGATTTCTCAGTCACATCAGAACAAACCTCATCGATGGCCGGAAGCGCTGCAGGCCTTTCACTCGAGCAGTTCACCACATTCCTTTCGGCCCCAGTCAACGCGGTGCTGGATCCTTCTCAGCGTAAAGTCTGCCAAGACATGAACAGGCCTCTATCCGACTATTTCATATCGAGCTCGCACAACACCTATCTAATCGGCCATCAATGGAAAGGGGAGAGTACTGTCGAGGGATATGTGCGGGCTTTACTAGCAGGGTGCAGGAGCGTAGAAAGTAAGTCCTTGTCCCTTACAACGTCCTACACCCAATAACCTAACGACACGGCCCCTCTCAGTGGACATCTATGATGGCGATGATGAACCCATCGTCTACCATGGCAAAACGTTGACCGGATCCGTATCGGTTCGCGCCGTGTGCGTGGCCATCGCATCTTACGCATTCATGGCGTCGCCTTACCCTATCATCATCTCTGCGGAAATGCATTGCGGTCCGGAACAGCAACTGAAACTGGTGGGCATTCTGAAGGACGTATTCGGGGAGCAACTCGTGACTGCGGAGCTACAAACGATACGCAAGGCGGAAGCCACTGCCGAGTTGGCACAGCTACCTACACCGGAGCAACTCAAATACAGAATTCTATTCAAGGTGGGCCGAATCATAGGGTCAAAAGCTTAATGTCAGAATCTGATTATGACCGTACGATCTCTCAGTCCAAGCGAACGTTGGAATCCGCAGCAGGATCCGGCTCAGATCCCTCTGCTTTGCCAGCTATATCTGATTCTACGGATACGACCGAATCTTCCGAGCCAGACCATCCTTTATGTGAGTGCAACCTTTCTCGACAATGCACCCGCGATACCTATTGAACATGGTTAAATACAGCTCGCAGTCCTCGGGCACGCACATTCCTCGACAAGGTTACTTCGAAAGTCGCCAAGCTCACCACCTCGCCTCCACCCTCGCCCCCGGTGTCGTTTGGACAGAATAATCCTCAGATGCCCAGAAGATCGTCTTCGCTGGACTCGCGATCGAACAGCTTCCAGCTAAGGAGGTCCTCATCCGCAAGTTCCGCTGTTAAGATGAGCCGCAAGCAGGGAATCGTCCCGGAACTAGCTGCTCTCATGATTTACACGGCCGGCGTCAAATATCGCGGATTCAGTAAACTCGTAGAATACAAAGCAGAGGAGATGTTTTCGGTCTCCGAAAAGGTTGGGACCAAGATCTTACGGGCGACACCGCTTGATTTCATCAAGCACAACAGGGCACATCTATCTCGGGTCTACCCGAACGGTACCCGGTTGACCAGTACGAATTATCTACCGCATCACTTCTGGGCTATGGGAGCGCAACTGGTCGCACTGAATTGGCAAACGTGTGGTAAGCTCAAAGTCTCGCTTCTCATTGCAGATTCGGTCGCTAAAATCTGTTGTGAAACGATCAAAAGATGCCGGATTTGCCTTCAACGCAGCGATGTTTGCCAGAAACGGCCGCTCGGGATACATACTAAAGCCGGAAGCGCTGCGGTCGAGACACAAGGAACTCCTCGCACAGAAAGATCGTCATATCTTACAGCTGACAGTAAGCAATTGTTCGAAGCACCCTTGAGCTACTCCTGCTGATGTATTATTGCTTTCTCGCGAGCAGATCTTGTCAGGTCAATCGCTTCCTTTACCATCGGACGTCGAGATTGACGAGAGTCGCTTGTACATCGAAGTGACGGTAAACGCTCCCGGTATAGATGCAGCGAAGAGCGTTAGCTCGGTCGGAGTGAAGGCCAGCAGCAATTCTTCGGGATCATCGACATCTTCAGATTCGTGCTCGATTCGAACCAAGGCTATCGTTGGGAACGCTTACAATCCGGCCTGGAAAGAATCTCTGAGACTGAGCTTCGATACCTATCGGGGCTTGCTGGATCTTGCTTTCGTCAAGATCGAGATCAAGAACGCCGTCACATTGGGCGACGATGTCACTTTCGCACACTATTACGCGAGCCTGGGCAGTCTCGAGCAGGGTAAGCGCACTCGAAAAGTCACAGTTGAATCACGTCTGATTCTCGTCTCGTCTCCGCTTCGTAGGGTACCGCTACCTTCCTCTCTTCGACAGTCAAATGTCACAATACCTTTTCTCGACCCTTTTTGTGAAGATCGATCTTACCGTTTGATGACCGCAACTCGGTTTACGCCTCTTATGACATCACGACTTCTTGTACTATAGACTTTTGGGATCAACCCTTCCAGAGAATGGATACGATCATTTGTGCGGCGATGATACTGATTGCATCAATCCTCGCTGCGTTAGCTGACGATGGCCGAATCAACCCGCTTCGAGGTGTACGGACGATCTAAGCGCAGGTGCTAGACTATCGGAGGGGCATACCCTGTGTCCTGCTATACTCAATCGTCGTCGTGCTTTCTAGGAACAGACTTCGATGATGTAGCTCTCTGCAGTGTAAACATTTCTACGCTCATATAAGATACAGCTTTCTTGGGAGTCCCAATTCGATACAGCGGAATTAAGCGACGTTCATATCCAGCACAATGTCGATATGGTTTCGATCCAGGGGCTTATCTCTTGTCAGCGCTAGCGCTTGTGCAGTCCTGACCGTTTGTTTGATTGCACGCCCATTGAGGGGGATGTCAGCCAGCCTGTCCAGATCGAAGGTCGCTGGATTGGTATTGGCCATGGCCAAGAACTGTCATCGCGGAAATTTCATCACGTCAAGTCAGCCCATATTGCTAACCGAAACAAGAGGTACTCACCCGATCCCACAGAACCCGCCGGCTGGGGATGTCCAAATCGGGATATCTCAGGATAAGTGAGAACCTCGAGAGGAACGCGTTATCAAAGCTGAGCAAAGCCGGACAGATCAGCTGGGAAAAGTACAAGACCCTTGAGAGCAGTGAGACTCACCTTTCCAGCCTGTTGGTCGTCAAGATCAGGATACCGGAAAAGTACTCAAGTACTATCGTTCGCCTAGTCAGCATTGACAGCTTATCCTGCACTTGAGATAGGCTCACCGCGCAAGAATATCGCCACCAAGCCATTGCGTTCAAGTTCATGAGAGTCTCGCTTTTCGAGGAATACGTCTGCCTGTTTATGATCCAGAGTACAATCAGTCCACTTCATCGGATGAGGTCTACTAAAGATCGCTCGCTCACTTCGTCGATGAGAAGCACAGCGTTCCAATACGTAGCAAGCTGATTGCCAGAGACGTCAATTACGCTCCACGCGGTATGGGAGCCAGAGAATCCCTTACGTCGAGCACGTTCTTCAGATTCTGCTCCAGCGCTGACACGGAAGTTCCCAGCTCCCCAGCCGATATCGCGCTGGAATGAACGAGACATATTTTATCAGCATAGGTCAGATGCGAGCATTGGCTTCGAAGGCGCTTTCTCACTAGAGAGGTCGCTTGAGATGCTCAGACACTGCTTCAGCGGTCAAGGTCTTTGGCGGCATATCGCAATGTCAGCCCTACTGCTCGAGCCTCTCTGCTTTCCACGACCTACCTTGCCGCAACCCGGATTACCATACAGAGCGATGATGCACCCACTACTCTTCCCTTGCACAACGTCGTTCAAGAGGAGCCGCTTCTTGTCGCTTGAATGGACTTCGATCAGCGACCGCACGACCTCGCGATACGAATCTGCCAAAACGAGATGCTGAAAGGGAGCTTCCTCCCAGATGACTGGACGCAGCTTGTCGACGGAGAATTCTCCCCATTTCTTGCTAGCGAAGGAGAATCCTTGCAATGTGGGCGGAAGCAAGTGTGCCTTTGTAGCAGCGTTCCAATCAGGATCATCTCCCAGGTTGATAATCTCGGCGTCATTCGTGTTCACATCGTCACTGCGGTTGTATGGCATCAGCGGTGGAGTAACAGAGCTCATGGTGGCCGTCTGCTCACTCCCAGACATCCAGCACCGGCACTGAGCGCCTGAACTGCCTGACATCGATCATCACGCGCCCTTCGCCATTGATACGTGTGCTAATGCAATCAGGTTAGACGCTATCAATTTGAAAGTACGTTGTACCCCTGCAATTGTTTGTCAGGAACTCACCCTCCAGCATGGGCTTTCATGACAAACGAGCCCTTGTAGCCACAATAGAATTGGCCGCAATGCTAAAGCGCACGAGTAAGCAGAACTTCTTGGTCTCCCTCAACGTGGACCTACATACCTCCAGGTATTTTGCCGATCGGTCTACGAGCAGGTATTCAGCTTCATGGGGGACTTATGAGCAGTATGTGGCTGATTCACTGACCTGCAAATTGCTCTTTGGCGCTTGTGGTCAGAGGTTGCACCGGAAGAGATGCAATTGGCTTCAGTTTCTGCATATAGAAGAATCCAATCAAGTCAATGTTCCTGTACGATCGTGGACTGTAGATGAACTTACAGCAAACTCTAAAATCTTGCGGGTGACCTTGATCTTCTGGATCCGGACGCCCGTCCACTGAAAGACGTGACCATAAAGATTGAAGGTACGGCCCTTCTGCGACATGGCATAGGCCCATCCTTCGACTTGCATAGCCATCTAAAGAATGTTGCCGTCAGACCGAAGAACGACGCACTGCAAGTTGACTACCTCGCTCACTTTCTCGCCCGTCAGGTCATAGACGACCTCGACGTGTTGTCCGACCTCGAAAAGTAACCATAGAAGCGACCAAGCTATGCTTCCTTTAGGCAAGAGTTGAAGCTTTTCCTCACTATTGGTTCAATCGACCGGCTTAGCGATGTTTGAGGTATCGTAGCTCTCGTGATAAAGGGGGAGGACTCACGCATCCGCGAATTCTTCCTGCACGAATCCGAGGAGAGCGTCGACCGATCCCTTGATTCCTATCGACAGATCTTGCGCCGCTGATCGGACGGTCTTGCGGCTGACATAAAGCAATTGAGCATCAATCTAGTCACATGAAGAAGCCTTAGCCCGAGGTCATGTGGCCCCTAAAGTGACCGTCTCACGTTGGCTGGTTTGCTGAACAACCCCCCCTCGGTCGGAAGACAGGTTCTCAGAAACTCTACGAGCCGCGGATCTTGCAGTTCGATATGGGTGAATGGATCCGCATTATTGGTGGTCGCGGATTTCCTCCTGAAAGCGACGAAAGCATCTTGTCCGTCACCGAGGGCTTTGGGAGGGGGCGGAGCCTTTGTCCAGATGCCATATTGGCGGTCCCAGACCTGATCAAAGACAGAATAGAGTTTGGGAGGCTCTTGACTCGTCTGGTCATGGTTGTGGAGTGTTCCGTTCATTGCTGGTGGTCCTTCTCGCGGTGACAGACTTGAGCAACGGTGAGTATGAGAGTAGTCAGAGTATGATGACCTTGAGCTGTGATGAGATGATGATGATGATGGTGATGAATGATGTCGACAAACTGGCTATGAGACGATCCCCACCCCCCATGCCTCTCGACAGATCCCGGCAGGCAGGTTATCGGACGGAGCCGTCGGGTCCAGCACGTTAGCGCGAAGAATGACGTAAACGCCATCGACGGCCCGGAAGACGATCCGTGGTCACGGAGGTGCGGAAAGATTATCAGCGTGTGAAATCGTTCGAGAGTACATTATCCTGGGACAAGATGTTGTGCGTGCAATGGCTTGTTGTCTAGGGTCGGGAATCAAGTCTGATCTCAACAACTTTACCAGCAAATATGCCCGTCTCTACGTCCCCCAACTTTCGTATCGTCATTGTCGGTGGCGGCATCGCCGGCCTCTCGAGCGCCATTGCTCTTCGCGCGCCTGGTCGCGAGATCGTCGTGCTCGAAGCGAGCCGAATGAACAAGGAAGTCGGGGCTGCCATCTCGTGAGCCAGAACCAGACCAAGGGTGACATCTCAGGCGTAGGGTTGATACTGAGCGGACATTTCCATCCAGGCTCCAGCCGAATGCGACCAAGTGAGTATTGGTCTCAGCTAGGGTGCCCTTTTGCTACAAAGGCTTGCGCTTGCGCTAACTCGGCAATCGTGCAGGATCGCAAAGGCCTGGGGTATCGAAGACGAGCTCATCTCGAGCGGAGGAGCTGTCGATAGTGGTGTGAGTTCAAGGTCGTGCCTCAGGGATGAAGAGTTGTAGAGCTCATCCATCTGGACGACGGGTCATCTAGTTCCAAATTTTCCGCACGGACGGGCACCTTCAGATGAAGAGTAGGTCGCGGCTACTTCCCGCCCTTACAAAAACGCCGGGCTGCGCTGATAGTCTGACACTGGACTCTTACTGTAGTCCCCTTCAAAACAAGCGACTATGGTTCCGATCGGCTGTGCTTCCATCGGTAAGTCTTGCAACGTCATCGCCCTCTGATCCTCGACAGTCGGCCCTGATCTCAAGCTCACGCTCTCCTCCCGCGATCAGGGTCGATCTTCACGAAGCGCTCAAGAGATTAGCTGTGGATCCGTCGCGACCAGGCAACCCCGCTACCATCAAGGTAGCAAGCAAAGTTGTCTCGTGCGACTGTGAACAGGGCGTCGTCCATCTCGAGAATGGCGAAACTGTACAAGGAGATCTGATCGTCGGCGCGGATGGCATGTAAGTGAAACGGTCGATCGTAGCGATGTCACGATGCTCGCTTGGTGCGTGGCTGCTGCTGACTTCCGAGTTTCATCCTTTTCGTATCGCAGTCATAGTAAACTACGAACTAGCGTTATCGGAGAAGAAAGGCTCGCGATCCCTACCGGACTGTCAGGTCAGTCAGGCCTCGACCACCTTCTACAGCTGATATCATCGGCTTACCGAATCGTATCGAACATGCACAGCATACCGGTTGATCGTAAGTCTTCCCTTCGTCACCTGTCAATAACCGGGACGGATGTTAACGTCGGCCTTCGATGCAAACAGATTCCCAGGGAAAAGCTCCTCGAGATCCCTCACGTCTCGGCCATGATGACCGACAAAGACCCCTGGACCACCATGCTGATGGGCCGAGAATGCCGGGTCATCATGGGCCCTTGTCGTCAACAAGAGCTTCTCAGCATTGTCGCTCTCGTCCCCGACAGTGAGTGGACCTGGAAGCCGTTTCGAATATTTCACAAAGCGATTGTACTGATCCCGCATTATCGATATCACTCTGTTTCGCTGTAGAGTTGATGTATGAACAGGCTTCAACCTCTTGGACCGCCCCGGGTTCGTTGGAAGATCTCTTGCACTCGTTCGAGGATTTCCCTCCTTGGATCAAGGATACCTTCAAGTGAGCGAGAGACAGGTTCTTGCCGACTCTTGAGCTGCCTTTACCAATGAGCACTCCATCCTGAACCATCAGAGCTTGTCCTGATATCAGTCTCTGGCAACTGCGAGATACAGTAAGTGCGTCTGGCAAGCTTTTCGGAACCATCCTTCTGAGGCGGGATTGTTTGCCAGGACACGCTTCCTTTCTGGAGCAAAGGCCGAACCATCCTGATCGGCGACGCTGCACACAGTATGCTTCCTACTCAAGGACAAGGAGCGAGCCAGAGTATCGAAGATGCCGAAGCCTTGGGAGCCTACTTTTCCGACCTCACCGAGGGTCCAGTCTCGCGCGAGGATGTCGAGGCGCGCCTGAAGAGCGTCTTCGAGGCTCGATACGAAAGGGCCTCATTAATTCAGGCTTATAGTCGTCAGCAAGCTAGGCCCGCTACCGAGGTCGGCTCGACCGTGATCACCATGTCAGTATCGGACTGAACGTTTTAGGCGATTTTACTGGTTCTGATTTGCTTGCTCCGATGTTTGCAGGAACCCTGGAGAGTTCATGGAGTACAACTGTCGATACTCTGGAGCGAAGGAGTGGGCTGCGAAGGCGAAAGCGGCGCAGAAAGCATGAGATAATGGAATAACCTCTTTGGGTGTACGCAGCCTGGTTCGAATTTGTAAAGGTGCTTGCAGCTTGCGAATGCTGCGTGACGGAGTGTTCGAGTCGCTGGAGGGGATTTCAGATCTATGTTGTATATAATATGCAAACGAGTGATTGCTGCAAACCCTGTCTTGTAACAGTTCAGAGATCGTGCGATGACTTCTTGCCACCTCGTGCGCTCACGTGATCATCCGATATTTACTTCCGATCAACCTCCCTCTGCCTCCGAAGGCCTACCGAGCAAACGAAGCTCAAGGTTGCAGAGCCGATCTCCACATCTCCAAGCATGCATATTGGATGAGAACAAGATATCGCATTGTTTCGAAATAGCTGGTTTCAAGCTCGGTTTAGACCCCATACTTCAAACACGTAGCTACAACACGTATCATGGCCGCCTCAACAACGAATTCGACAACTCCGCAGCGAACACCGCGTGGGTAGTGAGGTATCCTATAAAAAAGACTGAACGTGCGCTGATGACACGCAGTTGAACGATGTAGTACCGAACACGGCCCGCCTGATCGCTCTGATGCTGGCCGGACAGGGGGTGGAGGATGCCGATGAGAGGGTGTTACACCAGCTGATGGACTTTACACACCGTGAGTCTGCATGCTCGCATACGGAATCGAGATCGATCGTCAAGTTCATATAAGATCTGGTTTGACATCGCCTTGCACCGGGATATATAGGCTATACGACAGATCTATTGACGGACGCCAAGACGTACGCCAACCATGCTGGTCGACCTGGTGTGGTCGAGACGACCGACGTAGAACTCGCTGTACAAACGAGGAGCGGGTACGAATTCACCGAAGGGGCTCCTAAGGACGTGAGTCTCTCGCCAGAACGCATTCCGTACTCATCACAGATCATCGCCAAACGAGGCTGAAGCTGAATATCAATGTTCTGATACGTTTCCATCTTTTCAGTTCCTTCTCCCATTAGCCAAACAACTCAATCGCCTTCCCCTCCCCACTTTCTCCCAATCATACACTCACATCCTCCTCCCCCCGCCTAACCAGATGCTCGGACACGTCAACTACAACCTCGTGCCGAACCGACATCCCGAAGCTTCTGAAGGCCTATACGAAGGTTTCGAGGATGATGATGAGGACGGATGGGGTAGTGAGGACTACGGATCTCAGGATCAGGAGGACGAAGACGGGGAGGATGTGCCGGCCGAACAAGCTTCCGGAGCGGTTGGGGCTGGTACCGTTGGGGAGGATGATGGAGACGATGTGGACGGCATGGACATAGCCGAAGATGTCAAGCCGAACATGAATGGGAACTCGAGCGGGAGCGAAGAACGCGGACAGAAGAGGTCGATCGACGAGACCGAGTGAAGGAAATCGTTGTTCAAGTTGATCTCGACAGGCAGCCTAATATTGGGTGTTGGATAGACGAACCGTTTGCTCGACTTTGTAATTCTATAGTGAGAGCTTGGGGTTGTATCCTTTCATCTTACGAACATAATACCTTACGTGTTTGACGCTCTTAAGAGGTTGATGGAGTCTGCCTGCGAATCTCGCCGACAAGATTCCTACAGGTCTTCTACCTGCTCAAAGCCTGTTGACCGAAGGCTTGAGGACCTTGGACGGTGCTGTAGTACCGTGGCGAATCTGTACCAACAGAAGAATGATAGGCTGAAAATTGGATATACAGCAAAACCCTCGGTAATTTCAATCTGCCAAGTCTGAAGCTGGACCCCGTCGAGGCGGAGAGATGGCTAATGGTGAATCTTTCATTGGCATTCAGCCTGTACTTAACCCGTTTGGCAGAGATCCCCTTCTCGTGGTACATGCTTCATCCTCCTGGATGACCAAATGGTCCCAAAGCTTGTAATGCCATATATAAGTGATACACCAAAGACGCGAATCTGGTGCCATTTGATTTGTCTGTCGTCTGACGCGCCGATATGTCCGCTAGCTGTCCTGAGGTCTTGTACGATCGCCTTGTCCACCCGTTCAAATCGAAACCGAGGCAAGCGCCATCCATGTAGACGTCCCTTCTAACCATATCTGAATCCCCAATATTATTGTCCCACGTTTACCCCGCACGCCGCCCCTCTCGCGCCGCTCTCTCTTGCCGACTCGCCACCTCGCGCCACAAGGTCGTCAGCAATGTCGGGACGCCTTCTTCCGTCAGATGAGGTCCAGGAGGGTATCGGACGGGATTTTCTGGGTATCGTTTCGGCCTTTCTTCCGGGATTGGTGTCGATGTGGAAGGCGGTAACGGGTTCTTGTTGGACAAAGACGCGTTCTGCGGGTCAGCTCGACCTTCGCTAGAGATGGCGCCTGCGTTCGTGTTGGCCTGAAGATGAGCCTTCGTACTCTCCCTCGCGTTCAGAACCATCTCCCTTCCCTCCCTCTCCTTGTCCACGGCTTGAGCTCTCCTCAATGCCTGCGCGGCCCGGTAAGCCATCAAGTGGGCTTTCGGGTCCGACCCTGACCCCGATCCCGGCCCTCCAGCTCCAGGTGCTGTTCCCTGTCCTGGATTGCGACGGGGCGCAAAGGAATCCCAGAGCGGGTAGAGCGAGACGAGGTGTTGGACGATCGAGAGCAACATCGGCAGGGAGACGTCGAGCGAGGCGAAGAGACGGGGAGCGATGGTCCGGGTCAAGAGTTTGATGGGTTCGAAGTCTTCCGTCGAGTTGTCGCCATCGCCACTACCATATACACCGATGCCTGGGGTCAAATTGTTATGATGGCCGGTGTTGTTATGGGTACTCTCCGTACCGGACTGATTGACAGGTTTCTGAACATAGTAGACCGGCACCTCATCCGGATGCCCATGTTCGCCTTGATCGCCCAGCTTGTAAGGCATCAAGACCTTTCCTCTCAGGCGATGAGAGTCGGTGGACGATTTGTCTTCCAGCGAAAAGGCCAGGTAGAGGGCGGCGAGGGCGATCATATAAGGAGGATAGAGGAGCGAGAGGTGTGTTTTGTACGAGTCGTTGATTATGAACCTGAAACGCGGACGTGTCCGTAAACCCAAGGAGCGGTGATATCAGCACCGAGTTCAAATCGGCAAGGGAGGTAGGGACAAGAGAGTACTCACCAAGCCATCTGAAAGACCCCATCGTCGACCTGCCAACTTCCCCTCCCCGACCCTCTTCCCCAAACCCTGTTTATCCAATCTTGCTCCGTCTCGCCTTGCCGCCGCTTGCCTCGTTTCCTTTCCCGACGTTTCATTTGCTTGAGGATCGACTTTGCCCCGCTGTCCTCATCTTGGTCGCCTTCATTCTCGCTAGACGGTTCCATATCCACATCCCCGTCCTGGTCGTTCGGATCGTATTCGTCGTCGCTCCAATACCCATCATCCAAGACCTCCCTCCCACAAACGCTCATCAACGTCGAATACGGATGATAGACGACCATGTCAAACTGCAACTCTTCCAGCAGATAGAATTCCATCTCGGCCAGCTTGGTATAGTCCGTTGGGAGCGGCCTCGGGGAATGTTCCGATAGACAGGCCCTGGCTTCGGAGAGGACGGATTTGACGTGGACGGGGCATTCTTCGACCTTGGCGGCTACGTAAACGCAGGCGATGAGGACCAAGAAAGGGTCTGTCTCCGCAAAGGCGTTCTTGGTGTAAAACCGTTTGAAGTAGACGCAGGCTGTGGCGATGGCTGATTGGCGCAAGGAGATCTTGCGGGAGAGTTTGTGAATGAGGGAGCTGAAATGTATATGGAGGGTGAGGATCGAGGGAATAGGAAGGGAGTAGAGAGCGTGGTCCGGGAGAGTGAGGAGGAGGTGGTCCAGAGTCGGAAGTGGTATCAGCCAGGTGTTGCTATATCATCCACGATGTCGAATCAGTTTGACACGAGTGAGTTTGAGAACAGACCGGTTCGTGTCTCACCAGTGCGTCGAGGTCCAGAAATCGCTAGATGTTCGGTATCGTCAGCGTCCATCGCCGTCCGGAACTCGACCCGCAGGATTATGCTCACCTGGCCATATTGGATACGGCCTACGTAGCGACACACGAGCCATATTATGTGTGTCCCTAGCTGTCTGTATCGATCGTATATGAACAAGAGTACAGGTCGAAGGAGAAGTCGAGGTACATTCCCATCGAGGTCGAGGCTTCGGACTTGTCCGCGTCATCAAGGCTCGCCCTCGAGTACACTCACTACTTGGCATTCCACATCGTCTTACATCCATCCAGCCTTTGATCACTTGCGATACACACAACAGCACAGTACTAGCACATCTGTCCTTCTTACGACTACGTTCAGGTATATGGGCTGATTAGTCGAAACGCCGACGGTAATGGCATACGAATAGACGATCCATCACGACAACTCGCCACGAAATTAGATCAACTCCGACACCATGGAACCCCAAGACCCCGTACCCGACGTCCCTGCGAATGGGGACGCAGACAATGAGGACAAATTCAGAATCCGTTTCTTGTTCGCTTCGGGAGAGCGGGATATCATCAGCGCTTTCGAGCCTGATGCGACCTTTTTCGAGGTAAAGGACAAGGTGCTCGAGGAACAGAGAAAGGGAGATGTGGATATGGATCGAGTTCAGACGGAGGAGAAGCCGAGGCTGGTCTGGGGAGGAAGATTGCTGAGAGACGATGAGGTTTTGAAGGACGTGCTGGTGAGCCGCTGTACCTTCTCATTCTGCTCCTGCTCGCCAAGGCTGATCATTCCCGACGGGACACAGGTGAACAATGCAGTCGAGCATTCTATGATCGTAGCAGCTTCTACAGAAAGGGAACCCCTCGTGCCAGTTCGCAAGATAGCTACCAGACAACGAACTCCGAAACCTCGGCCACCATCTATCGATAGGAGGAATAGTCCAACCTCTTCAACCACCTCACCTGGATCGCAACCACAGCCGTCACAACCGGAAATGCGAACAGGAACGCAGGCTTTTGAAGCCTCGGTCGCTGGACTCCGCGAGGGGGCCACCATGTCGAACCTCGTCTCCCGGGTCCAAACTTCAGCTCTCAACCCTCAACCTGTTCTCATCCCTAACCCCGGATACATCGCCGCGTATGAGACGCTCTTCTTCTACACCTTCTTGGCTACGAACGAGATCTACCTCTTTGCCGGAGAACCCGAGTTGGGATGGTACGACATGCGCCCGGCCCCTCTTTTCCCAGTTGAAAAGGTCAAGGAGGCTGCCGAGGCGTTCTTGAAGATCAATGGGATCAGGAGGGATGGGACTCTGGGGGAGGAGATGGAGCCGATCGAGATCGTGGATGCGGCGAGCAAGGAAGAGAGGGAGGGGGAGGAGATGTTGAAGGATACGGAAAAGAAGAAGGACGTGGAAGGGGACGAGTATATCGAGGTCGAGGTCAAGTAAGTGTTTTGATTTGACTGCAGTGCTCGATGATCTTCTGGTTCTGATCGGTCCTCGTCCCGCCTGTCTCCTTTTCTTATAGCGGCCTGCCGTACAAGATGATGCTCCCCGAACCATCTTACATCACCGCCGAGCAGAAACGAGCCCTAGGCCGATACTGCGCTCGTCGACGCATGATCAAAACGCTTCAAGAACTTCTCGTCGCTACCCCTCTTTACGCTCCGTATACAACCAGGACGGTCCGGATTACCGCCCAGACCGCCACGTCCCCCCGAGGTTGGATCGCTTTTAGGCGGGGTTACTTCATGTTCCGCATCCCCATGCCCGATTTCTTCTTGATCTTCGCCATCTGGGTTTCGGCCTTTTGGTCATTGATCAAGGTTGGGACGGTGCTCTACATGTTCACGCGAGGGATCCCGAGGGACGACCCGAAGTTCCTCTGTCTTGCGGGTCTGGCCGTTGGGTGGTGGATCTGGGATTGTGGAACCCATTTGAGGAGGGCGAGGGCTTCTCGACGACGAGCGAGAGAAGCGGAGAGGGCCAGAGTTAGGGCCGCAAGGGGGGCCGCACCAGGAGGTCAAGGTCGAGCTCGGCACAGGGAAGCTAGACCGGCCAATGGGAATACACCCACTCGAATAGCTCGACCTCACTCGGGAGGACGAGCAGCGAGGTTCAGAGCGTTCTGGATCAATATCGGGATCGCGTATGATCGGAGGGTCTTGCGGTTGTTCTACTATACCCCTGAAGGGAACGGAAGCAGTCGGACGGCGCCCTTGGAGGTGAACGATAGGAGGATTCCCGGGAGCGATGAGAATCTCCCGCATCCGCCTCCCCCGCCTTCGGCTTTCTGGAGGTTGTTCTGTCTGCCCTTGATCCTCTTCTTTGCGACTATGGTTCCTGCGCTGGATACCGGTCGTCGCTCGGCGATTTTGGAACGCGAACGACATATGCGTCTTTTGGTCGAAAAGTTGACCAAGGAGAAGACGGCCAAGGAGGCGGCGTTGGAGGCAAAGCGAAAGGAGGATGATGAAAAGGCCGCTGAACAGGCATCGAAGTCGGAATCGTCTCAAACGGCGGGCTCTTCGGCTGTTCCTCCGGATTTCTTTAGCGAGGCAGCTTATAGAGCGGCTCGGGAGGCTACAATCCCTAGTCAAGACTCCCCTGAAGCTAGTGGCAGCAACGAGGCACCCGGAACCGACAATTCCGAGCCTACGGCTGAGACCACCGGGTCACAGCAACCTCTGGACGGTCCTCAATCGGACCAACCCACTCCTCAGACCGATGTCGCTTCGGACCAAGCTACGGTCTCGCCGTCCCCTATCATGCCTCGATTTCTCTGTGCGGAAGCCATTGCGTACTACCGTCGCATCATCGGTACGACTGAGCGTATTGATTGGGAAGCGGAACGACAAGCTCAAGCAGCTCTGTTGGCCAACAACGGTGGTGGCGCGAACAATGACGGAGCCGAAGGTGCTGCAGCGCTAGTGGCAGGGGACGAGCAGGTTGCGCCCGTATTTTAAGCCACATCGTGGTTCTGCAACAGCTCTGCAGCCATGGTCTGCTCTCGTCACGTCGATCTAAACATGCATATTCTCGCCAGACGCCTGGTTTAATCTCCATGTAGCCATCGCAAATGATCTATCGTCAACTTGAATAGACTATCGTCAACTTGAATAGACAGTTCAAGTACGTCTTCCGCTCCCGCCTTTTTTACTTTGTCCTCGTCATTTGTTCGCTCGGAGCGGAGAGCATGCCTTCGTGACCATCCAAGTGATTCAAATTACCTTTGGTGATAGTTTCAACGATAGTGAGGGTAACAAGGATCTTTTGAAGACAGCATAGGTCATTTCCTCCAAATTCAGGATAGAGCATGACTGCTGAGGAAGGCTAGCGACAACTTCCATGAGACTGGTGAGCGAGGTGACTAGTCCTGTGAGAATGAGCTGGAAGAAGAAACTTGGGGAAATCGACCTTGCTGTGCATGATTTCAAAATTTGGCAGAAGTTGGCGTGGAATCAGCCCAATCTTGGACCGGTCCCTGCGCTTGTCGAGCGACAATGATGGTTCTGATACGAACGACATGAACGACAACGCTCTCGATGTCGGTGTGAGCAACAACAAGAACAGCGGGACCAACGACCTCTTCGCTGACATCCTCAGTGTTCTGATGCGAACCACAACATTCCCAATGTCCAGGCAAACAGCAAGAGTAAAGAGAACAACGAGAACAGCGATGATCACGGTGTCCTCGATGTCCGTACAAACAACAGCCATACGGATGACGACATCCTCGGTATCCATGTAGACAACAAGAACAAGGAGAACAACAACGTTCCCAACATCCAGAACAATGACAATCAGAACAATGACGTAATTGACACACAGGATCCTTTCCCCCAGTTGGCCCCTTTCCAATATCTGCATTGGATGATGTCGACCGGGAAATGGCTAGGATTTTGTCCTGCTGAGCACCCAGGGCTACCTTGTTGAGTGCTCCGTCCGAATCAGCCGAAGCCGAAGCCGAAGCCGACGGATATGATGAGAATCGAGGATTGGACCCTGCCGGAGCACTACTGTGAGGGTCGCGCGCTGACGGAACACTTTGTTAGCGATTTGCTAGGCGCGCGTTCCGTCCGAGCGCGGCCCTCCCGGTAACAGCGGCTTGAAAGGTGTACCACAGGGACATTGCTCTCCAGCCTCTTCATGCGTACACATGGGTGAGGTCTGATATACTAGTATAAGTAAGGTTGCGTTGCCATGCCATCATGTATCCAAATATTATGCATACTGATAGCCGATTTATAGTCTTGATCAAACAAGCTTTATAGAGCTCTGTTTCATTGTAGCGCATGATGCTACAATCGGGTCGTAGCTCGTACGTGCCAGACCCATGTGCGCATATGGCCAGGCAGTTTCACTGCTACAATTGTGCCTGAAAGCACCGCCCGCACACGGCCTTTGGACCTCGTCATCAGCTGGAGACAGTTTCCATACCCCGCTCAGATGTCACTTCACGTCCGCCTGTTAAGTCGTTGACTTCCGGTTTAGCTGCTCAATGGTCGACCCCCAGTCCGACTGCTCTCGAAACCAACTTTCTCGACGACCGCTGAGGACGTTCGAGACCAATCCGTGACTGACTGACTGTACAGCTGGAACATCTCTCGGTCTGTCAATCTTGCAAGACGGCTATAATACTATCCGGCAAAATCAAGGCAGTCTATCAGCGACCGGCCGACCGGGAAGTCACTCTGGGACAGCCGTTCGTATCGTGAAGCGCGAGACATGAGATGATAACGATGCGGATGAGATTAGATACAATGAATGCACTTCGCTTTCTTTTCTTTCTTGTATACTAGGTTCGATGATGGCACCACGGATGCAAGGCAAGACAGAGGCTACATTTGAGATTGCGATTCGGACGAGACAGTCGGCGGAACGATCCTGGAGTTTCGAAGTTTGGTGTGATGTGGCTGGCACATTTAGAAGAGGTCCCGGAACGAGGCTGGAATCTCAGAACACTGGGCGGGCAGGAAAGTTCGCATCAGTAAACGAGAAAAAGCATCTTGACTCGACCGTGTGTACTCACTTTGAACCGATAAGCACATTCGGTGCTTCGAAGCATCTCGACATCACCGCCGGCAGCTTGGATAAAGTTCAAGACGATGCTGGAAGGTGTCGGTGCATTCCGATTACGGTCGTTTCTGCTGACATCCGCTTGGTTCGCAGCGGACACTCGTTGAGCATATCCTTCGACGCTTCGTGGTAGGTCTACAGACAGGATCGCTTAGCCAAGCGATCTTTTAACGCTGTTTTCGCTCGAAGGACTAACCAAAGTTGACAACAAGCGGCGCAGCGACGACTTCCGGGGGTTTGACAATGGTATCGAACGCGACCAGGAATCGGGCCCCGCGGCCACTCTGGGCGGAAGCCCTCCACTTTGTATACACCGCTTGCTTGGCTTGTGACGACATGTCCGGCGACTGCGAAAGACGGGTTGTGATCAATGCAGAACGTGTCTCGCATGCGATATTATTTACTCACGAGAGAGAGGTTCTCCATCTGTCTGCTGTTCAACTTGCCAACCACAGCATCGAGGGTACTTTGCGCTCCAACGTGAATGATCGCTTGCCAGAGAGGGTACTCAAGAAGTAAATCTGCCAATGCTTCCAATTTGAACTCCTTGGCCTGATTGACCTCGGTATTCTGGTTGCCTGCGGCACGACCAGAGCCGATGGTTCCTGGCCCCGCCGCACCAGCCTCGTTCCTGTTAGCCGCTCCACTTGCAAGAGCGAGGTACAGGTAATAGTGACGCAAGTTGCCGGCTGACGTGGACTCATTGGAGGTGTTGGTACCACCTTCACGTCGAACCAGAACTCGGACAGGCTCGCGGACCTGGATCGACTGCGAAAAGTTGATGACATCGGTAGGAATGGTGTTCGAGCTGGAAGACAGGCCGTGTCGATTAGCGGCACTGAGATCGCGATTAGGCTCGATTGTTTACTCACAAAATGCATGTCTGTCTTTCAGGATTGCTTCCCAGTGCCATCGAGGCGTTGCCACCGTTATTGTTATTATTGCTGTTGTTGAAACGAGCGTTCGAAGCGGATGGGAATGGCATAGTCGAAGCAGGATTAAAGGGCGAACTCATACCCAGGTCGAACGGGCTGGTAATTCCGGGACTCTGCATTGGGCCGGGAGTGCCAATAATACCATTGCCGGCGGCAGTCGGGTTTCGCGACCGCGGTGCAGGCAGGACCCGGCAAATTGAAGTCACGTTCTCGTACAGGTTTCGAGCCTGGAAGAGGGTTGTGTCAAGTCAGACAAAGTCATACGCGAGAGAGTTTCCGTCCACTCACGATTAATTGGTCGACCTCGTCAAGCTATAAAGAACGTGATCGCACGTGTCAGCGGTGGAGCATTGCCCTAACCAAGGACGATAGTCACGCGACTTACGACCAACATGCGGACTTCACCGCCTGGCAAGCCACCGTTGCTGGCGTGCTTGACCATCACGTCGTTGAGCCGAGCGGGGGTACCGACGAGAACGTGGACTGCGTTCCTATGCCAATTGGCGAGGTCTGCCGAAATATCGGCGCCGGATGCTCCTACGGCAAGACCGGTCCTGACGCCGAGGGGTGCACCGATGTCACGAATCACTATGTGTGCCAAGTATTTATTAGCTTGAGAGCCTTAATCGAAGTCTCTATAGCCAAACATACGTTTATGAGCCTGAGTCGCCTGGTCGACGGTAGTGGTCACGATGATCGCACAAGGCCCTTTGTATGTGGGCTGATGCTGCACACCGAGACTCAAAACCAGTTGTACAACAGGAATAACGCTGCGATGGGATATAGGATAAGCAGGCCAAGCAGATCTACTCTGTTTTGAGACGGTGCTCACTAGGTGATGATACGCTCCTGCGTAGGAGGCGCCTGAGCGATGATATCAGAGCCTCTCAACATGAACGGCAGAGCTCGCGCTTGAATTTTGTTGGGAGGACCGATGCTAGAGATCGTGCGGTCATCAGCTTCGAATCCGCTGTTCTCACCTAGCGAGTCGTACAGATAACTCACCCATACTTGACAATCTGCCTCTGCAATTCCGGGGTGAGCGGCAAGTGTTCCCACTTGGTGACGGTCATACCACCCGGTCCGCCTTCGCGTGACATTCCACCAGGCGTGACGGCCTCCAATCGATCGCGCTCCACGCGACCACCAGCTCCCTGGTTGATCATGTTCATAGGACCCAGACTCATCCCACCGGCAATTCCGGGCGTCGGAACACCCAGCCTCTCACCGCCGTTGCCCATGCTCTGATAGCCCTGACCGGCGTTGACCGAACCGGCTCCAGTGACGACGCTGCTACTGGCAGCCCTGCCTGGATGAGGTCTCGGCCTGGACCCAATCGATCCCAGAGCGCTGGCGATCGAGCTGTTAAGAGCACCCGCAGGTCCGGTCTGGTTGCGGGCGTTTTGCGGTCTACCGACGTTTCCGCCCATATTAGGGAAGTACCCCTGTTGCTGAGGATGACCGCCTTGACTCGGCGTCTGAGCAGCTTGTTGTGCACCTGTGGCTGATGCATTCTGACCGGGAGGAGTGTTGCTCGTCCCGCTCTGGCCTGCAGCGGGAGGTACCCCGGTTTTCTCCTCTGGACTAGCGGCCCCACTCTGACCCATACGCTTCTCGATACCTTGCCGAACCGAAGTGCTCTGCATCCTCTGCAACTGGGCTACACTAGCGCTCAGAGCGGCGATCTGATGCGTGAGCGCAGCAATATCGGTGTTGCTGCTGCTCGACCCGGCGGTAGGGGTGATGGTCGAATTGGATTCGTTGGTCTCGGCCGTCAATGCGCCAGTAGAGATCGCTGAAGGCGGTCCCTCTGAGCTTGCCAGGCCAGGGACTGCCGTATTAGACGCACTCGTCCTCGTGATTTGAGGGGGAGGAGCAGCAAACAGGGAAGGCGTCGAACCTCCAGAACTCGAATTGGAACCCGAGTGCGAGCCCAGGCTGTTAGCCCCGACGGTCCCGTTCTGGGTCGCGCTGATCTGCAACGACTTGACGATCGTGTTCAGGCTTGCGACCTGCTGACTCATATCGGCAATCGCAGCTTCCGTCCGAGCGACCCGTGCAATCAGGTCCTGTGCGAAGAGAAAGGTCAACCGAGGTCAGCATCAACGATCAAACTTCCGGGTTGATAGCGGTCGACAACTCACGATCAGAGCCTGACCCTCCATCCTGCCTGACGAATCCGTCACTCCAGCAACTCCTCCGCCGGCCGAGACGCCCTTGGTACTCATGGCACTCAATGGCCTGTCCATTCCGGTTCCAAGCCCTGACCCTAGACCCCCTGGTCCATTTGCACCTGCACCCATGCCTGCGTTCTGACCGAGTGCGACCCCTGCAGCCGGAGCAGTAGCGAATCGGCTATGCGTCCTCTCGACTCCCGGACGACCTGCACCTCCGACTCCCCTAGTAGGAGTTCCGCCAAGACTTCCAGGGCCTTGGATCTGCGGTGAGAGGATACTTCCGCCTGCAGGACCTTGACCCTGACCCTGGGTCTGACCCGCGTTCCACAATTTACGACCACCTTCAAAGGCAGATTCCGGGCGGGGTGACCGACGAGCTAGCGAGACGTCGATGCCGTTGTTACCGCCGTTGCTGTTGTTCATTTCCAACTCGGTCTCCCCATCGCCTTCAGCCAGCCCGACCGAACTCAAGCCAACCCCATTGCCTCCCGTTACACTATCTACGCTCCCAGCGCTCCCAAATACCCGATCGCTCGTTCTGCCGAGTGAGGAAGGAGAAGTAGGGATCCGCTGATGTGTCTGCCCGAACTGTGAATACCCCATGTTCATACCCACCCCGGGACCAGAGTTTGCGCCGGTCTCGCTCGAACCCGGGTTGGGATTGATCTCCAAGAACCGGCCATTCGGGACCATGCCCATGCCCGTACCAGGAGCATTCATATTCATGTTCAGATTGCGGTTAGGAGACCTGGAACGTTGGATGTTCATCCCCGTTGCCGACGAAGCATCACCCCCAGTTCCAGTCCCGGTCGTTGTAGCCGAGAGATAACCCCCCTGCCCTTGACCTTGTGCCTGTGCTTGAGAGGGCCCGAACCCGGATTGAGGGAAAGAAGGAAACCCTTTCGATCGTGTCGGAGAGGGAGAGAACGCCTGGCTGTGGTTGACGTTCCCGTTTACGCTCAAGTTCGAGTTGGAGTTTGTCTCGAAACCTGATCCTGGAAGATGGCCGGAGACGTTCCTCCCTCGTTCTCCATTCCCATTACCGCTCACGGGCTTTTCCGGAGTCCCGTAGAAACCACCACCGCCTCCTCCATTCGAACCACCTGCACCTCCTGGTTGCATGTTGTTCGGCGCAGAGGAAGGAGGAGCGTCTGACCAGATGGAAGAGAGCGGCCGTGAAGGCCCATTCGTCGTCGTCGTCATGTTCAAGCTGACACAACACGCCGGAGCACGCTCTACGTGTCGAACGGAGCGGCAAGCGACTTCAAGAAGAAAGGAAGTGACCCAATGACGATGTGGGCTTTGTATCGATGACAATAGGAGGATAGAGGATGTAGTCGAGTTTATGGTCAAGAATCTCCCGCAGTTTTCTCTCCCCTCTCCTGGGTGTGTCCAACGCGGTCGAGGGGACCACGCGCGCGCGTCTCTGCTCTCCTTACAACTTTCTGCTCTCTACCCAAAACGGTCCGCATGGGCAAAACAATCACTCGACACACGACACTGTACAATGCTGTGCGTTTACCCATGTCTGAGGCAGAGAGTGGGATACGACACCTTTCATGTCGCGATGTCCGGATCCTCAAGCCAGACATCGAATGCTCGTCGCGCTTCCCAAAAAGGGACGAGAACGTCGATCACGGACCACGGTTCATCGCGAGAGGAGAGAAGGGATCAAATCAGATCATCTCCCGCGAATTCGATGGGGTCAAACCTAATCCACGATCATCTCCATCAGATCCCATCAGTGCATCAGATCAAGATGGTACGCCATCTTCTCGTGCGGCACCGAGCTCGGGATCTGTTGGACCAGTGATGTAAGATGGGAAACATCCATACAGCAGTGTGCCGTTTCGTGACGGCATACGAGGCCTGCATCACGGTTGACTGATCCGTCACTTCGATGTGGGTGAGCGTCCTTGAAGACGAGAACGGCTCGGACGCCGACGGAGCCCGGCCCCGACTTGGAGTTGTCCTCTTCGTCCTAAGTCGATTCAGCCAAGGTATAACGAATGAAATAATGATTCCCAATACAGCTCGCCTTTATCAAGATTGCCTCTCCTCATAGTCGTGCAAGTCGAAGCCTTTATGTACCCTCGGCAGCTAACCGATAGGTCCATAGCTGCTAATTTTCGTGGATTTCTCAAAGTTCGTAATCATCGTAAACGCCATCCCCCTCTTTCTCTCCAAGTTTCTACCCAGCTCTGCCATAGCGCGGCCCATCGATCAGCGCCTACCACGTTCCCTCAAGAAATCGTCCATAAACGGAGCGTCCGGATACTGCTTCTTGAGCCTCAAAAAGTCTTCCCGTGTGAAATCGTGCGGCAACGGAGGTTCGAACCCTGATTCGAGGAAGACCATGACGTCGTCGATCCATTGCATGAGTTCCTGCTTGTACCGCTCTTCGTACTTGATCTCGTGAGTCCGGTAAGGGAACCCAGCACGGGTGACGATGACCTTTCGGTAGACTCGACCCGGCTGACCGTTCGGCAAGGCGAGGATGTAGGCGATGGAGATCTTTTCCAGCGTCTTGTGGTTGTTCATCATCTTTTGCGACCATCCGTGCAGCGTTCTGCACATCCCTTGTCCTGCAAGATGAGGTGCGCAGCAATACGATACGTCAGCCTAGATGATCTTCACGCTCGGGACCGTCCTGTTCGTCACTCACCTTGCAGTTGTGGCATTTGTTGACCGGGAACAAAGGTGAACTTGAGCTGGGTCCCGAGACTTTCGAGGATGAAGTCGGGTCCTATGGCGGGACCTCGCAAGAACGACGGATCCCATTGCATCGTAATCTGGAGCGTCTTGAACTCGGCCTTTGTGGTCGTGAGCCAACCGAGGTAACCCCACTATCGAAAGAACAGAGTGTGATGGAGGTGGTGATCAGTCTCATCAGATCTCGCTCGATGTCCTGTCCTTAGGCATCGCATCGATAACCCTGCTAACTCACCCATTGATCCTCTCGCATCGATCCCGGGTTGATCGTAGCGAACGGTACCTCCAACGTGAGGGTGTCGATCATACCGAACCGCTTGCCCGCCAACGGATCCTCGTATCGAGCCTCAGCAGGAAGGTTATGCTTCTTTCCGTGTGAACATCCGCAAGTGGACAGAGCCGCCGGCTTCCACTCGAACAGATTCACGCTCGAAATGTTCTGGGTGAGAACCTTGACCTTTTCCTGGAACAGGATCGATTCCCTACTGCCCTCGATCTCCAGCTTTGATGCGGCATGGTCCGCTTCGATCCGGAGTCGGTCGACTTTCCTGGTAGGAAGAGGAACGGCAGGGTAGTCCCCGCTCTGCAACATGATCCCGATCGAGTCCATAGTGGCCGGGAGCGGGGTCTGGTATCGGGCGATCTCACCCGACTCGTCTTGAATGTCGGTCAAGTTTTTGAAAGAGGAGATGAGGTCGTGTCGATCTTTCGCCCATTCCACCCGATCGCCAGCTTTGGGACGATCGGCTATGCTCAAGAAGCTGCGTCGTACCTCGATATCAGCGTGGAGCATATCGAAAGCTAGATGAGGTTACCTACCGCACATAATCCCGAGTAGCAGGGGTCATCCTCTCATTCAACCTAGCCGTCTGCTTCTGGGACGTCAAGACGACTCGAGAAGCGATCTTTCGCGAAAAGACGTTTTGCCTGCACAGCTTGTCGACGAGAGACAATCTCTTGAGATCCTTGGAGAAGTGGACGTATTCAGGGTACCCGATAAAAAACATCGAGAAATCGTCCGACATTCCCGGGGGTTGTCGGACACGAGGCTTAGAGGCAATGGCATCCTCAGCCAAGAAGTCGACGATGTTGTCCAGGATATTTTCGGGAATGTGATCCAACTTCCATCGGGATGGAGGTAGTTCGGGTGTGTCTGCGCCCATCGTCGATTTCAGTAGAGGGGAAGAGAAGATGCAGTAGGTGTTGTTAAAGTGGAGATCTATATACCTATCGATGATCTTGCTGAACGGCATGAGCGGTCAACGTTTCTGCAACGTAGCCCAGACGGAAATTTTAGTTGTTCAAGGGATTCCTTTGAACGTTCATTACGTTCGATCAGATCACCCTAAGGTGGTCGCTCCATAGGAGCGGAAGCAAAATCGAACCAGAGCTCTTGTCGACTATCGTCCGTTCAGTTTGTCACTGGCTTGCGTCATCTCAAATGCCTGGAACGTTGGTTTCCGTTACTAAGGTATGATATGAATGCGGGCACAAGGGACACGGTAACGCAACCCAAGAATTCCGGTCTACAGCTTTTGCCTTCTAAAGGGCATGAACCCCCTACCATCTCACTTCGTAATTCCCACTCTTGACAAACGTCCTGACTCCCTTGAATGGCTTGTACCCAGTCTCGTTGACGACCTTGATGTGATCCACCTTGAGTCCGCTGAGGATGTGTTGATTGATCTGGAAATTCACTTGGAATGCAGGGTCCGGGCTGGGCATCTCCTCCGAGCTGTCGTATCGGAAGACAAACAAACATGCATCAGTGCTGTACTGCTGAGTCTGAGTGAGCCACTAGAAAATTACCTGCAGACAAAACTTCCGACCAGACTAGCCGCCTTCTCATTGGCCGTCAGAGCGGTAATCATCCACCTAAGCACCCCCTTGTTTGGATCGAAGTCCCAACTTCCACCACCTAACGCTCCGACCGGGTAGTTGGGATTCTTGCCTCCGCCAGGCAGAATTCCTCGAGTGTCTCCCGAAGCCGTGGCGGAGACCGAAGTCACTTCCGGACCCAACTGGATGCTTATGACGACGTTTTCTAGCGGTCGGCCGTGCGTATTTGACGATAGCGTTAGGTTGAATTTGCCTGGCCAATCGAAGCCAGGGTTTCAGCTTGGAGCACGCGGTTCTGTCCAGGGGCACCAGTACCTACCTCCTCCGACCTCTGTCGACATTTTCGCCTTCAAAACCAAGGGAAGACCGATCGGTCTCAGCGAGCCTGCCGGTACCGCTACCTGATAATCGAGCAGCTTGAATTCGCCATCAGGCGGTATGAAAGAAAGTACGCCGTTATCCATCCAGCGTTTATACCTGTAATCGTACCCGTCTTCAGTCTTCGGCGATGCCGTGAATTTGCGGAGTCTGCGATTTGTGCGTACCGGATGCAAGGATGAAATCCACAGTTTTCGATTACTTTTGGATTGCTAAAGGAGAGCAGGAGGTCGGGATTCCCTGCAGTTTGACCGTATCGGTAACGTCAGTAATGTATCATAAACCGCCGGTTCTCGGTCCATCTCACCAGTCAACTTGGCATTACAGTTCACTCTACCCCACACATCTATGTGCAAGGCCTTTCCACGCCTAGAAGTGAGAAGTCAGCGATGATGAGCTCGAAACATGCTACTCAGACTTACTTGTCCACTATCGCATCTATTCGCTCCTCGAAATCAAAGTATATTTCGTTGTTCGAGTATCGAGCGTTTGGCCGCCGCCATGGGATGGGTGCCGAGTATGGTGGATTAGTCTGGCTTAACGAACTGGTACAGGGATGTTTGGCCCTTGTGAGCGATTTGATCACGGCGAACAACAGACGTACCACTTACCCTGACACTCCGGCTGCAGCAAGCAGTTTCCGTACTAGCGTCGGAGGTAATACGATATCCTTCAACATGTTCGTCTCCATCGTCAACGGGTGTCCCTCGTCCAGCATCTCCTCGATAAGCTAACGGAATGAAGCGTGGTTAGCAATAGTCAAACCAGTCATGCGCTCTCTAGGCTCACCATGTAGACTGTGTCAAAGTTTTCTCGAATGGTATGCTCCGTTACCTCGCCGAGGTATGAAGCAAGCGTCTCCAAGAACGAGTAGATGAACGAGAATGGTAGCATCGGATTCACTGAACGAAACGAATGATATCTATCAGCTCTGCTTGACACCCCTCGAATAGGATCTTGAACGACTCACTTTCCTGACTAACGGGTACCAAAATCCTCATCCCTTCCTTCTCCACATGGAAGCATGCGGTGTTCATCCATGCTCCCTCTTCGTACTCGCTCGTATTTGGTACCGAGACCCATAAGATGGGGTCGAGCTCTTGCAAGGTGCTGGTCGATGCCACATCGAGGCCAGGGCGGGATTTGGCAAGAGCTTGATTGAAAGCATCAATGTGTAGCAGAGGATATGAAGAAGGGTGTGCTCGGAAATGCGAAGATACGATAGATCGGCTGGTAAAAACGAAAGCCAAGTGAGCACCGGAATAGCTCTTTCGAGCTCCTGGTAGATCGTACCCTGTCGAATCCAGTATTATGATACCATCTAGGGGAGCCATGGCGATATTCAATTTCGTTACGAATTTGATGGCAGGAGATTATAGACTGGGTGATATCTCGTCGAACGTGGTAATGTACGTACCTAATGTAGTTACTCGGAACAATCGCAGGCCAGGATATGCCCAACGGACCGGCCGAGGTGGAAGCAAATTCGACAATCGTCATCAAGATCAAGGTCAATGTTGGGCGTGCTATCTATTATACAACATGGTTTCGTGACTGTCTCGACTAGGGGTCATAATATTGGAGATTATCCCAGCCCGACAGATTTGTTCGTGAATTTCGGCTCTCGGTGTCGTGAAGTCAATGATTAGAGGGGGAAATGTCGTTTCTATATGCTTCTGTATCCTTGTGAATCTCTCTTCGTACTGCTCAGTCTTTCGTTAAACTTCGTGCTCGATGCGCTCGACCCCTCACATCCCGCGGTGCAGATCATAGGTCGTCAAGGTCCCAGCCGTCAAAACCCTGAGTTTGCCTTCGTCGACCATGACGTGACGGATCGCGTCATTCGATGCTTTCGCGACCATGTAGGGCTGTTTGTTCCTCTGAAGCATCCTCATGTCCCACATCCTGACTGTTCCATCGGCATATCCTCTGGCAAAGTAGTTGCCATTGTAGGATCCCTTCTCGAAACGCGTCTGACCAACGGCTTTCCCCTCGATCAGGTTGATGTCGAAACCGAAGCGCTTGATAGGTTTCTGTTTCCGCATGTCGAATACGTAGACCTGATCTCGAGTTTGCTCTGCTTCGACGGCGATCGAGCTGGGAGCTAGCTCATTGGTGTGAATATGCCAGATAGAGGCGCCAACGCTATAGCGTGCGGTCTTCAAAAGCTTCTGGGCTGAAGAATTGCAGTCGTAGACTAGAAGATCGCCGCCGGTAGAGCCACTCAGCAGCCATTTGCGCTCCTGCTCGTAAGCCACACTCCTGACGACCGAGGTATGCTGACGATGCAAGACCCTCACACTCGAAGTCAAAGTTTGCTGACCCGCTAGAGGAACTGTCCAGAGTACGACCTTGTGGTCAAACCCGCCACTTGCAAACATGTATCGGTCGCCTTCGCCGTGCGACCCGATCGGAGTAACGCAGAAGGGGTTCCCCGCGTGGGGGTGTTTGTCCATGTAATGATATGTCGGTCGGCGATGTGGGTCGCTAGCCATGCAGAGAATCTGTTGGGAGCTCGTATTGGAGACCGTTGCATTGCGTTCAATGGCCATGATGACCCGTCCGTTGACGGGCATGCAACCGTCAATCACTCTCAGACCGTTCTCGAGCGACGTCGTGGCGGTGCTTGCCAGGCTCCCGAAGAACTGCACAGTGGCTCGCATGGAGAAGGTCGCAAGGTTGTTGGTCTGGCCCTGAAGCGCGCTGGCGAAGCCTTTGATCATGAAGCGGGACTTATCGCCTGGCGTTCGATGAATAGCCTGTGCTTGTCCGCCGTGTAGTTGCAAATCGGTGATATCTTCGGCCTTTGACGGATTACGTGCGGGCATACTGATGACCATGGCTTCGGGTGCAGGCTGCACTATGTCCTTGCGCGAAAAGCTAGCGATATTCGTGTGTACCGGTCCAGCGGCCTGTCTGTTGTTTGGAGCCTCAAGATAGGGTTGCTTGCGAAGCTCGACGAGTTGCATGTGCAGAGCCACGATCTCGCTCTCGATCTCGGTTAATTTGGCGATCGGGCCGCTCTTGTTCTGGGTCATGTCTTTGATCGATTGCCATGTCGCCTGAGATTGAAGGGTCGCTTCCAATCGCGCTTCGATGTTGCGTATGTTGACGCCAGGATCTTCCCTCTCAGTCGGAACATCTTGTTCCTGGATTTGATCCTGGTCCAGTTCATCCTCTTCTGACTCGTCACCACCTGATTGCGCCTCCTCCTGGTCCTCCTCTTCTTCCGATTCGTCGGCGCTCATTACGATGGCCTGCCGGACGGATCTTTTCCCCTTGCGGGCCATGCGAATACGCTCACTGCTGGTCGAGGTATCTGAGTCTGAAAGTTCTGCAGATTCGGCTGACTCGAGGGCCAAAGAACGCTCAGACAGATGACCACTCGAATCGTCTGCCGCATCCGACGTCGAATCTGCCGCACCGGCCTGCGTCATACGGGCGGGCGGAGCGCGACGATCAATGGTTTTCGATGCTGTAGTCGAGGCAAACAAGTCGAGCTCACGGTCGGCTGCGAAAGCGAACCAGTACTTACCGGTGTCATCCTGAGGCTCGTTTAGCGGCCGGAGTAGCATGTAATCCGCCAGGATTATCATTTGCCCGCGACTAAGTGAATGACCTGGATCAACCAAATCTTCCAGATCCCTTGACAATGCCGGCGGACTCACATATCGCGGTCGAACGACAAAATCCAGGTGCGTCGGAAGTTGAACACCGTCTGTGGCTTGACGCTTCCTACGTTCTGCTTGCCCGAGGTACATGTTGAACAGCAGGTGCAAAGCAAGAGAAGCTTCGCAGCATCGCTTCTCACTTGCTGCTGCCAAATGTAAAAAGGCGGCGTGCAAGCAATTCGATACCAGTCATCGAATTCGCCAGGTCCCTCCCTGCAATGCCTCCCTGTTCATAGAGATCAGATTCGCCCAATGCCTCCACGTTGTTATGACACGAACCTATCGAACTTGTACCCTTTACGTCCTGAACCAAGACGGAAATCGTGCAGTTGGGGTGGTACATGGTGCGCAGCGAGTGTACCTCTCGAATGGATTCAAGCTGAAAGAGTCTATCGATCCGCGTCAGCTACTGGTTCGTAGTAGCTTGCAGATATATCCTTACTTTTGGATAAACGACCGCACCGCATTTCTTACGTTCTCCGGTGCTTTGTTGTTGTCTGCGGGATGCCATGCTTGTTTTCCAGTGATTTTTGGCAAACATCGTTGGCTCCATTCTTTCACATCGGCTTTTGCGGCTCGCGCAGAGATGCCTAGAGCGTATTGACGTGGATGCACGACCGGCACACGGCTTTTGGCTCTTTGGTCCTCAACGTAGAGGATCTCTATTGCCGTGTACGATGTGCTTGGCTGTTCAGATAGACCAATCTCGGGAGTCGGGGCGCAGGTAGTCCTTGCGGCTTGATCTATGGAACATTTGAGGCTCTTGCGGCCAGTCTCTGGAGAAGGCGAACGTACCCGCTTTGCGGGGTTAGATGACTGTCCAGAAGAAGCGGTAGGTGGCCCGCCAGTCAAAACCGTCGAATCCAGAGTCGCGGAACGCCGGTGCCATTCAAATGAGAACTTGAATGACGTGCGTTTGATATTTCCTCGTGTGCGGTCCGGGTAAGTTGCATCCCATTGCTTCAATTGCTCCTCTTCCCATGCGGTCCGTTTGGCGATGACGAGTTCCCGCAAATGTTCAGGTTGCTCGAAAGGTCGGAGTTCTCGCGCGTAACTGTAGGTGACGATTCCCTGGCTGATAAGGGCCCAATCTACAGCGTAGCCGTCATCCCGCCACATGGAGCTTGTGATTCTGCGTGACTTGTTTTCCAGTTCCTTTTCTACCGCGATACGTGCTGCCTTTCGAGCCTCAATTCGGACTTTCACATCGCGAGACCAGCAATCCGCCAGATCCGGTCGCTGACTTTTCCTATTTAGATTGAAAGGTAGCGGATTAGTCGACTTTTCCTCACCTTAACACAAACCGGCTCTACGGCCTCACAGAATTAGCAGAGTAGAGCTCTGTTTCTCACTGTCATCAGCATCTTCCACGGCCTCTTCCTCTGGCTCGTCAATACTGGAGGCCATCATTGCAGCCGTTCCGGGTTCAGTTTTTACTTGAGCAGTGTAGTCAACGATACGCCGCGTGCTACGTAAGACCTCGACATCTAAGTCAGGCGCGGGTTCGACTGGGGTAGTAGGGGACCTCGCACGGTAACCTGCAGCCAACGGTTCTTCATCCGAGGAGTCCGAGCTCAATGATTCAGATGGAAGAGGAACGACCGGTTCTGAGGGCGAGTAGGCGTCCCTTCCCCGGGTGATAAAGGCCGGAGCTGGTCGATCAGTCGCAGTTGGAGGCTTCGAAGCAGGTTTTGTGAGATTCGGCTTGAACTTCAGTTTGCTCTTAGGGCGGGCCGTCGTAGATACAGCTGATACTGTAGAGGCAGATGCTCCGGGCTGAGAGGTAGATGGATCGGGTTGGTTTCCTGCTGGTGCAGGTATTGTTGATGCTGTGACCGTAGAGGTAGATGTTTCAGGACGTTTTCCAACGGAAGTAGGTGTGTCAGAACGAGCTCCGGTGAAGGTGGATTTTTCAGCACGTTTGCCGGTAGGCGCAGGTGTAACGGGGCGGCTTGCCACAGAACTGGATGCCTCGAAACTGCCGGCAGATGCCGAATTCGTGGTTTGCGTCGCTGGCTCCACAACCATACGTTCAGCCGTATGTGCGACCGGCTCGGCAGAAGCGATAGAGCGGTCTATCCGGTTTTGCATGACTTTTGCGTAAGCGCCCATAGGTTGATACGGTCGGGAGGGAGCTGTGTCAGGTGCTTCAGGAGGAGCTGGAGGATATGTGGTAGTATTGGCAGGAGGGGTGTCGGCAAGCGGTCGGTCGGGTAGCTTTTTGGAAGGTGTGCTTTGAGCCTGTGCGTTTTGGCGTTGTGCTGATTGAATGATGGGCTTGCGATCGGGATGAATAGCTGGCTGAGGAGCCCTCCCTCCGGCGTATGAAGAGGTTCCGGCCGAAGGCGCACCAATTCGGCTGTTCCCAGCAGAATTACCCAAGTTCAGGAAGGCGGGGCCTGCAGAAGCCTGCCTGGCAGGTTGACCAGCACTCATTGCAGCAGGTCCAGTGGGTGGAACAGCGGGTCTACTAGGCCCCGGCATACCTCCTCCCAACGCTCCACCACGACCTCGTCCAGCTATTCCTCCTCTGACGCCCCTTGCTCCTCTGCCTCTACCACCCCGAAACGTTCCTCTTCCTCGTTCGCTGGAGCTAGGTGGAGGCGGTGTGAGCTCGACCCGAAGCCGAGGTGGAGCGTTTGCCATGTCCTGACGATATTGCTGCACCTCGTCGGTCGGCTCCCCCTCCATTCTGCCTTGACCTGGGCCTTTGCCCAGGATATGGCCTGGAGCAGAGATACGGATAGGTCTGGGCTGGCTCGTCTCCACGAGAGCACCTTTCTGTCGCTTCCTGAAATCGATCTTCGGGGGCATGATGAGTGGCGTAAGATAGTTGGTTCGTGTGTCTTTGTGATTGTAAGATTTGAGCCACTATTCCCTATTCCTGAGCTGAGTCGAATCTAGTAAAGTCGAGTCTCCGTTACAGAGACTTCGACCCTACCTAAGCGCTTCTCGCTTCTCCCTCGCAAGAGGTCGTAGCAATCCTGGTTGCGGAGCTGCAACGAGGTAAGAAGGAAGCGCCAGATTCTGTGATGTCGGTTTAGAACTAGTAGAAAGCCAGATCCTTAAATCGTTCGGATTGTAAAGTGGGGGGTTTGGCAGGTCTATAGCAAGGTCGACCATTCATGATCAGAGTGATTCATGTTGATCGATCAACCTTGAACTTCCTGAATCGCGCCCAAGGGAATTTCACGTGATCAAGATGCGATCCCAATCGTCTCAACACCAGACTGAGAACGCAATTTGCATCACGAAAACGACATTAAAGCAAAGCGGCAATGCATCTGTATAAGAGGAGGGATTCAGGTTGGGGTAGCACATCCATCTAATACATCTTTGCATAAGCCTGTCGAGAGGCCGTGCGATTGGCAGACAATCCGGGCGAAGCCGATCGGGCTCCTCCCATCTGCTCGTGCATGGCCTGCAGCAGTCGGGCGTTCGGGGTGATGTTATCCTGGAAGTTCTGTTGCTGTTGGGGTTGCTGTTGCTGAGGTTGTTGAGGTTGTTGCTGTTGTTGGTGCTGTTGGTATGGAGAGATGCCGGCGTTCATGTCGTACAGGTGGGCTTGAGGCTCGTTCATGAATCGGTTCTGAGCAGCGGGGAAATTGTGAGGTGCCATACGCAGGATAGCGGGGTCTTGGAAGGGGAAAGTCTCTGTAAAGACGAGTTAACACAGATTCCAGTAAGCTGCCATGTGAGCAGAAATTGTCCAAAGAATACCTACCGTTCGCGTTATAGCTTTCACGAGGGAATCGAGAGCTTCCGCTTCCTCCCCTCAGGGCCTGCTGCAACCCAGGACTGGCGGTCCGTCGACCGTCTGCCTGGAACTGATGCTGGTAGCCATGCATGTTGGCCAGCATCTGCTGCTCCATGGCTTGCTGCATGTTCCTGTTGGCATTGACGCCCTGCTGTTGCTGCTGCTGGTAGGCCGGGAAAGTCGACGCGTTGACAGGTCCTCCCAGCCCCGGTGGTGGGGGTGGCATTGCTCCGCCTGCTGAAGGTGCTCGTTCCTGGTGCGTTTGCGCCGGACTTGACGTTTGCATCGGGTACGGCATAGCTGATTTCGATGATGGAGTCATCTCGGTCTCTACCCGCGACGCTGACGTCCCCGGCAGACCAGCAAAGTAGTTGGGATTGCTCAGGTTCTCCTGTTGTGGCCGTCCCGCTACCATGTCCAACTGCGAAAACGCTCGTACGTCGGGCATCATCCGGCTTGATGATGGTGCCATCAAAGATGACAAGGTCGACATGGCCGTCTCGGGCGGTCCTGACCGATTGGCAAACCCGAATCTCGACCCCTTCTTCTTCGACTCGTCCTCGGCACTGTTCGATAACGTTCTCGTCATCGGAATGCCTCCGAAATCGTCCAGTGGTGGATCCAAGAACGGGTCAAACACGCCTTCATACGATGACGGACCCGCGATCGCAGCCTCTGCCTTGCCCATCGCCAAGATATCCTCGACGCCTGCCAACAGATTCTCCAGCTTGCCCTCCTCGACCTCGAGTTTGACATCGAGACGGTAAGTAAAGTCGCCATCGGCGAAGCACTCCATGAAATCGTCGAAATCCGGGTAAGGTGATTGGATCTGGTAGACCGGAGCCTGTCCTTCCCGTCTCGACAAGACCTCGTCGACGACAGCTTGAGCTTGTACCGAAGGCTGGTAAGCAGGGTTGGCCTCGCGTACGGGTGGAGAAGCAGGCGAGGGTGAAGTAGCCGGGGAAGCGCTTTCGGCGCGTCCTCCCTGAACGGGCGTCAATTGTCCTTCCATAGCGATATCCTTGATGGCCTCTTCGACCGTCTTGTCTTCCTCCGCTGTCGTCGAAGCAGGTACCGGGGTGGCCGAACCGTTTGAATCCATCTGGTCAGGCGAGGCGGTCCTCTCCGGTTCAGTCTCTTCCGGCAGAGCCTGCTTGGTCGTTGTCGAAACGGGGGAGTCCGCTGCGACCGATGGTGCAGCCGAAGGGACAGCTTTGGTTGTGGTCGTCGATGTCGACCGAGACAACACTGTCATGCTCGGCCTGACCGAATCCGACTTTCTCGCGTCCGTTGCCGAAATACCTGCTACAGGCGTTGACGATGAAGACGATGACGTGGTTGCCGCTGCCGCAGCTGCTGCAGCCTTGGCCGATCTCGAAGCCGCCAACACTGACGCCGAGGGAGTAGCAAACGGCGTCTTGACCTTGACGACCGGTGAAGCCGTTGCCGACCGATCCGATCCTGCCGCAGCCGCTGAAGGCGCAGGCAAGGTCGTCAAGGTCGGTTTCGACAAGCTCGACAGGCTCAACACCTTTGCTTTCCGCTTGATCGGTGGCTGAACCGGTGGAGCCGGCGGTCTTGTTGCCCAGTGAGCCGTCCTTGGCAGCGCCGACGAGTCGATCGATTCGTCTGGCGTCTTGGCCTGCTTCGAGATGGGCTGGACAGCCGATGCTTTCGGTCCCGAGCTACTGACCGTCCGTTCCCGGTTCTGCAACTGCAAGTCCATCGTCGTCCCCGTGTCCTTGATCGTATGTTGCCTAGTAAATTGCAGGGTCCCCGCGGCTCGAGTAAGCTGTCTTTTCTACGACACCTACCCTTCCGGATCCTGACTCACATGGTCGTCATATCTCCCCTGGTGAAAGTGTCCCCTTCACCGGCCCACTCATGCATGCCCATACAAGCCGACCCATCCTCACACTTGACCCCCCTCAACCAGCTCAGACAATACTTTGTACTCCCATAGCTGGCCTTCAGCGTCCTCCCCGGATTGCTAGGTGCCGGGTACCCATCCAACGCCGAGATGGCCCTCGCCGCGTCTTCCCGTCGGATGTAGGTGATGTAGATCCCTAGATCTGAATCATCACCGGAAGCGACCGAGTTGAGCGAGTTGGCAGACGGGTCCGAGGTGGACGATCCTTTGCGGAGAAAGATCTTTGAGATCTTGCCGTATTGTCCAAAGTAATCGTTCGACCGGAGTAGCGACAAGAACTGCAACGCCAGCATGCACACATTCTCGTCAGCCAGGCCTCACCTAGCACAATCAATGGCACCTGACCCTGAAACTCACCTCCTCCTTGTCCCCACTGCCCATCTTCATCCCGGTGACGTAGACCATGTCCTTCCTGACGATCCTCACATCCCTCAAGTGTCTCCTCCCTAACGCCTCGAGCTGCTTGTTAGCCTTTTGCTTGAGCGCCTTGGCCTGCTGCAGCCGCTTCATCCTGCGATAACCAAAAAGAGACGAGTTCAGCATGTCATTGGTCTGTGATCGATGGAACAAGCAGATCAGACTGACTCTTCCGGATCCACGGGCTGGAACTGGATCTCTTGATCTTCGTATCGTCTCCGACAAGCCGGACACAACCCGTTCAAATCGTGGATGATCTGATGATGACAGAACCGACAGATCTGCGGCAGGTTGACATCGAGATGCCAGGAGGTTGCACGAGATAGGAATGAGGAAGTGTCAGATCATATCACACATCGACCTGATCAGACGATGGAACATACCTGGTATCCGCAGACACACGGTTTGAAGTTGACATCCGAAGGATCCAGCTCTTCCATACACAATGGACATTCTGGGTCTTCCTGCGAATTCGAACGATTACGATCGCAGCCAGATATACACGACGTTTTGAATTGTTATCAGGCGTGTTATCGAGGAGTAGGAAGTGTGGTGGATTGGAGGTTGTCGATGAGAATTCGAAAGTATGGTCAAGAGAAAGTCGCCGAGGTTGACCCAGTTTCGAGTCGCCGAGGTTTGAGGTTGATGAGAAAGGTTTTCGCAGGGAATTTGAGCAACGGTTGCAATCGGGGTATAGGTGAAGCCACAGAAATAAGTCGTGACACATTACATCAGTTTCTGAGACGTATATTCGTAGTCATTGAAGGCAGCGCAAGAAACTCACCTCGTCGTCACTCCAAACCACGTCCTGCAAGTTCCTCAAGACGTCCTTGCTGACCCCCGCAGCTGAACCTCCTACCACTCCCGACCCTGACGCAGCGAACGAGCTCGACAACCCCGTCGCGCTTCCATAAGATCCTCCTATACCGACATTGTTCGCCATCGAATTCGAATTGGATGTCGGGGTCGAGTTGGAAGTCTTGCCGTAAGTCCAAGGAGAGGCTGCGGTGGTGGACGAGGTGAATCCTAGGGAGATGGTCGGGTTCGTAGCTACGTGGGGCATTATCCAGGTCGCGAGTGTACGTGCTGGTTATCGTTCGACGAGCTTGAGCTTGAGAATTCGAAGGTCGAAAGGATGCAAAGCCGAGGTCGGGGTGGATGGCGTAAAAGTCCAAAACTTGTCGGAGGCGAGGAACGTAAAGAGGCAGATGCGAGAAGGCCGAGATCGAAGAATAAACGTAAAGATGCAGATGCAGACGAGAGTGAGATGTCAAGGGGGAGAGAAGATAGGTGGTTGTAATATCGTAATCTCGAACCTGACATGACCTTGACCAGGTATCAAGGGGGAGAGGAGGAGGTTGAACAAAGAGGACGGAGCCGATTAACAGCGTGTCGCGTAGAGGGAGACAGAGAAGATTGCACCGCGGATGGTAGCTCAAGTTGATTGCGTAATCACTTTCCCGCCTTCCAGCTGTTGAAGATACCCACAGAGTCAGGCGAGTCCAAAGGTCTTTGCGAGTCGCTTGACATCCGGTCAAATGACTAGAACCTGTAGTACAGAGGCTATAGGTGGCACTATTTATGCTCGACAATCACACTCTTTTCAGGACAGACGGGAGTGAAAACAGGTTGTGCATAACGGTCGCGATCGCGTGGATTACCGTTCATCCTGTAGTGTCTTTCAGCTTGCAAGACAAATATCATCTGAGAACGTACGGACATAGTGGCCTGACTTAGCTTCTCTCTGACTCGTGCTCAGCCTCAGTCAGAAGTGTTCTGCGTTCCATCAGCCATGTTGAAACGGCGGGTGATGAAACTCGTTCGCCAACCCATTACCCCCAGCAAGCGCGCTTGTCAAACTAGAAGCGCGACGCCCTCTTCGTCACCAACCAGCAACCCTCCTGACAATCCTCTGCCAGCGGAAAACCTTCGACGCTCTCCCTCCCAATCCCCCCAACAACTATATAAACACAGCGACCTTCCTTCCTTACACTCGAACTCATCTACCTCCTCACACGTCTTCTCTTTTGAAAGATGCCTTACAACGGTATCGGTATCGAGACTCCGAGAGGAACGTGAGTATCGCAGAGCATAATCCATCGCGTCACGTCAAAGATTGAACCTCAACTGACGCTTCCTCTCCCTACCTTACCTCTCCCCTTCCGTTCGTTATTCTTTCCTTCACAACCTTGCCTTGCCTCACGAATATAGCGGTACATCCGGCCATGTCATCCGTAACCTCTCTCACCTTCGCCCGCGAGAAGGTCCTCCCCCAGGCTCGTCGCGTCCAGGAGACTTTGGCACCGGAGCCAACTCGTTCGGACCGCCCGTGCATCGAGCGCCTGATGCAGGGATCTTGGACCATGAGAGGAAGAGAAAGGTAGAAGTCAAGTGTTTCGAGTTGAGGGAAGAATTGGAGGAGAAAGGGTGAGTGTCGGTTTCCTGTGCTTCTGTTTTGCTTTTCTTCTTTCTTCTTTCGTCTATCCCTACTCTCAAAACGATCTTCTCGCCGTCCCATTCTTTCCCGGGTCTTTACCTACACAAACAACCGCAACCTCTTTAGACAGTGCCCGTACTTCCATCCAATGAAGAACTCGTGGCGATTAGGTTAGCGAAGAACGAACCCATCACCCTCTTCCTCCTTGCAAAAGTGAGAGAGGAGGGGGGTGTGAAGCGGACTAGAGCTTGTTTCCTCTTTATATCGATGATATACGTCTCGTTACACCACTTTTTGGTGGAGATGTTTCGGTGGGGAAGGAGGTGTAAATCTGCAACGACATTCGAGCTCGATCTCTTTCGAGCTCTTTTTCTCTTACCGACTTCTGACTTTGCTGGTTTCCCGAAGTTGTTGCGAGATCGGGGATGCTGACACGGTCATACCACCTCTCTTCCCCCCCTTTTCTCTTGCTCTGTTCGGTCGAAACCTGGGATCTAAATGATAGCCTGGACGAAGAATCCATCGATACCCAAGTCCAATCGCTCCGTCTCCGCCTGCTCGCCCAAGCGCCTACACCCGCAAACTCCCAAGCCCAGAGTAAACAGGATATCCGGAACTTGAAGTCTCATGACTCTCATGCACTCGCCGCGGCCAAGCAGCAGGAGATGAACAGGATGGGAAGGGCGTTCGGGATCGGGCAGGGATATGTCGAGGGAAAAGCTTTCGACCGAGAAGCCTTGGAGGTTGAGAGGGCAGAGAGGTGAGTCGTCTTGCTGTTGAGGTCATGTCTTTCCAGGGGAGATTTACTGATATGTTCTAACTTCTAACTAGGGCCGCTAAGCGGGAGGAGGCCGAACGTCAGCGCATAGAGATGGTTGCCAAGCGGGAGAAGGAGAGGGAAGATAGAGAAGCTGCTTTCAAGGAGAGCGAGAAGAAGCGACGAAGAGAAGAGTATTACCGGTTCGTTGGTGTTGTTATTCTTCGAAACGTGTTCATCAGATGCTGATCCGGCATCGATCTTGCAGACGACTGGAAGCTGAGAAGCGAGCCAATGAAGGGCCTGCAGATGGAAGAGACGGCTTGGACTACGAGTCGACAAGGGCACCGGCGGGCCGACCGGATCGATCGCCTTCTCCACCTCCACGAGCCCGACGTCGGTACTCGGACTCGAGATCCCGGTCACCCCCTCCTCGTCGAGCTCCGAGGGGCGACTCTCGTTCGCCTTCGCCTCCCTCTCGACGACGTCAATATTCTCTCTCACGATCCCCTCCTCGTCGAAGACGATACTCGGACTCGCGTTCTCCACCTCCCCGACGACCCGACCACCGGGCCAGGTCCCGGACCCCCGTCGACACTCGGATGAGGTCGGTCTCACCACCTCCAGGTGTTGCCATCAACCGAGCTCCTGCAGGACGACCACGCTCGCCATCCCCCTCTCGATCCAGGTCGCCGCCTCCCCGTCGACGAGACTCGCGTAGCCCGCTCCCACCTCGCCGCGATTCCAGGTCTCCGCCTCGACGACGACGACGTTCAGGAAGTTTCAGCAGCGACTCCAGCGCTTCAGACAGTGACGACTCGAGGTCGCCTCCGCGTAGAGCACGACGCAGAAGTGCTACGCCCTGAAGCGTCTAATTCTGGGCGTTGATTGCTACGATATATCACGATACAGCTCCGAAAATGAAGCTACATGATGCCCCTACTGTTGGTCTTAAAATTAGTTGTACATATATAACAGTCCCGGGCTAGAGGACCATGTCAATCTATATCAACCTTGAACAGGTTCGAAACAACTTTCGTTGATCTGTGACCGATGCTAGTGATTGTTGTTAAGGCCTGATTCGAAACGTGGGCTTAGCAATCTATCGGTGCGATTTCGATTGACTCCCCAGCTCAACCGGTTAGACTACCAGTAATTCCCCAAAAGATCTCCCTTCTAGTGTCGGCTGTAAATGATGCCAAATTATGGCTATCAGTCGATCGCTTAAAGGCACTTCTGTCAGCCATGACAGCTAGATTACACCTCTAAACTTTCTGGGGGATGTGACATGCAGGGGGTGTCGAAGGTGGTTCCCGATGAGTGGCCCGCCAAGGCGCTTGGGCACAGCGTGGTTCGCATCGGCTTTGAATTTGAATAAAACAAACTTCTCTCCCTGCAGTGTCCCTCTAGTGAGTGCAATAGTGGTTGAAATTAGGCTGAGTGTGCGTACCTTTTCATCGAAGATCAGCGGTACTGTCACATGGATCGTCACTCGGTGACATCTCGCTTCGCAGCCTCAAAAAGCTCTTCCCCCTCCTTGTAAAGCCCATCAGCTTCCTCGTAAAGCTCCTCCATCTGCTTTTGCCACAACTCCACCTTTTCCTTCGTCTCAGCCGCCTCCCGCATCTTGGCTGCTGCTGCCGACATGTTCTTGGCTGCCTCCTCCATAACGCGCTCTCTCTCTTGAGTCGAGGCCGCAGACTTTCGCGTTTGGACGTCCAACTTTCGCGTTTGGACGTCCTCTTCGATGTCATCGCGGCCACGCTTCTGACCCAAGACGGACGAGCCGAGACTGCTCGAAGCCAAAGTAACTCGAACCTCCTGATCCCTCACGGGCTAAAGATTACGACCTCGGACCTCGTCGTTATAGCTGCAAGACACTGAGTTTGCTGAAATCCACTCGGCAGCAGCAGTAGATCCCAGTGTCTCCCTGTCTCGAGTACGACAGCCGAGTTGGAATGAAATGCCTAATCGATATCCGTGAAATTCATCTATGCTGTACAACCTTTTGTCTGAATTACCCGCGTTTGGTCGATACGACCGCAGTTTACAATCCCAACCAAGTCAACGTCTTCTCGAGCTTGACGCTTGTCTTAAGAGGTACGTTGTCGGACGAGTTTCCGACCAAAACCTCGAACTCTCCCGCCTCCGCCTTCCAGTACTTTCGACTGTCGTCCCAGAATTTGAGCGCGTCCTTGTCCAACTTGACGGTGACGGTCTTTTCCTCCCCGGCCTCGAGGGCGACCTTCTCGAATGCCTTGAGCTCCTTGATCGGTCGACCGAGGCTGCTCTCGACGTCTCGAATGTAAATCTGAGCGACCTCCTTCCCGGCAATCTTGCCCGTGTTCTTGACCTTGAACGAGACTTCAAAGTCACCCTCGGCCGAGACTGACGAAGCCGAAACGTCCGAGAACGCAAAGGTCGTGTAGGAGAGACCGTAACCGAACGGGAAGAGGGTCTCGGTTTGAGACTTTTCAAAGTGTCGGTAACCGACAAAGATGCTCTCCTGGTAGTGGGTCTTGCCGTACGAGGGCGAGGTGATTCCGAACCCAATGTCCGAGGGCGAGTCGGCAAGTCGTTTACTGCAAGTCAGGGGAAAGATAAGCGCGACGCCGACACACATGACGACACGACGCGGTCGACTTACGGGAAGGACAAGGCGAGCTTGCTCGAAGGGTTCAGCTTGCCAAAGAGGACATCCGCCAGACCGTTACCAACATCGTTTCCTCCGTAGAACGCCTGCACCAAGGTCGAAGCCTGGTCCACCCAAGGCATGGTGACCGGGGTTCCGGACTGGTTGACGATGATGGCGTTGGGCGCGACGGCGAGGACGGCCGAGACGAGCTTGTTCGAGGTTCCAGGAAGGCTAGCAAGAGGGTGGTAATTCATCAGATTAGCATGCCCGAAGCGACCTGCAAAGAGGAGAGATTTCGGACTACTTACTCCATGTGCTTCCTGTCGTAACCTTCAGACTCAAAGTCCTCGTTGAGACCGACTACAACGATGGTAGTGTCGGCCTGTTGAGCGATCTTGACGGCATCGGCAATGGCCTGAGCAGGCTCGACCACGGGCAACGCTCCGATCCTGATGGCTCCCGCCGACTTGAAGGGAGATCCTCTAAGGTCCTTCCTGAACCAAGACCTGACTTCGAGCGAGTACTCTTTACCCTGCTCAAGTCCCTTGACGACTCCTCGACGCTCGACGGAACCCATGTTGAACCACATCTCGCCGGGTTGCCAGTCCGAACTGTTGTTGATGACGAGTTTGCCATCGACGTACAGGTTGGATTCTCCCATGGATCCAAGGGCAAATTCCCAATCTCCCGATTGATCCGGCTTGAAGTTGGAGGTGTACCTGATGAACGGTTCTCCCTTGGCGATCTCAGCGGGTACACCGTCCATCATAAACGCGTTGGCAGTGTTGGTTGCGACCGAGTGATCAGGCTTGGACGAGATCTTGACGCCGGCCTTGTCGGTCGACTTGAAGTCCGACGAAGGTTCCTGCAACCAGAACTCCATCTGAGCGATATCCGATCCCTTGGCCCCAGCGCTTCCGCTCGGGTGGGACAAAAGCTTGGAAGCGGCAGGCAGGTAGAGGTACGAAGCCGACCCGATGGCATAGTCGACCTCGGCGCCGATTTCCTTGGCGGCCGCGGTGATACCCTCGAGCGGGGTGACGGTGTAGCTCGACAACATCGAGGCAGAACCACCACCAGAAGCAACGGCGACCCTGGCGTTTGATCCGATCACGGCGATCTTCTGAGCCTGCTTGATGGGCAAGACTTGCTTGTCGTTCTTCAAGAGAACGATAGCGTTGGCAGCGGCCTTGCGCAAGAGGGCTCGGGTCTGGTCGTTGTCGATCAAAGATTCTTGGGCTTCGAAGGGGATACCCGAGTCGATGGCCCGCTTGACGAGCTTGAGGACTTGTCGCACTCGGTCGTCGATGTGGTGTTGCTGCAATTTTCCGCTGTAAACGTCTCGAGCGGTCTGAGCTCCTCGGTAAACGGGAGGGCCGCTGTGCAAGAGCAGTTACCATGTCAGTCACCATCTTGCCCCACTCGAAACAGCTTGGGACGCTCGACTCACGGCATTTCGAGATCCAAACCAGCCTTGACACTGGCCTCGGAAGAGTAAACGCCAGTCCAATCCGACATGATCATGCCCTCCCAACCCCACTCCTTTCGAAGGACGTCGTCGAGCAAGTCTTTCGATTCGCTCACGTGGGTTCCGTTTACTCGGTTGTATGAGGACCTGCAGGTCACGAAGTAGAATAGTAGACATTATTTAGCGGAGATCCCGCGAATAAAGGCTGGTGATGAGGGAACAAAGCTCACATGTAGCACCACGGCTTGGCCTCCTTGGTAGCGATCCTGAACGGCTCGAGGTAGATCTCCCTCAAGGCTCGCTCGGGGATGATCGAGTCGTTGGAGAACCTCTCGAACTCTTGCTCGTTACCGACCTATAGTGGACAGCGATATGAAGGACTACCGGATCAGTGCGCGGTACTTGTAGACGAATTTCGAACGAAGCACTCGAGACTTACAAAGTGCTTGAGACAGGCGGCCACACCCTCTCCCTGTACTCCCTGTACATATCCACTGGCCATCTTTCCACTCAGAAGCGGGTCCTCGGAATAGCTCTCGAACCCTCGTCCTCCCAACGGGCTCCTCTGAATGTTGATCGTGGGTCCCAAGAGCACGTGCGCTCCCTTGGCTTTACACTCGTCTCCGAGCTGTTTCCCCACCTCTTGAGCGAGGGCGACGTCGAACGAGGAACCCAAACCGGTGGCACAGGGGAAACAGTTGGATGGGGTTCCGTTGAAGAATTGAATGCCTCGGACACCGTTGGGCCCGTCAGAAACTCGGACAGAGGGGATGTTCTTCTCGGGGATATCGACCGTGTGCCAGAAGTCCTGAGGAGCGCAAATAGCGAGACGTGGTGTAGGATCAGCGATGTTTCGAGATATGGTCGAGGCCTGCAATAGCTCACCTTTCCTCCGAGAAGAGAGATCTTCTCGGCCAGAGACAAGGAGGAGAGGACGGCCTCGACGTCAAAGTCTTTCGACTCGGACTTGGAACCGGGGAGGAGAGATGAGAGTCCGACCATGGTTTGCTTGTTGTTTCTCAGACGGGTATAGGGGTCGAGACAGTGTTGTTCGACAGAGATTGTTTGTGGTAATGTTATCAGCACACGGAAGTGGTGAGTATCGAGTGGATTGTCACGACGTCGTGGTTGTATATATATATAGTTGCACAGTTGTCCCACTTTCACCGACCTTGAGGTGGTTGACCAATGTGGCCGGTGCGGGGGAATGTCCGCGCGGAGCCCGTCCCATCCTCATCCCTCGCCATCGCCGAAGTCCGGCCACGTCGCATGGGCCCCGAAGAAGTGCGGCGCCTGATGATCGATCACGGCAGAGGCGTCAGGGTGGCCGTCGCTCGGAATCGTTCCGCCGACCTGCCTGTGCATCGGAGATTCGGCAATACGGACCAGAGTCAGATGACAATAACACTCTTGGCTTCGTGCTACAGTACAAACAGCCGATGTCGATGCATCTGCAAGTCGCACAACGAAGAGAGAGTGGCAACCGTACGATGCTGCGAAGAGATAGGCGATTCGGAAGCAAATAGGCGCCGCTCTTCGGTGGCCCTTCTAGAATGATCCACCCCGGGGTCGTAACACGTTTCACCTCATCACGCATGATGCATGATGCGCCGAAAAGTCGACGTCGTCTTGTCTTCAGAGATACACGAAACCTCTGCATATTTGCGATTTGAAACATACTGCGTAATTGGTAGTTCGTGCGATGAATCAAATGACTGTGTGATCAAGGATGGCTGAAACGCGGATGGGAAGAGGGGCACGTGACGGCAAGGATGTATCAGTCAAAATCATGAATTGGTTTCAAGTTCATCCCTGTCGTCGTCGTCGTCGCGTCTAATGAACGTAAAGGACGTCCTTCAAAGGCCCCTCCGGTATATCGTCACCGTGGTGACGTGAACTCATTCCTGTTTCCCATCCCGCCGTCACGGGTCCATAAGGGTTGCCCTTTCAATCTTTACCTCGATCCCTTCCTTCTCCCTTTTTCTCGATTACCACTCCTGTTCACTTTTCATTCTAATTAGAACGATTCTTTGGAAATCCGATTCCCCCACCTCCTTGCTCGTTCTGCTTTCCTCATCATCCCGTCTCTATATTGCCCTTCTCCCAAGATCACTTAGGTCGGATTCACAAAGAGCTGAGCTCTACTCTGGCCGAACCGTACGTCCAGTTCAGAGTCCCTTTTACGATGTGATCGGTTAGACTTGTCGACAGGGTCTAGGTCAAGCTTATTTTATATTACTTGCGTGAGCCATACAGCACACCCTAAACATTCTCGATAGTCGCCAACAGCAAAGAATACAAACGCTCGTTTCCCTTTACAACTCAAACTTTGAGAGACCTAACATCCGAACGCCACATCACAACGCCTTTCTACATCGTCTCGCTCTCCTCCGGGTTCTTTGCTACAGTATAAGCTCGACACCTACGACCAAGAAACGGACCAACAGACCTTTCAGCCAGCCCTCTCAATATAGGATGTACACCATCAAGCAGACCCCTACTGCCCGGTTCTTGACGTTGCCGATCATCCTTGGCCTTATATACGCCTTCCTGCTTACTTCCGCTCTGGCGGAGATACCAGATACCTATCATACGTCCCGATTCAGCTCCGACGAGAGAGTTGATAACTCGGTTCGCAAGTATGCGCAGAGCGCAGAGAAGGCTGGCTTCGAGTTGAAGAGAAAGCAAAGTGTGGGTGAAAGTCGAGGTTGGGCGAGTTTGGGTAGGAGACAAGATGACGAGGGGCCAAAGGGGGTTGATGAAGTCGTCGACAAGGTCAGTCCCGATTTGATCTCCCTTTTTCTCATCAATCGGAAGAGGTAAAAGCAGAATTGATCTGACCTATTTATCCGTATAACTCATATGACGAAAAGAAATCCTATTCGACCGCAACGACCCAAGCGAGCAAAGTCGCGACCCCAGGCATCGAGAACTACCTCGCCGCTGAAGACCTTACCATCCCCTCGATTCCCGAACCTTCTTTCGGGACCTATGAATCTTTCTCTAAATCGTCAGACACAAGCGGGGGAACAGCTTCTGTCACCTCTTCAACGACCTCTTCTGAGGCAGCGGGATCAAGCACTTCGAGTTCGGCTTCGGCCACGATGCCAGGAGGATACGCTACCGCTACCGACTTTCCTCCTATCACCAGCGATGAGGGAGAGTCATCGTCTGCTACAGCGCCAGGAGGATATGTCACTGCGACGGACTTCCCACCTGTCACGAGCGACGAGCCTACCTCGTCTTCTTCGTCTTCCGCTACGATGCCAGGAGGATACGTCACTGCCACCGAGTTTCCTCCTATTACCAGCGATCAGCCGACTTCGTCTTCGACCTCTGTCTCTTCGTCATCTCAATCGCAAGAACCGGCTCCATCTCCGTCTGCACCTCCAACTTCGGAATCAGCTCCTAGCCCTGAACCTACTCCTCAGCCGGCTTCTACATCAGAATCGGAGCAACCCCCTCCAGGACCCGTTGAGACCACCCTCATCCCTCAAGGTTTCTCCTCCATCCTCCCTGATACCGTCGTCCTCACCGCAACAGCAAGCGCGAAAGCGACGATTAATACTCGATCTAGCGCTGGTGGGGATGGGGTGGTCATGATCACAGGAGGAACGGCTTCCAAGAGCACCTCCGCCGGCCCAAGCGGGTTTGTGACGATCACGAGCACTGCCACCTCCAACGGAGCTGTTGTTACTATGACGACTACCGGTGCAGTCAAAGGAGCGATGATAACAGCGGGAGCAAGCAAGACGCATACGATCGTTATCAATCCTTCTCAGGGGATGAACAAGCTCATCCCGTTCATCCTCCATGCAGAAGTGGGGGAGACGGTCGAGTTCTTGGAATATTCTTCTTCGTCCGCCGATGCTCCTGATTCGAGTCCAGAGGAGGCGGAAGAGGAAGCGAAGAAGTTGAAGGTCGTCCAAATGGAGCTGGGTCAGTCTTGCATACCGACTCTACTTGACCCAGTCTCCACCTCTGTCTCCTCCAACGGCACGACTACTTCTACGATCGCCTCCAGCTCCGTGGCAGGCTCCAGCTTCGTGGTCAGTTCCCTCAAACCGATGTTATACGGTTCTGCCGACGAACGAGTCTGTGAAGGCGGGATGGTCCTCCTGGTCAATCCTCTTTCTGCGAACCCGGGGCAGAAAGAGGAACAGCAGGGACAAGATAAAAAGGTCCTTGTCTTCTCTGATGGGGTCAGGGTAGATGGGACGGGGGTCAAGGACGTATTGGACGTCTGGGCCGGATTGGTAAGTCGACGTTTTCCCCGATCCCGCCCTGAAACTCCATCCATCAAACAAAAGTGATCGAGTCTCACCAACCATCTTGTCTTCATACACAGACCCCAGAAAACGAACAAGCCTTGAAATCCTTCCAATCTTCCTCGGAGATGCGTCCCGAGGCGTGGGCGTGGGGGGACGAGTTTGGGTTAGGTGGTCTGGAAGGGTTGAAATTGGACGCGGTGGTCCAGAACATCTTGTAAGCCAGTTCTATGCGTCTTTCTACAGGAGCCTTCAGCTGATAAGCCACGATAAACGATAGGTACACTCGGTTGACCCTGGCGCTCAACCCAAGCCTTTTGGAACTATACTCCAACTCGACTTCCGCAACTAATACTAACGCGACCTCGACCTCCTCCGGAGCGCTCACAGCGATCACCGAGATAACAGCTTACGATTCCCTCTTATCCACTCTCGGTTCAACGTCGACTTCAGAGGTCTATGGAGGAAACGCTGCAGGTACAGGGACAAGCCTTCCGGCGGGGAACCATCATCCGAACGGGGCGCCAGGTAAGTGTTTCGCGCAGAGGCGAGGATCGGTAATGCGAAGAGGCTGATGATCGCATCTGGCTGGCAGGGAGAGGAGTTGGTGTTCTCATACTCGGAATGAGCTGTTTTGTGTCTCTTTGTCTATGCCTTGTTTTCTAGATAGATAATGCTCTTGCCAGATGGAACGTTCGCTGGTGCGACATTTATTATCATCATTGCGACATTTGCGCTTGTGAGAACAAAAGAAGCCCTCCTCTTCGCCCTTCTCGGTCTCAAACGCGTGGACCGATGCCGAGAAAATAACGTGAGATGGGCCGGGGGTGGCAGAGCGGATGCAAATGAGTCCCTCCCTCCCCTCCCCCCCCCCCGCCTGTGTGGCTGTTTGTTTTCTCTCGTACGACGACGGACGAGCGGACGAGATTTCCCCCAACGAGCAGCTTCCAAGGGCGACCTCGACCTCATCAATCCCATACCTTCAACCAGCTACTCGTATCACTTGCTATACCCAGCATCGTCCCACTCTTACCCTTCTTTCGTTCAACTCGTACACACACACACTCTCTCGCATCGGCTTCATCTCCACGAGAACCATACAAATACCTTCACTTTGACAACCACACGACTACAAGTAACGACACCACGACCGTCTCGTCCTTGATCAACGACATCACACCCCGCATCTAGACCTATACCACAAAACAGTCCTACAAAGCATCTTCATCATGGCTTCCACTACTGCTCGACCCCAGAACGTCGGTATCAAGGCGATCGAGATGTATTTCCCCAAGCGGGTGAGTCGGGCGTGCGATCAGATGGCTCAGAGTAGTCGAGCTCTACGTTGTGCACCTGAGCTGACCACAAAGTGCTTACTGTTTTCCTGACAGTGCATCTCGGAGGATGAGCTCGAAGACTTTGACGGTGTCGCCAAGGGAAAGTACACCATCGGTTTCGGCCAAAAGTACATGGCCTGCACCGACGACCGGGAAGACATCAACTCGTTCGCCCTCTCCGCCGTCAGCTCCCTCCTGAAAAAGTACTCTATCGACCCGACCTCGATCGGACGACTGGACGTAGGGACCGAGACGATCATCGACAAGTCCAAGTCCGTAAAGACCGTCCTCATGGACTTGTTTGCCGCTTCGGGCAACATGGACATCGAAGGGATCGACAGCAAGAACGCTTGTTACGGAGGTACCGCTGCGCTCTTCAACGCCGTCAACTGGGTACAGAGTGAGAGTTGGGATGGGAGGGACGCGATCGTCTTTGCTGGGGATATCGCCATCTACGCCGAGGGGTCTGCTAGGCCTGTCGGGGGTGCTGGTGCTTTTGCCTGTTTGGTTGGACCCAACGCGCCTTTGGTCCTCGAGCGTGAGTCGACTGCAGTGCAGCTTGCGGTATAGCTGAGACTGATTGGAAGTCGTTGTCTTTCCGCTCGCAGCGGTTCACGGAACATACATGACCAACGCTTGGGACTTCTTCAAGCCCGACCTTGCTGCCGAATACGTATGTTCGAACCCTGCTCTATCGCTTTCGACTTCGCTTTTCACTAACATCATGACTCCTCCGCTCGTTCGTCCCACAGCCCACCGTCGACGGACCTCTCACCCTTACCTCGTACCTCGGAGCCCTCGACGCCGCCTACTCGACCTACAAGACCAAGTACACCAAGCGATACTCGGCCGACGAGGCTGTCAACGGGCACGCTACCAACGGGGATGAGAACAAGGCCGTCAAGGTCGCCGTCGAGGCCGAGAGCTTCGACTACATCTTGTTCCACTCGTGAGTGCCATGTCGGGCGATGTTCAGTAGGAATGCACCGAGCTGATGGGCGGCCAATCGGGTTGATAGGCCGTACGGAAAGCTCGTCCAGAAGGGTCACGCTAGGTTGTTCTACAACGTGAGTCGTCGCTCCGGTGTGGCCGTTCTCTAGGGTATTCGAGACTGATGATCCCCTTCGTTGTCTTTTGCAGGACTTTGTCAAGAACCCCTCTTCCTCCCGTTTCGCCGACGTTCCTCAGGAACTCCTCCAGGTCGACCCCTTCAAGTCGCTGACTGACAAGACGGTGGAGAAGACCATGCTCGGAGTCGCCAAAGCTCACTACTCCAAGTCGGTCGAGCCCGGTATGGACTGCTGCAAGAGGTGCGGAAACATGTACACTGCCAGTTTGTACGGAGGTTTGGCTAGTTTGTTGAGCAACGTCAGCTCGGACGATCTGGTGAGTAGCCCGTCCTTTTCCTACGGCATTCGGCTCGGCTTCTGAGAGGGATTGGGATGCTGATCACGGGAACACCGTTTGTCTTGGCTTGGCACAGCAAGGACGCCGAGTAGGAATGTTCTCTTACGGATCCGGATGTGCCGCTTCTTTCTTTGCCCTCCGAGTGGCTGGAAGCACCAAGGAGATGGCCGACAAGATGCAGCTCAAGGAGAGGTTGGAGTCGATGAAGGTTGTGCCCTGCACCGAATACGTCTCGGCCATGAAGGTGAGTCCGGTGATCAAGTCGAGAGCATGTTGCCTTTTATCGAGTCAGCTGACGTTATTACACGCTCGTTTGTCAGCTCCGAGAGGAGAACCACAACGCCGTCGATTACACCCCCAGTGGATCGCTCGACAACCTCTGGGAGGGAGCTTACTACCTCGAAAAGATCGACTCTATGTACAGGCGTACTTACAAGGTCAAGGGTTCCGAGTGAACCGGCCTTGATTGAGATCAACTCCGGCTTTGGCTTAGTGTCGGCCAGCGAGGACGATTTGTGACGATACATGATGAGGATAGCGATTGAGGGGTTTCGGATTGTTTTTTCCCATGGTTTTCTATTCGGCCTTAGATGATGAGATGTGGCGTTTTACGATTTCCGTCTTTTCGCCTTGAAAGCCATTGGTGGCGTGGCTCACGTGCTGCGGAGACGGCGATAGGTGAAACGAGGTTGATCGCCCTTGATCCCTTGGATCCCTTGACCCTTCCTTGATCTGCTCGCGCTCGCGCGCGATGATCTAGATGAAGTGATCGGTCGAAGTCGGCACTTTTTATGGTTTCGAGCTTGACTCATCGCTCCCGTCTGATCGTACGTCTCGCATGGGTCATTTGGTGTATCGATGTCGGTCATTCAGTACGTCAGTACGCAGTACGAGACACGCTGATCGCTTTCCAGATCCAGGATTGCCTTTCTCGCTGTGACGAAAGCACGTTCGGGATTCGCGATCAGAGAAATGCATTGATCATCAAGGTTCAAAGTGGATCGGCTCGCGTAACCTGCCCGACGATCATCCTTGTCTCGCCCGAGCTGCTGATCCGCTTAGCAGTCCTCGTGGTTCCAGCTCTACCCTACAGGAGGCATGCAGTCCTTTCGATCACCCGATCACTCCACGTTTCCATCTGAAAATCCGTGTGATCGTTCCAAGAGAGCGTGATGAAACGCGCGACATCCGCTTTGATCCGAGCCGAGGGTCTTCTGGTTCTCGAACCTCCTTGCGAGTTTCCCGGTGTTTACTTCACGCTACCGACGATCATTCCGAGCTTGTTCGGTTGTGGCGTGGAAAGACGAAAAGATCACGAGCCGTGAGCCGTAGTGGGTCGCCGTTTGGAAGGACCTTTGCGGCTCCTTCCACAGGGATCTCGGCCGGTTGGCGAAAGGATCAATCATATCGCTCATCAGTCATTAGCCAATGGGACAGATAGCGAGGGAGATTCCTCAGCGTGTTGACAACGTTCGTGAGAGACGAAAGGTATATATGGTAGACCCTCTTTGATGCTTTCGTCCTGACGGGATTCTGTCCAGCCGTTTCTCACTGGATCCCTAATCTTGATCGTATACCCGGACCGCCTATCAAATCATGACGCTCAATTACCCGGAACTCTTCGTGCCTTCCCTACTATCCTTCGTCTTGGTTCTCTACGTGGTACCATGGCATCTGCGTATCAGAAACATCGCGACCTTGTCGATGTCCTTCTGGATGCTCGCGCTCAATCTGGTTCACATCATCAATCGTATGCATATGTTTGACATCATCCGGTTGGGCGATCTGGAACTGATCGATGCATTTGTTTAGCTCTTTTGTGGAATTCGACCAATGAACGGAAGGCGACCGTATACGGGGACATCTGTAAGTGCCGGCGAGCTAATGCTTCTGAGACCCCTATACTGACACTTCTCCCATACCCACCCTAGGCTGCGCCATCATCGTCGGCTACAACTTTGGCCTGCCGCTATCCCATCTCTTGCTAGCGCGTCAACTCGAAGCGCTCACCTCGCTCCGCACCCGTTCGGTCCTGTACGACGTCTCGCTGAAACGCCGGAACAAGATTGTTGACCTCGGGTTGTGTGGCGTTGTGCCCATCCTGGGGATACTCGTACACCTGACGCAGATGGATAGGAGGTACTGGATCGCTGAAGGATTCGGCGCTATGCCGAGCACCTATTGGGACGCATGGGGTGTGACTTGGATGGCCATCGTCCCGATTGTCATCGCGGTCGGCGCTCTGATCTACACAGGTGAGACATCCCTTCCATAATCGCAATACAATATCTGAACTCAAACCACTCCACTTCTACTAGTGATGGCTCTGGTCAACGTCTACTTGAGGCGAGCCAGGACGTTATCGATGGTCTCGGCGGACAGCCAGACTTCCAAGGACCAGTTCATCCGGCTATATGTGCTTAGTATCGCCGAGCTCGGCACCTGCCTGTGAATACCATCTCTTGCATAACACTATCGTTGTCACCATCTTTTGACTGACATCTCTTACGGTCCCATCCGACAGACTGCGAGCCTTCTTTAACATGAATTCGTACCACTCGGGACCTCAACCGTTCAACAAGGATGTCCACGAAGACAAGCACATCGACATGAAGACGATCGGGCACATTCCCAACGAGCTCGTTACGGGCAAGGTTCAGCGGACACTATACCTACAATGGTACACCGTCGTCGCCTGCAGTGTCGTATTCTTTTTCTGTTTTGCCACCGGTAAGCGCATAGCGTTTTTGGGTCATCGACCGTCTTGACTGATGTTGGGATTTCGATTTCGTAGGCGCTGAGACGACGAGGTTTTACAAGCGCATGTTGAGCAAAGTTTTGCCCTTTGTCGCGAATCCCGACCGTGCGGATATGAGTCATTTGTCGAGCAAGGGGTAATTCATTTCGAAGATCGACCCGCGCGGTACTTTATTCACTGACGAGGGGTTCTGGTATCCTGCAGGACCGGTACATTCGGGTCAGCGAAACCGTCGCAATTCTCGTCACAAGGTACCGTCTCGTCTAGCAAGGAACAAAAGGTCGATTACGACGGTACCTATCAGCTGGACTACATCAACTCACCCAGGACCCCTACTGCCGCCCATTACAAGGATTCCCCGCTCAGCCCTACCTACCACGACGGCGCGGAGATCCGAGGCCGGGTCGATAGCGAATCTGTCCCCTTCAACCAGCTTGGCCCGATCCAGAGTCGAACCGAGACGACCGGTGCTGATTCGGTCACTGAATCCAAGTTTGATGATATCGAAGCTCAGAAGTACTGGGATGATATCCTTAGTGCAAGGGCGAGGACGGTACGAATTGATAGCACCGGTGTCGATGAAGAGGGTACGGCGGTAGAGAAGCGCAAGAAGGACAGTTACTACAGCTCGCCGCTTGGTCAGAATGCTGCCTGATCCGACTAGAAAAGATAGGAAAATCAGGGTCTGGACCTCTGAAGTGTTGTAGATACACTTTGGGAAGGGTGGAAATCCGCGATGCGCGAAACACCATCGAAACAGGCTATTTCTACCATATTTGGCGTACTATCTAAAAACTGTTTGGCGCGGTCGAGACTTTGGTCAGAGACTGCATTTATGACGTGTTTATCAACTGCTAGATTTATTACGCTATTTCGGCGATCGTAAACTGTCGACAAACAGCTTGTAAACAATCAACAATGTTCGACCAGACTGAGATCAGATAGGATACGTTGTACCGACAAATAGATGGCAGACAACCGATAAATACAGTACAAATTCGCCCATATAATAGCCCCGGCCGCTACAAAACGTCCACATATTTCTCTAAGTCCCTCGGTCGACTCAAAGGACCCCATACCGACAAGACCAAAAGCTTCATTTCGACTCACCTGGTCAGTTCGTGGTGCCAGGACCACTGAGACAAAGCTCTATTACTTATTTGCCTGTCGTAGACCTCGATTCCGAAAAGTCGAGAGGACGGAGCAGCTGATCAAGAGTTGAGAGAGTCCGGGTGGTCGAAACAAGGTAAGCACGACGTCACTTTACGATAACAACGGTAGCAAGCTCACTGACCTAGCCACATTCCACGGACAGGAGTTACTGGGGGTGCAAGGTGAGTCGTTCTTGATCAGGGTGACGCTGTATGGATGTAGGCTCTGTATGAGATTGCTGATGAGCGGTTCATTCTTGTCGTTCAGATGACCGGCCCTGCCAGGACGAACTCGGGGTCCAGTGCATACAGTCCTTATGGCCGACGAACCGGTGGACGGGACCACACAGCCGCTCCAGCGTTCCAGTTCCCTCCGGCGTTTCTTCCATTGTCGACTGTACATGAACGCTCCTCGCCTGTTAGCACGCAACAGCAGTATCGTCCGGCTGCATCAGGACGTACCCGAGAACCATCCGCCAACCCTGAACAAAATCAAGCTCGTCCCCGATATTCCTCTGTGAATTATAACTCGTCTCCTCCGCCCAGCAGTCCATCTCCATCCACAGGACTCACCCTTCCCGACTCCTTTATACCTCAAGCCAGCGCTTTCTCCTCAGTCTCATCCTCTGTCCCTCGTGATCAACGTCAAACCTTGCAGCAACTTCAATCCCTCCAGGCTACCAACGAGATCTACGCCAGGGATATCCGTGCAATTGGGGAGCGACTAGTAGCGGCAGAAGCGTTGATCGAGGGGTTGGCTAAGCGGGTGACAGAGCAGGACGGGATCATTGGAGAAGGCGAAGAGACTATCAAGGATTTGAAAGCGAGAGTAGAGGAGCTCGAGGACGTGAAAGAGAGCAGCCAGTATGTTGAGGAGATGGGACATCAGGTCGAGCCGGGCGGAGAAGGACGACGCTGCTTGAAGATATTTATCAAGTCAGCGATCAAGGTCCTGCATGGATGCGAGGCTCCGGTACTTCCACCTCTTCCCGGCCAAACGATGCCGCTCCTCACGACAGCAAGCGGAGACTCCGGCTCAGTCGAAGCTATGAGGTGGGACTACACGAAGAAGTTCAGAGACAAGGCCAACGCTATCCAAACTCAGCGATTACTCGAGTTTGTGGAGAAGAGGCCGGGTGACGTACCTCTCCCCAACGACTGCCCTCGCGACAGCATTCCTGCCTATGACATCAACACCAACGTCTACGTCGACTGTATCCGGGAGGTCTTCACGGCCTATCGCAAATCACTCGCCAACGCCGTCTGTAAGACATGGGAATCTGAGACGAAGGAGCTGGTAGAGTCGGCGATCGCAACGCTAGAGACATCTTTGGCCGGGCCCGATCCAAGTGGTGACCCTGGGGATGTGACGAGATGGAAGGCTTATGTCAGCGAGATCAATAAGATGATTGCGGCGGAGCAGACAGATGAGAAGGGGAACGTTCGTTCAAAACTTGTTGTGGTAAGTACCACCGCTACCTGCCTTACCAGAATCCTTTGGCTGATCTGATGGCGAGTATCAGCTTGCTAGACAAATCAAAGGGAAACGTATGCACACACGCTTTCACGGACCGGAGTACGCCTCTCTCGATGAGATTCACGGTCTGCCTGCTCCCATTCCGGTGAAGAGCGCGGAGGGAGCGAGAGAGTGGTATTGGCCTGACATGCCAAGCGTTTTCTCGGCAGAGGTAAGATTTCATAAGGCAGCATGCCCATCGAACCCTTCTCACTGATGCCGACCTCATCCGTATAGTACGGCGCTGTGTTTGACGAGATCTATGGGACTCGGGACCCGTTAGTGAAGAACCAGACCGAGATCGCTACGGAATCGCCCGCCGACTTTACCTTCCCGACCTATCAACATTACTTTGCGACTACTGCTCCGAAGCTCCACGAGAACCCCCAACGCTGGATGTTCCGCCGGGAGTGGTTGGCCACCGTACCTCACGATATTCAGGAGCTGCGTATCGTCCCCGTAGACCAGCCTATGAGCCCGGACGATGTCAAGCAGACGCCATGGTATCTCAACCACCCTCAGCGGCTGGGAAGAAGCGTCACGGCGGCGTCATCCAAAAAGAAGGGGAAAGCGAGCGGGAAGAAGCCAGCTGTGAAGATTGCCGCCTCCCCGGCTCCGTTTGCTAGATCTTCCCAGGCATCCGTGGAACCACTTAGCGGCCCTTCGCAATCCCAGGCTGGATCCTCGACTGAGGTAGAGTCTCAGATCTCGGCGCCCAAGGAGACCACACGGATCATGAAAGGACGCACTGGCGCCGCGTCGAGCTCCGTGACTCCGCGATCGGGCCTCGCTGGGTATTCCCAACCTGCCTCGCAGTCTAGTCAGACCCCTTTCGTCGCTAGGCAGCCGCAAATCACCGACCATCTATACCAGACTCGCCCTTCCGTCGCAGGGTCTGTTTCAGGGAGCAGCCAAAGCAAGCACAGTCAGCAAATGGTGCTGGATCCTACGCTGGGTGGATCGACCTACAACAGACACAGTCTGCGCAGCTCAACCCAAGAACCGACTCACAGCAACCCCTCGCATTTCGGACATCATTCAACCGGCTTCGTTCCACCCATGCGAGTCGAAGCGTCGGCTGCAACTACAAGCTTCCCTGGAGGATCGAACGCAGGGTTGCAGACCACTCTCTATCAAGGCTCACCAGGTCTAGGCCGCACTTCAGACCCGAACGTCGGCGGGTCAGCGGTAGGATCAGGCAGCCAGGAGTCGATACGAGAATACGATACCCCGGTCGACACGCGGTACCGCTACCCTTCCGATTCTCCTGGAAACGGCCTCTGCTAAGCAGAACGATCGGACGACACAATCATCTATTTTCAATTTCAACTTCAGCATTGCGAACGGCAACCTCTTCATTTTCACGACAACTTACGACATTTAGATGCAGCCTCGGCATCACAACGGATCGAGTTAGTATGTACAACAGGTATGGTCAGGAGGGTCCCATGGTTTGTATCCCACCGCTTGCAGCGCAGAGTCGCCAAGCCCAGCATGTCACGCTAGTCAGCCTCGAATTCAGGCTCATGTCCGTCCTATAAGGGCAAGATGTAGATCAGCTACATTCAATCACATTCATCATGCATATGTCGAAGTTTGCTTGCCTTGTCGCACGACATCGATACCAGGCATTCGTCACCCGCCGTTTGAATAAGACTGACAGTGGTCGCGGCACGCAGGTTGGTCACGGGTACAAATGCCCGGGTTGTGACCTTGTTCTTATATATCCGGACCCCGAGGTCGATCTCTCTGCAGTAGGTCTCGACTTCAGTGGGTGGACATGCTTCAAAGGTATCGCCCAGCCAGTAGCTCACCGGTGTTGCCACGGAAACTCTGAGCTTTCTTGTGGTTCAAAGAAGTCGACCAACGCCAACACCTGAACCAATTTCTCTGTTGTGTGTCGCAGGGATAGCACGATATGCAGATACAGCTGGATCCTGCCGAGATGGCTGACGCCGGTCTGTTGATCGGTGATCACGAGAGCATGCCGGTCCCTCTGTGATCGACCATAGAGGCATGACCCAAATCTGCATGAACATAGCCGATGAGCTGCCCGGCTACTGGCAATCACGGACGCAAGCACTCACTTGTAGCCGTGGCAGAAGACGTGAGTGTACAGTCGGTAGCATGAGCCCCATTTGGGCAACGAAGGACCATCGTCGTCGAGATTCGCTTCATCCCTAAATTGGTATTCAGGGAGGTTTCTTTGCATGTATTGGAGGAGCGGCAGATATATGCCCTTCCGACCAAGGTCGACGATCTGGTTGGGCTGAAATGGGTTCGGTAACTTGAACCGACTCGCTTGACCCCGGGCCTCCTGTAACATGAGAGTCCCCTGGAGCGCCAGCTTGAATTGCCGGAGGGCTTCTAAGGATAACAGCTCTGCGACCCCAGCGTTTGGAGCCGGATTGTTGATGATGGCGGCTAAGCGTGCTTCTCTCACCCAAGCTCTAAGCAGGGTGGTCGGCATATCGACTTTGCCGTTATGTTTCACATTCGAGAGGTCTCCATTGTGCCGTTCGAAAGCCCAGCATCCGAAGCCGGCAACGGGTCCATAGAGTTGAATGAACCTCGCATAGTGCATCGCAATATGCCAGTTGATCGTAAGATGGCCGTTCAGCGATAGCACTGTGCGAGCCGCGTTTGCAATATCCTATCGGGCAAGGTGGGGTAAGATGAGGATCAAGTGTGACTGCAGGGTGGACGGACGGGTACCCACCTCTACCGCAGCCTCTGCATCGTCAACAGATATGTTGTGTGAATGCAGAAGGCGGAGTCCAGCCGAGAGTGCCAACGCTGCTTGATACCACCGGGATCGATTCAAAATGAGAGCCCCAGAGCTATCTTCTTTGCCCGTCGGATCGGCTGCTTCGGCATCATCTCCATCGGAACGCATACTCTTCCTGGAGCCACACGACGATGTAGACCCTGCGACCGAAACGCTGCGTTGGCGACGACCTCGACTGCTCGACCGACGATTGCTGTCCCGCCCAATAGACTTCCTACGACCTCTACCGCGGGATCCTTTCTGTCGACCTCGCACGGGAACTTCCTCAAGGTCTTCTTCTGGATCCAACGTCGAATCCGAGATGGTATTGGTGCCCTCGTCCCGCCAAGCAACGTAAAGTGCGATCGGCAGCATTTCGATCACCCGGCGCCATTGATCGGCCTTGAGGCCGGAACCGATGTGCGTCCTCTCTCCCACGCTTTGACGGACCAGCTGGCCGATTGCATAGGTCGGAAGCCTACCCAGGTGACCGGGGTAGTCTGCCTCTTCGAAGAACGATTTGAAGACGTCGATCCGAGCTTCTCCCTCGATAGATCCCTCGAACAAGTCGCTCTTGAGCAACATATTCATGAACGATTTTACTAGGCCGAGGAAAGAGTTGTGAAGAGGGTCGGTGGGTGCGGAGTCTGACGGCTCAAATCCGCAAAGGCGTGACAGGGCAGAGAACCTGATACCGTATTCTTGCTCGATCTCGAACCGGCGACCCGGTGTAGCACGCTCGTATTCGAATCCCGCTTGAAGGCTGGTGGCCGCGGTTCCGGGCTTTTTGGGCAAAGATCGCCATGTGTATCCCTCGAGACTGTTGACCTGATCCAACGTGATCCCGCAGTGAGGGCAGGGATGAGCTTTGTGACTCAGTCCCATGCTGCCTGTCATCTTGCGCGCAGCCGGAAGATCGCAGGAGATCAACAGGAGACGGGCGGTGATGTAGGCGTTGGGGCAGGTCGGGAGATCGATCCTGAATCCTCTTTCGCAAAGTTGAAGATCCCGGACGATGGGTTCAATGGCCTGTCGAGGAGGAGAGTCAGCACGCCACCGATGAATGGCAGTCGAGCGCTTTGAAGCTGTACCTTATTGAATAACAGGCCTGGTGGTTCTTTCGGACCTGGAATAACCCCTAAAACGGCGGTATAGCGTTTTTTGTACCTCATTGTGATAGGCAGGTTGGCGATCGAGGCGTAGACGACGCCTACGGACGATCCGATAACACCCTTGACGGCAAACCTTTGGAAACGGTGGAGAAGGTGAGCACGAGCCACTGATGCGAAGCATGCAAAGCATAACCAGAACTTACCAGTCGCAGTTCAGTATAATCTGCAGGCCATGGTGCTGTCCAACGTGCCGGTAATCTTCATCATAAGGAACCTCGTCGTATACCCGATCATCCTCTCCCACCCGCCTCGTCTCCGCGACTCGAGCATATCGCCATGCCGATCCGTCTGAGATGTTACTCATCGGCTCGGTCGGATGAAGGAATGGGGCGTCTTTGTCTGTGGCCATTGCTCGATGTGGTTCGACTATATCATGGTTCGGCCGAGCTTCCCGCCATGTTTGTAGATTCTCGATGACGTCTCGATCTTGGAGTAGGAGTGCGAGGGAGATGGAGAGGGACATCGTGGGCATGACCTTGATCGGCCGACGGATGTCGTTATTTAGTCGGTAGAGATCGGTTCCACAATCAACGCATGCCGGGGATTCGAGCTGGTAGAGTTCAGATATGGCCAGCATGAGCCAGCAATTGTTGTTAGGGCAGACGATCCATTGACTGATGTAATCGTCCGGGAGGACGCCGAGACGCGATTGCGCTGTGCGAACGTTGTACGTTTTCTCGTCGATCTCCTCGTTCAAGCATACTTCCGCTAAGCTTGTCATCTGCTGCAATATGACGTTGGCGGGTACGTTCGGGAGCCCTGTAGCTTTTCCATAAGCGATGGCCGTATATATCTGTCTGAGATGCTCCGGAAGGTGGTGGTGTTTCTGTAAGTTCTCGATGTCGATACGGACACTCTGGCCTGTAGGGTGATCTGGGTCGGGCTCCAAACTGTAATGCTGAGCGATGGGATCGCCTGGAGGAAACGGCCAGGGTATGTCGTCAGGAACAGGCTGATTGTAGGGCTCCGGTGCCGGCGACATTGACGGGTGAGGTGGATAGTCGTCGTTGTATGCACTGTCTCCGTCGTCATCGTTATCGGCCAGTTCCATCCAGTCGTGCCCTGCCTCCAATTCGTCGTTGTATTGAACGGGTGGGGGAGCCTGCGGAGGAGACTCCCGGTCATGAAGAAGAGGTAGAGGGTTTGGCTGAGAGTCGTCAATTCCGACTTCAAAGTCAACGCTCGGCGGGATCTGCGGGAGCATTGACTGAACCGGACTGGCTGGGTTTGACTGATGAGAGGGCTGAGGTGGTAGGTAAGACGATCCTGGAGGATTATGTCGAGACCAAGTGACATAGGCGACGGACTTGTAGCCGGCCGCTGTAGTAGAGCATTGCGGACAGTAACACAGTCGCTGCAAGTCGAACTGTCAGTGGGGTAAGGGCACCGTCGTACGCAGTCATGCTTACATTTGGTCGCATTGTAGACTACCGGATCAAGGCCCTCCTGCCTGGGATGTAGGGCCCGGTTGCAGGCGATGCCTGTGATTAACTGGAAGACCGTATAAGTTCACGAGGACGCTCAACGGCGACGACGGCACGGCTGGCTCTTTGGCTGGTACGAAGGCTATGGCAATGGATATGTATATCGTTCCACGGTCTTTGGGTCGTGCATGAGTACAGGGTGAAGGTGAACGTCTCGATCTCGATATAGGTGGTTGGATCATGCAATCATGATCGAAGACGACGTAGGAGGTCAAGGATACGGTGGCGAACCTCCTGCCGCTTTGGGACATGGGATATCCAAGGTCTAGTCGTCGCAACTGGAGGTAGATAGCTTCAGAATAGGTCGACTAGGTAATCCCTCGATAATCGCACATCGTAAACACCAAATAAATTAATACACGTCATTGTCTTGTATCTGCCTCATGTTTGCCATTTTCGGCCAGTTCTAAGTCAAAACACCTTACAAATAGCCTGTTTAGGACCTGACATACACCGTTTAGATTTCCACACGTCCCCCAGTGGTAGATATAATGATCGAGAAATCTAGGATATCCGTGGCCAAATCCTTGCCCGGGATTGACTGGGTCCGCTTGCCGATCGGCATTGTCAGATCGAATATTCACTATGAGCGAGATCTCTACCCAAGCTCAAGTTCATGTCGGGATGGACAACATCACACCTCTAGCTTCTAGCTTTTCGGTACTATATAAGTCACATGCAACACTTCTCATACGTATAGCTTATTGCATAGTTGCATCCCAAATCCCCCTTCAAGATGATGTGTCTCAGGAATTTCCTCCTGTTTCTCATCGTCCTACCGTTCTCTGCGGCGTCGCCTCTATTCATGTTCACCTTTATCACCACAATGTGGCTAAAGCTGAGACCGTGCCTTTACTGTACAGCCGTGGTGAGTACCGTTGAATCTATATTGCAATGATATCAATGAGTAGTTCTAACTCATCGTGACGCCGCATCACTCCAGCTTGTCATCTTCTTCTTTGCGGTCTCGACACCCTCGTACCTCTCGCTCTCATTCCCCGAAGACCCGTACCGACATCCCTCATCTCGGCCGTACATTGTCGACGAGAATTCAACTCTCCTCGAGCAAGCCTTCAAAGGCAACGAGACCGCCTTTCTGTATTCGGCACCTGCTACAAACCGAAGCTGGGTCGATCTGAACTACGGTCGGCTGCTGTGGCCAAAGCTGGAAGGTTATCGTCTACTAGACAGCAAGCCTAGCGAGAAGAAAGGAAGTTTCAAAACGTCGTCAGCTATCAAGGCCGTTCTGCAGGAGCAGGAACAGGAGCACAATCCTCTGGCCTCGCGAACTGAGGAAGTCGAGCCCCGAGAGCCGGCCGCTCCTCACGTTTCCTCGTCTTCGGCTACGGTGGAAGCTACCCAAAAGCCCAGGCGAGGGTGGTTCGACTGGTCAAAGACTAGCTTTCTGGAGAAAGGAACTGTTCACGTTGAAGAAAGGAGGGCTAAGCCGGCTAGCTCAGCACATGTCGCCGACCCAGAACCTCCTGCCGAGCCTGAATCCACAGGCTACTATCGTGATGAATACGAGGAGGACTTCGCCGAATCGTCGCACCGAGACTTCGATGACGAGCCGACCATCAATCATCGTCTTCCTTGGTATGCCTACATTATGCACCCCTCGCAAATACCTTCTCGTTACGACTTGAGGGTCAATGGCGTGGGGTTCGTGCTCGACCTTGGTATGAGCAGAAATGAGCAGGCTGTCAAGCAAGAGGTCCGGGAATGGAAAGCTTGGGAGGCGGAAAAGAAAAGGCGAAAGAGCGAGAAGGCGGTGGGAGCTCGACGAGACGCCGGCTTGCAATCGGGGCAAGCTGGTCCAAAGGAAGAGCTATGAGTGTTCTGGTCATGATAAGTGAAACGACCCTTGACGACCTGCAAAGTGTATCCATTCCATCTATCTTATACATCACTGAAATGCAATCTATCGAATCGTTCGTAGCTGTCCATCTTGTCGGCTGCATCACGCCGGGTTTTGCAACTCAAATTTGCCGAAGACTTGTCTTCCGGCTCGCCAGGTTGACAATAGTTCCCCGGTTTCCTTGTCCCACACGGTCAGATCAGCATCGAAGCCAACCTTGAGGGCGCCTTTCGATTGGACGACCGAGCCACCTAGACACTTTGCGGGATTTCGACTCGCACAGTGGATGGCTTTTGACAAGGGAATTCCGCAGAACTTGGCCAGGTTCCTGACGCACTTGTCCAGCGGTACAGCGGCACCAGCGAGAGTATCCGTATCGGTCAGGGTAATCGAGTCCCCTTTCTTGGTTACGGTATGGTCTTGAGACCGCCAAGGATACACCCCATCCGGGAGATTCGGGTCCATCCAAGAGACAGCTATACTAAACAGCATCAGCAAGCAGTCGGAAATTGGTTGGAGAGAAAGGCTTACCATCGGTAACGACGATACACCCGTGAGGATGCGCTTGGTAGGCGAGATTGACAGCGAAGGGGTGGACATGCAAGCCGTCGGCGATGCAACTCCAGAAAGGTCGCTGGAAGGGTCTTGGATTCTGATTATTCGTCTCGGGAGTCTCCGTCTCGGTGAACGGTAGCGGAGACTTGTTATCGGCAAGGCTTTCAATTTTGCTCAGTACCTGGGAGGCTGCGGGAGTTGGCAAAGCGGACTGAAGCGTTTGAGAAGGATGCTTTCCGTCGACGTTTTCGTGACTATCTGGACCTGCACCAAGAAGACCGATGATGCCAGGCTCGCGGTGATCTGGAATGGGCAATTTAAGTCACTATCACTGGACGAGACAATCGGCTCTCGCTGTCACTTACGGAAAGCGGGCATGGCGTTGAAGAGATGAGTGATCAAGGAAGCGCCGGAAGCAACGGCTTGGGCAGCTTGTTGGGTGTTAGCCCCGCTGCGAGGGAGCCGTACGTCAGTATGCGATACACTAACGTCAAATAGCACGCGCGACATACGAATGACCGATGCTGATTGTGAGACCCTCCTCAACTAGTCGCGGGATGCAGGCCATAACACCCAGAACTTCGGGCGCTAAGGTGATGATCTTGGCCAGCTTGAATTCCTCTGCAGGCTCGACAATCGTTTGACCGTAGGTCCCGATCAAAGACCGCCACCCCTCAGAAGCGTCCCTGGCATTGTCAGCGGGGTGGCAGCCAATCTTCGAAGGGGCCAGGAATGGACCCTCAAGGTGGTAACCGATCACTGCAGCACCAGTGGTAAGGGAGTCGACCGCATGATGATGAAGGGCTGGAATGATCTGCTCGTACATATCAGGCGTTTGAGACTGTGGCAAAGCGTCTCCCCAGTAAGTGCGCAGCCCATAGTCAGTCGGTCCAAGCATGTCCGCTTACGATAACCGTTGGCAAGTAAGCCGTAACTCCGGTTGCTGCCAGCCTGGTCGAAACCGTCTCCACCTTGCTGATATAGTCTTCTTCCTCGCCCGGCCAATGTGAAAAGTCGATACCATAAGCGCCGTTGATCTGGATATCGATCAACCCTGGTGCCAAGACTTGGCCCTGGAGATCAATCGTAGGAGCTGCAGCAAGTGCTTCTTCCCTGATAGAAGGATCCTGGCCAGAATCCGATGCGAAGCGATTGGCCGCGCTTGGATCGTCCAGAACCACGCGCGCGATGGTTCTCAAAAGCCTATCTACCCAGATGGATGCGGTGCAGGTCGTCAAGTCGCCGCTGTCAGGCTCGATGAGGTAACAGTTGGCGAACCTGATCAATCGGCCGTCAATATGGAGGTAATCGTTGTGGACCATATTGGATTTCTCGAGCTCTATCAAGATCTGAGAAATGAGCCACAACCAAGCGGTGGAATCGGCGGGAATTGTCGTGAGTCGAATGCACTTATACGTGATCCAGACGGCTGGAAAGCACGTTCGACTGCGATAACAAACCTTGCTTCTCCGTTGTCAGAGCACGACATCACAAAGGAAGACCTCTGCAAGGTTCTCGCGAATCGCACAGCCCCCATGTTGCGGCGGAGCGATGTATTCCCGTTGAAAGGATTCGCCAACACATATAGTCAGGAGGTGCAGGACGCTAAGAGCTGAGACGATACGTGCCCGAAGATCGCTCTCTACACCACTGCCGCAGACAATTCACTAACCATGCAGATCTCCATCCAGTGAGCGCTCTTTACGGCTCGCAGTATCTCTTGTGGCTGAAGTCATATCGCAGACCCGACCCAGACAATGCGTGTCAACATGCGGCACAGCTCATCGTTCAGGCCATCAAGAAGCACCTCGCCACCGATCAGCGTCCGTTCGTGCTAGGATTGCCTACAGGCGGTTCGCCTCTGGGTGTCTATGAACAGTTGGTTAGACTCTACAAGGCCGGCGAGATCAGCTTCAAGGCGAGTTTCTGAGAACGTACAAAGTCCGCTGCCGATTACTGAACCATCGCTCCGAATGCAGAACGTCGTGACATTCAACATGGACGAATACCTGGGACTGAAGCCGACGCATCCTCAAAGCTATCATCATTATATGCACGAGAATTGTAAGCTCCTCGCGCTTTACCCATGAATCGCAGCATCGGTGACTGATCTCGATTCATGGCAGTCTTCAATCGTGGTACGTAGCAGCGTATATCTCATACCGCACGCAGCATTTTGACATCTCCTCCCGCCAGTCGACATTCCGGCAGACAACATCAACCTCTTCAAAGGCGATACTGAGACCCCAGACGAAGACTGCCAAGCGTACGAAGCTAAGATGCTCTCATACGGAGGTGTCGACCTGTTCCTCGGTGGGATGGGTGAGAACGGTCATATCGCCTTCAACGAGAGCGGGACGGGCTTCGGGAGTCGGACTCGGGTGGTCGATTTGGCTGAAGCTACTCGGCAGGTCAATGTATGTCTTTGATCGAGCTTGACGTACTAGCCGTAAGCTGACTGGGATTGGCACTTGGTCCATCAGGCGAGGTTCTTCCAAAATAGCGACGAGGTACCCAAACAAGCTTTGAGTATCGGGACTGCCACGCTTCTCGCTGCCAAACGAATCAGTAAGTTTTCCCGTCCCTTTCAAGATCTCGCAAAAACAATTAAGTTTCTTAATATCTCTGTAGTCCTCATCGTCACGGGCTTCAAGAAGGCTTCAGCTATGAAGTCCACCATCGAAGGAGGTTTGAACCATCTCTGTCCGGCTTCCGCTCTTCAGCTTCATGCGGATGCTACGATCGTTTGCGACAAGGCTGCTGTAGCTGAACTGGAACCGTTGACCGTGGCGCTGTTCAACCGGGGCTGAAATTCGAGATGGGAAGACCGCTGTGATCTTGTGTAGTTGTCGGGGAATGTGCTCGTACTACATGACAAGGGACATACTGCAAATGCGTAATGGAGATTCGTGTATGAGGTGAAAGCTTTCGTCTCAGTTTCGTTGGTGTGTCGTGCTCTTTTGGCTTTTTTTGAACGAGGTCACAGTCTAGTCTCTGCGTGGGCTTGTCGGACGAAGGTGTTGGCAGATTCCAGGTGCTGATGCAGTGCATCCGTCATTCGGCGAGGCTGATCCGCAATCGGAAACAGGACGTCAGAAGAAACCCGCCTCGCCCGCTCCATATCGACGAAGCAGCTTACCACGAGGATTGCCCTTTCTCTCATCCGCTCCCGGCCCCTCCATACGCACACGAGAGATAAACCCACAAGCCAAATGCCGACTCCCTCTTCCCCGTACCCAGTAAGATCTCCCTTGCTTTCTGCCTAGTCTTCAACATCTTATCCAAAGCTTCATCGCCGAGCTTGCTCATGATCATCCGCTTAGCCTGCGCAAATGGACAGGATGGGCGAGGAAATCGGTTAGGGATTGGTCAAACAAGTAAGGCATAAGTAGAGTATGTTCTCACCTGCTCGTCTCGTTTCACCCAGGCGAGAAACTCCGCTTCAGGAAGAACACAGTGAAGTCCAGTAGTCACGTGGGAGAGGAGGTTGGCGGCATCCAAGGCTATAGTCATACGGGTAGCCCAGAGGTGGTAGTTCTCCACAGGGGTGGTGAAAGAGAGATAGTGGGGAACCAAAAGGTGTTCGTCGATCTGATGAGTTTGCGATAGGCTTCCATAAGGGGCATTCGAGTCTGGAGGAGAAGGTACGCCGGCGTCTGAGTAGGAAGGTTGATAGTGGTTCTGGAGGTGATAGGCCGACATGGCCGGAGGTTTCGAGTCCATATGCCGCGTAGGCGAGGAAGGGACGCTTGTACTATGTGCTAGAGGAGGAGGTCTCTAGTCGTTTAATGTACAAAATTGCGTATGTTGTTGTGACCTTGTGAGCGAGGTTTAGTAAACGTGACAGTGGTGACATGGTAGACAGAGTATATTGTCGGATCGATCGAACCTCCGAAATCAACAACAACAAAGAGAAAGAGAAATGGAAAAGTGATCGGTTCCGCCCTCGTGGTCGCTGTGAAGTTGATGGATGACGAACAAACGAGATCAAAGGACCCAAAGGAACCCTCGCTTCCATCAGAGGAAGGGGGAAAGAACAATCGGGTCCGATGAAAAGATCCGTCCTTTGGCTTTTTTCGCGCGCGTGTTTCAGATTTCGACAGGCCGACGCCCACCAAGGCAAGACTCGCTCCGCGATCGGAGAACCCGAAACAGGTCACTCTGTCTGTGCAAATCTGATGATTATGATGATATTGCTGCAGCACCGGACGACCTCTACAAGGGCTCTCTACACACCATACAACGAGCGTCTTTGACGAGCCAGTTGACCACACACCGTTGATGCCCGAGATGACTGCACTTTGGCATCATCGCCATGATATCCCCCGCTCGGAATTGACTGAGACAGATCGAGCACTTGTGTACCCGGATACCGAGCGCAGTCAGCTTGAGCTTGCTCTTGCCCTCCTTGGTCATGCGCCGGCTCTCGATCTCCACGGGCGCGAGCATGAGGTTGGCGAGACTGTCGGGGGATGCACCGCGAGCGATCTCCTCGCCAACGAACGAGGTGATGGCGTTCATGCCCTGTTACGAGAAAGGAAAATTAGGATTACGATTTATTGCCATAGCACCGCGATCCGCAAGAGATCAGCTCACCTCGTATTCACGATCGGTACCTTGCAATTGCGCAGCGACAAGATCCAGATCCGTATACTCGAGCCCAGGACTCCGAGCAGCGGTCGCCTCTGCTGTTGCCTCCGGCTGGATGTTACCTGGAGTGGATATTGGCCTCGCTTCGTTGACTCGAGCCTTGGCCGAGCGGTGGGTGCGGTTCGAGACGACCCGTTGTCTGGGTTCTTCCACCGGAGCAGGTGGAGTCTGCGACTTCTCTGCTTCGCCAGGCGGTGAGGGAGTGGCTTTGACAGCTTGTCGATCCGCGACTGGACTCGGGGTCGAATCGACCTGATCCTCGGTATCCTTGACAAAATTGGGCATCGATTTGGATCTAGCAAAGCCATTCGAGGGGGCTTGCTGATCGATCACCTCCGCTTCCTCATCGTCCTCCGGCTCCCAAGTCTCGGGTGGATCCGGTCTGATCGCAGCCAACCGCCACTTATTGATCCGATTCGACAATTGCGATTTGAGCTCTTGCTCCGGTCGATCGTCGTACCGAGGTTTGATGGCAAGTCGAGCGTTCGGCTTGGGCTTACGTTCTGCTGGGCTGGTCACATGGTGTGTGGCCTTTGGACGTGTTGGAGCAGGCAACCCACCACTAACACGAAGCGGTTTAGACTGGGGGAAGACGACAGGCACACCAGGTGACAGCTTGGGTGAGGCTTCCTGTCTGGAAGCCTCCATATTATTCGCGATCGCAAGTGGACGTAATCCGGCACCTGCAGAGCGGGTTCGCGGGCGATCGCCCTCTTGGTTGATGGGCTTGTTAAAGTACCCCGAGATAGCCGAAGGGGTTCGATCACCGGCGGTAGGTCTCGTCGAAGAAGGCAGACCCGGAGTAGTCGGCTGCGACATGTTGGGCGTCTCGGTCTTGCCCGCGGATTTTCGTCTCGGCATCGGCGCCGCTGGCACAACCTTTGCAACCGGTGCAACTTCGGCTTTTGTTGATTCGACAACTACAGGTTGATTTAACGGAACAGGCTCTGAGGGCTTTACGACGACGTCCTGTACGAGCGATGGTGGCGTAGGCGCAGTCGCTGGAGCCACGATGGGATCGCTCGTCATGGGGCGAGTCCTGGCTGGCAACGGTGGAGGCGCGCCCCGTTGTCGCGGACCGTTCGGCTTCGGACGGTTTTCACGGTTCCGTCGTGGCAGAGGAGGAGGCTCGTTTGCAGCCCGCAAGACATTGGCAGGAATACCTCGAGGAGGTAGCAACCGGTAAGCTGCTGGAGGCCTCGCCACCGCATCGGATACGCTCCATCCATCGCTGCTCGTCTCACTATCAGAGTCTTCCGTACTCTCGGATTCGCCAAGGCTGGACTCCGACGAGGACGAGGCTGGTTGCCGAGCGCTTGCCAGAACCGGAGGCGGGAAAGCTGAAGCAACGGGCCTGCGAGCAGGTATAGCTGGAGCGGGTTTACGTTGCGCCGCCGTCTCTCGCGGTTGAACCGCTTGTACTTCAGCGGCCGGCTGCTCTTCTTGCTTGACCGGTTCGGATACCATCTCCCAGTCCTCACCCACTTTCGCCAAAGGTGGACTGGCGATCGGAGGGGATCTCGGTTCCTCCTCAGCGGGAGACTCCAGAGGCCGTGATTCATCCATGACATACGCCTTGGGATCCTGCCAGATCGGGGCAGCGTTTTGCATCCAAGCCGGTTTTACAGCACGGTTGAAGGGGTGCTTGTAGACGACCGCAGGCTGACTCGGAGTGGATGTGGTTTTGACCGTGGACGTCGATACCTGACGGTTCCATAATGGCATCGCAACTGGCGCAGGGGCAATCTCTGGAACGGATTGCTGTGGGACATGTTCCGTTTCGTCCTTCTTCGGCTCCAGACCAAGATTCGGTTTCAGGAAATGACTTGCAGCTCGGAAGAATGGCGACTTCGATAAGCCCGTCTCTTTCGGCGATGGAGCCTCCTCTTCTTGAATTCCGGGGCTTGAGCTGGGTTCGGCCGACTTTTCTGCCTCGGGTTTCTTGTTCGAGGTGGAGGTCTGACGGAACAACGCCCAAGGGTTCGAGATCTTTCTTCCCGATCGTCGTTTCGAGAACAACGGCGGAAGCGAGTTTTTCCTCGTAACGCCTAGCGACTTGGTCGTCTGGTCAGCTGTAGCAACGACGTCCTTTTCGGGCACAGCCGGTGGCGTGGTCATGGACTCGGGTTCTTCCTGTGTCACGGGCAGATCCAGTACACCTGGCACGACCTCGAGTTGACCGTCCGGGCCCTCGGAGATTCCTTCGAGGAACCTAGATCCGTGCATATTCGGGCTCGTAGCGAGCGCGTCCTTGTCTTCCTTTGCAGCCTGTACGGTCACGGTCGAAACGGGCGACAGCGCGTGCGTGGGAGCTTTGGGTGTCGAGGGCGAATGCGATCGTACCGTTTCGCCGCCGACGTCAACCACGAGAGCGGGAACCTCGGTCTCTGTTCCCCCATCTTGTTCTTCGACGGGGGTGCCGACAAGTTCATCGAGATCGACTCCGGCCATGGCCAACTCTTGAGTCACAAACCCTGAAGGCTTGGAACCCTCCCCGTTCTGATCCAAGTCGACTTCTTGCGAATTACCTCTGATAGTCGATGCGACAGGCAAGGCTTCATCCTCTTCGTCAAACGGCTCCCGCACGCTCCTAGCCAGATTGGTTGACATCGAAGACGCACGAGACAACCCGGGTCCTGGTATCGGCTCGCCCAGCCCCAGATCGGTCGCATCGTAATAGACCGCTCGCCCCTTCCCCTTTTGTTCTCGAGAAAACCTCAAATCCTCCTCATCCACCACCTGCCCGTCTCCCCGATCCAAAACCGAGTCACTTTCGAAATCAGCAGCCTGCTCAGCCTCACCTTGACTCTGACCCCAATGTTGCATCCTCTCTATCCGCTCCCTTTCGCGCCCGATCATCTCGTCCAGATCCTTGCCCTGTTCCCTGGCTCGTTCCCAGCGTTCCCGATCTTCACGTCGTCTTCTCTGCCGAGGCGTCTCGTTTCGAATCCTGGCCCGTCGAACCGTCGATACCGTTGAAGGCGAAGGTGGAATCTCTCCTTCATCCTCATCCTCGTCTGCCGGGGAGGCTTGCTGAGTCAGAGCAGACTGCTGAGGAGATCCATTTGGTGTAGTTCCGCGGGTAGCGAACTCGAAGGAAGGAGGTGGGCTTCGTCGCCCCTCGTGTCCCTCCAAGACGACGCTACCGAAAGCCGGTGGCAATCTCCCTGTACTCGGTGTCGGATAAGGAAATGGCGGAGGAGGCGGTTCGTGTAACGCTTGCTGGGCATCGTGATTCTGCTCGTTGTTGTTTTCGGGATTCTCTTGCGATTCGTCCGCCTCGGGAATCGTTGGAGAGTCCAGGTTAGCAAACTCTGGTACGTCTACAAACCAATTTCCATTGCAATCCGGGTCAGCCTATTTTTTGTCGGCGGAAGACACAGAATCAAACGAGCTCACCATCCCAGACGTTCCTCCTCCTCATACTCGCTCTCCTCCCTATCCTATCCGACGCAGCCCCACCCAGCCCTTCCTCCATGTTCCCTGCAATCGCACTTCTCATCGTCCTCCGCCGTCTCCTCCTCGTCTCCTGCCTCTGTTGGTGCAAGAGCGCTTCGTCCTCTTCAATCGTCACCGTCGCGACCGCATTGGTCGCTGCGAGTGCAGGTTGTTGATTCCCAGGGGGACGAGCGGTAAGTTCAGAACCAGCTACTCTATCCCGATCTTCCTCTCCAGCCGGTTCTCCGGTTTCGAGAGGCACCTCTCTCCGTCTCTTCTTCTTCTTCTTTCTCGGCCTTTCGCCTCCCGCCGCTTCTTCCCCGGCGTTGGCATTCACATCCTGGTTTCCATTAGCCACGGGACTAGTTCCGAGGAGTACCATCTCCTTGAACCTCTCCGCCTCGGACTTCGAGTTCCCATTGTTCTTCTCCCAGAGCGGTTCGGGGATGGGTGCAAATTTCGGAGGTTGTTGCATCTGAGGCATCTGGATGGGAGGAGGTTTCGGTAACATCGAAGGGAGGAGCAAGACGGGCGCGGGAGGTGCAGGATTGGCGCTCGTATTCGTCGTCGTTGTCGTCAACGGCAAGGAATCTCCAGCCCCCAAACCGATATCCGCAACCGGATTGACTCCTCCATTCAGTCCTCCTCCGCCTCCAGACCGACTCGACCCTCGATGAGGCATCCCTGGCGCTTTTGCCAAGTACATCCCCCCTGCCTTTTGCGGTAATGGCGTGGTAAACGGGTTAGGCACCTGCTTCAATGGTCCTGTCGCTGGAGCCATGGTGAGGCCAGGGAAAGACCCTGGCATGTTCATCGAGTTGAGAGAATGTTGGGATCTGTTGGGAAGGAGAGGAGGGGTGTAGTTTTGCGTCGAAGTCTGGTCGATCGGTGCCGAATCTAGGGGTTTGGCTTTCCGGGGTTTCTTCTTGGTCACCGTAGCTATTTCATGGCGTAGCAAATAGTATTGGAAAGTATTGTGAGGTAGTGTTTCGTGTTCGAAGAGGTTTGTTGCACAGGGATAAGACAAGTCAGCTCGCCGGCAAGAATGTGAAACGTCTCCTGGCCTGAAGCGGAGACTTACCGGCATCCGCATCCTTATTCTATCGGGACCATCATCCACGACCACCAGAAGCAGGAAACCAAAAACCAGATAAGCTCATCAAAGAATCTCATTGCAAGAACCTAAACCCTAGGCGTACCGATCTACCCAAGTTCATGACGGCATCCACGATGGGATCCGTAAACCCGCCCTGTTTGACGACGTACGACCTCGACGGGAGGGGTTCGTCGGACATCCCGCAAGCTTAGCTTTTGAACTAGTGGTACACACAAGAGCTCCTAGTCTCCTAGTCGTCTTGATAGCAATTCGCTAGAGTCTTGTCACTTTGCTAGCAAGAGGTGATGTTCGTCAAGAGGAGTGTCCTGGGTCTACGTCGCACGCCGCATGCTGCTGCTGTGACGTTAACCGCGGGGATCTGCATCCGGGAGGGGAAGCGACTTGCCGTTTGCGGGGGGGATGGGGGCCTTGAATGACGTAGTGTGGCTAGGGTGGACATTGACATGAACCTATGTCCGTCTAGTCTATAGCGTATAGCATGGCTATGTAGCCACGTCATACTCGTGACACGAATTTGGCTTATCAAATATATTTGTATAGCGGGCCTTCGGAGCGGTGAATGAAGTCGTCGGCGAGGTGGATCGGATAGAACTGCGCTGTGCGCAGTGTGTGCTATGGTTGGTTGCTGCGCAAGGGGAAACCTTGAGCTTCACCCATCTCAACTCCCTGTGGCCATGCGAGATGTGAGACGCGACGCGAAACCATCATGTCGGAATCCAGCCGTTTGCCCGCTGGAATCGCCTAGCCCGGGCATGATCCTTCGTCTTTCGCTAGCTCCTGAGCTCTCCGCTGGTGAGTGGATCCAGCACCTGGAGCTCACGGAGCACAGAGGGATACTCTGAGGCCTCTGGTCCTCCCATCCCTTTCGGTGGTTGTTGTCACTCCCCCGGTGACCGATCTGGATCCGTGGTTTGGCAGACCACGGAGGGCTCGGCGTATCGTGGGTATCTGTACCGTGTCATAACGTTTTTGTACGCTGGAATCAATCAAATGACAAAAAGCTCGACGAGTATCGTGACAATCGCTACGTCGCTACAAGCCTACGGAGCTACAGGTGGAGATCGTATATAACAACCCGGGTTGAGATTGAGACGAACCTGTGGAGCTTCCACCATGTGATGGAGAAACCGCCTTCCAAATCTACTTGCACCCCGTACATACCAACCCTCACTGAAAGATCGGAATTCTGATCGAGCTCTCTAAACATGTCGACCTCGACTTCGTCTGCAGCAGCAGCATCAGCCCTCTTGATCATCGACGTTCAGAACGATTTCTTGCCTCCCTCTGGCAGCCTGGCGGTCCCGGACGGTGGGGACGTCTTGCCCATCATCAGCGGGTTGTTGAAGGAAGAATGGATGGAGGACGTTTGGGACATCGTCGTCGCTTCTCAGGTGAGTGGCAAGGCTCTACGATCAAACGTTTGGGCGGTTGCGAGTTGTTTTCCTCAGCTGATCTGACCTGACTTGGCCCTTTTGAACCCAATTGGCGCTTTTGATCTTCAATCTTGGTCGACAACGCAGGACTGGCACCCCCACACCCACATCTCCTTCTCATCGCACCACAAACACCCTCACGCTCGACCCTTTACGACTGTCCGTGTACCTCGAGACGTCTTGGGCGAACACGTTGATATCCATCAAGACGACGAAAACGGTAGCAACAGCAATCAAAGAGACGGGAACACCGAGGACGAGGACGATCACGAAGGGGAAGACAACCTCGGTCTGACCGACCCTAGAAGTGGATACAAGACGACTCAGGGCGTGGATGACGGACAGGTAGATCTGAACTTGTGGCCGGACCATTGCGTGAGTGTCGAGCGTCGCGGGATCGTGATCGGGATTAGGGATCGGCCGGAGGTGACTAACCTTCCCCATATTCTCCGTGTTTCTACCCTTCTCACCATCACGATATGCACGATAACGAAATACTTGTGCTATCTTGTTCATCTGGTCTACATGATTGGCATCCGCTCGTCCTCGCATTCTTTGCGGACTACAGGTCAAGAATACCCGAGGGGCCGAGATCGAGCGAGATCTGAGGACGGCTTTAAAGCCTTGGCATCGGGCTGGAAAGTTTGCGTTGGTTCGCAAGGTGGGTTCGATCGCCCCTCCCATTGTGCTGCAGCTTGTCCTTGAGACTGAGCTGACTTCGGTGAACTGTCTTGATCATCGTCGCAGGGTACCAGGTCGAATGTGGAAGCCTTTTCCGCATTCTCTGGTAAAGTCGTCCCCGTTGGTTCTCCCGAGATGGATAGTGTCCTCGGGATGTACATGAATGGACGGACGACCACGACCACGGTTACCGGGACGGGAAGCGCAGACGAGCCGGAACAAGAACAAGAGGAAGAGGCTGGAGAGGATCTCGCCGGTTTCCTGATCAAGCTCGGGGTGAAGAAGATATGCGTTGTCGGGCTCGCTACGGACTTCTGGTCAGTCCACAACCCACTTGCCGTATACGAAACAAGACGACCCCTATACTGATGACTAGTCGCTTGCACGTTCGACGTTACAGCGTTGCGCAGACGGCCTTGGCGGCGATGAACAGGGAATCCAGCCCCTTCACCGTCTACCTGTACGAACCCGCCGTCAGGGGGGTGGGCAAGGCTTCCAGTGACAAGGCGTTGAGGGTGTGTGCGGATAGGGGCGTCAAGGTGCTCCATACCGAACAAGAGTTGCGAGAGGCTTTTGCCGGCATGGCCACGTGAATGTCGATATGAACATGGACTCGAACTTTGAGCAGGGAGGGAATGTCAGGTTGGAGTGAGGTTTCGTTGTATTTCTGGTTGTACGGATTCGTTCGTTAGGCTGTTGTATGTACACGTCAACATCACGCCAGTCAGATCAGCACTTATAGGAAAGGCTTATACCACCATTCATGAATTATCTTTGACTACCGGTCTACATCTTCCTATCACGATCTGCGTCTTCATGTCGTTCAGTTTCAGGAGTCATCGGGGAAGAGAAAGCACCCCTCCTCGACCTGTGATGATGCCGTTGAGTCTCCAGCGGACGTTCTTTCATCTCGCTTTTGGGTCCCTTCGCTGTAGAGGTGCGGACCCAGCTTTCTGGTCGGCGAGCTTGCCAGTGACTTTCGAGCTCAGCGGCGAATGCGGCTCTCGCGTGAGCGGTTTCGTCGTCCGCGAGTGGGCGTTTCAGGTCGAGACCGTGTTGCGGATTGATTGTAGGTCCGGAAGGCATGGTAAGAATACGTTGGGATAAAACTGACTTAGTACAAACCGTTGACAGGTGTAACGAAAGATTCTTGTGGATATGGCCATGGTCTTACAGGACTGCTAGCTAAATACTACCTCGGTCACTGCGAAAGGCCTTTGGTTGTTGCGCTTCCTTTGTCTGGGTGCGAAAACGATCATCACGCCGCACACTTAAGGTAACGTTTACGCGAGAATGATGCCATTGACCTACTGTGCTCATCGCTCATTATTCCGTAGAGCACGATTGACCGACGACCGAATGAGCACCAGAAGATCTAGCCGCAATGGGTCGGCGGAAGGCAACGTCTAGCAAGACGACGGGAATCGAGTGCTCGTTCTCCTGGACCGGCACTTGAGCCAATCTCTTACGTGTTGCGATCGTGATTGCATTTTTTGATATGGAAATGACCTTTGTTGGTCTGACAAAGGATAAATCGAGAAATGCCATGCAAAATCATAGTCTTGTCTTGCCAAGTCTTCAGGCGGACATGATATTGCGTCTTAAAGCAGCAATACAGGTCTACACATACAAGGGATCTGAACCTTCCATCGACACTCTCACAGTTTCAAGGCTTTCAACGTCTCCTCGTTTGGCTTCAAGCTATATTTCATTCAGAGAGCTTCGAATTCTGTATATCGCTTCCGATAAACCGTTCGTAAGTCGCTGGCCTGACGATGCTTGATCATGCTATACAGCCTGATAAGACGTTTGGCTTTTTAGAAGCCCTTCACCATTGGACCTGGTCGAAAACAAGAGACCATCTGTGCTGTCCCGCTTCTTGAATTCTTCGATAGCCTTTTTTAACGGGCCTTTGAAGTCGTGGATAGTGCTCAACAAATCCCGTATCGCCGTATCACCTTTGTTGTGCGTCCGTACCGCTTCGAACGGGGAATTATGCTTCGAGAAATACTCCTTGGTTCAACAGCAGCATCAGGCGGAAGTTCCCGCTCCCTCTCATCTCTGAACTACCTGTTCCGCTGTTACCATGTACTGAAAACAACCTTCGTCACCCGTCCCTCGTACTTATTCGGAAACCAAACTTCATTACCCATCCCTTGTACTCATTTGTGCGGATCACCCTCGTACTCGTTCGTGCCGATCAACAACAGCAGACCTTACTATCTTCGAAAGAAGACAAAGATACAAAAGGATTTGCACGTCAATTCCCCGGGTCGACAGTGAGTTTTTGGTCTCCTGTCTGCTCACAGAAGCCCTACTGATACATCTCGATCTGCTATCCCCGCAGGGCCATAAAGAAGCAACCGGAGTCGGTCAAGAATATGACCAACAACTACTTGCTGAAGGCCGGAGCGAAACCCCCCGATACCCAGGGAACAAACAGTTCCAGAAAGTTGGAGGCGGAAGCCCCTGGCAAAGTCAAGTCCAGTGTTGTATCGTGGGAGGACGCTGGGAGTAGCTCGGACTCGTCTGACTAAAGTCTCATGTTGTTTACGCATCGATTGTAGTACTTGGGTCCATGCTTTACATTACATTGCGTTCAGGCGAAGGGCTTCGCTGACCTGTACGGGCCAATGCTTACGACCCTCTCTCAGTCACACCAACTTGCGGCATCGCTTCCCGAATCTGACTCGCTGTCGGATGACTGGTCGCGCTCGCGATTCGTGAGAGGCTTGATGGAAGTATCAAATTCTGAGGCGGGTAGAGACCAGTTGCTTCTCCTACAGTTCTCCAAGTTTTTCTCGTTGAACCTGACCGTTCTCGAAAGTTCGCCGTCGCCGATGAATCTCTTACCCAACACAGAAGAGGATATGCCCCTTCCGCTGGGCTGACAACTTTTTAACGAATGAGGTCCGCGTAGGATGGATCGAAAAGTCACGGTAGTGTCGATTGAAAATGTGACCGAAGGCGCAAGCATTGTGACCGGTGCCAAGGGCGTACGGGTGTCGTTGGTGGTACTGTACATGTACAGCCATCTAGGCTCCAGTAGACTTCCCTTCGATGATAGTGACAGATCGTACGTCGATTTATATACGGACCACGAGCGGCACAGCGATGAGCAGCGCTCACGGAAACGATGACATATATACTCACTGTATGATGTATAACCGATGAAAGGAAGCGCGCGCGTGGCGTGATAAGCATATCATGTGAAACGACCAAAGGGGTATGGAGGCTGTAGCTATAAACATAGTCATCAATTGAATTAATAATGGTGTCACAGCCCGTAGTGGTCCCGCACTCAAGACGGTATCTTTGGTGAGCCTGGTAGAATATACAGTTTGTCAGACTTCCCTGGTCCTACACACAGATTTCCTACATCAAGACCCGGGCACGGAGAGCGTGTTGATCGCTCATACAATATTAGTTCATAGAGGGACGATGCTTTCCAGGAGCAGGTGTGGAGCGTTATATTGCTAGCACACGCATCATTCCCGAATCGCACTCCGCAGTAAGCGATCCGGACGGGTACCCTCCCGTATGTCTGACTCCAGCCTTGCGTGAAGCGTCCTACGCCCATCATTTCGGGCAGCCGGTCATTGCAAAGCGATGAACAATGATAAGTAGTAGTAAACAGTCGCTAGTGATCAATATGTTACACAGTATTTTTGGTTCTTTTCGTTTCGTCCGCCATTCGTCCACGCTACGAAAACTACCTGTCTCTCTACCTTCTACCGGTCGTAAAAACACATATTCTGCGCCTGTATGGCTCTTGTCGTCCAAAGCGAAGAGACCAGAGGAGCCGAGGTTGCGAGAGTCGGAACAAGTAAGACTGGGATAAGATGCAGAAATTCTCGTTGTCCTTGATCCACGGCCCGTGCTTCGAATTCCCGAAGATCTTGGGCTGCTCCGCTTCGTTGTCCCGGTCCATCCCCCGATTACTTTCGCTGACTCTCACTCCCGCATCCTCCCATGCCCGGCTCTACGTCTCCTCCTCTCCATTTCTTCAACTAACTTCGTCCTGCGCTCTCGGCTTACATAGGCGCCATCCCGGCAGCCTGAGCCTGAGCTTGCATCTCCTCGGGCGTCATCGAGGACGACTCGATCATGACTCCCATTCCAATCTTGGAAGTTCCCTGCGAATAGATCGCACATAGCGTTTTATCAGTTTCCGTTCTGGCATTGTCATGCTACGTTTGCGGAAGATCCAATATGACTCGTGTCGACTCACCTTCAGATGATCAATCTCCCCACCGACAAGGAAGGCGAACGCCGGGGTGAACCTCTGTTCCAACAACATCCCGACCTTTCCTTGACTATCCACCTGACCCCTGAAAGTGGCCATCCTAAACTCGTACTTGGCTCCCAACGTCGCCGTCGCCTCCCTCTTGCCCGGTCCCATCGGACTAGCCGGGGTGTTCAAGATCTGGAGGTCCAGACCGACGTCCACGGAAGGTGAGAGTTTCTGGTAATACGTCGACTGGATAATCCCCTGAGGTTGGAGCTGGAGGGTGGCGATCCACTGGTTGAGCGAGTTCAGACCCAAGGAGGTAGGGGAAGAGACGGGCACGGCGGATCCGGGGGCGGGGAGGGAAGTGAGTTTGGCCAGGTAGCTGGTGGAGGTCTCGAGGATCTGGGGTTGAGGGTGTTGGATCAAGGTCTCGAAACCGAGGGCGAGACGAGGAGAGACGGAGTGCAAGAGGGAGACCATGTGGATCCCGGTGAGGTCCGTCGGAGAGGGGTTGATGGTACGCAGGTTGAGCGAGTAGTGAGGACCCGCGTGGTCGTGCTCGATCTGGATCATCGAGTGACCAGGTTGACCCGAGAGCTATCGAGCGTCGCCGTATAACCGTACGAACCAATTTAGCACGTCGTTCTCCACATTTCACCTGCTTGACAGTTACGGCTCACCTGAGCCTGCATCTTGGTCGTATCATTCGGACCCCAACTCTGGTTCGCCCTAGCCGTGACCGACCCCGTGTGATCAACTCCACCCTGGAGCAGAGTGTTGTTGTCCGCGAAAACGGCTCCAAAGTTGTAACTCGGAGGCTGGGTGGCGCTGGCCAAGCTGAACGAGTGGGTCACCTGGAAAGCAGGGGAGAGGGAGAGACCTTTTGTCAGGTCGGCTCGCGCTCCGTCGAAGAGGAAGTTGGTGAGGTGGGTTTCTGTGTGGTGGCCGCAGGAATTTTCCGGATTGAAGCCAGATGCAGAAGGTAGATCGAGATCAGTCGGAATAGAAGGTGAACATAAGCTCGAGCTTCTTGCTGATCAGAACAGGACGCTACCGTGACTCACGCTTAATCTCCCTCGTCAAGTTCTCGACCGTCCCGGGCTGGTACAACCCGAACCCCTCCTTCCACTTCTCAAACCTCGAATACGTGTTGGCGATCGGGTTGGTGATCGGACGGTGTATCGAGTGGAGAGCGTCGAGGTAAGGGGTGAACGCTGAAGGTGCTGGGGAAGGAGCCGAGGCGGAGACGACCTTTTCGTCCATGTTCGGGATGGCGGCGGGGTTGTACGCCGGGTAAGTCGGGGCGGCGGACATCGTGAAGGATATGGTTATGAGAGTATGAGAATCAGACTATGTCGAGGTCTGTGGAGAGAGGATTGTTTGACTATCGATGACGATTTGATGTCGCCCTCGAAACCTCTGTTCTCCTCGAAAAACGTCGCTTCCCTCTCGAGAAAATGAGAAGTCTCACGCGTAAAAAAGAGGAGAAGCAGCGATGTTGCAAGGCAAGGTATAACGATTTGGATATTCACAACGACATCCCTATATGCAACAGGCATCGTGTGGCTACTACAACTAGATCACAATCCTGATAGAGTCGCCGAACCTCCCAGGAGTTTCATGAAGAAAGCCCCGTCGATCGTGCACAAAATCTTTTCGAACCATCGACACTTGCACACCACCTCCCTCCACCTAGCCAGGTACAACGGACCTCTCCCCGCTCCGTCCGACCCATTCCAACTGAAACATAACAACATGACCACTCCAGCTTCCAGCAACACCCGAACCGTCCCCGAAGGTTTCTCCCCGCATACAGAGAGGAACGCTACGATCCTCCTCCCCGTACAGGACAAGCCGTTCTTGAACCCGATTCAAGAGTACAACAGGGACTTGAGCGTGGCCGTGATCAGACAGTGGGCGGTCAAACGGGAGAGCGAGGCCAAGGCAAAGTGGGATCAGAGGAAAGCCAGGAGGGATAAGAACAAGGGCAAGGGGAAGCAGGTAGAGGTCGAGAAGGATGGGCAAGAGGCTGGGGTCGTCGTCGATGCTGCTGGTAAGTTGCACGAGGTGCAGTATCGGAAATTTCCCCCCGCGCGCGCGTTAGGAAGGCGGTTGAACGATCATCTACCCACCACATATGCGCTCGTGCGACCGGATCACCATATAACTGACTCGATCTTATGCAACCTCTCCACCTTACAGCGCTCCCCACCACTACCGCTTCCACGACCTCGACAGACCCGACCGCCATCGCCGGCCCGAGCAGACCCAACCCCAAAGACGTCTACACGCCTCAACGATTCAACATCATCGAGGCCTTGAGCGCGACGGGGTTGAGGAGTATTCGGTATGCTCAGGAGATCCCTGGAGCCAAGTGAGTTGGCACTATTTCGCGACTATCCTTCGAGGGGTTTGAAATATGATGTTGACTCGGCGGGATTCCTTTCTTCCCATTTTTCCATATCTAACCTCTTTCTCACCACCCCGACTTTTACTCTTGCCCCATAGCCTCATCCTCGCCAACGACCTCCTCCCGACAGCCTGCGAATCCATCACACGTAACATCACTTACAACGACGTCCAAGCGATCCCATACGAAACCCTGCCGGACGGGGTGACCCCCAACGATGGGCTCGTAGCGAGGGGCAAGATGAGGAGGAAATTCAAGCGGGGTGGGGTGGTCGTCAATCAGGGGGACGCCAAGTGAGTTTGACGTCTCTCTCTCTGTGGTTTATTGCATTGTCTTCAGTCCTCAATGACTTTTCCTTCATCTGGGGAATGTAGCACCCTCCTCTACGCGCATCGTGAAGAACCCGACCGAGTAGACGTGGTCGACCTCGATCCGTACGGTACCGCAGCACCCTTTATCGACTCGGCCGTCCAGAGCGTTTCCGATGGAGGGTTGTTGGCTGTTACGTGTACCGATCTGGCCGTGCTAGCCGGGTCGAATTATCCGGAAAAATGGTGAGCATTCGGGACGAGTGAGAAGGTTTGAGGAGGAGGCTGACATGATCGTGGTTGGCGCAGTTTCGCAAATTATGGGGGAACGCCGGCGAAATCGGAATTCTCTCACGAAGGCGTAAGTTCAACGCAAATCGTTCTCGATCTCCAACCAAGCGTTGAGCTCAGTGGCTTACCATTCACCCTAAATCTCTCTTTTTCCCGACACTTGCAGGCCCTGCGACTGGTCCTCTCCATGATCTCGACCTCGGCGGCGAGGTACGGACGATACATCCAACCCGTACTCAGCTTGTCGATCGACTTCTATGTGAGGGTGTTTGTGCGCGTGCATACGGGGCAGGCGACCGTCAAGCATACTTTTACGTGAGTCATATCTGTTGCTTGCGATACATGACTGTATCAAGGTGGAAATCGATACTGCTTGCTAATGTCTGTCTTTCCTCTTTTTTCACTTGTGGTTGACAGGAAACACGGCCTAGTCTACATCTGTCATTTCTGCCAATCGCACTACGAGCAACCGTTCGGACGGGTGGTGGAAAAGACGACGGCAAAGGGGGCCACGATGGAGAATTTCAAGTTTATCAGCGGGCCGCCTGTCGGTGAAAAGTGTCCGCAGTGCGAGTCGGCCATGACGGTGAGCATCGATTTCTGAATAACGAAACATGGAAAGACAGTATCGCTGAAGAATGCGCCGGTTTTCGCAGGTCTGTGGGCCGATGTGGTTGGGACCTTTGCACGAGCGAGAGTTCATCGACGAACTCATCACGACGATCGAGGCGGAAAAGGACAACTATGGGACATTCGCCAGGATGAAGGGCATGTTGACGATGGCAAGGGAGGTGAGTTCAGAGAAACGGAATTCAATGTGCTGAACATAGCGTTCGAGAAATTGATGATCTGAATCCCTATGACCTCTGCAGGAAGTTACGGCACCATTCTACTTTACGCCTTCGAAAGTGGCTAGTTTCTTCCATTGCGTTGCGCCCAACTTGGCAGATTGTTTGTGAGTCTGGCCTACAACACTGCGGCGCTTCTTGGCCTGACTCGTGCTCCTTACCTCTTGCAGGTCGGCTCTGCTGAACGGCGGGTACCAAGTCTCGCGGTCCCACGCTTCAGCAGGATCGATCAAGACCGACGCGCCCATCGGCTTCGTGCACGACATGTTCCGAGCTTGGATCGAGAAGAATCCGGTCAGGGAGGACAAGATCGCTGCTGGTTCGCCTGCCATCACCTTGCTTCAAAAGAGCAAGACGTGAGTCCACAATGTGGTGAACCTGGTGGGGTAGATTTAAGCTAATCCTCGTCTCCAACCTAGACACGAGATTGACTGGACACCGAACCCTGGTCTTGCCAAGCTGATGAACAAGGAGAAGCTGGTACGATACCAAATCAATCCTACGAAGAATTGGGGACCAGGATCCAGACCAAAAAACATCACCCAAGCCGAGGACGCTGCTGCTGCCACGATTATCACGTCGGAAGATGTTTCTATGGGCGACCAGACGGGTACAGCTGTTGGAGGGGAGCAGGAGATCCAGGACCTCGGTCTCGCTGTGGATCCCGCCGAGTTCCCACCTGGGGCTGAAGTGGCAGAGCCAGGCGCAACGGCAGCTGAAGCGGTCTCGACGACGACGACGAAACGGCCTCTTACTGATGGCACAGAGGAACGAGATGGCAAGAAGACCAAGCTGAACGAGGATGACGAAGAGTCTGCTTTGAACATGTAGATTCTCTGTTGTCAATTGTTGGAATTGTATACCAGTCAAACATTCTCGCGGAGACACAACCGGTCCTCATGTAGCCCTGAGATTGCTTGAGCGCAGGATCTTTGTTTTCCGTGTCGCATAGCGATGATCATTGCTCGCTATCTATTACAAAAGGAAAGGGTTTCGCCCTCAAAACAAAACAAAAGATGAATCGAGAACCATCACATGCACCTTTTCTCAGGCCGCAGTCTCGAACTCGAGACCGGCATCCCGTTACCATGAGCCATCTATCTTATCTTCTCCTCATCTCTTCATGACTATTGGCTTAGAGCTGGCCTATACGCCTAACCATCTGGTCCTTCAAGTTGGAATCTATACAAACTCAAGAAAGCAGTCAGCACATTCTCCTTGGCCTCCATTTCTGAATCCGGTGGGCAGACGAGTCGATGCAAGGAGGGAAAAAGAAGAGGTATAAGTAAAGACGAGTCGAACACAGAGACTTACAGGCGTTCATGATGGTCTGTTCGTTGATGATAATATCGGTCGTGTCGGTTCGGGGTCGGGATACTCGGGATGCGATGGCCGCGCCGTCGGTCTCCAGAATGATACTGTCATATCGAGGAAATCATGGTTGCATGTGGAGAACAGAAGACGTAGAGCATTCCCGGCAGAGCAGCAGGAGGAAGCAGAATATTGATCAGTCAGCGGATCAGTCAACGAGCCGAACCCAGGGAGAAGACCTGAACTTACCCATCATCGATAGTCTCATCAGCAGCCAAGAGGACCATGTCCAACCCTTCTAAAACGCTTCTCTTCTCGACCTGTCCTCTCAACAATAAGCTGACGGCATCGTTGAAAGCGTTGAGAGCGAGGGAAAGTTGGACTTCGTTCGACGTCGCTAGGGGGCCGACGATGTGGAAGTGGAGGTCAGTGGTGGATTTCGTTAGGACAAGGTGAGGAGGTAGGGGGTTGATGTCACCTATACCGAGCCAGTGGAAAAGACTTTCAGCTTCTGATTAAGCCATACGTATGGCAAGTAGCTTTCGAGTCGAATTGCGACGAGACGTACCACCTCCCCTCTTGGTCTTCTCATGTACGCTCTTCTCGAACGCCTTTTGCTCCTTGAGCGAAGCCAACCCCTGAGGTCCCGTTGAGGATGAAGGCGTTGCCGAGTTCTGACCAGAAGTAGGAGCCGAGTGAGGTGGGTGGTAGTACTTGGCCATCACCCGGTGCCCATCGGCATCCAGGATCAAGAGGGCAGTAATAGAGTATAGGGTCAGGTTGGTCTGTTTGCGAGCACGATCAGGAGATGCGTTAGCTTTCGCTTTGATCCGACGTGCTTTCGCACCGAGTTGGACTTACCATTTTCGAGTGGTCCCCTGAGCTGTACGAGGCCCTTGTAGTGATTTGAATATAGCTGTACAGACTGTATTGATAGCTAATAAAGGGTGGTCGCGGTATACCAAGTGGGTAGGTGATGGTCGCTGTGAGCAGGGTGACGCTCTTGGATCCGCGCGTTAGGCCGAGGCTAGGTGGAATCCACGTCCACGACTCGTCAAACATACAACCAACTCGATGATATGGATACCCCTCCAACCTACCTCACTACCTTCTTCTACAACCCAGACCCTCGAGCTGCTAGAACCAAGCTCAGTGATCACGTCTCGCCCTTGATATTCGCTGTTAGCCTTCCTGCCGGATTTATTGCAGGTCGTTCGCTTGCCCGATCTACAAAAGGCTGCTTCCAGCCTCGTCATACAACATCTCCTTTCGCGTCAACAACCTAAAGTAGCAGGAGGTCACTCAAGATGGTAAGGCTAGTGTTGTAATGTGAAGGAAGCTCAAAGCTGACCCTTGAATTCGTCATACAGCCGATGCTTCTTGATATCAAGGTACGGCGGGTATCGAACCACGCTATCGATCACGCAAACTGATCTTCTCGTGTTCCGGTCGAGCAGAAAGTGTTGACCACCCGTAGCGACCGAGTCAAGGCTCTCGACTTTCACCCTACGGAGCCTTATGTCCTCGCCGGTCTTTAGTCAGTGTCACCTTGACACGGCGAACATACATCACGTTCCGGAGTTGACTTCGATTGGTTATTGTGATTGCTCTCTGGGAACGTAAACGCGCACAACAGCAACGGACAGGTCAAGATCTGGAACTATGTCGATGGCTCTGAAGTGAAATCGTTTGATGTCTCCGAGGTCCCTGTCAGGGCTGTTAAGTTCATCGCCAAACGCAACTGGGTGAGCTTTTATGCCGATTCTGATCAGACAAGCAACGCTGGAAGCTAATCAGGCTCTTTCATTCCGGTCTTACTAGTTTGTCGCTGGTTCAGGTGATTACCGCCATGGTGGCCTCATACTATTGACCAAGGCTAAAGTTCCATCGCCGTGTTCTAGATGACTTTATGGCCCGAGTGTACTCTATCTCGACCGGAGAACGTGTACACGCCTGGCAACCCCACGAGGATTACATCCGGAGCATCACCGTCCACCCGACATTGCCCATCATCTTGACCGCGTCCGATGACTGCACTATCAAGAGCTGGGACTGGGATAAAGCTTGGAGGTGTACTCAGGTGAGATCGAGTTCGGCGGTCGTGTTGAGATACAGATGGCTGACCAGGGTTGGGTTGACGGGATTGTGATAGGAATACACCGGTCATAACCATTATATCATGTCCCTCTCGATTGTAAGTCCCAGTACAAGTCGTCGAATTCTTCAACCTTGCACCACACTCACTTGTTTTGCTCGTTTCTACAGAACCCGAAAGATCCCCAGATTTTCGCATCAGCTTGTCTCGACCATACCATCAAAGTCTGGTCGCTCGGTTCGCCCACGCCGAACTTCACCTTGGAGGATGCCCACCAAAAGGGAGTGAACAGCGTGGATTACTACCATGGAGGGGATAAGCCTTTCTTGATCTCGTGTGGTGATGAGAGGTAAGCCTAGCGGTCGCTTGCGATCTGAGCCAGAACTTATCGAAACAACGGATTCCGTCTTCAACCAATAGGACGATCAAGATTTGGGACTACCAAAACAAGTCTTGCGTACAGACCATCGATTCTCCCGCTGCCAACATCTCGTTTGCCGTCTTCCACCCTTCTTTGCCGCTCATCATTTCTGGTTCCGAAGACGGGACCGTCAAGCTCTGGAACTCGTCGACCTACAGGCTGGAGTCGACCTTGAGCTACGGGTTGGAGAGGTGCTGGTGTGTTGCGTACAGGAAGAACGGGAACGAGGTCGCCCTCGGTTACGATGAGGGGCTTGTCGTGCTCAAGGTTAGTCACGGCCATTGTTGATTGCGAAACGAGTCGGGATTTCTTGGCTGATCACTCGGAACGCTGTAGCTCGGTCGAGAAGAGCCTTCGATGTCGATGGACCCTTCGGGAAAGATTGTCTACGCCAAGAACACCGAGATCCTGACTACCAACTTGCAGTCTGTTGCGGATGACAACGTTACCGATGGCCAAAGGTTGGCCATTCAGCCCAGAGAGCTCGGAACAACCGACATGTTGCCCCAGAGTCTGCAACACAGCCCGAACGGAAGGTTCGTAACTTGTTCACCAGGCTGTCCATAATGTAATCAGCTAACGATCGATCGGATTGATGCTAGGTTCGTCACCGCCGTCGGTGATGGTGAATACATCATCTACACTTCCCTCGCTTGGCGAAACAAGGCCTTCGGGACCGGTACCTCGTTCGCTTGGGCTAGCGATTCCAACACCTATGCCGTGCAAGAATCCAAGAACAAGATTCGAGTCTACCGGAACTTCAAGGAGAGGCCCGGTTTGATCAAGGGCGGTGCGGCTGGAATTGCCGTCGAAGGGGTTCACGGCGGTACTTTGCTTGGAGCGAGGGGGAGCGGGTATGTGCTCTTCTGGGATTGGGAGACGGGTGAATTGGTCAGGAGGATCGAGGTCGATGCAACTAGCGTGAGTCCGCTTAGTTAGTACCACGGCAGGCACTCAAATGCTCACGCGATCCGACTACATTCAGATTACGTGGTCCGGTTCTGGCAACCTTGTGGCAATCACAAGCGCAGACTCGTTGTACTTGTTGCAGTTCGACCGCGAGGCATACAACGAAGCTTTGAGCTCTGGTGTGCCTATCGGTGATGAGGGTGTCGAAGCTGCCTTTGACCTTATCAACGAAGTCACTGAGACGTAAGTCATCTAATGGTGATCATATGATCGGAAAAGGGCGCGGCTGATATGCCAACGAACTATGTAGCGTCAAGACTGTCAAGTGGATCGGTGACTGCTTGCTCTTCACGAGCGCTACCAACCGATTGAACTACCTCATCGGAGAACAGGTCTACACTATTAACCACTTCGATCAGTGAGTACCTCATGAACTCAGTGATTAGCGATTGCGATCGGCTGACCCGTACTCTTAATCTATCTGCAGGCCGATGTACCTCTTGGGATATATCCCAGCGCACAACCGTGTCTATGTCGCCGACAAGGATATGGGCATCTTCAGCTTCTCCCTCTCGTTGACTTTGGTTGAATACCAGACGGCGATTTTGCGGGGAGACTATGATACTGCCAATGAGCTCTTGCCGACCATTCCCAATGATCAGCGAAACAAGATTGCTCGGTTCTTGGAAGCGCAAGGTAAAGCCGGTGCATGGGTCATTCAAGTTTATAAGCATCAACTGACCACGATTTGCCTTAGATCTCAAGGAGATGGCTTTGCAGGTCGCGACGGATCCTGATCAGCGATTCGATCTCGCTGTTCAGCTCAACGACCTAGATCTAGCTGTCGAGTTGGTCCGAGCTGTTCCCGAGGTCGGCTCGGAAGGCAAGTGGAGGATCGTCGGCGACAAGGCTATGGATGCTTGGCGAATGGATCTGGCAGAGGAATCGTACAGCAAAGCCGGAGATCTCGCTGCCCTGCTGTTGATCTACACCTCGTTGGGCGATCGTGCCGGTCTCGAGAAGCTTGCCAAGGATGCTTGTGAGTGACAGTCCGCGTATCTGGGGCTCGTACTTTGGCTGATTCCGTCGGCATACTCGACCAATTCAGCTGCTAAGGGACAGCATAACATCGCCTTTACCTGCTATCATCAACTTGGAGACACCGCCTCATGTATCGATCTGCTGATCAAGACGGACCGAGCGCCCGAAGCTGCCTTCTTCGCTCGAAGCTACGCCCCCTCTTCCGCCTCGTCGGCCGTCAAGAGCTGGAAGACCCAATTGAACACGAGTGGCAAGAAGAAGCTCGCCGAAGCACTGGCGGACCCGGCAGAAAACGAAGATTTGTTCGACGAGGGTTGGGCAGAGGCATTAGCTCGAGAGCGAGGCGAAAGCTCCCAGGGCGAAAGTTCGCTCCAAAACGGCTCGAGCGAACCAGCCGAAGCGGTGCAATCAGCTGTTGACACCGTCACAAGTGGTGCCGAAGCGGTTGCAGATACCGTCGGAGATCTCGCCGAGAAGGTCAAAGAGGTCGTCATTGATGCGGTTGAACCTGCTTCAGAGGAGCCTGGTACGTTGTGGCAGAAGTCGCTATTTTCGGGTTTCCCTTAGCTGACGATGATCCTGTCGTGCTACGTAGAGGACGACTTTGTAGATGCCGGAGCGGCCACCACTCCGCCTGCTGAAGCAGAGGCCGAAGCCCCTCAAGCCGAGGAGGAATCGACAAAACCCGATGATGCCGCACCACCAGCATCAACCGGCGGCAAGAAGAAGAAGGGGAAGAAGTAGACCTTTAACGAAGGAAGATCGTAGATGACTTTTGTAATGCCCAAGCTCCTGTTCTTATATATACAATCGATTCGACGGTTTCGAATAGTCCAGATATACGATATAGGACCGACTGGGAGAATTGCATCCGCATCTGGCCGATTAAGGTTTCACGCTGCCAACGTGGCAAGCTCGGTGGAGTGGCGTTCTTTGGCTGGCATCAATCCTACTCATTTGTGTGTGGCGAGGAACATCATTAAAGCGCTTAAAGCATGGCCTCGCCTTCCTTGGTAATCGTCGTGAATGTCAACCAGAATGCATATTTTCTGTAGGTTTCCGCCTTGTGCTTCGTTGGGTACAATCGGCATATATATAGAAGATTACATGCCATTTTCGCATCTGATCGGCATCGTAGGTCCGCCAGGGCTGATGCCACCCAATTCATCGCACTTACGGCTCAAGGATTTGACGTCATGGGGAGAGTTATGTCAAGTTGTGGAGGGGCCTCATCCTCGTTCATCTGCCGTGGACGTGCAAGACCAAGTGGATTCTACAGTTGCACATACTTGCGATTTGCCTGTGAGATACCTTACTGAACGAAAAACACCCGTTGGTCAGATGAAAACTTTTGCTTGTTTTCAGTCAGTTCATGCACGGAAGTCCGCCTTGAAGCAGGATTCAAAGGTATATGTGCTTGGTACATGTGTACAGGTGTCCGGACAGACATGCGGTCCAGAATACACGTAAATATTAGGCACACCGCATACATAGGGAAAGTCCGTGCTGACTGTTGTACAACACATAGAAACTGTGTACATACAAACTGTGCTGAACGGAACTACACGAAAGGAGATACTGGTAGCAAGACTACGACTGATTGCAATTCATCGACCAGAGCTAATAGTCTCATTGGGGAATATTGAAGTAGCATCGCGGGGCTTGGTGTTGTGCGAAGTTTGCGAAGATGTCGAGGGATTGCTGAACGATCCTCCTAGACAATTGGTGAACAGGCTAGACAGGATAGACATAGCGCTTCTACTGCCAGAAACGCTACTGATTGAGCCCATGTCGCCGTCTCGATTGTAGGCCAGCCGGGGAAAATCCTTCAAAGCGAACCCCTGGCAGAATTCAACTAGGGTGCCAAGCCTTTTTTGATATACCGCATCCGGACAATCGATAATTGCCTCGAGTCGGTTTGCCAATTTTTTTCTTTCCTCTAGAAATTCAAGCTCGAGTACACTGCAGTCCTGAAATGCATTCCCCCGATATACGCTTCCCCCGCTCACCAGCCTTACGAAGCTCTGCAGCCTGTCTTTTCCGATCCTCTCCAAATCCGTCAAGGCGATCTCCTCTGCCAATTGCTTTAACAACGAGACTTCGTAAGCCCTAGCCATATATCTCAACAAGTACTCTTGAGATACCCCGTCGGCGGTCCAGTCTTTGTTCTCAATAGGTTCACCGGTGGTGTTCCAGAGGCGAACGAAAATTTTGCAATCACACAGATCAAGCGATTTGACCATGTCTCGTCCGGACGCCAAATGGCCAAGTTGACGTCTAGCACTATACCAAGCTTGATCGTTGCGAGGAATGTTCTCTCGTAATGCCTCGAGAGCGTTGCGTTCGATATTGAGCAAAACTTGGTTCAATCGCATCCTGTGAAATGATCTGCTGGTTTGGTGAAAAGGGATTCAAAGATCCGGGACCACTCGGCTGCTCTTCCCACATTCACTGCTATCGGTCCTGTATATATAGGCTACAGCAATGTGCTTCTGCGAGAGTGATTCTCCTTTCATCCTTTGTCACATCATCGAACAACATGAGGTCTCGTGACCTCTCGAGCCATCAGGTGTAACAAGGGGTTCTGAAAGGGAGACTCAATCGTCACGCGATCTGACGCGCTGCTGCCGGCAGCAACAGAACTCGCATATGTCGCTTCATCGTCATTGTAAAGCTTGTCGAGAAGGTGATTCGGCTGCGAGTCGCACAAAAGAGCCCGATTTTTGAGACTCAACTCCATGTGACACATCAACTTCAATCGAATCATAACGCGCGGTCTGCCATCTGATAACCACATTCAACTCAGATCTTACAGGTAGGGTGATGGCCGGAAGCGGTGGCACTCTTTCGTATTGTCCGGCATAATTAGCGGACATGCAGTTTCAGAATTTCCAATGATCGTGCTCAAGCCGACCATCGTGTCATCTTAGATCAGTCTGAAGTCTGCTTGCCGAGGTTCAGTTGTGGGCCGGCTGTCAGGGACGGCTTTCAACCTTGTCGGCCGCTGTAAAGACTGGAGTTACGACAAGTGGAACTTCGCCTCCGATTGACATAGGTATGGTGCCTGGTCCTCATCCGCATCCATGGATCGATCGTGTGGTCCAACGCTTGGATACGAGAGATCAGATGGCGTTTCGATGTCCCGGTGCCTCGAAAGATGAAACGCTTTATGGAACATCGCTATCCGCTTCCGGGGCTGGCTCCGCGAGAAAAAGCGCGCTTCTAGTTGGTCCCTTCCCAATTTACCTGTCAGGAAATCGCGGCGAGTTCGTGGCATATATCATGTCTTTGTTGTGATGGCACTTTCATGCTCGATGTGCTAAAAGATCTATCAACCCATCCAGGGGCTTCACCCAGAAGGTATAATCGAAACGATTCTTGTCTGACGTCTAGAAGACTGCGCTTAGCGATTTCCGCCAGGTGTATAACTCCGATCGAGTAAAAGCGGAGAGGAAAGGACGCGCGCGTGTGTGTAGCGGACATTTGGGTTGTTTTCATCTCCATCGATCTCGCCCCCCTCACGATGCTACCACCATCGCGTTTTCGCCCCCGCGCTGCCGTCGCTCCTTCCTCTGCAGCCCCCTCTCAGCCCAGACAGTCCAAGTGACCTCTGTGAATTCGACGACGTCTATCGGTTGATCAACATCGACCTGCGACCCTTCTTTTCTCTCAGGATCCAAGAATCACACTTGCATACTCACCCCAAGAAGAAACATCATGTCTGTCGGTAAGAACAAGCGTCTCTCTAAGGGGTACGTCCGGAATAGCAATAGCTGCAAAACAATCGTCGTCGAGGAATTTCGGTGTGATCTGACATGCCGCCCGTCAATCTTTTCATTGCCGCTCTAACAGTAAGAAGGGTATCAAGAAGAACAAGGTTGATGCCTTCGCCAGGAAGGACTGGTACTCGGTCAGGGCACCCTCAATCTTCGAGGTGAAGAATGTCGGTCAGACCCTCGTCAACCGAAGCCAGGGATTGAGTGCGTCAAAGATGGGGACTAGCAGGACGAAACAGGAGCATGCGAGGCTGAATGCGGGGAGCGGTTGTTTGTTTTGCAGAGAACGCCAACGACTCCTTGAAGGGACGAGTTATGGAGTTCTCCCTCGGTGACTTGAACAAGGAGGAGGACCAGGCTTTCAGGAAGATCAAGCTCAGGGTTGAGGACGTCAAGGTGCGTCCAGGACTTGCATGAGATATCTGCGGACATCCGTGAACGTCTCGTCTAACTCATCGACCTGCTCGATATTTGCATTTGCCTACTATCAGGACAAGAACTGTCTGACTTCGTTCTACGGCATGGACTTCACCACCGACAAGATCCGATCTTTGGTCCGAAAGTGGCAGTCCTTGATCGAGGCCCACATCGATGTCCGAACCACCGATGGATACCTCGTCCGACTTTTCGCCATCGCTTTCACCCGAAAGAACAGGCAGCAGGTCAAGAAGACCTCGTACGCTCAGTCCGCCCAGATCAGGCAGATCAGGGCCAAGATGCACGAGATCATGAAGAGGGAGAGCGAGTGCGAGTTGAAGGAGTTGGTCCAGAAGTTCGTCCCCGAGTCGATCGGACGAGAGATCGAGAAGGCCACCAAGGGAATCTTCCCCCTCCAACACGTCTATGTCCGAAAGGCCAAGCTCCTCAAGTCCCCCAAGGTTGACTTGAGCAAGCTCCTCGAGTCTCACGGTGAGATCGAGAACGTGAGTCGGAACGTTGTTCTGCGGGTTGGAGGTGTCGGTTCGCTGAGCCATCTCGCTATCGCCTTGTTCTCTCTAGTCCACCGGTACCAAGGTCGTCTCCGACTTTGTCGAGCCCGAGGTTTTGGCTTCCGTCTAAACGTCTTGCTTCCCACCAAATCAAAAAGGGAATCAAGGTGTCTAGGATGGGGAGGATGGTCATGGCTGCAGCTCGAGCGATGTCGTCTTGTGGACGGTCAGGAGGATCATTCGGCACAAGAGACCGGGTTGCCGCGTCATCACCGGCTCTGTGTTTCCGACGGGTCCTGCCTTTCATGTAATCTTTTAGTCTGGGGATGCATCGTTAGAGTTACAGATATGACATTTTCTGCACTACAATCTGACTTGGCTCGAGAGCATCTGCCCGATGGCGCCATTCCTGGTCGTAAAACGTCATTTCGGGTGTTGTTGATTTTGTTAGGATCTTGCTGCTGGAGTCCGAGGCAGATCAAGCGATTGAATACCGACGACTCAAGCAGCTAATCGTATGTCACAGCGTCCAAGTAAAACAGCCACAATATACTGAGATTCTTAGTCAACTACCAAGCTGTCTCTTCGAATACCTTTCGCCAGTCTAGTCCGTCGCAGCAAGCGGTCCACCACCATGTCCTTCACCCCACCCTACAAATACATCACCGCCTCCGAGCTCGCTGAAAAGGTCAAGCAGGCCGATCCTCAGCAAGTCCAGGTGATCGACGTACGGGATGACGATTTTGTAGGAGGAAACATTGTTGGAGCAAAGAATTCGCCGAGTAATGCTTTCTATGACAATGTCAAGGAGTTGGTAGAGGAGAACAAGGATAGTGAGTTCAGGTTCTCACGGGGAGTTGAGGGTTGCGGTTGTCGGCTAGCTGACGAGGTTGCCAATCGAATAGAGAAGACAATGGTATTCCGTATGTTCATCCTGGGTCTGAAAAGGCGAAATACGAGCCTGTGCTGAATAGACATTTTGCTCGCTACTCGCAGACTGCGCTCTCTCCCAAGTCCGAGGACCCAAGTCGGCCCGGATATATTCTGAATTGCAGAAAGAGCTACACCCTGATAGCAAGCAGGAAGTTCTTGTCTTGCGAGGTGGATTTACCGAGTTTGCTCAGCAGTACAAGGTGAGCTGCGAATATAAGCAAGAATTTATTACGTGTGTCCTAGACTGACGATCGAAGCGCATTTTTCGAACAGAACGATCCTGCTTTGGTCGAGAAGTACAACAGGTTAGTCTGCCTAGACTATGACCATGGCATACAGCTGCTGATATCTGCGATGCTTTAGCATGTATCACGATCAATGAACGCCCCCAAGATGGACGAAGAGTATGATGAATGTACGACCTCCTCGCGTTGTACATATCGAAGAATCACGAAACATACAGCATGACTGGGTAGACAAACATGCGCTTCTACAGAATTCCAGCCGGACCTCGGAACAGCTCGTAGGGTATGGTATACAAAGAAGAAGATCATCATCGAATCGTTTCGTTGACGAGGCTGTGAACACGCCTAGATCTAGGACTAAACGGCGGAAAATATCGAAGCGTTCATCGCCCGGTCTCAATGAAATCCTCGTTCGGCCTTCCATTTGCTCTTCTGCACGGAAGCTGCGTTCTTGTTCTTGAACGGGAACGCCGAGGTCCTCTTGTCCGCTCCCTACCATCGTCATCATCGTTTGTAAGAGAAGATCGCATGAGGTCAGCCATCAAGGCGGATTGAGATACGATTACGATGATGAAGGTGTCTCGTTGACAAGGTAGAGGGAATACTCACCGTCTTTTTGCTAATCTTACCACCGAAACCAAACAACCCCACCCAGAATCCCCAGATCCCCAAGATAGCGTTCCCCATCCCGACTCCGACACTGACAGCTTGCCCCACGCTCTGGTTGTTGTAGATGAAGAACGCCGAGAGGGAGAGAAGAGAGGATATGGTAAGGAGGATCGATAGGCGGAGAGCTGTCGTAGGTGGCAGAGCCGGAACGGGAGGAGGGAGGGATGTAGTGGAGGAAAGCGGGGGGAAGGGAGGTGCAGGACTGTTTGGAGAGGCGATCTGAAGGGGATCACAATATGTTGGGTGTAAGAGGAGCCATAGTATAGAGCTTCGATTCGTATGGGAGGAGAGCACTCACGATACAAGCCAACACTACCGCAACACCCACACATCCCCAACCAAGCTGTTGAGCTAAGAGTTTCTCCAGCGGGGTCAGATCGTCATAGTGTTGCCCCTTTTTATGACTGGACGCGAGGTTGAAAGAAGGGTCGTTGTTGGACTGGGCTAGGAAAGCGAGGAGACGGGGAAAGAGGAGGAGAGGAATGGCAAGGAGGAATAGCCTGCGAAGTAGTCGTAGCATCGAAGGTGACTGAGATATGAGCAGCGATTCTACAGAGTTAGAGAGCGGCTGGAGCCCTTATCGAATGCTCACCAGCTGAGTGCGGTGATCGCCCAGTATCCGATCACGTCAAACGAATCGTCATCCCCCTCTTCATGCTCGTGGGTGAATGGTAACTTTGATTTGATGCTATCCATGACGCTTGGATCTTCATGAGAAGTAGAAGGTCCGGCTGGGATCGTAGGTTCCGAGGTGTTGACATTCCGGCGTCGAGGGAGTTCGGGAGGAGGGTCTCGGGATGGTGGGGGTGGGTATTGGGTCGTCATTTTACAAAGTCCGGTGATAAGATAGCTCGAATGCTTCACTAAAGCTGAACCTCGGAAGATGACAAGCGATTGTAGTTATAAGAAGACTGTGAATAGTCAGAATCCGACGACGTGGAATGTAGAAAAGGAAGCTCGAAGAGCAACAATGGTCGTCCTGCTCCCAAAGGTAGCTGACGTCATCACCAAGGATCCACGGACATCCAATGGTTTTGAGGGTTAGAGTGGTTCGGATGTCCGCTTCATGCCCCCTCCGAGCGAACCCTGATGTTGTCGATGTCGATCAGCATATCGATCAAGTCGCACCCTCTCCAACAAATAGGTCGCAGCCACCTTTAAACGTGGACGCAATAGCAGAAGGTGTTCCATCATGTCGCATGGAAACGAAATCGCTACTGCCCTGGATCCGATCATGGACTCCAGGTAAGTACACCCACCTATCCCTTCACATTCCCGGAGATTCGTCATCCTCTGACCCGCACACATCATGTTTGCTGTATTTCAGTGCATCCCACCCGGAAAAGATCAGCTCGACCATGGATCACTTCACCTACCTTATCGAAAACTCTCTGACATCCAACCAACTGGTCGAGTTTGCCAGATACCTCCTTACTTCATCTTCCGTCCCGCTCATCGTCGGCCGACAAGCCCTGGAATACTTTGTCCTCTTTCTGTGTGGTGGGAGCGGGGTGGACCTTTCTCTCATCAGGCCGGCGAGCAGTAATAGCAGCAATAAACCTACCGAAACGGAGGCAGAACAGACCAACCCTGGACCGGAAAAGTACCTAGATGCACAAGAATTAGAATGGTTCAACAAGGGCGCGGCCTCCTTCGCCAAGCAAGAAGAACAAGGAGAAGAGATTAGGGAGTCCATCGTCCGAACGTTAGTAGGACAGACTTCTGAGCTTCTCCAACCTGGGGGTTGGGGTGAAGATCAGGTCAGTCATCTAGTAGTTGGCTTTTAGCCTGCTTACAAGGCTGATGATGTTCAATGGGCGTACGGGCAGATGATCTCCCTGAAATACCTCTTATCTCATATCCAAGAGACTCAGGAAGAATGGCAAGAAGCAGCAGGGACGCTCAGCTCTATCCCTCTCGAATCCGGTACCAGGTGAGCAGTCTTGGCGCTGTATATCTTGTTCTATCGATGATAGTGCCCTGGAGCTGATTTTCGGGTCGTGTCCTGTTCGCCGTAGGACTCTGTCTGATCAGCACAAGTTGGCGGTCTACATCAAGATCGTCAGACTCTACCTCGAGGTACGTAACGCTATAGATCTGATCGTCGAGGTTCTTGCTAATCACTCATTCCTTCGGGATTCTGTGGTCCATTTCCAGGCGGGCGAATCGGGCTTGGCGCAGACGACCTTCGGTCGGGCGGCGCTCTTGATCCACTTGACCGAGGACAAGGCGACTCAGTTGGCTTACAAGCTGTGTCAGGTGAGAAATAATTGCAACTTTTCCTATTGAAAAAATAGCTAGAACCTCGTTGACGCTGACCGCCGGGATTGATACGCCTCAGGCGAGATTGCTGGATTTCAGTAGGAGGTTCAACGAGGCTGCGAGCAGGTATCACGAGTTGAGCTTCGTCAACGAGATCGACGAAGAAGAGAGGATATACATGCTGTTAGTCTATGAGCGAATTCGCGTAGTAATCTCATCAGGGCTGACGATTCATTGACGATAACTGCTGGCAATCACAGCTCGGCAGCGGTCACTTGTGCCATCCTCGGTCCTGCCGGACCTCAACGTTCCCGTATCCTAGCCAATCTGTACCGTGACGACCGGACCACAACAGCCCTTCCCGCTCACCGCTCGTCCATCCTCCGCAAGATGTTTTTGGACCAGATCTTGCGAGTCGAGGAGATCAAGGAGTTTGAAAAGGAACTCGCCGTGCATCAACTCGCCACGCTTGAAGTGGACAAGAGGTTGATGGCTAGTACCGAGGGAGAAGAGGGGGTCACGGGAAGGAGGGCACCGATCAACGTGTTGGATCGGGCGGTTATGGAGCATAACGTGTTGGCCTGCGCCAAGGTGGGTTGAGCCGTGTATCCGCGGGGACGTGCGAAGATGCTTACGATCTTACAACTTGTTAGGTTTACGACAATATCCGGTTTGACGGACTGGGAGCTTTGTTGGACTTGACGCCGAATGCGGCGGAGGCTATGGCAAGGACGTGAGTCAAAATTGAGAAGCGTTGCTAATACTCGGGACTAAAGCCACGTTGTTTGCACGTCAGTATGATCGAACAGAAACGGTATGTCTGAGTTCGGCGATCCAGACCGCTCTTAATAGGAACATTCGCTGACCTCTCATCTATCAGTCTCCGAGCCTGGATCGACCAGGTCGACCGCTTGATTTACTTTGAGGGTCGATCGAATCAGGATCAAGACGACCTTCAAGGAACTGCCGGAGGTCTGGGCATTGAGCAGGTTGAGAAGCCCGTGGAGGGTATCAGCCTTACCGAGCGTTGGGACGAGAGGATCAAGGAGACGGCGACCAAGGTCAGCGGTCGCTAGTAGCACGACAGAAGACTTTGATGGCTGACGACTAGCTTCATCAATCGCAGGTCGAATTCATCGTCAATCTGATCGAGAGCAAAGATCTGATGGCAAGCAACGGGCAGGCGCCAATGAAAGTCGATTGATTGCGAGTTGATCCGACTCCTTACGAATCGCTCCACACGAGCAACACTTCACGCCCTGTCATGACCCATTCTGTTGTACATGCGACCAAGCACTACGACGCACAATATGCTGCTGTACCGATCGAGAGAAACAAACGGATTATACCTGGGTATATGTTTCATGTCATCGCGTCATGCCACGTCGCTCTATCTCTATCGTTCCCTCTCAAGAAGCAGCAGCGATCGAGAGTCGAGAAATGTCATCGAGACCGGCGGCATTCGGTTCATTCGTCTCGTTGGACGCTGTGCCGTTGTCGAGTCCCACGTCGTCAAATTCATCGTCTGCTCGACCTTTGCCCTTGCCTTGTTGCACAGGAGTTACGACATTGTCGTCTGCGAAGGGCTGAGGAGAGAAAAAGTCGGATGCCTGACCGCGAGGTCGTGGTGTCGTCTGTTCCGTCTCGATACGGAGATCTGGGGTACGCAACGGAGCCGTCGTGGTGGTCGTGGTCTCAGAAGAAGTCCGGCTGTGACCGTTGATAATGTTCAAGCCCGAAGCTAGGGGCGAGATGGCCCTTTGAAACACTTCCTTGACGGGGGAAGAGTCAGCTGGGAACGTTTTGGGCGATCCGAAACTCTCTTGACGACCGCCTTCGAGGTCAATATCGACCATTCCACCGTCTTCTTCGGCTGATTGCTGCGAGGTCCGGCGCGGTCCAAGACCGGGAATCGATGCCAACGTGCTTCGCCTGCGCTCGTTGCTAGGCTTTGCAGTCGCTTCCATCGACATGACCCAACCGCCTCGTAGACCCTGTTCTTCGGCCATGGCGACAGCTTGAGCCGCTTGCACATCTGCGCGAGTGGGCAGATCGAGCGCTCCAGCGGGAGGTGGTGGCAAGATCATACGTTTCCGACGAGATCCACCGCTAGGGGACGCAGAGGGAGGCGAGAGCAACCCATCATGCGACGACGCGTACATTGTGGATTGCGAGTTGTGATATTGACTCTGCTGAGACTGCATAGACCCGCTAGCATGGGCTTCCGGTGATGTCGTGGGGCTATACGGTGTGATCAGACGTCGAGGTGTAGGTGCGACCGGAGCGTCGGAGCTGTAATCCCGGAAATTGCTGCTCGAATCGTTTCGACTGATGGTAGGGGTCTCCATATTCTCCTCCTCGTGCTTGCTGAGCGAAGGTGACCGAGGCATCATCAACAGGGCTGTCTCGGGTCCGGGAGAAGCGGGAGGTTGACCCGGCAATGTCAACGGTTGAGGAGCGGGAATCGATGGGACCAGGCCTCTTGGATCGTTCAGGACTGTACGATGGGGTTCGTGAGCACGTGTCCTTGGTCTGCCTTGTCGCCTTGTATCTCCGACTTACCTGGAATAGCCACCTGTGCGTCCTCTCCGGCGGTAGCAAGCCGCATCCCTCCAAAGCCTAACCCAAGCAACTCATTCGGCCCTGGTCCTCCTCCCATCCTCGCCGACTTTCGCTTATCGATCTTTTCCTGCTGCCTCCTGATCTCTGCCTGGCTCAGTCCCATCCCGAGCTCGTCCCACCGCCTGACACTGCGATCCCACCAAGCCTCGAGGACTCCCCATCCCTTATACTCGCCCGTCAGCCTCAAGGCGGATCCGACCTCGCCGTAAGAATCTCCACCTCCAGAACCGTTCCCGTCGTAGTAGTAAGATTGGTAACCGACATCGTCTTCATCATCCGACCCGGAATCACCGGATTTTTTAGATCCATCAATCTCCCATCCTTCCCCGCTCTCCAGTTCCTCCGCAAAACCGGCCAACCAGCGACCCCATCCTCCTTCTCCTTCTCCTCGGAAGAGGACGCATTTCCTATCAAACTCTCGACCGAAGACGATGACCTGGCCCCATGATCCGCCATCCTCCCCAGGACTCAGATCGACACCGACGTAGTTCCCACAACGATCCGTGATGAGCGGCAACCACCCTCGACAGGCGTATTGCGATTTGATCCATCCAGAGGGGATGGACGACATCATGACGAGTACGTCCGGGTTGTTTCCCGACGTAGGGTCCGATTCTACTCGACGCCAAAAGGTCCATTCCCTCAACGAATCTTCCAAGCTGAGGAACGTCAGACCGAAGAACAGCCCTTCCTTCAGTTCGGAAGATGGATCTTGTCCGTCCACGCAGAGGTAAGAATCTCTGACTGAGGGTGGCAGGACACAGCCGAGCAGACCTTCGGCTTCGGACAATGTGAGCGGGTCCACAGGCGAGTTGAGTGTATCGAGGAGTTCAGGGACGGTGTTGGCAAGGACACGTTGGATGCGGTTCCAAGTCGTTCGCGGGGGTGGGTAGTAGATGAGGGGACCGTTCGGAGAAAATGCGTTGGGCCCGGCCGAGTTGGTTCGCGAGCGAGAGCCTGATGGGCTGGCATTGCGGTTCGGGCTACCGTATGCAAGGAGCAAGTCGATGGACGACGATTGTGAGTCATTATCAGTCGTCCTGCATCGTTCGTGAGCATCGGACAAGTTGATGGGGACTCACCCGAGATTCCGGGAAGCGTTGTACTCGTACCCGCCCTCGTGAGCCTGAGGTGGGTAAGAGAACCCAGGAGCACTGCCTCCGATCATAGAGTTATGTCGAGAACTCGATGCACTCAATCCCTACCCGTACATAACGCCAAAGATGGATGCCAAACATGATCAGCTTTCTTCGGTATGCCACGATCGAACCCTTGCAAAACCCTCGCGACTCACCCCCAAGTTCGCCCGACTCGGTCTACTCAACCCATCAGCGTGTTCCCCAAACGCAGGACTTTCACTCCGACTAGCATCCTGATAGCTCGCTCTCCCATACCCTCCTCCATAACCTCCCGGACTATCGGATCGTTGATGAGAGGAAGGCAAGGAGAATGCATCCCGCGTGGAGGAGAGCACGTCGGGGCCTCTTCTCGCTTGACGATTGTTGTTGTTGTCGAGATTTCGATCTAAAGAGCTAGAAGAGGTGGAAGAGTTGAAGTAGGAGCTGATAGAGTTGAAAAAGCCCGGCATGGTGGTGGTGGTGGTTGAATGGGTTCGCTCCGGGCTCTGTGACGTCTCGCTGTGGTGTGTGTGGTTCGCTTTGGGTCGTGTCTGCGTGATCGACCGCGGACCACCGGGATTGTCGAATAGGTTGCCTTGACCGGCTGTTACTGTCGTATGTCTGGATGTGATGTCTTTCTCGCCGGGATGTCGATGTCGATGTCGATGTGGATGTCGATCTAGATGTTTCTCTGTTTGTCTGAATGTGATGAAAGATGATGACCTCGCTCGTTACGTCGACGTTCCCTTGGCTCGAGCTCGCTGTTGTTGCGAATTTGATCCCGCGCGTGTCCCAACGACCAACCTGCTGAGGATCAGTTCTAAGTGGACAGACAAACACTGCCTTCGAGGATATCGAGTATCAAAAAAATCCAGCAAGGTGGAGGATAACAGGTGATCAAGTATACTCCTTGGCGGCCCGTCGACCTGGGCTGTGCGGTTGCCTTACCAACTCTTGCGGCTCACTTCCCGCTCCCAGGCTCGCAGCCGAAATGGCACGCGCTACTTGAGTAAACGAAACCTTGTTCTCTTTGATTCACGTGAGATAATGATGCATGACCCGGTTTCGAGTTCAGTTATTGGGTAACATACCATGATGACTGCTCAGAAATTTACACACAATCAAGCACTGATACTGAACTTTGCATATCGTACAAAAGGTATCGAGCGTGAAGCGCTAGCGAAAGCGGGGCTGTCGTCGAATCGTCTGCTGCTAATCGATGGTTTACGCCATCTGATCCGAATCATACTGACTTCTTGTTCACGGCGCCCTCGTCCTCGTTCTCCTCGTTCTTCTTGTTCTCCTCGTTCTTCTCGTTCTCCTCCTGCTCTTCCTCTTCGGTATTGTCATTCGAGCAGTTCCTACATGTGCGTCGGCAGATCTTAGCAATGGCTTGCACCTCTGGATGCAATACATCTACTTCTTGACCGCAATGCCCTCGTCATCGTCGTTGTCTTCCGCCTCTTCCTCATCATCATCATCGGTGTTGTCGCTTGGAACTTGGAAGCAGTTCCTGCGTCCTCAAATCGCATAAGGCCCGTCAGCTAGATTTAAGCACAACGTTATAATTCAGCTGGCGAAAAAGCCTACAAGAACGGACCCAATCGAGCTAAAAGCCACGTTTCAGCATGCTGTGCCGTGTCAATCGGATGGAGGGGCGTGATGAGTTCCGTCTAATCCTCTGACTGCTATACCCTGGACAGCATGAAGTACGTAAAGGAAAGGAACTACCGAACCTCCCCAGAGTCGCCTGTTGACAGACGGAGGGTAGTGCGATGCCGCGCTCTCGCTTTCGATTGCGCGACCGATACTGACGACATGAAAGGAAGGAATGTCTCGCCATCTCGCGTTACATTGGACAATACTAGAGTATATACACCTTCGTGTCGAGAGCATGCTAAAGTTAAGCTGTGCCATTCCGTTACTGATGGGATCTAGAGCTATGCCCTTCTCATCCAGCCCTTCTTCTCCCACAACCACAAACACGATCATAGGCACAAACATGAGCGCTTCGAGCTTTACAAGCGATGCTCACACCCAGCAGACCCAAGATCGCACGGAGGAGATTCATCAACTCGGTGGTATCTGTGCGGGACAACTGGCTGAAACTATCAGAAAGGACTGGGAGAAGAATGTCAGTCATCCAGCGACTGACAACCACATTGTCGAAAGTGATTTTGTCTGCATCAAACCGGACGCCGTTGAGAATTGGCAGAAGAAGTGGGAAGGAAAGTATGGAAAGAACAATCTTGCAGTTATAGTGAAGGATATTGCCCCCGTAGATATGGAACCCTTGCAGCCGCAGCATCGTCTGATCATCAAGCCTACTGATTGGCCTTGGAATGGGAAATGTCAATTTTACCATGCCATGGTGTCGATTCATCTTCCTGAAGTGGCAGGCAAGGGACACTCCGGAGAATTACGAACGGAGTACAGACAGAACTTGGTGTTGCCTGCCACCTGGCTCACCTCGAAGGAGAAAGGTACCTGGCAGTCCTCAGAGAGGTTCGTCGTCAGGAACGAGGCGAACCTGGGCGATTACTTCTCTGTAGCGCATACCTGCCCGTCAAGCATGGTCGATCCCACTGAAGTCTTCAATCGGTTCAACACAGTAATCTCTACTTTTCCGGTTACGGACGAAACAATGCCGGTATCCGACAGCGAGGATACCATGGAAACCGCTCCTGAGGCCGTCGGGTGATGTTTCCGATTTATTGAAGGCCGTTCATGACTTGACCGAGCTCTAGACGCTTAGTTCCGTACATCTATGTAGTATACTGTTGTTCTGCACATGTATCTTTCTTCTGTCTGTATATTCAGATGCAATCGTTGAGATGGCGTGCCAGTGAATGAGTATAGATACCGGGAAACTCTTGCCACTTTCTTCTTGTGCTTCGATTTAGGACGGTTCGGGGTTGTCCAGGTCCCCTCCCTACCATATCCATGGGGCGGCGGCATGCTTGACAAAAGAAGCTAGACCTACAGTCGGGAGCTCCACTCTCACCAGCAAGCTTCTTGTGTTCTCCAATGCCTGGCTCGTCAAGGTTGAAGAAGCTGAGAATCAGTAGACCCGAGGGATAACATGAAAGGAAAGGGCGTTTCGCCATCTCGCGTCATATGGCAGAACAGGCAGAAGAAATTCGAGTATATATACATGTAAGTGAGGAAGGAAATAGTGCAGGTCAGCCCGAGCAAATCTCGACAACCCCTACCAACTTTGGCTTCACACTACCTCTTCCTGCCAAAGACACCCTCATCCGCTTCCCGTGCATTCACAACATGAGTCCTTCCCACGATCAGCCGCCAGTCAGCGATGGCACTAGTTGCGAAATAAAGACCATTGATGGGAGTACGAACGAAGAGCCGAACGCCGATGACCGAGACCGGGAAAGAGTGCACAGAGGGTTAGAGAAATTGGCGGACCATCTTCGTATAAGGTGGGAGATGACAGTGAGCGCGCCAAAAATATCTCAGGGAAACTATGTGACACAGGAGAAACGGAAAGAATGGAAGAAAGATTGCAATGGATATCTCGGGAATGGTGCTGTCCTGAAACACCTTGGCGGTGCATTCAAAGTCTGTCTCGGAGAGGTGGATGAGGAAGACTTACGACCTCTCTACCTGAGCGATGGTAGACGAGCGTACCCAATGTTCTTGACTGCCTTCATCCAGAAACGAGCTCGAAGTGAAGGCGGCACAGAACCGTTTGCAATGGTTACGGTGAACATTGTCCTTCCCAGCACCTGGTTGCTGCCGGAAGCTAGGGACGAATGGAACATCTTAGAGGGCCTTTCTAGCTTGGGCAAAGAGTCTGTTTGCGAAGAATCGAATGGGTCTGTGTGCCTTCTCCATCCGAGCAGTGTAGACCTCCAAGCGCTCGTCTATGGGCTGAACGATCAAGTGACGTCAATCGTGGACACGCTTAAGCAGCAGGAGATATCTTATAGTGAGACGTCTTAGATAATGTCCGAGCTGACACTGAACTAGACATTGTATAGGATGTGCCGATTTTGTATATCAATATTCGCTGCTGTCAATTGTGAGATCTTATACAATGCCTTCCGGTACTTCTTCCGAAGGACCGATTAAGCCTTTCATAATCCCTGCATCAGGGCCCTGAGCGGTTCGGGTGCTGTGGAATGCCACATGTGGGTGTACCCACTCACAAGTCAGGTGTATGGTAATCAGCTAAGCCATGATTATGAGCGCTTCAGACAGGCTGTAGTCTCCATCCTTTCATGAGTATAATGTCTTGCCAGCCCAAGCCGACTACGCAGCCGTAAGCATCAGTCAAGATGGAGTCATACCTTTGTCCTGATATGTTTCAAGCTGTGGGGATTTGGAGAAGCTAAGGACAAGGAGACGAGAGGGATATATAGCGCACAGCCGGACGAAGTTGATCGTCGTCGAAATCATCTCACCAGTTACGACGAGCGATCATATCTCTGCATCACCTTTGTACAAACACAACCAATATCATGAGCGCGCTCAGCTCTAGCAAGACCACTCAAACACAGGAGGATTCGGGAAATTTCTTGATCGAACAACACTACATCGACAGGGACTGTGCTAGGCAATTTGCCACCGAGATCCGAGAGGATTGGGAGTCACACGTGTCATGTCCAGACGGCGGGAAGCATGACGAGGCCGGCAACATCTTGCCTGAGGCTCGGTATGAATGGCTGGAGAAGCGGCGTGGAGATCATGCGGCAAAGTTATTATTGGTAACGATATTTTCGGATGCCGTGACCAAATATTCCCCAGCAGCTGGAAAGATGCTCAACCGCAAGTTCTCCTTTAGATTAGGCAAAGATTTCGGTGCCAACTGGGTATCGTCGCCCACTTACCTCGCAGTGGTAGCGGTGTACCTTCAACCTGAAAACAGTCCAGAGCATCACATCAAACATTCAGCGAGGATCGTTTTTCCGGCGAAGTGGTCATCACATATCAATCCTGTTGAAAATCAGACACAGGACACTTGGTTTATCTCCAAGCCATTCCTTGAAAATAGCAATGGCACCTTATACTCCTCGACTGTGATGTTGCCGGAGAGTTTGAATACCACTAAAGATCGTCCACAACTCAACGTTTCTCTGATGGGATTGGGTGATTCCTTGTCCACCATCCCGGACTATGATAGCGAGCTTACTAGATGCTGGTGACTTAACGCTGAAGACTGAGACGGCCTAGTTCTGTATTTTAGCTGTTGTGATACTTGTGGGGGTTCTTGATTGATTATTCCTCGTCATTTCATATACCGATTCGACCTTTCAGATACACATATAGCCGACCTTTCGCTTACAAAGTATATTGATAATCACCTTCTCCCTGTTCCGTTCCGATTTTTGGTCTAGTCCAACTTCTCCCAGCCCATATCCTTCAACGACCACCCGAAGATCTCTCCCTTTTCCATGATATCCCCACTCCCGTAATCACAGCTGATCATCAACTTGCCCGGTTGTTCGTGCACCTTGGAGAGGGCTTCAAAGTCGGCCTTCTCGAGTTCGAAGATCTGCGCAGAGCGGAAGAGAGTGAAGCAAGATGAACATCGGCAAGCAAGCAAGGCGGAGGCAGGAGACGCGATACGGACCTCGAGGTTCTGGGCCATACGGGTTGGGTTGGCACTCTTAGGGACAGCCGACCAGTTGCCACGCTGGACCAACCAGCTCAACGCAACCTGCATATAACAGGCTATAGTGATTAGCACGGCGACCTCACCTTGAGGAAGATTGATCGTCCGATTCAACGTGACTCACAGCAGCAGCGGGCTTCCCATACTTCTCTCCCAACCCAATTAAGACCTCGTCTTTCAACACCTTGCTCCCGACCTCGGGCTTGGGCTGTCCAATAGGACAATAAGCAGTCAAGTGGATGTTCTTCTCCGCGCAGTACTTGTGAAGGGAGGCTTGGGGATGGTAGATGTTGGCTTCGACCTGCGAGACGTGGCAAAACGAGATTGTAAGGGGAGCGGGAAGTGAGTTTCACAGAAAAATTGAATTCATGATGTTTGGAGAAGAGTTGGCGAGGCTTACCTGGTTCACGGCCGGAACGATGTCGGCAGATTTCAACAAGAATTCCAGGTTCTCTACCGAAAAGTTCGATACCCTGTCCCACCGCATCGACGCAATCAGCACCTGGTCTTCATACCATTCCTGGTACAGACTCCCTTGAAAGGAAAAGCTGAACGTACCCGATGGATCGACACTTGCCACCCTTAACAAGCTTTTCCATCTCTTTCCACGTCTCGACGAAAGTCGGGGATTGGTCCTTGGGAACCCAATCGTCTCCCTTTTTAGCTTGAGGCCAGTGCATCAGCTGTAATATACCATACGAAGCAAATCAATCAGTCCTAAAGATTTCAAAGACATAATCCGGGCGACACTCACGAACAGGTCGATGTACTCGATATCAAGCGCATCGAACGACTTCTTGAAATGACCCTCAACGTCGTCATGTCCGTCGAATCCGAGCTTGGTAGTGACAAAGATCCCGGATCGGGGAATGTCGCTGTCGCGGACGGCTCGACCGACAGCTTTCTCGTTACCGTATCCTGCGGCCTGTGAAGTCGACCCCGGTTTGATATGAGCTTATTTGGAGTACGTAATATCGGAGCAACATGACTCACGGTATCGAGATGACGGTACCCAGTCTGCCAACAGGAACAAATCACACATTCTGAGTTACAATCCTCTTGTATTTGGAGACAGAGCGAGTATCTGCTTACCTTGAGGGCTTGAACGACCATTTCATACGTCTCCGGGTTGTCGCCTTCGACGGGTTTCGACATCCAGCATCCGAGCCCGAGAGCGGGGATCTGTTGACCGTTGTTGAGTTTGATGGTGGTAGCAGGCATTTTGACAGGAGTTCAAGGAGATTGCAATGTACAACGTGGATACTTCACTCGAAGTGCGATAAATAATGTAATTATGAGTGGATGAGTGGATGAGTGGCCAGTGGAGGAGATGGATATCGCGGTAGGGTATATATATATATATAGACGCGATAGACGACAAGCTAGGAGATGGTGCTGGCTGACCTCCACATTCCTCGATCCATCACGCGTTACGTCATCAAACATCGGCCCGACCATCATGCCGAAGTACACGGCATATCATTATTACACTCCGAAACATCTCTTCGCAATGGAATGGTCTACGCTTGTCATGCCTGTTGTTAATTATTACATCTGATGCGGACCTCAAACCTGATCTGCCATACTCTCCGATCAATGCGTCTCTTCGGGCTGCACTTGATCAGCCTTGCCCAGCGTATGCGATGGGTTGCTCTGGAAGAACTGGTTGTAAGGTACCAACTTGGCCTTGGGGTTCAACGTCATCCCAAATCCAGGCTTGGTCTCATCCAGGTCGATCTTTCCTCCGATCGGTAGAGGCTCGTCCAAGAACAGATCGCCGAAACACGGGTGGATGGATTTGCCATCGGGACTGTTGGCGATGTATTCGCAGAATTGCGAGTTGGGGAAGCTCATGATGGCCTGCGCCAGTGGAGCAGATCAGCAAAGGTTTTCGACCTGTAACTTCCAAAATCGGGACTTACGTGGTAAGAGTAGGGCCCGGATCCGTGCGGGACAAGAGGGATATCGTGTGCCATGCACAGCGAGTTGACCTTCATCAGCTCGGTCAAACCGCTGCCGAAACGAGACATGAGATCAGCCACTGCTTCGCACCGAATCAAATGTACCACCCCGACTGCGACTTACCCGACCCACATCACATCCGCCTGCAAGATGTCTACCGCCCTATCCTTGATCAACTCCCTACACCCATACCTGTTGTACTCGTGCTCTCCCGTCGTCCACGTAACCGTAGGCATTCGCTCCTTTAACAACTTGTGCCCGGCCACATCGTCCGGGTTCAAGACCTCTTCCCACCACTTGATGTTGATCCCCTCGTCGATACATTTCTGGGCGAGCTGGACGGCGTAATGGACGTTGAGGGACATGTAGCAGTCGACCATGATCGGGAAGTCGGGGCCGACGTCGGCTCGGCACTTCTTGAGGAACTCGACGTTCTTCTTCATCCCGGTGTCGCCCTCGTGAGGACCGTGCGGCAGGGGAACCTATCAAGCCACGATCGCAAGATTCAGCCCGACTCGCTCAATATCTGCTGAGTTTCATACCTAGACTCACCTTTCCACCCCAGAATCCCATCCTCTTGGCCTCGGCCGGCAAAGGCCCAGTCAGGTACAACGGAATCTCCGGCTTGGTCCTCCCTCCGATCATCTTGAAGACGGGCTCGTTCCTGATCTTCCCCAGCAAGTCCCAAATGGCGAGATCTACCACGGAGATGGCTAAGATGGGCAGACCTCGTCGGCCGTAGAACATCGAGGCTCGGTACATCTGCGAGTCGCCAAGTATATGGTAACGTCAGCCTCGCAATTCGTTTCCGCTGTAGTTATTGAGTTTGCGACGCTCACTTGCTCCCACATGACATTAGTGTTCCTGGGATCCTGGCCAACGACGAATCGCTTGAAATGCTCCTCGATCAACCAACAAGCAGGAGGTCCTCCGAACCCGGTAGCGTATCCGACGGTCCCGTCGTCAGCGGTGACCTTGACAAAGAGCGAACCCTGAAGATCGAAATGAAGCATTCAAGGCGAGCAGAAAAGTGTGTCCACTCGGTCAGGATGCTCTGAGATGGCAGCGAAGAAACTGGGAATGGACTTACAAGGACACCGATTCCCCAGATCGTACGGGAAGACGCCCATTCGGGGAACATGCTCATGGGGTTCGAGATGTTTCCTTGGACGACTACAGAGCGGTTGAATGAACAATGAGGAACACAGAAAGAGGAAAGGCTGTGGTCAGTCTCCTTTCGAAGTGGTCGCAAATAGAAAAGAGAGGTCGAGGACTCACTCCAGTGGTCAGTCTTTTGACGATGGTAATCACCGCCGGCTCCTTCGCTCGAGGGTACAAACGTCTCGATCGAGACCTGTCAATCATCCGAGGTCAGGCTATGATCGACTTGTGGCAAGGATGAGAAGGCAGAGAGAAACGTAACGTACGATCTTGGGGAAAGGGGTGGTACCGTTGGCCGACATGACGTTTCTCGTATCTCGTTTCAGAGTAGTGTTCAAAAAAGGTGAGTCCAGTTGAATTAGACAGATTGCAATCAGAAGTTAGGCAGGGAGATTCGATGAGTCCCAGTTGTCCATCGCCGACCAGATGCCAAGTAGCTCGTAAACCTATATACACGGAGCTGAGGAAACGGTCGGTACAACCTCGTCCCGAGGGTCGACTGGCAAACTGTCCGGGTAGCGCGGTTGTATGGGTTTCGGGGAAACAACGCGCCGGGGCGACGGCCGGACCGGGGCTAGCGGGTGCTTACGTTATACTTACGTTAATGGGATCGCAAGCTCTTACTCCGTTGATCGCTCGCATTTGGCAACAACGCAGCATCCAATCCCGGTCTCAAGCTATACATCGGGGTACATACAGGACAGGGCCGACGGGAGACCGTAGTGCGATTGCTACGAAAGGGATACCAATTAGACGGCCCCTTCTGCCGGTAGACCTGGCTCAATTGGCTAGCGACATGCTTCGGATGGCTTGTTCCTTAGCCTCACCAACCGTGGATCAAGGCGAAATGATAGCATAGCCTCATTTTGTCGTCAGCGTCCAGTACATCGTGGATTTGCAGCTCTGCAACGTAAATCGAGATAATGACCGATCCCTCGAAGCGCGTGAGAAAATGGGAATTGATGTCAAGCGGAAGCAAACAGCCTCGGAGGAACAAAAGGGGCGCCTGAGATTTGCGTTTCATGTTTCTTCTCATGCTCCTCATCAATTCGATCAATTCCCATCAATTTCCATCGTTTCGGCTCGAAGCGGTAATTTCCGCAAAGAGAAGATATGATGATCAATCAGATGCATCAGATGGGAAGTCATGGTTGAGGGTTGACGATGACGTCGAAGTTGGTGAACACCATTATCGACATCAACACGAAGCATACAATCAGGTTGCGATGACTTTTAGCATGCGTGAACAAGCAACATAACAACCACCGGTTACCGCATCAAGCGTGTTCGAAGGAAGTGCAACGTCAAAGTCTTAAGACCCAGGGAGATCTGATCTCGATCATATAATCCAGAAAACAATCTACCTCACGCGGTTTCGGGTCCACTTATTGTGAAAACGACAACACGTCAACAACCCCCGGATGTTCAGCTTCAAACGAAACCCAACCCCTTCCTCTTCCCCCTCCAAACGTCCAACTCTCTTACCGCCTCGCCCATCTTTCGCCCACTCTGAATCCAGGGCAGGGTCTCCTACCGGGTCTCATCGGGATTCTTTCTCGAGCTCGGGAGCTAGATCTCCTTTGGCCTCTCCGGCTCTCTCGCTATCCAACCGAGATCGAGATGGATACTTCAATCTTCCTCTTCCTCCGACATTTCCTGGAGAACCTGTAAGAGAATGGTCGGAGGAAGAACAACAAGCTCTTCGGCTCAGCGTCGTCGAGGATATCAAACGGGCGGACGATATCCTTCGGCTACTCAAGGTGCAGAAAGAACTGTCTTCCCAGCTAGCTGGGGTCCAGAAGGAATTAGGCGGGGCCTTGAGGAAGTTGGGAGGTGGAGAAGGGTTGCCGGCTGCCGTCCGTGAGTTTATCTGAATCAACCTCTTCGTCCTTCTCGGCTGACGACTTGCTTGCTGACGTCGCTCGCCCTGCTCTATGTCTTGCTCGCTGCACATCACCTACTCCTTCGACATAGCCCTCGCCTTGACACCCTGCTCGACGACATCATCTGAACTATCCGCCGTCTTGCAAAAATCTATGAAGACCAGTTCCAAAGAGCTAGATCGTATGGAGACTGTGCTTTATAAACATAGCAAGGCTGTCAAGGTGAGCTCAGGATGCGATGGACAGGCAAACAAGAGAGTTATCGATTGCTGACGAAAGTGCTTCGATCGATCATCTATGCCAGAGAGAATATAACGCTCTAGACGAGGTCATCCTCATCAATGACAAGCGTATGGCAGCTGCCGGTAAGTTTGCCGTTCATCCTATCAATTCACCCTCGTGATCAGCCCATAAAGTCAAGCTGACTGTCTCTCGCGAAAATGGTACCTCATTTCGCTCGGCAGAGAAACCTCTGCAAAACGACTCGTCCTCTTCTTCCCGCTCTGGACAGGCAAAGGGAGGGATCGGGATGGCTCATGAGAGGTATCTGAGGGTGATCAGCGGGTTATGCGACGATTCTGCTCAGAAGAAACGGTATGTCCCTCAATTTTTTGTCTAGTCTCGTCGAGTGTATCTCCGTTCCCATCTTCCCATCGAGACGCTAACGTACTAATCATACTAACCGTAGATCCACTGCGGAATCGATCGCTTCTCAACATGTACTCGCGATCTCCCGCCTTTCCGCCTCCATCTGTCAGTCGTACCAAAACCTTTTTGATGCCACCGCCGAGAGCATGAGGGTGGGAGCGAGCAAGGTTGGAGAGATTCGATATGCGGGGATCCTGGTCGGAGAGAATTGGAATGACGATGTTCCCGGTCAAGGAGGTCAGGAGGAGGTAGAAGCGGGAGAAGAGACGGTTAGGTGGAGACGTTCTGAAGGTCAGAATGGAGCTGGACAGGGTGGGCTAGTGGGACAAAAAGGAGATGGCCAGAGGAATGTCTCTGATCGACCTAGACCTCAGGGTAAACGGTCTATGCCAGTCCCGCCTTCTTATACAAACCCCAGCCGAACGACGAGTTACCCGTCGACGATTGCCACCACCTCGCAATTATCGTCAACCACCTCAGCCTCGCTTTCCCCGCTTACTCCGACCGATCAAGATAGGTCGCCCGTCGATTTTGCCGCTAGGTCACATTCGATCCTCTCTCCCACAACGCAGACATCATTTGGGGTACTTCGTCAAACAGGACCGGGGCAAGGGCCTTCGAGAGACGAGCCGGTTCGGGACGAAAGAAAGGGGCATCGACCGACTTCGAGCGTTTCTGATCGGATGAAGCAGTTCGAGAATGGGACGATCGGGTCGCATGCCAGTCAGGCGTCCAGGTAAGTAATACGAGCAACGGTTAAGGACAAGGCGAGACACATGCTGAATTGTTAACGTTTCCACCCAACAGCGCATCGTCGAACCGTTCTGGAATGTCTAGACCTCCTAATACCCGGCCGTACAGCTTACCAGCAGTCGCCCCTCTACGCTTGCCCGCACGGGAACCACCGCCGCCAACAACGGATTATCGGTCCAAGGAACGAGAAGTTCCGAGAGATTACTCGCGATTGCCCGTGCCGGCTGCGGCATCGCCGACGGTCTCTTCTGGTAAGATGTCCTCTGACGGAGGTGGTGAGAAGGTCAGAAGGTTGAGCGGGTTGTTCGAGCGCAAGGTGAGCAGGCTGTTATGGGACTCGCGTTTGCTCTAGGCTACTTATACAATTCCATACATGCCAGAATGACGCCAGCGGCAGCAACGGCATTCATGTGCAACGCGTCTCGCCGAGTCCGCATTCGAGGCACGGAACCGGCTGCATGTGTCCAAACTGTCACGTCGTCAATACTGCCAAAGCGTAGGTCTCCGCACGCCTCCGCAAAGCTTGCCGGCCGGGGCTGAAGGAAATCTTCCTACTGCAGCTCGACGATCCGTCCCGTAATGCCGCATTCTCCGTCGTTGAGACCAGGACTGCCAGCCTCTCGCCAGTCTACCAGCTCGATCCACTCCTTTTCCGACGTAGAAGTGAGACAACCGAGTCCGAAACGCCTCAGTCAGAAGATCGACCGGGAGCTTGCAGCTTTGATGAGTGTCGAGGCGGCTCGAGGAGGCTGACGGATTGGTGATTGATAGTCGCTTCGCTTCGATTTTGTTTTGTTTGGATAGGTTCCAGGAGGATGCCCAAGTTGTATCGTTGATCTATGCTTATAATATGCATGCGTCAGTTTGGCTTGAGCATTGTTTTCCGGCTCTTTTAAAGTTGTTCCGCCAATCTCGCAAGATTGGAAGACCACGGCACTGCGACCGGCCGAATGCTGTCCTGATTTTCATCTATTCCATTCCATCTTCTCTTCCCTGTTACAAATGCTACTCCCGCTCCGACCTCGTTCCGAGATCCTTCTTTTTCCGACAATTCTCCATGTCGATGTTGTTTACTTGGACAGAGCGGATTGGATCGACTCGAAGACCTCGACCTCGATACGGGCCTCGGCCTTGTCCTGCTCGGTAGCGTTGGATCCGATGACACGCTGGGCATCGGCGAGACCGGCTCGGACGGCCTGTTCTCGGTTGCATTTGTGGTGGTGCAGACGCGTGGTTTCGGGATAGATGAGGGGTTATAGGTTGAGATTTGGAATGAAGTCGAAAGAGCAGAGCAGAGAAGCCATCAGTAAGGGTCAGTGACAGAGGAGAACGTGGGTACGCACCTCGGGAGAGAATTTGTCCAACTCGTAAGCCTCGACGGCGTTGATGGTCATCGAGTTGTTGGCGTGGACGGTAGCGAAACCAGCAGAGACTGCATAATACAAGCATTATTGTTCAGCTTCAGCCAGATGTTTCGGCAACCCTATCCAACGGGCAGCTGACGACGCACCGAAGAACTTCTTGGAGGAACCGGCAGACTCGATGACCTCGACGAGACCAGGTCGGAGAGCCTCGACGGTGGGAACGTGGTTGGCGAGGATACCCATGTCACCCGAAACAGCGGGAATGTTGCTACGTCGAGCGAGAAACGAACAGGCACGTGTAAGAATTAGTGCTTCTGCAACTTTCGTCATGTGCCGTCTCCTCTGGTGCTCCACTCACACTTGAGTGACACCCTGAGTCGAGAAGATGGCCTGAATGATACGCGACAAACGGGATAATTAGTTGAGATGCTATGTCAAGCGTGGGCGATTGTCGACCCCTGCGACTCCTGCTACAGCCTCTCCAGATGAAAAGGCCGCCAACTCGGGAGACCTGTCTTGGTTATCCTGATCCGGGCTACTCACCTGGTGGGGCAAGACCAAGCTCAACTTGAGAGCACCATCGGCAACATCGGCATATCCTCGTCGAGCGACACCGGCAGCGGCACGGAGGGTGGTTCGGGCGGTGGGGAAGAACATGGTCGAGGTCGAACGTGAGAGAGACTGTTTTGTTACAAGAGGAGAAATAAGGCTAGGGGAATGTTGTTACAGCTGAGCTCGTCCAGGTCGACATCATCATTGCTTGCCGTTCCGAACGGGCCAGCGTTTGTGAGGTGAAGGGTTCGGATCCGAGATTACGCGCGCTTCGACTGGGGGGGGGTCGCGCTTCTAGGTGGGAAACATGCACCCGCGCGTCAACCACAACGCCAGAAACGCCTTCTTGAGCTTCTTGAGCTTCTTGCTTGTAATCTCATCGGTTTCCTTTGCGTTTACACCCAAACACACAAGACTCATCAGCTACCTATAAACGAATCTGTCATGTCGTCCGTCTCTCCACCCTACCGTCTCGCCGAAGCGCCAGGGAAGAACCACGGTCTCTTCGCCACCCGTCCCATCGCGACGGGCGAACTGGTCATCTCGGAAGCCCCCCTCTTCACAGCTCAAGGCCTGTTCGAAGTCGGTCCAGCGGTCCAGAGATTGAGCGCTGCTGAAAAGACCGTCTTTGAGGCTTTGACCGACGCTTATTGTCCTGACAAACCTACCCCGGTGACCAGGTTCAAGACGAACGCGCTTCCCCTCGGGGTAGGGTCGACCCGGGGCGGGTTGTTCCCCCAGATCAGCAGGATCAATCACAGTTGTCGACCGAACGTGCATCATTCGTGGTGCGAAAAGCTCGGGAAGGAGGTCATCTACGCCTCGTCCCCTATCGCGCCAGGTGAAGAGATCCTGACGACCTACCTCGAACCGTACGCTTCGACCGAAGAACGTCGACGGATCCTCGCGACCGACTTTCGGTTCGTCTGTCGATGCGACGTCTGTGAACGCGCTGATCCTGCCAACGACGCCCTCCGACAAAAGATCGCCCAGCTCGGGGATAAGATCTTGTATACCTCCCGCAGGGATCCCATCGGCGGCTTACGGTTGGCCAAGGAACGACTGAGATCGATGGAAGAGGAAGGTTCGGGGGATCCCGCCGAATACTCGGTGACGCACTACGACGCCTACCAGACCTGTATTGCCGTCTCCGACCTCGAGGCGGCCAAGCGGCATATGGGCCTCACGTACGCCTACCGGTTGTTATCCGAAGGACCTGATAGCGCGGAGATCCCCCGAAACCTATCCTTGTACAGGAGTCCGGGGTCGCACCCTGCCACGGGTATGCACGGACGGAGGACCATGCCCGGTATTTGCGATGGATGTGGCAAAGAAGCCGCCGGAGGTGGTGGGAAAAAGGGGAAGGGCGCATCCAAGCTCTTGGTCTGTGAAGGTTGCAAGTGCGCGATCTACTGCGACAAGGAGTGTCAGGCGAAGCATCGGGCGTTGCACCAGGCCGCTTGCTCGGTGCCGGACGTTTGAGGTAGGAAAGGCAGGGTGGAAAAGGGCGCTTTCAAGCGTACATTACATTTACGTTACTATGGACTGACGAATTACGGACTGCGACATTACGAGACTACGAGGCTACGATATTACGGACTGAAGAAATTACAGACTGACGACGCATGATGTTACGGATTGACGGCCGGGGTTTCAGCCGGCGATACATACGATATACGATAGATATGGCCTCGAGAATAGCATGCTCTGAATAGTAGATATATAATATACCATATCGTACGATTTACGCGACTACTTTCGCCTGCTTTGATCGACTGCTAGACCCCGAGTCTAGCGGATGACGAGCCGGTTGTGAAATTACACGATGAAACCCGGCGCGGACGGAGGAAATCCGAATGATGATGCCATGAGTTTAATGGTCGACGTTGTTGTTGCACCGTCGTGACGAGACGTTCCGTCTCTCGGATGATTACAAAGGAAGACGGGCCTAACCAGTCCTCGTCTACCTGACTCTGTCTGTACAAGTTAGCTATAACCAGACCTTTCTATTCGCTGTTGCTGATTGATCGTTATCTTTCTTGGTCATCCCCCTCTTTCTAATTGAACCCGCGTCTCTCTCCAACTTCTCCCGTGACTCGCTCGACCTCGCTCGCTCGGACCATTTCTAATAACGTCGTCCTCGCCCGAAATCAATCTCGACCACTCCCATTCAACAACACCTTGTAACTCTTGCAAACACATCCATCATCATCTCTTTTACAATCTTGACCGCCAAGGGACCATCGCAAAGTATGAGCAGGAACAACAAGATGCCAGGTGGAGGTGGATTCGCACCCGTCCTACCGGCTACCGGTAAGTTCCGAGATCGCAACATCTGACGATCTCGTTGTCGTCGTCCAGAGTTCAGCTTCCCGTAGATCGTCAGATCGCTGATCTTCATCTCTCGCTGCTGTGTGTTCTCTCTGCTGTATATCGCTCTTTGTTCTGGCTGGGTGAAATCGCAGGCCTCCACTCGTATCACAACGACTCTCCTCCCTTTTCAGGAGCTACCAACCCAGCTTCTGGGGAACCCGAGCCGTTGCACCTGAACGGACCCGATTCGCATACACATGGGTACGGACATGGACATGGTCACGGAGGAAACGTGAACCAGGCGGGACCTTCAAGGAGTTCTTCTTCTTCCTCTTCGACAGGGGCTGGAAATGGGCGGACGACGCAAGGTCTCCTTAACCCGGGGGTGGATTCGAATTCGACCCAGAATCAACTCAATTCAAGCCAGAACCAGAACGATCTGCACGGGCCGGATTCGAATTCGCAGTCACATGGCAACACATCGTCGAGCTCCAACCTCAACCACATTTCCAATTCGAACCCGAACTCTTCCTCGAACCTTAACCCATCTCGACCCAAGATCGACCGGGTCCTCACCTCCCCTACGGACGTCTCCTACTCTTCATCCCGTTCTCGTCGTCTAGTCTCCGGGTACATGTTCGGGAACCCGCCAGAAGAGAAGAGTCTGAAGAATAGAAGGGATTCGGAGAGTACCGTGAGGAGGTTGAGCGTCGTCGGTGACGACGGTTTGAACAAGGATAGGGGTGGTACGGATAAGGAGAGCTTGGAGAATCGGACGATACACGGGCAAGAAGAGGTCCCCGAAGACCAGAACGAAGAGGAACAAGCAGACGACACCCCGCACCCTCTCCGACCTCGTCCTTCTTCAGCCCATTCGTTTACGACCAACCCGACCTCTCAACCCGACGAAGAGAACCTCTCCGTGGCTTCTTCCCTGAGAAACTCTCCTAGGGATTCACCGCTCGTCTCCCCCGGTCGTGGGCTTTCGTTCGATAACGGCCGGTACGAAGACGCTTTGAACGGGGTGACGGATGGAGAGGCCGATGCGGATGTCAGGGCGATGCAGGCGACGGGCGGGGGGAGTGAAGGGTTCATGCAAGGGTTGGAGGGGGAGGAGGGGAGGTATAACTTCCCCACGCATAGGTTGAGGAGGAGGATGAAAGGTGGGTGTCCGGTGGTCTTGGTTGTCGCCTAGGCGATGTTCGGGGGAAACGTCGAGGAGCTGATTGTTCTCCGACCTTTTCTTCCGGGGTGATGCTCTTAGACGAGGACAAGGTGCCCTTGGTCATCGTCGCCTGTGGGTCGTTCTCACCTCCGACGTATCTGCATTTGTGAGTTCAGTCGTACTCGGATCGACCCCCTGGGTGTCTGTACCGACGCACGTTCATCCACATGACGGACATGACAGGCGAATGTTCGAGATGGCCAAGGACGAGATTGTCGAGAGCCAGACGTTCGAGATCATGGCCGGTTACTATTCCCCAGTGTGAGTCGGCGCCTGTAAAAATCTCCCATCGACCGTCTCCCTTGAGCTGACTTTGGCTGAATCCGAATGACAGCTCGTCGTACTACAAGAAATCCGGTCTGGCGCCCGCTCACCACCGAGTGAGAATGTGCGAACTCGCCGTGGAACACACCTCTACGTGGTTGATGGTCGACCCCTGGGAAGCCGGTCAGCCAGAGTACCAGCGGACCGCCGTCGTGCTGGACCATTTCGACGAGATGTTGAACGGCAAGGATGGCGAAGGCGGGGTGGAGATGCGGGATGGGACGAGGAGGAAATACAAGGTCATGTTGCTCGCGGGCGGAGATTTGATCGAGAGTTTCGGCGAACCTGGGGTATGGTCGGAACCCGATGTGAGTCGTCGAGCGTCGTCCCGACAGCATTATGCCGAGGATCCTTCAAGCTGAAGCTCGCACTCGCAGTTGCACATCATTCTCGGTCGATTCGGTTGTCTGATCGTCGAGAGGGCTGGGTCGGACGTCTGGGCATTCTTGCTCTCGCACGACATCCTTTACCATCATCGGTAGGTCGTCCCCGTCACTTGTACATCGATTGGCGAATTCTGCTGATCACTGTTGAATATTACAGACGCAACGTTATTGTAATCAAACAACTGATCTACAACGATATTTCGTCGACCAAGGTCAGACTGTTCGTGCGTCGTGGAATGAGCATCAAGTGAGTCTGCTATGCCGTTTGTGCTACAGACGGGACGTTCTGACTGACATCTCGATGCGACTCTGCCATAGGTATCTACTGCCCAACAGCGTCATCCAGTACATCAGCAAGAACCTGCTTTACCGCGAACCTGATACTAAGGCTATCCAATCTTGAGCGGACTGAAGTAGGACGCGAAGAGTTTCAGTAAAGGGATGTTGTATGTCATGCAGAAAAGGCGGTGGGAACAGGCTTTGTACAGGAAAGGGAAGACTCTTGTGTCGGTTTCGTCTGGTTGTATGGATTTCGCAGCATTATTATAGACTGTCCTTTTTTGCCCTTGCGTTTTGAGCAGCGCGTCTCTTTGCCAATTGGCGCCAAATCAAAATCACAATCGAGGTAACGCACTTGAGCTAAGGAGCAGCAGCGGCGCCGGTCACCGATCGCCCATGATGTTTGATTAGGTTTGAAAGGAACGACTAGCTACTAGAATAACCGAGAACGACGAATGACGGACGACGACGACAGAGAATCGAACGACAGAGCAAGACGCTCGGTTACGTAAGATCTACGTAAGCAAATAGGTGACTGTGTAAGCACGATCGATACAAGGATGCGGTGTGCAGACCTGACACCTGAGACGTACCTTTGCCTTTGGGCCTGTCGTAACCCTAGTCCTCTGTTTCCTGGGGACACCAGGAGCGACAAGAATGCCGCCTTCAGATTGACGCTGAGAAGTAGAAGAAGGTCCGGCGGCGGTAGGTTGAGCAAGGAAGCTAGTGAGGGGCTGGGCCGGTTGTTGCTTAGACATCACAACCGCTCCAGGTTGTTAGAACACGCAGAAGAACAAGGTTGGACGGTGTGCTTCAAACCAGGCGTCCCCTAAGAATTATAGTCTCCTCTGCTCTCTCCAGTATCCAAGGGGAACATTTGATCCTGTCCGGAATTTTTGACAAGCTGTATGAGAGCAAAGACGAGGGGTCAGTAGGTCATTTTGGTGCGACTGCATTCCTACTGACCTGTAAAGATAGATGTTCCGTGGCGCTGGCAATGGGGCTGTCCGGCCTCAACCTGACCGCCAACTCCCAGGTGTCTGATCCCAGACCCGCTTCCAGCCCAGTCCCAGTCGATGCTGCCCCCGCAACTCTGAACGATGGTGGAAGCAGCACCCTTGGGGAATTTTGCCATCCATCTAGCATCGTTCAAGACGCCTTCATTGCCTGCCGCTTGTTTCGAGGCTTCCTTGGCTTGCTTCGAGGCTTCCTTGAACTCCTAAACGGAACTCTTCCATCTGTTGCGCTGAGAGGGCACACCTTCCTAAAGGTACATTACAACTCAGGAACAATCAACTATAAGGCCTGGCAGCCGACCTGCCGGGTCTTGAGGTAATAAGGTCGCGGGACTGGGGAAAGGTAACGGTAGGCATAGTAATGTAATAACGGATGTCTAACTACTACAAGGTACTAGTTAGACGTCTACGAGAACATCTCCTAAAAGGTCTCCGAGAGAGTCCCCGAGAGGGTCTCCGAACGAGACCCCGAGGCGACGCGCACCGTAGGTCGCGCGTCACGTGACGCCTATAATAGGATCCCCCTCCTAGATGCGAGCTCCGAACGCATCAAGCATCGCCGTACTCCTGACGGCCCGGTACCGGCAACTCAGGGTGTCGCTTATGGAATTCCAGCACCAGCGTGTCGTTGTGGTGGAAGTCCGAGGGGCTAACCCACTCGTTGTGCTCGTCCCCGTACCCCTCGAAGCGCACGTAGTACTGAGTCCTACGCCCGGCGCGCGTCGAACGCAACTCCTTGGAGTGTACGATTTCCGATACCACCCACCCCAAATCCCCGGTGTCCAGCACCTCTGGCTCAGGGGGTGGGTCTACTGCTCTCCCAGGAAGCTCGTTCGGCTTGTACGGGATTAGCAGCGAGACATGGAACACCGGGTGGATCCTACGCATCCCCGGTGTCAACTCCAAACGTCGCGCCATGCGACCTTCTCCTACGACCTCCGTGATCTTGAACGGGCCGTAGGTCTTCCACTCCAACTTCTTGTTCGGCCTCACGGTATTGACGTGGGCCGACGACAACATCACCATGTCGCCAACATTGTACCCCTCGTCCGGTACCGCCGTACGCTTCCGATTCGCGTACTTCGCCATATCCTCTCGGGCCTGTCTCAGCGCGACATTAACAGACTCCCAGATGTTGTTCATCCGCTCTCTGTACTCCTGTATCGACTCCACAGCCGAATCCTTGGCGATAGGCATGGGGAGTTCGACGGCGTGCTCCCGCCCTTCCGATGCCATGAACGGCGACATACCGATCGCCGAGTGTTTCGAGTTGTTGTAGGCGAACTCCGCCATGGGCAACAAATCGGTCCAGTCGTCCTGCTGGTAATTGACGTACGTCCGCAAGTACTGTTCGAGCGTCGAGTTACTGCGCTCCGTCTGACCATCCGTCTGGGGGTGGAAGGCGGTCGAATAACTAGGCTCGACACCGGACAACTCACAGAACTCCCTCCAGAACCTCGATGTGAACAGCGTTCCCCTGTCCGAGATGATCTGCCGGGGAAATCCATGCAATCGTACCCACTCCTGCAGGAACATCTGCGCCAACGCCTTGGCGTCGTTGTCCTTCCGACAAGGCACGAAATGTGCCCGCTTGCTGAAGCGGTCGACGATCACCAGGATCGCGTTCGAACCCCTCGACTCCGGTAGGTCCGTGATATGGTCCCACGTGATCGACTGGTAGGGTTCCGTCTCCGCCTTCAGGGGAGCCAGCTCCCCGACTGGCTTGGCCCTTGGCCTCCGATTCCTCTGGCACTTGTCGCAGCTAGCCACATACTGGCTAATCCACGCCTTCATACCCGGCCAGTAGAAATCTCTACTCACCAGGTCCTCCGTCTTGTCCCGCCCGTAGTGTCCGGCGGTTTTCCCATCATGGAGCCTCTTCAGGAGCTCCGTCTTCAAGCTTCCCGCATCGGGAACGTACACCAGCCCGTCGTACATGAGCGCGCCTCCCGGGCTCAGACTGTACCGACTATTCGTCAAGGTTCCCTCCTTGACGCCTTTGATCAGGTCTCTCGCGACCGGATCTTCTTGTCCCGCAGGGATCAACGCTTTCAAAAACCAATCCCCTATGACGGGGATCGTTCCGCACAACCTCAACGGGGGTTGCACCGTCGCTGCGCTGACCACCAACGCGTCTGCATTAACGGGGCGCAGCAGGGTCTCTGCCTGCTTGGGCTCCGTCTCCTCCATCAACTCCTCTCTCCTGCTGAGCGCGTCAGCCTTCCCGTTCTCTGTCCCCGGCTTGTACTCCAACGTGTACGAGATTTGGTTCAGCAGTTGAGACCATCTCGCTTGTCGGTGGGACAACATCTTGTCCTTCTTGAAGTACTCCAGGTTCTTGTGATCCGTAAGGATCCTCACCGGGAACTTCCCGTCTAGGTAATGCCGCCATATCTGGCAGCAGTACACGATGGCGAGCAGCTCGCGATCGTGTACGTCGTAGTTTCGTTGAGCCGGCGTAAGGCTCTTCGACATGAACGCCACGGGATGTAGTTTCCCGTCGTCCCCTACCTGCGACATCACCGCTCCCATCGCACCTGACGATGCGTCCGTCTCCAGTACCACCTGGCGCTCCTCGTCGTAATGAGCGAGGATGGGCGCCTCGGTGAACGCCTTCTTCAACTCCTTGAAGGCAGCATCCGCTGACTCCGGCCAGTGGTACTTTACCCCTTTCTTCGTCAAGGCCGTCATGCCTTGAATCTTCTTGGAGTAGTTCTGAATGAACCGGCGATAGTAATTCGCGAACCCCAAGAACGACTGCAGGCCTCGAATATTTCGGGGCGCCGCCCACTCCAACACCGACTTCACCTTCGACGGATTCATGCTGACCCCCGTAGGGGCAATATCATACCCCAAGAACTCCGTCGCCGTCGTGTCAAACTCACACTTCTCCGCCTTTGCGTACAGGCCATTCGCCTGTAGCCTCCTCAGCACTTCCCGTACGTGCTCGTCGTGTGTCTCCTGATCGGCGGAGTAAATCAATATGTCGTCTAAATAGACGACCACACACACGTCTAACATGTCCTGGAAGACCTGATTCATCCAGCGCTGGAACGTCGCCGGCGCGTTTGTCAAACCGAATGGCATGACGAGACATTCGAACAGACCATAGCGTGTCGTGAACGCGGTCTTCCAAACATCCTCCTCTTTGACCCTCAGGAGGTTGTACGCTCCCCTCAGGTCCATCTTCGTATATACCTTCGATCCCCGTAGGCGATCTAAGGTCTCCGAGATAAGCGGCAGGGGGGTCCTGTCCTTCTCGGTAATTTCGTTGAGGCGGCGGTAATCAATACACAGCCTCAATTCACCCCCTTTCTTCGGTACGAACAGTACCGGACTCGAACACGAGGATTTCGAGGGTCGAATAAACCCTTTCGCCTGGTTCTCCGCCAACCACGCCTTGAGAGCGTCCGTCTCCTTCTGCGAGTGGTTGTACAACTTCCCATACGTGGGAGTTGTGCCAGGCTTCAGCTCGATCGCATGATCGATCGAGCGCTTCGGAGGCAGCGAGTCTGCCTTCGTCTTGGAGAACGCTCCGAGGTACTCATGGTACTTCTTCGGCACAACGTCTCGCAACTTCTCCATGTACTCGGGAGGATCGAGTTCGTTTTGAATCGAGTCGGTGGGCTTGACGTCCCAGTCCCACAGGTCCGGCCTGCGGGCCCGCTCCTCATCCTCCCTCGTCATCTGCATTTGAGCCACCACGAGATTCTCCGTGATCGGCTCCTTCATTCTCGACAGCGGATCGATATTCCGCGTTTCTATCTCCACCTCGTCGGGGGAGCATACTACCTCTACCTTCTTGACGCATCCCTTCTTCAAACAGTCGTCCGCGAAGGTGACCGTATTCGTATCCCACTGGATGTGTGGGCTATGGTGTCGTAACCATGTAATCCCGAGGACCGCCGCGTACCCACACAAATCCGTCAAGAAGAACTCCGCCTTCTCTTGGTGCAATCCTGTCCGCACAATAGCATGTGCCTTCTGGGTGATCTGACCACCCACTATCTCTCTTCCGTCAATGACCGTGACGGTCCTAGGGTTCTCTAGGTCTATCACATCAAAGTTATGGATCCTCGCGAACGTCCGATCCATGAACATACCCGTGGCCCCCGAATCTACCATCATCACTGCCTGCACAGGAATCCCCTGCGGGTAGAACACTCCTACCAGAGTGAGGTGGCTCTCCGGACCACTAGGGTTACCGCTAGCACCAATGTGCAGCGGGATCCCATCACTACCCCTTTTCGCGTTCCCAGCCGGGGTCCTTTGGTGATCCGTTATTCTATAAGGCCTGGCAGCCGACCTGCCGGGTCTTGAGGTAATAAGGTCGCGGGACTGGGGAAAGGTAACGGTAGGCATAGTAATGTAATAACGGATGTCTAACTACTACAAGGTACTAGTTAGACGTCTACGAGAACATCTCCTAAAAGGTCTCCGAGAGAGTCCCCGAGAGGGTCTCCGAACGAGACCCCGAGGCGACGCGCACCGTAGGTCGCGCGTCACGTGACGCCTATAATATCAACACTCTAGCTACGGCTAATAACATGTATGCTTTTCCCGTATAAATGGCAGTGTCAACCTTAACAGCCAAGTCGCTCACTTCGCACGTCGAGTTCGGACAGGGTCAGAGTCAAGGTATATGTGAATATCTAGCATCTACTCGGCTCCGCCTTCGGCAACTCCATAAGGTTACAGATTCATAAATCTGTTCCAATTGCTCTCCAGGCGGCTTACTACCCCACTATCTTCCCCCTGGAGATCGTCTTTGGTTCGTTCGATCTTCCACCCGCGGCACTTGGCTATCCATACAGTCGCTGCCCAGACTCTCTTGGTTGTATCCTGAATGAGATGCGTGTCGCTCTCTACCAGTAGACGGGATGGAGCGGCCGCACGTATGAGGTATGGTGTGACGGGCGTTCGACCAGAGATGGCGATCGAGGGAGATAGGTATAGGTTGGGAAAGTGTTTCTGTGCAGTACGTGCATCAATGAGAGATCAGCAATGATTGACCGCACGAGTGACGCTCGAGGATGACCCACCTCAGCGTCGACCCAACTCTCTACGCTCCACCCCCCACAACTATGCACGTCCACGTTGACCCGATCGGTAAACATCGCGCCGTGCTTTTTCTTGAAACGCCTCAAGAAATCCAACGTCGGCCCTTGAGCTTTAACGCTGTGCAAACTGACATTGATCCCGAGCTCGACGGCGAGATCCATCTGCATGTCTAGCAAGGCGATTTGATGGTCCATAGAAGGACGGAAGGGGGTCAAGTTCTTGCTCCGGGAGATCAACTCGGGTTGATTCAACTTTTTGGCCATCTCTTCTTCCCCCGAGGTAGCGATCTTTGCCTCAGCATCAGCTACGGAAGGTGTATTTGTGTGCTCCTCAACTTCGGTGTGTTCTCCACAATGATTCGCCTTGTGGCCGGGAAAAGGAACCCGGAAACTGCGGTCCAAGCCGACTTCCCCGATCATGACCAGGCTCCCACGTATCTGAGCCTGAACAGCGTGCGTCCTCATCTGCTCGATCAAAGGTTGAATGGCTATTGGTTCGGGGAGGTCCGGGATGATCTCATCGAGGAGTTGTTTTTGCGACGTATAGCTGGTAGAAGCTTCGCTAGGCAGGAAGATGCTCGCATAATGCTCCTCCTTGCTGACTTTCCGATCTGGGCTACCCAAGTGTAATAGGTGACAGAACCAAGGATGATACCCTGATAGGCGATCGAGGCAATATTGACTCAGCTTCTGCATATCCAGCTAAATAATTTGCACCCCCAACCTTGACTCACCGAAACAAGCGATCACCTCGGGTCCAGCTCGACGCCGTCGTTTCGATTCCCTCTCCATCCCATATTCGTCCTCGTCTCTACGTCCATGATCCTCCGAGAACTCTGCTACGAGCTCTTGATCCATCGTCCGCGTCGCCATGCTCGATAATCCGCCCAGCCCGACATTGCTCACTGTCTGCTCCGTAAAGGGGACGTCGGTCGGGTGACAGTGCGCATCGGTCACTGCGTATGCCAATGGGTATGTGAATGTGACCGTGAGAGTGTGACACAGCCATGCCGAATTCAGATTGACCGGCAGTGCAGATGATCGATTTGGCAAGAGCGGAGTTGTAGCGGATGGTTAAGAATGTGACAAGCGTTTGATTGAGCTCATTTAGGTTCTTAGATTGCGCAAGGACTAGATTCCGCGGTCCGGCAAAGGCTTACGATGCTGCAAGACTTGGCTCGACGGCAATTCGATGGTCTGCCAGTCAGGTGGACCGTCGTCAGGGTTACTAGTAGCGTTTGACATAGTAGTGTATGCTGTTGACACAAGGCAATGCAGCGGTTACTCCTTTCAGTTGCCAGATTAGCATGAAAGGGACGCCTTGTCGGTGATTGTTGGTCTTGTTGGCCAGCTGATGATGACGAGTCGCCGCTCGGTGACGTAAGAAATGCCGTACCTGACCTCTCAGCAGCAGTCTTGGTATGCAGTTTGACGACGATGTCCTGCATCAATCATCATCGAGACATCCGACAGGATCAGGACGTACTGTCATCCCGGACGCCGGTAGACAAAGAATTGTGTACGATGTCCCCTGGGTATCAGTTTCTCACACGGAAAACTTGCCGAGGTCTCGTGAGATCCATGAGAGCTGAGACGGAGAGACCTGGATCATCCCGATTCAACAAACAATAGCGATAGCAAGAGATGGGGATACATGGTCTGACCGTGAAGATCGAAGGAAGTTGGCGACCGAGAACGGTTCGATCAGCCCGAGACCCCGACGAATCAGCTCGTTTCCGATTTCTCGGACCCGAAGCAGGTAGAGGTGTCGAACGGATTTCTTTTTGTTCTGACGTCCCAGCTCGTACGGGCGCGCGCAAGTCGCCCATCCCAGCTGGCCAGCTTCTTGCGCGGTGGGCAATGAGCCTACGGCCACCTGGATCAGATCCAACAGCAATCCCGTGACCATCCTGACCCAGAACGATCGAAGCCCCTCCAGCCAAAAGTAACGCAAAGCCTCGATGGGAGCGAACCTTGCTTCATTTGATCGTCTGTGTTGCGTCGGTCGCGGTTCCGAAGTCTGTCCATCCGAAATCCTCGGACACTCGCAATCCCTCGGTTGCCCGGCCGCGGCTTCTGGCTCAGGGCCGTGGGACTGACGACTCGCTAATCAGGTCCCGCTCGTCACCATCCAGCATCATCGGTGGGAATGGGGAGTCAGAGCGAGAGCACAGCAGCAGAGGAGAGCCCAGGGGAAAGGCAGGTCGAAATAACGTTTGAGAAGCGCCATCGATCAGGATTTGATCCCCCTGACCACGAGGCAGAGACCTAAAAGTACCGAGATTCGTCCTCCTCGACGGCCTGGACGGGGTAGGAAAACTACCGGGTTTGTGAACCGTGTTTTGTGTCATTTCGTATAGGCTTATGCCCAATGATTTAAGTCGATTTAAATCGAGTCGCTGCGTCTAGCGCTTCGAGACGGTTGCGGGCGAAAAATCCGATTTAAGCCAAGTGAAAACAAGGGTTTCTTCAGCGTAGAACGCGACTTGGCTCGCACTTGTTATCGACTCGATTTAAATCTAATTTAGGCTGATTTAACTCGCTTATATAGCTCCCGCGCCCGTAGGGCGCCGCCCCTGGTGAAATTAGTCATGAATTACCTGTAATTCTAAGCGCAGAACGCCCTTACTCGAACACGATTATTGCTTCGAATTTGAAACGATTTTGATGTTTCACCCTAGCCAGATTGCTTCTAGCTGTCTCGAATCTTGCATACACCATCTCTAGACCTAGATGAATAACATACTCAGAGTTGAAAGCGTTTGAAACAGTTGTCAAGAACCTATTCAAGTGCGATAGTTGTTCATACGTGTTGGGTGCAATTATGTGCGTTTTCAGTGAAAATTGGGTTCGAAATGATGTAACTTCTCGACAGATAGTAAGATCGTTCTGAGCTCATAGTATGTTGATTCTGTGGGTGTAATAAGATCATATTTCATTCGAGAGCCCTCTAGTACAAATACAACAAGCCTAAGCAGTGAATTATAAGTTTATTTATCGAAATCGACCTCTTCTCCGTTCTCGAATACCGTGATGAAGTCGGTATCGGCGTACTTCACCGGAAGACCTTGTAGGGCCTCCTCTAGCTCCTCTAGGTGGATCTCGAGCTCCCCAGCCATCTCGACAACACCGTTGATCGTCGTTCCCGTGATCCGAACGACGTCGTTCTTGGTGTGCTTCTGGATCTTTTGAAGCAGCTCTTTTAGCTGCTCCGCAAGTCCCGTCGGCACGTCCTCTGCTAAGGAGGCCCTGACCCTAACGAGGTCTCCGTTTTGGACCTCAAGCGAACACTTCTCACCGACGAGAGCACATTGAGCGCATCGACCGGTCGGTGAAATCTGCTTGCATTTCAGGATGATACCGGGAACATCATCCGATATCTTCCTCTTGCTTCGCAGAGGCAGCTGTAGGCATCCCTTGCAACGATGACGACCCTCAAAGACCTTCCCAGTAGTACTGAAGAAGATCTTCATCGCAGACTAGAAGACGAAAGAAGAAACATAAGCGAAAGTCGATCAGTATTCTTCGGTGAAAATGTCTCGGATTTCACTTGCGAACTTGAATACTCACCTCCATGTGCGCCGACGCCTTCCGTTCGACCTCACCCGTCTCCTCGTTCTTCTTCCCGGACTTTACCGGCTTCTGCTGCTGCCTCCAGTAGTCAAAGACCACCTGAGGCTTCCAGTATACCTTGGCTTTTCGATATCGCCAGAAATACTTCATCACCTCTGCCGACTCAGCTCGATCACGGTCGTACTCGAAGCTGGGGTCTTCGGCAGCAGCAGCAGCTTCCTCCGGGTCTTCCAACTCATCCTCGTCATCGTCCGGGGGAGGGGAGGAGCTGTGAGACATAGAGATAGAGATATATAAGAGATATATAAGTCAATGTTCTCGGTGAAATTGTCTCCTCTTTCACTCACGTCTTCCTCTTCTTCTCCGACCTCGTCTTCGTCTTCTTCGACTTCGACTTCCCTTCCTCCTCGACATACTCGTCCACCGAGTCGTCTGAGCCCGAGTCTGTGTCCTCCCGAGCTCTCTTCTTCTTTCCCTGCTCCTCCCAGCGCTCAGCCTCCGCGTTCTCGCGATCAGCCTTCTCGCGAGCCTCGCGAGCCTCTTCTCGAGCGGCCAACCTCTTGCTTTGCCGAGCAGCAGCAGCCTCTTTACCTCCCCACTGCTTAGGCTTGGGCTTAGAGGAGGATGAGGCGGTCTATGAGCAGTTTATAGGCTTGTAAGTCGTTTATTTGGGTGAAAGAAGGTCACGTTTCGACGTACGGCGTTTTGAGAACTTTGGGCGTCGGACATGGCTTCAAACGGGAGTAAAAGAACGAGGTGAAACGTGTAAGGGGTAAGGGAGGTCTAGAGCAACAGTACGAGGTGTTTTGAAGTGTCTAGTATTGATAATAAGACTTAGAACGATATCGACGTAGTTGATGTAGATGAAGGTTCTTGGGTGAAATCGGTCGACTAGACGTTCTTGAAAAACGACGATCATCTGGTGAAATTCGCTTATTGTTCATCGACCGTTTTTGTGTTTTTTGACGATTTCGCTTCTCGAGCTAAAAAACGAGTCGTTCCTACTAGAATTCACTCTAGATCAAACACGTAGCTTTAGACACACAGTAAATAGCTGTACAGGGTGAAACAGAACAGGATTTCGGGGTATAAACTAGTAAACACGAACAACAGGCTATAACATTCGAAAAAAGGTGAAAAATCGACAAAACGGAGTTCAAGTTCAGTTCTGTTCGCTGTGATCGCTTCGCTTGCGACTAATACGAGCAGTGATCTGCCCCGACGCCTTGAGTTCGTCTCTGACCGCTTTAAGAACCGCAGTGACCGTCTTCTGAGGATAACGAGCCTGGAATCGTTGCCAACCAGCTTCGGTGAAATCCATTGCTCCTTCATTCAGCGAAGAGTATGCTGACCCCAAACGGGATCGCTGGACGTAAACGTTCTGCGTAGCGAGCTCGTCCTTGGTCTTCCCTTTCGTACACCATTCGTTTGGCCAGTCCTGCAGTGCGTACGGGTGATGGGGATGGAATCCTCCTAAGAACCACTGCATTACAGCCTCCTTGACATCCGCAGGTGCGGGGATTTCGGGTTTGTCTCTTTCGATGATCTCCCCGCTGCGTCGTAGCCTCAACACAGGTCCAGTGAAGGTTGTGGTGTTTGCAGTGACTGCCCTCGTATACGGTGCACACTGTAGCATGGCGTCGACCCTCCTTTTGGACGTCTCGAGTCGTCCGGTGAATGACGAAAAGACCGAAGAATTCACTGAAGAACTCCCGTTTGATGCGGCCGGTATCATCGATGTCGATGTCGATGTTGATGCCACAGGATTGGTCTCAAACGGTTGTGCGAGACCACGAGCCTCCAGCATGTCATTGAAACCCTTTAGAATCTGTTTCGTAATATCGTTCTTGTCGTCTTCCGTCTGATATGTGTTCTGATGATCAGCCAGGTGAAAGGCGATAGGGATTTCACTCGGGATCTGAACTCACCATCGAATTGGGTCCCTGCGTCTGTGTAACGATACGATCTCTGCACAACTCCTTCAGGCTATCGATCTCACGTACGAGGTCCCTATGCATTGACTTCTGCTCTTGTCGGACGGCCAGAATGTCTCCCGATTTCGCTGGGTACAAATCACCCGGTGCTGCTTGATTGACAGTTTTGTTTGGGTTCTTTTGAGGGTGGTGCATGTCTCCGTAGGTCCTCTCGACCTTGAGAAGGTTCTCTAGAAGGTACCGTGCCATCGTACCGACCTGGTCGATGAAGTCGATCGAGCGTACACAGATGAAGGAGGTGGCGAATGAAAATGTCAGGATATTCACTGTGGACTTGTCCTTACTGTTTACGTTCGCTAAGACTTACAGACTCGCCCTCGACCCAACCACCCCACCAGGTAAGGCTTGTAAACGACCACCGACCCGCAGGATCGAAGCTGAAACGCCACTGTGCTGCTCCTCGTCTGAAACAGTGCCCAGTGAAGTTACCGTTCGGATACGCCGCCGCGAGGCCGGATTGATCTAATATACGGTCCCAAATGACCTGCCACGAGCTCGCTGGCATCCTCTTGGTGAAATCTACATTCCCTCGAGGTGTAATAACAGGGAACAAGTAGTATTCGGGCGCTAAGTCGAGGTGGGTGATTTTTCGAAGGTGATTTGCCCAGTTCTGAAGGTGAGTCCAGCAGTACGCAGGGAGCTCGTCGGGATTGTGAGGAGGGTGCACCTGATACGTTTGCCCTGTTGATGTATTTACAGAACAAACAAATAACAAGAGAAGCAAAGATAGTCATAAGTTTCGCAATCGGAGGACTCCCGGTGAAAGAGGGAGCATTTTCACTCACCCTTGCGCGGATCGTGCTGATTCGTCTTTCGCCACATCAGATGAATCATAGTAATCCTCTCGCCTGGATAGGCAGGGCTGTATCCATTCTCCTCGATAGCCTTGACCTGGAGACTGAGGATCTCATCCATTCGACAGAACAGGAACCACGTTGTCGTCATGTACGCAAGTGCGAACAGCCATTCGGTCCGAGTCTTCGGATCCGTTTCTATGTCCAACTGCGAGTTCACCCACTTGACGAGGTGGAGCAGATCGGGAAGGTGGAGAGGGAGAGACTATAAGGAATGATCGACAGCCAGAAATGTATAAGCACACGCAAGGTGAAAAGGACACCTCTTTCAGTAACCATGCGACCGACCTGATCACTAGCCATGCTTCGACCATCCCGGTTCTTGATCGACTTCATGAGGTCCTGTACGAGACCATCGAAGATAGGGTTCCCTTCCCACTGACCATCTGGCCTCTGTTGCCAGGTTTCTCCCTATGAAGACATACGATAGTATATCAGGTCGATGGCCACGACCGGGTGAAGATAGATGAGGTTTCACTCACGTAACAACGATTTCCGAACGTCGTTCGGAAGTGTGCTTTGAGGGCAGCCTTGATACCATCACACGTATCTTTGCTCAGAGGCTTCGTACCATTCTTCCCTGACACTCCATGAGCGATGTAGAGTTGTACACAGGTCGCAGATCGATCGCTAAGTTCATCGAGCGCTCCGGTAAGATCCGGTTCGGATTCTGCTCGATTCGCGTTCCATTCGTCTAGCCACTCCCGACACCTCCTCATGTACCCTGCGTATGTTCGCTGGGTACGGGGGGCCCTTAGATGACCATCTATAATGGCCTGAGAGGCCTGAGCCGCCGTTGAGGGGTCTACACCCTCGTTATGTCGAATACGTCGTTGTTGGGGACCTTTACGGGCTGATTTAGCAGCCGTAATCTCCTTCCGAGTGGATGCCCTCTTGGTAGGTGCTTTAGAAGTGGTCTTGTTGGCTATATCTTGCGAATTGGGAGCTATAGGCTGGCCTTCGACCGAGTTGTCGTATCCCGAATTGCCGGCTGAAAGGTTCGCCAATTGCACTATAGAGGCAAGGTCGGCCTCGTACTCATCTTCGGGGCGGCTATTACTAGGTCCAGCTCCAGATGAGTCGTTCCCATGACTGTACGAGTGGTAGGAGGTGTATACTGAGGTCTCTGGTGAAATATAGGAGGGTACAGGCTCGTAGTTCGGTGCGAAAGGGAGGTCCGGAGCGAGCGGAACGAAGGTGCGTGGTTGATGGTGATTTGTCACCAACGGTGCGTTGTTAAAGGTCCTAGTGGTGTTCAGGGGGGTTCTACTAGTCATTGTGAAGCTGTCTGATGTGTAAAAGGTAGTATTACAGCTATCGTGTCGATATCGTACATCGATACATCGATCGACTTGTGGAGGTCGACTTCATCAACACTGCAATAATTAACGATTTCACCGTACAATTGACACGTCACTATAGTAGGACTGATAACGCGCGATTTAAGTGAATTTAAACGGGAATTCACCGAGATTTAAATTGAGTCAGGTTATGACCAGCATGTGCAGCATATCGAGCGCTCCTGATGTCCACCTGTCGCTCTCGCTCTCCCGATGGTGAGCTTCAGAAACATGATCGGCTGAGCAGGACAATACCCGGAATATGACGTGCGATCGGGGGTTGACCCACCAGCTGTGCAGCTGATGAGCCAGAGAGCACGTCGCTGCTGCATTGCGTGTTGTAGTCCCCGGATGAACGAGACCCCAGGATGACGACAGCTACGGTAAAGACCAGTATCTTGAGATACCGACTAGACCAGACCGAACCGTTCATATACTTCCATCGTCTTGGCTACAACCCCCCCACCCCCACTCGGATCGTTTTCATCGTCGCTTTCTACATCCATCGAGCACTAACCCGTCCGCAAACACGAACAACACCCTCCGATATCTAATCAACCTCCGCAATCCGGAACAACGGGACCACCTTTGAACGACCATAGCCATAGCCAACAGGACCTGCTGCATATCGACAAGGATCTTCAGCTTCAAGCGACATCCAGCCAAGTCCTTGCGACCTGTTCGAGCGACAACTTCCCTGCTCAGCAATCGTCAAACCTCGACGGGTAGTCCGGTCCGACACCCGAACGACCTAGGATACCCGCGACCCGACCCTGGCAAGATCCGACTGACGACTGACCTGGTACTTCACGCGTTTCGAACTTATTTCCATTTCTAGAGAGGAGACCTCGTGAGTTCATCAAGGTTTCGATCTAGCCTGGTTTCGATCGCGGAGGATGTGCGGGATCAGACGAGGCGAGGCGCAATGCATGCAGGGCCTGCAGGGTGGCAGGTGGCAGTGCAGGGGCAAATGGAGGGGTGTGTACGTACACTGACGGGTGTGTGATGTGGGGTATCGAGTGTGTCCGCGCCAAAAAAAGCGCCAGGCTCTGCTCACACACATCACCCGACCCTCCCTCGCTCGAGAGCCCGAAGATCTCCCTCGCTGGTCCTCTGGCCTCTGGCCTCTAGCCTCTCATGAGCTCTTGATTGGCCCTCCACCTATCTTCGATGGACGAAGGCGACGAGGTTCCCCTTGTGGCAAGACCAAAACACAGCATCAGAAGACGGCTGGGACGAGCATCGTGGTCGTAATCGTGGGTCGTGACTTCCTCCTTTCCCCCCTACGTGATCGGATCGTCGGTTCGAGAGAGACAGAAGACGCGCGAGATCGTTTTGAATATTCGGACCCGCGTTGCTCCCACCCCACCCCGAGGTTCGACGACGTTCATACACTACTACTTGAACACAAACAACAACGTACATCTCTCGTCTTGTTGGGGATTTCCTCCCGTTCAGATTAGACGTAGCTCTTTGAAGAGCGAACGCATCCGCTCTTGCTCATCTTCCGGATCGTCGAATTCCCGGTTTCCTGGCTTTGGTCGCGTGCTTTTTGAACCGAATCTCAAACCCCGCGATGCTCTGCTCAGCTCGACGACCTTAATCGACAAGAAACCATCGATCAACCACTTGGACGACCTGCAACTACCGGCAGCCTCACAAACATCTCATAGGCGACATCTTCCGACTCGATAACGATATAAACGAATCGTAGGTGAGTTTCCCGATACATCTACGGCTTCGGCGACAAGCACGTTGGAGCTGACTATATTCGGCTCACTTCGATTCGGTCTGGCCAGCATCTTAGCCTTTCATCGTTCACATCTTCCCAAACACCAGTCGAACGAGCTCAAGCGGATCCTCGCGAAGCTTCAATACCCTCCTACATATACCACCAAACCGCATCCGACTACTCTCGAGCTGATGCCATCCTGGACGATCCCCACGGTACCTGGATTCGAACACCCTCTAGACGTATTGAACAACGACCATTTGCTACAGGGAGCAAACGGCGGCAACTACATCCACAACTCGACCATCAGCAATACCAACATCACTGTCAACAACAACTTCAGCAACCCTACCACTCATCGCAACGTGGCCGAGGATAAACCCGACGCTATACCCGAAGAGAGACGTTTCCACCTGAGTTTGGGCCTGGCGGATCCTAGGCTGCAGCAAGGCTCGCAACACTTGGGCTTCGGATCACTCGGTACTGATAGCGGTGCATTGTGTAAGCAAGATGAATGCAGCGAGTTGTGTCGCGATCGATGTCTACGGTTAGGCTGACTTACCTCTTTCGATTTCCTGTCGTCTGCAGCGGAGATCCTCACCGCGACCCACGAACACCCCTCACTCTCTTTCAAACCCGCTCTCACGGTCTTACCCACATCCAACAACTCTCGCTTCAGACAACTGTTTCAGCAAAAGATGGCAGCCGAAGCTAGTCGACAACACGGTTCGACGGATTCGCCCAACGGGAGCGAGCGAGCGGGAACTGCTCCTCAACAGCAAGACCCCAGTCTCGACCAGAGCCGTCCCAGTTGGGCTCAAACCAACTCGATGGCGTCAGGTCACAGCAACAACGACAATAATCTCGCTGTAAACACCGCTCAGGCTGAAGAATTGGCCGGTTACGGCCGGGAGGGAGATCAGGACAATCTCGCGAGACCTGCTACCTCGGACGGTGTCCTATACCTCAACAACAAGAGCCCTGCAATTGGGGCGCAGTCCCAGTCCGGCGAGCGTCATCCTGCGTCAGCAGATGCCAATCTGCCTGTCCCCTTGCCATCGTGGCAAAACCCCATGGCTTCGTCCTCTGGGTACAGGCCGCAGCCTCAGCAATCTCCTTATTACCAGCGTATGCTTGCGGCGAAATTGGCAGCGGCTCAGCAGCAAGAGGACATGGGCGTCAAGGACGAGAGCAGCAACTATATGCCTTCCATGAACCAGTCCGACATTGCGTACATGCCATCCACTTACAGCCCGATGTACCAGATGTTTAGCGGTGGCGGTGGTCTCGATGGCCATTATCAGGCGCAACACGCTCCGCAGGGTCACACAGAGCCTTGGAACATGCATGCTCAGCAGGCTCATCATCAGCAATATGGTCCCGGTTCGGAAGACGCTGGCTACCTCGGTCTGGTCAACAGTGGTAGCAACCACAGCGGCAGTCACAACGGCGGGTACCCGGACCAGTACAACGGTCATGCCGCTGGGACGCCTTGGAACCAGTATTACCCGTCCGACGGCTCCAACTCGAGAAACCCACAGGGGACGCACTCTCAGACACCTCAACCGAGCGTGTCTGGCCAGTGGAACCGTCATGACGGTAACAGCGAATCAGAGGTACCTCCTCCAGCCGTCGAGGACTGGATGGCGGCGTGGCCTCATATCAAGAACCCTGGACACGAGGTTCCTGCCAAACCAGCACCTGCGCCCGCATCATCTTCCCGCAAAAAAGTTGATACAGAGCCCAAGCCCAAGAAGGACAGTAGCGCGGCGGCTGCGAACAAGGCAGCTGTAGCCGGAGGGGATGCACCGAAAAAGGCAGCTTTGGCTTGTCACTTTTGTCGAGGGAGGAAGCTCAAGTGAGTCGCGAATTGCTATTCCGGTCCATCCGCAGTCAAGCAGCATCTTACTGACATCGATTTCGCCGCAGATGTGACGCCATCCGACCTACCTGCTCTCATTGCGCCAAGCGATCCCTGAACTGTTCGTACGACGTAGAAATCCGAAGGCGCGGACCGGGAAAGAGAAAGAAGGAGCTTTTGGCTCAGCAGCAGGCCAGGGCCAACGGTGAACCGTATCACTCGGACGATACCAAGAACGGTTCGAGCAGGAAACGCAAGTCTGGGCACGGCGAGAACGGCAGCGAGCAGGACGACGGCAGTCCATCCGATTCGATCGGATTGAACTCGGGTCCTGACATGAGCGTGCAAGGCACATCATCGAACGTCGACCAGTACTCGCAACAGGCCTATTCGGCGCACTCGATGTCTGCGCCATACGATGCCTACCAGCAACAACAACACTACAGCAACCAGATGTACCCCTCCAATCCCGTCGAGGCCTATCATCACTCGGCTTACCATGCCGCTGCGTATCATCAGCAGTATGACGCCGTCTCCAACGACAGGAGTCGGCCGATGTCTCACGGCTACGAGGTGCTGGGCGGTAGCGGGCCGTCGTACGGACAAGGTTACCCTAGCGAACGCCCAGGCGGTGCCGGTAGCGACGAGCATCAATCAAAGAGGGTGAAGCTGGAGGGGTAGATGTCTCTGCCATGTGGCTATTGCGGAGAAAAGCCAGTAGCCGATGGGCAGATTGCGGTGCTGAGCAAATTATACTCTGCCTCTGGAATGAGAGCCGTTTTCGAGATCTGGCGTCGACACACAAGCGGTCCGTTCCCCGTTTCCCATTCTCCTTATTAATCAGCCATCAAGGTCATCTAGGCTCGGCGTAGTCAGTTCTGTCAAGTCGTTGTATTCGTTCGGTCTAGTCCTGTGGGCAGTATATCTCAGCATAGTCTCGGCAAGGATCTCCATGAACTTGTGATCATGGCTTTGCACGCTTGACCTTGGACTCTGCGTTCACCCTCGCCTAATACTCAATGACGTTTCTGACACAATCACCGCTAATCCAAGGCGATCGATTCCATCAATGATCAGTTATCAGCTATCAGACGATCATTGTCCATGACCGTAGTCTCGTGGTTGGAGCATAGATAGCTAGATACTCGGCATCGACCATGTCTGGCCTCGTATCGTCCGTCCGTAATACCCTCCTCCCGGGTCACCGTCACCCCGTACCCGACACGCCTACCTCGCCGGTACACCATGCCTGGACCCTCTCCCGTACCCTCAGATCGTACCTCCCGGATTGGTTCCTGGTGGTCTCTCTATGGATCCTTCTCTCCTTTCTCGAACGGATTGGCGGACACAAGCGTCACTTTTCCTTGCATGACATTTCCATCCAGCACCCGCTCGTTCAGCCAGAGACGGTCGGGTACAAGCTGTTGCTCTTCATCGCCTTTGGGATCCCGGTGTTATTCGTCCTCCTCATCAGCTTGGGGATATATAGGAGCAAATGGGACGCTCATAACGCCGTATTGGGTGTGACGACGTCTTTTACGATCACCGGCGTCGTCACACAAGTGATCAAGATGGGTGTCGGTCGACCTCGACCTCATACCATCGCCGTCTGTCAACCCCCACCGGGGACGACCGATCCGCCCATGTACGGCCTGTCCGACTATACCATCTGTACGCAGACGAACAAGCACCTGCTGGACGACGCTTTCAAGAGCTTTCCGAGTGGACATTCGAGCCTTTCGTTTGCGGGCATGGGGTTCTTGGCTTGGTACATCTCGGGAAAGTTGCATGTGGGGGACAGAAGGGGTTACCGGGTGAGTGGGGTCGCAATGTCGTCTTCATCCTAATCCAAATTTCCATGAGTATGAGAGCGAATTTTGAGCTGATCAGTGTCTCATTCTTTTTTGCCCCTGCGATCATTGTCAATATCTTCTCTCTTTCCGACGTTGTATGGATCTTTCTGGACCCGACCTAGACCCGAGCGTGGTTGGCCATGTCCCCGCTCCTCGCATCCGCCATGGTCGCCGTCTCACGTACAGCTGACAACCGACGTGAGTACTCTCCGCCGATATCCCATCCAAACCTGCTTGTTCCTTTTTTATACGTTACGACTAGCGATTTTTGCCTACCTACCTATCTCGAGATACCGACTTATCGAATTTCAATCTGATCGGCTTGCTGACCTTTCTACCACTTCTACTCTTTGTTCACTCGCTTGCTTGAAACTTTGGGATGCGGATGATAGATCACTGGCAAGACGTCACCGTCGGCTCGCTTTTGGGACTCGGAATCTGTAAGTCGAACAAGCACCATCGGTCGACGAAGACAGGTCGGGTGAACCCGCCCGTGGAAGCACGGTGCGAAGGCTAATTCGGACGTGTCTCTCGTATTGTGGTCGTTTTCGTAGCTTATGTGGCCTACCGAGCGTATTATCGTACGTCCAGCCCGCTTCTCGCACATCCCGTCAATTGTAACTAATCAACACCTTTTCCCATAGCCGCCCTCTCGCACCCCTCATCCCACCTTCCCCTTGCGCCGCGCGACCTCCTCCCCTCCGAGATGGGTGACGGGGACGAAGAGGACCAGCAGGATCGGATCGGGCGCGAGTTCAGGGACGAGGATGGGGATGGGATGGACGATCGGGTGGTGCCGAGACCGAGCGAGGAGCAGGTCTGGAGGGATTAGGATAGATGACTTGGCGGGAGGCAGAGTGTGGTTGTTTGGATCGGGTGGTCAGTCTGAAATAGGGAACCTTTTACCTGGGTGAGCGTATTAGATGGATTATAGATTCGCTTGATATAGTTGATTCGCGTGCATATAGGATGTCCGTTCTCTCATCACGTCACGACGGGCGATCTTCGCACACGAAACTGCTGCCCCGTACTTCTCCCTATCATATAAACATCTGCACATCCACAAAGTCACACTTGTTCTTCCTTCTCATTGTTATGACCGTTCAACCTGTACTCCATATCCCTGGCTGTGTATATACCTCGACCTTGACCGATTTGAGCACCTTTTCGCCCTCGAGGGTACGAGCGAGGCTGTGATCACCATTCGAGCAGATCACTGATCACTGATGCTGATTGTATGACTTCCACAGCCTTCCGATCCTGAGTCCTTCCATGGCCACCTTGCCCAGCCTGCTCCCCTTCACTAACCCCTTCAGCCTTTCCCGTCTCCGATCCCCGTCTTCACTCAAGCTCAGCTTGATCAGCTCGTCATCCACCTAGCAAAGGACAAACATGAGGAACATAAGAAGCAGGGGGGCATCAAGAGGAGTGCGGATGAGGCTGAGATCCAAGAGAGTGATGGTTTGTTCTATCAGTGACCGCTAGGAGCGGTTACGGTACATAATCGCTTCTCCGCAAATACACACAACGCTCGAGTTTTCAGTCGGCCAGGAGGGTTGCATATGAAGTGCGCGTCTTAGCTTAACCCGGCAGAAACTGGATGCTAGAGCAAAAGCTGCGAACGACGTGGCGCTTCCGCCTTCGGTCTTTCAACGGGGCTTCCCTTCGAGCTGCAACGGAAGCTGTACTTGCCCGCTCCTACGCTGTTCTTTCTCTTCCCACTCTTCCGGGACGGGCATACATGATCCCGACCTGGCGCTATCAGACCAAGCTTCTTTGATAGCATTTGTCCATAGTCACCAACTTGGCTGCGTTTCACCAACCCGCGCCCGCGTTACAACGGGCGCTGTTGATCGATTACAAACGCCGTTCGTTGCTTGGTAAATCTTCCATCTACCAGTACACATGTGGTTGATATGACCATCTTAATATTCACCGTAGTTGGTCATCAAAACACCTTCTATTGAGCGCACTCGGCATATCTCAATAGGTCTTCACGTCGGAGTGTTTATATAGGCTGGTCGAAATCTGGACACCACTGAAAAGAATGTCGATAAAAGATCATCCGCACACAAGCCTTAGAACAGACGTCTATCCAATCCACCGATCAATCAACTAAACCTCACAATTACGACACAATCGAGATGTCGACCCAAGGAATTGCTTCTGAACAAAGAGTCTTCGCGGTCGCTGGCGGCGTGGGAGGTGGAGAGTTCCCCTCGGCCAGCCTCGGCAACTACGTCGTCAAAGCGCTCTTGGCCAAAGGGAACGAAGTCAGGGTCCTCGCCAGAAGTCACTCGCTCGAGTCTCCCGCTGCCAAGGACTTAGTAGAGACCGGCGCAAGGGTCATCGCTGTCGACTATGGCTCTCAGTCGGATCTCGACGAAGCGTTGAAAGGAGTCCACGTCGTCGTGTCCGCTCTCAACCCGTCGGCCGTCCAAGCGCAACATGCATTGGCAGATGCTTCGAAGCGATGCGGTGTCGAGCTGTTGCTACCTGCGTAAGTCGACTTTAAAATCTCGGCCAAACCGTTTTCGATCGTTGACTGTTCTTCCGACTGTATCTTCGCCCTCGTCAGCGAGTACGGGCCTAACAGCCTGGAGATCGACGAACAGGTGGACTTCCCCGTATGGGGCAAGCAGGCTTACAGGCAGTACCTCGAAACCATTGGCCTCCCCTACTATGCCGTCTTCTGCGGGCTTTTCGCCGAGTGGGCCGAGGGCTTCATCTTGGGCGCCGAGCCTGAGAAGAACGAAGCTCGGATCGTCGGGAAGGGTGACAAGAAGATCAGCTTTACGGCCTTAGACGACGTCGCCGAGTTTATCGCGGTGACAATTACCAGTGAGTTGAGATCGTCATTGCGGCAGGCTTTCATTCCTAAATTATCTGCGACGATGTTGACACGTGTCCCAAATTTCTTGCAGCGCTTCCGATCTCTAAGCTATCCAACGTCTGTGTGGGTATCTCTGGCAGCGATAGAACCTGGAACGAGATTGCCGAATTCCTTCAAAAGAAGCGACCCGAACTCAAGGTCATCCACGAATCTGTCGCCGATACCGAAGCAGAGTTCGCCGAGACTAAGAATACACTCCTCTGGATCAAGTTGCATATGGCTAAAGGGCTGGGAACAGGCGAGGGGTTGCAAGGCTTGACAGCCAAGTCGCGAGAGCTTTACCCTGAGTGGAAGCCTCGAAGTGTGGAGGAGTTTCTCTAGATCAATTCTCGTCGAGACCGTTTGAGATCGTAAGCGGGGCCGGCAGGAGCGTGGCCTTGTGCAGGCGAACAACTTGAAACGCCTGCTTCGTTCGTTTATCGGACATATATACCAATAGCATTTGTTCAAATGGGATCGCGGTGGCGTTGAGGAGGATTTACAACAATGGCATCTCTCGTCCGAGTCATCCCGAGTGTCGGATCAGTTCGCGAAGGATAACGATAAAGTGCGAACATCGATCATGTGACATAGTTTAGCTGATAAGAAGCAGTACAAGGAGATCTCGTATATCGTTAACGGATTTTTAATTGTGTATGGCGTAAATATGACATGATGCTAAGGCAAAACCTTGTTACCCAAAAAAAGACGCAATTCAATCGGAAGAGCTGTATCGTCTTGCTGGAACGTCTTGTCCGTCCTGGTAGGATGCCCAATCGCGATGCTAGTGGTGTCGAGGATATCCACCCTCGAACATTCCAGAGAGCTGACTCAAGTCCAAAGCGTTCTGGAAGGACCTGGCCTGAGCCAGGTGTCCAAGCCCGTTCGAGTCTTTCTGGCCATCAAGCCCGATCCACTTGCGATCGGGCGAGGTGATGGGGGTCTTGAGCTCGAGCATGTCGTCCATGTCGATCAAGGTCGAGCTGCGGGTCATCATTGATGCTGGTGAAGTCGTCTGATCGTAAGATTGTCGTTGTTTTTGTTGTTGGTGAGGAGGAGAGAAGGATTCCTCGGGCGTGTCAAAATCGATGAGCATGTCGGCAGGAGGCGCGGGCCATTGAGTATTGGCACCATCTTTGAGTGAGGTTTCAGCTTGATATCCGGACGCCTGCAGGGGATGAATGGTGATGCTCCCATTGTCGTCAGTTGAAGCGAGACTCATCCTGCTAGGGGTATCGGCCGCTTCGGCCGCGGTGGACTTGATATCCGCATCCTCTTCAGCGGGCTTGGGCAGCATAGAGGTTTTTGGGATCTCGATGCGCTTGTGAGTAGGGGAGTCGGATTCGGATTCAGAATCGCTAGGGGGTTTGATCACTTCATCATCATCGACGGCAGGTAGAGACTATCTCAAGCGCAAGTGAAATATCCGATCGCAACCGTCAATCAACCCGAAAAATCATCTGATATCGGATGCTCAACCTGGACTCACGCTCCAGATATCCCCCGCGGCCACATCGAACGGGTTCGTCTTCGGGGGTGGGCGCTCCGGCTTCTTTCTCCCTCCCGACGCTGCCTTACCACCGGCACCACCGCCGACCCCTCCTCCACCTAGATGACGCTGAATTAACCCTTTGGCCGCCGGACCTAATTGTTGTCGCTCATCCATCGGAGACCTGGTCGGGTAAGATGCTCCCTCTCGCTCTCGATCGGCATGAGATTTGCCGGAGGTCGACCTTTGCGGAGGAGCTGGGGTACCCCAGCCTGTGGTCTGTGTTTCGGTGGAAGGTTGACCCCAGCCGGTGCTTTGACGATCGGTAGAAGGTTGACCCCAGCCGCCATTCGTATGGCTTGACGCTTGATTCGGTCTACCCCATCCATCGTCCTGTCCAACTTTCCCACCACTGCTAACACCCCACCCACCGTTATCCGGCACCTGGACTGGTCTGCCCCACCCGTCATCCTGTACCTCCGCCCCTCCTGTAACAGCCGTAACACCCCATCCGTCACCCTCCTCTTTCTTCTCTTCCTTCTTAGCCCCAGTGCCCCATCCATCATCCTCCGCCTCTCCCATATTCTGATCCTGATCTTTATCCTTGTCGCTACTCTCGCTCCCTCCGCTTCCCCAACCGACATCGGAACCCCTGACGTCCATCCCATCGACCTCGTCCTCACTACCGGGGGCTCGAGAAGCTGAAGCCTGGTCCACCGACCTGGTCCACCTTTGGATATTGGTTGCCGGAGTGTCCCAGTCGGAAGATGTTCCTTGAGGCTCGTTGTGGATGTGAGGAAGTTGGGTCTGGGTCGATTGTTGGAAGGTCTGAGTTTGATCTAGATGTTGATGTTGTTCGGGAGCAGGGGTGTTCCAGCCAGAAACAGAAGGAGAGGTGATGACCTGCTTAGGGTCCTTGATCTCGATCGCCCTGCTTCCTCTCAACATCGGTAACCCCGTCGAAGCCGGCACCGAAGCTGGCGCTGGCGCTCTCCATCCGCTCGCTATTCCTTGTCCAGGCTGGCTGTGGGTCTGGTTAGGGAGACCGGAGAAACCGGAAAGCTGGGGTGGAGGCGTGGCATAGTCGTACCACCCCGAACTTTCAGTTCTGATAGGTGCTACGTATGCGGGTTCGGGGTAAGGTTGGTTCGATCGGAGTTGTTGTTGTTGGTATTGAGATTGTTGTTGGTAAGATGGTTGATATTGATGTTGTTGATGACGAGGGGCCTGAGTCTGAGAGTGGAGTTGAGATCGCGGTTGGAAGTTGGGTTGAGGGAACGGCTGTTGAGCGTGGGACTGAGCTTGAGATCTCGCCGACGCCTTGTGAGACTTGGAAGAAGAGGCGTTCGATCGAGGTCGAGATGGATCGGTCGGAGGAGGGACGTCCCATCCGGTCGATGTAGCTCTTTGATGATCGCTCTGGGGATTATCGTTCGTTCCCCATCCGCCTGGAGACGGTTCGTCTGGATTCTGATCCTGAACCTGGTTCGTCTGATCCCACCCGGACTCTGTCTGCACCGGCTTTCCCCATCCCGAATCGTCCTTCTCCTCCGCCGGCTTTGTCGTCGGGATCGTTCCCCAAATGTCACCCTGGTCTCCACCGCTAGCAGCGGTCTCACCTCCTTCGACCTTGCTCGCACGCCTCCAATTCCCATCAGATGCCGATCCGACCGCTCCTCCTGATCGTTCTCCCCACCCTTGTCTCTTCTGCGGCTCGGTCCTCTGGTTCTCCTTTCTCTTCTCCTCCCCCTGATCGGCAAACGAGACGTTGAGATCGACCCCGGCGTTTAACCTGGATTGACCCCACCTCCCCCTCCCAGCCAAGGGGATCGAATTGGTACTGCTTCCCAATGTTCCACCGCTATCAGGACCAGGCCCGCCGTAGTTGAATGTGGCTTGTCGGGAACCGTAGCTGGGGTTTTGTAAGCGAAGATGAGGTGGAGAGTCGTAAGAGTTGGGAGGGTTGCGGTTGTTGCCTCCGCCGAGGAGGGCTTGTCGAGAAGGATGCATGGGGAGGTCTGAAGAAGAGGGAGTGCGGTATGATCAGCTGACGCACGGTGGCTCTCAATGATTGTAGCTCCGACGTACCTAGTCTCGCTTCGTTCTTGTGTTTGACTGAAGTTGAAATGGATGATCTGTCAAGGTTGAGAAGGGAGGCTGAGTTTGATGATTCATTCACCTTGGACGCTCAAGGGTCGATCTTATATCATCGCTCCCTTCCCTCGATCCAAGCGCATCAAGGGAAGGACATACACCCCATATTTGCGCTTTTATTTGGCGACGTCCAAGTTGCTGCTGATGGATTCCAGATCCACTTTCATCAAAGGAAGGATGTCGGGGTGGCACAGGGAGCAGAGAGCACGGGCAGATCTCTATGAATTCTGCCATCAATCCTCATCGCTCATCACATCAGACACGCGCGACACGGAACGTAAAGCAGGATGGGCAGCGGGAATCTTTAGCGCGTCACAGCCATCACGGGGTCAGCCTGAAACGCATACCGTCGTCCACCGTGCAGACGACACCAAGGCCCAAGAAGACCACTCTTTTCCCTAGACATGTTGAGATCACTCCTGATCTTATTGCCCCTACCATCATCAATATTGGGATCAAATACCTTGTAAACAACCAAGTCCTTCATCTTCATTGAATCTGAAAAGAGGCCGCAATCCGACATCTCTGGGCGTTTAACTGTCTTGGTCCGGGACCCTTCATGCCCGGCTTTGATGCTCCCTCCTGAACATATTTAACGTACTCGCTGTTGGTGAGTCTGAACTTCTTGGAACTACTGTCGATGCCTATAACAAACTGGCGGTCACCGATCTGACTGAGCGGCTTGTTCTGTACGACAGAAACTTACTGAACTTCACCCTTGCTGGTGCACTCACACTCAACAATAAGCCCATCGTCTTGGCTTCCGGGTTGAGAAACTGTAGAGTACCAGCATGGCAATAGATCCTTATGTACGCAGACATTGGTAGCTCTGATGTTGAGCAAGGCTCAAATTCAGATGAAGGCTGGGTACGGTAATATGGCACAGTAGGGTTGCGACAAGATCTCTCTCATGGAATATCCTGCTCTGGCCTGTGCGGTATAGTATAAGTATATAACCCCTTTCTGATCTTGATGACAACCTATGCGTCAAATTTCCACACCCTGACCACCCCTTCTCCTGCACCTCCTTTCGCATCCCCATCTTCGCCCTCCGTGCCCTCATTGTCGTCTAGCATCAACCCGACAATCGTATCCTCGTTGAAAGCCAGGTCTTTGACTTTCCCCTTCTCCGGTCCTCCTCCGGCCGAGGACGACGAGGTAGGCGAAGCGAGCATCAACTCCCTAGCAGCAGAGACTAACGATAAGGGGTGGGTGACAGGCGGGACAGGTAAGATCTGTCGCTTCCATCCGTCCTGCCCAGAACTATGATCGGCCTGTCCTTCTTCTGCTTGTGCTTTTATCCGTCGTCTCCCTTCCTTGATCTCGACTACCCCATCCTTCCTCCTCCTTCCGTCCCTCTCCGAATAATCTTCGTCGTCTTCGTCTTCGTCCTCGGCATCCGGATCCGCATCCGCCGGCTGGACCGTAGCGCCCCGGTCTAAACTCCAGACCAAGACCCTCCCGTCTTCCCCTGAGATTACGCATCGTCCGTCTCGCAGTGCGACCGACCTGATCCCAGATCCGTGCCCTAGGAGAGTCTGGGAGTGTTCTATGACCGGCGACCTTGACGCTGTGTTGGTTTTTGGGGTGTCTTTGCGTGTGATCCTGGACCCAGATGAGTTCTCGTACCCATTCTTGCTCTGCGTCCTGGTCGGAATCTTGTTTGGGGTGATGGAATGGCCAACCCGGTAGACCTCTACCAGATCGTCCTTCCCAGCTAAGACACACCACCCTTTATCCAGTGCCAACACCCTCGCCAGAGCGCCCGGACGGGTCTTTACCCCGACATACGGCTCGCGCTGATTTTTAGAAGACGAGGAGGGTCGGACGAGCTCGATCGGATCTGGAAGGTCGATCTCAGGTAAGGGCGTCCAAGAAGATGTCAGAGGCTCTGTTCTTGTCAAAGAAGTTGTCGTAGGTATCGAAACGGATAATCGGACCCGGATCTCCTGGATCGAAGGTTTCCAGCTCCTCGGGTAGATCGGGGAACTGTACCCCAATCTGATCACACACGTCGAGCTCTTCCTTTTCGATCTCTCATCCTCTTCATCGTAGTCGTCGTGTTCCCAATGCTGGTCCTCGTCCTCGTCGCCTCCATCGAGGTTCAGGCTCGCTGGCCAACTGGCCACCGCCGAGTGTATCACCTTGACCAACCTGGCGCTCCCGCTTTGCCCATGCTCAACCCCGTCCCCGGTTTCGTAGATGGAGATATAAAATCCGCCAGTGACGCCGACGACCACCCTTCCCCTCAATCCTACCAGGACGACCCTCTCTTCCGGCGGGGGGATGTAGTGACGTTTCCTATTCCTCTTGTTCGCAGCGGGAACATGTACAACCGACCTGTTCCATATCTTCCCAGGTGCTCGCTCGACATCCTCGATCCCATCCGCATCTTCGACGTGATTCACATGTAGATCAGGTTGATGTAGGGTCAAGATGACAAACCCTCCAGATCGATAAAACAGGACCAAGCGGAGATCATCGGTATCGCCTGATTCAGACTCGTCCGTAGCCATAGCCGTGATGTAATCGGGTCGGGAGGGGGAAGACCAGCCAGGCGGAGGTGGGATCAAGGCGATCGGACGGTTCATCGTGGTCATCGTGCTAGGCGTTATTGTCGTCGTTGCGGTATCCTTCGTTCGGGAAAGTTGGGTCATGATAGAATTGTTTGGATTGGGACCGCTGCCAGACGCTACGGGATTGGTTTGAAGGGGTCTTGAATCGTGTACGTGCAAAAGCGGTGAATTCGGGTATGCGACCAGTACGAAACTTCCAGCCAGACAGAGGAGTTGTTTAGGTACCAGAGCTTGAGTATGTGGTTCTTGACGGGGTCGGGGTGGTGGATGTGGTATACGTGTGCGAAGAGGACCGAGTCGTGGGTTGTAGGTCATGCCAACATCGCCCGAGCTGACGGGCGGTAGTGGAAATCCAGGCGGATGGACCGGATATGGGGATGCGTCTGCTGACGGAACGACCGTTCTCCGCGCCAGTGTTGGTGAAACAGTCTCTGTCGACCTCAAGGTCGTCCGCCTTCTTGATGGACCAGGCAGATCATCCCCATCCTCTTCTCCCTGTCGTTGACCCCTCCTGGACATTACGCTCGGCGAAGGAGATGGGGACAGTGAATGCGTGACGGCGTTCCCCGTCGACCAATTCGTGCCGATTCGCATCAGGGTCTTCCAATCTACGCTCCCGGTGTCCGACGAACGCCGTGCGGGAGGAGTCGAACGGGGCGTCAGAGGAAGAGGTGTCGCGAGAAGAGATATTTCGTTCGGTATCCTTGTACGTCCGTGCGTATGGGCTCGTAAATGGTGCATGCTGGGATAAGGAAACCTTTCTGTCAATCGCAATCGAATCAGCATCAGTTCGAGGACACCTGCTTATCCGAAACAGTATGGACAAACTCACCGAGGTACATCTTCTTCCACAGACTCCCATCCTCGCCCATCCTCCTCCAATACCGACATACCCGCTCGACATTGATGAGCTCGTCCACCGGCAAGAAGGACAAGATGAGCAAGAAGATTTCGGCCGAATTGAAGACGGCACTACGGGCGGCAAGCTCTGTATGTTCCGAAGGTATTGAAGTCGAAGTCGAAGATGTTGCTGATATTGATGTTGATAATGATGTTGCTGAAGAAGGCGAGAGGCGAATACGCTTGTCCGGCCGGTCTGGCGAGGTAGACCACCGCCGTTTGGGTCTAGGTTCCGGGTCCATACTGTACAGCAATTAATCGAGAGCCTTGGACGGATATCTGAACGTAAGTCTATAGTCTATATGTCTATTGATATGGAGGATCCCAACTCGATAGCCCAAAGGGTCCCTTATCCTTACTTGACCTTACTCGACCTCCACTTTTGATGATGAACCACGATCCTCCCCTCTCCTCCGATCTTCGGAAGCAAAATCGCTACCGATCTCTCTCTGCAACACCCGGTCGAGGTCGTCGTGCCCGGTGGATGCCGACACAAGCGAGCAGCGAGCAGTCAAGATTGCTGCTAGCTGCTAAGCTGCTAACTAGGTGACAAGAGTCAATATCCGTACGATCACTCGGATTCAAGCGAGTGCGATAAGACGAAATTGGGTAGTCTTCCTGGATCCTGGAGCGTTCATCAACAAACTTTATCTCGATTCTCACTCGAACGACGCCGCCCTCTCAATGTACTCGATCTGCACCTCTAGATGGACAGACGATCACATCGCTACCACATCCTAGGCCGATCAGACGAGTCGCTCCCCACCCAGCCCTGCCGGGCTCACTTCCGTTTTCCGTTTTGGTGACAAATCGATCGTAATCATATCATCATCATACATCCCCGTTCCCCCCTCCTCCCGGCCACACCTTCCGTTCCCTTCAAAACGTTCCATTCCGTATTTCTCCGTCTGATCCTGCATGCGTGTGGTATGAGATCCCGGTAGAAAGGATGGGGAAGATCTTTGTCGGTCAAGTCGATGTTGACGAAAGGCGAGGGCCAGCCATCGGGCTAAGCGCTTTAGTCCGAACCGGTGGCACGGGCTGTTATCGCGAGAAGTAAACGCAAACATATATCATCAGCTTATCTACCCAGCCTGAGGCATTCCGGAGACCCGAACCGGACGCACTGTAAACCCATTGTCCGTGGTGGTGCACGACCTTCTTGATCAAACCCATGTCCTCCAAAGTCCTCATGGCCTTTCGGGCCAAAGAACCGTTGATCTTCATTCGCTCGATGAGGACCGACTGGGAGATCATCTTGTAGGTAGGGACCTCCTTGAGGATCTTGTCGCTGTGAAGAAGAAAAGGAAATATCGTTAGGATAGGTAATGTAGTTTCGAGATGGTCGGACAGGTTTCGTTCGACGTACTAGGTGGGCTTGTCGACCATGACGGCGTTGTTGGCCTTGTCCTTGACCTTACCCTTGGACCACTTCTTCTTCTTACTAGAGACGTAGGGATCGTGAGCAAGTCAGCTTGCCAGTCCATAGCCACCGAAAGGCAATCTGCGTGGATGTCCTCGAGAGAGAGAAGAGACTTCAAGACGGTTAACGGCGGGACGGCTGAGCAGCGAAGTATTGATTTCGGTAGGGCGAAGCTGGAGGTCTTGCAAGGTCCGTCTTGTCCGGTATTTATCGTCTCTGATTGCTATCTTGTTCCGTGAAAACCGAATCCTTGATACGATTGCCCCTCGCTCCCACTTTATCCCTCCCATCGTTCGATGCAGCCATTCCTTGCCATCTTTCTCGTTGCCGTCCATCCATCCTGTTCTCCTTCATTCCAGCCGGTAGTCCTCTTGATGTCCCTCTTCTTCTCTCTCGAAACATCCAGCAGATCGCCATGTGAAGTTTATCAACTTACCCGGCACGAGAACCGGCCTGAGCGGCAGCCGCGATTTGAGCCTTGGTCTTGGGAGGCATGTTGAGTCGATCTTGAGGTTCTTCCTAGACTGAACTGAAGAAGAAGAGGGTCGAGTCGTGTATGTGATGTCGATATCAAGTTGAACGGCGAGAGGGTAGATTGCGGTACGAGCCTAGGGGCTGACGCTAGGGAAGCAGCGGGCGAAGGGATTGGGCGAGGCCGAATGGGGGCGAAGGGGGGGAAGCCAAGGGCGACGCGCACTCAGACCCGCGAGCCAAGGAGCCGCGGAAGCTGATTCGACGCAGTCAAGAGGGAAATGATAGGGCTGAGACTCGAAGACGACCTGTAAAGTCCGATACTAGAAACGCGTTCAAGGAAAACGGCTTGAAACAAACGATCTTCGCGAGAGTTGGGGAGCTACTTTGTATCAGGCTGAAACAACAGTCACCACGGCAGTAGTCGCAGCAATGCGGCCAAATAAGTTCGTTTCATGACTCGAATGTATGGTATCTGAGATCCGACGTAGAGTCGTCTCGCTTGTACAACGCGGCTTCGCATATTCATGTTCATATCACTCGCCCAACTCTCTCCTGATCCGCTCCCTGACCTCCCTCAATCTCCCTCCACTCGTCACATCCCTCATGCTCACATCAGGCTTTCCGGGGGAAGCCGGCGGTACAGCCAGATAATCCGCCGAGGCGATGGCGGTCGTCGTCACCTGGATGGCAGGCATCTCTAGCCATTCTTGTCGAGCGATCAGACGGAGGACGAGGAAACTCGGACAGAGGGTCGTCAGCAAGATCAACGAGTCCCTCGCTTCAGCTGTAACGAGCAAAAAGCGTAACACCGCCCTGTTTCAGTTTCGCGTATCGCGCGTGTAAGAGATTGACGATGAACATGTACTCACCAGCGCTTATCGGGGTCTTTGAGCTCTTAACCACGATGTCCACCACTTGACTCATCGGGAAAGCTCTCCTCCTCGTCTTGCTCAAAGGAGAGCTGTTGATCCCTCCCAATCCTCCCGAACTCGAACCAGGTGCTCCGGGACTCGAATCGATTCCCGAATTGCTAGGAATAGATGAGAATAGCCTGTTCAAGAAGTAACCGTCTTGTCAGCAATGCAAGTTATCAGGTCGCCCATATGAGTCGACGACTCACATCCAGACCCCTTCAGCGACACCTTCCAGCCGACTCAGCGTACTCCTCCTCTTTAGCTCGGCAGCAGCGTCGACTTTCGTCATGTTACCAAGTTTGGCATTCAGCGAGACGTCGCCCGAGCTGGAAGATGCCGTCGGCCGGTCCTTGGCCGTCCTCGCCTTGATCTACGGTAATCGAAAGGACAATGTCGTCAGCTACGAGTCTCTGGTGGTCTGCATTCCCGTGACTGACCCTATCATACAAGGCCTGGCGGCGGTCTGCCACGCTGTCCTTCTTCCCTCCGCTGCTAGATCCAGGTGCAGACGAAGAGCTCGAAGGGATGCTCTCGACCCGTCCAAAGACGTCCTCTTCGTCCCTCACAAGCGGTTTGACAGGGCTAGCCAAAGCTCCGGAACGAGACGGGGTGAAGAGACCGTACCCGGGCGTGCTGCCTGCCGTTCTCGAAGTAGCGATAAGTTTGCGTGGAGCAGGAGGCGCTTCAAAGGCGGGCAAGAGCGACCCCGTTCGGACTGCACTCGGACTAGCCGAGTGCGCTGTCGACGGGCCAGCAGTTGCAGACGGAAGGTTCATCTTGACTTGAGGCAGCTTGGGGATCTCGGCCATAGGCACGTTGGGTACCATGTCCTCATCGTCATCTTCGTCCTCTTCCCCCCGCCTTGCAGCTCCTTTTGACCTGGCCGATCGTTCCTTGCAGACCTCCCACCACCTCCATACTTTGGCTTCGAACCGCTTTCCTCGCTCTTCACCTCCTGCACTCCATCGTCCCAGCGCGCCCATCCCAACGCTCACCCCGGCATTGGCGCCGATCTGGGTGTGTAAAGAGTTTCGCAAGGAAGCCACCTCGAGCGGGGTCAAGTGGAGCGTCAGCCCGATCCCATGCGTCGTCGTCCTGCGAGACGTGATCGGGTCCAACGTCCTGGCCAGGGTGATCAGGTAATCCCCAGCCCTGGTCTTGCCTCCGACTTCTTTCGAACTTTCTTGTTGCAACGCTTCCAGGTTGTCGAGCGCCTTTTCGTCGCCCTGCCACCCCCAGATCCAGACCAGCCTTCGTAATTCAGTGATCCCGAACCGCCTCTGGCAGGTCTTCTCGACCATCCCCTTGATCTGAAGGAAATTGCTCAAGTCGACGAGGTCGACATCGAGACCGTTCCCCTTAGCGTTCTCCAGCTCGACTTCCAAGGGCGGGAGGATAGGCGGATGAGTCGCCAGCCATAACCCCAAACTTAGGTCGAAGGCCGAGTGTAGGAGTACAAGCGTCTTCAGATGTCCAGGGAGGATCTCTAGCTTGCTCTTCCCCGACGGATCGGTCACTTTTCTCTTTCCCGGCGAACCTGCGATAGACTGGAACTGCGTACGTAGTCGGGGCGGGGTAGAAGGGATAGTCTGTCCGGGCAAGAACGGCTTGGATCGGGATTGAGGAGGCGGAGTGGAAGGTCGTTCGGAACCGAAAGCGACGGGCAAGACGTTCTGGAACCTAGTTGCATGTTCCGATTCCCGGGACTGAGGCGGTGTGGGGAATGGTGCGAAAGGAGGGTTCGGGGCGGGTGCTCTGCTCATTCGAAAAGATTAAGCGTAAGCCGCGAGACACGCCTAACGATATATGACTTCGACTTACCCTTGTTGCACACTACCGGCCCCGAAGTTCCTCCTCTTCTTCTCCCTCTCCCTCGAAGGCGGCGGAGTCAACATTCCGCCCACCCCGGTCATTTTTGCTACGGCTCCATCGTCTTCCGAGCCAGACAAGTCCACAAACTCGTCAGCAGTCTCGACCTTGCCGATGGAACGTTTCCGGCTCTGCCGGATCGTCGATGGTCCGCTTGTGGATGTCGATGTTGATGTTGATGAAAGAAGAGTCGTCTGGTTCGATTGCTTGTTCCTAGTAGATCTTCGGGTAGGTGTTGATGTAGACATGGCGTTATCCGAACTTTGCAGAGTGGTCCTATGTTGCTATGAAATTATGTTGAGATGAATCCTTTCGAGTGCGGAATTTGTTGTTGGTTGAAGAATCCAGTTCCTTGTTATATGGTACTTGTTGATAGTTGACAGGTTTCGAAGAGAGAAAAATTGGCGATACAGTTGTCGAAAGGATGAGGGAAACCACGGGTTACCAAAGGAATAGTCGAAAGTGTACCTTGTTCAACAAGGCTTGCGTGGTCCTAGAGTCCGGGGGGTAGAGGAAGATTGTCCAGATGCGTTCGAGGTAAGAGATGGATCCTGTACTCTTTGGAGAGGTTGCAATGTCGAGGCAAGAGTTGGGTGGATGAGAAGCAAGAATCTAGGTTGAGAAGGCTATTCGAGAGGACGCAAGATCGACCGAGTGGTGTTTTGCTCGGGATCGAACGGTGGGATTCGCGTGAGGATAGATGATAGGGGGAGAGCAGAGAGGGTTACAAGACTGAGATGGATAGGATAGTGAGTGGAAGGGTTGAAGGGGAAAGGGATGGTAGAATCGGATCGAAATGGTCAGTCTGAACCTCGAATTGCTCTTTCTGGGATGTTGAACGATGAATCTACTCTACTAGCTACTCGCGCCATCTCCCAACGATGACGGACGTGAGCGATCGATAATGACGCGGACATCCAGGGTAGACATGATCTGGGAAAATGTTCAGATGTCCGCCTGGTCACCCAATCTCAGAAACGCCTGCGCCTTGCTCATCGACCTTGTCATGATCGAAGTGTGGAAGATGTGAGACGGCTTGCTCTTCTCCTTGCTCATCTTACACCAAAGGCTCGTTGCGGTAGATCGTTATCAAGACGCTCAAAAGTTGAAACATAGATCTAGCGTTATCAGAAGCTAGACGAGCATCGCCAAACCTCGCCAAACTATAACAAAAGGATAGCACGAATCCAGAATGCGTTACTACGAGAACAAGTTCCCCGAGGTGCGCTCACGAGCTCTCCTGCGACCCTGGAAGATGGTGTATTGATCTGTGCTGTTCGTGGTTGCGCTGGAACAGGTGGACCAGCTGGTCATGGTCCAGGTCAAGCAGATCGCCGAGATGGGAGCCTACGTCAAGCTCGTGAGTCGCCCTTGCCGTTCCGGTCCTCATCCTGACCCGGCTGGTCTAGTGTAATCTAATACCGTTGTTTCGAGTCATCAGCTCGAATACGACAACATTGAGGGAATGATCTTGCTGTCCGAGTTGTCCCGAAGACGTATCCGATCGGTACAAAAGCTCATTCGAGTCGGAAGGAACGAGGTCGTCGTTGTCATGAGGGTTGACCCTGACAAGGGTGAGCCAGGATCCGCTTGATTATCCGTCTTCCGCTGTGAGAGAACTGACACCATATTGCGCTCGGCTCGGCAGGTTATATCGACTTGTCAAAGCGACGAGTCTCTGCGGAAGAGGTCATCAAGTGCGAGGAGCAGTACGAAAAGGGAAAGGCCGTCGACTCGATCATCCAGCAGGTCGCCAAGAAGTGCGACGTCGATGCCGAGCGACTGTACGAGAGCGTCGTCTGGCCCCTGGGAAAGAAGTATGGACACGCTCATGATGCTTTCAAGCTCGCCGTTACGTGAGTCCAATTCAAGTTTGCAGAGCCTCTCGGATTCTTTTTCGAGTCGTGCTAACGGGAAAGACCTGGGTCTCGCCTCTTGCTGTAGGGAATCCGACACCGTCTTTGAATCCCTCGACATGACCCCCGAAGTCCGCTCGGAACTTCTCTCCACCATCGCCCGACGACTCACCCCCAAGCCCGTCAAGGTCCGATCGGATCTCGAACTCACTTGTTACTCTTACGAGGGTATCAACGGTATCAAGGCCGCCCTCCGTGCTGGGGAAGCTCTGTCCACCGAACAGGTACCCATCAAGATCCGACTGGTCGCTCCGCCTCTCTATGTGATGAGCACAACTAGTACGGATAAGAACGCGGCGATCGAGTTGATGGAGCAGGCTTTGAGCAAGATCGGAGAGGAGATTGAGAAGTACGATGGTAACATCAACGTTGCCATGAGGGTGAGTCGCACGATGATAGGAAGTTGGAGGACCTGCCTCTGATGACTGACACCCGATCATCGATTCTCTTTATGTCATGCGCTCCAGCCCAAGGCCGTCTCCGCCGTCGAGGACGATGCTCTCGCCCGACTCATGGAGCAGGCAGAGAGGGAGAACGCTCAGATCTCGGGAGACGAGGACGAGTCGGAGGAAGAGTAGATGTCGGACGCCCGGTGATAGTAGCACTTTTGTATATCGAAGGCATAATGTGCGGATGGATTGTCGCTTCAGTCAAGAGGTTCGGGTCAGTGACGTAGCGGATCGCGATTTTGGGTGTCGTGATGTGGAAGTCGTCAAGTCGCACGGCAAGCCCAGGCTTTTTATTCTGTCAAAGTAGCTACAAGGTGTGCAGGAGGGCGTTCGCTCAAAGCGGCAATTCGAGACCAATGAATTCTGCGTCGCCAGGACTTGATCCTTCAATCGAGTGTGGATGGCCGAGCGAAGCATAAAGTATCGTAGTCTCAAGGCAATATCGTTTTCTCCATAAAGCTGGGTATACCCTTCACGCGCTTGTGCTTAGGTCTGATCGCGATAGCGCCTCGACCTCTCATTTATCGTTGATCAATTGGCTGCTGGTCAGGCACTGTGTCGCCGCTTCCGGCAGAAGGCAGACTGCGCGAACAGCTGTTCCTGTTCCAGTTTCTAGGATAACGCCCTTGTGGCCTCCCGCCCTCTTTGATCCATTGGATTGAATTCAGCGTGTTTCGCATAGAGATCTAGACCCTGGGACACCAATAGGAATTGGTACGCTGTCCCATACAGATTTCGGTTGGCTTTGATTCGGGACTGGACCTGATAAGTCTCTGAAAAGGAGGGGAGTTGCCATCGCCTTTCGGTTGAAGAGATTACCAGATAATAATTGCAAACATGAAAAATGAAGCCGCTCCATCGCTTCATTTTAAGATTCGTTCAGCGACGAAGTCTCATGGTTAAACCTGAGATCGTAAGTGGGAACCGTCAACTTGCTCGAATTGAGGACCACGAATGTGACAACAGATGGTGATAGGGAAGCCCCAAAGTCCCAAAGGGTCTGGCTCATACTCTGCCGACGCCAATATCCGATTGCTATCTAGGTGCTGGAAACGGCCTCTTTCATGTATCGGAATCCATGCCGTTGATTGACCAGGATCATACCCAAAAGGAAGATTAGTCATGGACCCGAATTTTCAACTCATAAAATATCCAAGGTGTAACTCGGAATACCAGTTCTGTATCATTAAGTCATTCTGAGAGGGATGTAGCGGCATACAAGGCACTGAAATTTGATCATGTGCAGAGTATTATAACTCGCTTTCCGGCCTTCAAAGATATCCTTCTGCCATGAAACAACGCTCAGTCTAGACTATCTATCATTTTAGCTTAACTTAGCATATCGACTGGACTGGTAGCACGCTGTATGAAACAGCTATCGCTTCAAGGTCAGCGGTTCTGGCAGACCTGGTTTTCATATTGAGAGCCTGGGCTGTGTTGAATGACTCATGAGCAAATTTTACAACCTCTGCTGACTGCTTCTTTGTCAACAAGTTGTAGTCTGGTACTATTGCTGCATAGTAGGCTATGTCGAACTTGATCACAGTCCTAGCCAACGTATCCTCTTAGCTGGCCAAACATTTGCGACCACTACTGTTTGCTACTCCGCTATTACAAGTCTCTCATTTGCCTTTCAAGGCCACTTCCGGTGACACTCTCGGATGGGCAGAGGTGAGGCGAACCGATCCAGACCTCTCCGGAACTGTCTGGATCCCGTCCGAGCGTCTCCTGCGCAGTCCTCTGGCCAATCGCCAGCCCGATGTTGTGGTTCTCACAAGCGTAAGGCGAGCGCAATCGTGGCTTGGAGTTTGTACCGGCGGGAGTAATTGAGATCATATTACTTCCGACAGGTGCTTGCCGGAAGCATATTGCTTTGACCCGAATTCCGTGCCAAGTTTGATCAAATCAATCACAATCTCAAGATTTGTGGTAGAAACGGATCGATCACTCCTACATACACACCAGACGCGGTATTCTCATTGGCATTGGAACACATCGAACAAGAATCTTCAATCTGGATTACATCTTCATGTCGTCGAGCGAATCACTTGACTCCAGGCTCGAGGGTCTCCTGGAAAGACGGAAACGCAACTCGACCTACAGGAGCTTGAAAGGATACAGGACGGTCCAGACTGCAAGCGATCGTACGGGATCGAGCAAAGACGAACTGATAGACTTTGTGAGAGATGGGAAAGCGAGAACTAGTTTCGACTCGGACTAACCAGAGTCTATGATATCCATTCTTAGTCTTCCAATGACTACCTATCCATCACCCACTCTCCATCTCTCCGAAGTCGCTACCTTCGCCGATTAGAGAATTGCCCCGCCTCACTCTTCGGATCGGCCGGGTCTCGCTTGTTGGATGGTACAACACCGTACCATACCTCTCTCGAACAACGCTTGGCCCGGTACTTCAGCTACGCCAGCGGGACAACGGATGGAGACCCCTCTACATCGGACACTTCCGCTCTACTTTTCAACTCGGGTTACGATGCAAACGTATCGTTCTTCTCGACAGTACCACAACGAGGAGATTATATCGTCCACGACGAGTTGGTACACGCCTCTGTATGGGATGGGATGCGGGGTAACGCAAGACGAGGCGTACCAGAGTCGCAAAGGTATAGCTTTCGGCACAACTCGGTCGATGCCCTCGAACGAGTATTGCGACAGATCATCAGCTTGGAAATTGAACGACATGGAAAGGGGATAATTTACGTCGCACTCGAATCCCTTTACTCTATGGACGGAGATTTGGCACCGCTGGACGAGATCCTCACTCTGCTGGACTCGCTACGGCGAGAATTCCCACATCATGTGAACCCGAACAAGGTGATCCTTGTGCTGGATGAAGCACATACTACGGGGGTGTCAGGTAAAGGAGGAAGAGGCTTGGCCTGGCATTTACAAGACCGGGGTCAGGGTCCCGACCGGGACGAGCGATACAGGAGTAGAGCGAGAAGAGTGCGAGATTGGTGTCAGGTCCGGGTGATGACATTCGGTAAAGCCGTCGGAGGCCAGGGTGGTGAGTGAGAGAGAATATAGAGAACCCCCGCAAAAGCTAAATTACAAAACAATCGTGAATAAACAGCTGTCCTCGTAGCTTCTCCTGCTGTCCGACAGTTTCTTATCAACTATGCTCGGCCATTCATCTTCTCAACGGCCATGTCTGTCAACAACGTCTTGGCGATAGAAAGTGCTTGGAACGTCTTGGAAAGCGACGAAGGCGACCAGGTAAGGCTTCAAACTGAAAACGAACTTTTCCAGTCCTGGACATCGATGAGCTCATTTGCGTTCATATAGCGGAGACGCGATTTGCAGCGGATATGCAACATTTTCAACCACGAGGTATCACGACTTCTGCAGGAGAATGTCGTCCCAGATACGCTCTTATCTTTACTTGCGGACAAAGACGCAGCAACACCAACCGAACCCACGCATATCACTCCCCTGATCACGCCGCATCCACATAGTCTGGCTCTGCATCTCCGAGAACAAGGCTTCCTCACTAGACCCGTCGTGCACCCAACGGTTCCCAAAGGCAGGGAGAGAGTCCGGGTCTGCTTACACGCAGGCAACCGCGAAGAAGATGTGCTCGGACTGTTGGCAGCCATCAGAGTCTGGCTACTTCATGGGCCGCATACAGCTGCAGCACCGCCCCTCAAGGCCAGGTTGTAATCATGCAAGCACTACTATGCGATATGCTACCCGAATCTCAATGCCGTTCACAAATTATACAGTCTAGCTACTTTTTGCTCAGGAACCCTCCTGAGAGTCTAGACAGAGCTCCACCTCTTTCTCTTGCGCCCGCCCGATCGATTCTTGGGCGTTTACTGGGATTTGTAGGCGTAGAATTTGCCTGAGGTGTTTCATTTGTGCTCTCTGCCATAGGACATCCAGTCAGTCACGCTACGATTGTCATCTCTCTCTTGTAACCAACCCACCTTCGTGCGTACGCTTGCGATCAGGCGATCTCGAGATCTCAGATGTCTTTGCGGATCTATCGACGGCTTGAGGAGAGGATGTGTCTGGGACGGGCTGGCTCCCGGATGGATTTGCGTCCACGATAACTCCGAGACGTGATGACAGTGAAGCTTTAACAGGAGTGCTCGTGCTGGAAACCGAGATCTACCGATTACGCAAGGTCAGCTGAAGCACCGCGAGTGGAGGGGAACACGAGGCAGACGTACTTGTTTTCGATCTTCTGTCGGCTTTTCGCGAGTGTGGCTTCGGGTTGAAGCACTGTCCCTGTTCGCGTGTCTGAGCTCACTACTGGAATGAGGAGGCGGATCTCGATCGGTGCGCAAGGTCAAACTTTCGATCACCGAGGCATGTGACCCATTCCTGTTCAATGCCGCTTCCGGCTGAATCGATCGAGATTGCCTGTCCCTCCCATCGCCAGAGGTGTCGTTGCGACTGGTCAGGCCCATACGCTCTGCTAAGCGGGGCGTAGCGTTGCCGTTGTTGCCAGCATCATGGGGACGGTGAGGTTCCTCTCGTGCCGATCCGTTCTCAGCGACTTTGTTTGTCTTAGGACTTTGATCTGACATGGGGGTAGCCACCGTTGACATGCGGCTTCTCCTGTTGTCGTCGAAACGACTAGCCAGGGCGTCCAGATGGGCGCTTGGGTCCCGTCCGCCAACCTCTGATACGGGCAGAATATCCCTACGGGTAGAGCCCCGAGTATCTTCATCCACGCGAGAGGTCCTGCTTCCTCGTTGGCGGTCATCCACCTCCTTTGGGCGAACATTATCCTCTGACCGATCCTTGTCACGACGTCCAGCTCGGACCGGAGAGCGCTCTCGTTCTCGTTCCCGATCTCGGTCCCCTCGAGCGCGGTCGCTGGCACGTTCTGAAGCGGTCTCCCTTGATGCTGTTTTAGAGGAGCCACGCTCAGAATCACGGGAACGGTTACGTTCACGGTCACGGTCTCGGTGATCGCGTCGACTATCACGATCGCCTTTCCGGTCGTCACGATCGCGTGCGTTCCGGGATCGATCGTCCCCTCGGTCTCGATCGATCCTGTCATGATCCCTCCGGTCGCGAGTTCGCTCTGAGTCCTTTCGAGAGGAATCTACTGATCGATCCTTGTCTTTATCACGTCCGCGGTCTCGGTCTTCCTTGTCCCTTACCCTCTCTCTGGGCTTGCCTCGCGCATCATGATCACGTTCTCTCGGTCGATCTCGACGTTTGTCGGCCTCCCTATCCCTGTCCCTATCCCTATCCCTATCTCTTTCTCTTTCTCTTTCTCTGTCACGATCGCTGCGACGCGTGTCTGATTCCTTTACCCTGTCTCGAAGTGAATCTTCGGGTTGACGGATACGCGAATCGCTCTCGTCTCGTCGTGAATCGAGTGGCTTTCGCTGTCGATCGGCGTCCCGTCGAGAAGCGCTGATTCTGCTGGTCTTGCTGTCTGCGCTGCCGTTCCTGCTGCGAGAGGGGCGATGAGGCGAAATATCCCGTCGGGTCTGACGATCGCTGTTTTCCTTCTCGCGCATCTCTCTAGGAGCTGGTGGAGGCGGCATCTCTCGAGATCTGGTCGAGAGTTCCTCTGCCTTTGGCCTTGCGGCGGGACTGGTATCGCGGCTTCTGCCCACCATTGGTGACGAGATGCGCGCTGCTATAGACGCCTCACGCTCCAAGTCCGCACGAGGACCGCGGGGCAGGTCGGATGGTGTGACAGAGGACCTGCGAGAGGATAGGCGCGAGATTGGCTCGGCCGGAGTTGAAGTATCTATCTTGCGTACTTCCGCCACTGGTAATGAAGGTGGTGTGACCGAAATGTCTACGGCTCCGTCGACTTCCATGCTCATGGAGTCCTTTGATGATTTGTCTTCGGCAAGAACGACGGGAATAGCGCTCTCTTCTGCTGCAGGCGACGCGACAGCTTTCGCCTTGCCCTGAGCTTTGCGCAAGGTCAACTGCTCGCGTAACGTTTTGAGGTCCGCGGGCGAAGCTGCAGCAGTTACAGCTAATGCGTGCTGTGATTCCGCTGTGGATATCGGCTCGGCTTCGAGTTGCTGCAGCGCTTGAGCTACCGTGGCGTTGTTGGGGATGTCCAAGGCTGATGCAATCGGCGCCATCGGTTTGGCATCTGAATCGGTTGGCGATTCGGCGGAAACCTCCTCAGCCTTAGTTGTCATCACTTGTTCTGTCGCTTCTTTGGTTATCGTCTCTGTTGATGCAGCAGATACACCCGGCGTAGCATCGACAGCCATAGGAGCAGCAAGCGCTTCCTGCGATATCGGTTCAGTTTTGGGTATACCCGATGCCGGTCGTGCGGTATCACCATCGGTCTTCGAGTTGGCCTCCGGGACAGGCGCAGCTACCTTGGCGTTGGCTTGCCCGGGCGGAATGCAATAGTCGCTTGTGAGAACAAGTTTGATGGATTTGTCCCTCTTGGCAGCTTCGAGCAACGAGGTGTATCTGAAACGACAACCGTCCCACCTCTTAGATAAGCAAAGCGTTTGGGCCTTGCCTTAAAAAGAACATTGCGTGCTTACGCCTGAACAACGAGCAAGAGGTCCTCCCGAGGATCCTCCCGTGCCCTTTCCCTGAGCTTGAAGTCATCGAGCGACTTGATGATGTCATCGTAGAGCCTCTTGACTTTAGGAAAAGCAGGAATGAGCCTTTGGGCCAACGTCAAGCCGTTTTTTATGTGAAGGTAATCGGCAGCCTCCAGACAAGCGATGATAGCCTGAAGTAATCCATCAGTCTCGCGGTAGCCTATCAGCTATCGTGATTCACATACCTTGGTCAAACGTCGGTGCCACTTGTAGCACATATTACGGAACATTTCCCAGTCGAGGTGGCGTGCACCATCCAGCCTCATGCCGTAGAAGAGACCGTCGAAATTCTCGTTCGGATTCGCTCCCAATGCTTCGGCTTCATATACATCGCGAGAAGCATGCCAGCGGTCCAGATCCGCCAGCATAGTCATCATACATTGACCTGTAAGGACAACGATATCTTGTAAGCCATGAATAGCAGTCCGAAAGGCGAGCCTGAGAATGAGCTTGCCTAAATTGGCTACCTCGGCTTCACTGCAAGCGAAGATAAATGGAACGAAACTATCTGGAAAGAACTGCGCAGGTTCTAGGTGAATAAGTTTTGCTTCGATCTGGAATATCAGAAGTGAGCGCTTACCTCTTCATAGAACAGTAGTAGCGAAAAATTCGGCGTTCTTGCAGCGTGAAGATATTGACCGAAGCGAGCGACAAACAAGGCATCAACTGTGCTGTGAATGGCTCGTGGATAGAAGCAAGCGGCATGCAACATTCCAGCCAGGTAACGTTTTTCCCGGATAGCGGGTTTTTCTGCGTGTCATGGTGAGATTTTTAGAGGCTTAGCACGATCAAAAGAGTATGTCACACACTCACCAGGGAACCAGTGATCCTTTTCCGAGTCTAGCCGCGCAGCAGCAGTGGCGACAAGCTTCTCCTGATCTCGCTGTTCAGCCTTTATTTTGTCGACTAGGGCACCTAGCTCAACCTTGTTGGAGCGATAAGCGTCTACCCATTCCGCGGTTAGAGATCTCAGGGCGGTCCATGTTTCCAGTCTCGCCATCGAAGCTTCAAGACGCGAGATGGTTCTGGCATAAGCTTTGTCTGGAACCGCGAGTTCAGGTAGACCAAGTTGCCAGAAAGTGACCATGAATGGTTCCCTACAAAGCAAGCGGTATTTGTGGGCGAAGTCAAGCCAAAACAATCTGTTGAGCTTACAGGCCATTGTCATGAAGCTCGGCAGAGACGCATCTAGCAGTGTCCACGACCAGCGGCAGAAGCGGAGGCTGGACGACTTCTTCATTCCAGGTGATAAGGTGAGTCTCGGCTGCGTCAACTGATCGATTCTTCCAACCCAAGCGCAAGCGAAGGTATGCCTCGCGGTCGTGCTAAATCATCGTGGGGGTGCGATCAGTCGCAAGCCCAAACGGCTAACGGTAGGACTTCACTCACATAGATACTCCTGTGCAATTGAGGACGGATAATGTGATACGCCAGGTCCCAGCTCACCCCAAAGTCTTTGTACAACCTGATGAAAGAAGGCAGCATGGCTACAAGCTCGTCCGTGTTCAAACCTGCAACAAGCAGTCGAAGATATTGGTTGAAGACGTTGTTGCACTGACAAATATACATCATCATGATCAGTTAAAATGGCCACAATGTAATGCTTTGTGCCATGATCGATCGAAAGCTACTCACGTCGTCAAAAGCCAATCCCAATTGCTTGGTATGTCCTAGGTTCTCAGTTGCAACAAAGATACAAGCCTCTCGAGCTTGCGCAATTGCGACCAAGATCGGCAAGATGAGACCCGAACTTTGCAAAGCCTGGATCAACCTATGCCTAGAATTGTCATATACCGGAGGCTTCTTCGGTCGACCTCGACTCATCCTCTCATTATCGTCTGTTGGTGGGGGTGGATGTCTGATTTGGGTGAGATCGATAGCTTCGCGCTGCATCAAAGGACCTCCAGCAAGGCAAGCGACCTGGGCCTTGGTCAGATCCTGCGCGACTTCGATGCCAGACATCTTGCTGATAAGTTGTTTCAGGGTAATTAAATCCGCAAGGCTTTGCCTCTTCAACTGGTTGCCGATCTGTTGCATGAGGGGCTCAAGTGGCATAGCCGTATATCGCTTGGCCAAACGACCGATGAAAGAGGATACGGCTACGGGAAGACCTGTCTGATTAGCACGAGTGGAAGTATCTGAGAGTTCCGGGACGAACCTTGCAACCAGGCCGAGGCTGTCAACCCATCGCTCTTGACCCTCTCTTTGCTCTCGTCTGACAGGGCGTCAAGCAACATGAACATTGTTACGTCCCAACCAAGGTTACTGAGATATCTTGCGCTTTCGACCACGGTATCAATCATGTTCTCGTAACTCATGATCTGCGGCAGAATAGCTTGCCAGAGAGCTGTCGGTGCCGAATAGCTGCCTTTGCCGATGGCCCGGGCATGGGCCCGATTGAGCTCGCTCGTCATTCGCTTCAGAGTCTGCTTGGTGGTGTTCTGGATCGCTGCAGCCGCCAATCCCATTACCGGGATATAGGATCGATCCTTGCTGTCTGACATGGCGATATGCCACTCCCCGTACAGTGAGTAACGAAATTGGTAGGGAAGAGGTCGCAGTAGGGGCCAAAGTTCGTTGTTGTATCCGTAGTTGGCGTTGAGTAGCGGCATCGCCGGTAGCAAGCTGGTCCTGACCAGATTGACCCAGGCCGACCGTACAGATTCGGAAGTCTGCAATGTAAAGATATATCAGCGTGTGCTTCCGTATCAATACGCTGATACTGAGAGGCGAACGTACATCTTGAGTGGTATGATAGACTCCCAACCGACAGAGCCATATCAGAACGGAAGCATCGCTTGCCGCCCGCGCCCCGACGATGCTCATCAACGGTTGGACCTTGCTGATGACTTCGGCCGGGTCGGTCCATCGCTCCAATTGGGAAGTCCATCCTCGGAAGAAGAATCGGAAACGTCGCCTTTCAGTGTCGATAGGCTCCGGACAGTATAGCGAGTCGACAACTTCTGGCTCTCCAAACGCAAAGTGTGTCCGATAGTTTAACCCCGGCGGTGGCATCCCTTCGTTGCGTGCAGCCTCTACGACGTCATAGGCTGGCTTCAGTGCATACCGGACGATACGCATGATGAGGATAGCGACACGCTCCGAATACTGTGCGACGATTGGCCAGCGCGAGATGATGTAGAAGGCCGACGAGATCTGCCCGATCGCGAGCAGTGCCTCGCAGAGCTGAATCTTCTGTTCCGGAATCTCTTTCCTCGGTTTAGGAATATCAGCATCTGTTGACGCTTTCGCAGCGGCTCCAGATGGCGAATCATCGTCTGGAAGCGCAGCAGCCATAACCAAGGCATTTCCACCGAGATTCCGGATATCCTGCTGCGTCTTGATCTTGTACGCTCGGACGAGCGAGTCCATGGTCGTGTCATCCGGTGTGAGGTGATTCAGGATGTCGACGGTCCGGATCAGGCCTTGCTTGATCAAGATGGCAGTCACATAGAATAGCTCTTGAGAAGCCGCCGTCGGATCCTGCTCAACACCCTTCAGGTCCCGATCGTCATATCGATGACTTGCGAACTTGAAGCCGAGAACCTGGGTCAAAACTCGGTTGCCCGTCTCCTCGCCCAACCTGGCCTTGAAATCGGTCATGCCCCTGGATTCCGCGGGTTCATCCGTCTCCATCGCACCCTCCTCTATATCTTCGTCCCCATCAGATCTAGCTGAGCAGAGGTTACGTCTCGACCAGGGAGAGCACTCCAACAAGTCGATGTAGAATCGCCAATGGAGAGCCAATTTCTGGCAGAAAGCATCCAGCATGAGGTCCAGGATCCGCTGCGGACTGAGATCGTACCATCCGATAACGGCCAGACATTCCTTCCACAAAGCCTTCGCCCTCCGCTTTCGATCTGTAGCGTCCTCATCCTCTCCTCCTTTTCCGAGGTATCGGTCATCTGAGAGCAGTACCAAAAACGCCGTGTATCCTTCCGAAGCTTCCCGAGAAACATTGTACTTCTTCTGTTTGTAGAAGATCGCCGTCCGCTTTCTTCGCTCGGCGGCGGAGTGTTTTGCGGCGGAGCTGTTCGCTGGCAGGAGTGAAAGGGCTGGAAGGGTCGTCAAAGTCGAGGGTAATAGGTGTGCAGCTTGCTCCGAGCTCATCCATTTGGCAATCTGTGCAAGTCATGATCAGCGTGGACAAGGAGTCTTACATCAATTTGGATGTAAAGCCTCACTATGAGCGCTCGTAGCAATTCCAGTGATCGCGAAAGACCACCTTCCGATGAAGCGTTCGTTTCGATCTCGTTCCCGATTTCAGAGCTGAGCCGTGCAGCTTCTTCTTTCCGTACGGTTTCTTGCTCCTCCACAGATGTCACCACATCGATTATTGCTTCTTGAAGGTATTGGACATGAGGGTGTTCGCCGAAGCTGGCGAAGAAAGTCGCTAGGGATGCTATAGATGGGTATGTGGCTTGAAGCAAGAGGTATAGCAAGATATGTAACAGAGGCAACGCCGTCGCATTCGTCCGGACATCGTCTAGGGAGCGAACGAGAAGTTCTCGACTATGAACATCGGTCAGATCGATAGTCTTGCCCCGACCGTCGCGAGTAGCATACATACCTGCGTTGCTCTCCTCCAGCAGTCCAGGCTTCTTCCGTGGTCAAGCTCCCGACGACATCTTGGGCTTCCAGATAGCCTTTTTCGAGAGCGGGATCCATGACCGATTCGCCAAGTCGGGAAACTCTCAGGCTAAGTGAGAAACCCTTCGTCTGTGCTGCTTGACTTTGCTCGAAGGATCGATAAGCTTATAGGAGTAGGTAAGAGTTCTCACTTCGATCTGCCTTGCATGGATTCGACGGATCGCCTCCACTTCCGCTAAAAGTGAATATGCAATTCGACAAGCAGCAACTGCAAGCGTTTCATGCACGCAGGATACTGCGATATTTGTATTCTATCGTCAAGCTGGTAATTCTGGTAACACATACTGCTGACACATGTATCCTCACATCTAAGATACAGACTGAATATCCGTCAACAACACGCTCCCGTACTCCCGGTCTCCTCGCAAGGCGAACTCATCATCATCTGTATGACCCCTCCAGATCGAATCCACCGTACGCTTCCAGACCATCCACGGTTCTTGCCCCGGGATGAACTTCGCGTTGACCACCCGGAAGATCTTCTCTTCGAGCTTGTCAGCAAATAGCAATGACGCGAGGATGAACAGCATCGACAGGTTTTGGCGAATTCCGGAAAGATCAGCCAGATGTCGTTGTTGCTGATGAATCACGACGATTTCCGGTGGGATAGGTCGATCGCAGAATGATAGCAGGAACATCAAGTGGGCTGCTCGGACCGCATCCACCCAATCCTTGATGGTAGCCACCAAGCCGCTTGTCGATCTCTCTGGTCGTGGTTTCGGTGTCATCAGACGCTCAAAGGTTTCCTCTGATGAGATCGAGGTGTGTCGTTCCTGCTTGGCAGTAAGGAGAAAGTGCTTGGGTGTTCTCGCCATTAACAGTTGTATAAAAAGCGCGGGATGCCTCGTCTCAACGACCAAGCACGATTTCGCAGTTCCAGCAGGTCCAATCCGTGATACCCCCCTTGACGGATCCGCAAACCTGATCTCCACGGTGATAGCCTCTTCTTCCGCCCTTCTCCTCATATCAGGTAATAATAAGCCCTCCGCTTTTTTCTCCGCCGCATCGACCGCTCGGAACCCGATTGACCGACCGATATTCCCTACGTCGACCTGAACGGGATTCAACGGGACCTTCAGGCTGTGTCCCGGGAGCTCTTCGGCAGGTCCTATGGGTTCTGATTCCATCGTACTCTTGGTATGGAGCTCCGGTCTAGGGTATACCAACAGCTTTTTACGGTAATGTAAAGTCCATGCTTGTCGAAGGATTCGGAAAGTGGTCAGGAAGAGATCCCAGGGTTGTCGCCACAAGACCACCTTGAGGATATTACTGATGGTGATATCCACCGGGCGCCTTGTCTTGTCGGGGTGGTTTAGCAAAGCAGCGTAGAGCTTGGTGTCTTTCTCCTGGGTCAGCTGATTGAGCGTGATCTTGATCCTCGGCTCGGTACTTGATCTCGAAAATGGATCTTGCACGTCTAACCGGTAAAACCCAGCTCGATTGTTGAATGGCGAGACGTGGAACGTTCGAGGGAATACCCAGGCGTGATCGTGATTCCCCTGAGGGTCCACTTCGTCGTGTGATGTGCGCAGAACGTAGAGGTGTCTTCAGAAAATGAGCGTTGGAGCTATCAGCTTGTGTCGGTTCAGATCGATCAAGACCTGGTACTCACCTCTCCTCGAACGTATTGTGCACCTCCAGTACGACGCATAACAGCCCTGCCGATCTCTCTTCGTACTCATCCGCATTCCTAACCGTGTCTTTGTAGCAGAAATATACCGACAGAGGGTTGACTCCCACGAATCCGAGATAAGAAGGCATGGTCACCATCCATACCCTTCCCATCTCCTCTCCAGGCACCCCATGTGCGCTGACAAGGGTCTTCAACTCTTCCTTCCATGCGCCCCTTCTCGCCTCTTTCTCCCCTATAGCAGGGGCGAGGTAATGCTCATGTCGGAGACCTAGTATAGATCTGCTTGTCCCGTACCGAAAGAAGCGCGAAGGGAGGTCCAAGTTGTGATTTTCTACTTCGTCTAGGTCGATGCCCATGTAGATGAGAGGGTAGGAAAAGGCGTGTTTGGCGGGAGTTGGGAGAAGCCGGCGGTGGGATGTTATGCATGGTAAGAGGGCTGAAGGTAAAGCTAGACAGCGAGGAGGGCTGCTGAGAGGTGTTGTCTTGTCCGTGGCATTGTCTGTCATTGTATGATGAACCGTGGTAAGCTGGGATCGGCCTGTGGAAGACCGACAGACAACTTACTTCTTTTTGATCGAATCAACCAACTGCCGATGACCACGGAGCAGATAGCACCGACGCCTACGGTAGCGAGGAGCCCCATTGAGCTCAACGTCTGAACGAGGTTGAGATTCGATAATAATGAGCTCGACCCGGCAGAAGTCTGGATACCAGCAGGTGTATCACTACGTCATCAGCGACTCCCTCGAGCGTAGAGGCTGAGGCAAGCCCGACTCACCTCCGCTTGGTCGACAACATCGAAGTGATTCGCTGTTGCACCCATTCTTGTGGAAGCTAGCCAAGCAACAAACCCAGAGACCCCACCGAGAACAGCCAGGTTGCCATCTGACCAGGACCTCTTGTTCTTCGATTCTGGCTTGCTGGAGTAAGTCATATATGCCGGAATGTCGGGGCACTCCAAGAGCCGGGCTTGAGGAGCAGACGGGCCGAATCAAGGAGGCAAGCACTGAGTCTCCACTTTATTACTACTGAGCTTTGTGATAATGAATTTACTTGTAGGTGTAGGAGAGCTGAGGCCCTGAGGCATCCTTCTGCTTCTCAGGATACATCAAAGGTGGGCAGGCCTCGCGAGCTTCAGGCGAAAGCCGAAATCTCGCGCTAAGTACGCTGGATGTACGTATGTGGGATCATGGATCATGGACAGGTTGTACAGAGGCCGAAACCACTTGAACAACTTGCATAATGTCATTCGAGCCCTGGCAGATGTCACACGTTACAAACCGTGCAGATATTCGTGATGGGAAATGCTTGATTAGGACTAGATTATGGCTATCCTAGATATATGTCCATCTTTGGCCATACACCCGTAGGTCTTGCGTGTGGGTGGACTGAAGATGAGATTGATCGACCCCGTTCTACCTCAAAGATCCGAATACCGGAGAGGTCATTGCTTATAGCTGAGTATACTTGGCGCACTCGGTCTTACTGCTCACTTCAGTCATGCGTGAACACCTTTAGGTGCGCGAGGCTGACTATATCCTAACCAGGTTTGTAACTGAGGACGAAGTATCTCTATGCTCCACCGTTTGATCCGTTCCATCAACCAGAGACGTTCGACACTATTGCAGCTGTCCTCTTCCTGGATCATGCCTGTCCAGGTAGTGCAGATATTCTAATGATGGTCTCAAGTGAGTAAGTTGAGAGTCGTGCTCATAACCGGAACTTACGCAAACTATGCCATAATGCCAAGGCTCTGGCTCGTAAGCAACGTAGAGTCTCCACAGCTCTCCGACTGAAGTCGCTCCAAATACGACGACTGGAAGCTTGAAAGTATCCTTCGCCCGGATCGTCAGCTTCTGGAGTATACCGATAGCGGAAGAGAGCGATCGAGCCGGCCGATCGATCGCGACACGCGCTGAGGAGGTGTTTGGCTCAACCTGGAAGCAGGAGAAGGGATAAAACAATTCCGGATGACCTGACGGAATAGAAACGGCAGATCTCGTCAGCCACTTCGCTCACAGCCGTTCACCCCGATCAGGGGGCGTCCATCTTCATATATCTTACCTTGATTTACATGCGGTATAGAGTTTGCTCCAGCTTGACGTATCATTTCCTGGATAACGTCGCGATCAGAATAGTCTCTGATCGCGGTGGACGATACAATTTCTGATCGAGGTCGGCTACGTTTCTGTCTTATTGAGCCTGTCTTGACCGGTTCCGGAGAATTGAAACCAATTGTGAAGGTCGGTCTCGGTTGTTCCAAGCGAATATCATGAGGCGCGAGAGAAATCGAGGTCCAGATTGTATCCCGCCTGCAGTCATGATCAGTACGCAGCGTCAGGACCATGTTCAACGATTTGCTGCATGCGAGCGGCCATATGTCGCGATTGAAACGAGCAATTGTGATAGATTTCCCGATCCTCCAGAAAGCAGGCGAGAGCCACAGAGACAGGTCGGTGCCAGGTGCGTTCCTGTCTTTGTTGCGTTTCTCAAATCGCTTCGTCCAGCTGATGGCCCCGATCGTAGTATATGGTTTCGACCGTGCTGAGGTTTGAGCTGACGCTAGCGATGCGGTAATTTGGCCCGACATCTCCGTAGCATATGGTCTGAGAGCCATACGAATTACGTTTCGATCATTAATGTGGAGCTCACAGCACCTGATCGCTTTGAACGCCCCAACATAGTAAAGAACGAAGCACCAAGAGACAGTCCGGAGGTATAGTAGACGTGAAATCTAATAAATTTCGCACCAAATCTTGGACCGGAGATGGTGCATTACACCAAGGTTCTTCGTCCAGAATGATACCAGCTGTGTACAGCTGATCGTCTTCGGAGCTGTTCATCAGAGTTGGCGTTGACGATGGTGTCGTGCAAAAGCATGCTATAAGCGATGGCGAGAACCTGAAAGCCAGAAGACTAGGCCAGGTTGCGGATCACAGATATAACACTAGTACACTACTAGACATGCTAGACAGCTCGACGTCCATTCAAGGTCGGCGAGGGTGACGCGGTATTTGGCTCACGTGATGACCAACCTCGGCGTTTCCCGATATCGAAACATTTAGATCCGCCATCTCCCGCTTAATCCGCTGATCTCCTGATTGAGCGACATTTATATGGGTCAGATGTGATTGTGGAATAGCTCGTTGTGGCCTCGTGTTTGTCCTGGAGGGAAAGGATTGCACAACGATTTCCCGGGCACGATGGCAGAAAAGCAAACAGGACTCTTGGGTTTAGTCGCGGGCGCAGCGGCCGGTAGCGTCGAGTCCTTTGTGACCTATGTACGTAGGCGCGAACGTTCTGCCAAACAGAATCCCGACCCGACCTGAACGAAGCGCACGTCTGACAGCCCACAGAATACGTTAAGACACGGGCGCAACTGGCCAAGAAGCAGGCTGGTAACAAAATCGATCCGAAAGCCTCGCGTTTGACGGAGATCATCAAGCAAACCTACGGGACGAACGGAGTCCCCGGATTCTATCGAGGAGCGGTTCCGGTCGTCTTTGGCAACGCTTTGAAGGCGGGGACCAGGTTCTTTACCTTTGAGGCGATCAGGGATCTGCTCAAAGACAGGGAGACGGGCAAATTGACACCGGCGAAGAACATGCTTGGCAAGCGGGTCTTCCTCGAACGCAACTACACTTCAGTGACTGATGCCTCCATCGTCAACAGCTGGTATTGGAGCTGGTTGCATAGAGTCTATCGTTGCGGTCACTCCCTCCGAAAGTATCAAGTAAGTACCTTCCTCTGAAGGCAGTTATTGTAAACCTGGCTGATATGACCGATTCGTACAGAACGCGCTTGATCCAGCATAATGCTAGCAGCGTCGTAGGCATTGGCAAGACTAGCAATGTCGAATTCGTTTCTCAGATCGTCAGAAACGAGGGAGCATAGGCATTATACAAGGGTCTACTACCTACAGTAAGTTCCATCGGTTATTGAGTCGCGCAATTCTCAGTGCTCAATCCCTCAGTCGTCTGAAACAGATGATGAAACAGAGTGCCAATTCGGCTACCCGATTCACCCCGTACGAGTTCATGAAGGACTTTCTGAAGGCAAGATCTTCTACAGGCCAGGTAACCAATACGCAGACGGTTATGATCGGCAGCGCTGCGGGAGTGATCACAGTTTGTGAGTCGACGTTTCAGGTAAGATCTTTCAATTGATCGATAGCTGAGATTCTCGTTATCGCCTTGCCGGTTCGGATTATCAGATGCCACCATGCCGTTCGAGTCAGTCTCATGGGGCCAAAGGGACAAAAGACCGTATTGTACAAAACTCAGCCCTCCTGTCTTTGTTCTTTTCAGCGTTGTCAAAACACGGATGCAACAAGGAGGCGACCTGTACCGTAACACATTGGATTGCCTGATCAGCACCATACGGAACGAGGGCGTCTTGGCGTTCTGGAAAGGATCTTCGCCCCGAGTGGCTCGTCTGACCGTAGGTCTCCAGCGAAATGGTCTTGAGGGATCAAGGAGACTGATCATGCCGTTGTCGTGCCTCTTAGATTTCGGGAAGCGTGACATTCATCGTCTATGAGAATGTCTTGAAATGGCTGAAGGCTGTGACTCCGTGAGGCAAGGCTTGGTTTGTTTATGGTCTATCAATTGTAGACTGGAAGGAAACGAGTGATTTGGGCCGCTTTGATCGATGATTATACCCTCCGTGTGCGAATCGGTTCCGTTACAGACTAGGCTTTAGAGCACGCATGAGATTTCGCTTGTCATATTTCGATGCAAGCCCTACGGTCGCAATCTTTACTTCTCCTGCGCGATTGAGGCGATGCCTCTAGGGCAATGCGTTATGCGTCAGTCGGAGCAGAGGCTTGACTGTGATCGCGGATCGCGAACTGTGAAGGAACTGGTATATTGTATACAGTCCATAGAACCCTGCCGATATACAATATGCAACCTCCTTGAGCGCATCCGCTCAACATCTCAATCGGCCCCTCCTTTCCTTGAAAGTCTCGGTGATGCTCCTTCCCTTCAGAACATCCTCTCCGCACAATCTGTCCACCTCTGCCAGTTGTGGGATCATCTCGGCTACCTTTTCCGCCAAGTCGAGAGGGATACAGACGATGCCATCAGCGTCGGCCATGATGATATCGCCGGGGTTGATGGTTGCATCGGGTTCTCGCGGATCATTGAGCTTGACAGGGACGTCTATGGCCGATGGAAAGCACACAGGGGCCCCGGCGGTCGTTCCCACATCTCGACAGAAGACCTTAACAGAGCGCACGGTAAATAATCAAACCGCATGAAACTTCAGCATGAGACAAGAAGCGAAGGACTTACGGGCCATTCCATGCTCTGTTGTTCCGCGATGTCGCGAACGTTTCCGTCGATGATCGTTCCTACAGCACCGAGATGGCGAGATCGCATGGACATCAATCCACCCCAACAGGCATTCGAAAGCCCGCTAGGTTGTGACAAGAAAACCACATGACCAGATTTGACTTGATCGACCTGGAAGGCAGTCCAAATTCCGATCAGCTTCATGATAGCACGGCGATATTTGCCTGTCCGAACAGACTTACGTAGTGACCGACGATCTCTGGCTTCTTTCCCTTCTGATCGTTCCTCTCGAATTTTATGGTCTGAACAGGGGCGATGACCTTGACCTTTGTGGAGAGGTATGATGGGCTGTGCGCCTTGAGACCGGGTAAGAATCCGCCCGAAGGGACACCCAGCTTGACAAGCGCATCGGCCGCATCGCAAGAAGTAAACGGCTGAAGTCGTTTTACGAGAGAAGCGATGTTTCGCGCGGCAGCCATCTTGCTATGAATGTGAGACTTTCAAATGATCAAGCAGTATACATGTGTCCGCTCTGGGTGTTGACCGCTGACCAACAGAGTATGGTATATCAACCCCGCAACTCGGGCAATTCGGGCTTGATGTTCTTGGCCCACAAGCGCGCCTCGACCCGCCATTCCCCGCTAATTCCGTCATGCCACAAATAGATCACTGGGGCTTTCATCGAGATATTCAGATAAATATCGCAATATCGCAACGCCGTTCGAAATGTTGACCTACGCTTAAGCGCCGCTTTCTTCATACCGCAGACCTCCTCAAAATCATGCCCAGTCTCATCGAAACAGCTCCTGAGTCGGCCCGAAAGGAGAGGGTCTGCCCGCCAGGCTCATGGGATACGTAAGTGGGCTTGCTCGCGCGAGCCGACGTCCCGATTAAGGCAAACCTATTGCGAACAGACACTTTCACATCTTCGAACTCGACCGGTTCGAGCTCTCCCCTCGGCGACATTTCACCCCAGCTCATACACCTCTTGCGGACTTTGAAGCTTTCCAACACAAGCTCGGAATCGAACATCCTGCGATTGCCCATGGACTTTCGTTCGGACTCGACATTTCCTCGATTTATCGATACCTCGAGTACTTTAACGGGACCGCCAGGGCATTTGCAGTGATCGATCTTGAAACCGTGACTGATGGAGATCTTCGAAGGATGCATGATGCTGTAAGCACGAGGTTTATTGCGCTTGGAGTTTAGTGAATCTGACTCTCCGAGTTTTTGCGCAGGGTGTAAAAGGGATCCGGATCGACTACCATCATCATAAAGCACAACATGACCTTCAGGAACAGATCAAGTGTCTCAAAGCCTATTCGGCTAGGGTCGCTCCTTTCAAATGGGCGATTCAGGTGTATCATCCTCATCCAGAGTTTTGGTCGGAAGTGAGTCGATATGGTGCATCTCTAGTGGATCTTGCCGGATTGACAATGAGCCGTTCATTCTCTAGCTGGCTGCTGTGGTTGCCGAACTACCTACGCCAGTCGTCCTCGATCATTTTGGCGCCTTGAAGACCGCCTCCCTTGCCAATTACACCCAAAGCGAGACCACCGATTTCGATGTGCTTCGGCAACCCGGGTTGGACGCGATCACCACGTTGCTCAGATCGGGCAAACTGTGGATCAAACTCTCAGCACCTTATCGTTGCTCGGAAGCCGGGCCTGAGTATCTGGATATGGAGACACTCGTCAAAGCGCTGGTGCAAGCTAATCCGGACAGAGTACTCTATGGCTCTGACTGGCCCCATACCCAACCGTTCCATAGGAGACCCAAGAACCTGGAGCCAACCGATATCGAGCCATTTGTAGATTTTGACGATTACACTTGGGTAAAAACGCTCAAGACTTGGTTGAGCGAGGAGGAGTGGCAAAAGTTGATGGTGAAGAACCCGAGGGTGTTGATGCAGTACGATAGGGACGATTGAGGCGGATTTGTAATCGGATCGCTTGCGCGGCTTGAATGTGTCAATGATCATAAAGCTATGCAGCGAAATGTACCGTGTTCGATCCGGACACTTGCTTGCCACTTGCTCAGATGCGAAAGCATACTATATATAACGAGATCAGAAAGAATCAGACAGGCAGGGGTACAGCCAGATGAAAAGCCCGTTCTCGCGTCCTGGGCCTCGACAGATATAACATCTCCTTCATCGACCGCAAATGGAGAAGGTGCTCAGAATGATCAGCATTGTCGCCCCGCAACCGGCCAACAAGCGATCCTTTCCTTCGCCAACCGACTGTGGTCTGGAGAATCCATGCGGCGCTCCTCTCCGCATGTACCCTCAAAGAATTCGCCGACCTCTAAAGCCCAATCGGACACGTATTTGCGGCGTGAACTTGTCAGCCAATGTTGTAGGACCGGTCTGCGACCGGACGACTCTCAATGTGACCTGCTAAACCCGCTTCAGCGATCCCCGAGCTATGTGAATCCTCTTCAGCACCCGCTATTCCCTGTTCAACAACTGTGGACCGAGAGATATGCTGAGGCCCCGGACGCCTCGCGAGCTAATTATAGCGCGTTACTGAGAGTACTTAGGTATCTATCTGGCGCCTCCGCATTCGAGGGATTTGAGCGTCTTTCAACCCAATCAAGCCAAGCGCATCTCCTATTTCATCATGTCGGGACTTCTAGGTGCACTCATCAATAAGAGTATGTCTGGTGTTGCCGACCGTCTCCAACTTCGTAACAATACTGATGTCGAGCGCGCCTGGTGACAGAGGCTTTGGCCGAGACACCGAAAGAGGTCCTCAATTGGTACCTCTTTGCCTCGGCCTTTTGCATAGCGCTTTCAGGCGGCCTCCATGGAGCCAACACGTCTAATATCAGCGGGATCCTGGCGATGAGCTCGTTCAAACAGACTTTCAGATGGAAAGAGTTTTCCGCTTCAGAGCAGACAAACAACTCTGGCTGGATCACTTCTGTCATCGTCCTTGGAGGTCTGGTCGGAACGTCGACTTCTGCTCCGTTCAACGATCGACTAGGCCGTAAGTGGACCATGTTCGTCAACGGATTTCTCTAGTGAGTCAATGGAGATGCGATCGGCGATATGCAATGCAACATGTATACAATAGCTGACTTGAATGCTACCATCCTCTTTCCAGTCTTGTAGGCTCCATCATCCAGATCAGCGCGAGCGGAAGCGTCGTCCAAGTGATCGTCGGACGCGCCGTACAGGGCTATGCTTCAGGAGGAGGAGCGGTAAACGGATCCATGTTTCTGGCCGAGATTGCACCCAAAGCTATTAGAGGTCTCCTTGGAGCGTTCATGAGTATCAACATCATGTTGGGAGTGGCGCTCGGTTACTGGATGAATTACGTCTCGATCCTGTACATCTCGGAGGAGTCGAATTGGCAATGGAGGTTCCCGGTTCTTTTTCAGATGGTTAGTTCCACCTCAATGAAGATATTGCAGGTTTTCAGCATTTCGAGGTACTTGACCCTGATATCTTTGCCTCTATGACTTGTGCTTTTTAGTACCCCGGAATCATTATGTGCGTCGTCGCGCCTGTCATCTTCGACTCCCCTCGATGGTACGCATCCCGAGGTCGAATGGAGGAAGCAAAGAAGACGTTGGCCAAGATCCGTCGACTCCCTGAGGATCATCATTTCCTCCAACAAGAGTTGGAAGAGATGTCGAGGGGTGTCAATCAGGAACAAGAGATCAAGAGCGCGACTTCTTGGGCGGGATTGTTCTCCGAGTTGAAGAGGGATGTGACTTTGCGTCGGCGCTTTATTCTCGTCTTGATCGCCCAGATTGGTCAGTCGGCGATCGCGATGTAACTTCCTTGTTGTGACCGAAGGTTTGATCCTGACTTCAAAATCATTTTCCAGGCTTCAATTTTTCCGGCGGAAACTCGATCACCTACTATCAATCCTCGATCTTGAGCACCATCGGCGTCACGGGAAAAGCCGGAACGTACCTCTACTCGGGAATTTACGGTCTCATGAAGGTCCTCGCCGTCTTTGTCTACTCTCTCTTCTGCGCTGAGCGGTTCGGCAGGAGGACGTGTCTCTTGATAGGCTCGATCATCAACCTGATCTGCGTTCTCTATATCGCCGTCTACCTGGGCGCTCTCGCCCCTCATCACAATACCGCGGCCGGGTGGGTCGCTGTCGTCTGCCTATTCGTCTTCGCTATCGGTTACGGGATCGGATGGGCGCCTGTCGCTATCGGTCTCAATGCCGAGATCTTCCCCAACGCTTACCGGTCGAAGCTCATGAGCATGACGTTCAGTATGCAGTACCTCGTCAACTTCTTACTCACGAGGTTCTTCCCTAATATGGTGAGTCGCAAACGAAAGCCTTGTGTGTGTATATGAGAAGCGCATTCCTGAATTGCTAATTATCGATGGTGGCGCGTTTCAGGTCGCCAACATCGGATCATTCGGTCCATTCACAATCTTTGCTTGTGTCTCCGCCTTGATTATTACCTATATGTTCCTCGCCCTTCCTGGTAAGTCATCTAGCCAATCGGAAGACTGATTCTGGCTGTTTAATCGCTGACGTTGCCATCTTCTTCCCCCTTATATCTGCAGAGGTCAAGGGTAAACCGATGGAGACCATGCAAGACCTCTTTGGTCGATCGTGGTGGCTCAACGGAGTCAACCAGAAGAAGATCGCCGATGGCCTGTATACCAGTGCCACGCCGGACGCTCAGAGGTCTGTTTTGGAGATGGATGAGAAGTATGAGAGCGATGTGTTCGTTGAAGAGCGAGCTCGTGCCAAGGTGTAAAACTTACCTGTTCTAGCTGGAGGTCGTGTACAGAGGCATATCAAAGACAAGCGCGAGTCAATATCGATCCTCTCTGGGACGAGTTTTGTGGATCTGGCGCAGTCGTCATAGCTTGTAGCTTGTACCGATTATGCAGCAAAGGTGTATGACGCTAGAGCTGTACTTCATGTCTGGCGGCATGACTATGTACTTATATCCCATTTGCTGACCATCTACACGTTCAACTTCAACCATGACCGGCTCGGGCATTACAAGTTGCAAGTTGTCGACGGGATCAAATGATTGACTGACCAGCTACTGTCGATCGGAAATAGCCGAGTCGTAAACTGCTCACCCCCTTCTCAATCTCGTCATATCATCTGTCACCTACGTACCTACTCCACTAGGTCACGGAAAATGAGCAGTCCAGATGTCATGTACGAAGTGTCATCAGTGCTAGTCCCATAAATCATGGATCGGCCTCAACCCCTCCAACCCATCGCCCCGAAGACGGGGTCAGCCGCCGAGGAGCGACCGGGCAAGAGAAAGAGGGTTCATCTTAGCTGTACAGAGTGTACAAAGAAAAAGGCCAAGGTGAGCTCGGAAAGGACGACCAAGTCCAGACGGCAGTGTGTATAGATTCGCCTAATGAGAAGGATTTGTATGTGGTCTTTGCTCGTCCTGATGGTGGGTAGTGCGATAGAGCTCTGCCTTGCGGGACATGTCAAGCACGAAGAATACCGGGTCTATGTTCGTACCTGATCGCAGGGTGAGTAAGAAGGGCAAGAAGAAAAGATCAATTCATAACTGATGAACCATCAATCTCTCACCTGGAACATGATTGTGTAATACATGTGTAACCCATCTGCAATTCACGTCAATACGATGTCTCACCTAGATATGAAGATCCTGGAACGACCTCGCAAGAGATTCAAAATCGGATTGAAAGGAATTATGAAGTCGCTGTCGACACGAGGGACAGGTCGATAGATGTTCAACAACGGCTGGAGAGGGTCGAGCAGATCTTGTTGGGTAATAGCAACGATGGTAGTAACGGTGACCACGGGGAACATCGTCAGGCGAAGAAGCTGGCTTGGACAGGACGTTCGGAACAACCTCAATCTCAGTTGCAACCGCCATATGACAATCCGTTCTACACCAACCTCGGCCCGAGTTATGAATCCCCGTCTCAATCTTACATACTACCAAACGGGAGCATGCGCTCGAACGCTACAGCAGGATCGAGCTACAACGCAGCAACGGCACCTCACCCCATCTCGGCGAATCACAACCATAACCCAAACCACGGAAGGATCTCACACGAGAAGTATTACGGTCCTTCAGCCTTGTTCACGGTGGATAAACCGCCGGTAGTCTTGATTCCCGACGACCAGACCGTGAGTCGCAACGTAGCATGATGATGCCACTCGCTCTTTCTCTCTCTCTGTTAAAGCATGAATTCGTATACTGAGCGAGTACTGATCGAACTACAAATCTAGGCGGAGAATATTGCCGATACTGGTGGACGGGGCGGGAGGAGTATCGATGGACCGATCGCGGCAGCCCGAAGGGCGTTAGGGGAGTTGTACGCTTTCTTGCCTTTTCCGGCCGAGCGGGAAAGGTTGTTGAATCATTATTTCAGGACGATAAAGTACGTCTCGAGTCTCCCTTGCGGGAGATGATATGGCATTATTATCATGATGGCAGCTGACGGATCGATTCTGTTTCTACCTCTGTCTTCATATAGTATGACCCGGTTCCCCATCCAGGAAACGATCTTTCTCGACCATCACCGTCGAATAGGTCTCCAGCAATTCGACCCTTCTGGACAGGATACGGCCGAGATCGTGCACTTTATGCCGTTACTGTTCATCGTCTTGGCAATCTCGACTCTGGCGGACCAGTCACAGCCCAAGGGAGCGAGACAAGATGCCGCGGAGAACCTATACGAAGCGTCAAGACGGGCGACGGCGGTGTCTGATACGGTTTCACAAGGAAACACTTCCTTGTGGCTGGTCGTAGGGGACATACTGGTCGCGAGGTACTTGGTACTGTCGAGACGAGCATCGGACGCCTACGTTTCGGTCGGAACGGCTGTCAGGAAGGCTCAGGCGATAGGTCTGCATAGGACGACGTCGATCGTCAGGGGGATAACGGACGAGGTCGCAGAAGAAAGAAGACGGGTCTGGGCATGTGAGTAGACAAGGAAGGGTATGGTCTTTTGTTGCCTATTGACTGATATCGGAGCGATTCCAGATGTCTACTATATGGACCGATATTTGGCGCTCCTACTGGGTAGGCCGTCATCAATTCAAGACGATGACTGCGACGCACTCCCTCCGACGGATACGGCTGAAAGTTCTAGCGTATCGTATGGATTTGCCGAGACTAGAGAGGAACTCGACTCGGTATTCGCGTTTGTGCGTTTTCGGTCGACTCTGGCCACGATCATGGGATTGATCGTGAAAAACGCGTTCCGTCTGGCGCCAAGTGGATATGACGAGACGCTCCAACTAGACCAAGCTCTGGATCAATGGAGGCAAAAGTTGCCATCGTCTTTCCAAGTCATCACTCGAGCGGATTCCAACTTGTCGTTCTTGGGAGCATCGAAAACGCATATCACGAGGCGGTTCATCCTCTCGACAGACTATAATTTCGCACGCATCGCACTGCACCGTCCGCATCTGGTCACCCGCGCTCGAAGTACCTGGCCTACGGATCAATGCCAACCGAGTCTCGAAGCGTGTTACAAGTCGGCGATCGATGATCTTTGGGCTAGGGCGGTGAATACCGAGTTGGGAATCAAGGACGTTAGCATGGGCACATATCGTATCACGACATGTGCTGTCATCTTGGGGTGAGCAGAAGTAATCTCGATCGGAGCGATCGACCGATATTGACAACGAGGTATTTTAGGATGATCATGCTCATCGACCCGACCGACGGTCGACTCGGCGTCATCCGCGAGTGCCTGCAACGTTTCGTTTCTGTCCGCCGCAAACACGCCATTGCCGACGAGACGAATATGAAAGATCTGGCTTTGCTGGAACTGGTAGAGTCAAAAGCGGCAATGGGGGTAGCAGAGACGAGAGCACCCAACCTGTCCAACGTTGTGACGGCTCGCGAGATCGATAATTCGGCAAACCAGTATCTTCCGGACCAAGGAGACCTCTTCGGATTCCCAGAGTCTTCCTCTGCATTTTTGAATCACGAACTCGACCTTGAACTGTTCACGGCGTTTATGTCGCATTTTGGGAGCGAGTAGAAGATGGTAACAAGGCGCCATAGCATTGAATCCTTAGAGTCTGACCGAGCACCTCGAATATCGCGAGCGGAACTCTGATGACAACAGTCCCCTGGGTCATGTCAGAGGCCATGTCGGAGGCCATCTCCAGGGCAACGCGCTGTATGAATGGTATATATTCCTCGTACATGACACCAAATCGTTACGTCCATAAAAAAGCTCATCCGGGACACGGTTCAGCCAAGCAAGTCGTCGTCCATCAACCTGCTGGAGCCTTTCGGTCGCGGCTGGTCCGCTTGATAGCCTCCACCTCCTCCAAGCGCGCCGACAAGCTGAGCATAAGGCTCGTTGGCGTTCCCATCTATCGGCGAATAAACGTCCTCGGCGTTAGTGTCGATCAACGCTGTCGGCGGTCGAGGTGCAGTGGCAGGTGGACCGGGTCGCGATGTTGATGATGGGGGCGGGGCTGCCGATCGCGACCGAGTCCCAGGTTGTTGAAGGTGTCTCCGTGATGAAGCGTTCAATGCGGGAGAGTCTGAGGCCACGGAGATAGAGGCGTCAATCCCGCTTGTGCGGGGCTCTGAGCGAGACGCTGTCTTACCTGTCAAGTAACGAGCTTTTGCCGTTCGGATGAAGGTCTGTGGGCTTTTGTGGTAGATGCTCGACAGCGTCCCGGTATGCAATAATAGCTGTTGAACACGGGACATAAGCTTAAAGAATTCGCAAGACGAAAATGGGAACGACTCACCTGATCCAGCATACCCTTGTCCATACGATCAGTCTCGGTCGAGATGGGCGGCTTGTCCGCCAAGACGATATCTCGAGTCGATGCTGGGTCCGAAGAAAGCAAACGCCAGTACATGTAGCCCTGCACTCGCAAAACAACGCGGTCAGCTCCATCTGATGTTGAATAAGAGCTTCTCAATCCTTACTCTATCTCTCAAATCCGGATTGTCGACCTCTTCGGTAGCCATCTTCAGTACCTTTGGTACAAGTTCTTGCCCTACTGTCGGCCGCTTGATGAACAGCTTGACGATCGCCGTCAAGAGCGCTAGTTGCACCTCTGCCGGTTCCTCCGAGAACGTGTAGAGGAAATCATCCAACAGCTCGTCGCTGTTCTCGATCCGGTCCGCATATTGTCCGATGATCCAGATCATCGAGGCTTTGGCTTCAGGTTCGTCGAGAGAGTCCAGGTTCTCGCACAAGATGGCGATCACGCTCTCGTACTGGTTGGGATACCGCCGGAAGATGTCCTTGATAACCACAATGGCTTCTTGCACGACGTAGGAGATCTTGGTCCTCATCAAGCTGATCAAGACCGGGATACAGAGATCGGCAGCGGTTTGGATCTTGATGGCGAGACGACCGATGGAGCGGACCGCTTTGCGTACGAAATCGACGTCTACCTCGTTAGCGTACCTTTGGCGCCATCAGATATTCTCGTCAGCATGCACTTCTTCACTCCCGCTTCGCACCGCAACTCACTCTTTCAGCTCTGCTAAAACCTCTTGTACATTATCCTCCCGAGTCAACCGATACATGATCTCCAGCTTGGCCATCTTGACGTAGATCGGATCGTTGTATTTACAGAAGAACACGCGGACGTCGTTGGCTAGGATCGCTGGACGGCGTTGGATGATCAAAAGGATGTTTCGTAGGGCGACGTATTGCACTTCAGGACCGGATGAGAGTAGCGTGACTATACGGGATATCGATGAATCGTTGAGTTGTAAAATCTTTCCCTGCATATCGCTCGAGCCTGAACTCACCCAAAGGAGGTCCCATCTTCCTCTCGAGACTCCTGATCAGACTCTCATCCTCCATATAGTTCATCAAGTAGAGCAGCACTTTGATGGTAGTCAGAACTACCGCACTATTGGCATGTTGTAATCTGATGCTGATCCTTTCTGCTAGTTGTTCTGCGTCTAGAGAGGAGTTGGGGACGAAAGATAAGAGGGAATCCAGGATGTAGACTTGGCCCCACCTAGGTTACATCGAAAACGCATCATTACGATGCGTTAGCTTGACGTCCGCCTGCTCTGATAGATCCCGGAACTTACTCTGAACATTCTCCAAGCGCAGCGACAAGCTTCCCAGCGACCGTGACGTTGAGACGCAACATGATATCGTCGCTCCGTTCCGAGATCTCGACTAAAGCCGCTACGGCGCTAGCTACGACCGTAGGGTTCGAGTCCGCCAACAGGTCTCTGCGTCGAAGCGAATACAAAGTAGGTTGAGTTTTTTTCATCACCGGCAGCGCGGTATCGAGGAGCTTACCTTAGCATAGCTACGAATTCTTCTCTTTCTATGACCTTCCTTCCCGGTTCCGTCACGTACAGCTTGGCCACCCTAAAAGCCCACCACCCGACACACAAGTGTGTTGCCTTGCATCAGCACACGACCACACGACAATATACGATACACACCCAAAACCCCAGACTAGAGTCTAAGAGGGACTCACGCTAACGCAGCAGTCTTCCGTACATAAGGATCGCTATCCTGTAACCCGCTCCGCATCGGGTCGATGAGGGCCATGATCACCCGTGGAAGGGGGATCGAGGACATTGTTCGGATAGCTAGGGCTCGGATGAGGGGGTTACGGTCGTTGCAGTCCTGTTATACAAGAGGAGGGTGGTAGTCACAGAGCGTGACGTAAAGGGTATCAGAGTTGGAACCAACAGCAGGTATGGGGAGGGGCAGGGTTATACTCACGGAGAGGAAGCCGGAGATGGCGTGGTGGATCGAATCGGCCTTCGTCCTTCCATAATTGACGAGGTAGAGGTAGACCACTAAAGGATACGACGAAGCATGGCGAGCGTGATCAGCCGGGACATTAACTCGGTTGCTTGGAGAAATGTAGGCTCACTCTTCTTGATCTCTAGCACCTGGATGAGCATACATTGCACCACATCATCAAACAGAGGAGACACTGATTATCGCACAAAGAGGTCAATTCAGTAAAGCAATGAAGCAGAAGGAGGAACAAGAGGACTTGCTGTCGTTCCCCATCGTCATGTTCGCGACAATCTTCTTCAAGGCGATCTTTTTCTTCGCATACGACTTGTCCTTCCGGTCGGCTTGTTGAAGTTCGACTTGGAGCTCCTGGACCTTGCCTCGAGCTGTAGGGAAGAGCAGTGTCGGCAAGATAGTTGAGATGATGAACGAGGACAGACGACAAAAGAAAGCTCGGGCTCACTGAACAGTTTCGCGTCGGCCATGCTGAATGATTCCCTAGCTGACTGCTTGATACCTCTTAAAGCGGAGGTCTATCAACACTACTCGTAGGCTTATGTCTATATGACACAGGAGCTTGTCTGGACTAGACGGCTGATGTACACATGCCTGAAGATGCAACTTGTAACCTGTTGACATGGATATGGTCCTCCCTCCCAACCCAAGTGTGACGTCGAACACCTCCCTTGACGCGCGCGACCTCCACCTCCCCGGCGACCGAGCAAGCGATCGAGCCAGGGGACGATCTCGGGTCGAGCGACCTGACCAGTCAATCACGACATGCAATGGCCTATGACCGCCTCTATCACCATGACTGGGGCATACTCCTCAAGCTCATCAACATTTGCAAGAGAATTAGACTCGTCGATAGTCGTCGCTGAGATCACGCTAGTCATCTGAAACGCGTCCGCGAGCAGCTTTTACCAGGACCCCGCTCGACCTAGAACGACCCCGCTCGGATCCCATCGATCTACCTGCCTGAATCCAGATTTCTGCAGCAAAATCCAGCACAACCTTTCAGCCAGGCCCACGGAGGACATGGCCAGGAATGACCACAATACACAAACGTTCGCAGCCGAGCATTCGGGGTATGCGAGGGACGACGAAGCGGTGACGTTTTGGGAACGGAGTCGACGGAGAGCTCAGGCGGATCGGGGTAGTTGGGATTATGGTCAGTCCCCAGTGTCAAGCCCGCAACAAGACTTTATCACTCATTCTGTGGGTGATTTTTCTCATCTCTAGTATTACGGAGCGGACTAGCAGGAGGAGTAGCAGGATGTGTAGTAAGCCTCGATCGAAATCTGATTGACCGGCTATTATCGGGAATCTCATTGGCTCTCCTCTCGCATTTCCCGTCTCGTCCATGGAATTTCTTCTCTTCGTCTTTTGCAGGCGAAAACGGCGATAGCGCCGTTGGATAGGGTGAAGATCTTGTTTCAGACTTCTAATGCCGATTTCAAGCAATACGCAGGTGAGCGGAAATTGGAGTTGGGATTTACCTTTCCGGGTTACCAGCGTAACTTAGCTAAACCAAATCAAACGCTGACGAGATCTTCCTCGTTCGGTCCTTCTGTGATATTGTTTCTTGCGGATGAACAGGTCGTCCGACAGGTCTATACCATGCTATGAAGGCCATCCTCGCCGCCCAGGGCCTAAGGGGGCTGTTTCAGGGTCATTTGGCGACGTTATTACGGATATTTCCGTATGCGGGGGTGAAGTTTATGGCGTATGACAAGGTCGAGGGGGTGAGTTTCGGCTACGGTCGATAAGAGGTTGGGAACGCGGTACCGGAGCTTCGCATTCGCGGACAGGGGCTGATCGGAGCATTCGACGTCGTTTCCAGATCTTGATGCCAAATAAGGATATGAGGACGCCAGGGAGGTTGTTCCTCGCCGGAAGTCTATCAGGTGAGTCGGCTGTGTACTACATATGTCGCCTGCGAGTCACGCTTTGCTGAAGAAATCCGACGTCCTGGTAGGTGTAACATCGGTATTTTTTACATACCCTCTCGAGCTCATCCGAGTACGGCTAGCATACCAAACCGAACGACAATCGCTACCCGACGTGATCCGGGCGATCTATCGCGAAAACCATCCTCTTACCCCTGCAAGCTCTGCATCATCATCATCATCAACAACGACGACAATACGGCCGAATGCACGATCACCTATGCTCTCGGCACGAATACCTATCATCAACCATTTCGTACCCTTCTACCGAGGATTCTCGGTCACGATTGTCGGCATGATCCCTTATGCCGGGGTGTCATTCTTGACCTACGGTACACTTCAACGACACCTCCCCACCTATTTCCCGAGTCTGAGCAGACACAAGACCTGGTCAGACCTCATGTGCGGAGCAATAGCGGGCGCGGTCAGTCAGACGGCTTCGTATCCGTTCGAGGTGGTCAGACGGAGGATGCAGGTCGGGGGTGTGAGAGCGGGACCGGCAAAGGCGACCGGGGTGGTAGATGGGATCACGTGGAGACAGGCGGTGAGGATGATCTGGCAAGAGGGCAAGGGCAAGGTCGGGCGTGGGTTTTACGTCGGGTTGAGTATTGGGTATATCAAGGTGATACCCCTGACAGCGTGAGTGGCGGCGGCTCGACTTGACGACTGCAGGACTTGAGACTGACGTTGTATTGGTCTTCCGTGGATAGATTTTCGTTCTCGACCTGGCAATTTCTCAAACGAGCCATGGAGATTTGAAGCAGGACCGCATCTCATCATCACCAAGCGCAGAGAGGACACGCATCATCATTGCATCGATTTGTAATCCAACTATTTGTAGCCAAATCATATTGCTGGCCATGGGTATCAGTGGGCAGTCCATCTCGGCAGGTCTTGACGGAGCTGCCACCGTTCGGGTCTCGATTGCGTTACAGCAAGATCTGAGCAGGGGTTCGAGTGTTTAGACCCAAGAGATCGACATTAGCCATCGAGTGGCCTGCTGAGTTCGTCTCGATGTCGAACCTTGGGTTCTGACGACACCAGACCGACGGTGGCAGCAACGTTCTGACAGATACAAAAGAACGCTGACAATGGGTAGACCTTCTTCGCGTAGTTCACAAAGCTCGGGGTGATATTTACATTCCCGGAAACATGGGTTGTAGTGGCAGCGGACTTCCCCACACCAAGCGTGGCGCTAACTGCGACGATGCAATTCGCATCAAGGCTAGGTCTCATGCCCTTGTTCCCCATGTCCCTCAACCGTCAAATAATTCTCGCTGCTGTCGTAAGTCTGAGGTTCAGTAACCCCTCGTAGACTTGAGAGGACCTCCACTGGTGAACAGAACGACAATCGGTTCAGGGGCCAGGGGCGGACCCTCGCTACCGTTGCTCTGTCAAACGAACAGGCCGAAAGTATAGTATCCGATAACGATACCGCAACACCCTCAGGCCTCTGGCAGCGCAATGATGAGCCCACCGCACGTGCTCCTAATGTCATGACCTCTGTCCTTCGTATCCAACCTCAACAAACCCCACATTCCGCCACCCAACACCTCTCCCCCCTCGCCGCCAATCCATCCCACCCCACCTGGCCTCCCAACCTCTCCTCCAACTTCTTCAGCAGCGCTTCGTCCTCACTAACAAGCTGTCCGAAGGGATAATACTTGTTATCCAATTTCTTCTTCCTCTCGGCTATCCCAGCTGGCGTGTTGGGAGTGAGGGTAATGAAGAATTGAGAGGTGGAGGAGTTCTTGGAGGAGGAGGATGCGTAGGAGAGGGAGCCGTAGGTGTGGGGTTGGTGAGGCGGTTTCGGGTCTGGGAGGGTTCCGCCGTCTGGATCGAATGGAGGAAGAAGGGGAGCGGTGTCAGTCATGTGATGAAGACGATTAGAAGAAGTGGTGTGTCTCCTTAAGACCTTTGGGATTGGTATCGATACGATGCGAGCCCACGAACATAAGGAAGCTGAAGACGAGACGTAGTTGACTTACAAATACTTTCCCCCCCACTCCCATCCCCCCTAGTCACATCCCCTCCTTGTAGCACGAAACCTTCTACGAACCGGTGCATCGGCGTATCCTTGTAACACAGGCCCTTCTTGTTCCGACCTGGGGACTTTTGGGCTGTTAGGAGGTAGATGAAGTTTTCGGTCTGTTTGACTAGGTCTGAGGAAAGCGAAGAAGGGGGAAGGTGGGTAGGGAGATCAGGTTAATGTTGTGTCATACGATACGTGAACAAGTATCACAGGAGGGGGGAGGCGGAGAAGGTGTAGACAGGAGACGGCTTACTAGGAGAAGAGGAGAGGTCGAAATGCAGTCGACCGATGATGAGTGATTCTGGAGGGTCTAGACGACATTTCACGCCTGGCTAGACTTTGCAGAGGAATCATCAACCGAGTTTGAGTTAAAGGCAGAAGAGGTTGATTTTGAAGTAAACAAGACCGCTGCAACCCTTCTTCGAACAATTGAGTCACTTACGAATTCTCCAGTAAAGCAGCTCTCTACCGTCTCTCTCCCAACCTCATCCAGCTCATCGACGGTCGAAGGTAGACCATAGGTCGAAGCGTTCTTGATCAACCAGCCGATCCCACGGAGGTGTTCGATGATGGCGGCGTCGTAAGCGGATTGGGAGCCGACAGCAATATCTAGGTAGACCCGGGTCATACTTCCAAGCTGATGATGTTGATGTATCGATGTAGTCGATGCCGATATTTGATGATGCAAATATATGATCGCAAACCTTTTGATCATATCATGATATCATGATCGATCGATTATGCCCTCCATGTCTTACCAGTAATTCCAGTAATCAGTAACGGCGGCCGGTCGATCGCTTCCGTCAAGAGGCTTTGGGCATTGAGACCGGGGAGAGGGGGGAACCTCATAACATCCCATCTCATCCATCTTCTATCCTCGTTATCTTCTTCAGGTCTTGATATCTCTCTCTCTCAGCTCGATATCCTCCTTCGTATCCGTTCGAAGTGGACATCCCGCCAGTCCGCGATGTCGATGAGGGGCTTTCGTCTCTAATCGCCTTGGTCGCATTTGGGAACGGGATCTTATTCTGTTCGGGAACGACCTTTAATTACGATCGCGACCACTTCTGGATAAGAGGGATCGTCGGGGACTGGAAAGAACGTCGGTTTATTAGCAAAGAGGATCTTGATAGCAAACAAATACATACGACACAGTTCGCAGTTCGAACAGTTTGAAGGAGAGGACTGAAGTCGGGGGGATGCCACCGTACCGCGAGTCGGTCCCGGACACGATCGAGGCGGTCTCTGTGCACAACACGGTCACCTCTTCTACGAACAACAGAACTGGCATGCCCGCCGTTACTTCGTCAACCATTTCATGGATATGGAAAGGTGTCCAAGACCTCATCGCGAAAGACCTTGTCAACATGGATGAAGCGGGAAGAGGATCACAAACGCGATTGGCAAGACGAGATGTCCCGGTTCGATACGTCGAGCTCATACAAGAGTTTTCGCCGGGTTATATCATCCTCAGCTATGTGATCGCTGTTGTAGGGAGCTTGTGTACGCTGGAGCTCTTGCTTAGAAGGTCAGTCGGATTCCTGAGAAAGCACGAGTCATATCGATTCTGAGTTCGAACTTGCTAACCCCGATCTCGATATGTCGCCTTGTTTTACTTCACCTTGTTCTTCGTGTAACCAGGACCTCAAACCGCGGGACATACAACGTCCTCCTCCTAGTAGCCGCTGGGATCTGTTTCGGTTCCGTCTCGACCTTTTCCATGCACTTTATCGGCAACAACTCTCTTGTCCTGCACCACCCTCTGGAGAAAGAACGTGGTTACCCTTCCTTGACGCTGGCTTATGCGGCAGGATGGACGGTACTGAGTTTGGTGGTTAGTTGTACGTGCATGATAGGAGCTTTCTTCGTCATGGGCTTGGAAGTCGGGTGGGAGAGGTGGTTGGCAAGGTTGTTTGGGGGGAGAAAGAGGAGGGGGAATGGGAACGTGGGTCTAGGTGTCGGGGAGGTTGGAGTCGGACTGGAAGTTAGACAAAGACGCATGTCCACGAATACGACTTCGGAACATGGTCATGGGGATGTCAATGGGACCGCAGACGGAGCCGAGGTCGAACTAGAGATCACAGACTTGTCTGACCACGCCCTGAAAGACCGCCCGGGGGAAATATTAGCGCTCGACAAGGACGCCGTTGTCAAGAAGAAAAAGTCCATATCCGAAGATTACAGGAAACACGAACTCAAGCTCAAGTTGGATGCTGTGATCGACAAGCTCGAGTGGGCTTTGGGGTGGAGCATGATTGATCTGGGTTCCCGTGGAGGGAGAGCAGAGAGGCGGAAGAGGAAATGGGAAGAGACGAAAGCCGAGGACAAGAACGATAGAGTGGATGAGGAGAGCCGACAGAATCAGGAAGAGGAAGAATGGGACCACAAGGGTCTGCAAAAGGAAGATCTTGCACCTGTGCATGTGAGACCTCCGCCCTCGGATCCGGTCGCTTCCGGGTACGACAACGAGATTCTCGACGATGATATCGTTCCTGCCAGTATCAACCGGATGGACAGGTCTCCGTACGATACGGGCAGGTCGTCAAGAGAGCCACCGAGGAAACTCTCAGGGCGAGAGGCGGAAGAAGGGGTCATCCCCGTCCCCGTTTCCACGTCCAATCGGTACGCGAGAAGAGGCTCTGTACCGAATATCAAGCTTCGAGACAGAGCGCCTTATTCGCCCCTTTCGGTGGATTCCACGGCACCACTGTTCTCGCCTACCTTTACCTTTCCCGGGCCTGGATCTACGTTGGCTTCGGAGAGGACGACGCCGCTGACAGGGTCGACGACGACTAGTCTATACCCTCCTCCTTCGATCTTGCAAGGTCGGAGAGCGTCCGTCCCGGTCAATTCTCTATTTCCGAGGGAAGCGTCGACACCGACTTACACGTTGGCTAGGATACAGTCGTATACCGAACCAGACGGCGATGACCCTCTAGCGGGTCGATCGAATGATTTGGGTGATGATGAAAAGCAGACAGCGGGAGGGCTCGCCAACAAGGAGGCAGGAGTCAGTGGGATGAATCACAACGAGAAACGAAGGGAAAGCGCTGCCAGCGTTTCTTTCCGGATGGACGCGCTCGGGGATACGTCGACGACCAACCTCAACCGGTCGTCAGGCGCAGTCGAGAGGAACGAGATGACAAGAGCGTTGTCGGCACTGAGTGAAGACGGACATTCGCGACCCAGCAGTCGCAGGCGGCCATCAAAGACTCGGAGCGATAAAAGCGGTACCTGGCTGAACAAGTTCAAGCATCTCTTGGGCTACGACGTGGTTACCAGGCAAGAGGTCAGGAAGATCTTGGTCGCTGGGACGATCTGCGGATGGGGGATCGCGGGAATGCGTGAGTCTTGATCGCAAGGCAACCTCGGGATGCAAATGGCTTACATCTCTTGTTCGCAGATTATCTCGGCCAAAAATCGATCGTCTCGATCCCCTACACGAGCTATACTATCGGAAACGTAGTAGGCAGTGTCGTAGTCGCCTGCGCCGCGGTCATCGTTGCCCTGTACATCATGTTCATCGTCCTCCGTCCTAAACTCAAGCACGGATGGTTCATCAAGGTCGCTATCGCGTGCATATTGGGAGCTGCTGTCTGTTGCATGCATTACATCGCCATGGGAGGTGAGTCGGTGTCGAGTTGATCGTACGGTGATAAGAAGGCTGAATGAGATGCTGCGGCGTTTCGCAGGTACCACCTACGCGCTGATACAGGGCGTCATCCCCCCGAAAAGCGCGTTCGGAGCTACCAAAAAGATGATCACCGGGATTGTCGCAACACTGGCCATCATCGCCTGTCTCAGTATCTTCACCTTCAGTGTGATCGCACATTTGCGGAACGTGGCTCATCGTAAAGGCAGGCGAAGGGTTGTCATCGCCGCCATGATCTATGACGAGGAAGACCGCCTCTTGGTCTCGCCGGACGGCATGCTACCCATGTGTGATATCGCTTCGATCGATGTCGATAGCAAGAGGCGCAGTATGCATCGGCACAAGGGCAACAAGGGCTGGGACGCTGAGAGCTCATCCTCGAGTGTGCTCGATATCGATCTGACCAGTTCCCACCCTGCCTTTATCGCTGCGTTGCGCAGTACGTGGGCCTGGCGACAGCCTGGAGTGGTGCCGGCGAGACGACCGAGCGTCAGCTTGCCTAGTGATACTTCGAACGGCTCGGCCTCATATCAAGACTCCATGACTCAAGCGGATCGTTCTACATCAGACGCCTCCAAGAATGGCAGGCGTATTTCGACGTTATCTCTGGCCGACTCGGCTGTTTACCCAGGCACTCTCGATGGCCGGGCCCCCATGACCCTCAACGTTGGCAAGTTCATGGAGAGATTTTCCGTAGCCGTCGGACAGCTGGCTAGCGTGATCACCGGAAACGAACAAGGTGTGAGGCGATTAGGGGTCTTGTATGACCGTATTCTGACCACGTGAGTGCAGGAAGTAGATGTGCAGCGAGAGTACATAGCTTACGATCTTGTTATTTCGCAGGGGCCATGTCTCCATTGGAGGTGATCGCAGTCAGGGGACAACTGTTTCGAAAGGACAACTTATATTCCTGGTGCGACGCGTCACCACCGGTCACGAAAAGAGTCAACTTCTGGCGAGGAACTTCCTCTTCGCAGAGCCCTATGCGGTAGCATCCGTCATGTCAAGAACATTGGCGGTACCGGTGGAAAACTTTCTCGACGTCATCGATGATCAGCGCGACTTTTGCGACAAGGGCATGTCTCAAGACATTCGCCCGGGAAGACTGTATGCGTCGGCCTGCATCATACAGCCGACTACTTTCGAAGGTATACGCGTCTGCGTCGATCCACAGAGGCGACATGAGCTCCCGCACGAAGAGATCTGTCCGTTGTCGGCCGTACCAACAGCCATTCGTACTCAAGACACGAATCAGAGCGACGCTATGATTACCGGAACCATCGAGGAGATTGGCGATGCACTCACATGCCTCGAGGGCCAAACTCTGTTCGAAATGCTGGCACCTCGCAATGAGCTCTTGTTAGCGGCCGACTCGTTGCCAGAGGATCCATCCGTCGTACGGCTTCGCAAGATCTTGGTTGAAACGGTGATCCCGATGCTCGATGGTATACTCACGGCCAAAGCGATGACCGAGGTCTTGCCCCGGCTGAAACTGCTGCCCTCGGTCATACCCCTGACGCCCCCCCTGATCTCACCCATCTTTAAAGCTCACGGCCTGTCTCGAGCACCCGAGGTGACAATGGCAACGTCAATGGCATGGACGATCATGTTCAAAGCCGTACTTCCGGTCGACGCTGATCACAGTGGCTTGGAGTGGGAATCATGGGCTCTGTTCCGCGCGCAACAAGAGTGTATCCTGCGAGATGGCCGTCAAGGCCAGGCTGCCGCTCGCAACGCTCTCGCCCACGCCACGGCGGGGTCTTCGGTACACAACCCGGCTCGTCGTCCCTCCAAGATCCAGTGGTCGACATCGTTCACGGGTGAAGATACCTTTGGGAGCGCGAGCGCAAGACGTTCTTCTGTCGATCCTGATACGAGCCTTGGTCTCGACGATCGACCGCCCATCTATGACAGCTCGGCCCAGGGCAGAACAAACCCGAACCTGTCCATTACGGTTCATCGAAGGAGCTCGATGGCACCATCAAGCACTGACGGACCCTTGACGTTCGATGAAAACGATCAACAGCAAGAGGTAGCTCCGGGGGTCGGTACATGGCACGCAGACTGGTTGACCAGGATTCTCCGGCAAGATCTACATCAGCGGCCATCGGAGTATGACTCGGAACGGTACTGATCCGCTACATCGCCTGAAGAATTCTTTATCGCGCTTCCGTTGTACACTTGGACATCTTGTAGAGGGCAGTAATGATAGTATTGTGCATCAAGCATCGCGTCTCCTTTTTGGGCCATACAAGTTCGTCGCTCCCTTATCCCTCTAAGCCTCGGCCATCTTGGACTTGAGCTTGGCCTGGCGATGGACTTGCAGATCAGCAACTATGCACGAGTTGCAAGATTATGTCGGCTGAGACTCACCTCGACGGCCTTCATGTAGACATCGGTAGTGACCCAGTGTTCACGGGTCATCTTGGAGCCGTACATAGCCAGGGCGAGATCCTTGGTCATGATTCCGTCGACATCGATGGTCTCGGTACAGCTCTCTTCGAGCTTGGTGGCGAACTTGGCCAATTCGGGGGTGTTGTCCAGCTTGGCTCGGAAGGCGAGACCTCGGGTCCAGGCAAAGATCGAAGCGACCGGGTTGGTCGAGGTCTCGTTGCCCTTCTGGAACTCTCGGTAGTGTCGAGTGACGGTACCTTAAAGGTGTTAAGCAAGATGTACGTAAGCCGAGAGTAGTCCGGTAAGAAACGGATTTGTACTGACCGTGAGCGGCTTCGGATTCCATAGTAGAACCGTCAGGAGTGATCAATTCAGAGGTCATCATACCGAGACTGCCGAATCCCTGGGCGAGAATGTCACTCTGTGCAAGCAGATGTCGATTTACCATCAGCCTTCAATTGCTCAATCGGGTGTAGAGAAGTGAACATGGACTTACCTGGACGTCACCGTCGTAGTTCTTGCAGGCCCAGACGAATCCACCGGAAGATTTGATGGCCTGAGCGACCATGTCGTCTGCAGACATCATATTATGGTCAGCATCCTTTTACACACACGATCTGCAGCGGGAGACGAGGTGGACCTACCGATCAATCGGTGTTCGTACCACAGACCGAGCTTCTTGAACTCGGCAGCGTATTCCCTGCAAAGCCCCGACAAATGGTGGATCGCTGTTAGCCATGCCACGACGTGCGTAAAGCCGCCCCGATTCAGGTCTCAGTTGACTCACGCCTGGTAGATCTCCTCGAAGATGTCCTTGAATCGACCGTCGTACTTCTTCAAAATGGTGCTGTCAAAACATCAATCGTTCAGCTTGTCGCCTCTCCAGCAACGCTGAGTAGACCGGCGACTCACTTCTTGGTCGACATGTACTATACCGCAGGTTCGACAAGGTGAGAAAAGGTCAATCATAGGTGAGTGGAGAATGCGAGGACAAATGCCAACGAGAGATGCGACTTACAAGGGGCATCTTCTTAGAGATGGCCATCTTGAAGGACGAATGCGCGAACCCTCGGATCGACTAAATCCCACAAGAAGAAATCTGTCAGCTTGAAGCGGCGACCATGATTGTGGACAAAATGGATCAGGCCATGACGGGAACTCACCTCGTCAGTGTTGTACATGGACAAGGCGACACCGGGTCCCTTGAAATCGTAGACGTTCATGACGACCTTGTCGCCGCCATCAGCAGGGGTATAGGTCAATTCCAGCTTTCCCGGCCCGGGGGCGATAAAGTCGGTGGATTTGTACTATTTCGCAAAAAAAAGGTTGTTTGTAAATCAAAGGAATCAGCCCCCGGTATGAAACAAGTAGAAAAAAAGGGTCGAGTTCAGCCGTACCTGATCGCCGAACGCGTGACGTCCGATGACGATAGGCTTGATCCATCCGGGGATAGGTTTCGGTATCCGCTCGATGATGATCGGTTCACGGAAGACGGTCCCGTTGAGGATGTTTCGGATCTACCAGTACCAATACCGAAACGGATAGCGTTACATGTTCCACAAGCGAATGACTGTCGTCAGCCAACGAACAAATGTGAGGATGTGATAGGAGAGGTTATGACTGACGGTACCGTTCGGGCTCCTCCACATTTGCTTCAACTTGAATTCTTCTACTCGAGCCTCGTCAGGGGTGATAGTAGCGCACTTGACACCGACGTTGTACTTCTTGATGGCCTCGGCCGAGTCGACGGTGACTTGGTCGTCGGTCTGAAGGTCGACCGTCGTAGTATTAGTATTGGTGTAGCAGATTGTGAAGTGGCCAGTGATCAGGTCCGGATATAGAAGGGTAAGGTATGGTAGAATAGGGAGTTTACCGGTGAGCAAGTGGTAGCAGGCAGACTGCTGATGAATGATCGAGGGTCGAGGATTACTCACGGCATCCCGGTTCTCCATGCCCAGATCGTAGTACTTGAGGTCGATATCCAAGTTGGGCAAGATGAGCTACGACCAAGCCCCGAGCCAGAACCAATCCGTCCATATATAGACAAGATCAGCTCATTACCATCCCCGACGCATCAACAACAAAGACGAAGAGGGGGGAAGGTAGAGACCGCGAGAACGTACCTCCTCCCTGATCTTCTTCCAGATGATCCTCGTCATCTCGTCCCCGTCCAACTCGACGACGGGGTTCTTGACCTTGATCTTGGTCGCTACGGCTTGTTGGGCGTAGCCTGCGGGTCGTCCATCAGTCGCCGTCGTCGTAGTTCCAAACGGGTCGTTGGGGTAACATGTGGATGGAAAAGACAAGCCGGTGCGCAAGTCCGGATAGGTAGCAAAGCCAAACATACTTCGTCAGCTAATCCGAATACCTCTCAGCTACCCCAATGGAACGTTCCCTGGACTTACCACGACGGCCCTGGATGATGCTAGCCTCTGACATCCTAGTACTTTGACGGGCAGCGTTGAAGAGCAGACCACGGGTTGACGACAACTATAAGCCTCAAAGGTGAGATCCGTTGGGATTTGGCGAGACAAGTGGATGACCAGGAAATGGAATGTTACGTGGTATCGTTTCAGTCAGATCCAGAGTATTTTCGTGCTTGTGGACGAAAGAGAGAGCTCGAATGGAGGACTGACCATATTCGTTCAAGACTTCAAAAAAGGTGAAGATTCCGGTAGAAATAAGAGCGAGAGTCTGGAGGGTATGGCCTATATACCAGACGGAAGACTTCGGCGTTGCTAGGAAGAGGAAAGAGGAGGTATTTGATTATGTCCCGTGAGCAGGTGCGTAGGTCAAATGAAAGAGAGGGATGAATGCCGATATGAACGAGATAGAGAGTAACGAGCTAGACTCGTTCGGACGTTGTCGGTTTCGGGGGAAACGTCGCGAGATGCCACGGCCCGAAGCGGATTCAGCGGGTCGCAAGCGAGTCATTCGACCTTCCCAAGGTCCGTTCATTTCGGGTCAACAGACATTTGTACCACGTCAAGTTCAAAAAGCCATATTCACATGTTTATCGCATAGCTCGAAAAGTACAATAGAAATGAATAGTATGTACCCTGTACTAAATGGACCCCGCAGACCACCGACGTCAAACAAGACGCCATAGATCTCGTGGTGAGTAAACAGGCGAGGATTCCTCTGGACAAGGACCTCGTGGTTGTCTCTTGGTGGTTCTAGAAATAGCTTGCAGACGTGGGTTGTAGTACCGCTCCTCCCGTAAAGGAGGATGGTTGCGTCGCTCGCAGAGTGTCAAGCACCGGAGTATATAGATTGGATTGGGATGAGAATGAGGGTAGGATGGGGAAGAGTTTGAGAGACCGGTAGGATGATTCTAAAGGATGAAGATCGTTCGAGTTCCTGCTGAGCCGGTTTCGTCGTCCGTCGAGAGGCTGAACCAGGCCACCGTACCCGCGTCCGCAGCCAGACCGATATCCAACAGCGATCGACGAGGGAAGGAGAGATCCAGCCTGTTTGCCGGCAAGGACCGCTTATTCTTTCCGACATCGACTTGTCGTAGTCGATCTTGTGTTGCGAAATCGGCGTCATGGTGTCCAGGTCCTTCTCTTCGACGGGCGGTCAACGAGTCAAAGCGACGCCTCCCCGATCGATCCTGGTAGTCATACCGCCCGGTCTCTCTTCCGTCCTCCTCATTCCACTAGGTGAAGAGGGGAGTAACAGCGAAAAAAGAACCAAACACAAACACAGAACTTACCAAAAGAGTAGAACTCAAATGTCCATCGCCTGTGAAGCACGGAAAACCCCGTCAACCCGCAAAAAAGCGCGGGTGACATCTTTTCAGACATCCTATGCAGGGCCGTAGCAAATGAACGATGACCGCCCCGCTCCGAGTGACCAGAACGAGGGGTTTGGATAGCTCTGCCCCCTTCCTTCTGGCTTTGATCCGCGCGGTTCGAGCTCCGAGGATCGGGCGATGAAGACCAGTGGGTGTTTGTTTTCTACCATCCCGGTCTAAGGGGAGGAAGAGCTGGTCTTCAGGCCTGATCCTGAATAGCGCGCGGAGAAGGGGGTCATAGTGTGGCAAGGAAAGGAGAGGAAGGGATAGGGTACGAGGACAGAGAACGGACGAGGTGGAAAGTGGACGAATGGGTAGAGGAAAGGGGTCGGTGACATAAATTCTGTCTGGGTCATAATATTGACATCTCCTAGTATACAAACCTGCGACAACCAACAGAGTCGTATGTTAGCGGGCTCCGTGCGTGTAGCTCGATTGGTGCAACTCACTACCGTCACTACCAACGCGTATGATGTTGGTACGATTATCGGTCTATCGAGAGTCGAACGGATGCTCGTCAGGACGTTTCCGCCGATATTGAAAGTTTAAAGTCGGGCGATGGACGTACAAAATTCGTGGGTATCGTCTCCCTTCTTGACGACTTGCTGTTGAAAGAGAAGAAAGAAGGTCGCGAGGTATAAGTACTCTGCTCGAAGACGCGAAAAGTTTCGTCATCGCAGCGCGCGCGCGGGGAAGAGCTAATGCGCTTCCAGTTGGCGCAACGACATAACGCGATGAAGGGGGATGACGAATCGATCGATCTCGAGGACTAACCTTCCAGGCCTCGTCAAAGTCGCCAGGCAGGATCACATATCGGTTCTTCCTCACAGCTGAATTGTGGGAAGAACATGTGAGTCAGCCAGTGAGACGATTCGTGCTGTGTTCGGGCGCGACATACCTTGCAGACCGGCGGCTTGACAGATCGAGGCGATCTCTGCCGAACTCAACCTATCGGGCCGCGATACATCTGCCAACCAACCCAGATCAGTCTCTTGTCCTTGTACCGACCCTCTTCATAAACCTAATAGAAGGATGAACTCACAGTCTTCGAGATCGACGTCCGGGCCCAAGTTCATCTTTCCAGTGACCGTCTGGAAGATCAACCTCCTCTCCCTCCTCGATGGCCAGGGGAACTCGATCTTCCTGTCCAATCGACCGGGACGCAAGAGCGCAGGGTCGAGCGTGTCTTGTCGGTTGGTCGCCATGATCACCTATACCGTGTCGCCGCGTAGAGTGACGAGAACCAGGACGTCATAGAGAAGCGAGATCGTGTCAGCTCAACCTGTCTCCTTTTAAAGCACGAGTTATGCTTTTCGTTCTATCTAAGGAGTAACGACTAACCTTGACGTTGCTTCCCTGGTCGAACCCATCCATCTGGTTCAACAACTCCAACAAGATCCTCTGTACCTCTCGATCGGCACCCGTCTGCGCATCGAAACGTTTCGTAGCGATCGCATCGACCTCGTCGATAAAGATGATCGAGGGCGCGTTTTCACGGGCCATTCGGAAGACGTCCCTGACCATTCGCGGTCCCTGAGAGGAGGAAGGCCGATCTGAGATTTAGTGCATGGTTGGGGTTTGTAAGGGATTTGAAGGGAATGACGGATTTACCTCTCCCAAGTATTTCTGCACAAACTCGGATCCGACGACCCGGATAAAGCTCGCTGTCGTCGAGTTTGCTACAGCCTTGACCAGCATGGTCTTTCCCGTTCCTATAAGTCGAGTTAAGCGACCATAACATGGTATTTTGAGGAAGATCAGTCGGAATGTCCAAGTAAGATGCCGACGGCCAGGTCAAGGGAGGTTTCACATACCGGGAGGACCGTATAGCAGGACACCTCGAGGTGGATCGATACCGATCTTTCGATACAGGTCGAACTGCAAAGCAATCAATACTATATCAGCTTACGTCCTCCGAATGCGGCTGATCACCGCAGCCGGAAAGCTTGATCCTTGGCCTATAACTCACCTGCGTAAGGGGCAACTCGACGGCCTCCCTGATCTCCTGTTTCTGACTGTCCAAACCCCCAACATCCTCGTATTTGACATTCGGCTTCTCATCCACTCCCAACATCGTAATACTACTATCCGCCTCTGGCGGCAAGATATCTACCAAGGCGTTCGAATGCCTATGCAGAGCTACCGAAGAGGAGGGTTTCAAAAGTTCCCTGTCGAGCGTAGAGAGGATCCTGACGACATAGTTGGAACCGGTCGTCGAGCCGACGATACCTCGGACACCGTCGATCGCTTCGAGGAACTGGCCGATGACGAGAGGGACGGATTTGATCCGTTTGACTTCTTCTTGGGCACGGAGGAGTTCTCGGCGGAGGTTGTGGGTTTCGTAGAGGATGTATTCCTGTCAAATCCACATCGAGATCGAGATCGGTGTCCATACAGCAGTTTGATGTCATGGACGAGGTAAGCACAGAGTTTCGGTTGTACGGAACAGCAGCAGGACTCGCCTCTTGCAAGTTCAAGAACTCTCGATGAGCCTCGAGCTTCTTGAACCTCGTATACAACTCTTCATCTCCGGTAGGCAATGCCTGGAGCAAGGTCTGCTTCTCCTTGACTTCTTGGTGGATGGTAGGCTCCTAAGGTTTCAAGGTGGATCACATCGAGTTGTGCGTAAATGCAAAGGGGTATGAGGGGTAAGGTCAGTTGGAGTTGCTCGATACGATTTCGGGCAGGTAAAACAATGCGAGGAGGGCATGAGACTTGCCTCCTTTTGGATATCGATTCCGAGCTGGTCCATCTTTGATTTGTCTGGCTAGTTACTAGTCCTTGGGATATGAAAAACTGGAAGCGTTCAGCTGAACGGTACCTCTATGGAAGATATGGAAGTGGCCGAAGTGGTTGAGATGATGGGATGATGAATTGCTGCTCGAGCTCGAACGCTAGCGTCATCGACCTGGCGTCGAGTAGAACGCATAGTTGTTATCACAAGCGTGCGTCGTAGAGAGATCGATCAAGCTGCACATCGATTTCAGTGCAACCCGTTTCCTAGCAAAGAGATCACGTTCAACGTTCATCAATAATATACACAATACAGAAATACAAAGCACCTCAACCGAAATATCGGAAAGAAAGGAGAGAATTGTCCGTACCTGTAACAGCAAGAAACGCGGCCCGAACCCAGAACACAACACGCCAACCCCTAGCCTTCGAATCACAAAGCTACTATGCAACCCAACCTCGCCTCCCCACCACCACCTCCCAAGCCCCGAGGACCATCACCACTAGCCTTTCTCGGTCTCATCTTGGGAACGACAGCTCTGTTCGCCTATGCGCTCGAACGGAAATCGCAGACCACCACGGCGACGTCGAAGCGCTTACGAGCTAGCGATACCATCAAGCCTGGTAACTGGATGGGAGACCAGGAAGGGGTTGAGGATCCCGAGGTCGAAAGGCTGAGAAAGGTTAAAGAGGCCAGGGAGAGGAAGGAGAAGGAGAAGAAACAGCAGAATTGGGGGAGATTGGGCGCGGTTGGAGGGACGGAGGGGTTGGCGGGAGGGTGGGAGACGGTCAGGAGCCCGGGTGTGCAACCGCCATCGACCATGCCCGAGGCGTTTAGGGGGGAGATGGCGAGGGGTCCTGATCCTTCGCATCAAGAGAAGCGGCACGAGCAGGAGAAGAAGACCCGACTGGTATAGTCATCGCTATAGCGTTATCCAGCTGAGCCAGGTCGAGGTGGACCAAGAGGTGTTTCGGACAACACTAGCGGGTTTCGTCCTCGAGCTCGCCGTAGAAGCGAACATGAACAGGAGCTCGAACGGGGACGACACGACCCATAGGTCGCGCACAACAAAATGATGGAATTTACGACAGCGATCAGGCAGCCAGCGGGTACTGCCCTCCACGGAGCCTCTCACATGACACTGTAATACCAGCATCAATGCATCAACACATGCTCATTTGTATCTATACAACCGGATGCACAACCTCATAACACCCGCACATGCAGAACATCTCTATACTGGACCTGTTCTTCAAACTTTGACGACCGCTTCGAACCATGCTTTCCCCCGCTACATGTCAAAGTCCGAATCCGAATCCTCCTTCCGTCTCCCCTTCGACCCCGACCCTGAACTCATCCCCCCGAGTCCTAATCCCAATCCAGTCCCTCCCTGCCGTAGACCCCTCATAGCTCCCTTTTTCCCCATCCTCATCGTCCCAAACTCGGCATCCTCGTCCTCCTCCCCATCCTCGTCAGAATCAGACCCAGACCCAGACCCAGCTTGAGCCTTTGTGGCTTTCATCAAGCTCTCGCTGGGTTTCTCGGCGATGCCCTTGGAGAGCAAGAACCTCTCTACGTCCTGGACCGTCGTCCGCATGCCTTGTCTGGGTAAGCCTATTAGTTGGCCTACGCAGTCGCCGCGACGGTACAGGAGGAGGGTAGGGTGGTTCTTGTCCGGGTAGTTGGGGATGCATTGGGGGCCGGGGATGGAGAGGAAGTGGATGAGGGGTTGGTGAGCGGAGAGGGTGTTTAGGAGGTTGCGCATGTGGTCGGATGCTGGCATGCTGTGCACGTCAAGGATGCAAGCCCAAGTTCATGGTTGGACGAAGCATGGATATGGGGAGTTAGCGATGAAACACTAGAGAGGTAAGGGAAAGATCCGGAGCTCACCCGTCTTTGAAGAGGAAACAGACCACCCCCGTCCCCTTGCCCTCCTCATCATCCCCCTCTATATCCCGCTTACTAGCCTCATTCACCTCCTTGACGAAATCATCCCTACTGATCGGTCTCAACCCATCTCCAGCCCTGACGCTCCGAGCCATCTTTTCTTGATGTTTCATCTCCTCCAACTTTTTCAGGCGGTACGATTGGAACAGACGCTCGTCGTCGCTGTTGACGGCTTCTTCTTCCATCTCCCCTAGGGCGTTGGCAGAGGCGGATTGGAGGGCATGTTGGAAGAGTTCTTGTTCAGAGGGGAGGAAGGCCGAGGGGGATGGTGGGGTTGGGGGTTTGGGAGGGATGATACCGTGTGCTCGGAGAGCATCGTTGCTGAGTGTTCGAGGGAGGTCAGATCTGCGTAGCTCGGCGGGTGGATGGTTTGAGCTTACAATTCGGTATCGGCGTTGATATCGTTGATCATTTTGAGTGTCTGTCTCCCAATAATGCTAGGGAAAGAGGTTGTAAGATCATATAGGATGTCCGACGGTGTCACAGATCACTCATATCATGCATATCATCTATGACGTCCGAGTGCTAGCTAGGATGCGACCCTGTAGATCACGTGACCACCCGCTTCATGATATTTCTACTTTTTGCATCCGCCCAGCCCTCTCTCTCTCTCTCTCTCGCTCTTCGTCGACCTCGTCTTGTAATTATTCGAAGCGTCTTCATGTTACAAAGTGAGTATGGCAAAGGTCATCAAGCTAGACCTGGCAACCCGATCCACTTGACGTTATCCTCGATCACTCAGGATGTCATCAAGAACGAACATGAAGAAACAACGACCGGCCATCAACGCCGTGGCTAGTTCCAGCTCGACCATTGCCTCGGGGCTGGGCAAGAAGCGGAGCAGGAAACATCAAGTTGCCGAAGAAGGCGAGGAGGATGACGAGTTGTCAGGGGTCGTAGGGAGTGTCAAGCAGGTTGAGAATGAGCAGGAGGACGAGATCGACTTGGAAGAGGATGAGGAGGATGACGAGTTTGAGATCGATACCGGGTCTAGTAATGGGGATTTGGACGATTTCGTCGTTGCCGATGAAGACGAAGACGATGTAGAGGAAGAGCGGATGCCCGTCCCCTCAGCCCGAGCGGGCAAGGCGAACGGCAGGTCGATCAGGCAAACAGCACAGGTGCAGGATGATGGCGATCTCGCCGATTCGGAATCAGAGGAGGATTCTCAAGCGGGCTTGGACCTGGACGATGAAGAAGGATACAACTCATCCGATATCGACGCTCTCGACTCCGGCGACGACGAGGAAGAGGATGGCGCCCTCACCCCGGCTACCTCTTTAGGTTCTTCTTCCGACCTGGACAGACTCATCAAGAAACACACTTTCAAACCTTCAGAGTCCGAGTACTTGGGGGACCAGGAGACACATTATCGAGGATCTCTTGTTACTGGAGGTAGAGCGCTCACGGGGGATGGGAGGTGGGGCACGGACAAGTTTAGTTCGGCGAAAGAGGGGAGTGGGAGGTTGAGGAAGAGTAGGTTTGTTGAGGGGAGTTGGGTGAGGGAGTATGAGGAGTTTGAGGCGGGGTATGGGAGTGAGAGTAGTACAGAGGAGGTGGGTCGTGTCGTGTCTTTCGCTGAGCTCTCGGTTACGATTTACCACAATACTGACTGCTGTCCTCTTTCTTTCTTTTCCCCGTCTCGCTTCTTTTCTTTGCTTGCTTCCTTGGCATGTGGGAACGCAGAACACCAACACGATCGGAAACATCCCTATCGAGTGGTACGACGACCTACCCCATATCGGTTATTCGGTCGATGGAAAGCGAATCATGAGGCCCGCCAAGGGTGACGAGCTCGACAAGTTCTTGGCTACCGTCGAGGATCCTGATAGTTGGTAAGTATTAGCAGATATTGTCGGGGTTTCTAGGCATAGCGGGATGAGGTAGCTGATTGCTGACTGACCTCGTTTCGTCTCGTAGGACAACGGCCGAGGACAAGCTCCTCCAAAAGCAAGTTCAATTGAGCGACAAGGAGCTGGATATCATCCGTCGACTGGAACGCGCCGAGAACCCGGACGCTGGGTTTGATAATTATCAGCCGACGATCGAGTGGTTCACGGGCAAGGGGAACGAGATGGTCATGCCCCTGACTAACAGGCCGGAACCGAAGAGCAGGTTTGTGCCTTCCAAGTGGGAACATAAGAAGGTACGTCGGATTGCGAGCGGGTTTCCGCAGATCGCGTTAGCTGACAGATTGGGAACGTTTGCGTTCGAACGATCTTGCAGGTCATGAAGATTGTCAAGGCCATCCGAGAGGGAAGGATCATCCCGAACCGTCCTCCTGTAGAGAAACCCAAGGTCTATGCCATCTGGAGCAAGGAAGACCAGGAACGTACTCCGCACGCGATGTACATGCCCGCACCTCAATTGCCTCCTCCCAAGACGGTCGAATCGTACAACCCGCCCGAAGAGTACCTGTTTGACGAGCAGGAAAAAGCCGAATGGGAAGCGCAGGAAAAGGAGGATAGGAAGCTCGATTTCGAACCGAAAAAGTACGCCTCGTTGAGGACCGTACCGGGTTACGAAGGTTTCGTGCAAGAGAGGTTCGAGAGGTGTCTCGACCTGTACCTCGCACCGAGGACGAAAAAGGTCAAGATGAACATCGACCCGGAGTCTTTGGTGCCCAAGTTGCCGAGCCCGAAAGAGTTGAGGCCGTTCCCGACGACGAGTGCGGTGCAGTACCGACACCCTGCCAGTTCGAGGGTCAGGTGTGTGAGCATGGACCCGAGAGGCGAGTGGGTGGCGAGTGGGAGCGAGGATGGCGTGGTCAGGGTTTGGGATCTCGGGAACGGACGAGAGGTATGGAAGTGGCCGTTGAAGATGGGAGCCGTGCAGTCGGTCGAGTGGTGTCCCAACCGGGACGAGTCGGTCTTGGCCGCCACCGTGTGAGTTCGCTTCCATGTCCAGACAACCTAGGGTTCAGTCGCTTACTTTGCCCAATGATTGCGCTTCGAAAGTTCCGGACGAGTCTACTTGTTGTCCCCCTTGGCTTTGGTCTCCCCGACCGTGGCTCAGACGACCCTTACGCACCTGAACACCGCATTCGCTTCCTCCTCGGCCTCTACGGCGCAGAACGAACCTCGAAAGGCCCCTGATGCCAAATGGGTCCGACCTACCGAGGACGAGAGGGATCGAGGGATCTTGGTCATCGTCGAGGTCGCGGGGACGCCCAAGCAGATCACTTGGCACCGAAAGGGAGACTACTTTTCGACCGTTGCTGTGGATGGTGAGTGTGAAGTTCTTGGTCGTTTCCCTGCAACTTTGGGCTAAACCGCTCCCGTTCTTATTAGCTGCCAACAAATCGGTCTTGGTCCACCAGGTCTCGAAGCATCAGACGCAATCTCCGTTCAAGCGGACAAAGGGTAGCGTGCAGCGAGTCGCTTTCCACCCGACCAAGCCTCACTTTTTCGTGGCAGTGAGTCTAGCCCTGCATCCGAAGTCGATGTCATTTGATGCTGATTGTTTCTACCTTCCGCGCCTTTAGACACAACGATACGTCCGATTGTACGACCTGGTCGGCCAGCAACTCCTCAAGACGCTCATGTCGGGTCTCAAGTGGATCTCGAGCATGGACATTCACCCGGGCGGTGATAACCTGATCATCGGAAGTTATGACAAGAAGCTGTGTTGGTTTGACCTGGACTTGAGTTCGAAGCCTTACAAGACCCTGAGGTGAGTTTCAGCACAGAATTGGCAAAATGGAAAATGCAGCGATATTCAAACCCTGTGCTTCGGCTTTTTAGATACCACACCAAGGCTCTTCGATCGGTCATCTACCATCGAACATACCCCCTCTTCGCCTCGGCTTCGGACGACGGCACCATCCAGGTCTTCCACGGAACAGTCTATTCGGACCTGATGCAAAACCCATTGATCGTCCCGCTGAAGGTCCTGCGTGGACACAATATTAAGGACGGGCTGGGTGTGTTGGACGTCAAGTGGCACCCGACTAAACCCTGGTTGGTCAGTTCGGGCGCGGATGGTGAGGTGCGTATGTGGACCTAGGCTACGGGGAAAGGATGAGAGGGATGAAGGGTTGTATGTAGGCTATAGGCTATGGGGGATTGGCTGTATCTATCATGTTGTCTACACTGTCGCATCCGGATTGGCGAGATGCAGGCTCCTCTCGAGCGCTATCCCACATCCACCCTCGGCCAGAAGACGCCACCACGCGTATCGTACCTTTTCTTCTCTTTTCGGATCATTCTCTCGCCGAGGGCTCGGGCTCGGGCTCCAGGTCGGGTAGGGGGCCGAACCCGGCGGAACTCAGGGTCTGGGCATGGATATCGACTCTGGCCTCTATAAATGGGATCAACTACTACGATGAGGATCTCTTTTGACAATAACACCTTCCATCAGCTATCAACCATGATCATAGAACCACTCCTCCTCTCTGTTTGGGGTCTGCTTCAATCGCTCTATCACCCTTTTACCCTGCGTGACGGCGTAGACGCAACACCGATGCAGAACGCCATGTGTAATGATACCGTGTTGTATGATGGACCAAAGGCGAGTCCCCCAACAGGGATGTACCAACTAACAGAGAGAGTGATGTCCGGCTGACCAGGCCACTCGGTGATGATTCTTTCCAGGCTTGGATCCGGGCTCCTGATCTGTCACCTCTGCTGAATGCCTCCGGTGAGGTTTTGATCGACATGGTGCGCATATGACATTCGAGTCCAGGTAGTATCAGATAGATCATCCAACTCATATTTCGTCGTGTGTAGGGCAACCAGACCGGGTCTCCTGAGCGCTCTTATCGAGGTGCAAGTGTAGGCGTTCGGTTCAAAGAGAGAGCCATCGTCAGAATTCCGTAAGAGATCGCAAGTCGGACGCTTTCGAGACTTCCGCTTAGTGACCATATATCCCGGAAAGGCTTTTCGAAAAGCCTCCTCCTGTTAATTGGACTCGAGAGACGGTAGATAAGGTCGATTATAACAGTATCTGGAGCGAGGATGATCATCAGCGCTCGCACGTGATGGTGGAGATGGCGAGTAGCATCCATCTTATCTTGACGACTGCTAGGTTCTCATCGACCTGTGCGGTATACAGGAATCCCGCAGTATCGAGCAGATGAAGAAGGACTATACGGTCTTTGCGGAAGAACGAATCGCGTTCGAATCTACCGTGTTGGTCACGGGGAATCTGGGCGATGGTAAGGTTACCTTCTTATCTTTACGATAGTTGATAACGATCTCAACTTTGCCTTCTCTTTCACCATCTCAGCATCCGAACCGCTTAAAGGAAGGTTTCGTAAAGACTTCCAGATACACGTCCCCAACGTCAACGTGAGCCTCCGTACTTGTATATCTGATGGGACGCTTCTCATCCTACCCGCATCGAATCGACAGTTCCCACCGAGCTTCGATCAGTACATTTCCTCCAGGAGCACAGACAACTATGGGTACCAGAACGAGGAACACGTGAGTCGTATCGTCGTTCCATGAGATCGCGCCGCCCCGGTCTCACTCATACCGTCTCTACCTGTCGTGTAGATGTTCCAATGGTTTGTCGTTCTTCATGGCGATGATAGTTCTCGACGAGAGATTCCAGCGGGTTTCGGGGCTTTTCAACCTCGCATCAATCGCTTTGCGACAGATGAGACGACCGCACTCGATGTAGAGTTTGAGCTGCGAAGCGACTCTACTCTGGACCCAAAGACCATGCCCAAGTTTAAACTCGATGTTCAACTTTTGCCGAGTGAGACAGACGGCGATGGTAAGTTTCCGACGAATAAGTGGACGAGCTGGATCATCTGACTAATTGCGTCGTTCATAGATCAAACGTACCGTGTCCAAGTAATCCTGCGTCAAGAACCTCTCGTTCACGACGTGCCCGAAAACGTTCGACTGCGGCCTGAGACTATCAGGGCCTTCTACAGACAACGCAGCCGACCCACCTGGGCCGTATCCAAGGTGTCTGATAGCGACACGCCGCACGCCGAGAGCGCACGGGAGTCGTTGTTCAATAGTGGCAGGCACTACGCGAACCAACTGTCGATGGATATTCTGCCTCATGACCGTGCTGCTCGGCGTACAAACCTTCTCGCTCAACGCGAGCTCGATCGCAACATGAGCGAAGGGACGATCAGTGCTCTCGAACCGATCGATGGCGTTTGGTGGACCGGCGATCTCCAAGTGAAACGACGAGATATAATCGGATCGGTGGCGAAACCCCTCAGGGATTTTCACTTGGCCTACATCGATATCGTCTCTTCGATCGATTTCCAGATCAATTGCGCCATTGAGGAGCCGGCGGGTGATGAGCAAGAAAAGGCGGAATCTGATGCAAAGGTCGACGTGTACAAGGATACTGATCTGGATGAAACCTTGTGGATGGTGACGACCCCGGACTCGGCAAATTCTCTGGGAACCAAGGTTCCGCGCAAACGTCATGTCCTAGGTCGGGCAACTATGCTACTCAGAACGAACGACTCGACGGACGAGGCTTTTCCTCAGCACTACCTCGAAACAGACGCCCCGATGCCGGTCTTGCTGGTAAACGACGAGACGCCGGAATATCCTCTCGCTCGTGACTCGTTCACGTCTCGTCATGAGGACGGGACTCGCGGTCGAAAGCATGTCTATCAGACTCGAATCCCGTCCAAGAATGATCGAGGTGGATCTCATAGTTATGTCGGCAAGGCTTGGTTTCGACACGGTCAGCAGGAGATGACCGAAGTCGCGCGGGTCTGAAACGTCAACGTTTGGTCGTTGCTGTTGTGTCGCCTTGTCTTTTGGATAGTTCTCCCATGTTACTTCGAATTTGAGCGGAGACTTCTGGTCTGTAAAGATGTACTTGTATTTTCCCGTTTCAATTGTATCATGAGCAGTGATCTTCTGTGTGATTGTCGGCCCTCTTGCAGCCCTGACTCATCGAAATAACAGCCTCGCATATTTTCCTAGCTCGTGTGAGCCAGTTGAATCTTCTCGATCTTTTTCATTGGTCTTCGCGATCCAGTTGATGAGTCTGTTTGTTGTCCGCAAGTTTGTGTTCTCTGTAAGTTTGGCGGGCTTCGATAAGGCATTCCGAGCAAACAACTCAGTTTGATTCCCCAATCTTGCGATCGATCTTGCTCATAAGCTCCCGGTTCTCCAATGTCTGCGACTCCTTTCAAAGTAATCTGCTGCAGTTAGCGGGTCAGGTCTTGCATCTGGTCTTCAAGATTGCCGTTCTCTTCCATAAGCGTATGAATCCTGTCGTTCGACAACTCGAACCATTGTTCGAGGATGGCGATTTCAGGGTTCATCGTAGCTAGCGGCTGTTTAAAAGTTCCGATGCCTCGAGATTGCGCTCGATCATCTTGTCTTCCTGGCGAAATCCTTCGGGAATAGTATCCAGGGTGAGAAGATTGTGGATGCAAGGAGGCGTGACGAAAGTGGGCTCCCCATCACTGTCGTCCGGCCCTTTGCATCTGGCTTTTGACAAGCTAAGGATCGCTGACTGGTGGAAGAAAGTAGGGGGAACCTGCAAGCCAAGGTCCAGGTGAGTACGACACAACGCCTACCCAGGCAGCTATATTCCTGACCCAATTCTGCTTAGTATGGTGATGTCGACTTGCATATGCAGGTCAATCGGCTTCACAATTTGGTGTTGTGCTTGTTTGGACAAGTTAGACGTACATCCGACCTGATTGGTGACACGGCCACCGTACATCGGGGTTGTGCACCTGCGCTTTGACCGGATCGGCGAGTAGGTGGTCCCTCCTTTGGCTTGATCAGGATCTTCGAAGACGATCATCCTTTAACCTTCATACGCCGAACGAATTGATGGTGTCCCGTTGATAGAGCTCCGCTCTAATCCCGGATCGATCGCGTTCGTTAGTCAGAAAAGAGGAATGCAAACTGAACATACTTGAGGAATGATGAGAGTGATCAGTGAGACGCCAGAAAACGATGTGATCATTTGCCGAGTTACGCACAACGCTACTCGAACGAGACCGCGAATCTTCAAGCCGTTTCGGAACTGTTGGACAGGCCATCAGCTGTACCAATGTATTCCTATTCAATCATCATCGACGTCTTTCAAGCTCATTGGAATCTTTACCCAAAGACTCGAGCAGTATAGCTGTCTGATAGTCTGTTCCAAAAGGTTGTTGAGTACAGAACCAACAAACCGAATGTCGAGCCGAACCTTTTTGTTTCAGCTATTCTTCGGCCGAAAACGCCACCGCGCGCCAATCCTCTCGCGTCGCGGGTTTCGGTTTGTTCGATCGTTCTGACCTTGGGATCCTTGTATCTCTTTGTTCGTTCTGTATGCTTCTGCAGATCATCGGGTCTACTTCCGCAATAGAGAGAACTATACGAACAGCTAAGACGGACTATATAATCAGACAGTAACCACTCATCTTTCGTCCTCGATCCTTGACCGCACAGGCTCGCTGTTCCTTCCCTCGCAAATCGTCGTTTCTTGTGACCCGCATCATCGACCATCACCATGACCTTCAATAGCAGAGTTGTCATTACCAAGGACAAACTAGAAACATGGTTGTCTACCGCTACGAGGCAGCGACATTTGAGCGAGGATCCCGTAAGTCGCCTGCTTCATCGGAGCCGCGAACCTCCTCTCATCTTGCGAACTACCCGTCACCGATTTCAGAAAGACTGGTACAACACGCCTTATAGCTGTCATATTTGCGGGAGATACCACGACAGACCCGCTACACGGGAGGAACACTATAGGAGTGCTCGTAAGTACTTATGTATGATTTCACTAGAATTCTCTGGCTGATTCACCTGACCCGCGCCTATCTACACCTTTTCCCCTAGATCACGGCGCGCGATTCCCGGAAGAACATTCTTCTTGGTCTTACGACGAGTGGGCCTGTCATATCTGTGGAGATAAATGTGAAACCCAAGAAGCCCGTGCGAACCATTACAAACGATATCGTGAGTCGGCTCTCGATATTCTCGTCTCTTCTCGTTCTGCTCCCTGTCTCGTGACCCACATCGTAAACCACAGTCTAACATACTTGTCCCCCCACACAGATCCTGAGGATACGATCAAATGGCCTCAGGGTCAGCCTGCCGATGCGCATCACGTCCGTTGCTATCACAAACCCGCCGAACGTCGTCCTTTCCGAAACGCCGTACACGATCTCGGTCAACAAGGTCAATCGGAGATCATCGATGCTCGCGGTCTCGACGACGATGAGGAGGAAGTCGAAGCGAGGCTTCCCGGCGCAACCGCTGCTATTGCTGCGCCTCACCCCGTCGCCGAGAAGCCTAGCGCTGTTATCCCGGCTGCCCCTGCTATCGTCGAGATCGATGAGCTCGACTCCGCCCTGAGCGTCGAGGTGATGCCGGTAGCTGCAAGCAAGCCTGCTAAGCCCGCTGCTTGGTTGTTGGAACAGCTGAAGGCATTTCAAGACAAGAGGCTCGATCCGTCCACTCAAAATGGTCGGCTCGGGTCTAGTCCCATGGCTCGGCCCACTGTCACGACGATCCAGGCTCAGGTTCCGAAGGCTGCTCCCGCCTTCGCTAGCAAGTCTCAGACCGGTCCCCTTGAACCCAGTCTTTTGCCTCGTTCGCCGACCAAGAAGCCATCTGCTTCGTCTGTGCCTTCATCGCCGGCGGCGGATTGGGCTGCGAAGGTCCGAAAATATAACTTCCCGGTCTCGCCACCGACATCGGACACCGTACCCGAGGGCGAAGAAAAGGGACAGCCGGTTACTCACGATCAGGACCCCTCGAGTCCGATTAAAAGCAAAGGGGAGCCGATCTGTCTCGTCTCGCCAAGCCCTGTCGACAAGAACTTTGCATCGGCCAGGCCTGGTCTCCCTTCGCCGACGCCTCCGGTCTCCGTCGCTTTGCCTACCTCGCCAATTGTGGCTGCCGTAGCCACCTCGTCGTCGCCGACCAAGCGTACTTTCGAGACTGTCAACGTCGACGCTGCATTTGACGACAACGTGGCACCAAAAAGACGACGCCTTGACGTTCCTCCAAACTCGCAACACAAACAGGCCTGCGAACGTCTTCGACGTCTTCTCCAGACGGCTGGCAATTCGTTGTTTATTCTCGGAGAGAGCTTGGACTCCGGTCTGGACACGGTGGCAAGATACGAGTCGTCTCTTGAAGCCGTCTCTCAGATGGAGGTGGACTTCAAGGCCATTTTCGCCGGGAACAAGAGCCTGCAGACCGCGGAGACGACCTTGGCCGCTGCTGTCACTCAGCTCAAAGCCATCACGCAGGCGGCCAGTCGCAGGGAAGACTCGGTCATGTCGATGCGAGAAGCGAGATTGATGAAGAAGAAAGAACAGCTTAACACGAAGGCGGCCAAGATGCGAGCTCAAAGGGCGGAAGTCGAGGAAAGGCAAGCCCTTCTAGATATTAGGGAGGCCGAGATCGAAGACCGCGAGACCGACCTCGAGATCAAGCTGACCGTCGCCGACGACATGGCGGTCGATGTCGGCGAGGCGACCGGATTAGCCGAGAACTTGCATATCGACTGAGTTTCAAGCCATAGCGAACGTAGGGGGGCAGATACAGAGAATGACGTGATATCCGACGAAAGAATCGCTTTGTACCGGGTAGGATTGATGACCGCATATATTTATGTTCGTATTGACCCTTTTACAACAAGACGATCGGCGCCGTGAAATTACTTGCATCCTACAAGCCGAAATCAACTTGATCAGCTTCAGGACAGCGATAACTTCGAAGTCTGAACTCACGTTGCGCCAAGATGGCCGGTCCGTGCTCTTTCCATTCTTCCGCTCCGACCCACAACTGATGGAACGTCCCCAAACTCGCCAAGATGCTCCCTCCCAGCCAGACCGAATGTCTCCGCTCGATCGAGTTACCCGGAGCGTGGATCTTGAGCTTGCTACCGGGGATCTTGAGGGAGAGTTCGTGATTCAGTCGATCGGCGAGACCGGGGATGGTAGATCCGCCACCGACGAGGACGATGTTCTGGAGTAGCACAGCTCGGTGGTCCGAGTCGACGGCAAAGACGCTATCGTGCACCAGGTCAGCTAGGCCTCGGAGTTCATTCAAGGGGTGAGCCGTCGGTGCCGAAGGAGTCGCGTAGAGTTGTTCGGGTGGTGCAATGGTCTGCGAAGCATCACATGCAACGTTTGAGTATCGTTTCTTAGCGAGATGGGTGTCAAACACGCCTCCAACTCACCTTGTCCAAGAACGCCTCTGGGTTGAATATGCTCTCCGTCAACCTGAACCTCTCCTCTCCGAACTGCGCTCCGTATCCATCGGGGAACTCGTACATCTTGGTCGGTTTACTCCTCGCCAGCCTGTCACCGACACCATACTTCAAGTCAGTCTCGTTTGGCCTTGGCAGCGGTTTTATCGAAGCGGTGCCAAGCTCGAAATCCGGACTCACTCGGGCGAATAACCTCCGACCATGACCTCCGCACACCCTTCCCTCCACCCATCGACAACCTTGTTCGTCCAGTACGACTTCCAACTGTCTGTGGTCTTGTCCACCCTGGCCTGGTTCCACTGGACCTGAGGCGGCTGGCCCAATCCGACGGGTTTACGCGATTTGATCAGGTGATGAGGAAGCAGAGAAGTCGACGAGTGAGAGTGTTTGAGGAAGGTTTGGATCTGCGAATTTAGGAGGGTGATGGAGAGGGGTTGACGTTTGGTGCCTAGCGGGAGGTCGAGCGGGGTTCAAGGGTCGGGGTGAGCATGCTTCTGGTTGCAGCAACGATCTCTGGCTTTTCGATGTGAGGAGGACTTACCTGATCGGATAGCGTATCCGTCACAGACCGGTACGACGCTGACGAGATCACTCCCAACGTCTACGATCAAGGCCGTCCCCTTCCCAGCAGCGAATCTACGGAAACCCAAGAACAATCGCAGAATCCAAATAATCGCAATATCCCAATGTTTCGTCAGCCCACTCGTTCCAACAACGGATGATCACCCCGTCACCATCCTTCCCCTTCCGCCCTCCTTCAGAGAAACCCAAAATGGAATCGACCTCGAAGACCTCGGGGACTCACGCGCTCAAAACGCTCGAACAAGCGATATAAACCCCCGGCACCCCCTCCCCCTCAAAAGCCACCTCTGCCAACAGTTCCCTAGCCTGGCGCGTATTCCAAGCGGGCTCTGTTAGGAGGAGAGGGTGGGCGGTCGGTTCGGAGGTTGGGAGGGAGAGGGATGTGTGTAGGGTGTGGTGCAGCAGGTGGGGGAGGGCTTCGGGGTCGGTTACTGTGATGTGATCCGATGTGGGATGGTATGATATGATATGGAGGTCCGGGTCAAGGCGTGAATGAAGACGGAATACAGGTGTAGTAAGGAGAGTATGGGAATGACCGAGAATATGATGTTATATCAGCAATCCGCCTTGTTTCCTCTTTGTTTCCTCTTTGTTTCCTTTCGGGGCTTTTGTAGACGGGGTATGGTCTGGTACTGACTGATCCCATCCCGCATCAACGACCCGACCTCCATCCCTTCCCTCCACATGTTCACTCCTTGGTCGCCCATGAAGAAACGTTTTTCCACTTTTCCCCGTTTGTTGTTCCCATTCACCGTGTTCCCGTTCGTGTTCGTGTTCCCATTCGTGTTCAAATTCAAGTTGGACTCTCCTTCTGGTGTTCGACGGTCGGAGGGGGCGTCCACTGCCATAGAATTATCATTGTCACCGGAAGTTGAAATTGAAGCACCGACATCACCATCTTCCCCAGCCAGGTTGGAGTTGGAGTTGGACTGGTGGTGGTGCTGGGAGGAAGAGAGGTTGATATAACCGAAGGCGGTGGGGACGACCGAACGTGGGGTCTCTTCGCCTGCGAATCCAGATCGGGTGGTTTGGGTCCCGATGTCGATGACTATCGCTGAGACTTCGTCTGCAGGGGTTTTTGTTTTTGTATAAGTGGGGTGGTCGTGAGCGTGAGCGTGTTGTGTGGAGGTCGTGAGGGTATAGGGTATAGGGTGGTGGTCGTGTTGAGAGACCGACGGTATTGATGGTGATGATGGTGATGGTGATGTGGAATTGTGGAAAGGTAGTCGGAGTTCATAAGGTGGATTTCGCAAGTCGCAAGTCGCAGGTGAATCGCGTAGTATGACATGACATTAGCCGGCGTATCGGCGCAAGACGAAAGGTTATAGATGAGTATACATGATGCTTGATAACATAATGTAGATGAACACTTACCTCCTCCATAAGTAGCTGGGTTCATCTTCGATTCAGAGCTCTAAGTTATGTAGCGAGCGGTACTTGACACCGAGTTCAAGTTCGAGTTCGAATTCGAGTTCGAGGTTGAGGTAGAGGGTTTCGCGTTTCTTCGTGTGGGCGGCTCGTTCGACTTGCACTCTTTTCTACGACGAAGGTCTTTGAGGTGATCTACTTTGAACCTGAGATGGGAGGAATGTCTACAAGTGTTACCGTGGTGCGATATAGGTAAGAGGTGTACCAAGTGATGTGACCTGACCGGTGGAACTTGTCTCAACCAGCTCGTTCAGGTTGCTGCCTTAAAACATGGAACATGCCTTTCCCACGCGTTTTCGGCAGAGTCGGTCGATGGTTTCATGCCCTTCGACGATGGCGACAGCGACGTCGAAGGCATAAGTAAGACGAGGAGTGAGGGGGGTTGTCTCAGCTATCCTGTGTATTTCGTCATTGTTGCCGTCGTCGCTGTCGGAATCGGTCCATTTACTAGCTAGTGCTAAGGTTAGGCTCCAGCTTTGTCAGAGCGACACCTCGTCCGAGGAGAGAGAGGATCGAGAGATTCAAACAACCACACACCTGGTCACTTTTGAACATCATCACCACCGTAGCATCAACATCATCACTCTCACTACCACCAGGACACCTCCTCAATCATCTCTTCTTAGCATAACCATAGTATCGTATAGCATAGCATATCGCACCCCTTCTTGCCCTCTTTCCGCCCCCCTACCTTGAAATCGACCCGGGCTCTTTCGATACCCACCACCACCACCATCACCCATACATCCATAGAGACTCAGACGCCCGGCCGGACCTTACAATTACATGCCTAAAGGGAAAAAACAGGGTGCGAAACAAGCCAAGGCGGCGGTTGCCGCTCGACAACAACAGGCGGTTGCGGCTGCTGCTGCTGCGTCTATATCGAGAGATTTGAAGGATGAAGTAGATGTGGATGTGGATGTGGATGTAAGGGAGAGGGAGGGGGGTGTGGGGACGGTGGGAAAGGATGAGAATGGGGTTGTTGGGGCGCGGAAGGTGAATGGGATGACTTCCACGACGACGAAACAGACGGGCAAGACGAATGTGAACGGGACGGCACCAACACAGAACCATAACCAGGGCCAGAAGACGACCTACGAATCATCCCGCGGCAAGACGTTCAACGAACACGTCGACCATACCTCTTCTAAACACGGGCCGACGACGATGGTCCCCGTCTCTCACTCTTCTACGTCGACGATCTATATGAACAAGGCTCTGACAGGGGGCGGGTTGGGAGGTCTGCAAGAGAGGTTGATGGGCATGTTGACTAAAGGGGAGGATCATGTGCCTATTCAGCCGCAGGAGAGACGGAAGGGGGGTGGGGGTGAGAAGGGGCAGGGGCAAGGGCAGGGTCAAGGGCAGGCTCATGGGCAGGCTCAAGCTCAACCTCGAGGACAGTCACAGGCGGTGCCGAATTCAAATTTGAAGTCGACCCCTCCTTCTGCACCGACATTCAACCCGGTCTTGACCCCAGCTGCAAACCCCACGCCGAACCAGAACCAGAATCAAAACTCTGCGCCGACGGTCAAAAAGAACCCCTACCCGAACTACAACGACCCGTTGCAACAACTCTCAACAAAGAACCCGACCGTGGAATCCTCCCTCTCGATCAACTCGTACCCCAACTATCCTTACCCGCCTACTTCGGTCACTTCGCTGCACCAACCCGGGTTCTTGGCCCCGCCCACTGCACCGGCTTCGTCAGCCCATGGACTGGGTCTAGGTCCGACCCTTGTGGTACTGGACGATCCTTCGCACAAGTACCTCCAAGCGCAACAATCCTTCTATGCGACCCACCCCCCGACGCATAAAGTAGCAGCGTCTTCCATCCCCGACGTACCCCCTCCCCTCCCCGTCAGTCTCCCTAGGTTACCCTGTATCCCCCCGCTCGTCGTACACCAGGAACAACTTTATTTCGATGACGGACTAGGGGCTCCGGGGAAATGTCCTCATGGAAGGAAATGGGGAGAGATCGGCAAGGAGCACAAGGAGGCGAGAGGGTTGGGGTTGAGTGATGTGGAGATGGATGATTTTATGGTCGATCTAGGGGATCTGGTTAGTAAAGAGTATGACGCGTGGATCGAGAGGTGTTGGTGAGTCGTCGATTTTCCGAGATCGGTTTTTTCTCCTGGGAGCTTGCGAAGGAAGAGGAAAACGCTGAACGGGTCCGATATGATTGCCTTTTTTTCTTTTTGATTTGGCGCGGCTTGGTGGCGCAGGGTCGAAGCGTTTCATTATACGTACACCGTCTCCCTCCCAGCGATGATCATCGGGTTCATCCAGTGCGGCGCCACCCCAACTTTCCTCCGCAAGAACATTATCTACGGAGGATCCTCCATCGATGCGCTGTTGGCACATAACTTCAGGATCTTGTTGAGGGAGGAACATGAGAGGAGAATGTCGGACGAGGATGGGAGTAGGAGAGGGGTGGATATCGGGAACCTCTTGGCGGGGTTGGTCCCCGGGAGCAATGCCGGTGCTGGGGGGAGTGGGAGCGGGACAGGTGGAAATGGGGGTGCAGGGATGAATGTCAATGGGAACAGCGGACAGGCGGGTCGACCGGCTGGAATTGACCTGCAGGCAAAGGTACTGCAGCCGCCTGCGAACATCGGCTCGGAAGTCCAGGCGAACAACGACGTAGACGAGGCTTATGCTCTTAGTAACGGAGTCCAGCGTGACGGACGAGACGAGGACTTGGACGACGAAGCGTTCGCTGGCGATGAGCAGGGTTACCCCAGGGCGACCGATTCGGGGGTGACGAGCGTCGCAGATGGGTTGACGGCCATGTCTCTGGAAGGGCACGACCTGGAAACCGTCGATACCCTCCCACGTCCGCCTCCACCTCCACCTCCACCGCCACCGGTTCACCTGAACCCGCAGCAGGCTTACAGCAACATGGGCCCTAGCCCGCATTCCTTGCTGAACACCAACCCGGCTTCGGCGGGATCGGGCAGCACGTCCAATTCGACTTTTCAGCATCCGTTGCAGAGGCACCTCTGGGACCCGGCTAGGACGGGGTATGGGAACGGAGTGTGTTTCTACGACTTGGCGTTGTTGCATGGAAGACAGGGGGACGATCACGCTCCGTGCATGTGTGATTTGACGGCGTGTAGGACTTGTTTCCACGAGTTGCTCTACTTCCGGGGAAGGCGTGAGGTCATTCATCCGCATGATGACGAGGAAGATGAGGAAGAGGACGAAGATGTGGACGGCGATGAGGAAGAGGAAGAAGACGTAGAGGACGAGGATGACGAGCTGGCGCAAGAGGCTGATGAGCAGGACGAGCACTCGCATCACCATCATCGACACCATCGTCATCGCCATCACCGACACCATGGGGATGAGGACGAGGAAGACGACGAGGACGAGTTTGATGACGGAGAGTGTGACCATGATCACGATCATGACGAGGATGACGAAGAGGATGATGACCACCATCATCATCACCATCACCACCACCATCATCATCACCACCATCATCAACAGCGATCACACGACTCTCAGGGTTACGCACGGCGGATGTCACCTCTGCAGATCAAACCGCCCGACTTGTCCGACATCATGCTTGTCGAAGAGCATCTTCGTACGAGATTACACTACATGGCATCGCCCGATGTCGTCCTGCGTTACGGCGACGAAGATGAATTCATCCCCTCCATGGAGTACGTGGCGGTACCCGGGTCAGGTGGTGGTACACCGGTCGACGAAAAGGCAGACGGGATGGCCAATCCGAGCCCCAATCCCGCGACGCCGGCTGGACAGGCCGCTAAAAAGGGTCCTACCAAGAAGATCCTACAAGGTCGAAAGATGAAGGGAGGCCGGGTCGTCAAGGGTGGGATCCCTCCCAAGATTGTCACGGTGAACAAGGAAGAGACGAACGGGTCGAAACCTAACGGAGATGGTCTGACCGGCGAGGTCCAGATGAAGCCCCGGTTGAATGGCAGTCAATTGCCCTTGAGCTGGACGATGGAGAGCGCCAACTCGAGGAATAATGCGGTCACCTTGACGTATAGGCATCTCGTCAGGGTGAGTTCCGGCTCGGCGTGGTCTTGGAGCTGATCGCACGCTGACTTGATGATCTTGTGGATACAGCACTTGCACGCCACTGCACAGCACATGTCGCCGTTCGACTTTGACGAGTATGCTGATGACGCCGCCGTGTTGACCGAGATCCATCCGCTTGCTGTGTATCGAAGACTCGTGGAGCCCTATGTCAGAAGACGGGCAGCTCAATACGACGAGATGAAGGCCCGAGCAGAGGCTGCCGGCACCGAACTCGCGGACCAAGATTCACCGGGTTCCGAAGTCCTCAAAGTCGATTATAACGCGTGGAAGAACTGCATGGAAAAGTGGGAAAAAGAGGTGGCCATCAGGGAAAAGGAAGGAGTGCGTCGAATGCTGAGCGCAGCTTGACATCGGTCGCGGGTTGCTAACGGTCGTCGGATGATCGCCTCGCAGGGCAACGCCATCTTAAAGACCCAGCCAGCCAGGGCGGTCGCTTTCTATACCCAAGCAATCTGTCTGGACAGCGAGAACCCGGTGTATTATCTAAATCGCGCTGTGAGCAATAATCTCCGGAACTCACCTGCTGCGCTTACGAACCGTGCTGACGATCCATCCCACATCAGGCCGCTTTCAACGCCATCGAGAACTATGAGGACGCAGAGATCGACTGTTCTCGCGCCCTTAAACTTAACAAGTCGCATCTCAAGGCTTGGTACCGCCGTGCCATTGCCCGTAAAGGCCTCGGCAGACTCGACGAGGCCGAACAAGGTGGGTTTCGTCTAGTAGCTCCACATTTGCAAGATCATCACGCTGATTATAGCTACTGCGATACAGACATGCTGCAACTCCTCTCGCAAGCCCCTAACATCCAAGCAGCTACGGCGGAACTTGCAGCCATCCGGAAAGAGATCGAGGACATGAAGAAGCGGGAAGAGGTCGATGAGGTCGATTGATCGGTAGAATGGGCTTGGGACGCTATCCTTGTCGATCTTTATCTTGTCTGCTACAATCGCAGCATTGTCACCAACATTTGCATCATCGTTGCACGAACGATGCTGTTATTGGAGGCTGCCTGACAGCCCGCTGCTTCTCGCGATTACATAAAAGCTGTAATGTAACGATGGACAGGCTCGATGTGCCCTGCCCCACTTGAAATACAATTGCGGAATCACAGAGAGGTAGGCCATGTCTTGGGTTCGGTCGGAAGGGCCCGAGCCGTGAGTCAAGCACCTCACCTGCGGGGTCGACCACAAGGTAAGAATGTCAATGGAGGAAGGCAACTGGTCTGGTATCACCAAGCACATGCTGCTGGACTTTATGCAAGTTCCTACAGAGTGCCGCACATAAATTGAGAGCGATCCCACTTGACACAATGTCAGCTTTATCAATCCAATTGCCGTCTACCGTGCTACTCTCCTTGCCAGTCTTGAGGTCATCATAAACATCCTGCTTGGTGTGATGATTGACAAAGGACTCAACATCAATGTATTCGATTCCGTTCCCTATGGTATGTGAGATCGACCTCGTTTTGTTTGCGGGACACACCAACACCTGACATTGCGCCACTGCTTGACATGACCAGCCCTTACATTATCACGCCCTTGACAGATGTCAGCTGAGTTTCCAAGGCCCACATCATGCCTCTGTATGATAGTACTCTCGACCATATCGTGTCCAGCAGAGGCCGACCACCCGTCACCGACCAAGAGCCACGGAGCGACCTATTGGGCGATCCTGCAGCCTATCCGGAAGAAGTCTACAAATTGAGCATGGCATACATCATCATGATTTGTTGAGGTATTTACACAGGTCTCCAGGCTGTCATGGATGTGAGGTGATGGACGATACGTGCAGGCTACAAGTTTGGCGCCATCTGCGAGCGCCACAACATGCCTGAGCGTATGCAGAAGTACTCCAGCCAATATCACACCAACAAAAGCCCCTTGGCAGCAGGAGCGGAGGCACCATCTCCTCTCCTGAATAACGTTCTGCTTTCTTTGCTTTCAGTTTGACTTCGATGAAAGCAGTAATAGCTTGCGCCCACTCAACATCCCCCTTATTGGTCAGACTATCCTTCAGATCGACAAAAGCGTGGCGCGAGAGGACTTCTTTCGTTGTGACTTCTCCTGAATTCAGTAGGAGTCAGGCCTGTTGAGGACCTCGTCGAAAGGACTCCTCTTGGCCCGACATATGCATTAGAGTCATTCGAAGTCTTCCAAGAATTTCGGGAGTTGCTGAAGGGAAGGTCTTGAGATGTCAAGATACATCAGACGGACACGTTACCAATTGACCAGGTGGATATCTTGGAGGTGACACTGCAACAGAAGGCCAAGGCGCAACACAAGGCTGAGGTGCTACACACTATCTCTCTCCGCACAGCCCTGTGCCACCTTGAGAAGCATGGACTGCAAGGTGTCTTTAATAGCCGTGCCTTGGGTACGTCGGGTGGAACGACAGGTCGATCGTTAGTGTTTCAGGTGATCTCCGAACACAGTAGCGCTACCCAGACAACGCGAGTCCATATTAAGGCAGCCGGTAAAGGACCAAAGGCCAAGGCCATGCTCAATCCAACGCAACTAGCCAAGCAACCTCGGCATAACTCATTTTGGTTTCGGGAGTGATGATGTGCTCGATTCGCTGCCTGGGCGGCATCTCTGTATCATCATCTTCGTCCCTGTCAGCATCCAGGATTTCGATTGGCGTCGTCTTACAGGCCTGAGAAACGTTCATACACAGTCCATTACAGGATAATTCTTGTTGTGTCGTATTGCGCTCATCTAGTATTTATTGCTCTCCACGTCATCTACCCTACAACCCCACCGGGCCAACCCTCAAACATCCCACCCGATCAACAAGTTATCGATCAACCTCGTCTTCCCCACCCAGATAGCCCCGGCTACAACCGCTTCTCGACCGTGCAATTCTCCTCGGATAGGCTCGAAAGTGACCTTGTCGAAAACCTCGATATAGTCGTATTTAATGGAAACATTTGAGGATTGGGAAGCTTCTTTGGAGACGGTCTCGATAAGGTCTCGGGCGGCTTGGATAGCAGACTCTGCAGTGGTCGGTGTAGATGTTGAAGGGAAGCTAGATGTCAAGGATGATCTGACTTGGGAGAGCGCCCGGTGTAAGGTCGGTGCGTAGGGGCGTTCGGCTTCCGTCAGGTAGGCGTTCCTGGAAGAGAGAGCCAGGTGGTCCGAGGTGTCCCGGGTTGTGGGGATGATATGCAGGTTGTCGGTCGTCGGATAGGCTGTTAGGAGGTCTTTGAGCACTTTGTCATACGTAGCAAAAGTGATGGCGAAAAGCAATCAGTTTATTATGGCTCAAAAGAGGCATTCGAGTATGGCTTGATGAAATGAGGACGATACGAAAGAGGACGTACTGATCTTGAGGAGAAGCGCTTGTTGAATATCCTTCTGCCCGAAGTAGGCGTGGTCAGGTTGGACTGCGTTGAAGAGCTTCGTACAGACCGTCGCTACTCCCCGAAAGAATTGCGCTGCATGAAACAATCAGAAATCCGGAATATCGACATCAGTACAGTATAAGACGAAACAGGACGAGTGATACGTGGATTACGGAATTGAGACGAGACTCACGACGACTGGCCCCCTCGAGTACGTCCCCCCACCCCTTGACTTCCACAAACGCCCCCCGTTGTTTGTTCACATCCTGTAACATACTCTCCCCCGTCGAACCCGAAGCAGGAGCCGGCAAGCTGGATAACGGGTACATGGTCTCCCTGCTCGGCGTCCATACCACGAGCTTGTCCATTTCTTTCCCTGGATACTCGGAGCGGAGGAGGTTTTCCAGGAGTTCAAGATCCCGAGGTAAAGTTCGGGGGTAAGAGGAGAGGTCTTCGTGCGGTGCGAATTGGGTTGGGTTTACGAAGAGGGTGAGGACTGTCAAGGGGTTCGCTCGGAGAGAGTGCCGGACTGGACTGGTACGATCGTGCCGGGTGATCAGCTTCGGTTTTCCTAAAAGGATATAGAATCAGAGAGGAGGAAGGGGCTTACCGAGATCAAGGTGACCTTCGTGCAAAGCTCCCATTGTGGGTACGACGCCGACCGACTTGTCCTCCTTGAACGCTCGTCGGCGCCATGCTCGGAGGTCGGGCAACGTCGAGATGGTTGGGATCAAGGAAGAGCTGGGTCGAGCCGAGGTGGACATGGTGCGTGAGAGGGTGCGTGTGAGAGTCTTTGCTAGGTTCATGACGGCAGGCGACGAGAGTCAGGGGAATAGATAGGTCCTGCAGTAGCTGGACATGGTAGCTAGGTAGAATCAAGGTCTATGTCTCTTTCGTTCCAACTTTTTGCTCGGTCGTCCCCGCGCAACTCCGGATGAAATACGGAAATCTAGCGAAATAGCGGAAAACACGATTACAGCTCGAGTCGCTCATCGACCCCTCACACAGACCCTGAAGCGTCATAGGGACGTGGTTTGGACGCTACAACGTACGTTCAAGCATCTCGTTCATACTGCCTGTATATAACTGAGATCGAGTAGCGCAGTTGAGCCATCTTACATGATCGACTTGTAATTTTCAACTTCGGTCGCAGGCGTCTTTTCGCTAGAATTTATAGCGGAACTTGTGACCTTTTCCGGAAGTAAATTTCGCTCTTCAAGTGACCTTGATCGAGTTGAGCGTCTTCGAACTTGCTTGAATCTGCAAACAGACCCGCTTCTTCCTTCGAATTAGACTGCTAGACTGCACACACAGGAAAATCAAGCTATCTCAAAGCTCTGCGATCTGATTCAAACAGACCTAACCAGCCAGGAACCCCTCCAAACCTAAACATCTCGAAAAGCAGACGGACCACAATATCAGAACCTCGCCATACCTCAACTTGCAAGTAGACTAAATCACACCGAATGTCAGGCCGAGGAGGACGAGGCGGCGGAAGAGGAGGTCGAGGTGGTGGAAGAGGAGGTTTCCAGGGAGACAGACCAAGAGGAGGTCCGGAGGGTGTGGCTGTGGGGACGTTGACGCATGCGGATTTGCAGAGGACGGTGAAGACTGAGAGGTTGTACCCGGTGAGTCCGCCCGCCCAGCCTGTTGCAAATGAACACGACCTCCAAGCAGGTTGTAGCGTGACTCGATGATACTGAGACCGATCAAATGATTCTTGATACGCAGGAGTATCAATTGAAAGATATGAGGAACCCGGATCAGGCGGAATCACGTGTCTGCGTGTTTACTCGGGAGATGGCAAAGAGCCTCAGGTTCAGTCCTTATCGTCTGAGGGATAACGCAGAGAAGGACGGTGAGTCATAAATGACCTCTCTATACTTTGGTATCATATCACTGTGCAGACCGTAGACCAACTCGTCGGAACCTCTGTCCTTGAACTTTCTTTTCCCACTCTGCTACCCGGCAATACCTCCCTTCCACTCGACCGGACCCTGCAGACATGGCCTCGTACACGGACAAGTACAAACAAAAGAGATCACTCAACGCGCTCAACCTGAACGCCGAACAGTTGGGGCTGGAGAAGGATTTCTTCCCGAGACAGATCTGGGAGATGTATTTTGAGGGAAAAGATCCGGAAGGTCAGTTTCAGGACATGACACCCTCGACAAGCGGTTTTATTTTGCGATACCGCAGGAGAAAGGGAAGCTGATACGGGTTTTATTAATGGTTGCTTTCTCGTTCTGTTTTGTTCTTTGATGGTTCTATAGGTGCGGCGAAGGAGGAGAAAAAGAAGAATAAGAAAAAGAAGAAGAGCGTCGACGAATTAGACGAAGGTGCCGCTAGTCAAGAGGTTCGTTCAAAGTACCCACTCTGCATATACCCGGCGCTTTCTTCTTGTACTGATATCACCTCATACCGTTTTGATTCCTTTTAGGAATTTTCGGACGAAGATATCATGCTCGAAGACCAGCTGTCAGAAGAGGAAGATTATGGGGAAGACGATTATGGGAATAATTACTTTGACGCTGGGGAGGAAGAGGGCGGGGATGACGATGGTGGCGGTGGAGGTGGAGACGAGTTCTAGACTCGAGTACAGAGATCGAATTCCGATCATACTTGGTAGCGCGGTGTATGTATTATCATGTAGCTGTCCTTGGGAGCAGCGTGTTGTATCCGTTATGTCCTATTATACAACCTAAGCAGTTTATCTGAAGAGGACCTTGTTACCGTCTATCCTCCCGCCTAACGATTTTATCAGGTCATCAGCCCTAGGTCTGCCTGTCGACCCATTCTTCAGGTGATCATCCCACTCGTCCTTTACCTCGGCTACGTCTGCTGATAGAGCAATCTCGGATCCCAAGAGACTTCCAGCGAAATCGACCTTCATCCCCATGGCCCACCCACTTCTCATCATTCCCCATGTCCGTTCGCGCATCTTAGGCAGTGCAAAGCCGATGACGACCTTCTGATCCGCTTGTAGGTCTGACCGTAGTATCCGGTAATACGCCAGTGGTGAAGGCTGTATTATTGCTCGGTAGACCTCCAAAGCCAGCGGGAGGTCGGGGTGATCGGCTCTGACGAACGGCGGTCGGCGATTGGGCTTTTTGCCAGAAGGACGGGTGAGCTTGAAATAGTCGGTCCAAAAATCGACGGGAGAATCTCGGTGTGCGATATCGTAGATCAACAAGAGGCTCGTATAGTATGCCCGGTTGTCGGTGGACTCGTTTCTCGGCGATTTCGCTTTCGAGGAGATCGAAAGAGCTTTCACTTGGGTTTCTAAATTCTCGTCGCCGGGCTTTGAAGTTGCGGCTTTTAGGTAGATTCCAGGAACCAGGACGGAGAGGCTTGATATTAATTGAGGATGGTTCTCCGCACGTATCGATAAGACGCTTGAGAGTTCGTAGACTAGGTATATGGCCATAGAAGTTAGTTCAGAAGCGACACGGATCAGACAAGCTAGGCTAGAGCTTACCTTTGACGGCAAACGAATCCATCCTCCGGCTGGCCAATACACCTTCCCGCAGTTTCCCTGTCAATGATTACCTCAGCATGCCCGCCTTTCCGAAGTGGTCAATCGAGGTAGACTTACGTAGATGAAGAAGGATGACGCCTAGCGATTCCTTGCCATCCTTCTCAATCGCTAGATCTTGCTCTGATCGTGGGTAAAGAATCCGGTTTACGGGTTCATCGGATTTGAAGGAAGGGAACCGGATGTAGAAAGCTTCTAGCTGACGATCGATGACCGTGAATTTCAGCTATTGCCCCTTTCGCACGATTTGGCTACGACTAAGAGGAATCTGAACCTACCTTGTCTTCTATCCAGAGCAAGAACTTTTCTTGAATATCCCGATCTAACAACCCATCACCTTCGCCATCCCCATTTCCACCTGACCGACTGAGTGTACCGAGCATTTCCATCTCGTCTAGTTTCTTGTAAGCTCGGTGGGAAGTGGAGATGGGTTGAAGGTCGGTCGAGGGAGATGAGAGGGAGGTTGAGGGAGGAATCGCAGCGGGGCGGACCGGGGTCGAGGGAGGAGGTCTGGTGTTCCATGATCGGGCGTCTCCAGAATTCGGACGAGGCGGTAGTGAGGTAGACGGAGGTGGCCTGGCTTGTATTGCACTCCCGGTCGTCCGATCTTCATTGCTGAATCTGGTCGGCGTTGGCCGATAGCTAGATGTAGAAGGGTTGGGCTTGCGAAGACCTGGTTCATCCCGTGACGAGCTGGAGGGTACGCTCGAAGCCGGCAAGCTCGACCATATATCCCCTCCGGACGATGTTCCTGCGTTCTCAATGTTCTGCCAACGTGAAGTTCCGCTCAAGTCTGGAGCTCGCATTGCGCCCCGACCTCTTGCTTGATTTCGACCTGCGTGCGTGCTCAGCTCGCGATCGTCCGCCTGGCCGAGCGATCCTCGTGTTGAGCTGCTGCTCGTAGGGCGACCTCGATTTCTCCATGCTGGTGGCACATATTTATCACCCATTTTCATAAGTGATGTGTAGTGTCCAGTATACACCCACATCCATAGATGCGTTGCACCGATGAGGTAGACAAGCCAAGCTGATCACCTAACCTCGGATCAACCTCGAACGACGTGAGAGTGAATATACGTTTCGGAAACCCGACGAGCGACCTGTTTCACCTCGAGTTTCATCTAGCTGTACCCAATCAAGGCGGTCCATTCAATTCAAAAACAGGACAGAATCTTGATTACGCAATCGAATATTCTACATAGCTTTGGATCAATTGTACAAGATCTATTCTATTGCCAAATATAACCTAACCTGACGGTACGCATCGAGGACTACTCAACAAGCGAGACCCGATGAATTCGACGAAGATCCCCAAAACAAGCATTGAAATCTAAGTCCAGATACAAACGCCGATGCTGCAAGACTTCATGAAGGTGATACGATGAAAGGAACTTCCAGAACATCATTTCCAGGGTTCCGCAGTAATACGGTTCCCTCGGTGGATGATACCTCTTGGTATGGCAAATGTGTTTGTACGTAGATGTCGTGCGTACCGAGTACTGATGTTGTGTGAGCTGCGCACTCATCTCCAGAACTCTACCAGAAACTCTTTCTTCAACGATCTCATCATCGCTCTCGTCCCTTCGTACATATCTACGCATGACATACAAATAGCCAAGGCAACAGATATGCAGCAGTAGAAATGTCGGAATACACGACGCGTAGGCACAATGTCTTTCTTTGATCCGTTTCCCGGACAGACCACTTAGACTAGCTATCGCCCAAATCTCTCAGGCGCCCAAATTGTCGCGACGCCAGTATAGCAGCTGGCCCCATCCGGTCCCCCGTTTCCAACGACCGCTGGGAGAATCGAACAGGCACCAGAAAGTTCCTTGGTCCATGTCTTCTTCTCGAAGAGGCGCGTTCGAGTGAGCTGCCTTGTACTCTGCCAGTATCGCCACATGACCACATTCTGCCGTCACATTGTTTCCGTACAAGACCCGAGGACAGCATTTTAAGATTCTTTTGAGAAGAGCCAAGTTGGAGACGAACATATCCTGTGGGTCGGATCGAGAGGAGATGTCAATCTGTTCCTCATACACGTGGCCCATCCCCAAGCTATCAGCAGCAGCTTTCAAGCATGTATCGCAGATTCGATGATCGAATTCCCACTTGCGATGGTGCCAGGAATTACGAAAACTGACTTTATGCCGAAAACAGTGATAGCTTTTTGGAACAAACGGATCGTCGTCATTTCCAACCTCAGACGCAGTCGCTTCTGGGTCATTAGAGACCTTGGAAGCTCCGGCCTTCCCTTCTGACGCCTCTGTCTGTTGGTTCGAGTCCGAAGAGAAGGTAGGAAGAGTCTCGCTGGTTCTACAAGACATGTCGGGATCGAGTGGGCCGTAAAGGGATTCCGTAGGCCCGATTTGATGCGTATCGCAAGTTCGGGTGTCTGATAGCTGTTTCATGGTAAAAGGAACCATATCTATGATCCGAAGCTGACGGAGTGCAAGCTTGCCGCGAAGCTGGGTCTTCATCAGTCCATCTATGTGAAGATATCCAGGACATAAATACTTTCTTAACGATCATACGAAGTTGAATCGTCATGGCCTATGGTAGCTTTCCTTTCAATGACGCAACTCAGACAGGATATGACGACTTGATAGATCACGTCAAAAGGTCAGCGTTGAGCGTTCTTATCTAGATTCTGTATCGAGAACCAAAATCATGTACCGCAACTCGATCATGCAAGTTGATTCAGAGCACCGGACAGACATCAACGTTCTTGTGCTCGCGACACGCGCTTGAAAAGGAGTTTCAGATCCCGTACAGTATTATTATATAGGACGAAACACCAGGCCCTGACCGAAGGCTGGCGTGTAGTGCAACGGAGATCCCTGATCAGTGTCAGGACGGTGAGAATAGGTGAGCCGACTATATCGCTCGTTGACGTCCTCGACCGGGGGAAGACAAATGCCTAGCGATAGAGAAGGCGCACACTTCGCCGTGTGCTGTGTCGTCGCGTGACCATCCGTGTTGGCCGTGCCATGACATGTGGCTTTCTGAAGGCAAAACCGGGTGACAAGATGTTAGAACTCAAGATATTGCTTTATCAATGGCATGTGCTATCAGTCAATACAAAGGTACTGACCTGTTAGAACTCAAGATATTGCTTGAGATCTAACAGTCAAGTGGTGTATATTGATGATCTAGTTGTCCGAGATTTTCATCACCGGGGTGAGGTCCCAGCTTGGGTGATGCTGACTAAGCATCACCCCAGTCCCCAGTAATCCTAGGAAATAATCCCGGTAATCCTTGATTACTCGCGCGCGCGCACCTACTTTCTACACGTCCCCTCGGACTTCTCTATTCAGAGGTGGACGACATTGGTGTAGGTGCCCTGTTGATCTTCAGATTCATGTCATTGCAAAGTACTTGGAGCTGCTTTCCAGTGATTGGCTTGGTGAGGAGATCCGCAATCATCTGTTTAGTATTGAGGTATTTGACCTCGATCTTCTTGTCCTCAATCAGTCCCCTAAGAGCGTGGTGCAAAACATCAATATGTTTTGTCCGAGCATGGTTGGTGGGATTCTTAGCCAGTGCGATAGCTGGCTGGTTGTCCTCAAAAATGGTGACCGGTTTACCATCATGAAATCCTAGCTCCTGATCCATGATCGAGAGCCAGACCGCTTCTTTCCCAGCTGATCCAAGAGCGATGTATTCGGCCGCCGTGCTAGACCAGGCTACTGTGGTCTGTTTCTTGCTCTGCCATGATACCGGTCCATTGGCCAATGTGAACACATATGCCCCGACAGATTTCCGGTCTCCCTTGTCTCCGGCATACTCGGCATCCGAGTAACCAGCAATTTTCTGATTGCCGTCTCGGTGATAGACAAGACTGGCATCAACGGTGCCCTGAAGGTACTTCATTACCCGCTCACACGCTTTCCAGTGTGTCTCCTGGTAGGTTGAACAGAATGATGCAAGGTGTGAGATTGCAAAGGAAAGATCCGGTCGTGTCCCCCGAGCTAGATAATTCGCCTTTCCGATGAACTCCCGGAAAGGAAACCTGGTATCAGGTGGTAGTCGGTCTTCAGGTGGGAATGCGCTGATGACCTCTTCCACCGGAGTCTTGACGGGGTGACAGTCAATCATATTGAACTGTTCCAGGATCTCCCGAGCAAACTTCTTTTGAGATAGGGTGATGGTTCCCCTCTCCCGGTCCTGTTCGATCTCGATCCCCAGTAACACCTTGGGATCATCCGTCCACTTCATCTCAAACCTGGTGTTGAGCAAGGCTTTGGTTTCCTGGACCAAGCTGTCGGTGTCTCCGGCTACCAGTGCATCATCCACATATAGACCAAGTAGCACCTTTCCCTCCGGAGTGTCCTTGACAAACACCGACTGATCTGCTGAGATCGATGAGAACCCAAATCCACCCAGGATCTTTCTGATGTGCCGGTAAAACAGACGAGGAGATTGATGAAGACCATAGATCGCTCTGTTCAATAGGCAGATATGGTCCTCCTTCCCAGGTTCCTTGAATCCCTCAGGCTGTTCAATGTAGACGGTCTCTCCTTCCATGCTGCTGGAGAGGAAGGCGGTCTTGACGTCACCTTGTGACAGAACCATCTGTCTCTGGCACACTCGAGCGATGATGTACCGAATGGATTCCAGTTTGACAACCGGGGCAAAGATCTCTTGATAGTCGATCCCAGCTTTCTGGGTGTAGCCCCAAGCAACCAGTCTGGCCTTTGGCTTTTGAGTACCATCGGGTAGGTCTTTCATGGTACAGACCCATCGGACTGAGATCGGCTTTGGTTGTCCGGTCTGCCTCGGGACCAGGGTCCAGACCTGGTTCTTGGCCATCGATGCCATCTCATCCAGCTTCGCATCCAGATAGATGGGATCGGCAGGATTCATCTCAGCTGATGTCAGGAAAGCTATGTCTTCAAGCTTCGGTCCATGTGCAATGGCCGCATGATCCTGGAATCTCTTTGGAGCTTGTCGGGATCGTCTTGCACCATCCGGTAAGACCTGTGGGATTCCTGATCCTTGAGCTGGTACTGGAACGTATTCATGGTTCTTCCAGATACCAGTCCCTTTCTTCCGAGTGCTTTGTTGATCCACCGGGACCGGAATCCTACTTGGCGGCAGTGGTATCGGTCCTGCTGGCTGAACTGGGGCTTCCCCTATTTGGGGTTCGGCTTCCCCAATCTCTCGCTCAACTTCCCCCATCTCTCGCTCAACTTCCCCCATCTCTCGCTCAGCTTCCCCAATCTCTGGTTGAGCTTCTCCAATCTCCGGTCGAGGAACCAGGATCTCTGGTTCAGCTTCATTGATCCTTGGTCCACCTTCATCAATCCTCGGTCCAGCTTCCCCGATCTCTGGATCAACCGGTTGGGCTTCTTCCCCGACAGTCAGTTCGGCTTCCCCGATTGCAGGTGAGATGTCCTGGAAGAAGATGTCTCCTTTTGCGATGTTGGTCTTTTGATCGGCCCATCTCTGGTCTTCACAGAATTTGACATGTACCGTCACATGTTTCTTGAGAGCATAGGGATCGAAGAGTGTCCAAGCTTTCTTGGCCTTTAACTCTTCCTCTCCATATCCAAGGAAGATGCACCGCTTTGCCTTGGGTTTCCAGATCTGACCAACCCGGTCTTCTTTTGGTATGTGCATGTAAGCGACACATCCAAACACCCTCAGATGACTGACCGATGGCCTCTTTCCAGTGAAGAGTTCTATCGGTGTCTTCTCTCCTGTCTTTGCGGTCCGGGTCCGGTTCCTGACGTATGCAAAGTTCTTTGCAGCAGCACCCCAGTACTTGTTACTGAGACCGGAATCGATCAAGAGAGTCCGAGTACCCTCTTTGATGGTTCGGACAGCTCTCTCTGCTGCCCCATTCTGTTCTGGTGTTCGAGCTGTAGTCATCTGAGCTCGGATCCCCTTCTCTTCACAGAACTGGCTGATCGCTCTGTTGTCAAATTCTCCCCCACCATCGGACCGAAGAACCTTGACTGATCGACTCAACTGATTCTGCCATTGAGTCAGAACCTGTTTCAACCATCGGGTTGCCTCTGATTTGGTCCTGAGGAGTTCGACATGGTAGTATCTGGAGTAATCATCGACCATGATCATGAAGTACTTGGCTCCTCCGATAGCCTCATCAAAAGGCTGTTATAGCGGTCACGTGACGCATCGGACGCGCCGTACGCGACTCCCGTATGCGACTCCTATTATAGGCATCCGCGGTACGCATGTCGTACACGCGCGGGATGTAGGTTTTCACCTCGTACGGAGGTCCGTTCGGAGACCCTCTCGGAGACCCTCTCGGAGACCTATTAGGAGATGTGTTCGAAGATGCCTAACTAGCACCTTGTAGTAGTTAGACATCCGTTATTACATTCATTACCCTACCCGTACCTTCTAGTCCCGTGTGTTACTATTCAGGTTTGCTGGCAAACCTTATAGAATAACGGATCACCCAAACACCCCGACTAGGAGACCCCGTATACGATGAATACGTTCACGCAGTGTTACGGACCGGATAGGGCTGTCCACCCCATCCCTGCGGATGCGATCCCGGTCTTGAGCAAAGACGGGAGCATGCAGATGATGGATGGACAAGGAAGGTTCATGTGGAGGAACCCAACGGGGGAGACGCTGGTAAACGACCAGTGCGTCTTTGCCCACCAGCAACCGGAGGTAGGTGCCACGGGGGTACCTACCGCTTCCACGCAGGCCGCACCGGCCAACAACATGGGGCAGACTCCCCCACAAATGCAGTCAACACCCCCAGCAGCTAACCCTGCTCCGGCCGCTGCGCCTCCTACCAGTCCGGACGTTTCCGCCCTGCTCTCCATGATGGCGAACATGCATAGCCAGATGATGGAGTTGGCGATGTCGAGGGACACTCGATCGGCGACGGCCACGGAGGAAGCGAGAGCGAAGCTGTTCAAGTTCGGTACGCCGGACAGGTTCGATGGCAGCAAGAAGGAGAAGGTTAGGGGATTCCTGGACCAATGCAACCGGGAGTTCCAAGTCAAGCCGGGGTTGTACACCGACCTTTACAAGATTATGTACGCGGAGTCGTACATGGATGGGCAGGCCCAGGCATGGGCAAGGGAGTACTCGTCGGGGCGAACTCAGGTCACCTGGCGGGAGTTCGAGGCGTTGCTCGTGGAGATGTACGGAGGGGGAAGGAACATCCTTGCTACGGAGAAGGAGTACTACTCTCTGAAGCAGGGCAACAAGAGCTTGAGTACGTACATCACCGAGTTCAACGACCTCGCCGCCCTCCTCCCAAACCTCAACGAGTACGGCAAACGGTCGTTCTTCCGCGCCAACCTGAACCAGGCCTTTCAGGACGCTATTATCCCTATGCCCAACCAGGAGCATATGACGCTGGCGGAGTTCCAGATGGAATGTCGTCGGTACGAAGACCAAGCGGAAGCCCGTAGGCACACGTCTTCGGGTAACCGTGCCCACACGAGCGGGAATCGTTACGCAGGTAACCACGTCGCTCCCCGAAACCCTGTTGTGGTTAACACCACTGTTGCCCCTCCTGCGGTGGCCGCCACGTCGGGTGCTACGCCCATGGAGGTGGA